TTAGCGGCGGATTCGGATGTTCCGCATCCTTAAGATTCGAAATCTCCCTATGAGGTCATGTCTTCGCTTATGCGCATTTAGATGCTGTAGCTTGAATCTATTGAAGGCGGTGGAGAGAATATTGGGATGTTGGGTCGTCGAGTCGGTGTGGCAAGCTGTGGCTAATGAGTAACATGAATCTGCGATGCGTTGGCACATGGAATCTTAAGTAGCACGTATGCACACAGCCACATTTCCCCCAGGGTCCGGGATGTATACTATCATGTACCTATAAGCCTGCGAATATAATCGACGAAGCCCCGCAAACGATATGTACCCCCTACTTTCTTTCAGCTTCTCATGGATCTAAAGAAGCAACGTTAAACTGCAGCAACGATCGCCTCAAATATCCTGTATTGTATAGGGGTTTAGAGGGGATTTCCAGATCTATATTGCCAAGTTTTTGTTTCGAACTTCCATGGGGTTGTAACTAATTGCATGCGACTTGAAGAATCTAGCGCAAAATCCGACCATGTATCTCTACAGGAGAGCAAGGATCCTCTATTCAGTGCCGAGCTCGCGCCACAGTCATGGATATTGAGCTGATTTCGTGTTCGCTATCTATCGCCTAAACCCTAGAAAACAGGAGTTCCCGGAGGCCCAGGGTGTCGGCCAGGTTAGCAAGCCACAATCGATACAACCTTTACGATTCCACGTTTCCTTACACTATTTTTTGAGACAATGTCAACCGACAATTACCGGGAAAGTGCTATATTCATCTCAAAAATGTCATCATCTCGTAATCAAGAGCTCGGTGAAAGGCGGCGTTAAGTTGCATGCTGTTGCTGGGATTCCTACCTAGGTAGGTAAGAAATTTCTAATGTTGGCTTGAGGTTGTCGGCTCGGCCCTTAATTTAGTACCTAAAATCGTATTTCAATGCTATGAAATTCACTGGCCGACGTTTTCCTGTCAACTTGCGATCGCGCCCGGAGTGGTCGCATATCGAAAGAGCACTCCGTATTGCGCGTCCCTGCAGTAGGGTGTCTAACGTATTACTCGAAGAGCAAGTTTCCAGTAAAAAATGATTCTGTCCTGATACATTGGACATGCGAAGCTATTGATCTGCGCATCGACGAGTTAATCTTCCTGGCGGCTGCTCTTACATCTCTGTCCCCACAGATACGCGAGAACCCTTAAGCTCCATAGTATTGCATGTAGGTAAGCACATGTAGACCCACGACAGCATGTTTTTGAATCCTGAGATAGGCGAAGTAAGTGGTGAAGACCCTCATGAAGATTTTACTTATCATTCGGCTGCCTCTTGTTTGGTTATCTTCTCTACGATTAGTCAGTCCATTATGTAGACCATCGCTGATCAATGACGATGTTCTTGTTGCGGATATAATTCGATCGTCTGTATTCAAGGAAGTGACCATTTATAGTGAACGTCATGATGAGTCAACTATGATAGATTCATAGAATTGATATGTAGCGACGTGGTTTGTTTCTATCAAAAGTGGTGAAAGTGAGGCGGCAATGAACGGAATTGCGGATCACGGAGAGGCCGTTGCTAACCTGCCGTGGTTACACCTAAATACGTACCGGTACTTCGATACCCGGGGTCAAGGTACCTAAATACATCTATTATATCTGATAGATTACTTATAGATGCACGGGCCAAGACAAGGGATGTCTAGGTTTGGTACGGCATTAGTTCAGTCAAGTGACTTCGGCAACCCAATTGCTGTTATCAGTTTTTCCCCCCTTCTCCTAGACTCTTTCCCCAGTCATGTATTTCCTTGCATCTTCCAATCATCAATTTTTATCATTTATTTTCCTATTTTCAGCCAATTGCATCATTTCTCTCAGACCCCGACTGACCGAAACAGGTGAACATTATCTCCCAATGATTTTAGGGATAGCTATTGTCGATCCTATCTCGTCGACGCGAGCGGCGTCAGTTTTAACCACATGACTGATATCTTTGTACGACGAGCTTAGATTCGGCATTACTCGACGTGTAATATACTTCCAGTTATGATATTCGCTTCTGAGAGACTGTTTGCTTGTAGGATCACCATTGTCTAACGGCCAGGTTACCTTTTGACGCGTCTCCTGACGTGACGAGGTTTTTATTCGCTAAGGATCGGCTTAAGTGGATTTCCAGAAGACGACAGCCTACCCTCTTAGTGAGTCACAATATTACTGAGGAAGCGAATTTAGGGAAACACATAGTTTATTGAATGTCATGGTCTGGACTTCAAGCGCGACGCAAGCCCGATATTCCGGGACGGGAGCTAAGTTTAGGGTTAGTTGGATGCCGTAACGGGGTGTTGTATGTCTTCCAGATAGGGATATTACACATGGAAGATCTGGAGAAGTACTCCCTTTTCATTGGATCCTCAAACTCCTTTTGATAAAACATTAGATGAATCCGTTTTCTCGAATTATCATTCGCTTGATCATATATTTTTTTTTATTTTCGTTTAGCTCACATCTAGGCCTAGAAGTCCCCTGTAAAAGCCGTCTTGGAGGTTCCCTGATTTCGCTGATTTTACAGCCAATGGAAATTCGACCCCGGGTCGTTTTTCTCCACTTCGACACTTTTCCGGCTCACGACAACCGACCAGTTAGAATCCAAAGGTGCCAAATTCCATCGATACACCTCAACTCACCTTCTGCCACTAGCATGGGGTCCAACCTTGACATATGCCATCGACTGGCTCTTATTGAATCTCGTCGTCGCTTTAGCTTCTGTCAGACGGACTCACTCTGTACTTTTCATCTTCATCCGGTTAAACGCACGCGCAATGTGGGTTCCATCTTATGATATGTACTTCATATCTCTCCATACTCCATCCGCTAGTTCCTTGACGCTGTAAGCGCCTCTGTGAGACGAGGAGATTGCTCCTCTCCCTTGCAGTCCTTGAACTTATGAATACTGTACCCCAGACACAGGATGCTCGAAAGACCCATATCTTCGCTCCAATACTGGCCGGTAAGCAGCCCGAGGCGAGCATCATTTCTGCGTCTGGCTCGAAGGGGAAGCCTCTGGCCAAGCGCTAGTACTGTTTTACGAGCAATATGTATAATTCATATAGCTCACCTGCCAGGTTTCAGATTCTTTGCTGATGCGGCGACGCGTCAAATTACTTCCTTCTCGTTCATATGCAAGTCATCAGGAGCCTCCCAGCATACAGCAGCATCGCATTGCAGCTCTAGGATGTTGGAGCATTCTACTGGTCAATAACAAGGGTGTATATATTAGCAAAGGGATAGCATCGGACGATCGATATGAGGCAACGTTTACTGGTTATTTCTCAAGCAGTTTCAGCTCCCTTCCAATGGATAAGGAATTGTGAAGTCGCATTGATACGGCAATTTCCAGAGATGCGAGAGCTTCAGACGATCCCCCAACATCGAATTGGACAGTCCGTATCGGCCAACTATGAAGCATGTTCATTCTAGATCGACCGGTACCACTTGGATTTCCACATAGGTCATGCTGCACTTGGTAGCATGCATAAATGCAACAGCAAGCCTTCTTCGGCTATTACGGAGCACTACTATTCGTAGACAGCTGCAGCCTGCATGAGGAGGTATAAGGGGAGGCTGACTCCAACATCAGTCGGGTTTGAGCCTTACGGCATATGAAATAAAGGCCTAGAGTAGGTCGTTATCAGCACTTGTTTCTAACATCCATGAAACTTCTAGCCTATATAGAACTAGTAGTAGTGATATCACATTTTGGGAATTCGACAGCATGCTTATTGATCATGGTACAATGCGACGCTGATATATGAATATCACATCTCAAAAGAATCACCGAGAGAAGGGGTTAGTTAATATTGTATAAATCTAATATGGAACTAGTTCCGCTGCAGATGAATCGATGGATTACGGCGATATCGGTACCCCTTCTCGGACGCGACAAGCGTATGGATAATACATACCTAGGTAGGTAGGTAGATATATGATTTGCTACATATGTACATGATGATGGACTTTGCTGATCCCTTGTCGCTGCGTATATACGAAACTATGTGGTGACTATCATCGAAGCTGAGAAGCAATAAAAAGGCGCAAAACCTGATATTAATTGATGACATCCTGTGGTTCTATTGCCTGTTGCTATTGTTCCATGATGACAAACGTGGACACCAGGAAGAGCCGATGACTGCCTACTGCCTACATGATGATGTTATGTAGGTGTAGGTAGATGCATATGCCTATTCGAGGAATACCTAACACCCTAAAGAATACCTAGATTAAGAATAATAATAGGGGAAACGGTAGGTGTTTCCCGATTGAGTACCGGATAAAAAATAACAGGCTACATGGGTACCTGGGTACTTGGGCTGTCGGTGGGCTTGGGTGGGACATTTTTCCCAAGGAACATTGAACATTTGAAGGGGTGGTCCCATGTACTTAGGTACCTAAAGTTGGCTAAAGTATGTACCGGTACGAGGGCACTGGTGGCGCCCGCACTGGCCATACTGCAGCAACTTTCAGCTCAGGTTGTTCAGTGCTACTTCTCTCATTTGCCTACCTCTACAACAACTTTTGGGGCATATGCAAGTCGCAACACAGCCCACTTACCAATGTACCTATTCTTTTCTTTCCTCTCCCACTTCTTCCCCTAAGAACCTAGGGACAACCTAAGGGCTCCCAAACCTGGGCTCCTCTTTTGCCGCGCATGACCAGGGGTGTGTCTTCGGCCGTGGTATCGGTGGATTATTCCTGATGCCTGCCCTTCTCTACTCCCCATCTGTCCCTCTGGCCCTCCTGCCCCGTCTGCGCTTCTCCTCTGCTAGGCCACCCAGGCCCTGCCCTGTGCCCTGCGTGCCTCGCCTGCGGATGCTACATCTGCGTAAAGGTGGTGGTTCCTAATGCAAGACAGTGGGCCACCATGAGAAACCAGACCTGCTCGAATGTCCATCCCATCCCATTACCAGCTAGGTATGCTCCGAGCCATTGGAGAGGCCGAGCAAGGGAAAGGGCGAAAAAAATAAAAGAGGACGGCCTATTCCTCAGCGATGTTAAGTAAGTTGCATGGGTAAGATACCGTAAAGAGACACAGCGCGCACCGAGACGGATTGCTATAACACATCCCCACCACCCGCGGCAACACGAGTTTCTTACCCTCCTCTTTCTTCTTCACGAGATACTCGTCCACCGTTCTCTTCTTCTTATTTGCGGTTGTAGGCGTACACGCTAATTCCCAGTCATTGGGAACGCCTAGCTCCGGTTGCCGTCTTTTTTATTATTATTCGTCTTTCCCATCTGACTGGCCCCCCTCTCTTTCGCAAGCGCTCTCCACCGCCTTTACAAATATTCCTTGTCACTTTTCCTCTGTCTTGGAAAAAAAAAGTGTTGCCCTAAAACTACCTCTTATACAATGCCCCCACAACTACTGCCGGCCTCGGCTGCCGCCTTTGCGCCGCGAGCTTCCTCCGTTAATGTTGTCTTGGGTTCTAAGGTCGAGCCGTGGTTAACGCAGACGCTGAAGCGCATCAACAGAGTCAAGAGGCCGCTTAACAGCATACCCCAGCACCAAAGATGTCTGACCGAGACACTGTCGTCGCCAAACGCCATCTGGACTCTAACGTCGTTGATGTTGCCCAAGGCTCCCGAGTCCGAGTTGCGCAAGGATTCTAACCCGTTGATAGAGGCCCTCTTCAACTACCAGCTCATACATATCGAGGCTTATATCGTCCATGTCGATATGGTTCTACGTAATGAGGTCGCATATAAGTTGACACCCGACTCGATAGAATCTCTCATCGTGTATCACAAGGAAATTTACTGTGTCAACGCCAAGGCCGATACTTACGACTGGCCCGAGAAGGAACAGCACGCCAAAAAGTTACACGAAGACTTTGTCCAAGCGATCAATAAATTCGTCTTTAGAACACATGTTTCTGCCCTCGAGGGTCTGGAAGAGGAGGGAGCTGGAGAGTTGCTTTGTGGGAAAAGCGAAGAGGTCAAGAACAACATCATGGGATTGTTGAATAAGCCCCTGCTTCCGCCGCCGCCGAAGATCGTTGACGTTGTCCGGCAACCGCCATTATTGCCAAGTTCGCCAGTGGGTGCTGGCATTTGGTCGCAACCTACTCACTCGCCTGCAGTACCCGCTCCGGTTGACCCATGGCGGGTGCTACCTTCAAGCCCCAGCGTCACATCTACTTCCGTAGACTCGAACACGCCAATATGGGCAAACATGGCCTTACATGAGATCCAAGTACCATCGAGCATGCCGTATAGCCAGCCATACACTACGGCCGAAATGTTCTACAGCTCACCGATGGTGACATCTTCAATTCCTGCGCTACCACTTCCAAGCATGTTGGCGTCGCAATGTGGCGTGGGTGCTGGGTACGGGGGATTCGGCTGGGATCGATATCAAGAGTATACGACGACCATATGACAACCACCGTCCACCACGGGGGATCACTACCCAGTGGTCACGACCTCCTAATATGTGTTCTCAACTCAGATGGCGATTTCAGTTCCTCTTTACCCTATTCCAACAAGGCATCCACGGCATAGATCTCATCACACCAAGGCATACCGGCGTTTTGCATCGATCAGGAGCGAATCCTCGACCTTTTGGCATAAATAATAATCTTGGAAACTTTCCTTTATTTTGTTTATATTTAGCAAGCGAGCGTCTGATTTTTCTAGGGAAGGCTTTCCCATTGTTACAACCGTTAGCTCGGTCATAAGCTACATTTCTTTTTCTACTCATCATGGCTGGGACTGGGTGGGTTTCTGATTGCATTTACAAGTAGGGCAGGACCTCGAGATATATGAGGTCGGATTTTCCTTTATACGTTTAAAATAAGAGGTACACGCAGCAATGCACCCGATCATCGCCCGGCAAGAACCAGGACAGGACAAGTGGATTTTTGGATAACCACATTTTTCTTTCCCTCGTTTTACGGCATAATGTGGCTTTCTTAGAAAAGGATACCCCAACCGCGACACTTCGGACGATGAATTCGATTCACCAGTCCGCGCACTCGCTTCATGGAATTTTATTTCTTCTTCCCGGGCTTCGGTTTCATGTGTTACGACGGAATGAACGACCTAATAACGGATATTTCCACGAGCTTAATGACGACTTGGTACGACGAGAAGGACTGTACTCAACTCGATGTTGACCCTTATCCTCGATGCAAGAAATTCCATCAAGCAACAACGGATTATTCGAAACAAGGGATGCGGGGGACAGGGTCCCATAACCGCATTTCCCCGTGGTCGATTCTATACGCTTCGCACAGAAACCGTCATGAAAGCAGATTATTTGAAATGCTGCTATCAGGAGGCAGACACTGGTTGTCAATTTGCCAAGGCCTTTTGTGAGTTCCGCGATTCGAGCCGTGGCAAGATCGGCGACAATCCGGAAACGCAATAATTGGGACTTGAAGCGAGAGGGGGAAGATCTTACGATCACACAAAAGAAGCTGGGCATAATTGGAATTTCCTGCTGAGCAGGAAAATGCGGAGCCCTTTACTTGCCGTCATTTACCCACACATTTCTAGACTCGTCAGCTCACACCCCAAAACCAAATCTCTGCCCTCGGAGGCATGACTAAGTGCCGCGTCAAGTTGGATGCTAGATGCGGCCGCTCTACCAAAATAGGGTAGGCAGGCTTAATCGTCAAATATGCAGGCGGCCGCAGCAGCCGATGAAGGGGGCTGGGTGGTTTTCTCATGGGGTAAAGGGCTAGAAATGATGTGCGGTAAATCGTAGCACCATCTCACTACATCCGGATCCTCCCGGCTGCGAACCAAAAATTCCCCCGGGCAGAGTGAAGGTGAGCCAGACAAGGATACATTGCTGCGCATGTGTCTACCAAATGGCATGAGATGCTGGATTATGGTGTAATGTCGGTGGCTGCCCTGGAGGCAATAATTGAACACCGCCGATATTGTCAAACAAGAAAAAAAAATCCCCCCTGCATTGTTTAGTTTGAAATCATATATAGTACCTAGTTAATTGAACATGATTAAGTTCATAGAAGCATGTGCCCTATTGTCTCTTAAGGAATTACGTGCCGTTAGGTTCCAACGCATTGGGGCCCGCATGAATAAGAAAAGGAAACGTAACACTGTTACATGCGTTATGTCGTTCAACTCGGCCGTTGGAAAGTTATCGACTTTCCTTTTCGGTCGCATAGTCCGTCGTAATACACAAAAAAGAAAGTAGTAAGCTCTTTCTAGCCTGCGAAATACGCGCCACCGCCAACAATGGAGCAAAAACATAACAAAATCAGTTACTTATTTTTTCTTTTTCTTTTTCGCGACGGTACACAGCATATCACGCGACGGGCGCAATCTGCCCGGAGATAGGGGGTGTGAGACTTATGCCGAGTTGCGAATTCAGATTTCGAGTAACACCGGAACGAAGCCTGGAAAAAGCAGAGCCGACATGAACTGCAGTAGATCAATTCATGGTCGATGTTGGTTCTATCGCTACGTCGGGTAACACTGCTATTCGAATCCACTCTCGGTCTACGATTTTTCTTTTACATATAACTAACTTACGGGCCTACTACCTAGGTCCCGCCGTAATTAATACGTCTAGCTAAGTAGTATACGATGGATATGTTAGGTAGGTAGGAAGGTAAATACGTAGGATATATAATATCCCCGGTCCCCGGTATCGTAATGCGTGCTAGTAAGGTCCCATAGAGCGGCACAAATCTCTCATCTGCCGTAAGGCCCGGGGCTGTTGTAGATCGCAGTTATCCTCATCTAACGGAATAGGTAGGTACCAATGTATGTTCTTTTTGATTACCTAGGGTTAATGTGGGGGATCTTCAGGACCCAGGCTTTACATGTATGGAATGTATCGACGTAGATACCTACCTAACTGTATACGGTTATGTACGTATACGGCGTGGCTGTCACGTTTTCTGAAAGGTTCGGTGGTACTTACATGTGCTTTTGCTTACTGCGCCACACGGGTTTTTTGAGGGATTGGTAAAGTACATAGGCCCGAACCTCGGTAATATGGCTGACTTTTAGAATCTTCAGCCTTAATTTGAGGTTGGTTTGGGCCGTATTGTGAAACAAGCGCCCAAACATGCTCAATGCCAAGACCATTCGTAAGAAACGGATATGATATTATACATCAGGTACCGACCTGCCTAGTATATTTATTAACGTGCATGCGAATGCATGTAGGGCTGCGGCGGAAAGTGACCAACAAGACTACCTTGGCCGTATACGAAATGAAGAACCGGCCGGCTAGCTAAGGTTTCTAGATGCTTCACCGTCGTGCGGTGTGGTCCTGCGGTACGACGCTACGCCGTCAGATTGGAATAAAGGGGAAGGATGGCGTTGGAGAATAATTGATCAAGTAGAGATACCTAATGGTAGTATATGCACAATGTCAGATATTCCATCTTCGTCTACTCCTTCTAATCTTCTTTTCATTAAGTTCCCATTACCATAATTTTCCCACTTCTGTTGTGTAATCTATATGATGGAGTGTTAAGCTAAGCGCAAGGTGTGTGGGATGTTAGGTGTGGGTGTGTGCATGTCATCCTATGCGCGAACATAGGTAGTATAGGGGAGTCCGGAGTTATTTGGAAATCTTATGACATTTATCGCGTTATTTGCGCATGTCGCTTACAATCAATGATTCATCCGCTTCCTTTAGGTGCTGACCACTTACCATACCTAAGACGCATTCCATTGCATGTGCATGAGGCATATCGCAAGGTGTTATTACAGCCTTATGACACTGCTTCTTTTTGGGGGCATGAGGAGATTGATCACAGCCTGTTGGTGCGGCTGAGTTTCAACCCTCCCATCCCAGATGTTTTTTTTTTCCTTATTTCCCTTGTTACTCCCACTGCCAAAGCCAGTCAGCTATCGGGGTTCACATAACTCCTTTTAGCTAGCTCATATGTATTAGCCAGCTAGGACTATACTCATCAATTGTCATTGGTTACCGTACGAACAATAAGAAAACGCAGCGTAGTAATTGCAGTTTAGAGAGGGTGGTACGAGTGTGAGAATAGACTTAGAGTTAAGGGGCCTTAAAGTTTCCCAATATGCCAGAAATAGCAATGCGGGAGCACCCGAAAAGCATAATCCACCCGTGCCGTTCCTTTCTCCAGACTTCCCGAAAACTCTAATCGCCGCCGTTTATTTCCCCTTTTACTCGTGAAATATTGCTTCAGATTTGGGGGCTAGAAGATCCGATCTAGCTGTGTGTATTATTTACTAGGTATCTAATGACGTATGGCTATGCCTGCAGGCTCTAAGTAAATATTTGGGAGGGGCGCATTTGGGGGCGATGCTGTAGGTACTCTCCGCATGCCAAGCCCCTATCACTTCGAGATACACATGTAAACTCTTGCAAAGTTCCGTGTCCACAGGGCAGCTGTCGCATTTTTTCTCGGTACTTACCATATTATTTTCGCAAAATGCAGAGTGTTAGGTAGCACCGCTGTTCGTGTCGTATTAGGATGGTGTAGCAATAACGAAGAGGAAGATCCAACATAAACAATGTCAAAAATACATAAAAGGCTATACGACTCATCATCTTTTCCAAGACCGTACCACTCGTTGAGCAGCAAACAGGTGTTCCCGGACAAATTGTCTCGGCAGGCGCAAGTTTCAATGAAGGTCACTGTACCATTTAGGCAATATAATCAATTTATCTGCAAATACAGCCTTACTTACCGAGAGATACGCTGACTGTCGCATCATATGCAGAGTTTAAATGACGGCTATGGCCTTCATCGACTGACAGCTGAAAGTACGATTTGGTCTGCAACTATTTCAATAAACAATCACCAACAATCGCAGCGGTCAGAAGCCGGCTTTTGACACCCAATCTGGCCTGCTAGTACTGGAAAAGGGACATACTCCGGACACCATTACGGAGCTGCCGATGTGTGTGTATAACGTCAATGCAAGCCTCCACTTCCCCATCTACCCCCTTCTTTGTGCGCCCATCAGCTTACTCAGATTTACCGACCGACGCGCGTTTGTTTCAACTGACTAGGTTGCGTAGATATCGGCATATAGGAACACAACAGCCCTATTATCCTCAAATGATGTTGCGACCGCCTACATCGGTCGCGTGCATGGGGGAGGTAGTGCGAGATCCCATTATACGGACGAATGAGGAATTTCAGCTCGCCTTGGCTCTAATAACGTATAGAAAATATTATGCAATATTATCAGCCCTATAGGATCCGTATTCGAGCCTTGTTACGATCCTTCTGCTAGTAGGGGTCAGCGGGTGAGGAATTACTACCTAGCTATTCGAACCCTCATCCTCGCGGCATAGCTACCAAAGTATAGACTCTAAACACATGCCAATGGCACCTAAAGGGAAACAGGAAGAGCGGTTGATTGGTTCGCATACGTTTCAAGGGTAATAGTATACTAAGCGTAATCCTATACATTCCATAAGCTTAGGCCTCAATCATCTTCCTAGTCCATGTAAAACACGTACATATTAAGAATACGCTCCAAAACGCCACGTTGAGTTGCATCTCTTCGTAGCTCCTTACTTTCTGACGACATGGAATCTCGTTGGTCAAACTGGGGATGTGTAGTAACATCGTAAAAAATTCTTAAAAAATTTTTCAGTCAGGAAGGATGGTGGGTGCTCGTTTGGCGCGCTGTTGGAAATTCGCAATCCCCTGTAAAGGACAGCCACTTCGCTAAGAGGCGCCGAACCGACGTCACTTTTTCAAGTCACGCGAGATACCTCGAGCGATCCAATCTGCAATAGCCATAATCGTAACCATAGGATTGGCACCGCTTGCAGATGGAAAGACACTGGCATCGGCCACGTACAGGCCTTGTGTTCCCCATACCTCACCCTTAGCGTCCACGACACCATCGGACGGGCGCGCACTCATGCGGCACGTACCCATTTGATGTGCTGAAGCGAAAGAAGCATCTGGGAATTGAATCCCTGTCTTTTGAAGCTTCTTTATCCATGCGACGAACTCTGGGTCATTGATACCTTGGTCAATATCGATGTTTTCTGACCCTGTTGTCGCTGTGCCGTTTGCAGTCTTAGGTTGACGCACGAACGAGGGGAGACTTTGAATGAACGGCCAAATTTCGGTCGCGCCTTCAATATAGCATATTTTCGCGAGCGCGATGATGCCAGCTAATATGTGTTTCCGGTCGAATGCCGATGGATGATAATCAATGATGGGTCGCCCGTCGTCCGGATCCGGATATACACGGCCAGTGTCACGATCACGGGTAAGAGAAAGGTAACTATTCATCTGCCGGCAGCGAAGAGCATCAGTTTTCCACTGGAGAGCGTTTCGCCACGGATGTTCGTATAAGAACATAAATGGCTAGGTTGAAAAAATTCATGTGAGCAAACACCATTAATTCAGAAGATAGAGGCTTCCTTACATTCATATTAGTGGGCATGAGTTTTGGACCATGTCCTTTTCCATCAAGGTTTTCGAAATTTGTGCAGATGCCCGTCAATATGCTACCTAAATATGCATCATGGTTAACACATCATCGTACTGCTCCTGTGTGTGTGGTTTTGATATACTCACCTTCCCAACCTTTAACATCCTCGTCAAATGAAGCGTTGAGTTGAGATACCGGATGCATGTGGAGATTCCTGCCAATATGGTGGTTCTTTCAAGTTAGTGTACAGAGCACCGGAACCTCTTTTGGGGACATCTCACCTTTAGTCCACTCCTCATCAATACTAACGGGCTATTAACCGTGCCACAGGCTATGATTACTTTTTTCGCCTTTATTTGAAGTTTCCTCTGGATCCTATCGGATTCGGGGGCGTGAAGACTTCCGTCTTTACTCCGCGATGTCCATGTTCCTATGATTCCAGTTGCTTGCTTGGGCCCTCGAGCCTCTTTGAAAAGGACCTTGGAGGCGTCAAAACCTTCAATGAAGTTGGCGCCCGCCTTTGCTGCTGCAGGAAGCCAGCTCACGGCAGGGCCCTGCTTTTCACCAGCTCCACAACCGCTTCCACAACGACCACAGTAATGCTCGGCTCCTCCAGTATTCTGAGGGCACGTTTTGGCCGCATATCCTAGTTTCCTTGATCCGCCAAGGATAAGTTTGGACCCATGGTTGTGCCGTATATGAGCATCGCTAACACCCACTGCAGTTGTCACAGTTAGTTGTCATTCACCTAACCACGCGCATGATATATCTAGCGCAAATAGAGAACGCTTACTAAATTCACAAACTCGATCCAAGCAGTTCTGGAACTCTTGCGTAGTGAATAAGCCGAGTCCTTCATCTGCCCATTCTTGCCGAACGTACCCCTGAAGTTGAAGGCTACAACTCCAATTCACAGTTCCCCCTCCTCCCCAGCAGCTACTCACAAACACGATTATCGAACCATCTGCGCTCTGAATTGACCCGTTTCCATCGAAGAGATACTGGTTAGCAGCTTCGGATGTCATCGGTAAATGCGAAGTTGGAAAATGGTAACCCTTGTCGACGACAATGACTCTATGCCCCGCCTCGGCGAGAGCTTTGGCGCATACACCTCCACCACAGCCTGACCCAACAACTACAACGTCTGTTTCCACTGTTTCCAGCTCATCTCCCGCCTCAAATTGCATAAAGTCGAAGTCGAAAGAGGGGCCGGGTCGGTAGTCCTCAGGGGAGTCTTTGAAATCGATGAGTTTGTGAAATAGGGGATTCGTCGTCGCATAGCCCACCCTACCCACCAAAAGGACAGCCTTTTTCAAACTTGGCCATACGTTAATCCACGATTTCCCCCATGATTGAATCACGGCTTCTCTGATGTGGACTGGTTGCTCATGTAAGAGAGTGAATTGACCTGACGCCGCTAGGCTGCCTAACCGAGTTCTTGTCAAACCGTTAGTTGCGAAGCGTCTACTACGGGTGAAGACAGTGCCTCACGATATGATATTTAAGATAACACCCAGTTTCTTACGATCGGTATTCGAAACCTCTTGAACGTTACGTTTGACTAGTTGTACAAAGCGTGGGTTGTCTATCGAGCGGGCTTCGAGGTACTGTTGGAAATCCTCATAGTCCGGAGGGTGTATCATACATTTCATAGTCTTTTCATGCGCTTCCTTATATTGAGAATCAGGGATGCTTAGTTGGGTTTTCCGATCCGTCACCCTCGACTCAGCAACAATTGACGGTACGATGGCGTCAATCAACGCGAATAAGACCTTCCATTGCGTCTCCGAAAAGTAAGTATCGGGCTTAAGCTCAGGAAGCTGGGTAGCGATGGGAGCTGCGAGATGATGCGTGACGGCCATTAGTACCTAGTGAGGGGCAGCTGAAAACGCCTAGTTGAAAGGGGGAAGAAAACCTGGAGAACCGGAGCCTTAGCTACGATCGAACTACGACCTACTAAATACCCCCCACGAACGCATCATTATTCTTTCACATGCGACGTCTACGGCTTATTTCCAAGTTTAGACTCGCGTGGCCTAGAGGGGTTACCGAGGAACTAGATACGAAATAACCATATATTTAAGCATGTCTCAATGGTAGATCTTCAGCGGAAGCGTTGTTGGTTAGATCGTGCTAGCCTAATATGGAGTTTCCTTTTGGATGTTGGTTCTGATTTAGTTACTTTTTCGGCCTTTAGCCACTACCGTCCTGTTGTTATTTGAGTTGCCTAATGAGAAAAGCCAGCTTTATCGCCTTAGGCACGGCTATGGGTCAAGGGGGCTCCACATTGGGTAGCTTATTTGTGGCTTGTAGACGATACGATGAAGATTTCGACAGCAGTATCCCCAGATCATGGTGAACTATGGATCATGGGTATTATTGGGAGGAACTGCAAGTTGAATGGGAAAATAGCTGAAAGGCGTTCCTGATACGTCATTAGCTATGGTACCATTTTACGTGCCCATGTATCTGGGCTGATGGGCGTAACCCTACCATACCCATTTTCTTCAGCGACAGAGAAATCTTACGATATATACGATCTTTACTCAATGCACTTGAAAGGAGTATGATGATTACACTCGGTGTTTACTGAAGATATCAGGCAACTTGTCTGCACAGTATGTGGGTAGTACTGTTGATGAGACTGACAATCCTCTAAAAAATATGGGCTGTCAGCCATTTCATATACGAATCGGCCGCCTGGTCGTCGAATGACCATTGATAATACATCGACGACCAAATTGGTGGTTTCGATGTTAACTACAAGTTACAGCGCTAAATATTACAGTGTGATGCGTGGATTACCTAACACGGATTCAAAATGCAGTCTAATGCGGAGTTCCGAGGTCGAGGTTGAATCTTGCTGCCCCGCGGGGTAGGAGACGGTGTCTCGGGTATGGGTGCGGTACCTACCTAATCTCAAGCCCCTTACCTAGATAGGTATGTGTAGCAAATATCGAAGGCGTCATGCGACCACTACAAAAATGCACCTTCTCCTGCGATTCGGCAAGGTCGGGGGTGCGATCTGCAATAAAGGTTGCAGCCGAATAAGCCGATCAAGATTTCTGATAATTAGGAACTTGAGACTGAAATCTTCCATTAGCTAAGAAACTACCATTCTTACAATCATTTCAAGGCGATTCGGTTTGTAGCAAGTGTCACAGTTTAAGAAGTAATAACAGAGCTGAGTTATAAATTATACACACACCGTGTAGTTACTAGGAAAAAGTAATACCTATACAGCTACAAGTCTTCCCGTGTTCCGGATTTGTTGGGAGAGGGGTAATATATCGCGCCACATTTAAGCGGTTTAGTAACGCCTTGTCGTTATTGTAAAAGAAAGGAGGAAGGGAGAAGAAGGAAAAAAAAAAAAAGTGTCCTTCGGACTACCACTCTGCAATGCAAGATAATTCAAAATGGATTCCAGGTTGCAATATGAATCCCGAAATTCTCTTATGTGGTAAGCCCCTTTGTGATCGTACATAATTTATGCATGGGAGACATAAAATAGATGCGTTGCATGTTAACCTAGGAATGACTTCAAGTGTATACAGATAAAGGTCAGGCAGACCGCCTCGGATCCCCAGGCTGCACGAATAGGGTGTACCCCACCCACCTGAGCTGGACCCTGAAAAGAAAAAGAAAACTATTAGCTGATAGGTGGCAATTGAGCTAATACATGCAGAACAGAACATTTTGTTGGGATATGGATCTTGGAAACACAAATGTTGATTGTTTGTCGGATGATGCAACATAGCTCAGTACTAGATATGTCATACTATAGCCGACAATCGAACGACCTTCCATTATGGAAGTTGATCATAAGGTCGAAGGTCTCACCATTTCGAGATCTCTTGTTTATATAAGACACTGCTTACTATTGTAGTCAACAGATATTAAAGGATATATAATAGACAAGGACTGTCAAACCTAGCAGATGAAAATTATAGAGAAAAAAATGTTTAAATTCCTACGTTCCTATGTGTCGCAATATTTTTCCCTGATCGTGGGGTGGATTTTGCATCACGACCCCGTCACATCCTACCGGTTTCAAAGATCTGCACTGCACTGCCAAACCGCACTACTGGATCTAGACAACTTTTAACACGTCTGTCAAGAACATTCTAGGTTCGAAGGCTATCGTGGAGTCTAGATTATCGTGCCGAGCTACATGTAGTTTCGCCCGGGGCGTTAGCTTCTTGGGCCTACATGTCATCGCATCTAGGTAGCTGTCGGGCTCTAAAGCCGCTTTTCGCACAGCCATTTTTTGCATTCCAATCGTCGGGGACCTCGGAGGTCCACCAGATCGAACACAGGTATAAACCTTCCTCGGCATATCACCTAGGTAGTTGGTATGGTCCGTATCTTTATCGAGTCCGAAAGGGAATGGGTTGATGTTGAGAAATTAAATGTGGTATTATCTTTGGGGCTGCGCAATTGATGTAAGTATTGTCTCAAGTATTGTTTCAATTGATGTGATCCTTTATAGGAAAAACTTGCTTTAGCGACGCCGACCAAGTACCTCTTAGGGATATATCTGTCCATCCCTTACGACCGATCAACATATCATAGCCTACCTATTGTATGAGGTATTATTCCATATCATACATAAGTACATAGGTAGAATGCTTATGGACCCATCGGCGCTCGAATTGAGTTTGAAAATTCCATGCTACTGCCAGCATTTTATTCCTGATTTGGTAGTGTCGCACATAAACTAGCCAATGGGGTCAAAAGGAACTAAGATCGTTCCTTCAACTGTTGGGCTCCGTGGTACCTGGAAGACGGCAAGGTAGGGGGGCCCCCGATAGCATTGCCGGCGTGTTATTGGCCCCCAAGTCCCAACCCAGCTCCCTAGCGCATGGCAAGGGTCCATTATACCGCGGTTCCAGTGCTGCAGGCACCATTGCAGCTAATTAATCCATGTCTTATTTCTTTTGATTTTTTTTCTCCCTCGTGAAATATCAGTGACCGCACAAATATCTGATCATATCGAGAAGGAAAAAATAATCCCCTTCGTCACATTCTTTTTTTTCCCTCGATGTGATCATCTTCTGTGAAACCCAAAGTTGCGATATACCCGTCCGATGTCTTCATAGGCTGCTCGAATACTCGTTCATCTATCCTTGTTCTTCCCCACGGATTGTGTGCATATATCGCAATCTGTCGCGTGCGCCATCTTTACTGCTTCCACGCCGTTTCTCACGTCTTTTTATAACGACGAAACTCAGGATCCGGCTTCCAGACTTATTCCCGTTGATATAAAAGATACATATTAACCATGGCTTTGCCAATGGTCTTCATCTCGCCTCCGGCATCATCCCTTTTCCAATTCCCGCCGCATTCCGAACCCCAGACCATACCCCCTCCACACTTCGAATTCCCCTTCACTATTCCCGATGGTCTTTACGTCAGGGCATTGGACCCCAAGGTCCCAATCACCATTGCTGCCATTTACGCAGTCACAGCCAAGGCTCTGAATGTGTACAACAGGTCTACCGACAGGAGACCTTGGGCCATCAGCAAAACTAAGGCATTCCACGCCTTTGTTGTGTTACACAATGTCTTCCTCGCCGTGTATTCCGCGTGGACGTGGTTCGGCATGCTCAACGCCCTCCGGAATACGATTGTGGGCCCGGCCGGACCCGAGGGTTGGGCCGGTACAGTCGATAGCTTTTGCAAATTCCACGGACCTCCCGGTCTAGGTAACGCAATTAGCTACAGCCAAAGCCAAGGAACTTGGGAGTCGATAACAGGCACCCCTTCCTTGACATCCGAAGGCTCCCCAAGCCGTGCCGATACCGGACGACTATGGAACGAAGGTCTCGCTTTCTATGGTTGGCTCTTCTACGTCAGCAAGTTTTACGAGGTTATCGACACACTTATCATCCTTGCTAAGGGCAAGTTCAGCTCCACGCTTCAAACCTATCACCATGCTGGCGCTATGATGGCTATGTGGGCTGGTATGCGATATATGGCGACACCTATTTGGATTTTCGTTTTCTTTAACTCGGCTATCCACGCTCTTATGGTAAGTCCTAACCACGCAGTTAGTAAAATGTGTCAGCTTTTGCTAATTCTAAGAAAAGTACACCTACTTCACCGTCACCGCCTTCAACATCCGCGTACCCACAATAATCAAGCGCTCTCTCACCTCGCTCCAAATCTCCCAATTCATCATCGGCGCATCCTGCGCCATGATCCACTCCTTTATCTCCTACTTAGTACCAATCCAAGTCAAAGTCTCCCCCGCCGAGGCCACCGCCGCCGTCTCCGCTGCCGCAAGTGCCTCCCCCCTTGCCACAAATTTCTTCGACAGCTTCAAGCAAGTCGTATTCGGTGCAGCAGAAGCCGCCGGCATGGCCGCCGTAGTATCCTCACCAAACACCATCTCCACGCAACCAGGCGCAAGCTACATCACGCGGTATCAGAAGGTAGACTGCATAACCACGTCCGGCGCCACCTTCGCCATCTGGCTGAACGTCATTTACCTCGCCCCTCTCACCTACCTCTTTGTATCGTTCTTTATTGCAAGCTACCTCCGTCGTAGCAAGGCCGAGGTCGTGCGTGCTAAGAGTAACCCCGACCGACGCAGGAGCAACGTCATGTTGGCTGAGAAGGCAAGTTGGGATGCCGCGAAGGGTATTGAGCGGGAAGTTTATGGTGAGAGCAAGGACGGTGCTACTGTAATTGAGGATAGTGACGACTCGAGTAACAACGACAGGCTCCACCCGTCATCGGCTGCCCGGGTTAACGGCCATGTGAACGGGAAGGCGAACGGAAAGAAGCATTAAGAGTGAACGCGACAGGAGCGTTCTACGGAACTGACGAGTTGAAGTCGAGTTTGAAGTCGCGACGCGACTATTAATATACTATCTACAACAAGGTAGATAGATCACAGCGACTAACGCCGTTTTAATTAGATGTTCTTCGGAGTTTGAGAAGGAAAATGGGATCAAACGAATTGCATGGTTGCTATGAGGGGGGGAAATAATGTGGGCGGCCATGAGACAAAGCCCATAATGAGATTTTCTGGTGATGATTAAAGACACCATAGATGTTGTACATATTGCATTGCATGAGATGTGGACAATTCAGAGGTCCAGTAAGCATTTCCACAATCTTTTGTTCTTCTGACTCTGTGATCTCATATTACTTGCTGATTTTTGACGCAAGAATTTCCCCTGAGTTTCTGGTTCACTTCACATAGCCGATACATCGCTCCATCTCAGCATACCCCTTTCATGGCATCTTTCCCTCCTAGTATCCCTCCCTCGTCGCTACCCGTCGACCTGTACCTATCCGAGCCATCAAATTGCAAGGCAGCCAAAACTCATAGCAGTGATACCAGCCGTACCTCTTTCCATACTCATAAAATATGTCGCAAACGAAAGAGCCATAAGGAAAACTGGGAAACGACGACATTTAGGTAGGAGCCAGCGGCCACATATCGTTAATCGAGATCACGAAAGTGTTAGGGTAGATCACAACACATTGGAAAGATCAATAGTTTTTTGAACGGGAACTTTTCTCACTAACGATATACATTGAAAAGTATCGGTATGCCTATGGCTGGTCCCATGTGGCCCCTCTGACACGTTGCAATCCTTCTCGTCACTCCCCCGATGGATGGCCCTGCTCCGACCAGAGCTCCCTTATGTTGTATGCTGGATTTGGCAGCCTAGATTCGGTAGTACAGCGGAACGCTCGGCTTGTGCCATATTCACGGGCGGGGCACTATACCGCGTCCAAGCGCTCAAGATTCCGGCCTCGATCACCTCCACCGCCGATGCAGTCGCAGCTCTTCCTCTGCCAATTCTAGGCACAAATATCCACTCCACCGTCGACATTATTCACCACGAAGAGCGCCCAAAGATCATCAAGTGAGCCCGCAATGCAACCAGCCCAAAAATACGGCAGCACACGAGATCACCATCTTCTGCACTTCGGGCAATGGAGTCCTCCGGAAAGGCAACAGAACACACGAGAACACCCTCCTGGTCATCCAACCCCAATGTGCGTGTAATCTCTCTAACAAGGGCGCAAGCCAGGGGGGGGGCAAGTAATGGGAGGGGAACAAATGTTAGTAGACATGGTATGCCTATGGCTGGTACCAGTCGCCAATCGTGAACCCAGGAGGCTAGTGCGTGTATGTCTCTCTGCGGCAATGCTAGAGTGATCGTTGGTAAGACTTCGGTCACGGCTCGCGAACTATAGGCGCCTCCTTACTCTCAGTAGAGTCAAGGAACTCATATGTAGCGACTAGAGACAGTAGATACACCGGTCGCGGTGCTTCGGTGTTGCGGAGGTGGCATGGTGATGGGTGGGATTGAGGTAAGGGGGACGCGGGCGAATCCATAGTGTGTAGCATAGGCACGTAGCCTTCATTGCTCAGTGGGAGAGCGGGCGTGGGAGAGGGGGGAGTGTTCATGCTACTAGTAACTAGCTGTCGGCATTTCTGACTGACGACTCGGCCGTCGGTGCGCCTCCTTCACATTCCGAAATCCAATTTTCGTAGGTACCTGACGGCACCGTATTGGTATGCCTATGGCTGGTTTGGACCTCCGGAATGCGACGGATGCGGTAGATAGCCTTCCGAGATACTATGAACGCGAGTTGCCGCCCTTCGTCGCTATTTTACCGATTGAACTTCTTAATTGCATTAAGGACTAAGTCCCGCGGATGCGCCTGCTGTGGCTTGTGCGGGATGTACTGATGAACATGGTGAGTACTTGCTCTATAAGTTAAGGAGGTTCGGAGTATGTAGGATCTTACCTATTGTTGAACATCTAAGCTTCCTGGAACAAAGCAAACCGCAGACCACCTGGTGCTCCATGAAAATGAATGCTAAGACGTGAGAACTGGTGTAACAGGGCGGCAACTACCTGAAGAACCTTTATTGAACGCCCACATGCGCCGTATCGAGAAAAGCCACGTTATCCAGGGCGATGTGTTGAATCCGGAGCAGCGATACCGGCATGGAAGCTGACAGGAGCTCCAATGCTGATACGAGTAGTTGACGTGTCTGTTCAGTATGGTAACAGTTGCTAAGTAGGAAGTATTAGTGATGATTGGCGGTGCTGTTACAGATGGCGAAGAAGTCGCTAATAATGATGGACAATAAAAACACGACGACAACCCCAATATGCGGCAACAAGAAACCAGCACGACCGGTGCCATAGGCGGCAGGTCGACGGAATGGATAATAAAGAAAATAATTAACTCAAATAGGGCGATAAAACTGCAAGAGTCGACTAGGATGGCAGTTGTCATGAGGACATCAACCAAGGAAAGAAGGAATAAGATGACGAGATCGACGAAAATGACGGGATTGACGAAGACGACGATAAAGACGCAAAGAAGGGAACACGGACGGTTTAAGGACTGCGATAACGATAAAAAGAGAACATACAATGAATGTGAAGTGAGGAGACACCCATTGTGATGCTTCCTCCTTAGGGCCAGCACAGGCAGGAGTGGGAGAGTGTAGAGGGGAGGCAGAGGAGAGAAGTAGATGATAAAAAGGGAGAGATGTGAGAGTTGAGTGATGAGAAATCAGGGTCGCCATCTTCTTTTTATATAGTTCCCATGTAGGCGGTGAACGATAAAACGATAAAACGAATGGCAGAATCCTTGAGAAGGAAAGAAGGACACCGGATACTGGCGTCAAACGTTCTAGGGAAGGGGAAATTTGCTCAGGGGCTAGGGAATGCCTAATCTATGAGGGAATAATGTTGATAAAGAGATGAGGAGGAAGGAGGACTCGTATATTCGAGTCTATGGGAGGAAAATATGCACACCTAGGTAAGTACAATGCTGGGCGACTACCCAAGGAGCTGGGTAGCTAGGCAACTAGGCAGGTAGATAGTAGCTAGGTGGGCGAGGGAGCGACCGAGCAAGAAGGCAGGCAGACAGGCAAGTACCTACATAGATAGGGGCGTAGGCAGGCACGAGGCTTAGCTACTTAGGTAGATGACACAGTAGGTGGGAGTAAAGTAGACCGCTGTCTGTGTTGGGAATAGCGAACGCTCGTACCATCTACCTGGGTAATTGCCATGAATGCCATAACCACCGCTTATAATGTACGATTATTCGTCTCTGCTAGGCGATTCCTTATCGCAACCGAATAACAGTTTCGTAATCACGTACCTTTTACCTAAGATGATAAACGTATATGTCTCAATTATCCATATATGTGTATGTATCACCCCTTTATCACCACGTACCTGGGTAGGTGGGTACTTCATTCAGCACCACCGTTTGCTAAGCCTTGAAATGAACAAGACTCGTGAAGATAAACACTGAATAACCCATAGACTAAATGTAATAAAACATAGCTTCTTAATTGTATATGATTATGCAGCCACTCTAATCTCGTAAGTATTTTCACGAAGTGGTGGTTAGTTTAGCAGCACCCCCTTAACCATGGCCATATTAAATTTTAGGTACCTTTTCTAGTAGTACACGCAATTAGAACCGACATACATTATTGAAAGCATAGCTAAGTCTATTCAACCACACAATATTCGACAGTGAAAGGCCAACCTACAATCAATAGATCCAACGCCAGGACTTCGCAGAGCATTGCTTATGTATACCTAGATAAAGAATACAAACCATACAACTTACAAATTGCAAATATAGGAGGACCAACCCCCATAAGTCGACTTACGTGATTGGGGAATAGGAGTAGGAAGGGACGAGTTTCACACTCCGAAGGCATCTATTGCTAACACTCAAGGTAGTTTCTATAATCTATGTGAAGCTCTATTGTCTATTGTAAAGGTAGGATGGTATTTATACAGTTCTAACAAGCGAGCGGCCATTCTTTCGCAATACCTAAGGGGCAAGACAGTATATGGGGTAACTAGGTATGGATCGACAACACATCCTAAGTTTACATCAATATAAACATTGACACTAAAGAAAATCGAATGTCTTCCATCAGAAGCAGTCAGCTTAACATCTTCATAACTACACCAATTGCTGCCAAGTGACTTGATTGTCAGAAAGGGGGAAGAGAGAACCGAATTATCGACTATTAACATACTACAGATATCGATGACCTGCGCGAAATTTTCTAGCGAGATGTCCAAAGAACACAAATTCAAGGAGTGAACGACGCTTAGCCACCCCTTTATTACATGCACAAAATCATATGATAACTACGATAATAGGGGTATAGCCGAAGGACGGCAAAACATGTATTATAGACCTTAGACTTTTGCCGCACTGACAGTACCTTAGGCTGTTACTAGAAATGGCTTTTGGTGAACTCGTTCCTCGATGTGGCGCCTCCATCTTACATCTCGGAAAGAGGCGCTTGATATTCGAAATGCGCCTCGTGCGGAGGTGGCTACAGGCGGCAGCAAGTGTGGCAACAATCTTAGACACTGTCAAACGGCACATCCTATTGCCCAAAAATCGATTTCTACGCCACCACAAATGATAATAAAAAGTCCATATCCAGCTAGTTGTGGCGAGTAATCACTACTGCGCCTTAGAGAGGCCCGAGAGTCTTGCCGAGATGTGATCCGGGCATCCGGCGCCGAAGTAGCCGATAATTAAAAGTAGAATTGATTGTGAGGTTGCACAAAAATCTGCCGATTATTGTTTGTGGGGATGAGCAGACAGCATTAGTACAACACGAATTCCTGGTTCAGAAAACTACCTACATAGGCAGGGAGAATGTTGCTTCTACATTGTCGCGTGCATGTGCAGGTCGTATGGACGCTTGGTAACCAAGAAAGTTAAGATTTCGGGTGGAGACAAAGTAGATGGACAGATTGATGCATTGGGATGCTGAGTTTATTCCACGGTTACTGCCGGTTCCACTGACTTGGTTGGCTTGCCCTTAGGTAGATACCTAGGTACTTTAAGTACTTAATGGAAGTAGATACAGGCTAGATCAGGTAGGCTAGAATCGGGCTTGCCGCTGTGGCCCTGATTGCCCAGAACGTCATAGTCTCGCCGAGCTAACCACATGCCATTACGTACTGCGCCGGCAGATCCAGGTTAGGTATGCCGCTAATAAGGTAAAGTTAGCTAGGTTCGAATCCACAAGACAGGGTTCGTTGGTTCGGTCAGTGCTGGGAAGAGCAATCGAGACCGTGAGATTGGCAGATAATCTTAGACAAAAGCTGCAAGTGCTTCCCCCGGTGTACATGCGACTAGGTAGTATAAAGTCGGCTAAAACCAGGTGACAACGGGTAGGAATCTTATCAGAAATGACGACGCTACCCAAGGTATGGTTCACCCTGGATCATAATATAGGTAAATCATCAGCAAAAAATATCAAATGTGATTAATCTACTCGGTGTGAAAACCTCCGTATCGTGAACGCCGTGCGACCAAACCAAATCACCCTAAGGTGTGACACACAAATAGTTTGTGTGTGTATGTGTGATCGAAACTCCCAAAACACCAGGGCTAAAAAAGAAAATATCCCTTTCTAATGCTCGTAAATGCACGCTCCGTAAACCCATCTATCCCCCAGAACACCATACTAATTCGCAAATGATACTTCCCCTTCCAATTGTATGCCCCCATCATCTCATCATCCCCTTTGAGGAAACTCGAAATCAAGAAAAAAAAAATAGTGCACTGAATTGGGTATCGTAGTTCGAAAAGAAATCCAACCATGATACCACCATGCTATGCATGGAACTCGCGCAAGTATAGACCTGGCCGTGTATATCCAGTTTATTCCAGGAACTTCTAGTCTATATAAATGTTGAACGTTCCATCATTGTGGGGGAGTCGCCGTCGTGATTAGATCTGTGATGTCGTATATCATAAATTAGGTGCATCGGAATCCTGTTGCTGAGATCGCATCGGGGGCTGATCTAGATGAACAGATACTGGTATTGGTCGGGGAAGAGCGCCCGGGTGGTTTAGGGTGAATGGATGAGTAAATGATAAAATTTGGTTTGCGTGCTTGAAGTCACTTAGAATGTGCTCCAATTCCAGTCTCGAGGGACACTCATGGCCATGTCCTGATGTTGGTTGTGTACCCCTTGAATTGCCGTCGGGGTTGAAGCAGTAGGGCTCACAGGTGCAGTTTGCGACTCTCTGGAATCTTCACTGGAAGCCTGGCTATTTGTCCGGCTGCGCCATGTCTTGAACTCCGAGAAACAATGGGAACAGGCTCGGCTAGGGGTGCCTCTTGGATTGTAGTTTGCGTCTTGGTCAAGAGGAACATCAAACGCGGAGTGCCAGTCGCAGAATATATTGCCACATTTCCGACAGTGGTGCCGCCGCGTCCAATAGTTGAAGTGGCGCATACACGAAGGTTCGTCGCAAATGGTAGAATCTGGGTCGGGCTAATTTTAACAAGTCAGCTGGGGTTCTTGTAATACCCATAAATACTGGAATGAAGTCATGCGCTGACGGTGACGTGCTGTGGTCGATAGGGCTGTACATCTAAGACAAAACGTGCAGATCTGAACTCACCTTCCAGTGTTGCCGCGTGGGTTGCGCCGTCGGCATAGGGAACATATCCAAATCCCATTCACCCTCTACCCACTTGCCGCTGTCACCTGTCGTGCGACGGCTTAAGCGACCCAACATACCTAATCCAGATAGGCTGATGAAGCTGTTGCTACACGACAGTTGACTCTCATCATCATGCGCTTCTACTTTACTTCCCGACATTTTCTTAGATGGGTGTTCGGTCGGTCGCAAAACGGCAGGCACGTAAAGAGGTCGTAATCGCTGGCGATGGTATGGCTTTGGGGATGTTGGCGAGCCATTATTGTTGGAAGTGCTCAAGGGCGAGATTTGCTGAGATTGGTAACCCTGGGACGGATAGGTTGGGGATTGCGACGGAGTAATTTGCGGTTGCGCTTGATAAGGGTAGAAATGCGCATGTGGCTGTTCATGTAGCCTAGGCATCATGAAATCGGTAGCCATCCTCCTCTAAACCTCTAAACACGGGCGCGGGAATAAGGGAAAGAAGTTGAGGATTATAGGGGAGGTAGGGGGGAGGTAGTAGGGTGGGTTTGTGTGTGTGTATGTGTGGATATGTGGGTGTAGGAGAGAAAACAAAGCCCGGGTTGCTATGTATAAGTAGGTATAGTGGTATAAGTCTGGGACTGGCGAATGTTGGGGCAGCGATAAGCGGCGTCAGCCGTCGCGCGACCAAATTATTGTGTAATAAGTATTGCTCAACCCAAACAAACCCTTAACAAATCCGGAACCATCCAAAAGCCACCCGGTATAAATAATTTTGTGAATCCCAGCACAGTTCTGAATTTCCTTTCGCCTGGCATAAATAAAAAATAGGTGTGTAAATACGAGTCGTAAAGGTAAGTTTAGTGAACGGGCGAGGGATATCGTCGGAAAGCTAATGACTTTGAATGGGGAGCACTTAGAAGGGCTCGACTTCAACTTTAAAAAAGTAGGTATCCTAGGGTAACTGATAAGTGTAAAGTGACTTGGACTTGAGTTTCAGTGGTTCAGTGGTTCCCGACGCTTGTGATAAGTCAGTCCAATCAGCCACAAATCAAGGGTCCAGGCTAAAAAGGATCGATGATAAGTGATAAGGTAGAAAAGATATCGATATTTATGTTCAACTCTTCTTAGGTCTGAGGAGTAATAAATATGAATACCGGATGCATTATGTAGGTTGAAGTCAGAGATATAATGGATAATAATGTAAGGGAGGATATGGATAGGGAAAAAATATCCATTACATAGAAGAGAGAACGGGAAGAGATACACGAAGGATGATAATAGCCCTCTCAGTCAAATACGTAGGTACTAATGTATCTTTCACTAAAAAAACCGCACTAAGAAAGAAGCTCCCCGACGCAATAGTTGACCGGCCGCGGTGGTACTTGGTGGCACTAAGGTGGATCGGAAGCCCCTCGATACATCAAGCGGCGTCCACTTACATAGTTATTGGCCCTTGTATGATTGGCCGATTTGAATTAGCTAAGTCTATCATTTTCAATTCATACTGTGTGCTCTTGCTTAATGCACATTGAGACATTTCCATCAATTGATCTTACCTACCCGCTCTTGAACTTCTCTTTTGTGTCTTTCAAGCCATTTCTCGAATTTTTTTTTCTTCCTTGCTACATTCCACCAACACGTGTTTCTTTTAACTCCTTCCATTTCTGTATTTTCATAGTAGTTACGGATAGAATAAGACTTGGATGTTATTTTTAAATACATAGCATTGTTGGTCAACACATTCCGATATCACTGACCAGAATCAATGCCTTACATAGAAGAGCTGCATAAAACCTGCGCTTCCCCCTCCAGCCCCTACAAGCTCCATGGGTCCTAGAGCCCCGATCCATCGCCTTGCACGCAGTATAGAAGGGAACAAAATGCGTCCCGCTGCTCGCCTGTCCTCTTACCCAATTTGTTCAAGGGTACTGGATACCGATCTTCGGCGGTTTAAATCCCGTCGACTTACGTCAGGTTCTTGCTTGGACCCTTCCAGCCCATCTTCTTGTTGCAGTCTCATCACGCATTTCTGGCACATTCCTCCGCAGCTAATAACGGAGGAGTTCTGTACCCAAGACCAACGACCGGAGAGACGACAAACTGAGCGATCATTTTCATCATCCTTCCCGCATCGAGATTAGATGGCCTCAAGCCCGATTCCCCTATATAGCTGCCTGTTATAGTTGACATACAGCAAAAAAATTCCGTCTTGTGATTTTTATGACAGACCGATGCACCAGCCATTCCTACACAAGTAAATTACGTTTTGCTACTACAATGAGCTACCTAGGTACGGAACAATATATTGCAATGCAACCGGCCACAACTCGTTGTAGATAAAGGTCCTACACCGTCACAACCGTCTATCCGACGATATGTCGACTGGGGACCCGAATCTCTATTATCATGACTTCACATTTCAGACTCGTCAATACTTGACTATGCGTTCTTTTTTTGCTGTCTCATAATCCATCCGGACGACGGCGGTGCAGATCTACTACATAATGTGATGTAAATTGTACCTAAACTCTTGGTGGCTCCACAGCAATCCGACCACCCTCACTTTTCCTCTGAAGCCAAGCCATCGTCGGCTCCAGGTAGAGAAGCCGGGTTGGAAATTAGTTTCAAGTGCCGCAGGATACGGATCTACAAATCGCCATGTTGATCTCATCACAATACATCATTGACTCTCAGATCTCACGATTCTAGAACGGAGACGTAACAAGGAGCCGAACGATGAACAACGTGAGAATAGTGTAAGTGTCGTCCCGGCGGGCACCCTTCAATATAATAGCTTTGTCTCTTTAGCGCGGCGATGGGGCGGCACAGTCCGGCACAGTGTTTGCGATGCTGCAGGTTTATCTTTGAGTCTTAGCTGATTGGAGGTTGGAATTCCACTAATGCCAGTGCGTCTACGAGCTCGGCCATTCAAAACGACGCTTTGGGTCCTTGTACGACCACTTTGGTTTGCAAGGATCCGGGGTTTACTTGACCGCCAAATTAATTAATGTATGGGAAGCGTCTGAGTGGCTGAACAACCTGACAATCTACATAGTACGGCAAGCTGTAGCTGACCATCCCTTTTCTCTTGACTTGCCTGTTGTTCATTCTCACGTGTCAATCCGGTCCACTACATTTAAAAAAAAAAATACTTGTACGAGTCCAACCCGTTTGCTACACACTACACAAGACATTGTACAGAATAAATTGACAGATAACTGATAATAGATGCGAGCTTCATAAGTTGACATCATACCTACAAAATAATATCTACGAATTTCCGTCACGTCGGGTATACACACGCACAGACGGATACCTCTGCCCAAAGGAGAAATTTGCGTAGGTAATTCACATCCCGCCCGATCGAGGAATATGCAAGATCTTGGAGATCAAAAAATATTTTCGATTCAATGTCCTGAGTCGTTCCCGTATGCAGTTGATTCCTTTGTACCTAAGTACTTACACACTATACACATACATATATGTACTTGGCTGTGTGCAGTTAGTGGGGGTACGTACAGGATCAGCTATATCAATACCCAAAAGAGACTCGGCTCCAAGTTCCGCACAGTGAGACCTCCAACAAATAAATAATAGTTGTGTAAGTGCCCCGCGGAACTTTGCATCTTGAAGAAAGAAAGGGGTCCTCAAAGCGGACCAAACCTCGCTTTTTGTTATCGCAGAGTCCTGATTGGTATGCTATTCAAGTTGTTACCCGGCTGGGCAAATTATGTAGTTCCAGCTCAGACCGGTAGGCCGGGCGGAGTCAGTCCCGACATCACGATTCAATATCCACAACCCAATCGTAGGAGGCATTACTCAGTCACCCAACCCTCATATGTCAAATTGTCGTTAAGTTATAGCCAGTGTCGTGTACTTATTAATGAGTCCGCCATAAAGAGAATACAATGTTTCCAGTTTTAGTATCGTAGCTATGGCTACCCCAAGGTCGACGGATCGAAAAAAAGAAAGGGGAAAAAAGAACATACATCGCAGAAAGTAGCACAATTAAACAATTTGGGGTCGTATAACCAAAAATAGATTCTCATTCTGTATCCGATGTCTGCACGCCATCAATCTACCGTCCACTTTTGCCGCCCTCTTTTAGAACGACTTTCAAGTTTTGAATACTCATTCCCTTATCTACAGCCTTGCACATATCATAGACGGTGAGTGCTGCCGTAGAAGCAGCCGTCAGAGCTTCCATCTCTACACCTGTTTTACCCTCGCATGCCACAGTAGCTTCTATATCAACTCTACCCCGACTGTTCTCGATTTTGTCCAACCTCAGAGCTAGGTCTACGGTGACTTTCGTGATTGCAATAGGATGGCATAAAGGGATGAGATCTGGTGTTCTCTTCGCCGCCATAATCCCAGCCACACGAGCAACCCCTAAGACGTCGCCTTTCTTGATTTGATTCTCTTTAATAAGCTCACATGCTCTTGCATTGGTGAAATGAACACTGCAAGTCGCCTTGGCAATTCTCTTGGTAGGTGTCTTATCTGAGATAGAGACCATATGCGCAGAGCCGGATTCCGAGACATGCGTCAGTCTAGCAGTGCTGTTTTTTTCATCGATGCCCGGGCCCGTGGAGGAAAAACACCGTAATTGTTGTCCAGACAGGAAATCATCCGATGTAGCAAGTAGCCAAGGGACAGCCTGATGAGAAGCTGGAGGTATCCTTAATAGACGTCTGGGAATGTCTCGGGTTGTAACTTGCCAGCGGATGGTCGAAATATGTTTCTGCGAGTCTATCGGATGTCCATTCAGTTCGGGTCCCTTCAGATGGCGAGGCTCGAGACAAGATTGCAAGGGATGGGTGCAACTCCTTATAGATTCGTTCCCTCTGAAAGGTAAAGATAGTCACCCACCTATGAGTATCATTGGCCGGTTCTTCATATGTTCGAGTTCACCGATACCCGCATGCTTAGCCTTTTTCCTCTTCACGGCCATCCCAATGACATCTAGAAGCCTTTGTTCATTCGGTGCTAGGTGAAGAGGAGGCGAGTGGGGAGATAGTTGTTGTCGCCTATCCATCTCGATCTTCCTCATGGTCTCATAAATTTCTTCATTAATCGGTTCCCCGCCATTTGATTCTCTGAGGATATCCCTCAGTGAGACCTCAGCGTTGCCAAAAAGGCATACTTTGAGATTTCCATCGTTGGTAATCCGAAGGCGGTTGCAAGTGCCACAAAAATTGTGCGTCATGCTAGTAATGAAGCCAATCTTGCCTATGAATCCGGGGATCCTATAGGTCTTACTTGTGTCGTTCTTGTGATCTCGTATCTTCTCTAGATTAGGATACTTCTCGCGAATACGATCTAACATCTCGGAATAGCTAAACATCTTCCCTTCGTTCCATTTGTTTCCGTCGAATGGCATGTACTCTATAAATCTCACTTCAATGTCTTTATCGCGAGTCATCTCGATGAAGGGGATGATTTCGCGGTCGTTGATTCCTCGCATGATAACAGCATTAACCTTGAGTTTGATGCCGGCGCCGTGTTTATTTAGCTCGAGGACTTTCTCAATACTCTTCATGACAGCCTCGAACCCTTTCCGCCTGGTCATAATTTGGAATTGCCACGGATCTAGTGTGTCGAGGCTCAAATTGACGCCAGTCAACCCAGCTTCGACCATCCCATCAAGTTTTCGATGAAGGGCTATGCCATTAGTAGTGAGACAAAGTTCCCGTAGTCCATGCGATCGAAGGTCGCCAATTTGCTGCATTAACGGAAGAATATCTCTTCTGATAGTAGGTTCACCGCCCGTGAGACGGATTTTATTGACACCTTGGGAAACAAATAAAGAAGATAACATGACAATCTCCGGCGTCGTCAACAACTCCCTCGGTGGTGACAGGGGCACTCCTTCTTCGGGCATACAGTAGACACATCGAAGGTTGCACCTTTCCGTAAGCGAGATGCGTAGATAGTCATGTTGCCGATGGAAGGTGTCAGTAAGGAAGTCCGAAAATGGTTTCGCGTCCTTCAATAAGTCTCGGCGGGAAAGCCGGATAGGAGGCGGCCGAACCTGGTTCTGTGGCTCCGGGATGCTTGGAACCACTGCCGCCGTTGCAGTAGTAATTCGTCGCAGGGGCTCAGCGAGACCTTTACCGGCTGGGGTCCGCAGGCGCCCGGATGCGGCCCATGCCCGACGAACCGAGAATGTTATATGTGACATCTCGATCAGATGTTTCCTTCAACGAATGACTCAAGAAGTACGATGCATTATGTTTTTTAATAACCAACCCCTCATTATATAGTTTTGTTTGTTTTTTTGCAACGTATTGTACAATACGTTTTCATTGATTTCAAACAATATTGAAGGTTGTCATCCGAGGTTTTGATAAGATTAAAAATCATCTCCTTGCCACAGGTACGTGGAGGTACATATGTACGTATTAGTATGGTAAAGCTGGGATGAGTAAGCTGTTATGCCGGATAGGTAGCGGCTGCCATCGCTATAACATTATGTCTCTAGGTACTGTACATCTATAAATGTACCTAGATCTAGATGGAAAGCCAATACCGAAAGAAAAATTGGGTCTTCGCGGGGCACTTTCCGACCGAGACCCTGCCCTGCTACCCAGCTACCCAGGTGCCCAGGCAGCCAGGCAGCACCAAGGAAGAAAATGGAAATCGACTATCTTACCTAATGCAGCTACATTCTGAAAGTCAACAAAAACAAATACCTACCTACCTTAAGGTAAATGAAACCTACAGCCTACAGTATGAATAGGCGAGCAAATGCGCTTTAACAAGTTGACTCATATTTTACGAGCTAAGCCCCCAACAGATCAATCTGACCAATCATTCTTTCTCGTCAGCCCTTCTTGTCATTTTCAGTCGCGATAGTGGTTGATTGATCATAGGCCGCGACGGCCAGGTCTGCCGTTGACGTGGTTATGACTTAACATTCACCTCACGACCGCATCCTCACCGGTCTTACCGTCGAGCCGTCTAGGCCTATCGTTCTATAATAACCCGCACTGGACCCCAGAAATCGATTTCTGGTTCTGCTATAATAGTTAACACACCATGCGTTTCTCTAGGACTCTTCAGTGTATGGATTTACCTCATTATACTAACGTTCTTACCAACCACCTCGTCTGCCCCCTAAGTTAAAAAAAAAAAAGAAAAAGAAAAGAGAAGAGCACAACCCTCCCACTATATGCACTCAATTATATACCTTATCTAACCAAATGGCCTTATGATCGGACACTAACACTGCCGACTAGCGTCGTCTCACTCCCACCCGAGTCCAGATGGTGAGCTGATTGCTACATTGCTACCGTCCACCGTCGTTGTACGGCTCATCAAATCCCTGGAGATCTGCCGAACCATGAAATTACCACCAGATCTCACCAGCGGTGTGACGACTTTTATCTGGTCGCCTTCTTCTACGAGAATCCTGGTTGCTATTCCCGATCAAGTACATGTCTTCGCAGCGAGAGCAGGCGACTTTCATGCAGTTATTAGGATTCCGTCTTCGGCCACCAAATCTACATTCATCGACTTTGGGCCAACCGACCATGAGGTTTGCCTCTGGTCACCTTTTGGCATCAAGCTAACTCTTGCCAATCTCAAATGCTCAAAAGCGGTAGAAATTGCTAACCCCAAATTCTACAATGCTACTTCTGCGACAAGAGGATGTTCCTTTCGGCCGAATACGCACCACCTTGCGTTGCTTACAAGGTCTTCTGGCAAAGACATGATTAGCATTCATTCTCCTGATACTAGAGTGATTGAGCGGTCCTGGTACCCGGATACTGTCGATGCCCAAGGACTAGCCTGGACCCCAGATGGACGTTGGCTAGTGGTGTGGGAATCATCTTCCCAAGCTCCCAGGGTACTTTTCTACACTTCTGATGGTCACATCTTCAAGGATTGGTGTGGTCCCCCCCCTCATGCGTCTGACGACATGAATCTTAAGTATGGTACGGGCGTTAGAGCAGTCACCCTGAGCCCAGATGGTCGACTTGCCGCAGTCACTAACGGCTCTACCTGCATATGCATCCTAAATATGCCGTCCATGGTCGAGACAATGCGGCTCCATCACCCCCAAGTCGCCCAGCCTAAAGATACATTGCAAGTAAGTAAGCCCCCCTCCATTCTGGCCTCTGGGCATGCCTCGTTGACTATGAAGATTTGGCAAGAACAAAATACTCTCCCCAATACTGGATCGTTTTCGTTGCCGGCATTTGTCAAAGCTACCCAAGCGGTGACCCCACAGTGGACAGGCACGAACAACTTCCAAGAATCCACATCCGGCTGTAACCTTGCCAAATTCGATTGTTCTTCGTCTCTCCTGGCCACGAGACTAGAAGACGCGCCAGGAACGATCTGGATCTGGGATATCCCTAGTTCCGATCTTCGGGCTGTGCTTATGTACCATGCCAATGTGACAAAATTAGAATGGCACCCTTCGCAGCCGGAACAGCTCCTCGTGAGGTGTGAGGGTGGCAATTATGCTAGTCTGGTGTTCGCTTGGGATCCCTTAAGCCACGGTCCGCATTCCATTGATATGGCTCACCGATTCCCAGGGACCGTTAGCGGTAAAACGCATGCCACATGGTTGAAGGCGACGACAGAATCTGCAGCATTCTTTTTCACAGACAACGCAACTTGCATGGTTGCTTCACTTGCAGATTCAGATGGGGAAATCCTCCCTTGGCAAGATGAATCTGCGCCCCCAAGCCCCGTCAGCAATGAGAGTAACATAGACATGCGGCCATCAAGACACGCGTCGCTTTCGGATTTTGGGGACAGCATTGCCATTGACGTGGATGACGACTATACGGGCGAATTGGATGACACATTTGAATTCAGGAAGTTCGTCGGCCATTAAATTGGCATAGATTCTATCATATCTCAAACGAGATATCACATCGGGTACCCGGCGCTATGGAATTATAGCCATTAGCTTAATCCCGGAGGCATGGCCAACTTTTCCGAGAGTAAAAATGGCCTCCCAGTCATCAAAGTGTTGCAGGGTACACGCAGACCTCTCACTGTCTGAGCGACGATCATCTCGATCTCCAGGGCTACCATGTCATAAAAGTGCTAATTGAGGAGCATTCCTGGAACTACACACCATACCTAGGTACCCAACAGTTATGGTTTCAATCGGTGACAGCGCTACTGTCTACCGAGCCGATCTGGTGAGTTGGTTGGCCGAAGAGTGAGTCTAATGGTGGTTAATATACCTAAGTATACAACGACACCATTGCTGCAGCATCCATGCACAAAAACATTCTCGGAAGAGTTTAATCTGCTGCGAATCGTATACCAACAGCAGGCCATTGATCCTAGGCAAATCTTCACGTTTTCAGATCCATTCGCCATGTACTAATACTCGCACCGCAGCCCGACGCTAATACCATTGTACCTCGGGAGAATTTATTGGCAACCATTGAAAGAGTGGCTAGTCAGCTACACTGCCATCCAAAACGCCACCTACAGGGTTTACACCCTTGTCTGCAGATCCCGAGCTCTCCCACTTGGTACTTGGTTGGAAAATTTCGAAGCTAGAATTCGAAGTTACCTAGAAGCTACACAGGCAAACACCTTCTTCGATCTCGACCATCGTTTCGCCCCCACAACGAGGAGGCTCGGGATTTCTATTGCGAGTTGTTACCAGGTTCACGGAATCGAATAAGGACTTAGAACCATCGACTTACTCCACTATAGGCTATCCGGGTAGCTTACGATCTAAGCACTACTCTCAATACATCAAACCCCGACTTAGTTGTGCTCTTCTCGCTCAGCGGTCGTCTTCTTAGGGATATACTGTGACTCACTCTCTCACCGAGTAACAAATATACGTTGGGGCATTGGCCATCTGTCTGCCTAGCCCTTTCGCCGGCTTGGGATGTTGTTCCCCGCCCAGACACCAGGAGAATACACTTTACAATGCTGTCACTTGTGACAAGCTTTAGCAACCTACGGCTTCTGGCCTGCTCTGTACCTACCTATGCAGAAAGTGGATCGGCTTCCCTAATTAGATCTTGGACGATAAAGCTAGTATATTCACGACCCAGATATACCTCTACAGAAATGCATATTGTCCTCTCTCAGATCCCCGTCCAATCAATGATCAATGGCCTGCCTAGGTGCTCGACACGGCACAGATGCCTAGAGAGGCATGTTGCATAGATCTAATCTTGAAATATATCCTCCCTCAGTCCTCAAGTTCTTGTGTAACTAATGGATGTGTTCTTCCTGGTAGAAATAACAGGCCTCGCCATGACCGTATACTCTTAATCATAGACATCCTTCGTGCAACATATAAAGAGCCCCATCGGGTCTTTCCTCTGCTGTACTCGTTTCACACGATTCTCTCAAGGGTGCACCCTGCCAAACAATCCCGAGTAAACATTGATAGCTGCAGCTATCCGTTCACGATGTCCTCGGATACATTTTCTCACCAAGTCCCCATCAACGGAACTATTCAGACAGCAGTCGCACCGGGGAATCAGACGAATATGTACTACATTTTGGTCTCAAATGTGAGCTTGATATAGATTAACCTGGGATCGTGCGACCCTCCGCTTTGGAAAGATCGTTCATACTGACAAGATACCTGTTCAAGTTGCCCTGGCAAACATCTTGGCAACAATTAAAAGACCATGTACGGGCCGTGTGTATGGTCGATCGAGTCGAAGTGTTCAACGAGAGTACATCTGGCTGGGTATCGGTCAGAGGCCAAGAGAACTACGACGCAGCTCTCCGTATGATAGTTCCCGGGAATTACTTGGGTGCGGAAATTCTGACTGAAAATAATACATAGGCCTGCTCAACGGGGGCGTCTTCAACGGGCGAGCCCTTTGTGCGGACGGCAAAAACGCTACGGAGAGCATAATGATCAGGGAAACAGTAGACTCCCCTGTAAATGGGAGTTCTGTGTCAAGAACTTTACAATCACCGAGATTTCAATCCCCTCCATCAACACAATATTCAGCTAGCACACCGCCATTAATGTCACCACTTGCCACGGGATACGGAGAGGTAAGTTTGAGAGCCCAAAATTAGGACCGTATATTATTTTTAACTACTAACTTTGTGAAGTGGACTACTCCTGGGACCCCTTCTACGTATGGGGCTACTTCAACGGAATATCCACCTTACACCATGTCGGTTCCTACACCATATGATTACAATGAGACAACCGGCTACTACGCCTACGACGCTTCAAATAGTGGCTACATAGACCAATCAGCTATGGTTTCGTCCCCTACGATGGTACAATATCCTTTTGAAGCAAGCTACCCGCAGCAATATCAGATGAGTGAGTACCAAAGCAATGACTACAGCACGTACAGCAGCATGCCAACCTCAGCTTCCATGCCAAGTGACTCATCCACAGGCATGGTTCCTACAAGGCAACGCAAGATCATTGTAAAACAGCTCCAGCCTTGGGCCACTTTCAACCAGGTACAAGATCTCATCCGAAAGAAAGCCGGATCCGATGCTGATAAAGTTCAGCATATTGATCTACCACTAACGGACGGTCAAGAATCAAATAGAGGTTATGCCCTCGTCACATTTCAAAGCGAGGAAGTGGCCAACAAGCTAATTCGACGGCTTAATGGTCACAAGTACGACGGACGGGAACTGAAAGTGGATTACACTAAAGAGGGCGTATCGGAAAATGAGATCTCTCGCCCCCGCACCTCTGGACATAAAGAGCGGCGAGAAGACCGAGAGAAAAAGGAAAAGAAGGAGAATTCCCGAGGGTCTGGTTCTCATGACAAGAAGAGCAAATCTCATAAATCGAGCGTTGTCATCGCAGACGGTTCTTCGCCTACCTTAAAGAAATCGGACACGAAGGATAAATCAAGCAAACGACATTAGGATAACAATGCCTATGCAAGTCTAGCAGCAGAACCCGCAATGGGAAAAAAAAATGCTGGTCATTGGCTAAGCCACGCTTCCTTATTCTCTGGGGAAAGGCAGTCTATGGATGTTCGTTGTTGGCACTCTCTTTTTTCCTTCTTCCTTCACTTACTACCGAGTGGAAATGGCGGTTTACTACTACTGTGATACACTGGATGGCTCAACTGTCGTTACCGCAATGTACCTGCGCAACTGTATATGTTCATATGAAATCAGTCCACCATTTAGCCATACGTGATAGTAAATCTCGAGATCGTCGTATCGATTTCCCAAGTACCTCTGACGCACTCTAGAGGGCGTTCCTTTGCCACGTCACGGTTGGAGATTGCACTATACTATTTCCAGACATTAAGACATAATCTTCCTCATATCCGTAGAGCCTCACAGGGACCGTGCCCGACGCAATCATCCACGTCATCCATAACGGAAAGGGGCGAGATAGATGGAAAGCAAAATGCTTGCCTTTGGTATAGCTACCCCCATCAATGCCTCGGACAATTAGAATATGCGCTCACGCTTCTACGACGTGAGCTGTCATTTTGTGTCCTCTCCCCCTTATGAAACGTAGTCCAAATTCTATTGACCGTTTGCTCGTGAGGTTACCTTCCTTCAAACATGCATATGCAGCCCAGGCCGCAGCTATGTATATGCACGCGCTTGAGACAGTCTTCATAACCTACCCCCTTTTCATATTCCATGTTCATGTCATACCTTACTTGTTTATCCCGTTCCGTCGTTGATTTGCGGCGCCGTGTGTTACACGGCATCTACACATGCAGATGTCCCTAGCCGGCGGACGGATCTCAGTTCCCCAGCCCCCTCAACTTGCTCCCCTTTCGCACCCCCACGCCATCTTCATCGCTTACATCGACTGGTCAATCATAGATCCGACGGGGGCCTCTCCTATGCGACCTACGTGCGCTGCATAATCGGCCACTAAAGTAAGGCAAATGAAACTACTGCGACGGCAGTGGTGTTCCGGCCAGCCCCAATTAGTGTGGACTCTGTTCGACCGGCCTTTCGCGATCATGTATCTGATCTCTTTCTTATCTCGGTTGAGTATTCCGATCGATCGAATGCTTACAGAATGGAACCGAAACTCGTGGGATGCCCTGGGGTATCTGCTGAAGTGTAAAGGTCATCATACATAAGTGGCATATCGTCTTGGCTAGTAAGCACCTGAAAAGGTGCACTGTTCCCCTGACTAAGTACCGTATGTGCGATCCGTACCCCCCGAGAACGTAAGTAAATAACATAATATAGACATGCAGGACGGAACTGGCCGCGGATCGGGGGTAGGTACATATCTCGGCCGTCCCCTACGCCGGTTCATTACATCAACTCGGACTTGACTCCGTGGATGAAACTATTGGCCTAACATCGTCGCAAACAGGCACGCGTAAGTCCTCGGCTTATGGCGGAAAAGGCACTTGCTGTAGAAATTGCGCTGTGGCGTTGTGGCTCAAACACTACAGCTAACTAGGGGTAAGGGGGCGGTTATATTTGTCTTATTAGGAAACGTGACGACGACGATTCATGCAATTACTAATCCTAGTATTAATCTTGGCAGCGTACCTAGTTTATTTTGCTTATTGCTTTTCCCGTCCGGTTTCCCCAATTTATTCCATTTGTCGACATGGTTCTTCATGAAAGAGTATAGGATCCAACTGGATGGTAAAGGATGCGGGTTAAATGTAGTCATCCGTTCTCAAGGGTCCGGCACAGGGTCGAGTCCTCCTGTATGATTCTAGTCGTAAATGCTACGCTGCACGACATTAAATACCGAGGCGGATAGCTTATTATATTACCTCCAGCCCTGTAATTAATGAAGCTGACCGGTCAGCTCGTGTTATACGGCGTTCTTTTGACTTCTCAATACGGCAGGCAGCATAAACAAGATAAGACCTCACCCTACCAAATATAGGGAAGTATAGCTCGTCATCTCTAAACTGTGCGACAGGGCCCCTTCTTTTTATTCTTTTTCTCACTCTATCTTAATCAAAGGAGCTGGCTGGAGAAAAGAAAATTGCACTTTTAGAAGGAATATGACAAGTCATCCTGCACGAACGGAGGGAGCGCCCGCCGTACGCCCGTAGAGAACATGGTCAGGCAATTATCCATGGGTTCTATAGCGCCTTCCTCCCGTGTGCCGAAGCCCGACTGAGTGTTTACCAACCGGCTTCGTTCAGACGAACGACGCACTGACTCAATGACCCCTATTCACTCTAAGATTTGGGAAATACCGGTCTTTTATTATTAAGACCCCCCTTCGGAGTCGTATGATAGGGTTAGGTGCACTACGTTAAGCTACTTTCTTTATTCTAGATCTCATCTATCTAGGAAGAATGTCTCCAGCGAAGCTATCTACTAGGTACCTCCTCAAGCCCCAGCAAGCCACATAAAAATACCCCCCATCTTGAGTCAGCACGAGATCCTGCACTTTCCATGCATACTAGAGATCAAAGAGACATGTGCCAGTCATGATCATACCATTTTCATGCGCTTATTCCCAGATCGTTGACCGGTGAGGAACGTGATATGATGGTATCTGCTGTTCAGTTTACTGATATTACGGCAGGATCAGATGAGAACAGAGAAAGAGACAATTAAGCTATATTTAGCGGTATTTACCGTGCGTTAGGTAATTAGGATAGTCCCTTGACTGGTATCCTCCAACCTTCCAAGTATGGTGGTGTCAACCACCATGTCAACCACCATCACCACAATACGTCCCATATTCCCCGAAGAATAAAAAAAATTCCATACGAGCGAAATAGATTCAGCGATATCGCACTCAGTATACAATGTCGAATTAGAGTTCTGACATAGTCGAAGTAGTCACCAACATGATCTCATTGGATAGATCATGAATGGAACCCTGATGAGCCCCTGTCATCCTCGGCGGATAAATCTACAGCTCTGGACATGGATAAATCTGCGTTCCAATCTTCACTACTTTATGGTACCAGGAGAGGGTCTATTAGTTAATATAGAGCGTTGGGGTAATCTCGTTATTTCCCAGCAAATGGTAAGTAAATATAGTTTGTCTCGCGATGTTGTAATGAGGCCACCCTGGCCTGCCATTTCGGTAGTGGTTTGGCGGCGAAGAACGGCAGGCAAAAGTCGTCGCTTCCAACGTCATAGTAGAAAAGGAGCATCAAGCAAAGCTAGAATAGAGAATCCACAAGCGGAGGTAGTTAGCTCAGGTTTACTACCATTTAATTAAAAAACATTATACTGTAAAAGCGACGACGCAAGCTTCAAAATCAACACTACGAGAAAAACGATGAGAACCACATTATTCCACACACTTTTCTTATTCTCGTCGATCGGCATATCTCAAGCCCTATTGCTATTAGCTCGTAATAGTATTATCGGCGCCACAGCAGACGAAGATGATGCCCTCACCACACAAGCCGTATCCGGCAACTCAGACTGCGCTGCGGCTTCGGCAGAAACATCATTTTCCCTAAGTTTTATCAGCTACGGGAACTACACCTCGATACCGGGGGAAGGCGAAGACGACCTCTCGCCACCGCAGTTAGTATCGATGTCGTTTGCCGTGTCGAACGCGGCTAACGGCGTGTACACCATCTGCGCCTTCCCGCTCGGACATCTAACCGTTCCGTCCGACGGCTCGGGTGCTCCCGCCACGTGGGTTGATAATTCCGCGTGGCAGGCGTGCGCCGACCGCAAGGACTCGGACGGAAAGCACCGCTTTACTATTGCAACCGGAGCTGCGTTCGCGCTTTCCGATCGGTATATTTCGGTTAACCAGACTTGGTTCTGCCATGATGATGCTGGGCGTTTGTAAGTCAGCGATTCTTTTCCAGGTTGCTTACTATCATGATCCTCCTTTCTCTTTTCGTACTTTATTTTGTATTGTTTAAGTTCTGTTCCATTCCATTTCGGCGGAGGTCCGTAATACGTATGGCAAGAAATGGGGCAGAGTTGCGCCTGGATGTGCTACGTTCTTCGCCATTGTCCCCATGTCGCCCCTAACGTATTCTAGGGTCGCATATACTGGTATCGCGAACGCGACGCTGAATCTAACTTGCGCCGACGGTGGTGAGGTGGGAGGTTACCATGTCGAAAACTGTACTTCGCTCGATGTGTCGCTCCCGGTGACGTTACTCTGAGGGTTCACGTCGTTGGTGATGTTTCGCATCGTATTTAAGTGATTAAGGGGGATAATCGGTCAAAAGTGTACCTATATTTAGGTCCGCAGTAATCATAATAGTAGCTTCCTTGCCTCGTTTAATGTTGGTCAAGATCTTCTCCTACCCCCTGAACTGTCAACACTAAGCTAGTGACAGGCTGTGGTGGCACCTAGCGAGTATTAATAAACGAAATCTGCGTATACATTATTTTAATGGGAGCCATGTTTTAAATTTAATTCTAGGTTGTAATACTAGGCTTAGAGCCTGTCTCAATTATAGGATCTATAAAACATATCTAAGTAAGCAGCTATACCCCTTTTTCAACACTATTAGTCTCGGCATTATCAAGTATCAATATGTAGTGCTCCGTTACAAGGTTGCCAGCTTCTGAATGCCTGTCCATTGTAAACGCCTTCCCATCTCAGCCCCCCTCGCCCGAAGCGTCGTGGTTACCTAGGTATTTACCCTAATATCTATACATCTGATTATTAGGTCTTTCGCTAACTCCATGAGAGGCTTCGAGCTCCACGATCCCTCTATCGGAGCTAGGGGGTGCTGTGCAGTATTTACAGTACGGGTCCGTCTGTACCTTGCCAGGTGTAACACTGTGCCCTCGTCTCCACGATCGAATCAGGCAGAAGGCTATGATGCCCAGTAGGATGACTCCCAAACCAACACCACAACCTATACCAGCCCGGGCTCCAGCCGACAGGCTTTGGCTTTGTTGGGAGTCTGACCGTGGTATTGTCACTACGGGAAGCGATGCCGTACTACTTGCGCTTGTCGCTGTCCGCTCGGTATTGGAAGTACTGGAGATATCAGAGGACTGATAATTAAGTTGGAATAATGGAGCAAGGGCTGTGAAGGTCGATGCATATTTGACGGAGCCGGTGATGTTCGCAACGAAAGGTATCGTCAAGTATTGGAAACTAGCGGTAACTCCACTCTCACAGGTCGCGGTTGGGATCGAGGTTGAGGTATATTCTGTGACGCAAGTATTGCCAAATATGCCCCGAGAACAGGCGTAACCTCTTCTACCATTAGCACGCGGTTCCCACGGTGGTATAATTAACACATACGATGGGCAACACCCGACAACAGTTTCTGATGCTCCAGGGTGGAACCAGAAGTCAAAGTTCCCCGTCTGCGACAGGTCATTGTATGTGCAAGCAGTCGAATATCCATGTGGACAGACTACCCCTGGGGAATATATACCCCATGCGCCGAGAATTAGACTCAGCGGAGTGTATGCGTCTGCAGTCCTTGATGGCCAACATGTTGGTTGATCATGAACTGTAGAGCCATTTGAACATGTCTGAGCTAGCCAGCCAAAATCACATTGACTGCAACTGGCGATAGCGACGGTGCAGCCAGGTGGTGGTGTCCACTGAAGTATCAACGATTAACAAATTTCCACTCAACCGCGGTCTATAATAATCGATCTGGCGAGAGGACAGATAGGGTTATAATAAGGGCAGTAAATAGTTGTTTCATACTCACAGTCGTTGTCAGTGGTCCCAAAATCACCGAAGTACCTGTGCCTGTAGCCATGGTGTTGATATTAGGGTATAAAAGGGGCGATGATGGCTTCAATATAAGGACGATGGCAAAAATAACCAGATAGCAAGAGGGAAAATATATCTTAACTTGCAATGGCGCTGGTCCACCCCAACTCCTATCCTATTATGTAGACACCTATAACATAATCAACCGTCTTTTAGCAAAGGATTCTGAGCTGTCCATGTTGAGGATTTGGAGGGGCTCGGCCAAGGCGATCGAGCTACACCGGAAAAAGACATTTATTTATTTATGTCGGACAACGTCCTACGTGGTAATTTCTGTTACGGTCCAGCCGTAGTCTATGCAGTGCTCTAGGCGCCAATCTAAAGTGTTTGTCTTGCGATTAGTGTCGAGGATTCTCAAATATTATAGTCCCCTAGGAAAGTCTTAGCTAGACGTAGGATAATAGACAGAGGAGGACATCAGCCTTTGTTATTATAGTCTTTAAATCTGAAAATACCTATGGTTTAATGGATGAAGTAATGCGATCTATGGGTTGATCTGCTCATCTCGATCATCGCCCATCAGCTTAGCAGTTTACGCCCTGTTTCACTTTTGTGGCGTACGCTACTCTTCCTCGAGGAGTTGCAGATATAATATTTTAGCGTTCGGACTCGCTTGCTGCCGTCGCGAGGAGTTAATAAACCCTGTCGCGACAAGAAAAAGTGCGGGTTTGTAGACGACCCCAACCTCTTCTCAGTGAATCTGGATTGTTGAACCTAGCGGCCTCATGCTCGGTTTGTGGCTGGCTGGTCATAGGTGGGCGTTTCAAGCGGCCTCTTTGCTTACAGTATCAGAGAAGTAGGGCTCGGCCTTGCTCTTAACAACTCAATTGATCCTACTTTGTTTCTTGGTTTGATACTGCTGTTAAGATCTGGCACGTCTAAATAAATGATGAAAGAGTTGGGAATGCGTGCAGCGTATTAGAGTAAAGAAAGAACTAATACGTCAGGAGTTGTGTAGTCACACATTATATACATAAGTATTGATAGGGAGGTATTTTGTTTAGCATATTATCATAACGAGGCTGTTTGCCTCATTTATTACATAATGTGACCGACCGCCTTCCCGACGTGAGGCGCGACTTCTACTTTACATCGCGTGGTTAAGGGTCTAATTCTGCATAGACGGGTACGGTACTTCCTAGGTCATCTTTAAGACTAACTCAATTGTCGGGGAAGGTGGCTCTTGAAAGGTTATCCGCCTACAACAAAATAAATTTCACCCTTGTGTGTGCAGTCTATTATTGATTTCCTCGACGCCTATAACACCAAAATATTCCGAATCCACAACGTACTAGATCGCGGTCGCAGGCGTAGTTAATCTCACCATGTCTACCGTCACAGCGACGGCGCTTCAGAGTGCCTTTCCTCCCATAATTCCCCTTTCGTTCAACTCGAACCAGCCGAACACGATACGACTATATCCCCTCTCCAACTACACATTCGGCGTTAAAGAGACCCAGCCGGAGGAGGATCCGTCAGTAATCGCCCGTCTGAAGCGACTGGAGGAACACTACAATGCCCATGGCATGCGCCGCACCTGCGAAGGCATCCTAGTTTGCCACGAGCACAACCACCCTCACATCCTCATGCTGCAAATAGCGAACGCTTTCTTCAAGCTACCAGGCGATTACCTTAGACCCGAGGACGACGAGGTCGAAGGCTTCAAGGCACGACTGGACGAGCGCTTGGCACCTGTAGGCAAGCTCGGCGAGGGCGAGGAGCCTGGCAATTGGCAAGTTGGCGACTGTCTCGCGCAGTGGTGGAGACCCAACTTCGAGACCTTCATGTACCCCTTCATCCCCGCCCACGTCACACGACCGAAGGAATGCAAGAAGCTCTACTTCATTCAATTACCTCACAGTAGTACGTTATACCTTTTTATTTCTTAATATTTCTATGTACAGGCCGCTAACCCTAACATTTAATAGAGGTCCTATCCGTGCCGAAGAATATGAAGCTATTGGCCGTACCTCTATTCGAGCTCTACGATAACACTGCTCGATATGGACCCCAGCTCTCCGCGATACCCCACCTTCTTAGCCGATACAACTTCGAGTTTGTTAACGAGAATGGCGAGATTGTGGCTGCTACCCCGGGCTCGGGACCGGAGGACTTCAATCTCAAGACTAAGGTCCTTGCTGGAGGTGATGAAGACATGAACGATGTCAAGGATGAGAATGGCACATCATAGTTATAAGCTGATTAGCTTGTGGTGGGAATCGGCTGATATAGAGTAGCCAGAGGGTTATGGCTGCCACTGGAAGAGTCATTCACCCCAACGGGGTCTCTACGAAAGACGAAGGCTAGTAAAATTACGACGCCCAGAATAGTTACTTTGCGCATTCTCTCATATTAAGGCTAAGCTACGGAAGGCGTCTGGCGTCAGGAGCATATCATGGCCCTGGATGTGATAACCGTCCGATTTGGGGCTCACATGAGCTAGGCAAAAATAAAATAAAATATGACATTTAAGCCCAGAGTTTTTATCATGTGTCATGCCTTCTCGCCTTGGATGGTCGCTACTACTCGTCTCGTGTGCCTCATTTGTCGAAATTCTAGGTACCAGATTCCTTGCCATGTCCCCGTTGCCTTGTATGGGTTTAGTATGTTTGACTATCAGACGTGTGAAGCAAATAACCTACCAGCTTTCCGTCTTTTATAGGAATCGTAACGCTTGCGCCGATTAACGCAGACTTGATATGCGCCTTACCCTTTCGTCAGCTCACAATTCACCTACCCAAGCTATAATGTAGCTATTTATGATCTTACCGGCATATCATCGCTTCCCTCAGCAGAATGCCTATATAAATCTTCACCCTTAGGACCTGCCTCTGGGGCTATACGATCCAGCGCATCGCTCATATCCGCGCGCACGTCATCGTCCCAGTTCTCGTTTAAGCTCAGCGCACAGCTCGTGTGTTGGACGAACAGGTTGAGCAATCCAACTTTGTATTGACTTATCTCGGGGACTGAGTTTACGATGTGATCGGTGATGAGGTAGGACCCGCGCGATTTCGGGGGGAGTGTGAATTGCTTCTGAAACCACGACATGGTCGGTACTGAGGTCGATGGTGGGGTTGTGGTAGCGGTTGGCTCACGACGGTCGGAAGTTTGGCTGTGAGGGAAGAAGATTGTGAAGGGGAGGGTGAATACGTAGTGGAACGCTCCAGGGAAGAAGGCTAATAACAGGACAAAGAGTAGGATGATAGATAGAGAGTTGTGCGAAAAAGTGGTGGCAGAGGTGGATGACGGCATAGCGATGTTTTGGAGGTTGCATGGAATTTGGTGGACTTGCAGCTTTGGTGGGGTCCCCTGTCTCTCCCAATGCTTCCCACTATATATACTTGTTATGCAAATCTTTAAGTTACAAGTATAAATCCGTTATGTATATCCTACTCGATATATCTATAATACGATTACTAAAGCCCAACCATTGAACAAGGAGCGAAATAAATGAGTATAATGTCTTCGTTTTGACATTTACTAATATCTTCTCCATATAGCCATGTCTAGGTATTTAATCATCAATCAAAATAATATGTACACAGCTGGATTGGCTCCTTGTTTAGGTATGACCAAGTATAGTTCGGGTTTGTATTCCACGAGTTCAGAGCCAATTCATAATATGCTTCCACCGAGTAAAGAATCGTGCTTATGCGAGGGGGTAGGAAGTCTCTGGGAGTGATTCTAGGTGTTCTCTGTGATGTTCGTGTGCCTAGGAATATTCGTTAGTTATTGCCTCATTATAACTATTTCTACCAAAGGGAAATCGTGATTTGCCCGTCATGACAGGATTGGACTCACAAATGGGAGGCCGCAGTAGCCGCAAACAGCAATTTCTGGTTTATCTGTGTTGATGAAGATTCTGGGATGTCCAGCCGGGCCACCTCCTCCATCGCATGCCACCACCTTGTCGTGAGTCCATCGAACCGGTTGTCTGTGGATCAGCTCGATGGCTGCTTTAGATTGAGGCTAGATTGCCATTAGTTATGAGCCGTATAGTATATAACCATGTGTATAAGTCGCTCGTGCTATCTTACTTGAAGGGCGAAATCGGTCTGTTCGAATCTCGGGCCTGTCATCGCTGCCGCTCTCGGTTTCTGACTCCTCGACCAGATTTCCTTTCGGTTCGGCGCTTGTTTCAAGCCCCTCTCTTCATTCTCTACCACTCCTAGTGAGTCCTCTTCGCTCTTGGTCTCCGGCGTAGTTTCGGATTTGACGGCGATGGTGTTGGTGGTGTCGAATCGGTGCGCCGAAGCGACGAAAGTTCGCTGTGCTGCGCATACCCGCTGGGGGATCTGCAGCGATTTTCGGACGGTCAATCGCGAAAGCATTGTGTTGTGTTGTTGTCATCAATTGAGAGAAATGATGTATGAAATATTGGATTCAAATGATTTGAGGTTGATGAGCAGCTGGCAATTACAAGCTCCGGGATTGGGCAGAGCATAAAGCTCGGACCATGTGAGGGAAGGCACCAATTGAAAAACAATTTCAGCGTGCAACTGCAACGGTCCAGGGCCTTACTGCTAGAGATTGTACCTAAAAGATAGGCGCTTAGGTACCTACCTGGCAGCCTGGGTAGACAGTCCCGCCTATTTTTATTTTTTTTTTCTTTACTCTAATCCAAAATTTACATCAACATTCTTTTCTTGCGACACCAAACATCCCCGCGCGCATTCACATATGTGATAGTAGCCAACAATCTGTAGTGCTGCGATATAGGGCATAATACCAAGCCGGCCTGGCTATTAATTCCGGACTACGAACATTAGCTCTCCTTGGAAGTTCGCAAAATTAATACACAATGGCGACGCCAACACCCCCGAAAAGCATGTCGTCAAGGCTACTGACTATGAAATTCATGCAAAGAGCAGCTGTCACACCTTCATCATCTCCCACCACGCCGAATTCAGACGAACAACCTTCGAAACGACGAAAAGTGTCCAGAGTCCTCAAACATGATGGTCGAGACCTCATTGCGCAAATAGATCAGACTGCGGTACGAGCGGCTATTGCTGAAGAGGAAAGGAAACGTCAAGAGGCATTGATACAACATGCCTCTGAACTGGGAGATGCGCGCTGGGTACTAGATATACCAAACGGGGCTACCGGTTCCAGTCGTAAAATCCAAACACCTCTGAATGTGGTTCAAGTTGGCTTTGCTCAGATTGATTCCCCAGACCCCTCCGATGCTACAGGTCTTGATACCGAATCAACTGACGCCTCGCACCTCAGAACTCCTGTGGTTAGACGATACAATATGGACAAGAAACAGGCAAGTAATATCACTCTACTCCCCCCACACACTATTAAAAGTATTCATTTTTCTATCGTGCAGGAGGCTAACTCGAGGATAGACCCCCAAGGATAGCGATTCCGAAAGTGATGATTCCAACTCTGACTCTGATTCTGACACGTCTTCCCAAGAAAATGGCCCCGGTCGGCAGTCATTTGATCAAAAATCAGGTTCACGATCGGATTCATCTCGGCCAACTGTACAGAATAAGCGAGGTGCTGAACGAACCAAGGCCAAACAGTTTTCTGAGAAGCGCAGAAAGAAGGATGTTAACCTGAATAACAATAGAACACCAACTGGTGGTCTGTTATCGATCTCAGGCGGTGGTACACCCGCTCGGCAACCCATGAATTTCACCTGCCATCGTTGTGGTAAGCCTGGACACAAGATTGCGGAGTGTAAGATGACTCCCAAACGTACGACACGTTGAATGATATTGTAAAATGCACCTGGTTGCAAGTCTCACTCGACAGGATAGTATGTTGCTAAAATAGTTCCTAGAACATAATCGCGTTATATGACTGAGGCGGGTAATGACGTCGAAGCACATGACTGCCATTCGTCCATTGCCATGCGACCCCATTCGCCAAACTTTCAGAGTTGAACTGAGCTGTCTTTTAGCCATGGGCCTTCCATTACATAGGTAATATATCACAAGTGCAAACAATACATAATAGCCCAATCCCATTCTATTCATATTTTCGTTTCCCCTCTTGAAGTCTATAAGATGTACTATATTCATTTCTGCCCAAGACGGGCTTCATACTTGGATGGAAATGGGGGATTGTATGCACGTACCCGTTGGTGCCTACATGCATACCTGAGTGGATATGTTCTTCGAAGCAAATGCGATAGCGGGACGGCCCTCAATTCCCTAGTAAAAAGGTCTGCAAGATTGGCCTGTCTGGGATTCACGGCATACCGGTCTATAAGGCGATCACGGCGCAGTCACTATACCTGGGGTTTCGGCTTTTGCTCCGGTCACCGGTCACAACCGCTTAGGTCCGATCTAACCGGTCAGCGTCACTCATCCCCTCGCATTTAGTCGTGATCCGCTTCTTATTCATGATTGTGGCGGTTGTCGAACCATAACACTATCGATCATCGTAACATCGACACGACGATATGCGTTCCCAGGTTAAGAGATCTCGAATCATGTCGTGGAACATCAGTATACACATCAGGTTATTGGATACGCGTCGCATACTAGCTCGATAGCCACATCATATGTGTTATGCGCTAATACAAGGAATCACGTCCAATGGGAGATGCATACTGCGGTAGATATCAGGGGCAACGATACGCGGAAAATTTCCATCCGACCCGATAATAGTTCCGTTCTATGGGGACCAACATATTGAAACGTGTCAACGGGTTGCTGTTGCGCTCTCATACAGCATTTCTGTAACGGCGCGAGCGCTGCTTTGGGTCGTGACGCTCGGTGAGGACGTGCAATTGCAGGGTATCCTCCTAATCAACCTCAAAGCCAATATGGTTCTTGGCTATTGGATATCTTCCCATCTTCTTACCACCCAGCCAATACAACCACTGGACGAGTGGATAGCGAGGCGAGCAACTGAGGTCCAAGCGGTCTGTGTGCCGACAAGGTATACGGCATTCTATGATGTACATCTCCCGCCTCTCACACACATCCATGGAAATTGATATTCTAGGGCTGCACATGAGTTTGGAAACGGAATAGAACAAGTCTTAGCGTATATGTCAAATTTAACTCCCCGAAAGCCGTGCGGTTCGCGAGGTGTACGATGGTCAGCCAACAGGTTTGCTAAACCAATATCATTATGAGTCAAGATTCTCTGAGATTAGCCTGTCCGCGTGATTATGTCTATGTAAGTAGGCGTATGGATCCCAAGTCACGCTATTCTCCAATCTCCACATTATGCTGTCCGATAGTGTATAGGCCGTTCATATTTGAGACCCTTCAACAATAAGAAACTTCGCATGAATACTCAGATTGACTACGACTTACACTAGTTGGGCTGAGAGCCAAGGATTTTGGACCAACCGGAAATATTTGACTGTACCCGAGCCCGTAGATTTGCGGGCGATCCATGTAGAAACGTGGAGGATGGGTTGTCAATCTTTAATGGCACCCTGCTTAGTTTCTTCCTAATTGGAAACTTACTCGTCCCTTTTCGACTATACCTTGCAAGGTGAAGAAGACGGGAGCTATAACCCTATGCAGTTAAAATTTCCAGGACTCTTCCATCCTAACAACTGCGCAGCGGCCTTATTCCGTCTTATAGGTACAGCGAGGCTACCGAAGGGAATGTGAAACAATACATTGATATTGGAGGATGGTCTAAGGGTCAAAGTTATCGCGGCCCGGGGCTTGAAAGTCGCTTGGATTTACTCTCCCAAGTTCTCACGTATACTCACCGCATATGATACCGAGGGAGAGCCTAGGTTTTACAAGAGGAAGACCTAGACTCAAGCGGGCCGTCTTAAATATTCTCAAAGTTCCACAATTACCTCAACCTTTTTCTGACCCGCTTCAGCTGCCGGCATAGAGACATCTTGCTTGTGCTTATGTACATGAAAACCAGGCTGTCAACCTTGTCGACATACGTATAGAGTCTCACCTTGGCCGCCAGGCAATGGTGCCCCTGCCGTCCTATTATGTGATTAGGTTGGGATGTCATAGTAGAGCCTAATATGATGCAGCACAAACTGCCAAACCCGGCTCTCTCGCGTCTGGAGTGCAGCGGGAGTCGCCTAGAGTTGATGTTGGGAGGTGCGGTGGAAGCGATACCCCAATAACTCATAACATAATTTGTACTCGCAAGGTGTGTTGTATGCTTAGATTAGTGTAGGGTACGTGTGTATTATGAAGAGTCAATAGTTCGTGACCTAAGGGTAGACTTATCTTGACCGAGAAAAGATCATCGTGGACACACATGCCAGACCTAACTAGTTCTAGACAAAGCTGTCTTGTAAAATACGATATTTCTCCCCACACATTTAGTTATTACGGGCGAGGCCCAACTTGGCTGGACTTGGCCGGACCTGAACTGTATGCAAGCCTTCTATCAGTTCCTTGATACTTGTATGAGGGATATCGAAGGGAATAGAACTCATAGGGATCGCCGAATTTGATTGGTACCTATGTTAGAATTTATAATCTGTATAAATGAGCTTATATCAGACTCGGTCATCGGCCGCAAGGGTACTCAAGTTGAGCGGATTTTTAGTATTTTTCCTGAATACTATTCGTCGAGGCTTTTTTAAGGATACCCGCGTTCAGTTGAATTCTGAGACCTTCTGATGAAATAAAATTTTTTTTTCTAGGCGATGGCGGAAGGACGGGCTCCAAGACGCAAGTTACCGTTCACCGCGTTTCCGATGAAACCCCCGGTCGCCACCCAGTTAATTGCTATCTCTGTCTGTAATCTTGTAAGTTCGGGATATAATACTGTAAGCCTTCTTTTTAAAAATTTAAAATTTTATCGAATGGATCCAGTTACATTTAAGATTCTTGTCTGGATTGGTTCGATGTCGCCCTCATCCCGGAAAAGCGTGTGATTTAACTAATAAACTTGGTACGGAACTAAGTTGGTACCGGTAGTCGGCAAATTCTTATTAATATACCAAACCCTTATACCTCATAGTATGGTCCTTCCGTCTTCATCATGTATATGTACCTCCAACATCTTTACATGCATTAAAACATACAGATACGTACATGTACCTAGAGTACAGGCGTCTGCTGTATGTACCATAAATCATGATATAATGAAGGAACGACCTTGGAAAGCCTAATCCTTACCTATTACGACATATATGTACATTTTTGTAGGGTACGTGCGTCAAGTAACTTTTTACCTGCATCGCATACGTATGGATTTGATGTATGTACCTAGGTGTATGCATAAATGGGGTCTTAGTATACATGTATTCCTCCCTCATACCTAACCCGCGCCCGCGCCCGCACCAAAGAACCTACCTGTGCGGCCAGCCGGCTCCATTCCCCCACATTCCTTGTCTCTCATCCCATCCATCCTCTTTCACCACACCCACCACCACCACCACCACTTAATCCCTAATTACATACTATATGTAGACATTGATCGAAAACCCTTGATATATACATGTGTCACAATTCTTATTCTATTCGACTTCCCTCTCCTCCTCCCTGGTATTCGCAAAGTACCTTACCTTATCTATCCTAGGGGTTCGGTTCATGGATGGTGAGTACCTAGGGAAAATGCATACCTGCCTTACCTTAACCTAGTAAGACATTAGTTTGCTTATTTAGTGACTTTCCCAGGTATATCCATTATATATATGTGTTCCGTGGATACATACGGTATACATATCCTACCTACATAGGCATATATCTCATACTTTAGGTATCTATCTATCAATTTATCTACATAAGCACATATATTCCGTGTATGAGTGAGTTCGCTCCCAATTCGGTGGTTCTCTTCCGTTGCGGCTACTGCACCTCACTCAGAAAATTTTCCATAACCCGTCTTCAGGGTTCCGATAATCTATCGAAGCCGGCCCTAACGATTTTTTTGCTTCCTTGAAGACGCAGCAGTAATGAAACCCTGTTAATTCCATAACAAACGCCGTCTGCAAGGCGTACGTCACCGGCTTCGGATTCAGATCATCATCCGCTCCTCCAGATCCAGACAGAAACTCGGACTTGTTAAACTCCTTAGACACCGCAATTCACCTAGGTGCGTTTAGTGCTTTTTAAGTGTGTTTGCGGTTGAGATTCTGGGTGTGTTGCGTGCGTGCGTGCGTTGGGTACCTATACCTATACACACATACGTATACATACGCACATATACACATACATACACATAACGTACGTACCTTTACCCAATTCCTATTCCCTATCCCCCCTGGGTCTTCCGCAAAGGTTTACCCACACTCACGGCGTCTGCGCTTATCCTCGTCCTGCTTTCCAATAATTCAGGCCTCATAACTGGCCGCTTCTCGCGTCACCTGGTCAAGCCGTCTGCAGAAGCAAGCCGCGGGAGAGAGTAGGCACACGCGCATATTATTATACCTTGTGCTATACTTTTGCTTATACTAAACACAATTATTATTGTCATTATTATGAAATTTCATCAAGCGGACTTTCTAATTGCGGCCCGATCATAGGACCCTAGCCACCTTCGTCGTTATCAATTCTACCGTACGGTACGGGCCAGTTCCCCCTAGTCAGTTCAGTTTGCGAGCCCAGAGCCCAGCATCCAGTGTGTAAGTCAAGTCAAGTCAAGTCAGTCAGTCACTCAGTCAGTCCAGTCAACAACTAGGCACGTTCGTCATAACGTACATCAGCATCCATGACACCCCAACGTCCCGTTTGTCGATCTATACCTTCATTGCGTCGTCCCTTTGGGGGTGTTTTCCCATCCATGTTAATATTGACAATATAGCGGACCACACTACTGAAAGTATCGCCCACCGGATCTCAGCCCGAGTCAGCCCTTCTTCTCTTCTCTGCACCTTTCTACTCAGCTACCTCGGCTTACATCCAGGGTGACCTGAACGGTGAACCACGGTTGTGTGTGCTTTTTTAACATTGCAACAATCTTATGAGCCCTAGTTACCGACACAAGAGCGACCCAAGTACCAGGGTGACCAAGATATAGCAAACTTCACAAACCCATACATACATAGTATTTAAGAAATTACCGGAGAAAAAGAAGGAGACGCTGGCAACCAGAAAATAACACCTTGATCTTGATCTTCGTATAGCCTCACCGCTGTATGATCTAGTCTTCTAAGGATATCCCCTCTAGGTAGTTGTCAGTACTTCTTCATCTAGACAGTCGCGTCGCTTCTGCCGTCGATCCACTTGCTTGGCCTCAGCAAAGCCCGCTGACTGGGTCTGCAAGGTTTTTCTTGCAATCAAGTCGCATAGACGTCGTTCCCACCCCCGGAGTCGGCAGAGGCTATCCGTTACATATCGGCAAAGCGTAGCGAACGTCTGCTACCGCCGGCCCGACTCGTGGCGCTTGAGACGTTGTGTGACTAGCTGGTTGTCGAGTCCCGGTGCCAGGTGGTTCTAGGGTTCTAGACGCGTTTGTGTGTGTGCGTGTGTGCCCGCTCGCAAACTACGTCCTCCCCACAGCACAGCTAGAACCAGACACAACGAGGCGAATTACTTCCACAATAAACTTCTTCCAACCCTTTGGTACCAACCTGGTCCTTGTCCCCAACTTCGCGTTAGCGTCTCCACCAAGGCTATTCGCACAGACGCTATTCTGTCAGGTCGTCCTATCTTTCGACGTCTCCGATTAAAAGTAGTCCATTCACCCGCCACCAAGCGCAAGCCCTCTTCTTTCCGCTCGGTCCCCCTCCGAGCCTGGTACTGTCTAGAGTTGCGAATATCTAGCAAACAACCCCTGGACATTCGTGCTACCGGTCTCGTGTCTTGTCCTGGTCGATTCCTGGCTCTAGTTTTTCACTATGAGCTCCGAGACGTCGCAACACACGTCTGTCAATGGCGTCGTGATGCGGGACCATCTACAGCAGCCGGTCGAGCGAGTGACTGACCAGTTGGAAATCCCTTCGCTAGACGACCGCGCATATCGCGTTATACGTCTCCCGAATAAATTAGAGGCGCTATTGGTTCATGATCCCGAAACAGACAAGGCCAGTGCAGCTCTCGATGTCAATGTCGGTAACTTTAGCGATGAAGATGATATGCCAGGCATGGCCCATGCCGTGGAACATGTAGGTCTTTCTGTTGAGTTGGGACTGCGAAGCTTTTAGCTGATAAAATACTTTCTAGCTTTTATTCATGGGCACTAAGAAGTATCCGGTAGAGAACGCATACAACGTATACCTCTCTTCACATTCAGGAAGCTCGAATGCTTATACCGGAGCTACTTCGACCAACTACTTTTTCGACATTGCCGCCAAGCCAAGCAACGGCGAAGAACCCTCTGAGACAAATTTGTCCCCTCTGTATGGCGGTCTAGATCGATTTGCTCAGTTTTTCATCGAGCCCCTATTCCTATCGTCAACACTAGAACGTGAGCTACGTGCCGTCGACTCTGAGAATAAGAAGAATCTGCAGAGCGATCAATGGCGTCTTAATCAACTAGAAAAGTCTCTGTCTAACCCCAAGCATCCTTACTGCCACTTCTCGACAGGAAGCTTCGAGGTACTCAAAACGCTACCCGAATCTAAAGGCATAGACGTACGACAAAAGTTCATCGATTTTCATGCAAAGCATTACTCAGCCAACCGGATGAAGCTATGTGTCTTGGGTCGAGAACCGCTTGATGTCCTTGAAAAATGGGTGGTCGAGCTGTTTTCTGATGTGCCGAATAAGAATCTTCCTCAGAATCGCTGGGAAACCGAAGTACCGTTTGCGAAGGAGCATCTGTCGATGCAATGTTTTGCCAAGCCAGTCATGGACTCGAGAGAACTGAATCTGTATTTCCCATTCCTTGACGAGGAGCTCCTTTTCGAGACGCAACCGAGCCGATACATTAGCCACCTGATTGGTCACGAGGGTCCCGGCAGCATAATGGCGTACCTGAAATCCAGAGGATGGGCGAACTCATTGAGTGCTGGTGCATACCAAATATGTCCGGGTACTCCCGGCATTTTCGACTGCCAGATACGGTTGACGAAGGAGGTGAGAAAAATAGTATAACACGCTTGGGAGATTTATCCGCTAACACACTGATCTAGGGCTTGAAACATTACCAAGAGGTCGTCAAAGTCTTCTTCCAATACGTATCGCTTCTCAAGCAAACGCAGCCGCAGGAGTGGATATTCGAAGAGCAGAAGGGTATGGCGGATGTTGACTTCAAGTTTAAGCAAAAGACTCCAGCAAGCCGCTTTACGAGCAAGATATGCGCCATCATGCAAAGACCATTGCCTCGAGAATGGCTACTCAGCGGACAAAGTCGCCTACGGAAATTCGACCCTGAGGCCATTGTTAAAGGGGTACAACTCCTACGACCCGACAACTTCAGAATGACCATTGTGTCTCGAGATTTCCCTGGAAATTGGGACCAGAAAGAACAATGGTACGGCACAGAATATAAGGCCGAGAAGATCCCCGAGGAATTCCTGGCCGAAATTTCCAAGGCGCTGAACTCTGCGAAAGAGGAACGTCTTCCAGCTCTCCACCTTCCTCATAAGAACCAATTTATTCCGACCAAGCTAGAAGTAGAAAAGAAAGAAGTTGAACGACCAGCTCTAGCACCGCGAGTAATCCGAAACGACGAAATAGTACGGACATGGTATAAGAAGGATGATACATTCTGGGTCCCGAAGGCGAATTTGATTGTCAGTGTCAAGAACCCGATTATCTTCGCATCGGCAGAAAATTCGGTCAAGTCGAAGCTATTTACAGACCTAGTAAGAGATGCACTAGAGGAATATTCATACGATGCCGAGCTTGCTGGGTTGCAGTATAACGTTAGTCTCGACTCTAGGGGTTTGTTCGTCGAGGTTTCCGGTTACAACGATAAGTTGCCGGTATTACTGGAACAGGTTCTCATTACGATGCGAGATCTCGAGGTTAAGGACGAACGATTTGAAATCATTAAAGAGAGATTGACTCGTGGCTATAAAAACTGTGAATTGCAACAGCCATTTACCCAAATCGGCGACTATGTGTCATGGCTCACGTCCGAGCACGATTTCGTCGTGGAGCAATTAGTGAACGAATTACCTGGAATTACAGCCGAGGGTATTAGGCATTTTTACAATCAAATCATGTCGCAACTACATATTGAGGCTTATGTACATGGAAATGTATACAAGGAGGATGCTCTCAAGTTAACCGACATGATTGAAAAGATACTGAAGCCTCGCGTCCTTGCAAAGGAAGAGTGGACTATCATTCGATCATTGAATTTTCCTGCGGGATCAAACTTCCTTTTCCAGAAAACATTGAAGGACCCTGCCAACGTCAACCACTGCGTTGAGTACTACCTTCACATAGGCGACAAGGGAGATCGATTAGTCCGCGCCAAGACACAACTTCTGGACCAAATCATCCACGAACCGGCTTTCGATCAGCTCCGGACCAAGGAGCAGCTTGGTTATGTGGTCTTCAGCGGCCTGCGAAGTTCTGCCACAACTTATGGGTTCCGCTTCATCATACAGAGCGAACGTACCTCAGAATACCTCGAATCTCGTATCGATTCCTTCCTTACTACACAGACTACCTCGCTTGAGAATATGAGCGATGCAGACTTCGAAAGCCACAAGAGAAGTGTGATCATTCGACGTCTGGAGAAATTGAAGAATTTGGACCAGGAGACCGGACGGCACTGGGCACAGATAAATAATGAATATTATGACTTTGAAGCAGGTATAGTGCAATATTATCCCTAGACTTTTCGAGTACGCTGACTAACAATTCCTACAGCCCAGCGAGATGCGGCCCAAGTAAAGCAACTTACAAAACCAGAGATGGTAAAGTTCTACGCAACCTACATCAAACCTACGTCACCGACAAGAGCAAAATTGGTAGTACAGCTCATCGCACAAGGTGTCGGATCCAAGGCAAAAGAAGCCGAGGAAACCAGCAACGGAGACACAACGGCAGTTTGGTCAAACGGTACAGAACCAGTCTTGATTCAGAACGTAAGGGATTACAAGGCAAGACTGTCGGTGACGGCAGGGGCTCGCCCGATTAGGGATCTCGGTGAATTTGAAGAGATAGACTCTAAGCTTTGAGCAAATGGCAAGAGGAAGCGTTTGGTAGATGTTAGAACGCAAAGAATTATACCCTTTTGTTTGCATAATACATTATAGCATGTTTTTAATTATTGATTGAGGACGTCTCTGTGGTGTGTTTCGGGGTGAATATCGAATTGTTGAAAATCTATAGGAATAAACGGCCGTGAGAATATAACTGGTCTTAACGGAAAAGTCGGGAGGCTGGTAACATTGTCTCATAGGTGAATCTTTTGCTGACTTAGGTCTCCTATAGAAGACTTTCTAGGGTACTTAGGTACCTAAGAAAAAGAAGGTTGGGACTATTTCCGTCCTAGCTTCAGCGTTTGCGCAGCCTACAATTGGCAGAATTCGTAAGGCTTGCCTTCCCGAGGGTTGAAATTTTCGGTACCTATGCTGTACCTGCTAACTAAACGCACTTCCCCTCTACGGGATGCAAATTTCATAATATCATACATCATTTATACGACGCTGTATCCACATTTGGTCGATTTTTTCATCTATTCTCACTTTTAGGGCGTCATTTTTTGGGCTGAAGTGCACAAATCGCCAAGATCATGTAGGTACCCAGGTGATTGTACCTGGATCAATTATACCTAACCCAAATCCCTTTCATCCCTTCAATGTTTTTAAATAAACAATGAATGCTTCAATCAATCAATAATCCGATTTCACATGTTGTGCTTACTTATGTACGTACTCATGTACGTACCTCAGAATCATTTATGTACACTCTAGTGCTGGTGACTTGTCAAACAGGTGGGTACATGTACATACCTACATACATGCATGTATGCTACATGTATGTACTTTGGACCTTAAGGCTGGCAGAATAGGCAACCACAGGTGTAGGTAAGGTACTTCCAATTCTGTTCGGCGCTATGCACATACGTCGGGTGCCTTCCCTCGTTTTTTTTTTTTTAGGTACATCCACTCGCTAAGTTTTCAATGTGTACGGCGGTCGCGCCTGCTGTTTACCTTCGTACCTACCTAGCGTAAGTATCCACCCTAGTGCACTTTTATTTTTTCAACCCACTGCGCCGAACCCCAAATTATTCACGTCAACGCTGAACATACCTAACTTGTGGCGCATCAGTTTGCTTGTATTGGTCCCTCATCCCATGAAGAGTCCCCATTCACCTGAATAAAAAAAAAAAAAGGGAATAACTTGGACTACATCTTCTAAGCAAAAATCAAAGGAACCCCGAAGATTCCAGCGGTTGGACAACGGGGCCAGCTTATAAAGAGATTTTAACGGGCACAGATTATCATAATTAATTTGTGTCAGACACGTACCGCATACCGCATACAGCAAGCATACCGCCGCATTTCACTGTGCACTCAGCTTTTCCCACCTACCTAACATATGTAATAATTAGAAGGTGTACCACCAATGACCTGGTCACCTTTTGCAAGCGGAAACAAACAACCAGTAATTATTCGGCGGACCGCGTAAGATCCCTTTCACAATACATATCTCTACACGAACGTCTTGCCTATAATCACGCCTTTTAACTATCGCCGACTTTTCTTTTCTCAGAGCTGCTCAAAAGGCAGCTCGCCGCCAAAACGTCTTCCTCAAAGAAAAGAAAGATTTCTACCCGCCAATCCGCCGCTAAAGACGAGAGCTTAGATCGCAGCACTTCCCCGGACACGCCTATCCAATCCTGCGAACAAGATACCGATCTTAATTATTCATTCTCCGCGTCCTCCGATAACCTTGCCTGCCCCGGAACAGACTCTATCCCTCCGGCTTCGAGTCTCCCCCCTCGATTGCAGACCAACACGAGCTCACTCGGTTACGCCGACTACACATCCTCCGCTGCCAGCTCTCCATCGGGCGCCTACGCTGATCTGACCATAAATAGTGACCGTGGTGCTGACACCCCAGCGCCCGAGCTGGGTCCTGGTGCTGCCGGCTTATACCCTCCTGGCAGAGCCAACTCGCCTTTCACCAAAACTACTCATCACCGTGCTGTTATGGGCGGCGCGGCCGACTTCCCCGACAGAGCATCGTCCCCTCTAAAACGCCGTGCTTCTAGTATGGACCCCGATACCGTAGAACAAGACGCAACCGAAGACGTAGATATGATCACAGCACCAGCCTCGGACACATCCCCAGATCCTTCTGGTGGGGCTACAGGAGCTGATAACTCCGCGACTAGTGTGGATTCTACAACAGAAAGCCAAGATAATATGCAGACAGAGAAGTCGGAAGAGAAGACAGAAGAACCAATACAGATGATGGACGTGTCGCCAGGTAATGTCGCAAATTGAAAGAAAAATCATAATGGTGGCAGCTGACCAACTGACTACGTGCAGTGCACCAGCCACCAGCCTCGATAGAAGCCCACGTGAAAGCCATCGAAGCACTTGTGGAAGAACAGAGCGCCCAATCACTTAAAGAGGGTCAAGAGTGTTTCTTAGTCTCAAAAACCTGGCTGGCTAAAGTACCATACAAGTCGTCATCGAAGCACGCCTCCGAGGAATTGACCTTAATACCACCTGTTGATAATTCGGACATAATTGAAGAGGTCATAACTGACCCATGCGTTGGTGAGACGGTTGATATTCTGAAGAGGAAGTTTGTACGGTTGAAGCAGGGTTATGATTCAGAACAATTCACGGCTTTCCCTCGATCTGCCTGGGATCTACTTATGCAATGGCCCGGATTAAAGGAGGATCAGTTGCCTATTCAGCGCTTCGCCCATGCCACAAAGGATGATGGTACGAACGTCATGTGGGAATGGCACCCACCTGTGCTCACTATATACCGACTCTGGTCTGCAATTAGCGAGTTGCCCGTTGATGCAGCCTTGAAGGCCAATAATCCACCGCCGCCGAGGCTCGTCCGCAGTCGTTCGACGAAGTTCCAGACTTTTCTGAAGCAAGCAAAGAGGGTAACACAAATAGATCTGCCGCAGAGGGTTCGAGCTTGGAGTGTGCTAAGCCCACCAATTTCCGAGAATAATACAGAGCCTCAGCCCTGGAAACACCTTTTATTGGATGTGGAATCATTTTTGGCTCTTGAGAGAGGTGGAGAAAGAGATCTCGTTGATTTTAGCGACCAGACAACCCATCAAAACGCGAAGACAGTCAAGACACTCAGTTTTTTTAGCATCTCGCAAGACCAGGCAATTGTTCTAGATCCACATGAGAGTGGTAACAATTGGACATCAACTTTAACGACTACTCAATCCCGTACCGCATTGCCTTCCAGAGGCAGCGCCGCCAACCTTGTTACTCAAAAGAACAACACCACTAAAAGCGGTCGGACTAGTCCAGTATATTCTAAGCCATTAACACGTGGTCGAGCCAAGGGATCCGACCGAGTCGCCGGTTGTGTTGGATTAGCTAATCTAGGTAATACTTGTTATATGAACGCCGCCATTCAATGCGTAAGAAGCGTCGAGGAGTTAACAAAATACTTCCTTGTGGGAGAATGGAAGAGGGAACTCAACAGAGAAAACGTTCTCTCCCACAATGGTGACGTGGCCGCGGCCTATGCCCATTTATTGGAAGATATTTACAAGGATTCAGCACCACTTTCCGTGAGCCCCAGGCAATTTAAGACAACAATTGGGCGATATTCGGCTGGGTTCTCTGGTTATGGCCAACAAGATACCCAAGAGTTTCTTGGCTTCTTATTAGACGGTCTGCAGGAAGATCTTAGCAGGATCAAAAAGAAGCCATATATCGAAAAGCCAGATTCTACCGATGAGATGGTCAACGATCCCAATGCCATTCGCGCAATGGCAGAAAAAGTCTGGGATATAACTAAAAAGCGTGACGATTCCGTCATTGCCGACCTTTTCACCGGTCTGTACAAGTCGACACTCGTTTGTCCAGAATGCGGGAAAGTCAGCATTACGTTCGACCCATTTAACAATTTGACCCTGCCTCTACCTGTGGAAAACAAATGGACTTTCACCATTATATTTTGTCCACTGAATGACCGGCCGATTAATATCAGAGTTGAGCTAGACAAACATGCCAGCATCAAAGCTCTCAAGGAGTTTTTGTCTGCTAAGACAGGCGTACCAGCCGAGCGCTTGTTCGGCGCAGAAGAATGGAGCGGAAAATTCTACAAGTTCTACTCTGATCTTGCCTCTGTTTCCGAGGAAATTGCCGACAGGGATCATGTTTGGTTCTTTGAGTTGGAAGCCAAACCCACCAACTACGGTGGCAAGGCACCAAAACCACAAAAATATGGTGTAACAGTTAGGTCATTAGTTGACGAAGAGGAACACAACTCTTCAGCATCGTGGGATGATGAACAAGCCAGGAAGTTACTTGTTCCGGTCTTTCACCGGGTTGTGTTACCTAAGAAGACAGCTTACCACTCGATCAAATTCGAGAGGGCATGCGTTCCGCACTTCATTATTGTCTCACCCGAAGAGGCTCGAAGTGAAGACGCCATTCGCCGCAAGATATTAGAAAAAGTAGCGACGTTCACGACACGCGATATTTTCTCACGTGAGGAGTCCGATGGGTCTGACAGCACGGAACCCGAAATGATAGGGTTAGGCGGTTCGGACGCTGGATCATCTAACGAAGGCCGAGTCGTTGCCCAGTCTGTTAAAGGCGAGGATGACATGGTCGATGTGCAGATGAACGACGCTAGTGACGACAAAGGTCCTAACGGAAGGTATGTCCCACAACCCCTTCAGTGGTCTAGAGATAGTATACTAATTGATTTTCAGCAAATCCTCCTCTAGACAACCATACTACAACAAAAGACCCTCGTGGGTGGACACCAACAAATTCTTACCCCCCCAAATACAGAACTTGTTTGACTTGTCCTATACTTCGGAACCGGGCGCCTGGCTACCAACCGGTATGAACGCTGGTAGCGAGGACAGGCAGTACCCAAGACTCTCGACTAGAGCTCCAATCGACTCTCCGTCGTCAGAAGATCTCGACAATGCGACAAACGGCACAGCCTCAAACGAGGAGTCTAGCTCAGATGAGTCGCCTCAGCGAAGTTCAGAACAAGCTCTTACGCGGATGAATGAGGAAAGTGACGAAGAAAACATAAATCCAGTTACTAAGGTACGCAGACGGTGCAATTTCAGACTCAACCCCCGCGACTTTCGTCTCAATAAGAAACATTGCTCTTCTACTACGCCTAAACTAACACATAAACAGTCCACAATGCAAAACCAAAGACAGGGTAAACCAGCCAAGTATAAGGGTAAGAACGGACGCGGCCAGAAGCACTCTAAACAACCTAAATCCTACGGGAAGGGTAGCAAGAAGAAACTCCGCCAACAACAACGTCAGAATAAAGAGAGAGAACAAAACCTGGACGCCCAGTACGCTTTCAACACTAACGACACCGGCCCCGATGGAGGTCCCTTAATCCGACTTAAAGAGGCTCTCGTTGTTGACTGGTCTGAGGATGCCTACTTCCGCGTTTTCGGTGAATCCAATGGCAAAGATCCAAACGGTGTACCTGTTACTCTATTTTCGACATGGGGACAAGACTATTGTGAGACCCTACCTGACCCCGAACTGGAGAAGGCCCAGGCGGCGCGAACTAAGAGGCGCAAACACGGCACATCCCTCGAGGCATGTCTTGACGAATTCGAAAGAGAGGAAGTTTTATCTGAACAGGATATGTGGTATTGTCCCCGCTGCAAGGAACATCGACGCGCTACCAAGAAGTTCGACCTATGGAAAACGCCAGATATCTTAATTATCCACCTAAAGCGATTTAGCTCCAGTGGCTTTAGGAGAGATAAATTGGAGGTTTTAGTGGACTATCCCCTCGAAAACTTAGATATCACTTCCCGGGTGCTTCAAAAGGAAGATGGTAAGCTGGAAGTCTACGATCTTATCGGAGTTGACCTCCACTGGGGTGGCTTAGGCGGTGGTCATTACACCGCCCATGCGAAGAACTTCGTAGACGGCCAATGGTACACATATAACGGTATGGTTTTCTTACCTGGGATATGCATTGCATATTCGCTAACACTTTTAGATTCCTCGGTGCACCATGTCGCTCCTAACAGGATCGTTGAATCAGCTGCGTACTTGTTATTCTACCGCAGACGATCCGATAAGCCCCTTGGCGGTCCTCGGTTCCAGCGGATATTGGACAGTTTTTCTGAGTCCGAGTCTGACGACGAATTGCCACAATCGGGGGAAGGTCAGCGTCTCGGCGAAGGCTCCTCCCGGATTGGGTCGTCGAGCGCACCACAAGGAGTAAAAGCTACTCGCCTGCCAGGAAAGGCTGGTGGTAATTCAACCATGGATTTAGTCCTTGCCAACCCAACTAACGACTGGAAGGGAGCCAATAACATCAATGGTGTCACCGGGAATTCTACTCGAGGTATCCACCAGAGCATTGAAGAAGACGAAGGTATCGACCTAACCGAAGACCAAGTGCGATCAGACGGCTTCCAACCACTTACAAACAGCAATTCTTGGAGCTTTAACAAACTGGTCAGCGAAGCCGGTACTGATACCGAGAATGTCCCCGAGGAGAGTCCTTTTGATTCCGGCGCTGCTTCGGACGAGGCCCAGCATGATTCATCTGGCGACGAACGATTGCATAGTCCGCGCATTCTCGACTTTGACTCAAGCCCCGAGCCCAAGTATCCAGGCATGTCTTCTTATGAATTACCACCCCAAGCCGGGACAAACCAGAATTCTTTCAACGAGCCATCATATTCTGAGTATCGTAACGGAATAACGGAAGATGATAGTAACCAGATCTGGGATCAGAATCAGAAAATTCACGCAATTCCACCTGACGGGGAAATTGACGCGCCATCTGAAGATGCGGCGGAAATCCACCTAGATGATGATGATAAGATCAAACTAGGATAGTTACCACATCTTTACCTAGGTATAAAGCATCATTTGCCAGCAGGAGAACGCATTAGATAAGAATGGGAACATGCTTTCCAAGTCGGGACCATTTCTGCTCTCGTCTATTTGCAGGACTTTCGATACCTGTGAGATTAGATGGTGAGCAGGAAGTTCATCGACTGCCACGCATATTTCGAACAATACTGAAGTATGCATCCACACACACTGATGCGTGGCATGGCAAACAGCGGCATCTGGAGCGGTATGCGTCATGGCTCCATGGTGGATACACCGCAAGACATGAACGTAGGCCGTGACCTATGAGATACGACCGACGATGCATTACGATGACGATAAGGACAGGTAGATACGCAAAAAGGAGAGAAGGAATATATGAAACTCGCCTTTTTTGGCTGAATCCTAGTTCGATCGGTATGATGGGTGAGAGGGTTTGGAGGGCGGATTATGCATTGCATCACCTTCGGTCGCACTTGGTCATCGCCCATTGGTATTGGTAGTTCTACCGGTGTCTCGTGGGGATACGATACAGTGTGAATAGACTGGCTTGCATTTATTCGTTTTTGTGCTAGTACTGTTGTGACGTGATGTGATGTGATGCTGGCCTTGCGTTGGCAATGTTGATTCAGAGAAAACTAGCGTGCCTTCGTTGTGATTCATATGAAGGGTCTTTGGGTGTAGTCATAACATGCATTTTTGTTGCAAGTAGCTCGGTGTAATTGTGCTAAGCTAGCACGTAGATGACCGGAGTAGGCGGAGTTGGCTAGAAGAAACAGTCGGTAGTTAGGCCTTGCGGGTAGCGAGTATTGACCATGTTATGTACCTAGGTCGGTGATTCAGGTGTGAGGACTACTATCCGGACGAAGCATCGTGCGCTATATCCCTGCCTACCTAGCCTACAAGGTACCCGGGTAGGTACCTATAAGACCACAATCTGCCAACGCCCGAAGAATCGTTTCTCCGGACATAGCAGACCTACGTATCTGTGTTATGGATGTTCTTCACCAGTGTATGAGCTTCATCTCTAGGCCAAAATTGTGTATATCATTATTATGCTATCGACTATAACACATATCTAGCTAGAAAGTAAAAATAAGAGGCTTAGGTCACCGAAGAACAGCTACCTAGGTAGGCATGATAGCGCCAGGGTTGTTCATATGCGGTCCCCCTCTTCCTGCAGCCACTCGGCGGCCTCACATGACACCTTTACCGAAGACGGAGTAGATTCACAGTTCACTAGCCATAGCGAGTTGATATTCGTATCAAGTTCATGCACGACTACCTAGGTGTATACTTGTGGTAAACTAGCCGCGCTTCGGACATTGCTGCGCTCGTAAGTATACAACGAATGAGTCCGAAAAATAGTCCTGCGTCTCGATCTATGACAAACGGATTGCTAGAACCTTACAAATGATAATTGGTCCCGACGATGTGAAGCGAGGAGTCTTCTCCGTGTGAAGTCGTATTGTATATTCCCCAGGCTGGATTGGACCCGATGCGAGCGATGCGAGCAACTTTCGTGAAGATACCTGGATGGAAGTTTAGATATTCTTCGCGGCCAAATAGCTGCCTCTAATACAATTCGGACCATGTGGTACCCACTAGCCGGACGAGGTCCGAAGTGCCTCCGCGTTTGGATTAGAAAAGTGTAAACTTAGGTTGATCTTGGAAGAACGAAGGGGAATTCTAAAACTAGCGACTCGCTGTATACCGAAGAAATGCATGGTCGTATTGGAGGCTTGCTTTATTCGGAGGCTCATAGACGGACGATAAGCTCGAAAACACATGGCGAATCGGACTCTCGACCCACTGCTGGTAAATTCTCCGAGCAAACACTTCTAGACTTACATATTCGGGACAAGCTATTTCTCGAGCAATTTTCTCAATTTCCGACATTTGCGCTTGGTCTTCATCAGAAGTTCCCATTCAGGAGACACGACACGTCAGCTTACCTGGAATCTTCAATCTCATAATAGTATATCGAAATATATGTGGTATACATCGTTAGGCAACAGGGGTTGTTCCCGGCGGAGTCTTGAGATCTGTGTTCTCGGTGCGTAGGAACGACTGGACCCTTTGCATCGGTCTAGTGTCTCTTTTCAGACCTATTCCCAGCTGTGGTAGCCGATCACATTCGCGGGAGTAGGAATACGACTCTGATCACACGATGTTCGCCGGCGTGCTGGTGCCTCAGACTGAGACAAATATAGAAAACCACATTGATGAATGGACGAGCGTAGGACGATTGGTACAAGATGACGACAATCGGTTGTACTAGGTAGAAGCCTTGCCAGCGTCGGTGATATTCTTGGCTGCGGAGGGCTTGTCAGGGCAACGAGGCAACCAAAATGTGGATATAGGTGGACATAGGTAGGTGTGTACGGGATATTCCGCTGCTACGTAAAATGCAGGTCTGGACCCCAAAAGGGGGTTGGATCGGACGGCAATGTGAGGAGAAAGCAGAGTCATGCTTTTTGCAACCGTATGCGGCAAGCATATATCTACATTTCTCTACGCTAACTTCGCCAGGGGGCTTGATAAGAAATGTGGCTGCAGTCAAGCCCTCGGAAATTTCGGTGATCCGAGAAGAGGTTTCATCGCGTTTTGTGTAGATACCTGCGTATCTTGAGTGTTTAGAAAAAGGTATGGTGGGAGATGCAGTATCATAGTAAGGCTCAAGGCTGAGCATGACTGAGGCGGTGAAAGACGGTCAAGATTTTCTTTTATTGAAGTTTGTTGACGTTTAGAAAATCGGCATCACATGTGTAATTTTTAGATATAGAAGGTGTGTTGTCTCAACGTTTCGACAAGGCTTAGCATCTGGACTATAGACCACCATCGCCGCTTGTCAAAGCAAGCCCCATTCGTAGAAGTTGGCACAAATAACGCATTTTCTCGGGAGAAACAGGGGAATGGGTCGTGTACGGACATTGAAGGCTACTGGTTCGGTATAAAATAAATTATACTCTTACCACGTTGTCTTGGCTGTTCGTGAAACCTGGGGAAGGTGTACCGACCGGAACGACCCTGGTGTTTTAACACACGATGACAGATGACATGTAATAATACCACTCATGATCTGATCCAGGTATATTGGAGGAAATGCGAGTTACGAGCATCGGGATGGCCTTCAGACTAAGCTTGCGTGTACCGAACGGTGATAATTCGAAGGCAGCCAGCCATCTCGGATCCGGATAGGCCAGATAGGTTTAGATCTCGCCTTTGCTTAGCCTTGCTGCTTCGTCAATCGCGTCACATTCCGGCGATCCGGTCGCAGCCCCCAGACCAGATAAGAAGGTAAGTAATGAAAGACGGAGCCTTTGCGATCCATAGACATTCGAGAGCCGCGCATACATCCACCTACGTAGACCGAGACAGGCAGGTTAGGAGGGGATAGGAATGGATGGAATGGACGTATGAGAGCAGAGAAGTGGAAAGAAAGTAGAGATCTTCTCGAACACTTGCAGCACTTTTTTTAAGCTTGGGTCAGGGATGCAGGGACAAAGAAGACAACGGAGAATAGATCCGACAGCCTCGATTTGTGTGATGTTTTGCGTGGGTGGGGTCTAGTATAAAAGTATAAAAGTATAAAATAAACCGACAGATCTCTTTTCTCTTTAGTTTTAGTCACAATTGTCCTAATTTGTAAGAGGAAGGTCCTTAGAACCTGGAAAGACCGGGCGGTACAGTTGCCCTTTAGGGGCGACACAGCCGAATATGACTAATACATATATCATGTTTTCGAAGTTAAAAAGGGGTGCTAATGGTGCTAATAGTGCTAGACTGGGGGTACTAAATTCTGTAAGTGCGCCGGGGTAGTACCTGTCGACAGAATTCAGGGACCCGGAAGGAAGACTTGAGATTAAATGCTTGTATAATTCAAACGGGGTATTGCGTCGAACCAAAAGCAAGGATAAGGTACATCTAGATACCTAAGCTTCGTAGACGGGTACTTACGATGAGTCCAACAGCTTGGCAGGATTCGAGGCTTAATTTGAAGGATACCTGCCTACACAACTCCAGTCTCTTCCTTCACGTATTAACCTACATGTACATACATAACCTAGCCACATAGCTATACATATGTAGCTCAATCCATCATTCTAATAATATGTTTATAAAGGAAAGCGCGCTTATTTCAACTCCTCATTTATTTAGAGTATTGTATATAGCATGCTAGAATAACGCGTGCAATGTGCAAAATCGCAAAATCGCAAAACGACCATTGCTTTTGGAAAGACAATTCTTGATTCGCTCAAGGCGTAGGTAGATAGATACCTAGGTAGTTTTCCTGTGGAAAGGCCGGCAAATTAGATTTGTGCGACTGTACGTACATAAGTAATACATGACTACGTAGCCGTACTTATGTACATCCGTTATTTCATGGCAACGGTTGAAAATCTATCATGACTTGCTTGACTTGCTTAATTAAGTAAACTCGACGGACTTATAAACTCTTGTAGTAGACGATGAGTCATTTGCGGGTACTATACTGTCAAGATTCGTCTCTAAACTACAGTAGTAACTATTGTAGACCGGCTTCCTTTCCATTCTTGGGGTTTCTTGAACATCCTAATCGTGATAATCGTGAAAACTTCAGCTGTCATGAATTGTAATAGGATAAGAAAACAAAAGTACCCGGACCGACACAGAGTCTCCCGGACCTCCCGCTTACGCCTGAACCCTTGCCAGCTGAGTGATAAGGCCAATCAGGGACATGAGACTCGTTCGCATCGGTTCGTTCGTAGATTGGTTTGATGACGATGATGAATATGTGTTTGTAATGACATCGATATCGCCTGGTCGAACAATAAGAGTAATCTAAACCACGTTAGAATTGACGGAATTGATCTTCGCAGGCTGCGTAGGTTGCGAACTGCACAAGCAGACGAGGTAGATGAGTTGATAGATGATCATCCAAAAGACTCCGAGCTAAAAAGGCAAGAAAAGTAAAAAAGGTGCACCCTGTATCATCGCGCACGTACCTACAATATGTACGTATGTACCTTGCCTACCCTGCCAGCCTGCTTGGGTACGAACATACTTGATGTACTTCCGAGGTTCACGAATTTCGGTGGTGCATGGACTAGCCCATCATTGGTTGGATGAATCCACCTTTCCCGCTTTTCCCACTTTCCCACATTTCCTTCCTTTTCCCTTCTACTTCTAAGACTGTTCGCTACAGGCTTCCATAAGCCTTCTGGAAGCCTTCGAAGCCGGCTAGAAGCCCTTCCATGGTTGCCCATCCAGGCAGGGGGCACCCGGGCCACCACGCAGGGAACTGGCTATCACAACCACTCACATCCACTCCTTCCCTGAAGCTTGTCGATTTTTAGCGGACTTTGCTTACGATGCTCGCATGGTACCAAAAGACGTAAGCTGGACCTGAGTCGCTCCTCGATAGCTGACTGGACGGCAGCTCCGAGGGCCTATCGCGAAGGTTGGGACTTTTTATTCGCACATGTATTCACCACTTTCACCATCAATTTCGCCATCATCCTCATTATTGGTTATGATAATCGCATCCATTATTAACAAAACCATTAGCAGATAAAATATATGAAAGCTCCAAATTTACCAATTACTTTAACCATCAGCCGCACGGACCAGAGAACAATCTACTACCCGTATAGTGTACCTTATCCTAGGCTTATAAGGTAAGGTAATAAAAAGCAGCGCGCGCCTACATCTATCGGATGGATATACATGTACAAATACGTGTACCACTAGTACGGGATATACGGGCGTGCCTACAACTTTTTATGTACAGAACTCTGAAGAGGGCAGGTCGATGGGGGGTCAAGCAACCAATACGTACCATATCTACAGTAAAAACTCAATCTGGGTCGGGAAGGTACCTATCATGGTAAGAGGGGTACGACGGGACTTGTACACTTACAGCTACCAACGAGCGCTATCTGTACCGTCTGTACCATGGCTCCGCGTACCTAAGTAGCGTGTCTTCCCTGGCACGTATCGTACGTGCGAACTTTTCCCAGGCGGGCTGGCGGGCCAGGGCTGTTCTTGCTCGAAATTGATGAGATGCAAGTGGCATGTCAATCCGCACACGATGGCAATGATTGACGGCCCCCAACTCGGTCGCGTCTCCAAAAGCGCATTTTCGACCCAAGACTTTGATGCAGATGCGACCAATATCTTGAAACCAACCATAATCACAACTACGACGGCATTTTCCATATACATACATACATCATCATTGAGCCTATAAGCTATTTCGTTATCTTTATCTCTTATTTCTATAGGCACATCATAACGTCTAGTCTTAACCCTACGGCCTACATTAAATTCCCCCCTCCTACATCCATGTTATGTTCCTTCTCCGTGGTAAAAAAACGACATTGTAATTCCTATGAGCGCACAAGAGACTTACACAAGATTGGGTTGCTGCAACATTAAACCTACCACCCCCATATACTTAAGATACATACTACCCAGGTTTAGGTACTTACCAACCACCCTGACGGGACCCGTTCCATTACGCCTACGATCCTCCTACTGGGATTCTTTAACTTTAATACATGTACCTCCATAAATACTACGGTACAACAGATGTACTCAGATGCTCAGATGTAGGAGGTGGGCCTCGAATTCCAAGCAAGCACCTTTTCACTGCCGTCGCACTAAAAATGACACCCGATTAATCGCAAACTTCGCCTGTTCCCCTTCTTTTTCTCCCTCCTATTGTACAATCCATTTTGGGAGATTTTAGTCTCTACACCCTTTTTTTTTTTCTTCTCTCTATTCCCACTACTCGGTCTTCCTGGCCATCGTTTTGTAACATTCGATTACTTCCAAATACTTGCCGTCCCGCCCCTGCTTTTATTTTATTTCATTTTGGCCGAAACGTCACCTTCGGTCTGACTGTACAGTACTCCTTAACACCATTTCGTCCATTCATCGGTAGCCCTTGTGTTGCCTAGGTTCCAGCCTTCATTATCAGTCTAGAGTGTGTGTACCTAGTATCGAAAATTAGGACCAAGTCGACGACGAGTTATCTTGACCCGATCACCACGGCAAACCCTTCTCCACGACGCACAGAAACCAGAACAAATCCACCATAAGGCAACCTGAGAGGCCAGTTGGTCGCAGTCGCAGACGTTACGAAACACATTGTCTTTCCCTTTCGAGTGTAACGTCGTTCCCTTCCAGAAACTCACAGTCAGTGTGAGGCGCGACCAACCTTTTCCAGTTTCCCATCCCATCCATACACCTTCGACTATTCGCACGCTTATGTGCGTCTTCGCTTGTCCCGAGTCCCATGTTACTAATCCGTTTCATCGCTTCTCGACGTCTTCCTTCGACGCTGCGTAGCCAATAACTACAGCGCAATTCCTTGGTCGCATGCGCTCTTTCGCCTTCCGGATTCTTTGGATGGTTGTCCTTAAAGTGTGACCTAATTTGAGTAACTAGCCTGTCGAGGCACCCCCCGAGTCTTCAGTGCGACCTCTGCTCGTCAATCATCATTCTTGCCGTCGCACATACGATATACTAGAACGGCCGCGAGCTAAGACACTGTTTAACTATTATTTGCGGCTCAATTGACTGCTTCTTTTCATATAATTGCTCGCTATTGCAGTCAATCTCAGTTGCGACGACATACTACCTCGGCGGAAGTGCTCCGGTCGCCAGACTGGATGCCATAACCCGTCGTGATGGATAGTGCAACATGTAATGTGATCTACGTTGATCGTAACGTGTTCGAAGACCGATCACTTGGGTCTGAGAGCACGGAGCTTCCGGAGTCTGGCGAGCTTCGAGATAATTTGGGGCTCTTGCTAGACGCTTTTGGCGATGGTTAGTACTGGGTAAATTCGACTCTAAGGGCGGTAACTAATATTTGTCCTAGTCCACGTGTGCACGAGCGGTGCTGCATGCATTGCTAAATTATTTCACCTTCATGATACCTCCATGGTAGGGCTCAAACCGACTCTTGTATTAATCGACACACCGCACGATGAACAAGTATTAAACTCGCTATCACCCGAACGGGATCACTCACCTTGCTCCGATGTTTCGCGGAACGACCAGAAAGACGGTTATTTAGAGGGAGAACTCTATGGATTGAAATTACTCGAACGAATTGTCTACGAAACTCACTTAAGGAGCCTTTCGAGATTAGTTGTACCTATTCCCATCATCAGTTTCCCCTTGCTGCGTAGCCCGCCCGCGAACGATGGCGCGAACGACGACCCAATTCAAGCCGATTATGCCAATTACCTCTCACAAATGCCGGATACGACCAGCAAATCTTTAACCAATCGTGCCCTGCTAAGGAAATGCTTGGATTCTGGTGCTGTGGATGTAATGGCTAGTCCATTACATATCAAAACCCTAACAACGCTCGAAGTCCATGCGTATCGGGCCCACAAAGAGGCTGCTAGGGAACAGCAAGCAGCGCTAGAGGTTCGAAGAGGCCGTAAGCGATCATGGGTGGGCGTGCATGAGGATAAGCCATACTCATACCTTAGAGAGGCCATGGTATCTGGGTTGATGAAGGGGATCTGCCAATCTGGTGCCGAAACTGAAGACCGTATCGGGAGTGTAAAAATCAACGTCCCGTCTGAGATACGAGCGGAAATTGCAGATGCCGTAGGCAAGTGGCACTTCTGTGCCCACGATTTTCATGACGATTCTCTCCTTATCGCAGCCGTCCTCATGTTTAAGCACGCTTTAACCATGCCGGAACTAGAACATTGGCGAATATCAACTGGTAAATGAATCTAGCTTATCACCTACTACCCTGCCTTGACTAACATGACTTTCAAATTTAGATCAGCTCACAACCTTTCTTGTTGCAACACGGGCAGCTTATAATACCTTCGTACCTTATCATAATTTTCGTCATGCTGTCGATGTCCTCCAGGCAACTTTTAATTTTCTCGTTCAAATAGGCGCCTTGCCACCATATCCTTACACACCCGGGTCTTCCGCGACGTCTACGGAGAAATCTCCACTCGCAACTCTACTTAAGCCTTTCGAAGCATTAACCCTCCTCATAGGGGCGATAGGTCATGATGTTGGCCATCCCGGCGTGAATAATGGATTCCTGGTTGTACTTAACGCGCCATTAGCGCAACTATATAACGACCGATCTGTACTTGAATCCTTCCACTGTGCCGCCTATTCACAAATACTTCGAAGGCATTGGCCTAAGGTCTTCGAGGATAAAAAGATGCGTACTCTTATGATTAGTTCGATTCTAGCGACAGATATGGGCCTTCACTTCGATTATATGAAGAAACTCGGCGACCTTCAAGAGAAGTTGAACGATAAAGATGGCTCAGTTGACGGCTGGAATGGGCGTATGATTGAAGAGCAAACTGCATTTCTGTGCTCTTTACTAATCAAATGTGCTGATATCAGTAATGTTGTATGTGGCACAATTACCCAGTGTTCAACTCAAATCAGTAAGATAGACTAATGAAAACAACAGGCACGAAAATACGAAGCGGCTCTTCAATGGATGTATATCCTTTGTGATGAATTTTCGAGGCAGGCTACAATGGAGAATGACATCGGCATTCAATCTTCTCTTATCGCTCCGCCAAAGAAGGACTTTCTGTCACTAGCTCGGGCTCAGTTGGGATTCATGAATATGTTCGCCATCCCTTTATTTCAAGGAGTTGCCGACATTCTTCCCGGGATGCGGTATACCGTCGCCGAGCTCGAGATCAATAAGGCGCTTTTCGAAAGAACTTTGGATGCAATTCCAGAGATGGAGGAAGACCGAAGGAAACGGTTGACGGAAGGCGTACTCTCACCTCGTTCCCTAAGCTTAGCTATTCAACCAGACGATGTTGGAAACTTCCCGGTAGACCCGACAAAATGTGATTTGGCCCCGAATCATGCGCAATTAAAGCAATCCGGTTCATCGCCGCCCGATCAGCCATATCACATCCCCAGCATTCCGGGAGAATATAAAGAGATAAATGGAATATCTATGGGCTTCGATAGTGTCTCGGAATTCGCGGCGAGTGATCCATTCAACATGAATGAAACGGAGAACCGAGTGGTTGGTCATAATGGGAAACAGCGTTGTAGCGAAACAACGGATGGAAGCAATTCAGTACCGCCAGGAGATTGGCAGTCACAGGCCACTAGTGCTACTACAGGCAAGATGCCTCTATCGCCGAGTACTCAAGGTACTAGCATCGTCAGCCAAGAATCTCTCGAACGCCCATGTAGTGTTCCCGTGGCGATAGTCACGGGGCCCGAGTCCGTCACGAATTGCCGCGTGCCAGCACCAATGACGAGCTTTGATTCGGGTCATTCCGAAGAGGATTCCAACGGGACTACCCTTAAACCGGATATCCCACTTAAGAAGAAGCCTAGCCGGTTTAGAATGAACGTCTCAACCTTCTTCCGAAGGAACAAGGGCGCCAGTTCGCCATCATCCGGCGGCTCCTAAATCATTCAATAAAACAAGTCAACAATCAAGACGATACGAGGCATGGTACAACATGACTATACAAGTCAAACGATTTAGAAGCACCAGCACGCGCTTATGACTTTACGCATATAGTCAACCAAAAGCTTGCACATGCTAGAGCCGAAATTGCAACCATCAAACACGTTGCTCGAGGCGCTCATACACAAACGTTAGTACCCGTTCGTCACACGTATATACTGTATACTAGTGAGGCATGAGAAGGAAGTGATGTTTAAAGTTCTGATGGATTACCAAAAGTTTCAAAGGAGTGGCTGGAGAATGGGATAACCTAATAGGGAAGGAAACCAAGAAGGCCGCGGAATCATATCACCAAAGATGCATGCATGGCGTTTGGGAAAACGGTCTGGTGTGGGATTAGGGCATGCAGCCTCCAAACAGGGGAGAAAGCGTGCGCGTAGGATAGGTCAAACGGCGGAGTTTACGTTCTTGGGTGACAACTATATAGGTATTTGATGAGAGGCGCCTTAACGGCTTAAGGAGGCTCTTGGAAATAAATACGAGGCGGATGCTCGAGGTAATTCTCGACGACACCTCTTTTCATCCGATGCATGAAATGGAACAGTCCTCCTAGTTATCACATATTTGGTTGTTATAGAGCCGTAGTATACTATGTGTAAAAGTAGATATGTAGGTGGTAAAGAGGGAGAAAAGGAAAAACAAGTTAAAGAAGTAAAAAGAAGACTCGACCCAAACCTCAACGTGCGATTTGGATGATAGTACTAATCTGTCAGTCTAGCATACAATAGTAGATGGATTACCTATAGATATCTTCTGAGATGATCTATATCTAGAAACGTACAGATGGTTATATGCAGCTATCCGGCTCTTAGTTTTGAACTGCATCCTTTGCAGCCACGAGCGGCGCGGCATTGACGATTGTGTACATGAATAGCGTCATTTTTGTTGCATGTTATCACCAGGGTTGCTGCCGTCTCGTAACCGCCAGAGGCGCGGGTTGGTTCTACGGGATGAGACTTACAGGGTGTGGTGGAGCAAAGGGAGGATGTAGGCTACCAGAAGCTAGTGGGTGTGCGTCCCTGCTGGCTGACATCATAGGCGTCGGTCTATTCTAGATTGAGAACTTCGAACTTTTCGGCAATGTTTTGATACGAAGAGTGAGGGTATATGAGGGAAATGAAATTTGTTGAAGGTTCGGAAATAGTTCATAACGAGGCTTTGAAATAGTTAAGATGAGGGTTACGATGAAGGTGTTCGTGAGAAAAAAGAAGGAAAATGAAACAGCTAAAACTTAGGCAAATGAAAGTTCGTGATAGGCGGCAACCCGCATTGAATTTGGAGAGTTTGTCCTACCTAAAATCCTGAGAGTTCAGGCCATACATCTGGTTGTGTGACCCCAAAACTAGGTACTTATTACCTATCACAACTACGTAAATCCATGAATACTTTCAACCTACTATAAAATATTTATGGGCTTACAAACATTCGGTACTCAATTAAGGTAAACATTTCGCATTTTTCGTTGTTAAAATACCCATAAGTTAATTTAGTAACTCCAAAGGGTCCTCCCATATTTGTGCCTTTAAGAAATGATTTTTTAGTCAGTCGGTACCTAAGTGGAAGATAATAAATATGTTGACGCAACCTATCAGTAGCTGGTCAAGGGTTCCCCAGCTTTCAACTGTTGACCAGTACCGTGACACCGAACTGAACGTGGGTCCTGTAGCTGTTGGAAAGCGATAGACGGCAAGCGGAACTTAGACCCCCACCACCTGCTGCACCCATCCAACTTAAAAAATCCAACCTAGTAGCCGACAGCCCAGCACCTTTCCACCCAAGCAACCACCTGCAGGTAAGGTACAATTATACAGGTACCTTTAGGCAGGGAGTTCACGGAGTTCTAGCGAACAATTTTAGGAGAGAGAAGAGAAGTGAAAGGCTATTCAACTTTTTTTTCAACCTCTTAAACTAATTTCCCTTTTTACTTTCCGCCCCCCCCTCTTCCCCCAATTCCAATCAAGCTTGTCTTGATTGCTTGATGATTTGATTAACTGGATAGATAACCCCGCGTCGCCACTCCGTTGTTCTGTCTGTCCTGCTTACAACAACTTTTTAAGATACCTATCGTGTACAAGTACCTACCTAGGTAGGCAAATTGTATGTTTTCTAGGTACCTTACTCTCCCTCCTCCCCTGTGCGTGTGTGACACCCTACATACATACACTGCATCTATCCATTCAATACCCATCCATACCACCCGTACATTGGTTCTACCCAACCATTTGCGACGTTATCCCCATATTCCTCTTCCTTTCTTCAATTTTTTTTTTGTTCCTCACTCATACTTTATTTTTTTCCAATTTAGACATCTTATTGCGCGCGCGGGCCGTTGCACAACAACTTTGATCGCTATCCGTCAATTATGAAACAAGGTATTCATGGTGGAAACGAGGACAGCGGTGAGTTTCGAGGTTGAAACGACGTATCAATATTCATGCCAATGGCCACTGATCCTGCCGCCCACCAACAAGGCGCCGAAAATATTCAACAAGATGGAGACTCTGAACCCCAACGCGGCCGCGGCTCCACGAGGAGCACCAAGCTTGCCGCTCCACTCCGAATTCCAAAGAACCGTAGCACCGGCAATCTTGCTGTTGTGGCTGAAGTACCCGAGAGGACGAGGTTGAGGTTTTCTTTCGATGCTGGCTCGGGTGTGGCAGAGTCTGACCAAATCACAAGGTACGTCCCTCTTTTTGGCGCAATGCCTTACAACGCCTCATGGGCCTCCAATGCCCCAAGAATAGGCACACGGGTTCCACGGAAAAGGATGGATGATTATCTTTATCTTTATATACGTATACCACCTTCACCAGCATCACATGCATTTTGTGCTCAGCCGCCTCATTATTTACATATATATCTACGTACACCGAAACGGTCATCAGTCAGACAAGACAAAAAAAGAAAAGAAAAAAAGCAAGGAAAAGGAAGAGGGAAAGAGGAGAAGAGAGAGAGAAAAAATACCATTATTGAGACAACAAAAACCCACAAGTTTAAATAATACCAGCTCAGATCAAGTCAATAGTAACTAATATCATGGTTGTTCCAAAACAACAGATCTCCTATTATCACCGAACATGACCATGGACTGGGCATATCCGGTTTACGGCGCATTCGTCAGCACCCTCCTCCGCGTACTCCTACCTTGTCTTCAACCGCCGTCTCCTCGCGAAGTCCGTCTGCCGGTATAACACGTTCCACCTCTATGACCATGATGCTGCCCTCGGGACAGCAAACCCCGTTAACCCCCGGCCCGTCCTCGCCCAACTTCTCCGAAGACTTAACCCGTTTTCCTTCCGAGTCCTTACATTCTTTCTCCTTCGCCCACCAGTCTGAAGAGTTCATACATAATCGGCAAAATGTGTTGAAACGTTCCATAGAGTTTATGAAAGATCGCATGGCATGGGCCACCTCGTCGAACGCCGCAATAGCCAGTGCTCAGGCCAGAGTGTCCGGTGACCTCGAGACACAACATATGCTTGACCTCCTTGCTAGGGCGCATCTAGTTGGAGCGGGCAATTTGCCAAATACTGACCATAGTGTCGCCCGGGCCCCTCTAAGCGGGCCTGCCAGCATCTACCACGAGAATGTGTTCGAGAGTGACTTCATACCGAGGACGAATAGTCCCGAGTCCTTCGTAACCCCTCTTGTATCGCCGACGACTATTCGAGGACCTAGCGTAGATGCATCTCCCGAGACTACCACCTCACCTATCAGGGAGGAAGAGGATAAGCCAACATCTAAAGAATTGGGCACTTTGCAAGATAAAACAGATTCTGAGAATTCCTCAAGAACGCCCACCAACGAAAGCGGGACTACAGCCAAAACGTCACCTCCAATGTCCAGGCGCCCGAGTTTACGGAGGACGTACACAGACGTAGTGTCGGCCGAAATGCAACAAAAACTTGTAGATACGATGGCACAGCCTTTCCTTGCCAGTTCATCCGAAGGATATCCTGAAGCGTTGATATCTCCAATACTGCCACCACTTGCAGTTGGTTCATCCCTCAATGCTCCAGGGGCACTGGGGCCGGCAGTACACGGCCATGCGACGCGGTGGGTTCCCGCAGCGCAAGCTATATTCACGACCGAAGCCAAACCACCATGGACGATATTAGCTGCAAACGACTTAGCATGTCTTGTCTTTGGTGTAACCAAAGCCGAAGTTCGAAAGATGGGCATTTTAGAAGTTGTACAGGAAGAGAGACGAGCTTGGCTAGAGAACAAGCTCCTTGGTGCTGGTCCCGAAGACGTGAGCAAGATGCCTACAGAAACTGCACCCCAATCGCCATCCTCTTCAGTTGGCTCCTCGCTACTAGGGGGACGTGGCGGTATAACGGCTCATTTATTAAGCAAACCTAACTCGAGGTTACAGCCACCGAAAGCTCCGGCAGCAGCGAAAGCCTCCGCCGCTCGGCGTGCGCAGACTGTTCATAGTGGAGACACGACGCCATCAAAGTCTCGAGGCTCGAACCATCGTACCTCTAAATCAAGAGGGGTATTGCTATGCGGTGACGTTGTCCCAATACAGAAGCGCAATGGTGCGACAGGCTCTGCAAGTCTCTGGGTTAAGGAAAAGAGAGTAGGCCTGATTTGGGTCCTCGAAGAAATTCACGAGGATGTAGCACTAGTGAGGCTTGATGACGATGGAATCGTCACTAAGATTTCTGGAGACACGGGGCCGATATGGGGAGAAGAGAACCTACAACCGGGTATGGACGTCGGCAAGCTTATCCCTCGTATACCTCGCCAAGGGATCGATCCTAGATTCGGCGCTATCGATTACGCTCAAATCGCGAAACGAAGGTATTTCACTTGCCGAAACGGCGAGAAAGTTAACATACCTTCTATGGTTTCGCAAACAAGAGGTCAAACCGAGCTTCGTGTCTCGAGCTTCCCTCATATTGCCGGCATAATTGTAGTCTCCCCAGAATCGCTGAAGATCAAGAGCTCAAACTCCGCATTCTGTGGGGCCCTGTTTGGTTATGAGAAACCAGAGGGACAGTCGATCAATAATCTCATTCCAGACTTTGACAAGGTCCTTGAGATATTAGTTGACCACGATGGGATCCAGTTTCACGATGGTATTGTTGTACCTGAGCATAGCTTTAGAAAGGCGTCCGCTTTGTTAGCCTTACATGATGGCAAGCCAGATGCCACTGCGTTCTTCCTAAGCCCCGACGGGCTTCCAGCAAAACATCGTGATGGCACTGAACTCAAAATCGATGTTCAAATGAGAGTAGTTAAGAGTGAAAAGCATTCTGGCAATGATTCGAGTACAAGCGATGACGAATCTCAAACCAGCGAAGGTATACTCGTGCCGGTTGAATCAGAGGTTGTCTATGCGTTATGGATTACTTACTCTCGGCATTTGCATGCCTCTAACATCAAAACGGTCGTTGCCACTAACATTAAGTCCCCACTACCGTCAGGAGTTACATCCCCCTTACATCAGCCGTCACCTGGTCAGACGCCAGCACATACGCCACAGGATATGAGCTCAGATTCAGAGGAGACGAAATCCAAACCTACTTCTACAGCGTCGGCAATCTCACAACAGCTCAAAGTTGTTGCAATGAATGCGGCTGCAAAGCTGACTGGGGCAACGAGGAACTCAGAAAAGCCAACAAATTCATCGCCATCCCAAACCGAGCCTCCGGCTAGGAAAAAGACAATTGATGATTTTGTCATACTAGAAGATATGGGTCAAGGTGCATATGGTCAAGTTAAGCTGGCGCGATACAAGTACAACGGCGGCAAGAAAACCGTTCTAAAGTACGTGACTAAACGGCGAATTCTTGTCGATACTTGGACTAGAGACCGGCGACTTGGTACGGTACCTCTTGAGATACATGTGTTAGATTACCTTCGCCGAGATGGTTTTAAGCATCCTAACATCGTAGAAATGGAAGATTTCTTCGAGGATGAGACAAACTATTACATCGAAATGGCGCCTCACGGATATCCTGGGATGGATCTCTTCGATTATATCGAACTCCGCACTAACATGGAGGAAGATGAATGTCGAAGCATGTTCGTCCAGGTAGCCAGGGCGATACATCACCTCCATACCAAGGCGAAAGTCGTTCATCGTGATATCAAAGATGAAAATGTTATCTTGGACGGCGAAGGAAATATTAAGCTAATCGACTTTGGAAGCGCAGCATATATTAAGAGCGGGCCTTTCGACGTTTTCGTGGGCACTATTGGTAAGTTAGAGAGCTGACAGCTTTTCTGTTTGCATTTATATGAATCTAACACCTCGCAACAGATTATGCGGCACCTGAGGTATTAGCCGGAAAGCCTTATGGTGGGAAAGAACAAGACGTTTGGGCTTTGGGAATCCTCTTATACACCATTATCTACAAGGAGAATCCATTCTACAGCATTGACGAGATTATGGACCGCGATTTACGAGTACCGTATATTATCAGCGATGAGAGCATTAACCTTATTCGGTGCATGCTCAATCGCGACGTCTCACAACGATACGACATTGAGCAAGTGCTCCAGCACCCTTGGTGCCAGACGGAGTAGGAATTGGTGGTGGTGATGAAGGTAAACGAATTATTCAATGAGGTCTAGGAGAAGATATGGGCGGGGTTTGTACGACTCGGTTGGTTTACAGGCTAGACTGCACTGGAGAATAGGGCATGAATTGGGGAATGAAGAGAAATTTACTGCATGATACCCAACTCTCTCAAGAATTATACCTAGGGAGTAGTAGGAAAGGGATGAAACGAAGTAGTAACGAGGATATAACAAATAGAAAGCAAAGCGAGCGGAAACAGTGCCGGCTTTTAGCTTTCTCTACGGGTTTCCTCTTTATATATTTTTCTTCCCCTTTTTTTTATTTTTCTTTGTTAGAAAGGGCAACTCAAATCCATCTCAGTGGAAATGGAAATGGAGAATTAGCATATACACATATGGCGCGGAGTTCAATAGGTTTACGATGATAACAAAAATGAACATGAAAATGAAACAATAGCATGCATAATGGGTTTGGTGATAGCAACACTGTTTTCTTGTTTGGTTCGGTTGTTGAATGAGCGTTTTGATTGGGAGCAAGGATAGATGTATGAAGTTTAAATAAGATCACACCTGCGATATAAAATGAAGGAATACCAATGAAGATTGTGATATGATAGCTCCTCGCCATGGAATGAGATAAATACCTAGGTGTGAGGTAGGTACTCTTAATTATTATGCTCTCGCACTAGAGATGGCATGAGTTTAGATGCATAGAGAAATATGTTCATACTCGTATAACAACATAACTACATAAATCATATTACATATAACAAATGCCGATCGCAAGCAACCATGGACTCCATACTATGAGAGGCATTAATCAATCCTTCGTCTTCCGAATTTCTTCCAAACCAAAAATGTCCTCAGACCGAACGCCTTGACCTCCTTCATCTGCTGATACCTCGCCGAAAAGGAAGGCCGTGCGCTCGCGGTTGGCGTTAGCGGATGGTCTTTTGCGATGGAGGTTACTGGTCGATGAAGATGGTAGCTGAGAGGGGAAAATGGGTGGTTGTTGGGATGGGGAAGATGAAGATGAGGATGGGGCGTCGGGTTCGAGCATCCAGGAAAACGATGATTGCGCGATGGTTGATCTCGTGGGTATGGGTGCTTGTGGGCGCCCTAATTTCTTCTCGACTGGTGTTGCTGACGTTCCGGAGCCTAGCGGGTCGTCGGTGTCCATTTTATCTGGGTCTAGATCAGTTAATGGTTTTGTGTTCTCATCATTTTGGGTGCGGGCCACTGCTGCGGGCGTATTAATAGCCATCGCCGCGACGGCATCGCTTAAATGTCCAGGATCAACTTTTCCATCACCACCAACCGGAGTTCCCGATGATGAAATTGACGACACCGGCTCCTCTTCATCCGGGAGGGCTATTGTAGAGTCTTCCAAGTAGACCTTAATGAACTGTATCTTCGCAACAGCAACCTGAAGAGCATCTTGGCACTTTTGTTTGTCTTCTAGGTCCGAATCTGAGAGATTCTTTAGCGTAGAGAGGGGCTCGTCTAGCAATGTCGCCAGTCTTCTATTCCTTCGGTCCATGACTGCAAGTGCTCGTATCGCCATATTATTCGGGCCCGGTTCAGCGAAGAGATCTCTACTCGCCTTCATGGAGCTCTTGGCTTCTTGGACGTTACGGCGTATCTCCACCATAGCATCACGTACTGCTTGGTTGATACCGAGCTTCTCCCCTCTTTCAAGGACACCCTTAGCTGCCCCTTGAAATAACGCTTCCATACCTACTTGTGGGGGTTTGAAGCGCGAAGGGGATAGCGGCGACCGAGCGCCACCAAATTTCCGTCGTACATTCGAAGTCGACGTTCTTGGCGTGGATGCTCCAGAATCAGTCCATGACAATGAAGGTGATTTCCCCGTATACTTGGTTATTAATGTAGACCCTCCTGTAGGGTTTAAATGGTCTCTTAGATAAACCGCATCGTCGATGAATGTATGTGGTCCATATTGCGCTTGTGGGGGTGGATATTTGAGTAGTAATTGTAACGCGACGGTGTAGTCGGCATTAAGGACTAAAGCGCGTTAGAGGGAAGCCAGTATACAATGGGAATTTATGGTACCTACGGTTCCAGCGAATTCTAATCAACATCGCGGTACAAACCAGGTCTATTAATTTAAAAGATGGATCTATAGAGAATAGGGTATCCCAAAGTACGAGCATCTGGTCAAATGGAAATTCGCGACTAAATAAAAGACGGATCCAGCGACTGCGATAATTGCGATATTAGTAAGATGTTTTTATTTTATTTTTTATTTTACGAAATGGGGGGTAAACTTACATTAAGAAAACCTGTGGTAAAATTTCAATGTTCTTGAGATGTGTTGAAAGTTCGGGGTCTACTTTGAATAGACAAACTTCATGTATATACTGGCTTCGTTCGACAATCGAAGATATTGGAGAGGGTTGGCCGAAAGTCGTTAGAGGCGTGTTTGCTGCGGTCTCGACCACTTCGTAGAAGGACTTGGCGTGATCCATAACTTTGGAGAAGAGGATAAAAGCGTCATGCTCGATGAACGAGGCGTTTAACATATCCGCCATCACCGGATCCGCCGGTGTATCTGAAGAGACATGGCCCGGGTCTATGGCATCTTGTTCTACAACATAGACAACAGGTGCTAATAATTCATGCATTCCCTGGCGATATCCGCCTATGCTTGGATTAAGTTTGCAATATATGAAAAGAACGTCTAGAACAAGCGTCTGGATATGGTCTTGATGATAGAAAGGCTCATCGGGAAGACGTTGGACATCCTGGAGTATCTCGGCTCTGAGTACATTATCATTTCGAAGTGTATTCCAGGGAGACTAGTTTGGGTTAATATTTATACCAGAAAAAGATATCAGGGGTGATCTTACATCAGCATCGTCTGCTAAGGGATCGACAGATTCAGCTAGGAGATGCTCCGGATGCTTGACATATTTCAATAGCTGATCCTTGAGAGAAGCGTATGTATTCCGCGACTCTGATAGAATAGAGGATAAGTTCGTAGTATCGGCGGTCCGGTTCAGTAGGAAGGCCTAGATCACAGGTGAGTCTAGCTTAGTACACCGATGAGACAGCAACTGACCTTCCAGCAAATTGATCTGCATCCCGAGATACAGGGGCTATTGGGGCCCTTGTTCTTGATGGCCTGTTGTAAATCTGCGAGGCTCGCACTGTACTTGAGTGTTTCTTGCCATCGTGTGCTACATAAAGACGTTAGGATGAACACGAACAAGTATATGAAGCATTGAACTTACGTTGAATCAGCCAAAGATCGCATTCTCACCGTTATCGTTTGCCTATATAAGGCATGGGACTATAAGTGAAGTGGAATCTTTATTATGCATGCCCCTTGATGTATAAATGTAAAAGATGTTAACCTGAGAGAAAGGGAGGAAGGTATTAGTGTGGGTGAAGAGGCTTGACTGTAGTTGGAAAGGCTGGCTGCCAGCTGACAACCTAGGTACTGTATAAAATGTGATTAAGTAAGCGGTACCGTCCCACACCCCGCAGTGCTAGAGCTGACTACCTACATAAGGTACATAGTTGTCAACGCTAACGTACCTAGGTACTGTACGCAAAGACCTACGCTCTAGTACCTAGGTCCACTATAAATATCTAGATTAGCGACTTTGACTGCATGTAATCATGACATATTGTAACTGTCTCCTGGGCATTGAAATGGGAATCTCTTTATGCTATCTATATTCTAATTACATAGATTAAATCAACGTATTTATACACATATATATAAATATAGTACATACCTTGAGTGGGGGTTCATATGTCTGATCACAGGCTATTGTGGTGTACACCTGAGTACCTAATCCTCACAGTTCGATAACCAGGGGATCTTCATCTCGTAATGCCCGCCACCGATTAGTAGACTCAAGCATGTCTCGGCAACCTTTCACAAGGAACGGCCACTTTTGTATAAACCCTTCCGTCAATTCCCAGCCCTCTGTTCTCCATGGTTCATTCCAGGCTATCAATCCGCTCATCTCAAGCAATTTCACCTTTCCGAACATGGTGGCCGCTACATCTTCCTCGACATCCTCGCGTGCAAACGAACCCATAGCAAGAATAGTATTGTCGCGCATCTGTTTATCGGGTATAAGATCTATCCACGGTTCATGAGGTGTGTTCCGCTGTAATTCCGTGGATTGAAGAGACTCAGGGATGGTGGATGGCGCTGGGAAGAGCGGCATGTTAACCCATACCCGAGCACATTCTGGGGGGAATACATCCTGAAGGCCCAAGATCGCCATATTTGTCAAAACACCCCGAACGAAGTTGTATTGTACCAACGGTATCAAGTGATCTAACGATAATGGGAATAAAGAGGCCTGGTTCTCGAGCGAGATAGAATCTGTGTCCAGCAGCCGCAACTTAGAAAATTTAGCCACCCAGTAATTAGTCTGATCTTGAGTTTCGAATTCGCCGTGATCCCGGCTGGAGGCCCTCGGACTTAAAACCAGCTGGTTGTATTCTGTGGCGCTGGTCGCTGTACAAGCACTTGTACCTTCGAGTAACGCTTTTCGTCGCCCTATCCAACATTTGGGATAAATGCTAAGATAAAAACTAGCAGATTGTGCTAGACGGGTTACTTACGATGAGCACGAACATTCAACCGATTCTGCAACTTGCGTCTCGCTTTGGCATCTCTTAAACCTGACCAATCTTCCTCAGGACCGTGTGCCTAGGGTCTCATTTTATGTTAGTGATCCGACCTCGACATTCCATTAAAGAAGGAGGATTCATGTTAACGTACTTCTTTCAGGGTAGGCATTGCCCCTCATTCATCGACGGATTGGAATCGTATAGTTATGCATGTGGCGTTTTTATGTAGTTGCAGACTTCCTTATTGTCTTACTTATACATAAAGTCCCGGGAAGACGGGATCTCGCATGACTACACGTATGATCCGTTTCCGAAGCTAACAGGGATACATTCTAAGCCCTATAATCAGCAGTTCATACGTAATATTAGTAGAGAATTTGCATGAATAATATCTGGGTATATCGAAGGAACTTATATCAGTGGAGTTTTATTTAGGTGTAGATATGCATATTATGTATTGGGTGATGCACTTGTGCACCTGGGCAGTTATGCTTGCTTGCTCTCTTCGTTATGCAGATAGGTCTATTTAGTACCTACTTTATCGGGTTAGTGACATTTCCGCCCCGAAGTTTGCCGGAACTCTATCCCTGTCTCTGATCATGGCCGCTGAATCGGTCCCAATTCTCTCCAGTTCAGCCTCACCTAATAATAACATTGTCTTTTTTTCTTACTTCACATTTCCTGTATTTAATTATACATAGCGTAAAATCCGCCAAGGATCGCTTTCTATTTTACATTTGTAATATCAGGAAGTGTCAAGAGAACATTTTCATGACATGTCCGCGGACCTCTTCGCCGCATTCGAGGACGCCCCGAAGCCTCCTACGTCAAAAGAGGAACAACCGAAGCCCATAACCCAGGCTTCTCCGTTTACCCCCAACCCTTTCTCTTTCGGATTTAACAATGCTGAAAATACTAGCGCCCAAATAGGACAACATACCCTTGCTCCTACTCAGAATTGGGGTATTGGGCCAACATCGCGAACCAGTCAGCTGCCGAGTACATCAGGCACAAACAATTTGACAAGCGCGCCACCGCAGCCTGCAGGTCAGTCAAAGGCCCAAGAGGTAAAAAATGAAGAAGATGACGACGATGATGGCTGGGGCGATTTCGAAGTTGCACCAAATGTGAGTCAAGCGCTTGTTGCTTCATCGACGGGCGCGGATCTATCGGGATCAACGGTGAAAAAGCCGCAAGACCCACCAACGTTACCGCGAACGAGGGTTGTGCGGGCGTCAACGATCGATCTCATGACAAATAGCCTTCTTGACTTCGCCAATTCACCCGTTGCACAAGGTGGAACGAAGGTATCATCATGGAAGGAAGCTCCATCTAAACAGGCCAAAACACCTACGCCTAATATAGCACCCTCAAAAGCGCCCCAGAAATATTCTAATGCCGACCCAAACGTCTTATTCGACGCTGATGACTTCGATGGAGATCAAAAGGATGACGATGACTTTGGGGAATTTGAAACGGTCGCCTCTCCGGTCCAAGCAACTGGAGATCTCCTATCAATTGATTCATATTCATCTCCAAAGATCACGGAAACCCGTGCTTCCCAAATGCTTTCCGGGTTAAATCTATCGGAATCTGCTTCTTATTCAAAACCACCACGATCCCCCTCATTCCAGGATAGGAATCCCTTTCCCGGGCTGGCTGTTTCTCCACCTCTAAAGACCAAAAAGCCACCTACAAACGAGCCAAAACCTTCGCCCGTGACCGCATGGCCATCTATTGACCCGGCCAATTCTAAGAACAACGATGGTTTTGGCGATGATTGGGACGCATTCGATAGTCTCCCAGATGAGAAAACCAAGCCCAAATTGGACAACGACAATTCAAATTGGGATTGGGACTCGATAGAGCCAGCTCAAGAAAAATCGACGACTAGCCGAAAACCTACAACAGCATCGGCGCCTAAAGATTCGTCTTGGGACTGGGACCCTATTGGTACGAAAACCGAAAAGCAGGCCGACTCATCAAAGGATAGCTTGCCACCCACTAACATCCCCCCACCGTCTATATTGTTGTCAGTATTTCCACAGTTATTTGAACAAGCGAATACATCGTTGTACAAGCCAGTGAGCGGACAGACTTTCTCCATAAAGAACCGAATTCTATCGGACCCGAAGACTATTGATTTCCTGAGAGGTTACCTCGCCCTAGCAACAGTCGTGGCCCGCATTATCGCTGGTCGTAAGCTGAGATGGCACAGAGATAAGTTTTTAGCCCAAAGAATGTCTATATCGGCTGCAGGAAGTAAAGGAATGAAACTTGCCGGTGTAGATAAGACACAAGCTGCTCACGAAGACCGCGAGGCGGCTGACGTTGTAGCCAATTGGAAAGAACACGTAGGCCGTCTTCGCTCCGCTGTCGCCGCCGCCAATTCATCAATCAAGAATAGCGTGGAGCAATTGAAAATCCCCGAAATTACCGAGTCAATGCATATCCAGACCGAGAAGATGGTGCCGACTGCACCTAAATCATGCATGGTTTGCGGCCTAAAGCGCAATGAGAGGGTTGCAAAAGTCGACTATGAAGTGGAAGATAGTTTTGGCGAATGGTGGGTTGACCATTGGGGACATCTGGCATGTAAGAGATTCTGGCTACGGCACGAGAACGCCCTACGGCAGAGATGAACTTCACGACATATCCTAGGAAATTAGTCAATCCGTACCGGACTAAATTTAATTCAAGTATCTCCGGCTGTTAATTGAACTAAGAACTATGCTCGATTTAATAGTCGAGGTAGTTCGTACCGAGTTCGGTCACGGTAATCAAGCGCGTCAAACACACCTGGTCACGATGCTCGGACTTTCTTGATTCAAGTGTCTCAAAGCGCACTTCTAGGATATGCCATTGCGTCTACTACCATCCTCCACGTGCAACGCTGGACGAGATATGAATTACACGGAGAAAAATGTTACATATCCAGAGTAGAGGCCACGCATCTTAAACCGTTCACCAACAACACCTTCCGCATATTCTACCCCACAGCAAGCGACAAGCAGATGTTTGCAATGGTCTTGTAACCGACCAATTGGTTTCCTCCGGACAAGTACCCCATGTTCTCGGATTCTTTCTTGAGGGGATACATCACAGCAAACATTTCCTCGGAGCTTTTTCCCTCATGGACTCGAAATATTTCGTTAGCTACCACGGTAAGTGGAGTGTGCCATCAATCCAGCAAAATATAGCATCGTGAGTATGCTTTGTTTTGTCTATGGCACCCGTGGCCAGCGATTATTACCAGGCTATTGCCCCCGCCCGCCTTTGCCGCAGGAAAGGTGCAGAATCTCGTTACACAACCATATGTATGTACGGCCTATTAGTCATGGACCTGCTAGTGAGGTTTGATTGAGTAAATGGCTAGGGTGACCTTGATAGTGAAGACCGGCTCGATGTCGGAGTCGCGACAAGAGGGCGAATAATCCCTGGTGTGAATAACATCATGCGGCCAACACCAGGTCCGCTACCATGCGTTAGGTCTAGAATGTCATACACTCAGACACAGTACACATCCTGATGTTATAAGGAACTAATTGAAAGCATGGCGTTTCTTCTTAGCCGAAAAGACTCCTCATACACCGGTCATCACTTTCGACCCTTGACGAAAATTCATCCACTCCGTGAAGCTGACATTTGACAATTTAACGAGACACATTACAGGGGTCACCGAAAGTTCCAGCATCATCCGCCACCTCCATTTGTACGGGTAACCAACCGTAGAATGATGCAAGTCCCGACTTGCATGCCAGGACCGAATGAGCAACGGGATTGGTCCCTTGGATCATGAGGATGCAACCAATACCATGCGAACGTCTTAACTATTGGATGGTAGCGAGGGCTTTTACGGCCTCATTGCGGGGGGTCGAGCTGTACCTTAAACTACATAGTAGGCTCAAGTAAAGAAGGCAATAAGCAGATGCCTGGGCTGCCTGCCGGGTTGTTCTATCGCATCGAGTTGGAACGTGGTCCGCACAGCCGACTTCGTTATCCCCCAGGATAGAACCCTTTGTCGTGAGCATTCTACTTAAAAAGGCATATTCTTTCCGAAACAACCTGTTTTTTGTAGAGCGCATAGTTGCCTAAAAGTTCGCAATATTTTCATACTGTACTCGTCTCGCCGAAGTTATCCTTCGTTTCCCTAAATTCTATAGCCTATCAGATGTATTACGAGGAACACCGATCGCCGTACTGCTATAGGTACCTTTTCCTAGTCTGTATTCTATTGCTAGCAGCGCTGTCAGAATGAACACTAGGGAAGTAGGAAGACACCCAAAACTAACCCATAGTAACCAAGTCGCTCACGAGCCCCCATTCTCCCATAATACACATAGAGCACAATGGCGAAGCTGATGTGGTAATATGTTCAATAAGAAGAAAGGTGAATCACCAGTACAGATATCTACTTGAGTAATAGGGATCAACCTAGGAGACCTAATGGATGTCCTGAGTTAGACCCCGCGAACTGGAGTGCATGATGAGAGGAACAAGAAGCGATCTATGAGACAAACCCAAAGACTTCAGTTGGTCAAGCCTCAAACATTCACACGGCAATCGGAATCATCCCACTCAACCCTAATGGAATCTACGTGCGTACTAGATGCATGTTTGGACTAGATCCCACGTAATCCCGTGGGATTTAGTTTCTACAAGTGATGTATGGATCGCACTTAACAAGCACATCTTGAGTACATGTAGCTAGCCTCTTATCGGCATCAGAACCCTCTCACGCCACGCAAACTTGTACATTATTTCTGAGCCAAGAGCTGCCACGATTCTGCCTAGAATATGTATTAGTGACCAATGACCTATGTCTTCTAGGTCGTACATCTAGAAGTTGATATATAAACTAAATAAAAGAGTTAATATTAATAGCAACTTGTAAAAGTTGCAATAAGCTATCGTGGGATTCACATCTCTCAAATCCAATACCTGCTGACGTATACATTCATATGAGTATAAATGCATAGAACTTTCATCCCTTAATAATCACATTGGAAATGTGTATTTTATTCACATCTTCGATGTAAAAAGAGCGAAGATTAAATGATACCGCAATAGTTGGAGGTATATGTACGTTGAGAGGTTGCAAGTCAAGCAGATGCGGCCAAGACTAAATCAATTGGATAATGTACATCGAAGGAAAGTGGAGGGCATGCATGTAGGTGTACGTATAATACATATGTATATGTAACCAACGTCCAATATCAAATGTAGAATTGAATTTCATTAGTTGTAGGTACCTACATTGATGTAAGTAGGTATCTTGGTATCAACCTTAGGTTCGCCCACGCTTGGTCCTCAGCACGGAAGACTCCGATTATCTGCATCGAGTTTCGATCATGAGACTTGGATTCGGGCCAAACAAATATCGTCGAAAATACTCGAGTAGGCAATTGGATCTCTTTCTACAATGCCATGATTTTTTACGTATATGTTTTGGGTCGGTATAAATAAATAATAAATTGAAGGATAGGAATGCGTCAGTTGTTAGCTGCTGGAGAGGTGTAACAGAGCTTAATGTATTGCACGTAGCCCGAGGTATGTACATATGTAGCTAAAGTAATTGTACACTGACCACATGAAGAACCTTGGAAGTTTACTCTACACCATACATATCATGTAGGTCAGGGATTTACTCGAGAAACCCCTCTTTCTCTATCCGAACTTCCCATGATTCTCTGTGCGGGATAATTACTACATATGTACCTACTTACGTGTGCCTGAGATTCTATAGGTGTATTAAAGAACCGTTATTTAATTCCCCTATTTTTTATTAATTATCCAACTCTGTTAAGCTTGTCATTGATTAAATTGATGAGGTGCAATTACGTCACTAGTTACCTCATCAGCTACCTGATCTGAGTGGTCGCAATGACTTGGGCTAATATAAAAATTAGGTAAGAACTTGAGGAAGGTAAGGTAGATGTGCACAGATACATGGATTATCATACATATATGTATGTACTACATGTAGCTTGAGCTTGAAAGGTAACCAACCTTAGACGTACCTGCCTCATGTACCCAAACATTTTTATGTACAGTAGGAACGATAGACGTACGTAAGTGATAACCCGCAAAATACGGTTTCGCGGGTAATTGTACTGTACCTTCTTAACTTAGGTAGATTCACCGTGTACAAGGCTAATAGAGGCGCTAATGGTTATTTTATACGTGCCCACAGGTGTATATACTATCGCATTAGTACTAGCTCTAGGTAGCACTACCGACGCAAGAACGTGCTTGCTGCACCCGACTTTGTCCCAAATCGTCAACGACCAGTCGTAAAGTTCCATACCTCTGCCTTAGCTGCCTTTTTGCTTCCAATCTTGCCAATCCCACTCACCCTCCTCCTTCCCAGGCCCTCTCTGGTTCCTCCTCCCTCTCCACTCCCTCGTACCTTTTTATTCTCAATAAAGTCGTTTCGACTACAAGTTTCGACTTCTTCTTGACCAACCATCTTTCTCATTCACACAACCTCCTCTCCCAACCTCACCTCTATCAACCCTCTCTCTCCCTCCTCTCCGCCCATCATCCTCTCTCATTTCCTCTACACCCTTGTCACCTCTCTCAAATCTCTAACCTTTCTACCCTCACGTCTTCTTTGTTTTTACCTGGTTTTACTTCTTTAATTAGAAGAGAAACCTACCGCCTACCAAGTACTCCCGACCACATCTACCTCACACACCCATACACAAGAAAATTGGACTTTTCCTGATTTAGGATCGATTCCATCACCGCTTATCTAACCCTGGTCAAACGGTACCCTTACCTTACCTACCTTACCTACCTGGGCACCTAGACCAGGCCACCTTTTCGACCTACCTTGCCGAGACCCAGCCGCCCGCCAACGACTGCGGTCCCTGTTCTCCATCTTTTTAAGAAAAAAGTCCCCGTTTCTCGCGTGGAGTATGACAGCAAGACCCTAGGTAAAGAAACAAGCGAGGATCAATAAAAAAAAAAGAGGGAAAAAAGAAAAAAAAAATTATTCCCACCCCGCAGAAGTTATACCCCCCCGTTTTCCCATCCCGGCAGAACAGAGACGACTTCTTCTGAAAATATCCATCCTGCGAAGCACAGACACTGCAGCGGGAGGTCAGTCAATACAAGTAATGTATGTATGCAGTGCCCCGCCTATTCAAGCCCCAGTTTCGCATAATAACCTTACCTTCCCTTTCTTCCTAATGAATGCCTCTCTGCATTGGCTGTATTCCTATTTCTATTTTCTACAACCACATGCCGAAATCGTGCAGATGCAACAACCTCTGACGAGATAAGATCTGTTTGTCAATCTCGTTTCAGCCATTTTCTTGGCCCCCTTTCCCTCCTCTGAGCCTCACATCCTTTCCCTTACATGTCCAGTAACGGATTACTTCCCCGCAGCAGCGCCAGCTTATCAGAGCTAACTGCGTGCAGCCCGTCGTTTTGACGCCAGATCCGGAGCTTACCACACAACCCACCCACGCACCACTTTTCTACGTACACCCGCCCCCCCATTGAGCGTCAGCCAACAAGATCTTCTGCGCGCATAATTCTCTCCACGAACTCTAGTTCAATCAACCTGGGCCATATCGTCGAGTCAGACATAGCCCGCCTAGCAATACCACCCAAGCCAACCACCACCACTGTCGCGCGTATCCACTCACTCACTCATCGCAACAGTTACCAACATGTCTGTATCTCAAGAAACTCTCCCGCCGAACGGCAACGATTTACTGCCGTCAATGGACCAACTGAAGCTCGATGATAACGAGCCTCGCCTGGGTCCTGATGGCGAGCCTGCGCCGAAAACCGACGAAGAATACGCCGTCGCGCAATTGACATTGCGCGCTATTGTCTCCTCCAAAGAAGCCGGTGTCATCATTGGAAAGGGAGGCAAGAACGTCGCCGACTTGCGCGACGAGACAGGAGTAAAAGCCGGCGTAAGTAAGGTCGTACAAGGCGTGCACGATCGCGTCTTAACCATTTCGGGCGCATGCGAAGCGATATCTAGAGCCTATGCCATTGTCGCGAAGGCCCTGCTAGAGGGCGCTCCTGCGATGGGAATGGGAGGTGTCATCCAAAGTACCGGAACGCACCGTGAGACCCCTTCCTTCACTATTGATTCGCTACAACAGACTAATTCGCTTCACCTAACTCAAGAGATTAAACTACTCATATCGCACAACCAGATGGGTACTATCATCGGCCGACAAGGCCTCAAAATCAAACACATCCAAGACGTTTCGGGCGTGCGCATGGTGGCGCAAAAAGAAATGCTACCGCAATCGACAGAGAGAATCGTCGAGGTGCAGGGAACACCAGAAGGCATCCAGCGCGCCATCTGGGAAATTTGCAAATGCCTTGTCGACGACTGGGCGCGTGGCACTGGAACAGTGCTTTACAATCCTGTCGTCCGAACGGCACCTGGCGGTGCGGGGTCTCTTGGTAGTGCTCCTAGCACTGGTAGTGGGGCAGCTTACGGTTCCTCTAGCAGAGGTGATTACGGTGGCACCCGTGTGATGCGAACAGGAAACGGTGCCGACTTTAGCAATGGGGGCGTACGTCCGTATAATCGCCGATCGGATTCTGATGCAGCCACCCGTGGACCACCAACGCACGATGAGAATGGAGAAGAAATCCAAACCCAAAACATCAGCATTCCTGCAGACATGGTTGGATGCATCATCGGTCGCGCCGGCAGCAAGATTAGCGAAATTCGCAAATCTTCCGGCGCCCGCATTTCTATTGCCAAGGTATGATTAATCTAAAGTATCTCTCATGGAACTTTGCAAATTGATAACGTTGTATAGGCACCTCATGACGATACTGGCGAGCGAATGTTCACCATTATGGGAACTGCTAAGGCTAACGAATCTGCGCTCTTTCTTCTCTACGAGAACCTTGAGGCGGAGAAGATGCGCCGCAGCCAGGCGCAACCACCCGAGTAATCACCCTCAACTCGTTTCGATATGCATGGCCGTCATGGAGGGGCCAGGAATTGATACAATCTATCCGGAGTATTTCTAGTGTTGGGTCTGATTTGGCGACGTACCCTGCGTTTAAGGGGGCACTTCAGATTTAACTTGCCGCAAGGCTGACCTCCCTTGGTTTGGGCGGTTCCTACGATATGACATGACGATGATTTTTTCTCCTTGTTCAGGGGCAAACCTCTTTATTGCCCCGACGCTATTTCCCTTTCCTTAATATTTCCTGAACGAAACTAACATGTTATGGACACGTGGGTCCTCATATACATGATGCACGGCAGACTCCCGGCGGTTACTCGATACGTCAGCGTTGATATCCCTACCTAAGCTACGTCAATCCAGGCTGGGTACCGCGGGAGATCTCGAAGAGCTCTTATTCACTTGACACATCCGCCCCCATGCGTCAGCACTTGTTGTATCGACTTCCGCGAACATACAAGATATCGCCTACTCGCACGGCGTCCTTCCACGGGCCACACTTGCCCATAATCCAACATCCATCTCTCCATTTCTTACGCGATGCCGACCCTGCCTCTTGTCTACGGTGCCAAGACTACTCCCTCCTTTTACCACCTACTACCAACTACTCCCAAATACCCCTCGACTTTGTTTCACTTTCCTAACGTCAACGAATACCGAATCGAAAATCAACCACTGGGAGTCGCATACTTGAATCATTTGCGCATGATGACGTTGATGTTGCTTCGCTGAGAAAGCTGCCCGACAACTTCCGTAAACCTCGACTTCATTAGCTAGGTGCTTAGCAAGATAACATCGACGTCTCCTAAGAAGCAGAAATACAGTGGACTTTCTGTAGAATGAGAAATAAGGGTATGAGAACAACGATGATCAGACCTAACCGGGCTTATTCCAGACATTGAGAAGAAACATTGAACTGGCATTGCGTTTTAGTCACAGAACATTCCTTGAACTTCGTACGGGAGGAATGGATGCGATCTTCTGAGATGTCTAGATAAAGGAGTATCTAGCAGTAGAGGAAACTTGGCAAAATTCATGCGCATGGTCATAAACCATATTTTGTTACTTGTGATTGAATCTTTGTGACTCGAACGAATACCCACATATATGTATACCTGTAGGTATGTTTGTATCTTAATATGGCGTTGCGAACAGGTGATTCTGCGATGTACTCGGTGCCCCTCACATATGTAATTCGCGGCTTGCCTTGGACAAGATCGGGGATCCTGGATGGAGTTAGTAAGCAAACAGGGCGTCAATTTGATTTGTATTGATCGAGTTGGGGCTAACCATATTCAGTAGTTGAATTATACAGGGCTGTGACTGTCGGGGCGGGCCTCACCGCCCTAACTAGCTCCGACCGAAATGGTCAAGTGGCATTTTTCAACGTTCGAATTCTGCCATTACTGCAAGTTGCATCTCAGCAAAGTTAAAGTTTTGGACTAGCTGTCAAAGTGGTAAGTGGCCAATCTGTCATCAGCTGCAAGCTCGTTACTATCTTTCCATTACCACTTCCTTTTATACTCTTACACATTTCATTTCTGTGTCTTATAATAATTCTAAGCATTATGGGTCGTGTTTTATAGAAATCTTAAGATCTTACTAGCTAACTCGAGGGCTAGTTAATTCATTTTCCTTCCTTTCGTTTACCTCTTCTTCATCCGCTACTTATTTTCGCGAATTACTTAACATCTACCATGGCGCGAACTAAACAAGCAAAGCCCGTCGAGCGCCAGCCCTCGTCCGAATATATTACGCGCCAAATCTCGACGCCTTCGAGGAAGAAGGATGTTGCGGCGGTCCAGGCCAATGGAGCCGCTAGCAAATCGGCGGCGCATACGAAGAAGGATGCGGGTGTTACGCAGTTGGTGATTGCTGTCGCTGGTATCTATGGATCTTTGTACGTATAATCTACTTGTTTGCCGGGAGGACGCATAAGACAGGGTTTGTATGTACTAACCATCTACTTAATTTCACAGCCTTACCTGGGCCTATCTCCAAGAGAAACTTACCACGACACCTCACGGCGAACCGGGGGCGACCGAAGTCTTCAAATATCCTGTCTTCTTAAATACCATCCAATCGCTCTTCGCCGCGGCGACGGGCGCATTATATCTATACTTCAGCACGCCGAAAGGACAATCCGTACCGCCCGTTATCCCCTCGCGCCGAATCCTATCCCCGCTCCTCCTGGTCGCGCTCACGAGCTCTCTCGCTTCGCCTTTTGGCTATGCTAGTCTGGCGCATATCGATTACATCACCTTCCTCCTAGCCAAAAGTTGTAAATTACTCCCTGTAATGTTACTCCATGTTACCGTCTTCCGCCGTCGATACCCGTTATACAAGTACCTAGTCGTCGCGGCCGTAACGGCGGGTGTTGCGGTCTTCACACTTCACACTGGAAAAGGTGGGTCGAAGAAGAATAGCGTAACGGGAAATAGCACTTGGGGATTACTGCTCCTAGGGATCAATTTGCTATTCGACGGTCTCACGAATAGTACCCAAGACTACATCTTCGGCGCATTCCAACCGTACACGGGCCCGCAAATGATGTGCGCGAATAACCTCATGAGCACGGCCGTCACAGCTGCGTATCTAGTGCTGAGCCCTTGGCTCGTACACACGGGTATTGGCGAGTGGCTCGGTATGGACGTCGCAGGAAGCGCGGGCGAGCTCGAAGCTGCGCTCGGATTCATGGGACGCCACCCGAGTGTCTGGGCGGATGTGTTGGGATTCGCGGCTTGTGGTGCTGTTGGGCAGGTTTTTATCTGTGAGTTTCTTTGTTCCCTTACCCCTATTTTAAGCCGAAATATCCTACTAGTAAAACGGGCTAACAAATTGATAAGTCTACACACTATCTACATTTTCATCCGTGTTACTCGTAACAGTAACAGTAACGCGCAAGATGTTCACCATGATCCTATCAGTCGTGGCCTTCGGCCACCGTTTGACCAATATGCAGGTCCTAGGTGTGGGCCTGGTGTTTGGTGGTATCGGTGTTGAGGCTGCTATTGCTCGCCAGGAGAAATTGGCTAAGGAGGCGGCGAAGCGGGAGAAGAAGGGTCAATAAGTTATTGTCCTTTCTTGTTATACCCTTTTGACTCGTGCTGTTGGTCATTTTATGTTAGGTGAGGTACGTATATAAGTAGGTGGGATACAAAATGATGAATTGTATATAAATCTTTGAACTCGTCAACTTAGAGTTTTAAGCAGGTTAAATGCTTGAAAATGGAACGGGAAAGAAGAACTATGCTGAGTCAATCTGTTGGTTGCCGAGAATGTGAGCATAGCCTGCGCTAGACTGAGAGTAACCAGTGATTCTTATAAAAGTTGCCTTCGAGTTTCTCCAGGTAAAACATGCGGGCATTGTTATTAACCTAGATTCATTTTTGGTATCTCGTTCACGAAGTGAGGGAATCATAATTACAGTATTCAAACCTCTAATGTAGTAGCAGAAGGGTACAAGGCATCATTAATTTACAATCACAAATATCATAATAAGAAGCCCTAAGGTTTATAGTGAACCAGACGTGCAAGTCGCAACGTCCTATTTGCCATTTGTTATGATCGATTATATTTACATGCGTGGATCGCGAGACTCCCCTGTCTCGTCGAATCCGTAGAATTAATTACCCTGCTTTTCCCCCTTTGAATAAAAAAATAACTCCTATAAACGCCACTGCTTGCTTGTGCCTTGCTCAGTCGCGTATTTCGCGTTAATGAGCTTGGTGCTGATACCAATTCCGGTCATCATGTCGCATTGGTGAGAAATATGCCTCGTATCCTCGAAGCAAATAAATATGACAATAGGAAAGAGACTTAGTGACTCCGGTGATGGGTATGTTTCGTCACCCCTTTTGGATGCACTGGAAGTCAAGTTACAGTTGTATCCAAGACTTCTCAGCGAAAAAAGGTTGGTGCTTCGTATGTGCAATATGATCCTTGCCGTTGTCCAGTTCCTGATTCCAGATATACTCCCCAACTTACATACCGCCTAAATTTTGTCATATTCTAGGTACTTTTCTTACTCCCTGGGATGATCCCTTTAGAGTCCTTCTGCCTATCGCGAAAAACAAATAAATCGCAAATGTTCTCCAACCCTTTCGGTGGAGGCCTCGTTATTGGACCGTCCGGGTATTTGGTTCCGCCAATCCAGTGATGCCTTAAACCACATGGGCCGAGATAAAACAAATCGAAAAAACGAGAAAAAAACAATGGTGTAACGTTTGTAGACATATGAAATCCTGCTAGGTCATCTCAAGTGGAGATGTAGTAATAATAAGTAGGCTTTTAGATGTAATATTGCGTATGCCACATCACACCATGGGACTGTAATCGGTTCGAGATATCAAAGTACGTCATCGATGGATCGAACAATAGGGGTCTCGCCTTTAGTCGGCGGACTTCTCGGGTCGGCCATCTGAGTCGGTCGTCCGAATGGGAATAACGGATCTCTCGGGAACATAGACTGTCTCGGAGAGAAGAGTCCTTCGCTAGGAGTCGGAGGCTGCTCTACAAACTTCATCCCTGCCATTTCAGAGTAAGAATCATGTAGTGGGTTGTTCGTCATGGTTTCAGCTCTCGGCGACATCAGAGCGTCATCATCCTCTGGCAGAGCAGGGGCAACCGATACTGCCCTCTCTCTGCTGTGACCCTCATCATGCTGCTCCCTAAAGGAAGGCCCGAAATTGAGACTGGCAAACCCTAGGCTTTGTGCTCCATCGTCGAAGCGGCTAGCGCCAAATCCCGGCGAAGGGAGAGGTTTAAAGAATCCTGGGGACGGCGGCGGCTTGAAGAACGATGGTGAAGGTGGAGGGAGCGATGGCGACGGGCCCAATCGAATCGAAGGTGCTGGTTCGAAAAACTTGGGTGGCTCAAGTGAGTTGCCGAAGTTGAATCGTCCAGGCTTTCCGGGATCCTTTTCGTCTTCTTTCTCGGACCACGAGAAACTTGATGGAGCTGAAGACGGTCCTGGGGAGATCGAGTCTATGTTCGAAGTGGATTTTCCACGTGAATGACTGGGGAGACGCTCTATACTAGAGTCATTATCGGCACCCTCCTTCTCATTGGGCAACGGAGCAGTTAATGGTTCCTTGGGTTGCATATCGATAACGTTATTTGCTGAGAGCGTAAGCCGATGATGTTTCGCAGGGCTTTTCCCACTTCGCGGCCCTACAGCAGAGCGAGGAGAGAGCTTCTTCTTAGTAACCTCCTTTTGGAAATCTTGTAGACAATACATCAATCGCATATTTGGACTGATCCATCGGCTCTTCGATTGCGCTGCGTAGTAGGCGTCGTTGACAGTCAAGCCCGGATTTTGATATAAGCCGTATGCGATGATAAGACTAGCTGAACGACTTGCGCCCTGTTGACAGTGAACGAGAACCCTCTTTCCTTCCTTCGTGCGTTTCTCGATAGTCTCGCAAAGCATCATGAGGTCGGTTGCGATATCGGTATTATGATCCCATGGCATGTGGATGTACTCGGGTTCAAAAAGGTTGTTCGCCTTAGGGGTTGTAGGCGTTTCCACTCTATTTCCATCTTGGGGGAACTCAAAGGCCGTCGCAAAACTATCATTCGTCATAGCGGTGTCGGGTATCGGCGATTCGACTTGGAGAGTCTTAAGGTTCTCCGGTCGCTTGCCATTGCCGCAAGCTTGGAAGGGGTTAGTAACCTCACGAGCTACATTAATGACTACATCAAATCTGGAGGCTTCTTCTGCAGTAGGCTCCAAGTAGAGGTAGACATTATCTTCGTATATCGCGATGGGACCATCTGGATATCCAGGCGACTTCTGGTCCTCGTTGTTCTCGGGTTCGATGAAAGGCTCAAAATCCATCGCCGCGCGATTAGCAAGCTGGGTCTTGATAGGCGAATCCTCTTCAAGAATAGTGGTATCGTAATTTGGGCCGCTGCTTCCTAGGTTTGTCGGCCGTAATACTTCGGATAGCCCTGAAGTACCACGCTCGAAAACGGTGGGGAAAGTCATACCACCAGCTGGGCCAAAAGTCGCAGACTTCAATCCAGAAAGCATATGAGGGGAGGATGTCGAATGTTTTAAGGATCTTCGTTGTATAATCGGTGGAAGGCCAGGTGAGCTCGGAACTTCAAGGGTTGTCGGTCGAATATTGAGACCAGTCGAGTCAGTCTTAAGACTGAGTTGGCTAGGCTTTCGCTTCATCGCAGGAATCTTTGGTTTTATGAAAGAAGGCGACGAAGGTTCAGAGACTAGGTTGGAAGAGAGTGAGCTGACAAACGGCGGTTGTATCGACAAACCCTTCATGTTCCTTGCTCGTCTAGGGGAGGGAGACGTCATCGGTCTCTCCCGATTATTAGGGTCGTTCACTGTAAGATTATTCATCGTAGATGGTAGGCCGCCGAAATTGGTGGCTGGAAAGGAATTGAGAGGTATTAAGTTGACAGGTGAATCTGGAGAAGATGACGGCGACGGGTCAGAAAGTGAAGACGTGTCGGTTGTTAAAGTTGTCGTGGGAGATGAATCAGCGGATTCGGAATTTTGAGTGGAAGTGCTATCGTGGTGACGGTGCAAAGGATCCGTTGGTAAGGGCCGCAACGCGTGTTGTTGTGGTAACGTACCGGCGAGTGGCCCTGGTGCGCACGAAGACTCCATTTCCATTAATTTAGGGTCGACTACCGTTACTAATCCCCTCTCATCGATATTGTTGTCCGTCTCCGGATCGAATATGGACATAAAGGAGGGTATTTGATCCTCATACAATCGTCTGGCTGTAGCGGACGGCATATTTGACTATGCCCACAAAGCAAACTTCACAACCCAATTTTTGGCAACTCACGCTCACTTGTCTTATCCTTTCCTATGCCGAAAGGTAGAACCAAACCGTCGGGTCCTTATTCCCGTTGCGTCGCAATTTAAATCGATCGAAGGAGCGTAGGTAGGCAGTTCGCGCCAAACAGCTTCTTTAACAAACGGTGCCGTGATTCGACTGTTAAGATCTGTTCAGATGATGCTTTGTAATAGACAGCGCTGCTGTCCTTTTTTTCCCAACTCTTAAACTTGTATATCCTTCTCTCCTTCTCTTTCCGTCTTGTCACTACCAAGCTGATTGAGTCTGTTCGCCTGCGTATAATCTTCACTTATTCCAAGACAACAATCACACCCATCACTTCCTCCGAGGTAACTGGCGACCACTAAGCGCAACTGGTAGCTGCGTCGGAATTGAAATTGTAGGAATTATAGCAAGATAGACCGAGAAGGTAAAAGAGGACAATGAGCGGATAGTCTAAAAGATTACAATGTATTGCCAAAGAAGAAAAAAGAAAAAGTAGGCGGAGAAGGTAGGATTGTTTCCGGATTGTTTGTTTTCCAAGCAAATCGCCAGTCAGAATTGGAGGGCCATTAAGAGGTCAATACATTCTACCAACTACCCAGAGTACCGAGTAAATGTATAAAGATGTATAAGAGGTATGTAAGGAATTGGGTTGTTTGCGGGTGGCAGGTAGTAAGTAGGTAGGGTAGGCAGTGCGGGCGGTTGGGGAGTACAGGCCTCGATTGCTGCAATGTGCGATATGAAAGGAGGTTGAAGGAATCGTTAGGATAGGATTAAATCGCAAGATAACAGGCGGTTCGGAGAGAAGAGACACCTGTGTACTCTGTACTCTCGCGCGCGCAGAAGCAACGTCTCTCTGGAAACAACCAACAAGGGGTAGAGAAAAGGACCGGGAAAAGACCAGAAAAAAACCCGGGGTGGGCACAGGTAAGAGTAGAAAGAAGGAGGAAGAGGCGGATGGGTTGCGGTGGAGGACGGCGGGATCTGGATTGTGGAATTGTTGTGCGTGTGTTGACTGATGAATGAATGAATTTGGAGGGAGGAGAATGAGGAATGGGAATGGGGATGGGATTGAGATTGCGCTAGAGGCTAGAGGGAAACCACCTTAACTTCCCTGACTGCGAGACTGCCCAGGTGCTTGACCTTAGCGTGAGGCCGACATGGGCAGTAGAACTGGGGTACAGCCACTATGAGCAATGGCAGTGTTTGAAACAAGTTCGCTACTTCTCCTCGGCCTGAAGCGCTAACAAGCTCATCGTGGTGGGTCCTTTCCCAGCGGCCCATTTGTACCTTGCAACCCCCTACAAGATTGGATTTAGTGTCCCAGGTGTGCTAGGTACCTAGGTAGGTACGGCACAACAACAAGAGATACCTTAACTTTCGCACTAGGCTTACACTAAGCACTGACTACATCCATTACATCTTGATGTTTTCCCCGCGGCAGTAACTTGCGCTAAAACATCCATACTCGATCGGATTGGGCGGCCCTATTACTTTCAACCACGAGTTGTACTGTCGATGCGCTATCCAACCTATACAATCACAACAAGGGGGGGAAACAATGCGAGAGAATTGACCTTACAAAATGCGGGTGGCTCGTTACGTCGCTAACACCTAAGAGGCGTGCGGTGCTCTAAGTGGCTCTTTCAGACAGGGGCCATGCCTTTGCGAAACGAGACAGTGGCCGAGACAGGGATAATAATGACTCTATTAATAGATGTCTGCAGCCAACTAGGCGCCGATGGCCCACCAATCAGCTCTTCGGTGCCAAATTTGGTCTTGCAGCTGATAATTTCATTTCACCAATCGTTTCCTCCCCACCGTCAAGCATAACCTGGAATTGGCTCTTGGTGGCTTTGGAAAACTCGAAGAGGTGCGGCGCTATTCCGAACACACTTGTATCACGCTGGATCTGGACCTTCAAGAGGCTCATCGAATCTTGAATATTACTCTGATGACTGTCTATTTAAGAACGGATCAAGAACATTCGAAATATTCGGTCCGTGATCTAGAATTATTTGCCTCCGATAATCTCGCATACGAGTTGTATCTTAGCATGTGGTACCTATCAACTTGAAGGTATGTCTGCCCCCATCCACCCATTAACCATCACCGCTCTCTAGGCAATGACTTAATTCACTCCCATTACCTACCTCGGGCTACCGAGACTGGAGCCTTTCTCCATTTTGTCGCCACGCATAATAAGGGATCTACCTATTCATAATAGGCTTGAAGACACAAATAGCAACTTTGATCCCTATTAGCCTAGAGAATCTCCTACTCCGTACGTAAATCGGACTCGTCGGATCTTTCCAGGCATTTAATTCAACATCCCCTGAAGCAAAGAAAATAGAGGAGTCATCACTTGCTATTTAAAGCTCAGCGCACCGGGTAGTAACTCCATTACTTTTCGCTCATTACGATACCCTGTCATAACACGTGTGCGATCTGTTGCCATGTGCTTTATTTACCTACAGTACCTACTTATTATACTACCTTACCCAGGAGGCGTTTGAACCCTGAGGTGTAAAAGAAAACCCTCGTACGGCTACCAATGACGGTCGCCCCAAGGTTAATGCTATTCCACAATGGAATCATTATACACTGCCTACCTACCTACCTAGGTAGGTCCGTGATGACTTCGCCCAGCCACAATGGGACTGCCTAACAAGACTCGGAAGGTCGACAACAATATAGTATATAGATTAGGGCTTCGTAATCATCTGCTAGACGTATATACGCATTATTGGCATTGGATCCCCAATTCTTCAATGAAGAATCCTCGAAGACGTCCTGACGTCCTACCTAAGACAGCTTTGTTCACCGAGAAATTGGCAGGATCCCAATCGTTGTTATTTACCTGTATGTGTAAGCAGAGCCCCATATCTACGGGCTGTAAAGTCGACGGATTAGGACTTGGCATAGTGGACGAGCAAGAGCATGGTACTTTCACCAACGACCGGATTTGGAATCCAAATTATAATCCAAATAACCTACATGCAGATCGAATCGAACGAACATGTAACGAACGTTGCGAAAGTGTCGTACTACCCGAAGCTACTGGAATGCTCGACGGATAAAGTAATAGGTGCACTTCCTGAAATATCGTTGATTGTCGCAACTTTAAGTCAATCGATTTATTGTATGCGTCTCGCTCTTTCTGTTACTAAAGCTGGACAGGATGAGATGTATGCAAATACGTGATAGGCAAGAATGACCCGAAATGGGGATTGACGCCGTACATGAAATTACAAAGTTTGGAAACGGGCCATTATCGGCGAACGAGCTGACGGCCGACTCGGCGCTGGCGCTTGCTTGCTGCTATTTTAGACTAAAATTATTCCCAGGCACACCTGAAACGACCGTCTGAACTCTCTTCAATTCTGTTGGAACAATCAATACAGTGCCCTAATCGGGATTACCTAACAAGGGATTGATTACCTGGACATTCGCTTATTTTACGTGCATCTCGTGGCATTAGGTTTATGAATGCATTAGCTCAGCACATATTTATGTATCCACTTCTTCCATCTGGGTTGCTGTGGCATCATCCATCTCTCTCCACGACTTATTAAAATCCTAGACATACCAGATTTGAGATCCACCCGCTTTTGAATATCAACAAACGCTTTGAGCTTTGTCTTCCCTGTCTGATACAAATATCTATAGGCGAGTACTCTATAATACCAGCCTTTGTTGCACATTAGGATTCTACGTTATACCCGTTCGCATCATGGGTTCGAGATCATACTTACACAGAAGGTCAAAATCACCTAGGCAACTAGCTAACAATATTTGATCCATACGTCCTATTCCCTTCTGCAAAGCCAAGCATAGTCGAGTATATTCAGATACCTAGGTAACTAATACTTGGTTGGAGCTTGATGAGGCGCGGATTACGAATGTTTATAGATCGCAGAAACTCTTTGGCAGCTAATTAGGTACACCAAGATAAGTTACACATTCGCCCCATTTCCCACAATGCAAAGCACGTACTTTAATAATACCCAAAAATTACTTGCCTTCTCACCTTATCTATACCTAGTACCTACCTGGGTAGGTATACACGAAGCCATCGATTCCCTAGATATACTTAATTCCCGAGGTCATCGACTGAATCGGGACGGTTTTGTGTTCAACCCGGAGAAACGTTCGGAAGCCCGAAGTCATGATTCAAGTTAACTAAGCTTCTAAATCTAAATGCACAATGACGATTGAGAAAATTGATGAGGTTAATACATGTATGTGTATGCGGCTGAATCCTGGTCAGCTCTCGACGAAGCAAAGACTTGCCAGAGAACCGTGCCCTTCTAAAACATGACGCGGGAGCGTGTCATGCGGTTGGGTTGTATACTTGCGACGTCAATGGAATTCACCTACCCAGGTATTCTTATTCAAGGACTGATACTACGCATTCGATAACATGTGGTAAGGAATTAAGTGTTGTCGCCTCTTATTCCGAGGCAACTCGAGTTTTATTAAGCTACCTGTTGGTCTTTGAGTAACTCGACATTTCGGTACCGGGCAGAGTCTTAAACCTCGAAGGATTATCCTAGTTCGGCCAACCAACATATTTGGCAATGTCTAACCCTAAGGTACACAGCATTTTTATCCAAGTTCCGTTAGGGCAGCACTCGTCCAGTGTAATCTGTTGAAGAGTCTCATATCACTTCTCTTCACTAGAAACGCGCGAGAGAAAAGGGATGTCTGAGGCTCGATATTGGAAATATCCTGAAACATATCAATTTGTATGAAAGTTTGATTAAATGGACGATGCTCGTGCTGTCACGGACTTCGACACCTTAGCTAAGCGTTTGATCTCCTCCAAGCTCAGGGGGTTACGATATCCTGGTATTTCCGCTTGCGGTGCACGCAATTGTGGTTTGCGATCAAAGAGCCCAGGGTTCCCTGCGAACCCCCGCCGAAAACGACTTGACCTACCATGGTAAATTGGCCGAGAATCCCTTCGTACACAGCCAAGATCTGCCCTTTCGAAATTGTGCACCCGGGTTCTGGAATCTAGTGCAACCACATTGCTTGTTGAGAAAGGAGTTGATACAATAACAAAAGAGCTCTTACGATACAAAGTCAACAATAACCATAATGTATGGACAAAGAAACTCCTCTCCGAACCGTCCATCACATTGTATAACCCACACCCCGCAATGGTCCACTGTTCTCTCAGAGGTAGATATGTACCTATTTCTTGCATCAAAAACGCCTTGGGCAAGTTTTACGTACCTAGGCGTTGTGTTAGTGCTTACAATATGCGAAGCACAGCGCAGCTCGAACGACCCATTGTCCAATACACTTCAGCATCAACATCACTCTTTCGTCAGTTTTGTTGGTGGCTTGGGGCCGTGCGGAAGAGGATCAGGGGGCTTGAGGGGATTTGTCCGCAGCCGACCGTTGATTCCTTGCAGGACTCTGGAGATTTAACCTGATTACCAAGGTACATACCTAAGTACCTATCGTAGGTATCCAACAAAGTCAGTCATGTCTTAGGTGTGTTGAATGAAGTGACGTTCTAAGCCTTTCGAGAAAACCAAAAGCAATTAAGAGTCTAATGCAAAGGTAAGACATTACGGAAAGAATCTATATATTTGATCATATATCATATTTGTAAAGTAGGTATCTATCTTCCAACTCTCTACATGTATACACATCTATCTCCTTAGCTGCTTCTACGTAAATACGTTGTAATAAACTCACATCCTCACCTGGCCTCGAGATGCTAATAACCGACAGGTCCACAACAGCATGTATGGCGACAGATACCCCTGACTAGAGTAGCTTAATAGTGTTGCTCTTTGCCCTTTACAGGCTAAACTTGCGAACTAGTCTTAGACCCCTTCAAAAGAGCCTCTCCGAAATAGTGCAGACTGTTGATTTTGACCAGCCTCCTCCTGACATGGAAATTGACGTTTCTGGCCGATTGCAGCAACTTGCAGCAGCGTGTTTGAATGCGCTGCAGCAAACTACCGTAGCAATCTGCGAGCACACTTCGGAACTTCAGTCTATCACGATTGGTACTTTTTCCCCCGTGTTTGCTGAAGTTCTATCCAGCACAAGCCATTGTAAACCCAAGTCATCTACCTAATTAACACATATGAACGTCCATATAATTTTCTATGCTCACCGCCTATATGTGAGAATTATGTGTGGCGCCTTCGTAGAACCATAGCTTTGGGTGAACCAAAGAGAAGATTAGAAAAAAATTCTCCGTATAACATCTGTGTCCTATTCTCGCTAATGCAGTGCATACCGAGGTAGGTATATCAAGGCTTTTATTAAAGGGAAGCCCCTGATTCTTTATAGCTTGCAGATCCTTTGATTGGAGATCAGCATGGGCAGCACAGACGGGAAAACCTAGAAGTACTCGTGTGGTGTCTGTACGTAAGTAAATGTACTTACAATTAGCACAATCCCAGGCTCACGGACCTCGTCTATTAGATCACCCATGCATCTAAGTGGCACTCGGTTGCGATGCGTGGGTGCTGCGTGGCTCTCGACCAGCACTTCTTGTACGTCCCCACATTCCATTCGGTTTCTTAGCGGTCATGATTTCACTGGCGCGCAAGACCAGTGCTCTAACTACTCCCGCTACTGCGAGTCGACTTTGTTCACGTCTAATCAGAGGCAAGCCCTAATCCGAGTCCGGATAAGGGAATGGAGCGATTAAGCAAGAGTGAACAGAAGTCCGACAAATAAAAGTACATGCTCTATAACAGGTAAGGAAGACGTAGGTAAGTTAGCTAGGTAGCTGGGCAGTTAATTAGTAAACCTTCCCCTAGTTTGACACCAACCAGGTCGCCTTGGGGTTGGCTTCCGATGGGCCATATCCATACCCATTACCATCCTTATCCTTCCCATACATCCCGGCACTGAACTTGGACCTTCGGGCTGCTACCCTCTTCTGCTTCACTCCCTGTCCTGGCCGAATCTCAATATGATCGAGGATCCCGATTTGACTTTGTGAACTTTCTCCTGAGAAATTTAGCACCAGAGTCCAACTTGGTCTTCTCTCTCACCACCAGTCATTCGTTTTGCAATACGCATTTTCTTTTTCGTTGGCGCGGGCTTCTTTTTTTTTTTTTCGCGATTGCGACGGCAGTTTAGTTATTTATTCTTTTTGCAGTGTAAGTAGCGAAAAGTCGACCCTGACATTATCCATGGGTCATTTTGGTTTCTTATTCATGCAAAAAACTTGTTCGGAGCCCTTGCGAGTCTGAAGTTGAATTAGTCCGAATAACGACCCTGTCTACTCCACGAATCGTAAGGTGTATAGGAATAAAGGTGGTGGGCAAAAAAAAGAGACGGGACGAGAGGGAAAAAAAATTAATTGGATCAATTATCGGGAAAGAGAAGTTGGGACGAAATGGATTCAAACTTTGAGGCAGTCGCTGCTTCTTCTAATCCGCCTATTATTAGTGGTAATAGCAATGGTGGTAAGCTTTTTTTTTAGTGGTTTTCTTACGTGCAGTAATAGCGACATCAGCAGGAAGCAACGGCCACTAATAGTTAATGGTTTCAGCAACAACGGACCCATCCGCATCATCCCTTTCGCCTCCCACCACCGCTACCACCAGTACCTCCACTACTACTAACACAAACACTATTACCGCAACCATCACCGCTACTACACCAAACCCAACGATAACAACAACCAAATCCACAATCACAAATCCGACTTCAACTTCCACACCGTCTAATACTACACATTCCAATAACCTGCACGCACACCGACAAAGTCACAATTCATCTAAACTCCCCGCCTTTCGCTTTGCCGATCTAAAGAAAGAACCCATTGCCCTCCCCTCGCTACTGCAGAGTCACCATATTCCACCCTCGCCTGTCTCACCCGTTTCGGATCACTACACCGGAACACAACCAAACACGTCCCAAGAATTGTCCCCACAGCCAGCGCATCAATATCGCAACAATAGCAACAATACTAGCCCTGTCTCACCTGAACAATTGTCTGCAGATTTTTCGAGTCCATCTAGGTCTCGGGCCTCCACGTTCCAGACCCCCGCCGCCCAATCGACCGCCACATCGACATCATCATCTGCCAATGCGAAGCGCTCTGCTTCTCTAGACTCCTCTACCGCGACTACTCACAAGGTCTTACCCAATACCACGACCATCAAGTCGCCCACGGATTCCACCGATACCATTGTTACTATACGGCCCCAGCACAGACGCGCCCCTCTGTCGGGCAATTCAATAAACGAGACATCGTCCAGTCGGCGAATGCACAGGTCTAACGATAGTCGAGACACGCTACCAGGTGAAGAGAGTAGTGGTAGTAGCAGTAGGAGAGAATCAGGTAGCGGGCAGCGGGAACTTTTACTACCGAAGACCCTCCAAAGAACAGCGACCGCCGATGAAAAAAGGGGTTCTGTGGCTAGACGACCACCAGTATCTTACAAGCCACCCGTAAGCTCTGGTAATTCAGGCGGCACCGCATCTATTCCCCCTATTCGATCCTTCCGTTCCTCGGGTGAGCGACGGAGTCTCGTCCTCGATATGAATATTCGCTCAATGCGAGGGTATGATGGGAACGACGATTATGGCGATTCCAACCATCGCGATAGGACGCTGCGCGCGCTAGAGGGAAGGCGCTTTGACGATGCTTCACAAATAACACCGCCCGACTCAGCGGGAGATCGCCCAGATGGCGATGACAACGGCGATCTATTTCTCAAGATTGCACGCGAAGACCCATTACGTCGCGGCGCTGATAGTAATGGAAATTATGGAGAGACCCAAAGTGCTATTGTAAGTTTTCCTACCCGTTTGCTTCTCGAGTCGTTTCAGAACCCACCCATGGGTCAAAGCACGCACTGGCATCCCTTGGGCTTTTGCTAGGGCGCGCTCCCAATTTCATACTACCTACACTAAATTACAAACATAACCTACGCAATCAACGGCTGTAGAACATTCCATCGCTTCGACCGTTAGTTCTAAATTGGTTCTAACTTTTCATATAGTCTCGAGTAACGCGAAGTAGCCGGCGACCTCTTTCCATGGGCGTATCCTCGTATCAACCAGCTTCACCTCCGCAAATGTTTCGTCGCTTGTCGGATCAGGAGTCCTCTCGACCTAGGGGCTTCAGTGATGACCAGTCAGGGGAGAAGATCGCCCGCAGTCTAACTTATAGAGGATTCTCCAGAGATAAACAATCCGACGAGACGAAACCAAAAGGTACCAGCACACCTCTACGGGGATCTCCACTAACCCCTCGATTCCAAGAACCCCCTTCTGAGCCTGGCTCTGCTTATAATCGAAGACGACAACCATCTGTCGACAATGGAACCCCCATTCCATCTCGCATGTCATCAATAAAGCAATCTAGCATTAACTACAGCCACCCCCGCACCTATAACTCCTCGCCGCTAGTACCAAAGTCAATGGAGTCACAAAAACACGACACTCAAATAGACGATGCGAACCATGGCGTCGAAGGGACTAACTCAACTGCTTCGACCGCTGCTCCTTCCACAGTATGGGATGAGCTTGATGATCTAAAGTCTCGCATCCATCGTCTTGAATTAACTGGCAAGCTCCCTCCCACCTCGGGAGCTGCTATATCCCGTGCATCCGACGAGCGACCACCTACCGCTCACACGAACGCGACGACGCTCTCTGCTTCTCCAAAGCGTGGTTCTGGAAGTGCAGTGCAGGCGCCAGATGCAAACAACATACAGAGAGACGGACATCCACTTTTACACTCAGCGTTAACAAAGTCCAAGAATTTCCTTAGTGCGGAAGTTTTCGAGGCGCTCGAGACCGCTGCCAACGACGCATTGGCTCTTTCCATCATGATGGGCACCGCTGGTCAACCAGGACCTATCGCGAGCGGCGCCAGTAGCATTGGCAGTGGTACCACCATTACGGACCGCCAACTCAGACGAAAAGCAGATAGTATCTGCCGCAGTCTAACTGAATTATGTCTCGCACTAAGCGAGGGAGCCGCGCAGGCTAAACCGCAACAAGTATCCGCACCCGCTCCAGAGAACCCTCCAATAGCAAGCCCTACCATCACGAAATTCCCTGGAGTAGCCTCGTCGAGGCGACCAAGCACAACCGATCATAATCTTGCTGTCCACACCAGCCCGAGAGCTTTATCCCGTTACGAAGACAAGCGAACCAATGCGCTAGTATCTAGCGCACTACCGACGCCGCGATACAACGCAACAGCTCCTACGACCCCAACAGATGGTGCCGCATCCGCAGCGGGCCGAAAAACATCCTTATTAATATCCCGCTCCCGTCGCGCCGGAACGGAAGAGCCAGAGGAAGGACGCAAATCATCATTACTAAGAACCCGACGGGCTACTACGGAGGAGCCAGAGGAGCGAATCGAACGAAAGCCCTTATTAGTTCGAAGCCGTCGTGGAACTATAGACAACAATAATGATGAAGAGGACGTTCGTTTCCGTGCGCCTTCTCGTGCCATTACCGAAGTCCACGGACTAAGATCTGGGAATCGCGAATATTCTTCACAATTGCCCGCACCTCAATCAAAAGATGCCGAGGCTTTGGGATCTTCAGCTCTACCCAGAAGACGACTCGCCTCTCAGGCACTCAATACTCGATTAGTACTCCCCGCTCCGACAACCGGTATTACCACCCCACAACGCCGATATTTTGATCGATCAACACCAGATCGTGAAGTATATAACCCGGGAGAAAGGACGATCGCGGAAGATCGACCACAACGACAATTCTCCGTCGCTCGTGCCGGAAGTATGGACAAGCGAGCAAACCGTGGAAGCATGATTGCCACGAGCTCTCCCGCAGCTGGCGGTTACCGATAACGCCGTAACGACTATGACACGCTCATGACGATGTAACAATAGACAGTCATTCGGGCAAAGGCAATTTTTCATAAGCATGAACTCTGCATAGTTAGACGGTTTTTTACTTGATTACTGAAGCTTTTGTTTTTTTCTTTACTTCATATAATACCCTCGCCTCTGCGAACACATTTACGACTTTATTCGAAAGACCGTTGTTGCGGAAGCCAAGCGCTGGTCAGCGCAATCTCCTGTATATCAAGTCTACGACTAGGACACAAACACCGAAAACCCCCTCTGATAGGTATGGCGCGGGGAGGTGTGCTTTGGAAGGGAATTGTTTATACCTCCAATTGTACTGAAAAAATGGATAGTGGGTGTAGAGCCGAAGGTGCTCTACGGTTCCTTTGTGAGGGCGGGTTGTCACATAGGGGCTGGATATTTATGGTTAGGGGGAGCTTTATACTATCCATAGGCGCTGTGGAGCGGTAAAATATTTACCGGTGTATTATGTAAATAAGTCGCCAACAAAAAATGGCGTGTAATGTATGGATATTTGGGGTCTTGCAATGAACATAATCTTTTCTACACACATTCTAATTTTCGTCGTGAAATTGTTTGTTTAAATTAAATATGTGAAAGTACACCGTATTGGCTTGCAAGCTTATAGAATGACGGTGACTTGACTCAGACCGAACGAGTGGATCCTCTTAAGGCAGTAGCTTCTTGTCAAAGTGCGGCTCAAACAGCATATTTAAAAAAAGGTTGGATCCGGCAGAAGGTTCCCCGTCCCACTACGACTAGCCGATCTGCAAGGCAATCACGACATCAAATCTAATTCTAACCAACTAGAAGTGACGAAAGCTTAACGAGCTTATTCGATTACATCCTTTTAAGCCCTTCCAATCATTGAGAAACGCCCCACCATATAAAGAAATTATCCGTTTGTTAAATCTTACCATCGTCATATCCAGAATCCTGGCGCTTATATACAAGCGTGGTTTCGCTTCGGTTGGGCTGCTAGTACGAGGGTTGTCTCGTTCTTGGTACCTTTACTCTGCCGTTCACTTTTCGAGAACCCGGTCAGTACTTCAAGCTAGGCTTCTACCGTTGCCGTTTACGCATAGCTTTCATCATAAAAGCAAGAGTATCTACGACGGCAAGCGAAGTAGGAGAAGCAGAAGAATTCTAGACATGGCGGACAACGACGAGTACGTCGAAAGGATGGAGGACCTGGCGCTGAAAGGAAAAGGGAGAGGTGGCCGTGACCGTCGTGGTGGTGGTAGAGGAGGTGGAAAGGGAGGCAGAGATCGTAATACGCAGATCTCGAGGGCGCTATCGCAACTTCTGAGACATCAGGCTGAGAGTGCGGGGATTAAGTTAGATGCTGAGGGATATGCGCCTTTGGATAGAGTGGTGAGTTTAATGTGCTCTCTTAGGGACTTTCATGCCTTTAGTAATATGGCGTTTTCATGGCTGACTACGAGTAGTTACAATGGCCACGAATACGCTCACTTAACCCAACATTCGAGGAAATCCGAAATGAGGTATCAAATAACGCGAAGCAGCGGTTTGCCATGAAGCCCAAGGACCCGTCTACGGATGTGGAAAGTGCTCTAGCTGAAGCAGATCCTGCGGCTTGGCTTATCCGCGCCAATCAAGGCCACAGTATTGCGTTAGCGGACGAGGCGATACACACGCCCATCACGCTCGAAGCCGGTAATATACCGGAAATTGCAGTTCACGGTACATACTTTGCTTTCTGGTCGGCTATCGTGGCGTCAGGTGGCTTAAAGAAGATGAACAGACAACATGTACATTTCGGCACCGGACTTTTACCAGAAGACGATGGGAAAGGTGGGGGTAAGGATAAGGAGAAAGTAGTTAGCGGGATGCGGTCAGATGCGGAATTACTCGTATTCGTGGACGTGGAGCGCTGTCTCAGGGAAGAGAGCGGCATCCGGTGGTGGATCAGCGCCAATGGGGTTGTTCTAACGGAAGGTGATGAACAGGGATTGGTGCCGCTGAAGTATGTGAAGGAAGTGAGGGGTCGTAGACAGGGTGTTGGCGTTTTGTGGCGCGATGGTGGGAAGGTGACTGATTTACCGCCTGATATTGTTGCCAAAATACCTATGGGGAAGGGTAGAGGGGGTGGTGGCGCTGGTGCGGGAAGAGGAGGAAGAGGGAACCGGAGAGGTGGGAGAGGGAAGGGGGAGGCGTAGATATAATATTTAGCAGGGAATACCTACGTAAAAAATGAAAATAAGAAATAGCAATGAATACAGAGACAAGTACTACTTGTACTAAATTCACAGAAGTCAAGCTCGCTATTTTATCATCATTGGGGAAATTTCAAAAACAATATTAATTTGCTATCGACAAGTTATAAAACGTAAATCATGAAATGCTTTTGAAGGAAAGACTTCGCGACAGCCATGGCTCCCAAGCAGCCTAGGTATTCCGAAATAAAATGTATACTGGGTCTCGATGAACAAGATAGTGTACAACAGAGCTATCTGTCTGCGCATGAATTTCCATAAACGAAAGAAATGGCCCTATCCTAGGGCCGAAACAGAAAAGGAAAATATCCTAGGTTAGGTAATGTAGAAACAGAAAAACACCATATTTTCCCCTGAGTTCAAGTGGATCGCCCCTTATCTACTCCCTATACTCCCTAAGCCACGCAACGCCGATGTACATATTACTGGCAACAATTGGCCATGAATGAGGAGACTATGCAATGTGGGTGAACGAGGCTACAACACTGCCGTCACTAAGTGTTGTAAGACCTGCGCTGTCCATGCGAGCCGGTGTTTTGTTGATTGTCTGAGTAGCGGTTACAGTTACCGGGCTTGCAGTGGTCGGAGTAGGTGTTGGCGTTGGGGTGTCGGTCTCAGTCTCGGTGATCTTCTTGGTCTTGGTTATCTTCTTCGTGACCGTGGTAGTTACCTCGCTAGGTGAGACTGGGGAGCAGGAGTCGGTGACACTGACGGTGCTGACGACGGTGCTCATTTGGCTGCTGATGATAGTAGCATTGGAAGTGAACGTGGCGGTTACGGTAGCAGTGTTTGCCATGGTGTTATTCATAGTCGTAGTAGCTGTCTGGGTGATCGGAGTTTGCATTGGAATAACCTGAGGGTCTGTGTCGGACGGGTTGACAATGAGTTTAGACTGGCCATGGTAACAGTTTAAGGTACCGTTGTTAACACCGATTCCATGGGCTGTGTAGAGTAAAAGGTTAGAACTGAAATCATTGGATTCTGAGTTTGTATATACAGTATGTCTCGATGAGAAGATGAAATACCTAGACTTACTGAGATCTACCGATGACCACGTAGGCATCTCTTGGGCGTCATGACGATTGCAGTAACAGGTTAATTTTGTGATGTATACATCACTGTCGTCATTGGTCAATATGAGACCACAATAATGGCAGCTCTCTTCGAATTTTCCTGGTGAGGTCTGCGAATCGTCCGCTATAACCTTGAGAGTTCCATCATCGTTTACAACGCACCTGCGGAAGAAAAGTAGAACCGCGTTAGCTATAGCTACATAATCTAGGGCCAAAACTTACTGATTAAGATCTAGGACGCTTGTGCGGTACACCCCATCGCCGCTGTCGCTAGTAGAGCAAATCGAAACGAGCTCAGAGGCCATGCGGTTCTGACGGAAGTAGAACCAGGGACATAGGCTGGAGATGAAGAATAAGTTGTCGTGGGAGTTATCATCCGCTCCTACAAAGGAGGCTGCCCATAAGCCGAGGCAGAAGGCGACGTAATGGCGGATAGTGACCCCCATCTTATTTCCGCTCCAGTAATATTTTTTAGAGTCGTGCTATTTTCCTTTGGTGGGCTATCGAAATAGTCGGCTCTGCTTGTGATGGTGCTTGTGGGGTAGGTTAAAGTGAGAGAGAGGATTGCAAGCCTAGCGTAGGTTATCTTATAGTTGGGAGAAAATTTTCAAATAGAAAGACGCTCGATACTTGTCCTGGCTAATAATTCATAATCACGAGGGGTTTGCATCCCAATCATGGGCAACAACAGCTACTATATTGTGAATACGAGCGTAGGTTCGTTCCATTTGGGAGCATGACCCCATTATCACAAAAGGGGGGAAGAGATTATTCAACGTAACAAGTCATGGCGAAACCCCCCTTCATTAATTATTTCCTGTGACAATGTCATACCACTGACGTGGAAGAAGTTGAAATGCCATATTCACGCCCACGTTAGATGGTAAAATGGTGATACGTGGTGGTGTATTTATGTGTAATTTATTGTAATTCATTATGCTGAACCGTCTCGTCATTTCCTCATAACATTAGGTACATATCGTAAGGGTGCTTCGTCCACCCGGAGTCACGATCGTAAACGAATCGATCTAGACTCACTCCCATGCCTCACTTATGCAAATGCGTCCGTAGTCCCTCGGCACACCGAATCTAGTCCTTTGTCGGTCGCAAATCCACATCATCGAGCAACCCGGTCAGCATGTCGCCTAACTAAGCCGGGGCTGGTGGTGCTCCTTGTTTCTTAAGTTCCGGTGACAGACGTGATATGAAGTGTTGGCTTCTTTTGTTGTGTGGATCAACTAACTTGCGCAGATGCACTAGTAGTTCCTCGGCAATCTTCTCCTTGACAAACTTCTTACCAAGCACCTTTTCTACGCGGCCGACGCCCTCGGGCAATCGATCAGCCAGCATGCCTAGATCGGGATATCCCGACCAGAAATCCTCCATTTCCGAATCTCGGGTAACCTTATATTCCGGTAGATTTGGAAAGCCAAGGCGGGTGCAGAGTCGTTTTGCTTCGTATGAGGCAGATACTTCTTCGTTGTCGAAGGGGGACGCAATTGCTTTGGGTAGGGGGTTTCCTGGGAGTATTTGAATCACATCCGGGTCAGGACCCTGTGTGGTAGGTGCAGCAGTAGAGGCCTCGGTATTTTTAGGCGATGATGCCGAAATCTTCTGCCTTTTACTAGTTGGGGAAGACAGCGGTGTGACACGATGCTCTGGGGCGTGTTTCACACCATTGCTGTTGTAGCCGGCCATGTACCCGTTGGCCCTCAGCCACTGAACAGCGCACTTAGCAGCGTACTTCTTAGCGTCCTTTTTCTTCGCAAAGGAGGGCTGCGTCCCGTCTGCAAGAAGCCCACCATCGGGTCCAGGGAATGGCCCTTTATGCTCGGGGATTCGGACTTCGCAACACCATCTTTGAGTCGCGCCTACCATTGGGCCTGGCTTGTCGATGAAATCACCCCCAGGAAGACCCTCGGGGACTCGTTGGCGGGCGGCTCGGTATTCTAGCGTAATATTAACACTACGAGATCCTTAGCAATATTAGCTAGTGGGAGTTAATTTACCTAGTAAGGTACCGACCCAGTTGTCATCGCCTAACTCTGGGTCAGGTTGAGGTGGTGTTGCTGGGGGTAAAGAGAGTTCGAGCTTCTCTAGGCATTTCCTTTGAACTTCTGTCAGAGGCGCGGGATCAGGATGTGAGGATTCGTATTCTTGTTGTTGAATAATCCAATTTAGGATGGTTCGATAGGTCTCTTTTGACACCATGGTTGCGGTATTTTAGATATCTATGGGCATGGACAAGGGAGGAGAATGCACACTGAGGAATTAGAAAAAGAGGGTGAATCTTCTTAAGTTCCTCTCATGATTTCTTAGGTATCTGGGATGGCGGGATGGTAGGTAGGTACGTTATTGGCGGGGTAGCTTTGGAAGGACTGTTGTGCGACATTATATAATCTCGCCATATATCACTTCCTGTTTGAGTAGAGTTTCCATATCGCCCCTTCTGTTTTTTATCAGGTCGAGAGTCGCGCCTTTTGAAATTACAGCCTTCAAACTTCTATTTTATTATTTACTTAGAAATGTGGTCGAAGTTGAGAATGAGAGAGTTTTGGACTTGCATATAGGCAATCAGGTACCCTGGCTGTACCCCTACCTAAAGATTTAAGCTTAACCTTATCTAATCTACTAAGCAGCTGGGGTGTTCTGAAAGCTTGCGGCGACTTTAAGCTTCTACTGTATGTACCTAGGTAATTTATTTAGCATTTACTTAGTCCATCTTCCGCCACTTTTCTGTTAAACAATACTTTGATGACTTGAATGATCATAAATACTCTCTTTATCAAATACCACAGGGAAGAACGTATGAAGTTGCAAATATGAGTAAACTAGGCTTATCTTTCGGTTTAAATCTCACCAAGAAGCCCGGCGCTTCGAAACCCGCTCCTCCAAAGAGGAAACCGATGTTTGGTGGTGACGAATCGGACGACGATGACGCGAACGGATCGACCAAAGGACCACAAGCAACCGAAATATCAGAGCTAAATGACTTCCCTACGGAATCGTCTATCCAACAATCAAGTAAAAAGCCATCATTAAAATCGAAGAACGGCGCGCCTCCCCAACCTCCAAACAGCAAAAACAAGAAACCCCAGATTTCGATGTACGGCGACCTATCGAGCTCTCTCGAATCGCGCAAACACCAAGAAGCCGCAGAGGAGCTAGATCCCTCGATATACGACTACGATGCGGTCTACGACTCGTTAAAACCGGAGAAGAAAGCTACGCAGGAAGACATTGAGAGGAAGCCCAAGTACATGAAGAATTTGCTAGCTTCTGCCGCTGTACGGAAACGCGACGCCCTCATCGCTGAAGAGAAGAAGATTGCGCGGGAACGGGAGGAAGAAGGAGATGAATACGCGGATAAGGAGAAGTTCGTTACGGAGGCATATAAGAAACAACAGGAAGAGAATCGGCGGATTGAAGCGGAAGAACGTAAGCGCGAAGAGGAGGAAGCTAAGAAGAATAAGACCGGCGGCATGACTGCTTTCTACAAAGATTTACTAGAGAGGGGCGATCAACGGCATGCTGAAGTTGTTAAAGCGGCGGAAGAACGAGCGAAAGCCGGCCCGAGGGACGACGAAGACACACAAGAGGAGAAAGTCAAGACCGATGCGGATGTTGCACGAGAGATCAACCAAAAAGGCGGAACTATTGCGATCAACGAAGACGGTCAAGTGGTAGACAAGCGCGAGTTACTGAAGGGAGGTCTCAATCTGGGCACAGTTAAGAAGCAAGAACCCCGAAGAGAAGCAGATAAGGAACGAGATCGTAGGGACGATCGCGGGCAATCGCGAGGCTTCGTTGGTGCAGGTGGGAAACAAGCTATGCGTGAAAGACAAACCCGCATGTTGGAGGCGCAATTGGAGCAATCTTTAAAGCGATCCATGGCCGAGGAAGAGGAGGAACGGGAGAAGGTCGAACGCGCATCCAAGAGCCGCAAGACTGAATCCGACGTATCGAGTGCGAAGGAGAGGTATCTAGCACGTAAGAGGGAAGCCGAAGAGGCGAAAAAGAAAGCGGCTGCGGAGAAATCGTGAGCAGAATTCAGATATAGACCTGTATATACCCCATCCAGGCTTCGAATCAAGATAGGATATACCGCTCCATCTTGGACGCCATAGCCTTAGTATGATGTACAATTCCGTGCTCTCATCGGTTCGATTATATCGTAAGAATTAATCCGTCCTTTTACAATGGCTTGCCACCGTTATCCTGTTTTATCCGTCGCCAGTATGTTGTGTTGACTTGGTCCCACGCTAACATGTATTTCTCTATGCATTGGAGAGTGCATGTCTGCTCGCTGCTCGATAATGAACTACCCGGATTCGGTACGCACTTCCTATAGCAATGCGTGTTGATTTTCTGTATGAAGATTACTTGATTAGGTCCTTTCTTCGAGGGAGGGCTGCCAAGAGGCACGGAGTTAGGGTGCGTACTTCGGCTAGCATTCTGACGTTTTCTATGGCGTATTGGGTCTTGACTTGCTTGATGACCTCGTCCTTAAATTGTTCGGATTCCATGATTGCTAATTCGTTCGGTTTGCGTCTTGTTCCTAGGTATGTTGCGTATGGAAATGGTAAAATGGTGGGATTATTGATAGGTTCGGAGCTTTCATGAAAAAAGTTGAAGCTTCATTGATTATTTCGTAGGCCATTTCGGAGTGGAGTTAAAAACTCTTAGCGTCCTTAGCGGTGAAGTGGGGGTACCGTAGGCACTTGGATACAGGGTATGACGCATGCCACTGAATTTAAAAACATCTAGACGTACTAGGTAGGTACTTATCAAAATGGCCACCAGATGGTAGCATTATTGAAGTATATTATTTAGAATAAATTGCCATGACGGAAGCTCATTTTCGTCTAACTTATTAACAATATGATTCCCCTTCATCCACTTATTTTCCCTAGACAGAAATCTCAATTATGGCTCATATGGAGGAGGATCGTTATTTGGTGTACTCTCGCTGCTCCGAGCAAGTTCCGCAACGAAGTTACCCTTCTGTTCCCGATGAAGTTTCCGTACCTGGAGATAGTCCGCACACACGACGAGGGCGGTGGTAACGCTATGGAAATATGGGATTAGCTACACCCTTAGATACAATAATCACGAACAAATACTTGCTAGCTGATACAAGCTACGACGGTAATATCAGTCCGGCCTGCAAGACCAGACTTTATAGCGAGGACTAAATCTGCAGCCGTGACCAACGAAAAGACTACAGAGGCGAGTAGAACTCCTCTCTGAAACCCGCCCATCTGACCCGTAGCCGGGCGTTTTTGGGCGAAGCTATATGCTCTCCATAATGCGATGAAAAGGACAATATTGGTCATTGTGGTAACGGCGCCCTGAGACTCAGTTAGATTTGTTATTTGGATACACGTAGGTATGGGGATGAAAGGGCAAATGCCTACAACTGCGGCAGATACCCAAGATATAGTCGTTTGAGTCGCTACTTCGTTCACCTCGTCGGGGGTAGTATAATGATTTCCGAAACTGCTTGGTCGATAGGAGGCAAAAGCTATAACACTAACGACACACATGCTGAGTTGACCGAAAACAGAAAGAGTGTGTGCTATCGCCCACCAATTTATCGAGTTGTCGTCTGGCTGCCCCATTTGGAATCTGTGTCTTGATATACTCTAGCGGTTATGTTTGAGAAGCACAAGGCCTATGCCAATGGAAGTGAACGAATTCGCTCTCCATGACAGAGGACTTCTTTATGTAAATCATCCTTTTATAGTAAGAAGACGAGGCATACTACAACGAGCGGATACGACCCTCGGTAGGCGTTGAAGTTAGCTGTTTGTCCTGGAATGACGTAGGATCCGTGACCAATCATGAATTCTATACTCAGCCCTGTCAGCGCATCCTTTCACTGGTTACCAAAACTCCAAGATTAATGCGGCAGATTCAGAACTGGTTAAATAGTGTGGGAGACATCCACATTTAGTGACCACCCCGCCAAAACTCTTATGGCGGACGTTACTATGCCTATCTCAGTTTGGGTATTGCTGTGTTACCGACAAATAGCAAACAACGTGGTTCGGTCACTGGGATATGGAGTCCTTCGCTAAAATCTATCTACTTCTAGAACGATTCAAAGGGGTCGGGTGAGTTCGTGTTGAAGAGTAGCATATGGCTTATCTCGGTGAACGTAAGAGAATTAGACTCGAGAAGTGCTGCAATTAAATTCTACACAAGACGAATGAGGATATTTTGGCGATCGTGTTTGGATACTTTGAAGCTATAGGTAGGTAGTGAGTGAATTCCATTTCAACTTCATATGTGAGACTGAAGAATCCATTTTCGGCTCCAGGTTATGTCAAACGTCTTTCAACTCTTAAAATCTAGAGCATTGTTGACTCATGATAATATGGTTTCGCATGTCTGCCTTGTTTCATCCATTCAATGTGAAGTGGAAAAATAGGTGTTAAGCGCGCTAAGGCTGCTAGTAGCGGTGGCTTTGTAAGTCCTCCAGCTATTGTGCCATGATGGGACCCACTGAAAGTAGCGGCCTTAGCGCAGTCATCAGCGCTAATCGATAAAATGCCACGCTATTGATTTAAGTGGAGCATATCCGTTGCCGTGCAACAGATCTAGTATTTCCCCCAAACAATAGGCTTTCACTAGTTTCTAACCTTCTAATATTTCAACTTCCCTAGCCCATCGTCCAAATCTCAGACCAATTGATTTATCATATCGCACTCGTGCTTTGCAACTGGGTATCAAAGCACCTTTTAGTCATGGCGGCTCGAACCTTAGAAGCTCGTTTCGAGCGTATGTCTGTTAATGACGAGAATGATTATCAGAATCAGAAATCTAAGGTATGTCGAACCAACATCATATCCTGGGGGGATAATAGCAGTAAATCTAACTGTTGATACAGGTCATCACTACAACAACACAATTACCACACAGTTCGAGTCGTCCGAATCTATATAAAGTTGCTTTGCAAGCGCAGAGCGCAAATGCCGTCACCGCTGCCGTTACCCTCCCTTCACAAGCTGCGCAACGAAAAGGTGCTCAACCCACATCGCCGACAAGGAAACCACTACCTACCATAAGTGCAGCATCTCGATCGTCATCCGATGAGTTGGCACAAGTCGAACGGAAGTCGGTGACCCTGCTCGACCAGCCATCTCTACCAAAACAATTCCATCTTGGTATGTTTGAGATTGGAAGACCGCTCGGAAAGGGAAAATTCGGAAGAGTCTACCTAGCGCGGGAGCGGACGAGTGGTTATATCTGTGCCCTCAAAGTTTTGCACAAGAGTGAGCTGCAGCAGGGTAGGGTAGAAAAGCAAGTGCGAAGGGAAATCGAGATTCAGAGTAATCTCCGGCACCCTAATATCCTACAGCTGTTTGGCCATTTCCACGACAGCAAGAGAGTATTCCTGATCCTTGAATTTGCCGGAAAGGGAGAATTATACAAGCATCTAAGGAAGGAAAACCGCTTTCCCGAATGGAAGGCCTCGCAATACATCGCACAGATGGCGAGCGCCCTGAGATATCTACACCGCAAGCACGTCATTCATCGGGATATCAAGCCTGAGAACATTCTTATGGGTATTCACGGCGAAATTAAAATCTCGGATTTTGGCTGGAGTGTGCACGCCCCGAACAGCCGCCGACAGACCATGTGCGGTACTCTAGACTACCTTCCACCTGAGATGTTGAAGCCCGGTAGTTCGGACAACTACTACGACGAGAAGGTTGATCTCTGGAGTTTGGGTGTCTTGACGTACGAGTTTCTGGTGGGAGAGGCGCCATTCGAGGATACACCGGTGATGACACAGAGGAGAATTGCGAAGGCAGATATGACTATCCCTTCGTTCGTCAGCCCCGAAGCAAGGGACCTTATTAAAAGAGTGAGTACACCGCCTGGCGACTTTCTATCCAGACTTCTCCGCTAACAGAAATAAAGCTGCTGGTTCTCGACCCCGATAAGAGAATTCCTCTGGAAGCAGTTCAGACACACCCTTGGATTATGAAGCACTGCGGCAAAGGAAAGCAAGCTGCTAATAGGGAAAGGTCGCACTGACGAATTATTTAATTATGAATAATGGAATGGACCATGCTTCACTTGTACATTTTACTGGAGGACACAGCTGGCGTTCGTTTAGGGATATTGGTATATCTGGTTAGGGGGGACTTGCATCAATGGGGCGTAGGCGTCACCGGCTACCGCGTACCATTCCAAATAAGAATACGTTTTATACACTTATTCGTTGCCTTCATTATTTTTCTTCCCATTGCTAGCTTTTCCGAACTCCTGGTATTGGGGATTGGTGATATTGTACAGGTCATTAATACATGGGGCTCGTATCTCGTTTTTTATCTGTACACTTCGTCGAACGGTCGGGTATCCGAGAAACACGAGTCCCATACTTGGTTTACCACTCTGACGGCTTGTACGTCGTCTTTACACCTCGGTCGCGCCAGGACAGATTGTACAGCTCGCCGTCGTACGCATTCTTGGAATTGTTGTGTTAATGTCCAATTCCCTCTCGTCATCGTCTCTCTCGTCCATCGACACTCGCCGCTAAGCATCGCCGCTCGGATCTATCAGTCCAACCCTATGTTAGCCATAATCCATCTAAATGAATAGTGTTGGGTGTGATGGAATGTATGATGGATATCTTACCTCAGTACAAGCCGCATGCTTCAAATCCTTATCCCCGACCCAATCAACCTTCCACCTAAGATGATCCCACGCATGCACCATCTCATGGGACAACGTATCCTCCAAATGATTCCGATTCCTAACCTCATTCGCACAAACCAATATTCCATGATCGGGACTGAAACCCCCACTAGCGCGATGGACTTGTCCGTCCTCGGTTAATCGAGCTGGACATCGTCGGCAGACTACATTGTTGGCATCGAGATTGCCGTTTAGAGCGGCGATTTTTTCTCGCATGAAACGGACGGTGGGGGAGTGTGCGAAGGCCCAGTCTCGGTACTTTTCGCAGCGCGCGCAGTCGGTTGCTTCGCGCTCTCGGTACCGCCATTCGCGGTAGTGGAAGCGTCCTTCGGGGGTGATTTCGCCGGAGAGGATTTTGAAGTAGTTTACCCACCATGCGGTTTTCGGGTCGAAACCTGTTCGCGCTGGGTCGTTTTGGACGAGGCGTGGGAGGGATGGTGATGCGGATGTAGAGGGTGTGGGGTTTGTCGAGGAGGATGTGGATGGTTGAGAGGATGTTGGAAGACCCGGAGCCTCGGGGGCTGGGGAATCTGAGGGTTGCGACGACATCGTGGGTTGGATTCTCGGGGGTATAGGTAAGAGGAATCGACCGGGCTCTAGGATTCCCCGTGTTGCCCGCGCGAATACATAAACTTTCCACTAAGGTACGGCGGTACAGGCGGAACAGGCCCGAAGGCGGTGAAACGGAAAATGTTCTAGTTAATTTTCTTGTACCTAGGTATTGATTCCGATTTCGGCCGGGGTTCCGCCGTATATCCAATGGGAATGCTTGCCGTTTTCGATTACCTTTCAGCAATACCTGTACGTCCGCTACTTTTATAAGGAGATTTGCTGTGCTACCGCTGTAAATCGTATAAATCACTCCACTGAAATTGTTCCCTGTATTCCACAAGCACGCCCTAACTGTGCAGCCGCAATGGCAGATCCAGGGGTTTCAACGCCCTGTAAGTGACGAATTCACTTATATCCTAATTAAAATGTCGATTCTTGAGATATTTACTCTAGAAAAGGATATATCTGTATTATAAGTGCTGATATTCTTGAAATTGTTGTAGGTATGAAGGGTCCCAAGCCGCTGGTTGTAGTCATCAAATTGGGTGAGTCGAGTTTTGAAAATTTCCAGTATTTTCCTTATGTAACAGAGTGCACAATTGTATAAGTGGATAATGGGCTGACGTATGCTCAGGAACGAGTTCCATTGTGGATGAAAAGACACATGAGCCGTTATTGTCAATTTTGACTCTCATCGTTGAGACAGCTGTCAAGCTACGGAAAGATGGACACAAGGTCGTTATTGTGTCTTCTGGCGCCATTGGCGTCGGTCTTCGACGTATGGATGTGGAAAGGAGGCCAAAACATCTGTCCAAGCTACAAGCACTTGCAGCCATTGGTCAATGTCGTTTAATGAGCCTATGGGATAGTTTATTCGGTCACCTTCGACAACCCATAGCTCAGATTCTTCTGACGAGAAACGACATAGCGGATGTACGTGAACATGCTCAGAATTAGCCATTGAAAATGTTGCTGATGATGGATTATAGCGGACAAGATATCTCAACGCACAAAATACCATTCTGGAGCTTCTAGAGATGGGTGTCATACCAATTGTAAACGAAAACGATACATTGGCTGTTGCTGAGATCAAGTTTGGTGACAACGACACACTTTCAGCTATCACCGCAGCTATGGTCCACGCCAACTTTCTTTTCCTTATGACAGATGTTGATTGCCTATATGACAAGAACCCACGAACACATCCAGATGCTAAACCGATAGAGGAAGTAGAAGATATAGGGGCAATTCGCGCTGATGGTATGATATCTAGTGTGGTGAAGTGAATTATAGCTAATATCATCCTAGTGTCTAGTGCTGGTTCTTCTCTGGGGACGGGCGGTATGGGTACGAAGATCGTTGCTGCTAGGCTCGCAACATCTGCTGGTGTAACCACAGTCATCACTAAATCATCTTTACCAGGGAACATCGTCAAAATTGTTCGCTATCTCCAGGCCCGCAAAAAGCACTCACCATCACCCCAGACGCCGGTAACAGGCGAGGAAGGGGAAGACCCCCTATCTCGGTCAACAGCGTCATTGGCCCTTGATGCCTTAGAGAAGCCACCACTACATACGCGATTTTTGCCCCTCTCACAACCGATCCGAGACCGCTACTTCTGGATCCTCCACGGCTTGGCCCCGCATGGCACGCTTTACATCGACGTCGGTGCGCATCATGCACTTGCGGATAAAGCCGGATTGCTACCAGTAGGTGTGCTCGATGTGGAGGGCAATTTCGCACAACAAGAAGCCGTCCGCCTTGTGGTAGTGGAGAGGAGGGCGGAACCAGGTCCAGATGGTAAACTCTGGGATGGTCCGGGTGTCGAAGTTGGAAGAGCGTTGGTTAACTACGCTGCGACTGAAATCATTCGGATTAAGGGATACCGAAGCACACAAATCGAATCATTACTAGGCTATGCCGATAGCGAGTACGTAGCAGATCGAGAGAGCATTAGTCTGCTGATTAGGGAGAGCCGACCTGTCACACCAGTTCTAGATAAGCTAGGCGAGGATGGAGGAGGTATGGCTGCTTATGAGAACGATATCAGCTTATAGAGCATATAATACTCCGTACAGGGTATATGGTGTATGGGACTACGGAGTTTTATGGTGGTAAAAGAAAATTAATTTGGTGAATACGTAGTTCATAGAAAAAAGGGGATATAGCATGAGCCGGTGCGAAAAATTGTCGTTTCATAGAAAGGACTAAATGTCATAGTACTTGTAGATAGCCGCAAAACGCCCATAAATGCATATAACTCAAGCCGATTCCAAACTCCAGGCCTTCTTCCCTTCTTTTTGAGTGTCGAGAGCTTCCAAACGTCTCTTTCTATATGTACACCCACCTGGTCATAACCATTTTTTATTATCTCTTGTCCGTGATAGTGGATTAACCAGCAAACAGCGTATCTTCATCTCTGAGGTACTCTCCGCAATCTGCCTGTCGAAAACACACAATGCCCGTGGGGTCGAGACGGCGGGCTTCGGCGGTGCTGCGCGCAGTTACTCCGAAGCCGAGGGGTGTGTCGGACATACTGTATACAACAACACCCTGATGCGACGGGCAGTCGTCCGACCATCGCCCAACATGCGCCTTCACCACATTTCCGCCGTATAAGAACGGCATTTCGCCATTTGGTTTGATCCAGAGCTTGTATCGCGCATGTTCGGCGAGGATTGGAAGAGCTGTTACGTGGAGTCGGAATTTTCCAGTTTTTGTGAATTTGCCTGTTCGGACGACCTTGTTAGCTTACCTAGATAGGCAGTTTGCACTGAGCTGAGCTGGGTGAATGCATGGGTGTATATGTTGGAGATTGTTATGGCCTACCTAAGCAAATTCCTAGCGACGCTAGGTTATCTCTTGCTATTGATGTAGCTAAATTTGCGACAGATAATAGCACATAGTAGACTCTGTCGCGGTTCAAACGAAAGACATATCGGTCGGCGTCGGGGGAATCGTCGAGGGGGGCAATTAGATTCTTGAGGGAGGTGCCAGTGTAATTGGCTAATTTCTCAAAGAGGACTTTGGTCTCGGGTTCTGTTAAAGGTCTCATCTTGATTAAATCACTTCGTTTTGCGCCGTACGGAACCTATGAGCTTCGAATGGTAAAGCTGGCGGGGTGGCTGTTAACAAATTTCGAGATGCAAGAAAATATTCTGCCGTTTGGAAATTTTGGCGGTGAGAAAGATACAGGGTACTGTGGAGTCGCTCTGTTAATTTTAATTGGATAGATTTTAGTAAATACGGGGCTTCTGACAGGGAACCCCTACGTACCTCTGAAATTTTGATCCCGATTTCTTCACTGAATTTGATAAGATTCATCTTCTCACATTCAACATTTATACCCAAAAATGGCGTCTAGACCATCCAAGAAGAGGAAGCTTACTCCGCCTCAATCAGACGATGAAGGCGTGTCTCGCAAGTCTAATGCGAAAATCCAAAAATCATTCATGGTGAATGCATCCAATTGGGATTTGGAACAGGATTATGAGACGAGAGCAAGGAAAGGAAAGAAAAAGGAAAAAGAGAGTACCCGACTTCCTTTAAAACTCTCGGACGGACGCGTACAACATGTCTCTGCAGTACCTGATGATCTACGGTCTATAGAGAGCGACGAGGACTGGTTAGAAGGTGCCGAAGATGCATCCGAGGATGAGGAGGAAGAAGAGAGGAGGCAAGTTGAGAAACCTGAGATACCCGAACATCAGCAAATCCTGGAAGCCAAAGAGGAACTAGCCAAGGTAGCTCTTATGCTCAATGAGAGCCCCGAGGACAATGCTGGTGCATTCAAAGCAATAGCCAAGATCGGACAGTCCCGGATCGAAGCCATTCAAAAACTTACCCTGGCTACTCAACTCGCCGTTTACCGAGATGTTATTCCCGGCTATCGGATACGGCCCGCTGCGGAAGATGCACCCGAGGAGAAATTGTCAAAAGAAGTGAGAAGTCTTCGGGGTTTTGAACAAGCTCTCGTCTCGGGCTATCAGGCGTATGTGAAGGATATTGCCAGATATGCGAAGTCAGGACGACACAGAGTTAGCCAAGACCGAGGCCAGAGCATTGCGAGCGTCGCTATCACCTGTGCTTGCACTCTATTAACTTCTGTGCCTCATTTCAACTTCCGATCCGATCTGATTAAGATCCTTGTTGGAAAGCTTTCAAGTAGGAGACATCCCGATGACGATTTCAACAAGTGTCTCCAGGCACTTGAGACCCTTTTCAAGGAGGACGAGGAAGGACGTCCAGCTATGGAAGCTGTCTCGCTTCTCTCTAAAATGATGAAGGCAAAGGAGTACCAGGTACACGAAAGTGTGGTTAATCTCTTCCTACACCTCCGTTTAGAGTTTTCAGGCAAGGCTTCCAAAGACTCAGTCGACCGCTTGGATGATGCTACAGGCCTTAATGGCAAGAAGCCCAAGGGAAAGAAACAATTCCGAACCAAGCGGGAACGGAAAAACATAAAAGAACAGAAATCACTACAGAAAGATATGGCTCAAGCCGATGCGCTCGTCTCCCATGAAGAACGCGATCGCATGGAGGGAGAAATATTGAAACTCGTATTCGGGACATATTTCCGTATTTTGAAGCAGCGAGTACCACACCTTATGGGTGCCGTCTTAGAAGGTCTATCCAAATATGCTCACCTAATCAATCAAGACTTCTTTGGTGACCTCCTTGAAGCTCTTAAAGATCTTATCCGGCATAGCGATGCATTCCAGAATGGCGATGAGGAGGAAGAACAAGAGGAGGATGAGGATGAGGATGAGGACACACCCGTCCGTAACCCCTCCCGCGAAGCCCTCCTCTGTACCGCAACCGCCTTCGCGCTCCTCGCGGGCCAAGATGCGCACAACGCCCGCGCAGATCTACATCTCGACCTATCCTTCTTTACTACACATCTCTATCAATCCCTCCTACCCCTGTGTCTCGACCCGGATCTCGAACTCGGCGCAAAATCTCTTCACCTCCCAGATCCAGACAATCCCACTTCCGCCCACGCCAAACCAAACACCAAAGGCAATAAAGTCAATCTGCAGACCACAACCGTCCTACTCATCCGATGTCTCACCGCCATCCTCATACCTCCTTGGAACGCACGCTCAGTCCCACCCCTCCGCCTCGCCGCTTTCGCAAAACAACTCTCAACCGCCGCACTCCACGCCCCCGAACGCTCAACACGTGCCATTCTAGCACTACTAGCAGATGTAGGCGCAGCACACGGACGCAATAGGGGTGTAGCCGCGCTATGGGATACAGAAGAACGAAGAGGTGACGGTGCATTTAACCCGCTTAGCGTAAGTGTGGAAGGAAGTAACCCGTTCGCGACGACAGTGTGGGAAGGTGAGATTTTAAGACGGCATTATTGTCCTCAGGTTAGGGAGGGTGTTACGTTGGTGGAGAAGAGTATGGGGTTAAGGTAGAAGAACAGGGGATGCAGTAGGAATGAGTCAAAGTACTATAGGCCATGCATTTACAAATATTTATCTTAAGAAATCAAGACTTCAATGATGGCAAGATTGTAATCCGTATTACTTTATGTGTGTGCAAGCAGCCCTCGGTATCTACGACGTGTTTTACCTCTATCATGCTAGCTTATTTGGTTCAGATTTCACCGACACTTATAGTCACAACATGGAAAGGAAGCCTTTTTTTGGTGCACGTCTAGTATCGTGTTTATATATTGATAGCTACTATCAACATTCATACGCCTTCGCCATGCTTGCGAATCTGGCCGATACCTAGACTAGGTGGACAACGTATACGTACTTAAATCCATCCACCACCTAGTGTCAACTAGTCTTGCGCAATGTGTGAAATGGGGAGAACCGGGAAGGGCTCAAAGGGGTTCCGTCGACGAGAATGTATAAATGAGTCAATCCATAAGGTCGAAGGCAACGCCATATGGTAATCGAATTCGCCGAGGCATCAACAACGTATTTCTTTTGTCGCCGAGTTACGGCGAAGATATAAATGTACATAAAGTATTGTGTAACCGTCCGCAGGTAACGGAGGTATGGTCTTCGTATCATATAGTTCAGGGTGTAGAATTAGAATTACTTCTGTAATTCTGTTCGTCGGCGGGACCTGTATGCTATTACTGCCTTGTTAGTACTCCATATATCATCGTAATGTAAAAGTAGAATACCCTTACCTTTAGAGTGCTTATGCAAGCACGTTTCAGTATCACAACTCATAGTGTCGGCGAAAGTACCTTGAGTTAACGTATAAACTCAACTCAGGTGTGCAGAGGAACTAGATTGTATGGCACATAAAGTAACCGATACACAATGTCTAAAAGGAAAGGGGTAAATATACGATATTGATTCGTATCGGCGTGGATTACTCTTCCGAGGCCCAGCGAGAGTCGGCAAGTCCACGTCCTCTTGAAGTACCACTAGAAACAATCCGACTCCTTGGGCTAGGTCCACGTCGTTCTTGCTCTAATGTGCCATCCAGAGACATAGGATCTAGCTGCGTCTCTCTCGTGTTCCACCGCGAGGCCGCAAGGCCTCCACGATGTACTCCATTTCTTGTGTCGGCTTCCGTGCCACCCATGGTCACATCTTCCTGTGAGCCTCGCAGTGTGTTCGTGTCGATAGTGAACGGCATAACAGGTTGCTCAATATCCTCTACTTCTTCGTCTAGAAGCGAGGGCTCAGGTGAAGTGGCACGGGGAGGACGACTCTGTTCAGGGCGTTGAGAAACTCGGATATGGGGCAAGGGCGGATTCTCTGAATCCATTAGATTGGGACCCCGTCCCTGCGGCGGTTGAGTAGATGGAATAGGTCGCAACCACACAGGAGGCGAGTTGCCGTTCCGACCGTTGAAAGTCTCGTAAACAAATCGATCCGCATCAGAATTAAAGGATCTTTGAATAGGCTGTGTCGCGGGTCGAGACGTATACGGTCGTTGAAGTGTTGCTTCTTGCTCTCTAGGTGGGGTGGGATTCGCTTCTAACCAACGGGGCATACGAGATGGTGGATGACAACTTGGCGGCGGTCGTTGCGCTGCTTGGTTTGGTGGAAGGGGTACAGTACGTCGCTGGACTCTGCTACCTTGTAAGTCACCTCGTGCGCCGTTGTTGGTGTTCGTCCTGTTGTTTCCACGGCTCCTGCTGCAAGGGGCCTTGGCGCGAGAGAATTCGGCCTGCAGTTTCTTGGCCTCACTCATATCACCTCGTCCGTCCATCTTGATGGTGTCGTAGCTTCTCTCGGGGGCGGGGGGTGCTAGAGCTAGAGAGTGACTCTATGTGGTGATATCGGTATGAGGTCAGACAGATTAGGTTCTAATATATTTTAGAATGGAGGTGCAGCGGAAGAGAATGGACCTAGTAGATGAAGAAGGATTAATTCACAGTATGGGTTGACTCATTCCGTGTATGTCTAGTATTGTTGGTAGAAGGTTCAATGGGCGATAAGGGGTGAGTGACTTATAGTGATGTGATTTTCTTGCAGGACGGCGTCGCGGAAAATACCGTTGAGTCGTTTGAAGGTATCTCCGCCTAAAACTGCAAAGATTTGGGTAGAAAATACACAAGATAAAGTAAAGCCAGCTTGGGTGGGTATTCGGCAACTTTCACTACGAGCCAAAGTTGGGACATTGGTTAGGTGACTACCTACCTAGGTACTTATAAGTTGACAGGCACTAGAATTTGAATGTCTTCCCTTGATATATGCCCAAGTACCTATCTGTAAGTGAGTTGGTAAGTACGTTCGCCCTTTCCCCTTAGCAATGTCATACCTTAATAGGCCCTACATAGTGCAGTATCAGCCTAAGGCTTTGTTAGACGCCCTGGAAGTATAAGATAGATAAGGCGTGCCTTACTGACAATAATCGTCTGTTGGTAGGAGCGGTAAACATGCCAATGGTCCAGACTGGCGCCTGCAGATGCACGCACCCATCTAATCCCTAATCGCAAACAGACTTGCACATCAAAAAGAGTCGTAAATACCCGTAAGAAAAGGCGTCGCTCTTATTCTAAGGTCCCCTATAATTGATGTGTATAGGTCCGAAGATAAACAATTATGTTCCTGTACGGCTGATGAACGTATTAATTACTATACTATTATCAACTAGGAGGTCCGCGGCTGTGCTGCTTCTTGCTACCCACAGAGGTTTCTATAACATTGATATTCGTCTCCCTGTGTCTGGCTTGTTTCGCCTCTTCTAGCCATTGTATCTCGACAACAGGGACGTGTTGTCGGCTAAATTCGACCAGCGCCTTCGAATTAGGGCTTCCATCTTTAATACCAATACAAGAAACGCGAGGTATTCCTAGAGATTTGGATAGGCGGTCCTCGCACGACTTCGATAACCCTACTAACCTGATGGGTGCCCGGGTGGGATGCGATTTGGAGGCGACGGCTACCATCTGAGGGAGATGGCCATCGAGGGCGTTTGGGTGACCGGATCGGGCTACAAAGATAGCTGAATAAGAGGGAGTATGTGTTTCTTGAGAGGTGGGAGGCTTGTCTTCACTCTGCTCCACATTCTCCCCTTCTGACGCTATCTCCTGAAGATGGCGCGTTACGGCCGTCAAGCCGATGTCGACATATGATCGGAGTTCTGGCGCCGGAGGAGGCAGACTTTCTCTAGATTGAGTATTTGGTGATTTGCGCTTCCGTTTCCTGTCACGTTTCCCTTTGGATGGATGGAAATTTTCTGAGCGATACTGGCCCAATGGCGCAAGAAGACTGGTGGGAAAAATTAGTGTGGGAAGTACAACTATGCTCGGAGTTTTGTTTTCATGGAAGGACATGGGAATTGGATTTGCGGTGGGCGTTATGACAGCCACAATTTCTCGTTACACCCGAGACCTATTAACTCACGTGCATAACAATTCCAAGATTGTCTCTTGATCTTCGAGGGCTACGTTTGGCCTGACACTGTTAGACTCAACAATCCTGAACATGATATGATATATTGGATAACTTACCACGATACTGCTGAGAACGGAGTATCTAGTTGATACAATATCTTCTTTTTTCTCTCCATTTTAAAGGGGGTTGGTTTGTGGTCGGGCGTATGTATAATGCTGCTGAATTATGAGACAGTAAGAGCAAGTCGAAACCTTCTACCAATATATGGATGTGGGTCAGTACACGAGATCTAACCAATTAGCTACTAGTCTGTACGCCGCAGCGTAATTGTGTATTGAAGTCAAACGGCAATTCTGTATTCCCACATCTTCAACATTTTCTCAATACATTGCTCGGTATTTCTTTAAATACTTTTACCTACATACATGTAGGTATGCCGCTTGAACCTATACTCAATTGCTTTTTATTGTCGAACGGATTGAGTTAGGTACATATTCGGAAAAGAACTGCTGTTTTGAATACTTTCAGACAACTTGAACGTTATAAATGTCAAACCGTATGACTGAATTTGGTGTGATACGAAACGCTCGCTCAGACTGAGCGCATCGACTACCGATGGACTCTATGCCACAATCCCTTGATTATATCCATATCTGCCTTAACTGCATCACTTTCCTCGTGCTCATCTAATACTTCTATCCGAGATCTTAATCGGGCGACCATTAGATCTAGGGCGATCTTTGGTGATGCTAGGGCTAGCTCCTCTCTCAACTTGGCTTGACTAATCAATTTACCGTTACACATCTGCTTTACCAAGCTTTCCGCCATGTCCTGGCAGTTACTTGTCAAGAGGTTATAACGTGGATGAAGTGCCATATGCGCAGCTCCTAAATCTTATATTTAGTACTGGATGAGCCCGAAGACTACCTAGGTAGTGTGCTAAAACTCACCTAATTCTTGGATCTCTTGGTGCGATTTTGTCGTCTCACCAACATAATAGCAAGAACTCCACGTCTCAATAAATGCAGCGTTGATCTCCGCCACACGAAAATAATTCTTGCCGAGAGCAGTAAGTGCTAACTGGTCGCTCATTAGGTCGTAGCAATACGAAGGGTGAAAACTACGATCTATCACACAAAGTGCCCAATGGCTGACGCTGTTCAGGGTCATACCAACGTGTTTGGCAAGCAGTTCATAAGTGTTTCTTGATAACTCAAACTTGCCGAACTCGATAGGTTTGGTGACTAAGAACACAGCTCGGTGGGACGTGGTCGGATCCCATTCCAACGGTGGCATCTCAACGACCGAATCGCCGGTAATCTTTGCTAAAATTAAACGGAGAAAACCGTTCTTCTCTGCTCGGCGCCGTTCTTCTTCCGCTCTTGCTGCATCTTCCCTCGTTTCCGAAGGATCACGCGATTTTCTGTGTTCCCTGAGTACTATGTTAGGTACTTGGATGATTAAGCGTAATACTCCGCAAGAAGTATTCGGTTTCTTACCATTTCTCCTTCAGGTATTCTTCAGTAGCTATTCCAGCACTCCTCAGCTTTGATAAAGCATCGAATCCCATCTCGATCATAAAGAAATTGAAATATAATCTAGTTTTGGTAGGCGGTAACTAGCAGAGCGGATCTTTCAATTTTGTGTATGTACGCGCTGAGTGTCGCCCGGCACATCTTATCCGCTTATGTACACAAATGCGAAATTTCCCAATACGGTTGAAATACGGCGAACTGAGGCTATGCATACATGCTACACACGTGTGATACACATACCTACCTAGGTATGTATTTGGGCTCAAATGTCCATCGGACTCAGACACAACGCTTATTAGGGACGAAGAGAGAAGAGGAAAAATAATAAAAGATTAAATGATATACCATATGCATGCACCGTGTAGATAAGCACATACATTATGTACATACATAAACATATGTATAGTACAACGTAGATCTGATAGATCTTTGTGACTCAACTTTATAATACGTTATTGACAATTAGCTTAAAATACGATTTGTGCATTTTTAAATATACCTAGGTATATATATGTTTGCATATATAGGTAGGTACATAATGTACCTAATTGTTTGCTCATTTATTATGTACCAATTCCTATCTTCGTGCAGTAAAACCTTTGGAAAAAAAAAAGTAGTTGAAATTTAGGTATTTCACTATTCGCGTGCCTGAACAAACACCCCGATCCTTTCTATCACAGATCTACGTATACCCTAACCCGGTTGCTTAAGACATGCCAAATTCTAGAATATTACTTAAATATTCGGAGAAGAGGAAGATCAGGCAATTAGTTGGTTTTGCCTTAACGATGTGAAAGATTGCAGCCTAGATCCGCAAAAGTAAGTTAAGCTTCCTTAATGGTCGTGTTGCACTAATGTACCTAGGCACTAGATGCTATATTGTGCATAAGGGCATCACCTTTAAAATCCCTGGGTACCTAGGTAGGTTGTCACCAGTCTACGTATATGTATTTGGATCCATTTTATTGATCTTCCGTTTCTTGCCATGTACCTAATCTACGAATGGGCATGCAAATTACGCAGATTGGAGGTTGTATCCCATGTCTCATCTCTATCGAGGATTTTGGAAGTTACTATGGTATCATTGGATTGCCAATATATTCGGGCGCACAGATACCGGTTTACGACCTTTTCGCGTGCACCTGCAGCATCCGATTACCTACCAATACATACAAAGGGCGGGTACACGTTGGTATTCTAGTCCCTTATAACATTGAAGGTATGTACCTGACACCCAGGATCCAATGGGGATGTACCTGCCTCCAGTCCCCGTTTCCCCACTATACAGCAGTATGTACCGTTTAACCCTGAGCTTTTTGTCACATACCGCATGTACCTAGGTAGATCATCATCAACTTTCTGCTAACGAAACTAACCCCCCAAGGCCGCAGGAAGTGAATGTATACCTCAGGAAGGCAGGCACCTTCTTCCCAGTGAGTGCGACAAGTTATAACCAAAATAAATCAAAACCATCTCAAGATGATCACCGATTCACACAGCCTTACCCAATTGTCTGCCTACCACAATACCCACTTTCTCCTTCACCACCCCCAAGTGTTACCTTTTATCTTCATCGCCTCTGGAATCTCTTGATTGTTCCGCCGAGCATCATAATTAATTGCAGAGCAGTTGCCTATTCATTCCTTTCCACGCCGATTTATTGGCCTGCAAATATTGCAGCTTGCGACCTATTCTTTTCACCTAACTAGGTATTCCATTTCGACTCTACTTCATCATCGCCTTGTATGAGGTAAGTAATCTTCCCGTCTTGTCTCTATATCTCCTGCATACACAATTAAGACACCGTACATTACCAAAATACTCGTTATCTATTTATTTCCTATGTACGTTCCCGGGTATATGTGTATGGGGCTTCTCGAATGGTCTCGCAGGCATTGTTAACGGGAATTGCCCTATGGAAGAAAAGAAGGACAAACCCCTACCCTACATACATGCTGCTGGGATTAGCAATTTCTTAGCTGCCGGGTACCTAATCTACCTAATATAGGTAATCTAGGTATGCTACTACGGCTGTATGTATGGCGGGAGGGTAGCTGAGCTCTTGCTTTTCCCACTTTGCCAGGGCTGTTTTCCATTCTTAACTCGTTCTCCACAGCCCCTCCCCCACCATTAGCTTCTTCACACTCGCACCACTGACGCCAGACCCAAGAGCCCCGATTAACCCTGTCACCACCAGCAAAAAAAAAAAAAAAAGTACCTGGGTAACTGGAGCTTCTCCAATCTCTAGGTACCTGGGTAGGTATCGTCGTCACAAATCACAACAGCTGCCTACCTTACCTTACCTCTTTTTCTTCCCGCTGGCCCCTCGACAAGGCAAATTCTCGATAGCTTGCGAGAAACCCCATTTCCATTCGTACAGCAACTCTTTTTTTCGATTTTATTTTTTTGATACCCCTTGTAGACCTTTTGATTGCCTTGATTTATTTAATTCTCCTTTTTCAACCTCTTCACACTTTTTCCATTCTATTCTAATCTTTTTATTCTTTTCTTTTCCCAATTCGACTTGTTCTACCCCGCCTATCAATCCGCAACCCACATGCTAATTCTGGAGTCTACCAGCAGCCGCCGAGCCTTCTCGCGCGAACGCCTCAAGCTATATCTGGAGCTCCACGATTTCCACCCTTTCCGACCGTGCCAGCAGGGTCCCGATGGATCAGGATTCGAGATCGTCCGAGCCGCGAGAACGTGCCGTCTCCTCCGAGCCTTGCTCAACTCGACCTAATCCTTTTGACGACGGTGATCTCTCCGCCCGAAAACGCCGTAGGACATCTCTTTCCGGCTCCCGGAGTGCGTCTGTCGACACTCTACTATCCGGAGACGACGCTGCCGCATCTTCTGAATCTAACATCATGAAGATCGACACCCCCGAGCCACTCCCCCCGAGCACTCCAGCTCGTTCAGAACCTGTTGCAGAACCTACTACCGAACCCGTGTCGAGCAAGGTCACCATCAACCTTAGGAATGCTGATAGCCTTGAAGATACCCCTTCTTCCCCTTCTTCCCCCACACCTTCAGGTTTTCGCAAGAACCCTATAAAAGTCAGCGTAGAAGAGTCCGAAGTGTACATGACGCAAGCTACCCCGATCGAGGATGCATCGTCATCAGAGTCCGATCTTGACAGTTCTGAAATACCTGCCGTATCCCAGGTAGACGACGTTATATTCTGTGGTGCAACGCCTCTGCTGGCAGATGAAAGAGCGACACTTTTCAGTGCTGTTTTGTTAGACTTCCCGTATCACAGCGAAGGGGAACAGCATCACGAAACAGTCGCCCGTCTTAACGAGTTCTTCCGCCAACGTATGTGCAAACGTCTTGTTTCGCCTCGTAATTACTCTGACACATTACCAGAACCTTCACACGCCGATGAGCCCTTGCATCTTCTGCATGGATGGCTATGCCGATACGTAATGCACGCGACGATCGAATATTACCCTATAGTCATGGAGGCACATCGGGAGAACAAGCTATTCTGGCAGGCTCTTCCTGACCTCTTCCTTACCGTGGCTAATCGGTGCGTACATCCTGTGGATAGCCCCATTTGTTTCAATTTACTAACTATATCTCACTAGATACGGCTATTCGAAGACAGGCCCGACCCGAGAGGTTGTTGGCGTGATGTTTGTGCAATTAGCCAAGATTACCGGATTTCTTCTCGCAATTGACTGCCAAACGCTAATGCAGGCTGCTAACAAGGGCAGCGGCGACTTTGATTTGATATCACCGGGTTTCCTACGACTATTTAGTAGCATACCGAACAAGGAGGAAAGTCAGGCTGCTAGTGGCCTTAACTTAGCGAGTAATCCGAAATTTTCCGAGGCTCTTGACGAGCTTCAAGCGAGCAGCGATGGATTTCAGGCTCAGCTGGGTCGCTTTACTGATTTACTGATGAACAACCTCCTCCAGTCCCCGAAGAGAGTAATGGATAGCCTTGTCGGCCTTAGTTGGCTTGTGGATGCCCTTATGCGTGACAGCTTCAAGAAGCAGTCACTGCCCGGATCTTATTCCCCAGACTGTTTAGATCGCGCGAGAAAGAATATGATCTATGGCCTCGAATATTTCATGGCTATTTCGGCTGCTATAGACACAGTAATCGAAAAATCTACGAACAACCTAGGCTCCGATACCGCATTGAACCTAATTAATTCTTTAACGAGCATATTCAAGCACGGCCTTCTCGGAAATAATAACGAGGCTATTCGCCTTGTTCAAGATCATCAGCAGCAGCACCCAGAACTTGAAGACCGATTCACGCACGAGGCGATGCCACTCGAATGGCGGATGAACATATTCTGTAAGATGGTTAGATCTCGCCAGATGCAACTGAGGGTTTCAGCGGCGACTTCTTTGTGTGAGGATCTAGTTATGCAATGGAGATCTTTTGCAGATCATCACGAAGTAACAGATGATAATCCCCATTTGATATATCTTCGATACCTGTCTGGTTACCTCCTCGGAACCGGGATCGTCGACTACCTGCTTGGGCCAACATGCCACCCGGAAATTACCCAAGCCAGCTTTAACATTGTTGGATTTTTAGCTGTAACAAAGACGTACACAACCTCGCAAACGGACCTCCTCTGGCAGACCCTGGTATCCGCCCAGGACCCCCGCATCTCTGATGCTATAGTCCGCATGATGTCCAAGGTCGTCAGTCTCCTTCAGTTGGATTGTCTCTTCTATATGTGTGAGAAGTTTTGCGACCTACCGATAGATTCTTTTTCTTCCTGCATGAGGGATCTTTTCGAGCACGTTACCAAGCAAGTTCAGGAGAAGGCTAATTACATGTTTATCCCTCTTCCTCCGTATAGAACGTGCCTCCGACTACTGCGAGAGTCTTCCGTCTATGGGTCACAAGGCTCCGTGGCGTATCCAGAGATTCACCAGTTTGCTGCTGCAAGATTCAGCGCTCTTCTACATGGGGGCCCAGACAATGTGGGGCGTCAGATTATATGGATGGACTGCGTGAACGATATTGCAGCCAAGTCTCCAACGACTTCTGGGAGCCTGCACGCGCTTAGCACACTAATGGGTACCATTCCTCAACTACAAACAATAATAACGGAGAACAACCTAACACAGCTTCTTATCGACGAATTAGAATCTACGATTGCTGATGCAAAGGCTGTTGGGTTCACCCCTGTCTACGCAAATCCTATTGGCAGCGCTCGTCGAAGAATTCTCTCCGTTATCATTGCGAACCACGGTTCTACTATTGGCTCGGAGCTCGGCCAGCGTCTCTGGGATCTTCTAGTAGGGAGTGGTGCGGCATGCCAAGATGATAGAAAGGCTGCTTGGGACGACTTGAATATGGCACTTAAGAGAACACGATTGGACAATCCTTTTCTTAATGCCTGTTTGCGAGAATATCTACCGACGTTGCCGCCTTCCTGTTATTGTGGAGGCGCATTGGCATTCGTTCGGGAGGCGATCATTCCCCTTGCAAACGATATTAATGGTATGATTCTTGACGACGAAGACAGCATTAAGTCCTCTGGACTTGAATTGCTTTGGCATATGATATTGTCGGCACCACCCTACACCATCGAGGATACAGCAATCTCAACACTTGTCCACGATATATATGTTGACAGCAAGTCGATAATCTCGTATCCTCTACATCGTGCACGAAAGGTTCATTTTACCCTTGTTCAGCGTTGCTTGGGGCAACTAAAATTCGCGGCCCAGAAATTGAAAGGATTTGATGATGGCACGCCGGCTGGCGACAACCTTTCGGCGATGATCGTTATTAAGGATGAACAACGCCAAGAGCAAGAATTACAATTCATAAGATCGTTACAAGTCTTGATAACACTCTTGAAGGCGTTGCAGAGCAGACCTCATTTCGCAGCGCCAGACTTGCGATCGCTAATGCTGCAAGCCCCTAGCCCCGTCGACGGTGACCTTGCCGATTTGAAATATCAATCTTTCGACGGCGACGATCAGACAGAAGTGAGAACGCTAGATATTGGGCTCAAGAATACAGCCGCTTCGCTTCTTGCTAGTCTGCGTGAAGCTACTGGCTTCGACAACTACCGACTATATTATCGCGGACAACCACTCGCGCCGTCGGAGGGTGCTATATGCAAATCTATCGAGGACCTTGATATTAGAAACGGCCTAATTCTCGTGAAAAGGGAGATAGGAGTTGCGACTTCCCCCAAGCGCATTAAACCGGGAGCTTCACCACTTGATATCGAGATTCTAAGTCATTTTAAAGACTTATGGGAGTATCTAAGTATGAAGGAGGAGCTAGCACGAGAGGTAAATTTTCTACTTCTGCTGTTATTAGAAGCATGCTAACAAAGGCCGTTAGATCTACCTCTTCCTTGGATCACTACCGGCTGATGATTCAATCCTGACGGCGTTCGAGAATCCTGCAACGTCTTACCGAGATGTATTCCCACTTGGACAGCCTTTCAAGTCGTTATATGCTCTACATGCTCTTCGCGAATACCTCAGTACCAGACGGCTCAAGAGTAATGTGATGCAATTGTCTTTACAGGATGGCGAGGTCCAGGCTGAGGGCGAAAATGACCAGCAGGAGGCTTTAGCCAAAGCAATGTCGTTAATTATTGCAGCGATCTGTGACTCTGAGGTTGTCGAGCGAGGTGCGAGCGAGTCTTTGCAACTCAGACTGAGCCTTGAACTTATAGATAATTTTGTTCAGCTCTTGAAAGGTATGTTGAGTTGCTGTCATGTAGTTTCGCATGGGCTAACTGAATTAAGAAATCGACGACGTTGAAGCTGTCGTGGGGCTTCTAAACTTAGACTTACAGGAGCGACTGTCAACGATACTAAAAGGTGCCGCCGCCGCCCAGACAAACCAGATCAGCATTGAGTTGATCAATCGATCATTTGAGGCCTTACTTGAGTCATGCGCGAAAAGTGATGCATTCTGGAAGGGATTTCGAGATCAGACAGGGGTGCAGAAAGTGGTGCAGAGCCTCCTACTCGATGATGCACGCCCAATCGTGAGGAACAACATTGCGAGGCTGATTACCCTCAAGTGTCTCCAGGACCGTGATGTGTCTGGCGCACAAGCGCTCGATTTCGCCGAATTATTCTGGCCCATCGTATTCCAACTCGTTCCTCGAGCCGTTAAGGAACCGAGTAAATGCGAAGAGACGTTTAATCTTTCCTTCCAGTTGGTACAGAAGCTTATTGACAGCAACTCTGATGCAGTTGACTTGCCCGCTTGTCTTAGACAGTGTGGACAACTTTTACTATCGCATACAACGACAGTAGATATAGCCCACCCAGGCAAGGATGTTATAGCGCACGGACTCATCACAATTCTAAGCATTGGTATCACGGAAGCATCATCGAAGGAGCGGGTTCAATTCGGTCCAAATTTCGTGCCAAGATTGTTCTCGAAACATCTCTTCCCGCCGGAGGACGAGGACGGGCCATTGGTGCCAAAGGTGATCCTACATACTCCTTCTCGATCTATGCTCTATGATATCATACTCGCATTGGCTAGGGACGACATGACACTATCTACCCGCTTACTACACGAACTAGACAAACTCACAGATCTCCGGATTGAGGACGGGATCGACGAGTACAAGTATGACCTCCCGCAGCTTTTTGAAAGGTCCAACGCCATTAGATCGTCTTGTGGATACTCTGGACTACGGAATCTCTCAAATACCTGTTACTTGAACTCGTTGTTTACACAGCTCTTCATGAACATCGGATTTCGCCGGTTCATGCTTGAGAGGCGGGTTAGGAACCCCATGGCCCATCCATTACTTCACGAGACTCAGGTTCTCTTCGCGTTCTTGCAGGATAGCCGACGGCGTTATGTAGAACCACAGGCTTGTGTTGGGCAAATCATGACGTACGACGAGGCCCCCATTGACATCCATAACCAAATGGACGTGGATGAATTCTATAGTCTCCTCTTCGATCGATGGGAAGCTCAGTTCTCCTCGGAGACTGACAAGAAGAAACTCAGATCGATGTACGGGGGTGAATTGGTCCAACAGGTTAAATCTAAGGAGTGTCAACATATCTCCGAGCGTATTGAACCCTTCTCTGCTATACAGTGTGATATAAAAGGGAAAGCAGGTCTCGAAGAAAGCCTCCAGGCCTATGTAGACGGAGAGATCATGGAAGGAGGTTTGTTCATCGTTTTCTTTAACTTCCTACATTGATTCCTTGAAAGCTAACATCGATATAGACAACAAGTATAAGTGCTCTGATTGCGACCGACACGTGGATGCAGTCAAGAGGTAGGCTGAGCATAGTCTTAACCCGCAACTAGCAATGCTAATAATGCGAATAGGGCATGTCTCAAAGACATTCCGGATAACTTGATTTTCCACTTAAAGAGATTCGATTTTAACCTTAGGACTCTAATGCGCAGCAAAATCAATGACTTTTTCCCATTCCCAACCAAGATAGACATGCAGCCCTATACCATCGAGCACATCAGTGATCCCTCGCGCAACGCGGAGCCGGATATATTTGAGCTAGTGGGAATTCTTGTACACTCTGGGACGGCGGAATCCGGCCATTACTATTCGTACGTCAGGGAGCGCCCGACAACATGCAGCACACCGCCCTGGGTTGAATTCAACGATGAAATCGTGACATCATGGGATCCCTCTCAAATGGAAAATGCATGTTTTGGAGGGGCAGATTATCGATCTCAATTTGAAGGCGGGACTACCTACGAGAAGGTATACAGCGCTTATATGCTATTCTATCAGCGGTCATCCTCTTTACAGAAGGAACAAGAAGAGTTACTAAAAATACCAGGCCAGACTGGCCCCTTCAGAGCTAGCCTTCCCAGAGCTCTTGAGGCCCAGATCAAGGAAGACAATTGGTCGATTGTGCAACGCCACTGTCTGTATGATCCATCCCACATGCCATTCGCTTACGAGGTCCTCAACAATACGTGGGGACAAAAATGCTCAAAGGACCATAAGAAGGAAAATTTAGCAATGCAAACGGCACTTGGACATTTGGATCAAATTGCGTCGCGAGCCAAGGACCTCCCGGATTTCGACCGATTGAAGACCCTCATAATAAAGGTCTGTCATCGATGTTCCATGTGCTGTTTCTCGTTCTTCGACTACTTCAGACGTCATAAAGACACCTTGCGCATGCTCCTACAAAAGAACTCGGATGCCGGGGTGCGTCAAGACATAGGGAGAATGCTCATATATGTTCTACGCGTTATTAAAAAAGAGTACCCGGAAGAATACGGCCCATCGGACATCGAGGATGATGCGATATCCCGTGCAATAGGACGAAGCTACAGCGTAATGGATTCGACCCTGGATCTGTTCCAAAACATTTGGGAAACTTTCCACTCGCGCATCAACTCCTGGTCCGAATGTTTTGGAACAATGTATGACTTTGCCCACTTGGGACGCGATGAAGTATTAATGTGCCTGGAAAGAGATTACCTATTCAAGCTCCTCTCGGTCATCGCAGTTGACCAGATCTTTGACCTGCCGGCACAATACGCTAGACTTCTCAATGCGGTGTCGAGAAGAACGGCGAGGCCGCCTAACTACGAAAGCATTATTGCTCTGGTTGATGAACTCTTATCGGTTATCGACCCTAATATGGATCGCAATTTCGTCGACGAAGCCCAGAGTCGAACTTCACTAGTTCTTCAAGGCGAACCTGTTCCTTTGACATTTCAGGAGGGCAACTTTCTATTTAGAGATTGGGCAAAGAACCAAGCCAACATTTTTATGGAAAAGCTTATTTCCCTTCAACAGAATTTTCAAGCCACAGATTCCATCATCATACGCCTCATAGGATCCAGCAGGTCACTAGACCAAAAGGCATACAATACTCTAAAAATATGCATTACTGGAGACCTAACGTCTCATATGGTAATGCCCTTCCTGCGCGTTGCTGCGGTATATTGCCGATACAGCACCAACACCAGAAATGTCCAACTCCTGATGGAGCATATTTCCAATCAATGCAAAAACTTGCAAAATGCCGAAGGTCGATACTTTCTTGACTTCCAGCGGGAAACCTTCGATGGGCCGCGAAACACTGGCGAGTCGATTGAGATGATTCATGTGCATAGTTTATCCCTTATCCCCAAGTGGGCTCCAGGGTTGCTGGGATATATCGACCACGCAGTCAGCGATGATGTGGGCTTCTTCCTGCAAGATAAGCTATTCAAGTATGGGCCCTCTCCTGCTTTCGGGGAAAGTGATGGTGGGCTTCAAAGATCTCGAATGATGAATCAAACAGTCAAGCGCCTAGCAATCTCCTGCCTGGAGTACCTAAAAGATACATATGTTACCCGCTCAGCACAGGCCGCTAGATACACAGTCGTCCCCTTGGATCAAGTGATAAAGAAGTGCGACGTGTATTTCGAATTTGATGAGGACGTGGGTGATGGTGGCCTCGAAAAACGCTACGCAGATCTTCGCCAAAGTAAGAATTCTTGTTCGACAGCTCGCCTGATTGAGTGCTATTGTATGCTAACATGGGAATAGATGTAATGGAACCAATGGCAAGGCTTACAGTCGACGAAATTGAAGAGGATGGTTCCGGTATGTGGAGCGACTCTACCACCGCGACCATGGACTATGACTGACCAAGTCAAGATTGGGAGCAGTCGGTCGGCTCTTCGGAACAGCTGGATAACTTGACAGATCTCAGCATGCAAATCGACCGTGATTTAGCATAAGAAAACACCTTCCCTGAGTTGCCGTGTCGATTGATATGGCAATAGCGGTTAACTGGAACGACTACATATTAATAGTCAATGATGCAATGACAGGCAGGTCGGATAGACGGATAGGCAAACTGGGGTCATTGCATAGCATCGGCGTGTGATAGGCGTCTTTAGGAATGGACAAAATGGTACTTCACGATTGCGTTCCTTTTAACACTCAACAGATCAAAACGACTACTTCGGTGGTCAGCCACTACTTGATCGGGGCACCTAATCGTACGAATTACGGATTATTGAGCAGCAATACTTATGAGGCAAGACCATGGATGATTCCCCTGAATAAGGAAGGATGAGGACCATAGTTTCATCGCTCTACCTATGCTTTTAGTGCGACATATCTGGCTTTCTTTTTCATGTCTACACGAGCAAGGCGAAAGAGGAGCAAAATATTGATTTGATAACAGTTTCGTAAAGAGGCGTTGGCGTAATTTCGCTCCGGGGTCCACAACATGCCCAGACAGCTATCTAAAAATATGTCACTCGGCTGGCTACGTACTTAATGAAATGATATCCGAACGACATTACCACTCGTAAAGGTAATGGGCATTCGGCTACGGTAACGATGAAAGTACAAGCAGGGCATGTGATAGTAAATGAACCAAACATGGGGAATTTCTCCTGATTCTCGCGCTTTACTCCCGGAATCATGACGATCCGTTCGTTCTGCAATGGTGAAGATGATTATGATTGGTCCCGAGTGTTGATGGCTTAAAAGTACAGGCAAGATTCGAATACTACCTCCCGCTTAATTTAGCTATTAGCTATGATAGCTCCCTTGTTAGTAAGAACACGGTGGGTTTACTAATAATTGGGTATGGGGTTGAATAAGTTTCTTGCAATGCTATTGTATGAACCGTGTTAAACCACCTGGATACTACCGTAGATAGTTGAGGAATCCTCCTTTGGTGATGTTATAGTCCTGTGTTTCTTTTTGTTGTCTTCCAATTACTTATTTATCACTCTCAATCAGCAACAATGATTATACCAATCGACCAAGTCAAATAATCGTTAATTTTTTAGGCGGACCCGACTGCTTGTCAACCCTCACAAGTTTACGGTCTATTTTTGGATTCAACTCCTGGGACAAGTCAATCGGGTCCTAGCTATGGTTGGTTTAGCACATAAGGCTAGCAGGGGTCATGATAGCGGGCACCGTAGCCAGGACAGCTATATTTGGATCATTGTAGCCGCCGATGCGAGATGCGGGGGAAATATATTTCACTTCTGATTGGTCAACTCTTTGAGATTTTTATGTCCGAACAAAGAGCGGTGCAAGATTGGTCGCTATAAGCTGCAGGTCCTAGCACATCACTATCACTGTCACACACACCAACGCTTATACGTGCATGAATAATAGCAAATTCCGGGCTAATAACGTGTGAAGAAAACAACCTCGCTTTGGTTCTCTTCAACAGCGAGAAGCCTTACCCACGTTAAATTTTAACCTTGCTTGCGTCTAGAAATAAAATCATAGCTGCGTGTGATATGCAGGTTGACTCCGTCGACGAATCACAGGCTTTTGTCTATTCTAAAATGAAACATACTTAGATGCCAACTAACCACTACCAGTCGAGTTCGGTGGGTGAGGTGAACCTAACGCTAAGCTTCAAGAGCTCCGAATATAGAAGTCATGAAGAATGAGAGGTAAGGGTGGTAAACTAAAAGACCAATGTTATGGCCAGAATAGTAACCCCCTTTCTTCAAACCCCACGAACTCCTCGTGGGGCTCAGATTTGTAAGAGACTTGAGTTCCACACCTAGACCTATTTTGTTTCAGCGTTTCATTGTTTCATTGTTTCATGTTTCGAAGCGCCCTACTTTTTATATCCATTCCACGTCATATAGCAGGGCTTGTTCCTGATATTACTCGATCCTGTTTTAGGAACCCTATGCCCAGGCCTCTTGCTTTGTGATATATCTATGTGATCTTCACTTCTTAAAAATTCCGGCGCATCATCATCCTTCGAGATCTAAATCTATTCTTCGCTACCAGGAGAAAAGGCATTCAATCTCCGCCTTTTCTATTCCCAGGCAGAAGACATACATATACATATTCTGCATTGCCTCTTTGCCTAAACTCACCGAGTACATTGTTGTACTTTCCTCGAGGCGCTCTTTACCGAACATCATGTCGTTGTCGAAGCAACGCATCTCCTCGCCGCTAGAAGCAGGGCGGTCGATAATTGATGCCTACAATCTGCCATCTCATTTGACGGGGGCATTGGAATACACGTCTAAGAGGCTTGCGCGGAAAGCCTTACATATTACCTTGGTCGTCGTACGGAAGGACTATCAGCTCCCAAGCGTAGTGCCGCCTTGCCTAACACCTACGTCGCCCCCACCCACACCGGGCATCACATCTCCCACACGTTTTACCTCACCCGTGGCCGGATTGAGGCAATTAGTCCGAAGGGGAACGGGTAGTTCTTCGTCATCCGCGGTGTCCGACGCTGTCTCCGGGGCACCCACTCCAACATTCCCACCTCCTCCGAGCGAGCCTCTCATTAGCCCTCGCCGCTGGGTTTTGCCCCCAACGCCTGGCAGTCCAATGCCTCGCACACCAATGACACCTATGACGCCTAATACACCATCCAGTATCGTCACATCATCCTCGACAACCTCTCTAAGCCAGGGGCCGAATGAATTCGGCATTAAGTTGATCTACACCGGTCTCCTCTCCCCTAAAGCCGAGAAGACTCTACGAACCACCATTCTCAAGGCCGAGCGCAAATTTCAAATCGGCACGGGGTGGTTACCTCCCGCCACGACTGCATCTGCGTGCGGTCTGAATGCAGATTTGGTGCGAAGGAGTATACTACAGAATGAAGTGCTCTTCTCGTCAGAAGGCTTGACGCTGCTCGGTTTGGATCGGCTGTATACCTTCAAATCGGCACTTGCCGCTTATGCTCGGTCTATAAATAGCGGTAGCAACCCATCGACTCCTGCCTCACCCACACATAAAATTACGGATAGCACACGTATCGAGGATGCGGTAGACTCATTACGACGTCTCGTCCTGGCAAACGGTGGACGACCCGTATTGAGGTCCGACCTCCACCGCAGTTATGATTGGCTCGGTGTCAATGTTCGTGCGCTTAGAGACGTGGAGAATATGTATCGAAGAGCATACGGCGGCCCGGATCGAAGTGGTGCTTTTGAGATGACACCAGAAGAACGCGAACGTGAGGCCAAGCCGGTGGTTTTGATTAGTTCCCCACCACCACCCAAGACACCACCCAAAACCCAAACAACGCCTGTGCTTAAGCTGAACACAAAACTCGCTACCGCGACAACGACTAGGATATTCAAACCCAAGGCTAAAGCCATATCATCACAAGCTCCAACAACAACACAGCCAGCAAATCCAAGCGACGCCCCAAAACCACAAACCGGCGAAATCACAGAACTAGAAATAAAAATCGACCCCTTATCCCTATCCGCAGGCGAGGAATCCGACACCGACCATAGCAACGAAGGCGACGTTACAGCACGTCCAATCCCCAACTTCCCGCTCTGGAACGGAGCATCAATCGACGAGATGATGCTCTCGCCATGCGATACCCGACAATCGCAGCGTCTGGGCCCTACGACGCCGAATGGGTATGATGACATATCGCCGATAACACGGGGAGAGTGGGGGTTTTTGTTTAAGAATGAGGGTTGGCAGATGCAGGGTCGTACCGCAGCTGTAGAGACTTGCTGAGCGATCAGATATTTATACATATGACGGTGTTGATTTATGTACATTGGTATGCATTTATTATTCGTGGGGTTGTTTATTTTAGGATTTGTTTGTATGTACCTAAGGCCTAGGGAGGGATGTATTTATTTATTATCGGTTGAGCATAGCGAAAACGGCCGGACGGGTGGACGGATGGATTGGTAAATAAATAATTTGATGATTTGGGATATCCATGATGAAAATAATTGATTATATGCTTTTGTAACGCCGATGCCATGCGGTGTGATGTTTTTGCTTGCTTTTAAGCTTGATGCCATCCTGAACTCCGAATTCCCTTAGACTTTCCTCACTGGTTTATCGGACTCTTCCATTCACTGTTACACATATACCAAGACGAGGCTGGGAAAGAGTCGTGTCAGATTATCGCCACCCATATCTCGACCCCGCATCGTTCCTATTCCCTCTAGCCTTCGCAAAGCTCTCCTCAAGCGCATCCTTCTGGTTCTGTACCCGGGACACGAGCTGCCGCAAACTCGACTTCCCACCAGTAGCCACAGAGCGCAAAGGATTATACGCGGGTTGCAACTGGCCCGAAGCCCGTAGCGCCTCGTTATGCGCGTATTCCCGATCCGTGTCGAAGTTGATGACTTTACTCGATTGAGAAAGCAGGGACGGATCCCCGCCACGACCGAAGAGTTCGCGTCGCGCGGCTGCGGAGAGGTTCATGGAGGATGCGATGGAGTCGAGGGTTTCGGGCTCGGTGTTGGGGGTTATGGCTGGAGGCGCGGAGGATAGGTTGGTAGAGAATTGCGCGTCGTAGGCGGCGAATTCGTCGGCGTTTGTGGTGTCGTCTTCGTTGGTGAACATAGGTTCGTAGGCACCGCTAGGGGTTATGGTTTCTGTGTCGTCCGATGTTGTCTTATCGGGGAGGGAGAATAGAGATATTTTTTGTTTTTTCGCCGGCGGTCCTGCTGGCGCTTCTTGTGCTTGTGGATTTTTGCTTGGCTTCAGTGTTGGTATCACGGGAGCAGGAACAGCTTTGGGTTTCACTATGGTCTTTTTGCCTGGTTTTCGCGATACTGATAGAGGCTTGAACATCAATGGTTTTCCAACCAACTTGACTTCTTCCGCTGGTTTTTGGTCTGCCGGTATAGAAGGTTGTTTTCCTGGCGCCTCTGCATCGTCGCCCTTCGTTGTCTGATCCGTAGTCCCTTCGTCATCTCCATTTGTTTCCCTACTAAAGCCTGGTGCTGCACCCGTCTTCAGATTGACACCAGGTCTCGGTGCTGGCTTCCCACTACTGCTTGCGACCGTAGGTTTTCCGACGTTCTTTGGGGGTGGCAGAAACGAGTTGAAACCACCAAACGCGCCACCTCCTTTTCCCGCTATCCTCGTGCGCTTCGGAGGTGGTTCATCGGCTGCATTTTCGGGTATACTTTCGGAAGAGGTCTGCGGGAGGTTCACAAGGATCTTGCCTGGTTTCGCGCGATCGACTACTTTCTGGAAAGGTCTCTTGCCGCTCGCCGTCGACGCGGGCGCGAGCTTGGTTACGGGTTCAGAATCGGATTCCGAATCTGAGTAATCGACGAGCCCCATTATCACTAAATATCGGTGATAGATGTTGAGTTTGATGATGGGGAAAATCGTTGTAGAATTGATAGCTTGATTTGGGTTTGACTGTGGCGTCATAAGGCATTTTGGAGTGTGGCTATTTTCGTAGGACAAGGTGGAACGTGCACTGTCTGGTTATGTAAGCCTGAAAGCTTAACATTTTGTGCTTTGCTTTTCCGTCCAGTCACTGAGTCTTGCTTTAACATTCTAACCCTCATATTCATTGCTAACATGGCCAGATAAATCTACAGTTCTAAGGCTTCTACACGCACTCAAGCAATCGGGAACGAATGACGCGAGAGGGAATCGTCAACCATTGCTGGTGATTTTCAACCTACATAGTGTTGACGAGGGTTGATCGCAATTCTCAAGTACCCAAGTACTTCCATTATATCCCTCACAGTCAATTTATCGAACTCTTGGCCCGAAATGTCATCGTCTCGAAAGTACCACTCATCATGCTTCGCATCGCGCTCCGACACGGCCTTAATGCTTGCATCTGTCAGCTAGTCCCCCTCTTCCTTAGGAGCGGCCGAGGTCTGCCATACCCTAGTATGAATGCCAAAGACCAAGATCTAACAGACATTGAAGACGCTAGAGCTGCAAAGCCTACAGCTACATCGGGTACCTACCTAGCTAGCTTAGGTAGGTACATCGTCAGTGGGTGGGAATGAGCTGTACCTTATACGTAATGGCAACTCTACGCTAAACGACTTCGAAAAGACGATCCGAACTATTTACGCCTGAGTCCGCTGGTTCCGTTTCTCTAGATGAAGGCATTTTTACGTACAATGCATGATCTAGCGGCTTGGCCAAAAATGGGGGACCCCCTTCAAGTCCCGATTCAGGATTCGGATTAGATTGATAAGATCATCTTATCTAATCAATCAGTTCACATGCGAGCAGTACTCCGTTGTTGGTACCTGCGAATAAAGGGGGAATCCAGCCGACCGGAATTACGAGTTTGCTTGGCTATACTAGGTACCATACTTGAAAGGCATTCTGGTAAGATGTAGCTCCGGCTGCGGACCGACCTGCTATTGTTGGAATGGTCGTAAATGATCTCAATCTGTTCGATCAAGATGAAAAACATGTTAGTCCCAGGTCTTAACAATTTCTAGCATGAGTAGTATTCCTTTTAGTATTATTTTGAAATTTTCCGAAAGAAAAGCGTACGCAACTGATCCACGCAATGGCGGACTCACAACCAACTTTGAATAGTCTTGCAGCGAAGATCACGGAGCTTACCGAAACCTTCACTCGTTATCTTAAGGAGAATAATGTGCAGGAACCAACGTTCGCGGTCGATAGCCCGACGAGCTATACCAACCTATCGCCGGAGATCTTCATTACGCGTCATCAACTATTAGATGCCCTGTCAGACATGTGGTATCTAACGCAGGGGCCCAGCGAGAGTATTTTCAACTACGTCCATAATGTGAGCATGTTCATACGGTAGTCTTAATACACGTAGCTTGAAACCGTTTTCCTAACGTTCGTAGTGCATACCTGACGCTGCAACCCTCAACGTCTTGAATTATTTCGATTTCTGGTCTGCCGTACCCCTAGACGGGTCTGCCTCCTATGCCGAGATCGCACAGCGTGTCTCCCTCCCCGAAGATGTTGTTAAACGAATCCTGTTACATGCAGTGTACCTGCGCATATTCGAAGAGACCGATCCTGGGAAATCTTCTTCACGGATTCGACATAATTCTCGATCGGCCGCACTAGCACGCTCGTCGGGGCTTAAGGCACTTGTATCTACAATCCTGGACGATGCTGGTGCGCCAGTAATGGTCCTAAATGAAGCTCTGGATAGGTATAGCCGCGGCAAGCCAGCTCTTACACAGAATGTAAACGAGACATCGTTTGCCTTATTCCATGGCGGCGGGCAGTTCGGCAAATACACAAACTCTTGGGACCTACTTGAAAATGATGGCGAAGGAGATAAGAAGGGCTGGCGGCAGAGGAACTTTGTTGAGTTCATGCGCTATGTAAAAGAGATCTTTCAACTTGAAGGAGTTGGTAAGTTGACTATTTATCTTCTCGTAATCTCATATAAAATTCCAAATACCTTCGATTTACATTTTTATGAAGATAGTCATACTCTTCAAAAACACACTGAGGACTACTGGTGACCTAGTTCCGCTAACACCAATATTAGTTCTTGACGCTCATGACTGGAAGGCTGCAGGAAAAGCGGAAGTGGTCGATGTAAGTCTTTTAGTCCGTTTCATCGACCACCAATCGGGCAGATAACTAATTTCGAACAGATCGGCGGCTCTGCAGGTCACGATGCTATAGTGCTAGCGCGCAAGTTCCCCGAACTAAGTATCACAGTTCAAGACTTGCCAAAAGTGAAGCCTGTATTTGACGCCAACCTTCCGGAGGACGTCAAAGATCGTGTGTCATTTGTGGAACATGATTTCTTCGAGCCGCAGCCGGTTCAGGCGGACATTTACATATTCAAGATGATTCTTCACGACTGGCCGGACCACGAAGCGTCTAAAATTTTACGGGCACTAATTCCCGCTTTAAAGCCGGGCGCTCGTGTTATCCTCTTTGAATACATTGGTAACCAAGGCGAAGGTGACAGCGAAGGACCGGCACTACCACGCACGATTCAGCAGATGGGTACGGCAACGGATATAAGACTAATGGCACTATTTAATGGAAAGGAACGTCCCGTCGAGGCTTGGGCGAAGATCTTGCGCGACGCCGATGAACGGTTCGAGCTGGCGAATGTTAAGGCCAATCCAGTTACCTTCTTTGCTGTGATCGACGCCGTTTGGAGAGGTTAGACAGATGCAACCCCACATAACTAAGCTTCTGTCTTCAGGTTCATAGGATACGCGCCGATTCTCTCAATTAAGGTAGGACTATCATTGAGGAGTTATCAATTCGATAACAGGGAATCATGAAATGTCATACAATTTACAAATCAAAGAGCATTTTGTATCACGTAGCAAGGCCTATTCAATTTAATGGGTTTAGTTAGGCCAATAGAAGCATTTTGTCTCACATCTCCGTACCATGCTAGGTGTGTTAGGAAGCTGAGTGCAAGGTGGTATGCCGCCTTATATAAACCCCTCATGGACGATGGACCCCCGTATTCGCCGAACACGCCTAGCACGGTGGGGGCCAGCGAAAACTGACCCCGACCTACATAACGGCTACACCTAGGTAGTAAAGTAGGTCCGTAAACGGGATCCACGTCGGATAGTACACCTGTAGGTCCATTCCAAGATTATCAAAAATGGACAGGAGGAACTTTGATCTGATAGGATTACTCGTTAACACTAAGACCCACACCCTCCGTGTAGTAATGCGACCTTACTAGGGCCGGCAAGTTTCAATCGTTGACAAATTTTTGATGGCGCGTAGGTGATGTGATTTATTTCGAGTTTCCGTTCTGGTCCGGCCCCCTCTTATAAGAATTCGGGATGGAGGAATTTTGAGAAATAAGTTGTTCCTTTTCCGGTGCGAAAGTTAAGACTTGAGGGGAGGTTTTGTATACACCACAACATGCCTTTAGCCGTACTCCCTGCCCAGGTGGCTGATATTGAGCCGGTTTATGACGTATATTTTGCTGCGTTTAAGAATGAACCTATTATTGACTTTTTGTATCCCGGAGGTGTGGATAGGAAGGCGCATACAGAGGGCACGAAACAGTGGTGGTCCCATGATAGGATAGGGTATACGGTCAAATGCCTTGACACCGACACGGGGGAAATCGTTGGTATGGCTACTTGGGATATCTTTTGGAAATCGGGAAAGGATAATGGTTGGGAACGACCTGCAGGTATACCTTGGTTGGAGGGGGAGGAAAAGGCTAGGTGTGAGGATGTTCTGAACAATATGTGGGATATAAGAGATAAGTTATTTGGAAAACGACATCGATATATATGTAAGTAAAATTGGGAGAACTTCAATTGTGAAGCTTGCTAATAAGGTGGTGAAGACCTCAGTGTAATAGCCGTGGATCCAAAACACCAACGCCGCGGCATTGGACGCTTACTCATGCAATGGGGTATCGATGTCGCAGAGCAACTTCAACTCCCGATATACACAGAGGCGTCGGAATCAGGGCTGCGCTTATATGAGAGCGTCAGGTTCGAGCGGTTGACGCAGGTGAAACTCGTTCATAAGGAAGAAGTTACCGGCCGGCCAGATGTTGAGATACCTCTAGTGGTGAGAATGCCTAGCTCGGCGAAGGGACTGCGCTTTGAGGAATGGGTGAATAATGGGTACCCGCAAAACTATCAAATTCATGTTAATGGGAACGGAAAAGTCAACGGCTCAAGTAACCACGAATAATAGGTCCGATTTAGGTCGAACCGATGTTGTAGTGAAAAGGGGGATAATGTTAAGGATATAAAAAGGAGTATTTTATAGAAACTGATGATAGAGTTCTTTTTAGAGTCTCTTTTTCCTCGGAATCGAATATGTGCTGCTGTTTTATGGGAACTGGATATGATAACTGTTGGGTGAACCATAGTCGTTGAGACCACCATTCATCCACGTATACCACCAACCCGGCTCCCGGCTGAGTTAAAGGCTATAACAAGAGGAAGGGGTTAAGGCTGCCGTATATATAAGTCTAGATATTAGTAAGCCTATACGTTGAATCTGGACTTGAATGTAGTACGAAACTTATGCAGGAGGTGCCACAAATCTTGGTTCCGTGGTCATGGTATACTTCCGGAATAAGCAATATGATAGCAGCATTTACTATCGATGGACCAATTGGAGTACAGCCTTATGTCTCGGTCTAAGGCAATCCTGTTCCTGTTCTGGGTTGTATTGGTGTAGTATCTCGGACTTATCTTAGAAGAGATCTATGGGGTATCCGCTTGGATGTACGATACTTGAGTACATTTGTAATGGTGGCTTGCTGCAACTCCGTAATGGATGTCTAATTCCCGACGGTACAGATGATATCCGTCAATGTGGTCTGAGAATAGACTGAAGATGGCTCTGAGGAATCTCCTTTGACTCTAACCCTAACTCGGGTTAACATCTAGACCTGAAGGTATGAGGTAAAGGGTTTCTCACCTATTAATGACTATATTTCACATAGGTTGACTATCTCGTCCATGAATACCTATTTTATAGCAGCATGGAAAGGGTATTGATCTTGGTTAAAAACACAGGTAACATTTGAAAGTTTAGCACCAAGATATGGCAAGCAAAACGGGAACGGAAGGGGAACGGAGCTCGGAGTTTCGGCCTCGGAGTTTTAAGTATTGGGAGCGCACGGTCCCCGCACTAGTACTAACAAAAAGCAATTCAAACTGCTGGCAGACCCTTGCCAGCTGACAAACTTGAAATGGCAAGCCGACAAAGACAATTGGATCGTCATTTCAATCGCCTACAACGAACCTTGGATGTACCCCGTATTTTATCTACGTACTCACGTCGCGGGCGCACTGAGCATTCACGACGTCGCTTTCTTTGATCTCTCCAGATATTTTCGGCATGATGGAGTTTTCGTAAGAATGAATACAACTGGTTATCATTTCCTGTCAATTAAGCTACTCCTCTGGCCAGGATGTCGCTAATACAAGTGGAGGAGTATGTGAACATTTCCCCCGCCACGATCCCATTTCGTATACAGTGCTAATCTTGTGCCTTCTACAGCTTGGTCTCGTACCAATTACGAACAAGCTATCTCAATGAAGTGGCTGATGGCGTCGGAGAACGTCTTATCACTATCAACGATAGTTTCCTCAATACCGCTCCTTTCAAAGCCGCTGGCTGGCGAACGAATCCATCCCACATTAAGCGAACCCATTCTCCCCCAATACCGACCGCTATAGCCTCCGAATACTTCCAAGCCGCTCCGAGGTCTACTGGCCTGACACTCGAAGATGAAGCTGAAGAAGGTGGCATGTTGACTGGTGGTGGAGGTGACACATTGGGACCCGGAAGTGCCCTCAAGCGTCGCAGGGAAAGACGTCGGGAGCAGATGGAAGAAGATGATAGTAGTGACTTAAGTGACGAAAGCGACGATGAAGCCGACCAGAGGGCCGCCCAGCAAATAAGATTTGCGAAGATGCCCGTCAGGAACCGTGCAGGATCCTCGCCCATTCAGTCATCTAATTTACGTCAAGCTACCACCATGACCTCCCCACGTGCTGCCCCAGCTCCTCGAAGGGGTTCGCAACCTACACTAGAAACTGTGAAAGAGCGACCACGGCGAGATACTGTCACTAGTAGTGAGGTCTCATCAGACAACGAGTTCGATGCATCTGGTTTTCATAAACAGCGAGAGGCAGCAAGGGCAAGGGAAAATCGGTCACAATCAAAAAGCTCCACAGAACCGAGTGTGGGCATTGGACGCCACGCAAGTGAGCTACTTGCTGAAGAGGAGGAGAATTCGGATGTATCGGATACTTCCTCTGCCTTTGTCGCAAGTGTCGATTCGACTTCTATCCTAGATACTGTCGAAAACCCTGCGGTCGGTGCCTCTCCTGGCCAGCAGGTTGTCGGCAATGTGCCAAGAGAATTACTCCGGCAGTCTACAGTCAGGAAACCACCCCCTCCACCACAGCCGCAGACGCTTCAGGCTCTTCCCCCTCCGCGCCCCATGAGTACCATTAGGCCCCTTAGTATGGTTCAACCTCGCAGTCTACTCTCAGACGCCTTCAAGGCGAAGAAAGCTAAACCGGCTATGCCGTTTGACATGTTTGCTTCCTTATCAGGTCAAGGAGACCCTGATCCCCTTAGGATAAGAATCTATGCTCCATTCTCCGAAGACCCGGAAAAGCCCTTCGAGGTTCCCATACGACGAAATATTCAGGAGGCCGATGGAACTTTCAGACCAGTCACTGTTGCAGAACTGATTGGGTTGAGTTTGTGGAGGTATCATGCCGAGAAACTTCAACCTCCAGTACCTACCGATAAATTGAATGTGAATTGGTGGACATTGCGAATGGTTGAGGAGGGTGGAGAAGTCGACGATGATTTCGAGCCATTGGATCGCAAGAAACCAGTGAACTCATTTACTACGGCAAATAATAGGGCTGCGAGGTCACGGTCGGCCTCTAAAGCCTACGATGAATTTGCCTTAGTGCAAGCGTCGGAAGCGGGCTTCGCAGACAACCAAGTTCAAACACCTCAATACGAACAACAAGATGTAGCAGAGGATGCGGGTGATGAGGAGACAACTCCAAGGAGCACGCCTCAGCCCCAAGCTTCGCCATTAACTGCGTCCCATGCACGGACGAATCCCATTATCACTACAACTTATCGGGCAGATACACCCTTGGCTGATAAGCCACCTCCTCAGACTGCTGCTCCAACGACGACCAGAGGGCAACATAAATATTTGAGGATTCGTATTATGTCGCCTGATATTGCTCCCGGGCAAATAATCACTCTTGATGTCACAACGGATATGTACCTCGCCGAGGTTCGCGATCTAGTCTGCCGTAAGAGGCAGCTTGATAAGAACACGCATGTCCTTAAACTGCCTGATTCTGGTGCTGTAGTCTATGTAGACCGCACTGTTTCGTCAATTGGCAATGTTGAGGATCTAGAACTCCACCGTCGCCGATTCGCAACAGATGGACCTCTAACGATTACAGGTTCTCCCAGCAGCCCCTCTCCCAAGACTCACGTATGGAATGAAATACCACAAAAGGGAAAGAAGAAATTCATGACAACACACCCTCTCGCTCAGGAAACTGTGATGCAAGATGAGGCTGGTAGTGGCGATGTGAAATACAAGAAGTATACCGTTTGGCGTAAACAACCGATGAGGTTCGTCGGAATGAACGAGCGAATACTTGTCATTGATGGCGAATATGTGTACATTCAACCATCCTCCGGGGGTAAGGCGACGCGTGAAGGAGGTAAGACTACGTCAGTCCACTTCAGCAACGTAATCGGGTGTAGCGTTTCTCGACGCCATCCGACCAATTTCAAGGTAGGTCTAGATAATCCCCGTACACGCACATGGTATTAATACTAAACCGCGACATAGCTACTCGTGTATAAGGCAACCGAAAGCAAGAGATATGATTTCGAAGCCAGGAATACCCAAGAGGCAGCAGAGATCGTTCACGAACTTAAAAAGGGAATATCTCCTTATAACAGGGACATCTAGGGAAATATCTTGAACAGAAGTTCCTGATGTGTTGTTACTATCTAGGTCTAGGCAGAGTAAATAACTGTTGGTGAGTTTATTGGTCCAAGTCACGATGATCTAGAGCATGCTTGCCGCCATTTAAGGGGTCGGCTGGGTGCTCGATGTGTATAGTAGGTACGTGCGAGACTTCATGTTCACTCCAAAGCCATACCCATCGGACCTTTCGCCTTTGACTTTCAGGGCGTATTTATGGCCATTGCGCGCGAATAAATCTTCCATGAGATCATTTGGCTACCCGTTGTCGAAATACCTCACTTGTTTTAGCAGATAGCCGATGATAGCCGATGATACTTCACAAAACCAAATAAAAGTAGGACATCTATCTAATTCAGCTACTACTATCCCGACCTTCGCGATCACACCTATGAAAATACTTTCTGTGTTGCCATGGCGGGGTATTTCTTTCAATTGATTCATTACTCGGTGTTCTAGGATATGATACATGCTACATGTATGTACAATGGCGTACGCACATCCATTTATCATATACCAGCTAATGCAGCCACGGTTTTAGATATGCTGGCAAGGACCCCAATCTACGGGTTCTATCCTTGAGGCTGCTGTTTGAGAAGATGAGAGAAGTTCCATCGCATGGGCTATGATGATGCTGTGTTCATTAATAAATTGGCCCAGCGACAATGAAGTTCGAAAGATACCTCGTGGCAATCCAGTAGTGAGTCAGTCTAGAAATGACATATCACGATGAGGCTGAAATTGAAGTTGCCTCTAGATCGGCGCTTACGATTGGTTAGCTCCTTGACCTACCTATAATACGTATCAGATTAGGTAGATTCGTGCGCTGCATCAGTCCGGTTTGTAGGCCTGTACTTCAAGTTACACCAGGAACGGGACTGGGCCAGAGGACGAACCAGCCCTGGTCCATTCACCCGGTAAGACATATCATATACAGAACAGGGAGGCCCTAGCTAAGAGGTGGGATATCTTATATTGGAGAGGGGGCATTTAACTTGGTATTCGACATGTCACATATATTGGTGGCGGGTGACATGAGACGACGGGCTGGTAGACGGTTACACACATATGTGCAATCGGGTAGTTGCAGCAGCAAAATCAAGGACCTGGTATATTTCCAAGCCGGGTTACAAACGAGGAAATTAGCTGTGCCAACACTTAACGCCATCGGGGGACGGGTAGCAGCAGGAATTATAATTAGCAGGACGTCGAAATCAGAACCGGGACGGGAAAAGGGGGAAGAATTGACTGCATCCTAGGTATGTTCCCAAGCACCCCATTCGTACAATAATTCTTTGGTGTATTTTTGTATACGTCCTGATTTAAAATATTCTTAACTATGACCAGGTAATTTAAAAATCGTCCATTGGATGAAATAAAATCAAGCTCGATTAGTCCACCTACTTGGTCCCTCACTGGCTGATACAATTACAATGATCAAGGAGGCAAGTTTATTCCACTGAACATAATTAAAATATTTCCCGTTACGGTCTAGGTAGTTTGGTAACTGCAGTGTCTTGATTTGATGTCATAATCAACTGAACCTAATCACCGCCGGAGGAAACTGCAAAAATATAAACGCGCCAACTGTGTGTTGTTGTTTAACGTGCCTTCCTTCTTTCCTCCTACGAACCCACAACACTCAACCCACCTGCCACTTTTTCATCTTCCACCTTCCACCTTCTGCCTTCTTTTGCCTGACCGCTTTCCAAAGTACAAACACGTGAGAACATTTCTCATTCTTGCCTGTTTACCTTTTTTTCTTCCTCCACCCTTCCTCACTTCTCAATCCTTCACCAATACATACACATCACCTTCTCTGCATCAACATCTATCGACTACTGTACACTCCGACGCCTTCGGCAAATATTCTTCGTCGATAACCAAACAGATCTTTAGATCATTACTAGGTAATAATTCCCTCCTTGCAACACTACGATTATTTACGTTCTTGCTAACTTGACATCATCCAAAGCATACTTCAAGTATCCTAGACCAAGCCACCACGATGCAGTACTCTAAGACTCTCGTCACTATGGCCATGCTTGCCATCGGCGCTGTAAGTAATTTTATTTCTTAATTCCTCATTCCCTACAGTCAATGGTAATGTTACTATTGCCGTCACTTATTTTCATTGTCCTCAATTTTTTTCAGGATGCTCATTCTATATCATTCGGCTCGTCGCCCACCTTTTTTTTGCCCACGCAATATTATTACATAATAATCCAAATTTGGTTATTTTTATTCTTCTTTCCGATGACTGGCCTAATCCTTTTTACAGGTCACCGCTGAGGCTGACCTTGCCAAGAAGGGCGAGTCTACTTGCTCTTGCAGCGCTGTCACCACTACGGTTACTGTTCCCCCCGGCACTGCCAGCCACTCGACCACTCCCACTGAGGGTTATCCTACCGGTGTTACCTCGTCTACCACTCTCAACACCGCTACTCCCTCGTCCTCTGCGACTGGCACTGTTGTCTCCACCCCCATCGTCGGTTCTACCACTGAGACTCTTTCCATTGCCACTACCCTCAGTGGTTCCAGCGCTTCCGTCTCTGTCTCTGAGAGCACCGCCACCGAGTCTACCGCTACCCACAGCGTCAGCTCCACTGAGACTCATGCCTCTCACACTGCCAGCGAGTCTCACTCTGGAACTCAGACCAGTCCCAGTCCCTCTGAGACCAGCGCTCCTCCCACTTCCGCTGGTTCCGTCTCCGCTGGTGTTCTCGGCATGAAGGGTGTTATCGCCGGAGCCATGGTCGCCGCTCTCGTTTACAACATCTAAGTTTACGAAAGAGGACTCTCACCGGTGTATCGTTGCATGAGGAAAGGATGGCCTTAGCATATGGACCCACATTCGATTCGTTGGTATTGATTTTTGCATGCACATGGGGATGGTGCCGTTTTAATGATGAATGAAGATGTACTTTAGGGGCCTGCTTTGCCGTTGCATATCACTGCCATCATGGTCACGAACAGGGGAACAGTACATGGAAAGATGCCCGGAATTTGGCACAACGAAAGGAAAAGGGGATTTCATCAGTATTGGCTTTGAGGTTTCTCATAGGACAGGAACATTTTACTCGAGCAATAGCTGCTAATTAATATCGACTGAATGCTGATTTATGATTAATTGTTCTTCTCTTTTGGTGTTATCGTGATTACTAATATCGTAATTATTTATTATTCCGCTGGAGATCAAATTTCAGCACTAGACTTGCGCTTGATACCTCTGCGATAGTATCTCAGGGCGGATGATGTATCCTAGTAATTGACGTGTGTCGCATCGCTTCCCATTTCTCTATTTTGCTTGTCGAAGCGCCAATGTTTATGCCACTTTCCCACTTGGGGAGACGTTTATATTTTTATTTATAATATGTATCTAGATACCGTTGCATAAATTGCACTATTACAACTACCCTAATATTCACAATTTCGCCTTTCCACCTCTGTCCTTTGCGCTATCCATTCTCTTACCCTCGTCGTCCTGCTCCGCGACCGTTAGATCTGGCAACGCAGCCGGCATTATGCGTCGCGGTTCAGACCCGGGGACAACAGAGTAGCGCGCGAAATTAGTTACCTTGCCGCCAACTTCGCTGCGTAAGAAGTCTTCGTCTAATTCTAGAAGCCCGTTGACGGCTGACGTAGGGGCGCGGAGGACTGCTAAGACAGCGTCCGAAAATACGGTTGCGCGGCGTAGATCTCGCGCTTCGGATGGATTAGCTTGGGTCATTTTGCGCGTTGCTGCGGATTCGATGGCCTAATGTTGTGATTAGTTATAATTTTGGCGGGCTATTTGGGGACGGAAAAGGCTCACCACCGCCGGCCATAAGCTAGTAATCGCCATATTTGCCAATCCCTGCCTCTGGAAATCCATCGCGAGGCCCTTAGTCAACACGCTCATACCGATTTTCCCCATGGCGTACGCTGTCTTACCGCGGAAGAAGCGGCTGTAGATTGGTGGGCTGACGACGACTATGCGACCCCCGCTATGGCTTTTCTTTAGGTGGGGGAGCGCTGCTTGGACGGTCCCGTAGAGACCTTCTGGGTTCACGCGCTGCATGAGTTGGAAGCGCTTCATGGGCGTGTCTTCGACTGATGCCCACCATATTGCGCCGGAGTTGTAGACTAGGACGTCTAGACGGCTGTAAGTCTGGTACATTTGTATTAGTAACTCCGATGTTATTGTAGGACAGCAAGACCAACCTCAATTGTCCTATCGATGAGTTTCTGCACACTGGCGAAATCCCTAACGTCAACTGGGATAGCCGTCGCCCGTCCTCCCGCCTCGATTATCTCCCGCTCAACCGTGCTGATAGTTGATTGCGGTGAATTGGGATCGGGCGGGAATGGAGTAACGCTCTTGGCGTCGCTTATTGACTTGGCCGCGACGACCACTATATATATGGTGTATAATTAGGTGCTGACATCGTAATTAAGGCGGTTACGTTTGGCTTACCGGCGTACCCATTCTTCGCCAGGTCGATGGCAATCTGCCTTCCGATACCCCTTGATGCACCAACTACAAGTGCGACCTTGTTACCGTTATCCGCCATGGCTACATTACTATCTTGATGAATTGGAAGAGTTGTATATACGGTGTAGTTATAATAGAAGAAGTCAACTACATTTTCTTATGTATTATAAGACGTGCTCTTCGGAACATATCCCATCAGATCACTAATCCTCGCTATCCTCGTAATGTTAAGAAGGAGTACAGGTACCAACGAACGCCGACGAGTTGGAGATAGTGGGTCCGCGGGAGCAACCGAGGTTCGAACCTGCAGATCCACTTATTACCCCTTTTACTCAAATTACTCTACGTAAGTGGCTTTTATCACATTAAGAAGAGTATGTAAATAATGATGTTGAGCTGATTAATAATATGCATCTAAGAGTTATATACAAGAAAGAAATAGGGGTATTTCATCTACGCTCGTCCCCAAATAATTTCAGCTTTCTTCCAACACCCGAATGTCTGCCTATATACAATAACTGAGACACCAAATCCAGTTTATGCTTCACAATGTCTATCCAAGGATGCACGATGATACGTCTATGTTGTACTGTGATGTTTCTTCTCAAGTGAGCGTGTGCTTCAGTATAACCACGGTCCTACATAAATGTATCAGTTAGCTAAAGGCGTCAAACGACGAGGCAATTCGTCCCGGGTGGGAAAAGCTTACCTGGAATGAACCGATTCTCTTGTTCCCTATGTGTCGGGATCTTAAGCACTTCACTGTGTATCGCATTCATCGCCGCGAGCGCGTCGTCCGCCCCCACCACCAGCGATATGTTGATCTTGCTCGCGCCTTGGCTTATCAAGTAGATGCTTATCTGAGCTGAAGCCAGCGCTGAAAGGATCTCATCTGGGAATTGTTAGCTGATATTACTAATGTAATAACTATAATCGAACTACACTTACTGGATACTCCGACCATATTACGCATTTTATGACCAACAACCGTCACGATAGACATATTAGGTGAGATACCAACTTGGCCGAACCGCTCGAGCTCTTCTTTGAGTCGCAACAGTGCGCTAGGGTTTGCCGGGGACTGTACTGCGAGGCTCACGTGTCTTTCGCTTGTGGCTACTAGGTCTGCAGGGATCCTGTTCCGCTCTAGACGGTCAAACACTTGCGTCAAGAAGCCTTGAGATTTGGTGTTCCGATTGCAGACGACATTGATAAGAAGAATGTCATCTTTAACTGTCACGGCAGTGGGTCTCCTTCGCTCTTGCTCCGTTCCATGGTATCCGTTCTTCAACATGAAGCTTGACAGCGGAGTAATCCGAGGCGAGGAGCTATCCGACTCATCGGATGATGTACTCGCTGGACTTATCGGAGTATTGTTAGTTGTTGAGGGATATATGATGGTACCATGTCCTAGTGGCTTGAAGACATTCTTCAGCCGTAGCGGTATGCAGGCTTCCCGAATTTGGTCCATTGTTAATGGATGGATAACCTTGGATCCAATTAGTAAGTTCATTCTCAGTTCGAAAATAGACTGAACTCACTTCACTCCCATAGTACGTTAGCTCCGTCGCCTCTTCATCCGTTACTGTTGATAACAGCCGCGCCGAAGGCACTTTTCTCGGATCTGCTGTGAATATGCCGTCGACTTCCTTCCATATTTGTAGTTCTTCCGCCGCTACACCCACTGCGCACATAGCTGCGCAAAGATCCGAATATCCCCTTCCGACTGTCTGAAGAAGCGAGTCGGGCATTATGCCAAAGAATCCTACGATGGTCAACACGCCGTCCAATTACGGTATTGGGAATCCCTTACCAGTTACGATAGGGATTGTGTTTCCACAATCCCGGATGCGCTCAGATATTTGGTCGGCCAAGACATGGTAGAACTTTGGGCCTAACCTCTCGAGTGCAGCCACTTGGTCATGAACAGAATTGCCAAAGGCAGATGATATTATGTTATCTAAGAAAACCGCTTTCGCTGGGGTCCCCTGTGCGAATGTTAGCTCTCTGCTGCCATTATTTTCGGACTGAGATAAACTTACTATGCTTGTTAGGCAAGCCGCGACTATCATGCACGAAAGCTTCTCTCCCAGGGAGATGACGCGGTCTTTAGATCGCGGCGATAATTCTCCAATAATCTTGTACCAGGAAGTTAGCCCGAACCATTATGAGATCGTTGCCAGCAACCAACCTGTGCAGCGAGCAGAAACCTCTTAAGACCTTCGCATTCCTTCTTAATATCCGATACGATGTCTTCGAAATGAGAAGTATCCCGTCCAGGGGAGCTTGAAAACGCCGCCAACACTTTCAAGTGGTTATCTTTTATCAGGCCCACCAGATCTATCAACCGTTTCTGCGAATCAACTCCTAGCTCGGCGCACGATATGCACTGCAGCAACAGACTTGTTGTCCCACTCGCCTTGACCGTTCCAGATAAGGCCGAACAGACGACGATGAGATTGTTCTCGGCGCTATACCGCGGGATGATGTTGCAGCAAATAGTCTCTAGCAACTTTCCTAAACTGGTGCCACCGTACTTTTGGACTAGCCAGGGCTTGGTCGCTGTTGCGGTCGCAGTCACCATGATTATAAGGATGAGGATGGTTTTGATTCTTGTGGAAGGCTTCTAATACACCATTGAAGATTGGTATGGAAATTAAAGAAGAGTCGTCGCGCTTTTGAAGAAATTTGTGATGCTTCTATACGAGTTCAATAAAGCCACGTTGGCTGTTGTTCTTTTATGGTTTCCCCTGAGCTGCCTCTTTGGGGGTGGGAACACAGAAACTAGCCATCGCCAAGAAAAACCAGCTCAGTCCGCGCTCGGGAACGGGGAGGGAAGGAAGGGAGGGGCGGCCGCGGAATTCCCAAAGAGCTTTTGGGGGTCGATTCCAACCACCAACCACAGGTCCGTGAGATTGCGTCAGTTTCGGGATCGTTCCCGAGACTTTCGAGAAAGAAAACACTAGACTAGGAATAGAGAATCATTCGGCGTGGGCCGACAAAACAAACAACAACACTATCACACGGGATAACTCGAGAGATCGTTAGCGTTAGAGGCGGAATCGGGGATCCTAATGTAAAATCTGCAAAAAGAATTAAGGAAATAGTCACCGGGTTTGTAAGGCTATCGGCTAGGTATCTGGGAATGGGCATATTTGAAATCCTTTGGAAATCCACCGACATACCGCTCGGTAGGTAAAGGTACCTATGAGATAACACTGAAGTACCTACCCGGATATGGTAGATACCTTCATGCATACCGTGCCGTATTATGTAGGTACATAACGCACCTACATCACAGATTGGTAACAACGCATCGATGCTAGCCGCAAAGACTGGAGACCAGGGAGGTCAAGAGAGAATGTATGTGCGAGCAGGATTGCTTCCCAAATCCCGGCCGGCATTTATGATAGGTGCCATGCCTGATAGTCCTATGCACCGAGTAGATCTTTCTTTCCTAAAGCGGATCCTCTCCCCTTTCTCCGGATTTACTTAATCCGTTCTATTATAGAGCGCGGTGTTTGAACTTGTATGGGTCCCTGTATTTTTTTTCTAACCTATTTTTGACGTTGCTTAGATAGACAGATACCATGTGAGGCCCGCCTCGGAGGAAGGGATGTGCGTACGTAAAAACATCTCAAAATGGGTCTTGTGTTATGTTTGCCTCGTTTCCCTGCTTAGGGATCACGAGATGGAGGCGTGAATGTCATATTTTACCACCGGGAATCTCCGGAACGAAACCTTTGGGCCGATTCTCACTCATCGTAAAATTGTATCTAGGTAGTCTTACTCTTACCACTCACTGCTCCCAGTCGGTCGTTTTCTTCGGTTTCGTTGCGACGTAAGCTATACTAAGCACTCTATTTGCCCCGCGGGGATATCGTCGATGAAATCGCAATACCGTAGTATTTTGTGCTCCGATCTTGTCGTCGGCGTTTACTACGTTATGTTATGCCCGAAGATCGGTGCTCTACGATCGAAGATGCTAGAAATCTGAGTCCCTGAGATCATCGCCTCGATTGTTTCCGATTCAACCGCAGTCGTAATTCTAGTCGAGGAGAAATTCGAAGTAAAGAGGTGTGTGATAGCTATCTTCATGTTCCATCTATAACAGCAGTATAATTCTTAATAAAAAAAAAAACACCCATCGTTACGTATGTGATATATACTCAGCCGTAGCAACAATGTAAACCAGAATATGAATGCTCATAGAAACAAAATATGCGGTAATCCCCTCCAATGCCTATAATCAAAACAAGAAAACGCTTGATGTACAATAAACGCAATAAAATCATTCTATACAGAAAAGGAAAAACATATCTCAACCTTCTCACCAAGCCTCAACTTCTCCCGTCAAACTGGCACCACCAGGCTGCGCTGTAACGGGAGCGGTGTCATCGACAACCGCTGTAGTGTTGTAAAATTGCGGGAAATCCTCCCTCAATTTTCCCGTAATTAGAGTTCCAAGTTGCTCAAACTCGAGTAAAAACCCGTCGTGCCCGTCTGACGACTTGAGCATCGCAAGCGAGGCGCCAGGAAGACACGCTGCTAGCCGCTCCTGTTGTTCGGGGAGGAATAGCGCATCTGTTGCGACGCTGACAACTAGCGCACCAGGTGGGACCACGGCGAGGATCGAGCGCAATGCGTTATCATCGATATTACTTTCTTCTGCCGACACCCTGCCCAGCGTCACATCATGCGCGTCCATCTTATTAGTGATGTGGAGGTAACAATTAGCGTCGAAGCGCTGAATGAACTTCTGCCCCTGGTAATGTAGATACCCCTGAGCCGAAAAGGACGGGTCCCTTCTCGTAGTCCAACCCTTGCGCTCCCTCTCAACAGGTGTTGTAACTGCTGGCGCTGCTGTTGCGACGGGGACATCCGTTCGTGGAAGATCTAGAGGCGGCTCCTGCACAGCTCTAGGCTTCTGTCTTTGCTGTTGTGGTCTCCGGCCGAAGCGGGAGTCGAAACTTGTGCATGAGCGATACGTGAGCATGGCCACCATACGGGCAGCTGCCAGACCCGCTGAGGGTTGGCCTTCTGGGATAGGTTCATAATAACCGTCGTCGAAGCGCGGGTCGGAGTATATGCACTGGCGCTGGGCTTCGGCCCAGGAGATACCCCAGGCGCTATGGTCGGCGGCCGTCGCAATCGGCACAATGCTCCGGACGTATCCCGGCTCGGTACATAACGGCCATTCAAGCGTTGTCATCCCACCCATCGAACCCCCAATCACAGCGGCGACGGATCGAACGCCTAAAGCGTCAAGAACATGTTTGTGTGCTCTAAAAACGAGAAAAAGTTGCATTAGTACTGGTGAATAGTATTCAAGCACTTGGGTTTGTGTAACGTCTAACGTACCGAACATCATCGCGGACTGTTGTCTGCGGGAATTTGCTGGCGTAGCGCCTACCTGTTCTTGGGTCAACAGTAACTGGTGATGCGCTTCCGTAAGGCGACCCGAGAACGTTGGCGCAAAAGATGAAGAAATGCGCCGGGTCAAAAGCTTTGCCGCGACCAAGGAGGGGGCTCCACCAGTCGCTAATATCGCTGCTACCGGTGAGAGCATGGCAGACAACTAAGACGTTATCGCGAGTATCGTTGAGTCGACCCCATGTCTTGTAGGCGATTGGGCATGATTCTAAAACTTCTCCCGAGTCGAGGATGAGCTCCGGGATGACGGCGAACTTCTGCCCCTGAATGAGGCTTGCGTAAAAGTTCTCAGGGTTGGGGTTGTGATCTAGAACTATAGTGGTTTGTGAGTACATCTTGTCTCCTGGAACAGATAGACAGGTAGCTTAGTTTAGGCCCACTTACGAGTTGCCATGTTGTTATAAGTGTTTGCTTATAATTTGACAAAGTAGTTTGAGATAAGAAGATAGACTTGCGAATTTGAGCAAGGGGGAGGCGATCACAGAACCACCTATATGGTAGGTAGCGATGAGCTATCATAGCTATACTATAGGCCGATTCCGTGTACACCCGGGCCTCTTGATAGTCCCGAGGAATTGGCCCGCAAACTGCATTTGATATTCACCCCACACATACATCATAGCACCGGGAGCTCCCCTGCCTTGACCTTCTAGACCGAGCAGGGGATTAGGGGGTAAGGGAGGATACATAGGTACTTACCCCTACCGGTGTTCGGACTATGTACTTGCTAGTGGATCCGGGATTTGCTGGTTCGGGATCTGCGTCGTGCTGCAGGGTAGCAGTGCGCCGTGGTCGTACCGCATGCTGTGCCGTCGGCCCCACACTCTACCACATCTCATTGATAGCAGGCCACGATGGTTCTATCCACTCGCATATTCTGCAGCGGCTTGGCTTATAGCCGTTATACCGGATTAGTTTTGTGTAGCATAAGCAGAACCCTTTGAACGGGGCCTTCGGCTCCTCCCGCACGTATGTCCTCGATAGGAACGTAGATCAAATGCGGCGTCCCCCCTGGAACCAACAATGAGATCTCTAACACACAATATCGGAAAGCCACGATCTCCTATATTGAGGCGCCATCTTGCTTTTTTGGGCTGCAAGCCGGGTCGTAGATTTTTAGAACTATCATCCGACACAATACCATGGCCCCTGTTCGAGTGGTGAAAGTGGCTGCGGTGCAAGCCGCGCCCGTTTCTTTTGACCTTGATAAGAGCCTTGAGAAACTCACGAAACTAGTCGGTGAGGCAGCGGGAGCAGGAGCGGAGCTTATCGTCTTTCCGTGAGTGGTTGAGCTTAGGGAAAAAAAGCGCGCCAACAGCAGTAATAATACGGGGAAACTAATGCTGTTAGGTAGGGAAGCGTTTTTATCTGCTTACCCGTGGCGGTATGCATTCGATGCCACAATCGGAGCCCGAGAGCCTCGTGGTGAGAATTTAAAAATCTGACAGGAAACGAGACCACACAGTACTGATTTCAAGTAGGAAGAGAATGGTTTGCAAAATACCATGATTCGGCAGTTGCTGTGCCTTCTCCTGCGGTTGATGTTATTTCAAAAGCAGCCAAGTCCCACAATGTGTATGTTCAAGTTGGCATTATTGAAAAAGATGGAGGCACTCTGTATTGTACAGCTTTGTTAGTTGGCCGAGATGGATCAGTGCTGCTCAAGCACCGCAAAGTGAGTCAACCCACCCCTCTCAAAATTCCTCGCGGTAACTAAATGTGGATTAGTTGATTCCTACGGCTGCTGAACGCTTGGTATGGGGACGAGGATCAGGGGATGGCCTTGGTGTTGTCCAAACCGATATTGGAAGGATTGGTACGCTAATATGGTGGGATAACCTAGTTTGAGGTTGGCGTGAAGATACTGATTAATTGGCAGCTGGGAGAATTACATGCCTGCCGCGCGTATGGCACTCTATCAGCAAGGGGTCGAGTAAGGGATATCTATACGATGCTTATCAGAAGAACAGAAACCTGGCTAACTATAGCGCCGACAGAATTTATCTTGCGCCTAACGCGGACGATCTTCCATCATGGGTTGCATCGATGCAGCACATCGCCAAAGAGGGACGATGTTTTGTCGTATCGGTCAACTCAGTGTGTAAAGTTTCGGATTTCCCGACGGATTATCCGCCGTTCACCCCTGAACATCATGATAGGAAACCTGATGGCACTAAATGGGAGTCTGACAATATCGTCAACCATGGAGGATCTTTTATCGTGGGACCGTTAGGAGTTCCAGTGACCGAGCCGGTTTGGGATAAAGAAGAGATTATCTATGCGGATTTGAAGTTGTCAGACGTGACGGAGTCAAGAGTAAGCCTCTTATCATCGAACAGGCTTCCCCGTCGATAAGACTAACCAGATAATTCTAGCTCGACTTCGATCCGGTTGGTAGCTATGCTCGTCCGGATGTGTTGTAAGTCACCCCTGAAGCGGGTTTTCCGCACGATGAAGTTGGAATATGATAACTAACGCATTAACAGCACCTTGACGGTAAATACCAAACCAGGGACAAACGTCCACTTTACCGAATAGATCTAGGAGGTGTTAGTTAGATTAGCAGTTAGAGTCCAAAATAATAGAATTGCTGTTAGAACTCATGCTTCTCCATCTACTTGGGACAAACACGTGTTTGGACGGCTTGCACCTCCGAGCCTAGGCTGTCCCATAACGTAGTCCGAAGGGGATATCCATGAATAAAGCAAACCCGGTTCGTACCCGCATGGCGTATGACCCGCACCCATTGTTGCTCTCCAGAGTGATTGCTCGTTTTTGGACATACGCCATTCTCGTCTGAAGGTATCCCAAACACGTGGGAATGATCCAATGGCCGAAATGGCCGTAATGACCGTAAGAGCCTCTTTTCCTTCATCTCGGTTTCTTCGCATAAGCCACCACAAGCGAACCGAATAGCCGGGACGCCGCAGGTCAGTCACGGGGAGTAAGCAATCAGCGAGGATCGCCATTTTTTTTTTCTTTAGCAGCCGCCGTTGTCACAATTGACGAAATAATAGTGCGGGGAACGCCGTCGCTTCACATCATGTATGCTGTATGTGACCCAAGTAGATACATATATTATACATGTACATATATGGGGTATATGTAGGGGATTGACCTATATTCCCACGGATAGAAGGCATATTGAGGATGCAGGAGGGACGTGGAAAGATGTGTAAGGGGGAGCTTTGCTAGTGGGTCCTTCGTCATACGACGACTTAGGAGGCATCGGGCTTTGCTGGTGTTACATTGCAGAGAGATAATGGGTAGATGGTCCTTCCCGGATATGTACGGGGGCAAGTAGTACCTTCTCTGAGAGTAAGTACATTGAGTACATCGATGCTGACGGGGAAGGTGTATAGGTAGGAAAAAAGGTAAAATCAGGTAAATCAGGTCAAATCAGGTCGGGAAGGAGTGAGGGGGATGTGAATTATACCACACGTCACGTACCTGATGCATACATTAGACATTATCCATTCCGCTATTCGGTCGCCTTATGTCTATGCTCCTTCCACCTCCGAGGAATTAGAGTTATCTGAGATACATTTAAGCCCGAGCCTTGCTATATAGCTTGGAGTTTTCAGATATAACCTTTACGACTTAACTCAACTCTCGACTCCCTAAATCTTGTCAGCAGAGTACATTCGCCAATAACATTAAGAACGCATAAAACATACACAACTCACCTTCAACATGTCTCCACCGGGATCAATTAGCAATCTAGACTGGTATGCCTACACTGTTAAAACTCTGACGGGAAGATAAAAAAAGGAGAAACATATTTCTAACAAGATAATACAATAGGGAACCCAGCTTCGACACAATTGCCGTGCATGGAGGACAAGAGCCTGACCCCATCAATGGTTCCAGAGCCGTGCCCCTTTACCAAACTGCTGCGTACAACTTTTCTGATGCAGCGGATGGGGCGAGTAAATTCGCCTGGTCGAGAGATGGATACGTCTACACACGTATGGGAAACCCCACAAACACTGTCTTCGAGACTCGAATGGCTATGCTAGAAGGTGGTGTAGGCGCTGTAGCCACGGCGTCCGGTCATGCAGCTCAGGTAAATTGTGGCTTAGGAAACTACCCGTTGTTACCCGTGTGCTAACCAGCAATATCAGTTCATGGCCTTGACTCAATGTTGTGAACCTGGACACAATTTTATCAGCACTAGCTGGCGTAAGTCACCCATGCATGGATGATAACACTCTGAAATAAGCCATGCTAAGTCGTTAATTATCGTAGTATACGGCGGAAGCTTCAACCAATTCCGAGTATATTTGAGCAAATTCAAGATCAACGTTAAGTGGGTGGTTGGAAACGACCCCGCGAAATTCGATGAAGCAGTAGACGAGAATACCCGGGCCATTTACATTGAGACCATCAGCAACCCTAAGCACAGTGTCCCCGATATTGCGGCGATTGCCGCCGTGGCGCATAAACATGGCATTCCTCTGGTCGTCGACAACACTTTCGGCATGGGCGGCTACCTATGTCAACCCATCAAACTTGGTGGTAAGTAAACTGGATTTCGCCACGTCGTAGTCCGCACACTGACTTCAATATTTAGCCGATATTGTTACCCATTCTGCCACAAAATGGATCGGTGGCCACGGTACCAGCATGGGTGGCATCGTGATTGATGGCGGCCATTTCGACTGGAGCGCATCAGGGAAGTTCCCTGGTTTCACCGAACCCGCTGAGGGTTATCACGGAATGAGATTCTGGGAAACGTACGGGAATAAGGCTCTGGCGGCCAAGGTGCGAATGGACAGCATGCGTGATCTCGGACCATGCATGAGTCCCTTCAATGCATGGCTATTCCTTCAAGGCCTTGAGACAATTTCGCTGCGTGGTCAGCGAACCGTCGAAAACACGCAGAAACTTGCAGAGTGGCTTGAGTCCCACCCATGCGTTAGCTGGGTTTTGTATCCCGGCTTAAAATCGCATCCCGATTATGAGTTGGCAAAGAAGGTCATGCCTAAGGGAGCCGGTGGCGTCTTGACTTTTGGAGTGGTATGTGCTCACCCCTTTTTTTCATTTGTGTAACTTGAGATATCACATCATCACGGCAAGCCACATAAAACTATTTAGTGCAGCCTGCTGATAATGTCTTGATTACAGGCCGGCAAAGTCGAACAAGTCCGAGCCGTGGTCGATAATCTCAAAATGGCTAGCCACTTAGCCAACGTCGGAGACTGCAAGACGCTCATCATTCACCCTTGGGTGACAACACATCAACAGATGCCCGATGATGAGAAGATCAAAGGTGGCGTTACGCGTATGTATAGGCCAACTTCCAATAATCCCGCATATTTTAAAAGGAGCATTGCTAACATAATAAATGTAATCAAACAGCCGACCTTTTGCGTGTCAGTCTGGGTATCGAAGATTTCGAAGACATCAAGCGCGATTTCGAGCAAGCCTTCAAGGCTGCGGGATTAGAAGAGGCGGACAAGACTGGCATAGATCCCTTCCAGACAGCCATGAATCTCGTAAGTGGCGGTTTCATGGGCAAGTTAGCGACAGGAGCGCCAAGACCCGGCACGGACGGTACCATACAATCCTAGGTGGCGCAAAGCATTTAATATCAGAGAGTAAGAGGGATAACCATGGGCTATATAAACGTTGAGAGCTTAAGGTAATCGGCATCTGCATTTATACGTTAGGGGACGACATATATCCAACATTAATTATCGCATGAGAAGCCATTCTACTTAATTTTGCTAGGACCTAAATTTATGTTTATTTTCCTAAAATAATTGCTATATTGAACATGCACTTAAACGCGATCCGCCCCATTAATGAAATGCCTAGGTACATATACCTCCTATGTTACAGTGAACCGAGGTTGTTTACTACTTTACCTAAGTGATCTTCGTACCTTATCATCTTCTAGCTCTTTCAAAAGGATCTGGGTATTTTCCAATTGTTAGTTTCATGGAATACTTAGTTGAAACTGTGATATAAATCCTTAAGCTATTATAACTTCCAAATAAGTAATCTTTCAAAATGGGCGGTCGAATTGATTTGTACATTGACATCGGTAAGGAACCTATACCAGCTTTCAACCACTCGTGAACACAACTTATTGACCGATGCCCTAGCGTCACTGTACAGCTACATCGTACTCATCCAAGTCCTAAAGACACAGGACCTTCTAAAACAGCACTCTGTAGAAGTCGAGTTAGCTAAACCCATCTAATAACGTATAAAGGAGTAAGCTCCTGATTCACTAACGGCCAAATCCTAGTATCCACCCAGTCCTCCTAGGCGCCATCAACGCGGGCTCCGGTATGTATTCATCCACTTTATCATCACGTACATACATGTCTCGGATCGCACCACTCCCTAACCACCCCATTAACAACACTCACCCCACTAACATCCTCCAGGCAACAAACCCCCCTGGACTTTGAAAGCTAAAGCCCAATTCGGATCCTTCGACTCGCAACGCTCCCTCCGAGCCGTCGGCCTATCCAACGTCTCACCACCAGGCGACCTCTTCGAAGCCGGGCGTACACAACTCGCCTTACGCGCCCTCCACCACGTAAAGCAGAATTTCCCAACTTCTACTTACTTGGCTACATGGCGCGCCTTCCTACACGCATTCTGGACATTACATCGTCCGCCTATTAACCCCGAAGCCTTGCGCGCAGCGCTAGAAGGCGCTATTCCGGTAGATGCATACTCCGCCGATGGCACGCCTGAAACGGGAGCGAAGAAATTGTTTAGCGCTGCGGAGGTAGAGCAGATCTTGAAAGCGGCTAGTTCGAATGAGTATAAAGATGTACTCCGCGCCTCAACCGATGAAGCGCTGAAGCGTGGCGCCTTTGGTTCGCCGTGGTTGTGGGTTACGAACGAGGCGACGGGGAAGAGTGAGCCGTTTTTTGGGAGTGACCGGTGGAGTCATGTATATGAGTTCCTTGGTTTGCCGTATCAAGATGTTGCGCTGTTACCTCCTGGTGCGGAGAAAGCTAAGCTGTGAGTTTGAGTTGAGGATGAGAGGACACAACATCCATGATTTAGTTTATATATGTAGACAATGGGGTACAATAACACACGGAATGAGTGAAAGAGTGAAAGTTTGGTTCTATGATGTAGAAGTATATTTGCTATTAAAGTATGTACGTTATATATCTGCTGTATCGTGGATTTCTATCCAATTGTGAAGTAATTAATTTGGTGGTATCTTTTCGTGAAGTAGTCGTGAAAGCCGTAGCATCGTGATATTTCTATAGGCAATGATCGTAAATTTTCAGTCGACAGCAATAATCCCACCCGTAATCGATCGCTTAATGAATTGTGGTATCATCGGAAATGACAGTTTACTCTTTTCGCAACCCCTTTGCCCCAACGCCAATTAAATCATTTCGAAAATTTCGTTGTCGGCTTCCTTTATCGCTACTATCCTATCTCTTCTCGCTTGGCGTGCTGACGCGAGCTGTCCCCCGGAAGTCCAAGTATTAGCCTTACTAATGGTCTTCTTGCGCATAATAGCCAAGATATCCTTTTCCATAGTGTCGATACCCTTCTCGATCTCCCTGTCCTCTTCGCGGTATTTCTTCTCGCGTTTCTCGTCAATCAAGTACCAAAAGAGGACGATGACGAGAGTGAGTGGTATCGTCACCGCAAAGTATACCCAAAGTAGGCCTGAAACGTGTGTTCCGCCACCAGAGCCGTCGTCACTCCCTAATTAAGTTAGTTAATTTTCAGACCATACATATGAGACAAGTGTAAAATGCCAATAACATACCAACACCGAAATCGAAGAACGTCATACTGAAAACCGAAGCCATAAACGTTCCTGGAAGGAACACAGCACCGAGGAGGGACAACGTTTTCATGGCAGTACCATCACGCTTGGTTGCATGTGCTACTCGCCTTTGCTGAGACGCAATTTCAAGGTTGAGCTTAGATTCCTTCTGGGCCATGATGTTGTACAGCTATTCATTCAAGTCAATAAATTGAAAATTGAACACCAATAAGATCTGGAATAACTCACTGCTTGACGTTGGATGTGTAACCTCTCCAACGTCGTATGGATATAATGCTCCATGCCTGTCAATTTGACGCGGTAGAAATCCAATCGAGCCATCATACTACCATGAAGGACCCTCAGGGCAGCGGGCTGGCCTTCTCTTGGCAGGAGTTGCTCGAACTTGTCCATCGCTCCCTTGATCTCCTTTACAATTTCTTGGTAAGCTTGCGGCCGCTTCCACAGAACCTGGGAGTGACATTCTACAAGATCTCGATTAATCCCGTCCACGTCGAACTCCTGATAAACTTCCTTCTCATCAATCTCGTTACGCATCGTGATGGCATTTTCAAGACGACGCAGCCAATCGCGTAAATCACGTTGCTTCTTGTCGCCTTTGGATGCAAGATCATGAGTGAGAATGATCATTGGGAGAAGTAAAGGATGACCGGCCTGACCACAACAGGCGGTCAAGTGCTTAAGCGAATCCGCGATATCAGAGCTCGTTGTCCCTTTGACGAATCCTGAGGTGATACCGGTCTTGTATGAGTACGACAGCACTGAAGCGAAATTAGTTACTGCTATTTATAGGACGATTGAGCGTTGAAGCGACTTAAGGTCCTGAAAAAACCGGAAGGATAGCGAAATGGCGGATGATCCAAAAAGAGGGTTGCATACTTATCTCCCATCCTCGAGTTTTGCCCTTCTTACGCACGTCGGATTTTCGGAAGATGATTTCTAAGGAGTGTCAGTATAGCGTTCGTCGGAAACCGTCTTTAATTTGATAGTGACTGAAAGACGGTCGAGATAAAATGTTCTTACGTAGATGGCGATTATCATCGTTCTCGCTATGGTCATGGGAGCACCAAAAGAACGGCCCAACGAGGCTACTACCCTCGATTGCCCTGAATGGTAGGTGCCATGTCTATATCTTAGCGTTAGTAACTTGCTTGTATAATGAAAAATATGAGAAATATCCCTAGTCCCTTTTCATGTGGAAGAAAACTGGGCTATTGAGAATGAAGGAATGAATACGTACGTTCACCATATTCCTATACTGCTTCTTATCAAGCGATATATGATCGGGCGCAAACGTATTTTCGTGGTTGGCATCTTTTTGGACACTATCGCGTATCAGTCTCAACCCCATGTTCACCGCTTACGCCCGAAATAAGGAGGCTCACTCACATCAGACGAATCCCATCCTGTAGTTTCACTCCATCCTTCAATGGCCTTGCACTAAATGTGCCCTAAATATTGAAGTTATATTAGTCAAGTACACATGAGGGATCTCGAGTCAAGCAATTTGAAAATACCCCGCAAAGTCTCAACGAAGATTCGACATTAGATGAAATACACCTACACTTTGATGGAGGAAATTATGAAAATCATCCTCAGTCACCAAACTGTGTTCGTCGCAAGTATTATAACTCGTATCCTATAATAAGGCAAGTGGGTTAGTGCTGGTCCGTGTCGAGCCTCTTAGGTCTAATAAGTAGGTACCGAATAATTAAAGATCTCCAGGTAGCTCGTCTTCTCCTGGACAACTTGACACAAGTCGACGTGCCAATCAAATAGATAGTCGTCCATATTGATACCACTCAATAAATCCCAATTAGCATACAATAATAATAAGATATCATGAAATCAATCAGGTGAGTGGCAACGCAAGATATGTATTCAAAAAATTGCAGATTTCAGAACATCTTCAACTAGATTTCGCATGTGACGTGACTTGATGTATATGACTTGCAGAACGAATCGAGGCGCAGCTCCCGAGGTTTTGCGGAGAAGTTTGAGGCGGTGCTTCTCTGGACCGAACCGTTTCTTGCAGTTTGACGTCGCAATTCAGTTGTAGTTAGATGCAAGATTGAGAAAATGGAAAATCCCAAGAGCCCCAACAAGTTGATGAAGATAATAAAATCAAATAAAATGGGACCCGAATAAGGTAATTAAGGCGAAATTCAAAGAGGCGGGTAGACTAGGTTAAGTTAGAAGCTTATCCCAAGTAAGCAGTTGGTTGTGGATACTAAAAAACGGGATTGGGCGGAGAATTATGGATCGCGGCTGTCTCCCGAACATCCGTTCCAACTCACTTTTATATGTAGGTACTTTTCCTTCGCCCATACATTCACTACCGACTATGTATTTATATGTAGCCTAAGCTCCCTCATTTAATTCATACATCTCCAATCCAGCACAACAATCAGGTATCTATTATAATTCCGAGAGTGATGCGTGGCTCTCTTTGAAAGGTTGGAATAGAAAATAATTCCCGATTCTCATCTACTGGCGGTGGTTGTCCTAGATTCATCAACATTAGGCACGTATAAAACACAAAAAGGACAAGGAATTATTCCCGATATAAGGCGACTTTTTGGTCGGTAAAATACAACCGACATGGTGGGGTCCTCTGGGGTTGCTCACATAAAATCATCATAAGAGTCTCATTTTCCCTCATTTTTTGGTCTCCCCATCAACGTGGTCGGGCCATGTTTTTCACGTTCGTTGGATAGTTGTTCTACCAAATGGCGGATCATCTGTGGTAACAAGATATGTGTCTCACAATGCATTTATCTATGCTTTCGTGTGATAAACGCAGACATGAACTACATGCAGCATTCGATGCAACGCAAGTGACGCAGTGCTCGCGAGCTAGAACACGTAACTCGTTGATCATCTGACCTATATTGCATATTGTAGAATTTACCAAGGCTAGGTAGGTATCTACCGTATTGTGGTCGCTTTTATTTTTCCCTCAGATATCGTAAAGACGACTTCTTAATGGTTCGTCTTGACAACATGCCATGTTTCTTTTAATTGTCCTTTTCAATTATGTACCGGAGCATTCAACATAATCCTGTTCCTAGTGGCCCGTATTATCGCTTTTCCCTCGGGAAAAAAAAATTGATAAGAGCCAATGCTTCTTATAAGTTTCGTACTCGCTCGAGTCCAACCCAGTTGGTACGGCCTGGATCTAAGTATGCTGCAGTGTGCACCCCGCCCAAAACTACCCGCAAAACGATTCATCGACTTATCAAAAGTCGGGGAATAAGTAGCCATACCTATAACAGTTAGCACAACAAGATCAGCGGTTCGTCCGAATACAAATTATGGCTTGACTTACTCGTCGTTTCCTGACTGGCCGTATTTCTCCGTTTCTTCAGGATACCTGTCGAATTGGCTTGCATCACCGGCACCGGCCTTGACTGGAGGCGTATAAGGAGCGTCGATATCCTTTCTTGATAATCTGTCCCAGGTGACTTCTGAGAACCATGGGTGGTTTTTCACGTCCTGCGACCCGCCATACAAATTGCCCAGTCGCTTTGTCAGGTCTGGCGTTATGAGAAGCTCGAGCAAATTCTGAGCGTCGGGATGGACGTATGCCGGATACTTGACCTTCCCTCTCAGAATGTTTTCATAGATCTTCATTGGCGATCCACTGTCCCAAAACGGTGTATAGCCGCAAAGCATCTCGTAGATCAAAATGCCTAGGGACCACCTATACAAATCAGATGTGAGCAACAAAACTACCGTCATCATATTATAAATAAAGCAAAACTTACCAGTCAACCGATTTATTGTAGCCCTTGTTAGAAACTACCTCCGGTGCCAGGTAGTCTGGAGTCCCACATAAAGTCCATGTCTTATCCGGTACCCTTTTTGCGAACCCAAAATCTGTTATCTTAAGGTGTCCGTGTCGGTCCAGAAGGAGGTTTTCCGGTTTCAGATCCCTATAAATGATGTTTCTCGAGTGTAGGTATTCAAGTGCGAGAGTGACCTCGGCGGCGTAAAATTTGGCCACCGGATTCGGGAATCGCTAGTATAAATTAGCATCACGTAAACTCAACCCTCGAATAGCAGCTCACGCACCCCTGATTTCCTCAGTAAAGAGAACAGCTCGCCGCCCTCGACAAAATCCATAACCATGTACAAGTTTCTAGGGTCCTGAAATGTCCCCCACAACGTGATGAGAAAAGGATGTTTAACTTCTCCCAGCATTCGACGTTCGTCATTGGTGTGTTCGACTTGCTTCATCTTCACAACCTGAGCCTTCTTTAAAACTTTGATAGCGTAGAATCGTTGGTTGTGTTTCGATTGTACCAAATGCACCCGCCCAAAACTTCCAGTACCAAGCGTTCGGAGGAGATCGAAGTCGCCGAGTGAGTATTTCCCTTTTGTTACCCTAACCTCTGAAGGTTGCGCTTGGTGTTGTGACTGTTGTTGCGGCGGAGGCGCACCGTGACCTATTTTTTAATGTTAGACGAGTGAAATATGCTAGTTATAATCACATGTGCCGTACCGTCATTTTGTGGTAGGTTAATTAGGTTGTTGATGCTCGGTAGGTTGTGTGATGTTCCTACTTGCGCGGGGCTCGGTGTAGGTTGTAGCCCGTAGGGAGCGGCCTGATGGGCTGCCGGTGGATTCATTTGCGGCCCTCCACCAGCAGAAGCTGGCGCTTCGTGATTATTTTGTGCCGTAGATTGCGACTGCGAAGCGGTACTCGTAGCGCTTGTGCTATGCGTCGGTACTGTAGTGAGAGAGCTCGACTCGAACGTCCTCGAGGATGTCGGGGTGATTGGTGTAACAGGACTCGTAGGCTGGCTAGAGGAATCAAGTTTTTCCTCCTTAGTCCGCTTCTTCTTAAGAAACCCTAAGGTCGGCATGTGATATGATGTCAAGAAAAGCGAGGGATTAGTCCCCTCGTGAAGGTGAATAGAGGTAGTAAAAAGGTATCGTGCTGTCGCAAAAAGTTGATCCGAAATTATGGACCAGCCTTGCGAATATTGAATGGTGTGAATATCGTGGTGGACTGCGACTTCAGAAATTCTCGGCGAGCAGAAGGAGGTAATAGTTAGATAATACTCAGGTTTGTGCGGACCTAGGTAGGCAGGGGAAGAGCTGGCAGGAGGAATTGTTTGGAACTGGACGTATTGTAACGCTCCTTCGCCAGGATGTCAGAACGTGGGTGATGGGCACGGGGAGGGACCCGAGTAAGTAAAGCTAACTGGGTGGAAGGTAATGTCGAATTGGGCTGTGTAATCGCCGATTTTGAGCTCAATTATTTTTTGATGGAATAATAACCTAATCCTCAAGATACCTATGTACCCAGCCTTACTCTTTTTCCAGCTGCTCAATGATTAAGGGTCGTCCTATTCTAACACAAAGAATAGTAGCAGCAGCAATAAGACAGCGGGTAGACCAATTGAACCAATGAAGTTACGTCAACTTTTGCGCCAGGCAGGTTTTCTTTCTTTCTCCGACGAATTGAACAAGAAAGAAGAAAACCGTGGGAATTTTGAACATCTGTTGCCCGTAATCACCAGATGAGGAAATAGTAAAAAAGAGGCAATTTTTGGTTGAATTGGGTTGAAGAAATTGCGATCGATGCAAGCTTAACGACGAGGTAAAAGGTTTAGACGGAAGCAGGTCTTGAGTCGTCGGTGCGAAGGTCGACTCGAAAAAGGCGACAAGTGGGCTGGGATGACGGCGAAGACGAGCGGGGAGGAAACTTGAAAGTCAAAAACGTAGGACCTTAAGGTAAAAGGTACCTAACCCAGGTAGGTAATGACCTTACTGGCGCTAAGTATATGCAGCAGGCAATGTACATTTGTAGATGTACTGAGTATACAGCACCTGCTTCCTGCTTCGTGCAGAAACAAGAAACAGGGGACAGGGAACGATAACTGAGTTTCGAGTAATGTTGGTGTATGTATCTTTTTTTAGGGGTCTAGTGATGTATGTAATAGATCGATCGTGTACTTACTTACATTTTTCTCTCTATCTCTCTTTCTACCTTAGGCAAATAGCTAGCCTACATAAGGTATTAACGCAAGTAAGGGAGGAATCAAAAGAATTAGGTAGGTTAGGTTAAGTTAGGTTAGGAAGGCAGGCGGATTTTACCAGATAAATGGCAAATAAAATGCTATACGTGGGCGAAAAGTAGCACGAGCCCACATAACGCATTCCCCCCTATGTGTGCTATAGGCTACCACTTAGAGTCGGCATGCAAATACCTAGGTAGGTATTCCGTGCTTAGGGTGGCTTAGTGCTTCGTCACAGGAGCCCTAAAAGCCGTCGACCGCTTCAATCTAAATGCTGCGTGCTGCAAGTTGCTAGCAGTACGGACACAGCAAAAGACGAAGAAAGAAGGAATATGGTCGACCATCGAGAGGATCGAAAAGGTGGGGGCCTTTTCCCTTTTTCTCTCGATGTCTCGCTTTAGGACCCAACCACCAATACCAAGCGGGGTTAATACTAATTGCTGAAGGCTGTGACGAGTTAAAAAGATTGGTTAGAATGTCTGAAGATCAAGAAAAAGCCGCATTCTTCCTGTTACCTTGCTATTATCACTCTATCTTCCGATGTATGTAGTAGTTTCTTCGGCTCCAGTAAAACGACCAAGCCGGATTTTTTTGGCTTCAATCCGAAGGAAATCTCATGTGGACATTACGTAGATCCTATATAATAGTGGGTTGCGAAGCTGGCGAATAGGTATGGGAGGGTTCCATCGTCATTCAAGATCGGAACCAGATAAGATCCCAAGGTGTATTGCTGGATGGTTAGTTGTAAACGAGACCGTAATATAACTCTCTTAACTTTTTTTAGAACCCTACCATGACATGGATGTACAAATATTTCAAGATTTAGATTACCTGATAGGTATAGTGAAGATACTCGATGATCTGTATGGTGTGAGGTGAAGGTAATGGTGGGTGGTATGAATGGACGGATGAATGATACGGGGAGGTACTCTCTCCGTTTCTTTTCCCACTTTCGACGCACTACACCACTGTACCCATGCAACACTAACCGTAATCGCTTAGTCTTGAGCTACCCTGGGTACGTATCAACGTGGGGTAAAGACCTCATTGAGGGCAGTTCTCCAGGGCTATTAGTAGAAAACATTTAGCGAACTGCAGTTATAATTTACTTAGTGTCGACGTCATTTGTCTTGAAATAGCATAGGGGACTAATGCTGAGGTGAGAGTGTCTACCTAGGTATTTATAACTAACTCTGCGCCCAACACCAAATAATCATCAATCTTTAACAGTTTACGTTTGAGCTTTATGTCGCGCGTACTATGTGTGCGGCTAGCTTCCTACGCAATAATCTTAAGCTGTTTGACTCGTGCATTGGACTAATTTGAGCTTCTTGACACAGTACGTTGTGTCTATAACTACTGACTACAACATTGACGCTTCGGATAAGATCCCCCGATGCCACCTTTACGAGCCCATACAATGACACGACACATTTTGCAACCCTACGAATACTATTATTCGATTCACTCCATACATCAATTACCTGCCGAAGGTATTGCCGGAGATGGTTGGTAGCGATTGTCTTCCTATGGGTTGATGAGCCAGACTTCGAAGTTCCACCAAAAGATCTAGGCTTGCTATAATAGAAGCCTCTAATTAACAAGTCGAACGCTATCTCATATACGCTACAACTTGGTACAGGTAAAAACTACCTAAGTACCTAGGTAGTTTGTTTTCTGCTGGGCTAATTATAGGTGGTTGAGTGATTCGAACACGTTGAGATTTGTAGCTTCTTCTGCATTTAGTTCTGCTATTTAGTTTTACACTGCCTATTGACGCCTGTCAACCTCGTAAGCCATTAGGAACCCATGGAATCTCACAAAAAAAGACCACGGCCCTGAAAGATTCATATACTGTTGATATGTACTTCTGCCATTTTCGGCATATATCGCCCTACTCCTAATTCACGTACTTTTGCGAATCCCTTAAAATCGATGACTTCTCTTCTGATTTGCCCGATATGCCGTGTATCCTACGTATGCTCCGCCAACCACCAGTCCGAAGAAGATGATCTTGAAGAAGAACCAAGTCCAGCTACCACCTGTCTGCTGTTGAGGCGACTTAATACCTCCCCTACCGGGGGTGGGTTTGCTGGACGAGCCTCCCGTCACGTAAAGATTCTTGGCGTCGATAGAAATAATATCGTGGTTGTCACTCAGCTCGCCTGTTTCGGCGCTAAATCCAAGGTACGTTACCGAGGGGATCGCTGGTGGCTCGCTCGTCTCGAAGCACAACTGCCATTCATCTTCGCTCTTATACTGGAGTTCCAACTTCAGAGATTTATCCTGAAAATAGGTGAGCTTTAGTTTCGTGGGGATGTTCGCGTTTCGGATGCCTCGAGCGGAGCAGCCAGCAAATTCGGTATCTTTTCCGTCGTTATCCTTGTTGTATGATGTCTTGCCGTCACCAACCATCGCCATAACGTACGGGAAAACGGTACCGGGTCGGTTGTTCTTGTAAGTGTCGATGAAAATGCCAAGGCCCTCGAAGTTGTCTGCATGTCCGAAAACCGGACCGGTTTGACCTCGCTCTTTCGTGAGCCACATCGCGAAACCATCACCGTATAGCTGATTTTTTCCATGGACTTTAAACTCGACGGTGATTTCCCAATTCGTAGCAGTCATAGGTACTCGAGAAAATAACCATCCATTTTGCGATGGGCGATCCGAACTCAGACGTATATACCTAAAATAATGATAAATATCACCGGATTTAAATGCGGATGGAAATCGACGTACGAATCCGTTCGAACTATTGTGTCGCCTCCAAAATCGTACCACCGACTTTGCATGTCGGAGTCTAGGTAGGGCTGCTTTAGCGTGTGGGTTCGAAGCTGGGAGACAATATAATTGTTTAGAAGTGGTTCCAGCAAGGTCTAGTTCGCGCGCGCAAGACTCACGGAAATAGTCCTAACATTTCCATCTTCGTCCCTATTCACGGCACCCCAAGCTGTGGCCGCCAGCCATAGGGCTGACAGCGCTGTGAACCACATGACCGGATACAATTATCGGAGAACGAGAATAGGAGAGGGACGAGTCGATGGAAGGGAAAAAAGGATACGGCGATAAAATGCAAGTAGAAGCGAAGAAGAAACAAAATAATAAGAGAAGCTGGTGTCGACCTGGTATGGCGCAAAAGGCCCTATGAAAAAATGAAAATTGATCGTGTGAGAAGCGGACGATGTATAATTATACGATGATAGTTGGCCTCTCCTCAGCCGTGCGGAAAAAAATCTGGGGACGATTTTCGTCAAGTGGCCAGCTATGCTGCTATGTTATTCCACTGAGCTACCCCTGTTTAGCCTCTATCGTATTAGGTACATATGTACATAAATGTACATAACTGGGTACGTATCCATTTATGCACATACTCACAAATGTACCCAGGTACCTAGGTATTTTTCTGGTGAGAACATTGAAATGCCTGAATGCCCAGCCACATGAACTAACGCACCGCCGCATTCATGGATCCGGTTTCTTATTTAATCTCAGTGAAGTGGGGGCCGTAATAAGAATTACAAGGATTTTATTGCAGAGGACCACATTTTATATGTACGGAAACCAAGCCGACGTCAGCGGGCGAGTTTAGTAAACTCTAAGGGTGGTCCATATCTATTCTAAGCCTCTAACGAAAAGCGTCGCGCATCCTTATCCATCTACATAGTTTTTTCTCGACAATTCCATTCATTATTATACGTCGAGATTGCCTCATGGGGTATTCTTAATTCTTCAGGATGCTACACATATTGAGCAGTCCGTCGCCAGTACCCTCTGAAATCTTTGCGCTCGTCGCGCTTCTCGTCCTCTCCCTTATCGTTCTCCTGATTCTGCGCCATTACCTCCCATTGCGAACAACACCGGCCTATTTACTAGTGCCTGTATTCTTTGCACTATGGCTACCCGCAACTATCGTCCTACTCGTACCTATCGATCTTGCGTCGAATGCCAGTACCGAAGATGAGACGAGAGGCATTTGGCTACCACCTAGAGCGCTGCTCGTGTCGTGGAGGATTTCATACTGGCTCACCTTCGTCTTGACTTGGTAATACTAACCGCATGACAATTATTACTTTTCGACTCTACCTACTAATACGAATTACTCCAGGTTTATACTACCAATACTTGCCGAGTATTCCGACGCCGGTTATCGCGAGCCCAAAGACCGAATTCTATACTCCTTGCGCGAGAATGCCCAGTACTATGCAATCGTGGTAGGAGCGGGCGTGCTTGGACTAATTTACTTCTTTCTATCCTACGGCCCTTCATTCACATCGTTGAAGGGATTGGTATTAGCTCTTGGCTACTGTTGGTGTTTGGTTTTAGCCATCTATCTCATGGGTCACGGTCTCGTCACTATCCCCCGAAACCTAATAAAGAACGCAAGCGCCAGTAGCCGATTACGACGACTCCAGACCCAGGCGCCTAAGCTTTATGAGAAGATGGAAGATGCTATCCTTAATTTAGAAGATCTAGAAGTTCAAGTGTCAGAACTGAGCAAGCGCAAGACCGGAAGTGCCAGGGACTTTCAAGATTGGATCGAGGAGTTGTCGGATATATGCAATATCCCTGAGTCGCGACCTAGGAACGTCCTGCCTCGGATAGAGAGTGATAATCGCATAATTCCTACGGTCATTACCGAGAAGTACTTGGCGGACCTTACGCGCCAACTCACTCGGGCAAGACATACCAAATCCCGCTACATTGATGAGTGGGATCGCTTACTTCATGATGCCTCGAAGACACAAGCGATATTGAATTCCGCGACTTCGAAGAAACTCGACTTTGGCGCAAATTCCCCAGGTTCCTCGTTTTGGGAGAGGACTACCGTTCTCACTCCCTATACTCGGTACCTACTTTATCGTTGCGTCATCCCCTACTTCCGTGTTTTCCTTGGTGGCTTCCTTGCACTAGCATCGGTATGCATCATATGGTCTGAGTTAGTGAAAGCAGCTTTTCCATCTGTATCAGTTATCCGATTCACCGTGGTCCATCACTGGACCGGAGAGAGCGGTCGCGTTGGTTTTGCAGGCCAAGTCATCGCTGCGTTCTGGATATTATACATGTGCGCAGCAGCTCTCCATTCAGTAACCGAAGTCAAAGTATGGCGTGGCCGCGCTCTAGTCCGTCGCAACACGGCTCATGAATCAGCATTCTGGTATGCGGGCCAAGTTGCCAGGTTGAGTGTTCCGTTATCTTACAATTTTGTCACATTCTTATCACGATCGATATACGAAGAAACAACTTTTTACGATATCCTTGGGAAATATGTCGACCTTACTCCGCTTGGGAAATGGTTTGACTACTTGTTCCCTATTTTTGTGCTTGTCCCAGTATGCGCAGCACTATTTGGATTATATGGCAAAGTAAAGCGATTCTTCGGGTTTGGTGTTGATATTGTGGATGAAGAAGATAATGAGCCTAGTTATGGGAGCGGTTCTTGGCGTGAAGGGAGAGACTTGATAGAACGAGAATTAAATGGAACGTCCATATCTCGAAGGTTGGATGAAGCTGCGTCCAGGACTGCAAATGGCCAGGGCCGTTCTGCCCCCATTCTGACGGTACCCGCTGCTAGAAGCGAAGGTACTAGGACACCCTTCGCCACATCACCTTCGTACCATGACCAACCCACCAGGAGAACAGCACAAAGTTCCCGCACTGGCGTCTCTGACTCAGAACCTGAAGATGACAACTTCTTCACGAACTTGGGCCATCGCTTCAAGAATACGATTGATACTATAGACGCTCCAAAGTGGTTCCAGGAGATCGGAGAAGGCTTCAAGAAGCCAAAGTGGATGGGTGGTAATGATGAAGAAGCAGGAGAAAGCAGTACTAGACCAGGTCGAAGTGATTCAGATATACGGCGTTGGTTTGGAGGAGACGGTAGAATAAGACTATAGGAAACTATTTTTCCATCGATAATTAATTAATAAAAACCAATTTTCAATTCAGGCACCAAACCCTATTATGAGTACGACCACACATCTATAGGCAGATTTTAGATATCAAGGAAAGGGAAGAGGCCCAAGACCTTTCACATAATACTACCTGCGAACACCGACTAAGGATTCATTAGACATTAACCTTAATACCGAGAGAGGGTGTATGTCGAGAAAATGGGATGATTACTCCTCTCGTTACAAGGACAGGCGTAAAATGTTTAAGGAATAGAGCGACAAATCCGGTCAACACGAAGCTAATATCACGGTCGGCGTCTCCAATTTTACGCCCCATACGTAGGTAACCATGCTTCGACTCTCACTCTTCAGCTCTCTTAAGAACCAGCATCCCAGTATCGGATTTGAGCGAACGAACGGAACTTGTTAGTCACGTTTCACTTCGCGGGGGCGGGCTATTGTTACAAGGGATTTCCTAGATTGCAATGCTTTTACTAGACCTCGGCTCGATTTCTCTACGAACTTGTGCCGGAGTATCTCGGGCACAATTAATTCCATTCGTTTGGACTAAATATTTCTTAGATTTATCGAAGGACAGATAGGTGTGGAAACCATATTAAGCTGTAGAGTTCTTAATTGATATTTAATTTAAAAGCTGTGCTTTAGCGATTGTATTGAGCTATCTGTCATGAAGAGCTTGTATCCACAGGTGTGGACGGCTGCCTTCGATGAAAGGTAGGCACACTAAGCAATAAGAAACTACCTAGACACACGCGATTAAGATGTCATAACATCTTCACTTATTTTACTTAGAAGTCGTTGCTGTTGTCACCAAATCCACCCGCGCCATGGCGCTTCTCACGGCCCTTCTCTTCTATGCGGTCGCTGTTGAAAGCCGAGCCAACCTCTGCGAACGAATTAGTATAAATTCCCAACGAAAACACATATAAGCATGACTTACTCTCCAACACCTTACCGGCAAGACTATCCCCCTTACGACCTGAGTTATCATTGTCGTTATCATATCCTCCCGAGCTTTTGTTGCCAGAGCCGTAAGACGAGGAGTTACCATACGAGTTATCGCTCGAGCCGTAAGTGTTAGAGCTCGTGTTGTTGCGGGACCCGTACGAGTCATTATCGTTCCGGGAGGAGCCGTATGAATTGGAGGTATCATTGTCGCGACGGTTAGAGGATCCGTAGCTATCATTGTCGCGGCGGTTGGAAGAACCATAGCTGTTGTCGTCGTCTCGCGACGAACCGATCTTGTTGCTGGAGCCGAAGGAATCGGTGTTTGATGACCCGTAGGTGCTGGTGTTGTTGTTGCTAGACCCGTACGAGGTATTGTTGTCCTTGCGGGAGCCGAAGCTGTCTTTCTTGTTGCTAGAACCGAAGGAGCTGTCGTTGTCCCGGCGGTTGTTGCTTGAGCCGTATGAGTTGTCGCTGGATCCATAGGTGTTAGAAGACCCGTAGCTGTTGTCGTTGTCACGGCGGCTGGATCCATATGAATCGTTGTCGCCGCGACGGGACGAGCCATATGAGTTGTCATTGTCGTTGTCTCGACGAGATGAACCGTAGGAGTCGGTGTTATCGTTGTCCCGGCGGCTGGACCCATAGGCGTTGCTAGAGCCGCCGTAGTTGTTGTCGCCGTAGCTGGACTGTACATCATAGCATTAGCATAGCCATCAGCAAGTTATTCCGAATAGACTCACGTCGTTGTTGTTGCCGGTGTAAGACATGTTGATGGTAGGAGTTTGAATGTCAGTTAATTTGATGTTCAAGTTACGATAGGATACCTAGATTTGGTACAAGTGAAGATTATGAGTTACTCTAGGGCGAGGGAACAGGTTATTATATAGAAGTATCAGTAGCTAAAGAGAAATAGACCCTGAAAGAACGAGCTTCTCCAGCTGGACGAGGGGAAGCTCTGGGAGGCAGCTCGCCTCGGAGCTACGAAGTGCGACGTCACTAGGTACATCCTCAATAGATCAAAGAGCTATGTCTAAGTTCGGTGAAAGCGAGGGCGCCACGGTGGATCTTGGGCTATCCGGGAGTCTTCGGGATCCTCGAGGCTATGTGTTTCTTCTCAAGCTGGGAGTTCCTGGCTAAGAGGCAACCCATTTAATCTCCTTGCATCCTTCTCAAGGAAAAACTGCAGGATATAGAGCTGAGATGGACCACTAAAATCGGCAGATGCACGAGTACAAGGTGTAGACTTGCTAACTAGACCGATTCGTCATATCGTATAGCATGGTGGGATATCACTAGCGATGCATTCTGTGCAGCTATTTGCAACAGGGTGTCTTGTCTCGTCCCATATTGTCTTCTAGATCGTGACGATTTTTTCCAATATTGCCTGTTTGGGCAAAGTAGCTCAGGGGATTACACACTTGGCGTGTTCTCCTATCAAGTTCTTAGCTGAAAATACCGGAATTAGCCCGTTTCTTCCGTTGCTGAAAATAGCAAATGCGAGCAATTCGTTGCGTCAATCCCGATTTATGTGTTCTGCAGAATTCACCATAGACCTCTTTCTTTTCACCGGGCCGCCCTCTTACAGTATATCAGCCCAAACGTCATAGATGATGTAGGGTCGTGATGTATCTCGGCTCCGGTAAGTCGGTGGGGGTATGCTGGATAGATTGACAAGCTAAGCTATACTATGCCAAGGAAATCCACGTCCTACGTCCCTGTTGGAATCGCGCAAGTTTCATGATGAAATCCAATAATATCGGGTCCCATCAAGCCTTGTATCGGAACGCTCGATCGGATCGCACATCCCACAATACTGAAATGGAGGTATTACCCCGCTTACGCCAAAGGCAAAAGACGGGCAGAAGGGTTACACATTCAGACGGTACACACGATGTATGTAAGAAGAGGGAGGCGGGACACATGGCACGGAATTAGACAGCCACTATGTCTTAAAGTCACCAGGGTCGGCCACTTAGAAGGCATATGAGGGTGCACATGTCACACTTAGTAGCTCCTCAGCAAAGCAGGCCCATCCCTTCTTTCGAAGTGTGTATTTTGTATCTATGTACTAGGTGATGCGTTATATAAATCTCAAGCACGTGTTTGCACTGGAACCAGATAATCCGAGACATTAACAATATGCAGTTTTCTCATCAACTGCTTTGGATAGAGCATATTAATACATCTTCATCCGTATAGTCTGGTATCAGGCATTTTTCTGGCCCAATACTGCTCTTTCGTGTAACGCAGAACGCTCCAAGTGACCGAATTCCTTGTAACTCCCGAGCTCTGGTCTATTCTACATGCAAATGCTATTAACAGAAGTTTGGATCAACGAAGGTGCCACAACCTTTGAAGTTTCGTTGAAATAGCCCTCTTTAGACATGCACCTGTATAATTAGGTCTAGGGGTATCAATGCATATACACTCCCCGTATCCCGAGACGTGTCTCGACCGCGAAAACGTCTAGCACTGGCTCCTAATTGTGATTAAGGCAGATAATCGCCTATTGTTTCGTAGAGCTGAGAAGATGGCCGCCTTACGGGCGATAGTGCCGGTCTTCCGTAGCTGCCGCCTGGGACTCACGATAATGTGGCGTCAGCTCCGCTAGCATGCACGACGCCATCGCCACTCGTAGCAGGCACGGCAACGGGCTTGTTTCGGACTTTCTGGGTTAACGCGACCACCTCTTTAAGCATAAGGTCACGAGTATTGCGCGTTAGCTCATCGACGTCCTCAGGTTTTAATCCGGCGGTAGGTATTGGGTCGAGGACTAAAATACGTCAGTAATAACTCCAACTAGAGCTAGGAGAAAGGGCTACCTTTCACAGGGATCTTTCCGGCTTTGAATACAAGACCCTTGGGGTAAAGTACGTGCGAATAGTTGGCTGCTACTACCGGAACGATTGGTACACCAGCCTGGACAGCAAGATGGAAAGCACCCTTCTTGAAAGGAAGTAGATCGGGTTCCTTCGCGTAACTGCGTGTGCCCTCGGGAAACATATAGACGCTTTGCTTTTTCTTCTGGATTTCCCTGGCGGCTCCAGCCATAGCTTCCCTTGCATCTTTCGAGTTCTTCCTATCGATGAAGATAGTGCCGCTTAGCGACATGAACCATCCCAAGAATGGCACATTCTTCAGCACCTTTTTCGCAGTCACACTGCAGTATTTAGGGAACATGCATCCAAGCATGAGGACATCCAACTCGGTTTGGTGGTTTCCGATAAATACGGCGGGTCGAACGGTTTCGAGATGTCGCTTCGGGTCGATAACTTCGAAGGTGATACCGGTCGTAAGGGCCATAACATACTTGAAGGCACGAGCTGTTGTCCATTGCGCAATTTGTTCGCGGCCGAGTATTCTTAGGACTATAGATGCTAGAGCTCCGTAGATGGCGCATATTATGAGAGAGATGTAAGCGGCGAGGGTACGAGCAGCAAACCCTGCTGCGGGAACGACGGCGGAGAGCATGTATAGCGAGATAACGAGGGTAGTATAACCCCCGATGAAGTAGGTTAATATCGAAATGAAGGACATTATGTGTAGGACATTTGGCGGACCGTCGCAAGATATTATTGAAAATGGACGTCGGAAATCGCAAAAAAAAAAAAAAAAAAAGGTCGGTTGGATTTTGGAGTATGGAGAAAAGGTGTCAGATGTCAATTATTTCGAATTATAATATACAGCTTGTGACACTGAACACTAGACAACTGGAAGAAGATCCTGGTCAGTTTGCGCTCGTCGAGTTGCAATCCTTTTCGCAGTCACAAGACCATCCTAGTGGCTTCATATTAGAGAAGAATAGAACGCAAAGAAAAGACTTTGGTAGAAATATTTCTAGGTAGCAGAGACAGAGTGGGTTGTTCTTTTTTCTCACCGACTACTGGACGAAGCCTGCGCGCTGCACAGGCGGCCTAGGCGGGTTGACTTGGGTTGATTTGTTGAGAGAGGGCTGAGAGGGGTGAACTCTGGTACCTAGGCAAGTACCTAGTCTCGTACCTTGGCGTCCGACTAGACGGGTTCCTAGGTACTAATATAGCTGCTAAACCACTGTAAGTTTAACCCGTCATTGGGGAAACATGGTGCAACCATGTACCAGCGCATGTGATCCTACCCCACAAACCTTATCGGCTGGTGGGCTACGTATCAAACCGGTACTAGAGAAGCCGGCTGACTGGAGAGTTGAGGCTTACTTGCATCCGTCAAAACTCTCACCTATTCATTTGATTTTTCTGACTCGCTACTCCAAATTTCAACTTTAAATACCACTCACGCCACTTTCACTTCAATAACAAACTGGAAGCTTATTATAGATCTAGGAAACCCCTACAGCTTTCTACTTGACAGCAGTCAAAGCACAATTAAGCCATCTGAAATAAAGTCTTGTCCTAGACCTTGACTTAACTTTTTCTTCTTCTAATATCAGGATGATATGTTCAGATACGCCAGAGACACGCTCTGTATCATCTGGTCAACAGCAAATTAGCCTCTGTATTTGAAGACTCACAACTAATTAAGTAGTTTAAGTAATATCTCATCACGGCGCCTTCAAGGTCAAAACCAACAATGGCTGAGAAGTTACCATCTACGGTAAGATCTTGTGAAGCGGGACGGGCGCCGCTCTGCAGGAAACGCTCACTACCTACCGAATTAGGGGGCAAGTGGCGGCCACTATTGAAATCTACAAGCCACTTATAGGTCACAGAAATTTCCATCTCTCCAGAACCCACGGCACGGATGTCCGACAGGGATCCCAATAGTGATGACTTCCATCTTCATGGACATCAAAATCCATCGTACTGAGATGCTAATCCAACAGAAACCAACATTCGTTCAATCGTTGAGAGAAATATGAATTTGAATCGGAGGACCTATTCGCCGTTAGAGAACTTCGAAGTCACAATGCAAGATACGACTCTTCCGGGTGGTGTGGCTTAACTTTTATGGTCTGCTAATATTCAAAGAGGCTATCCGTATCAAAGTCAAAACCCAGCCCCGAGAAACCAGACGTCGACATATAGCTTATCGAGATACTTGATATGTTTGACGGAGTAGCGAGTCCCGAATAAAGGGGTATTCAAAGTCGTGGATGAGTTAATGAAGCATTGCCTGGACGATGTTAAGAAATCTTACTCACAAATTAACTCCAAACCACAACGGAAATCGCATATAAACGCAGTTATATAGGTCGGTAAGTTATATATAAGCACTGACGATTAAATTTGCTAAACACGTGTTGGAATATAGCGAACGACAAGATATTCGCACGATGTTCTTGAATAGGTATACACGAGTTTGAAGCTGTAAGCTGATTTATGGTCGCCTGCTTTTGGTTCATCTTGAATTATATCTTTTTATTTCCGGCATCTTATGAGGGAGTCTCCGATCTTAGGAGGACGAGCGGGTCGGTTTTCTTAGCTGCGAAGTGTCTAATTATAGGCTAATATGTATAGGTTTTCAGGGGTTTCCAAACCTAACTTTTCTATTGTCAAAAAGTGCGAATTTAATGGTTCTTAGGTTAGAATAATGCTCATCTCTATAACTGTGTCAATACTTAAATATGCCTTGGTAGAAACATATATAGGCAGGTTACTGGACACTTCGATGCGTTACATAATTCCGCAAAGTAAAGTTGCGAATAAGAACATTTGCCTCAATAAAGATCTGAAAGATATGGGCGAACTTCGGCTTCTACGTCGATATCGGACAGCTTCTAGGCCATAAACTAATAATTGTCAACATACGATGCCGGACAGAACTAAGTAGATGATGTGCAGTACAACACGTGGGTCGTGAAACCAATTCCCATTTAGGTAAGAAAGTCTAATATGAACCAATGGGAAAAATCTTAGATGAAAAAAGTCTGCAGCATTAGGAAGTAACTTGGCGGGGCAAAATGCGGGACGCATACCGAGGCTCCGAGTTGGAGGGGAATAGCATACTGTAAAGATGTACTGTACTGTACAGTAGCACCTTCGATCTTACTATGGCGCTTACACACTACCCAGTACATGCTAATAGTAGCAAGTTTCATTGGTTCTTTAGGTACCTTAAGGTTGGTAAGACGGCTTTTCTTGCCCCAACCAGACTGAAAGTAGAAAGAGCTAGATTTTATCCTTTTTTAAATCAATCTATCTTACGTTAGATCTATACCGCTTATTCGGCCCTGCATAATTTTGGTACTTCGGTTTCCAATCATAATTCGCCCATCTGTCATCAATTAAGCCCGCCTGTAGCCCGTACCCAGACAGCCCAGATTTATTGAAACGGGGAACGGGGGGGTACACTCTTCTGTCATAGTAACACTTGAAACCTTCGAGGACATTGATCAATTCTTCTCCAATCCAACCCTCTTTTTTTCTTCCTTTTATTGTTCCAACTTATCCCACCCCCCTCCTCATACCGAACCAATTGGTAACATAAATTGGATTCGTTGTGATCGTCATCATGGATACTATGCTCCGCCAGTCTAAGGCCATGTGCCCTTTTTTGAAGGCTGCCACTCCCGCCACCCTTCGTGCCCTTTCGACCTCGACTCGTCCCCAAGCCTCACCATGCGGTGGTACCATCTCCAAGCTTCAGCTGCTCGGGCAGCGTTGCCCCGTTATGAGCAAGGCGCTCGCCATTCAGTCGGCCAGAGTTAGCCGGGCTCCTATGGCTCATGCTGCGACCGTCTCCGGTATTCGTAACTATACCACTCAATCCAAGTCTGGAAGAGCCAAGATTCATACCAGCCGTTCGCACGAAGCCAGGGCTGTGGACACTCCCGTATTCACCCCGCGCGAGTCCGGTATGTATGCGCCACTCCGACTGTGATCAGTGCCAAAATCTAACATCTCATTTTTAGTTCAATTCCCGCCAGCCGCTCCCATCAATCGCAAGTCATCCGCTCCCGTTGAAAAACCACCTGGTCCGAACGACAAATTCGATTACAATACCTTTTACCAGGGCGAACTTGACAAGAAACACAAGGACAAATCGTACCGTTACTTCAATAATATCAATCGGTTGGCTAAGGAATTTCCCCAGGCTCACGGAGCCAATCGGGAGGAACGGGTAACAGTATGGTGCTCCAATGATTATTTGGGAATGGGACGAAACCCACGGGTCTTACAAGAAATGCACCAAACTCTTGAAGAATACGGCGCCGGTGCGGGGGGTACGAGAAATATCTCCGGCCACAACAAACATGCGGTCGAATTGGAAGAAACCGTTGCGAAGCTGCATGCGAAGGAAGCAGCCCTCGTTTTCAGCTCCTGCTATGTCGCCAATGATGCGACACTCGCAACACTTGGAAGCAAACTACCGGAATGTGTCATACTATCCGACAGCTTGAATCACGCATCAATGATCCAGGGCATTCGTCATTCTGGGACAAAGAAAATCGTCTTCAAGCATAATGATTTGGAAGATCTTGAGGCCAAACTAGCCTCTCTACCCCTCCATGTGCCGAAAATCATCGCATTTGAGTCCGTCTATAGCATGTGCGGATCGATCGGACCAATTGAAGGAATTTGCGATCTCGCCGAAAAATATGGAGCCATCACCTTTCTCGACGAAGTTCATGCTGTTGGCATGTATGGGCCGAACGGCGCCGGTGTTGCTGAGCATTTGGATTTCGAAGCTCACCAACAAGGCAAACCAGAAGGCACGATTATGGATCGCATAGATATCATAACTGGCACTCTAGGTAAAGCGTACGGGTGCGTAGGTGGATATATCGCAGGAAGCGCGAAACTTGTGGATATGATTAGATCTCTGGCACCTGGTTTTATCTTCACTACTTCACTCCCACCAGCAACTATGGCTGGTGCCAGGGCTGCTATTGAATATCAGATGGAATACAATGGCGACAGACGACTACAGCAACTTCACACACGTGCCGTCAAGGAGGCACTAGACGCTAGAGACATTCCAGTCATCCCTAACCCATCACACATCGTTCCGATCTTGGTCGGAAACGCCGAACTTGCAAAGCAAGCTTCGGATATGCTATTAAACGATTACCAGATTTATGTGCAGTCTATCAACTACCCAACTGTACCGGTCGGTCAGGAACGCCTCAGAATTACTCCGACCCCGGGTCACACGAAGGAGTTCCGCGACCAGCTTGTTGCCGCCATTGACGAAATCTGGAATAAGCTTGGTATTAAACGAACCTCCGAGTGGGCGGCTGAGGGTGGCTTCATCGGTGTGGGTGAAGCCAGAGCAGACGCTCAGGACCCTCTTTGGACAGACGGGCAGCTCGAAATTGATCAGCAAGTCGCCAAGGAAATCAAGGAATCCAAGCCGGCTAATGGCTTCATGGAAACTCTTCTTGAACGTGAGAACGCGGCTAAGACCGTGAGCAAGTTCGCTTAATTGCAACCCTAATCCTAATCCCAACAGGATTAAACATATATCCGCAAAGGGGGGCTCACCGGACCTTATCCACGTTCTTTCGAGCGTAGCGGAAGGATTTAACAAGCGTGCGATCTTGAAATTCTGATCTCTTTCGTATATCAAACCCATACTTAGAAGTGCAGACTGCGTCTCACTCAAGTATCGAGGTACATTATTTAACACAGCCTATGGGCGCATTTATATCACAATACAATCAGCGCCATTTCGATATTCGGATGGATAACCGCTCATTGAACATCAAACCAATTATTCCAAAAACATGCACTATGTGAATTGTTAATGCGTTTCGAAATTCCCTAACATTGTACAGCCTCGAGCCCACCAATATAGCGGATATTTTGCTTCATATCTGCGGCGGTTCCCAAATACCCCACGTATTATCAAAATCAAAAGCATCTATGTCGAACTATATATAAGAGAAGTAAGCATCGAATACATGTCGGGATATCGGTACTAACCTCGGAGTAATTGCAGTCCAACCACCCAGACACCGGGAAGTTGGTCGCGATAGGTGTAGTTGGTTGGAACGGCGTGAGCGCATCGCTAACATCAACGTGGCTTGCGGAATTCGAAGGTGGGAAATCCTCATGAATAGGAAGACACATCTTATGTCTCTCGATTTGCCGATAATGTAAGTCCAGATACCGTCTTGCACATGCTGCTTTAGCAGTTTGCCGAGTTTCCTTGCCAAGGTGTATTTTGAGCAGCATAATCACCGCGTACATTGTAATAAAACACCAGAGTTCGCTATGGCAACATCGTAGGTGTATATCCTCCATGAATGGAACACATTGCATGAGAAGATCGATTGTGGATTGGGAATCGGTCGACATGATGTTAATCGAAGCTTTGGGCTGAAGCATAGTGATTTGGACGAGATTTAATGAAGCTAATAGGAGATCTTCTCTAAGCACCGTTGAACTCTGGATTCCTAATTCTGCTAATTTGCTGTGCAGGAGGAGAATATCGCGCGATGCGTGATAACATGCTGTTTCTGAAAGCCAGTACCTGCCGTCGTTTTTATGGAGGTAGGGTTGGTGGAGTGCGAGGATGCAAGTTTTGAGCTGGAATAGTAGATATGCGTGAGTGAGCGCATTTTCAGTATCCCATGAAGGTATTGCTTCTATTTCTCGTGCGATCCTGTGGGTATATCGCAAGACTTCATCATAAGAGAGAGGCTTGGAGAATTTGGGACTAAATAAACGCTGCGATATTTCGAGGCGCAACGACCAACTTCGAGAACTATGAACCTGGTAAGATGTATAAGTATATTCACCCGGTGGTTTCGGCGCAGGTATTTCTTTTGATGTTTCGTCAAAGTCGTCGTCGTTGATATTCGTGGGTGGGGCAATATCAGACTCAATATTGTGAAGCAGGCTAGGAAGGCCGTACTCAAATGTGTTCTGAAGATCTAATTCTCGGAGTACAGCCCAGATTCGTCTTTTCATCTCCCTGATGTAAGGTATCGCAGTGGATAAAGTCGATTCGCAATGTAGTCCATATATAATGGAATCCTGAATCAACGAACTGGTTTCTTTCCACCACCGCTTCTTTCCGATCATAGCCGCTCGCTTGGCAAGATATACCAAACAGGAAATTTGATAGTGGATGAATTTGCGGTGTTTGGGACTTTGCTGCTTCAACCATTCCTCGCAGGTGGAGATCCATTGAGTACACACAGCCCGGTATCGTGTTGCTATAAATGTCGCATCGGCGGTGGTTGCACATGCAGATATTGAAATCATCGCCAAGATGAGAGCTGTCATAGCGGGATGCCGGGGCCGTTGAGGAATCCAGCAGTTGGCGTATTCCTCCTTGAACGTAGGAATATGAACAATTCGGTGGATTTGTTCTAGATTGTCAAGGTAAAACGAAACTAGAATATCGGTATCTTCTTTAGGCGGGAGAAGGCTCTCCAGAACCATGCCATCTCCATGAGGCGGCTTCGTATTACATGCGCCCCCGTTGGATTCCTTCTTGACGATACTCACGCCAAGGGGTTTGAACCATTCATCGGCTGTTTCCCTAATGAATGGAAAGAGCTCGGGTATCTGAGCGAGAATATGAGCATAGTTGATTAGAAAAATACCTAGGTTAAATATCTTACCACGTTGAAAAACTGGAATAAGGCATGTCGACCATAGTATCCTTGTGGGGTTCTTTCTCTTGGATCCGTGATTTGCGGCCATATAGATTCAGCTGCCTCTTGACCAAGTCTTTCCCTTGAAGATATTGCCGTGATAGGTTGACCGTTGTTCATCGTAATTGGATTCACCGCATTGAGGTTGCTAGTTGGGAGACGTCCAGTTTCTTGAGGCTTCCTGTTTGATGGTGGGCCTCCTATGCTTGAAATTATCGCATCCCTTTTCTCAAATTCGAGGCGGTTTTTCGAGATTAAATCTTTCAACGCGGTGATCTCAATTTGGAGATTTTGAATCTCTTCTTGCTGCTGAATTGATGGACCTAATACCGACGGTTGCTCTATTCTGGTCTCGAATGTACATTGCGCCGGCCTTCCCGATCTTATACATCTTTGGCATGGAGAATTTCGATCGCAAGATAGCTTCATGTAGTGTTTAGTAAAAATTACGAAGCTCATTTTAGATCAGCGATAGAAATCGTACCTTCTTTTTTCTACATTCCATACAACTCAGCTTCAAACGCTTTTTTCGGGCTTTCCTTTCGGCGGTTGCATCATTCTGCCTTGCAGTATTCAGTTGCCGGGTATCTTCAATCATATCAGAACCGGAGTTGGATAACATGATTTCTGATTTCAAGACTACACACTTTATGTTTCTGGCAGATTGAATGGTTTTGATATGTTTATTCAACTACCTAAGTATTGTGGTAGAAAGCCACCGGAGTTAAGTGGGATCGCCCGTGGACCATAGCTTTTAGAGAGAACGGACTTACGATCATCTCCGACAAGAATAGTTACCTCTTTCTACTAATAATTATCTTCACACAGCTATCAAAACAATATTCTATTCTAATCTCTATATTGTAACTATTGATACCTACCTAAAGTATTTTATAAACTTCCAAGATTGGGTATACTCATCAAACAACCAATCAAATCAACATGAATTCCCCAACTATTTTTTTCTCTAAAAATAAGACCATTAATTCTACGAAAAATGTGTAATGAGGTCATGAAAGAAATACAATGTCCACCACGATGTGGCTTATCCGTCGCTTCGTCCTCTTGCTTCTTTTCGCAAATGGTCCAAGTGTTTAATGTGCGGAAACGAGGGTTTACGGGATCTATTTATATATTGTATAGCCCGTGTTTCGATGGCGGAAGGATTCCGTTGTCGTAATTTGTGTTACACTATTAAGTGCCGTCTATAAGACTATTCTGATAGGCACTGGCGGTGTCTCACCCCCACACAAAGCCACGGCTTGGAGCCAGGTCAGAAGGCCAGTAACAACCTCAATCTTTTACTAATAAATATCTCTTCGCTCAGCGCGATTTTTATTAAAGAGAAAAAATAAATTAGTATATACTAAGCACAACTTATGCGATCCTATACAAGGATCGAAAAGGGGGCATGTCTGCCTACCTTGCGATTCCATCGTTTTGGCTCTTTGAGTATTTTGGCAGTATAGTAGATAACGGGGGACTCATCACGATGGACAACGCCGAACCGAAATCCTACATGCTCTCCGACGACGAGTCGCGTGCTATTTTCGAACGCGATATAGTACCCGCTGAGCTCGGCCATCTTTCAGCTACAGCCGAGCTCTCGGTTTCTGCGAATGGCGATGGGAGAACCCCGCTTGCGGTTCTGCTTGTTGGACAGACTGGCGCGGGGAAAACGCGCACTGCACCGGCGATTAAGAGTGCGATAGAACGACTCCGTGGACGCTCGCATTTGGCCCATTTTGTGGCGGATACTTATAAAACGTATCATCCGTCTTATACTACGCTTCTGGCTACGCGACCGGGTCTTGCATCGCAGGCTACTGGCCCCGACGCCCGACGATGGCTCAACATGGCTGCATCTGTTGCAGCGGCGCGACGAGCCGATGTACTACTTGAGTCTGCAGCACGGTATCCGGAAGACTTTGCGCAATTGGCATGTTTATTCCGGACGCATGGGTACCGCGTTGAGGTCGCAGTTATGGCAGTCCCAGCACCGTTGAGTCGGCTTGGAATATTGACGCGTTTTTATGAAAAATTGCCAGAAGTTGGACCGGGAGGGAGACTACCGTTACGACTTACGCCGCGCAAGGTGCATGACGAGTCGTATGCGGGATTATTAGAAGCTGCAGCGTTCGTAGACTCGGGGCAAAGTAATGAGGGAGGCACGAAGGGAAGGGGAATTGTGGATCAGGTCGTGGTTGTGAGGAGGGACAATGTAGTTGCGTACGCGAACGAACGCATTCCTGATGGTGCTTGGAAACGTGAGCTAGGCACCGAGGCAGCGATACGTCAAGAGCGAGGGCGTCCTTTAACGGTTTACGAGAGAATGGGTGCGGAGTTCAGTTTAGGAAAGCTCCGAGCTATGAATATACCGGGCCTTGAGAGTCAGTTGAAGGAAATTGAGGGGCTGCTGAAACCTCTCTTGGATACGCCGAATGATTCGGAATATGCGCCGCTGAGGCCGTTGTCTCTGCCTAACTCGGTTTATGACGAACAGTTTAATTCTAAGGCGGGACTTAGGCTTGGAGTGTGATGCTATGATTCAAGGACTGTTACACATGGCGTATGTCGGGGAATGGTTGAGAGCCCAACCTTTGTCAAGGGACGGTATAGGGCACACGGACAAAACACTTACGGATTATTGATGCGTTGAGATTGCATGGTATCAGAAGTAGAGCATATGACCCCGTTGAAGGGCTCAGAAGTCTTGTATACACGATAGCGTCGTAAATATCTTGGGAATCTAAATATCTAGACAAATACCAGTTAAAACATTTTATCCTATCTACCTAGGTAGACACTTAGTCCCTCCACTCATTTTTTTTTCTTTTTGGAAAATTTCTTCTGATATCATCCCTTGTACATACCGTGTACTTACTAGTACATATACCTGAACTCGGGGTTTAGATCTCCCAACTCCGTTTTTTCATAGTCGGACAAGCCCACATCTCGCACAGCCTTCTTCCTCTTCTGATTTTCGGTGTAGATAGATAAGATATAGAGGACCACTGCCAAGCCGGTAAGGCAGGCAAATCCGAGACAAATCGCATATCCGTTCTTATATTGAGGGGCATCCTTGCTAAGGAAGGAGAACGTGGCAATGATACCACCAATGTTACCGAATCCGATCTGCCACGCGGTAGCTATAGATCTCCGGTGGTGACCCCCAATGTTCATATTAAACCAGCAAACAATGATAGGTAAAATCCCGTAAGTACCACATGTAACGAGATGCAGCATGGCGTATTGAACGGGGATGTTGTCATGAACTCTGTATAGAACAGCGAAACCAGTGAGAGTTAATGTAAGGGGCACAAGTGCAAAAGCCGCACGGTGGCGCCACCAATCGGATAATGTAGCCATTATCAAGGAGAAAACGAAAGATGCCGCCCAGGGAGGTACACTTCGCAGTTGTGTCTGAATCGGATCGAAGTGATAGGTTGAGATGATAGTCGGCGCAAAGTAGGAATAGCCGTATGCAGGAACGATCAACCCGAAGTACATAAAGCCACCCAGCCACGTACGATGTTCACTCATAACAGATAAGACATCGCGGAAGGTAATCTTTCGTTCCGCGGCGTTGTGTCCCTGATCAGCCTGCAAGCGGGCCTTAATATAGGCCCTTTCATCCTCCGTCAACCACTTAGCTTGCTCCGGACTATCGCCAAGTTAATCATACGTCAGTTACACCCAAATTGAAATTTCGACTTACAATGAAGGGAACACAAAGAAGAAAATGATCGCAACCACACATGTAAGTGTGCCCTCGAGAATAAAAATCCATCGCCATCCGTTATATCCACGAACACCCTGCACTGTTTAATAAGTTAGTCACACTCTAGAATACACATAAATACCTCGCCAAAATTACACGTACTCTTCCCTATAGCAGACGCCAAGAGACCTCCGAAAGCTCCAGCCAAGGAAGTTGACGTGAAGAATAAGGAATACCGCTTCTGCGATTCATTTCGTTTATACCACATGCCTAGCCGAGTAAATCAAACATTAGCACCTCATTGAGCACCTCAACGGCGTATTACATCACATGTAATATGCTACTGGGGAAATACTACGTACTAATTAGATAGAAGCATCCTGTCGATAAGATGAGTAAATTGCTAGCGATAAAATCTAGGGAGACCGCAGCTTACCAGGAAACATGCCGCATTCGAATAAGCCGAGGAAGAACCGCGTCGCGAGGAGACCGGAGTAATTTTGGACAAGACCCTGGCCTACCGATGCAATACCAAACCCCAGCATACATGTTGGGAGCCATACACGAGGCGAGAACCTTTTCAGCAAGATATTGCTAGGAATCTCAGCGACGATATATGGTACGAAGAACATGGTTAAAGCTAGGGCCATTAGTGCTGGCAATAATCTCTTCCAAGTCAAATCGACTTACCTGTGTTGTACTCATTATCCTTAAGATTTAAGTCTTCTACCAGCTTAAAAGATTTCGCATTGGCGATATTGACTCTGTCCAGAAAGGCGAGAAGATACATGATACATAAGAACGGTATTAAGTTCCAGTCGATACGCGTCATGAGCTTCCGCTCCGTGGTATGAGGCGGACACGGAACATGAAGCTCATCATATTCGACGTCGGCAATGCCGGGATGATACGAATTATTCCCGATGATTTCTTCTACTGGCTTGTCCGAATCACTCGGAGCCGTCGCTACAAGAGAAGCAGAGTTAGTAATTATATCAGCCGCATACGCTGCTGAGATCCTGCAGCGTGCCGAGACTTTGTTGGAGGACACGATTGGACACCCAACGAGGGCTCGGACCTCGGAGTATGGAAATTGTTATAGGAACACAACATACGGGAAGCCTTGCGAATATGCATTTTTGTCGACTGAATCAATCGGAACCAACCCGGACGTTACCCAGGAAGGTCAATTAGGGACGGACTGACTCAATCTTTCGACGACAAACGAGATAATTCACGGAGTCGGGGTAGAGGATGAATAAGGGAAATAGAGAAAATTTGAGGTAAGCAGCTCCGGCTGACAATCGCTGACTCTCGGTCCCTCGGTTCTTTCGCGCGTTGGACTCGATCAATAATCGACAATCCCAACCGTCAATCCCCTCCAGCGAACCAATGAGCTTCTCCACGCCAAGTCGTCGTCGCTTTTTAGTCTAGCAAGGGGGCCAATTTACAGCTTTCTTTTTTTTTCATCAATTTAAAAAGAACAAATGCTTCACCTCTTTATTATATTTCCGAGAAGCACATGCGGAAAGAAATTTCCAATATTCCATAATAGGCCCGTGATTCGGAAAAGTCTTCAAAACTCGGAGCCGATGTCGCAAGGGCTTTTTTTGCGGTGAATTCGCTGGGCAAAGCGAGCTATGACAAGCAAGGTCAAGCTGAAATCTGACTGACCGGGGCAATCAAGCTAAAAATGGAAGAAAATTCCAGGGACTTTACCGACGCTTCGTCTTTTTCGCGGGGAAATTAAAAGAAAATTGCGGAGAAGAACAAAGACCTTTGGGATCTGAGGACCCTTACATTGGAAATCCAACCAGTCATCGCTTAGGTATTGGTTTCTTCGTCTTAAGGTAAACAGCTGAACATGATCACCTGCCTTGGGATCCTTTGATCATTTCCGTTTTGATATGCAATGAAGAGATCGATGTGGTCGTGCAGAAGTTCAATTGGATATATGTATCCATACTATTGAGCCGTAAGCATCCCAAAGACGGGGAAGTCTTTGAATCACATAATTGGGGTAAACATTCAGCCCGCCAGTTCGAAGACGGGAAGATATCTTAAGCTATGCGACGTTGAGATACCAGAAGCCATCTGGCATTTTTTTTGTTCCCGGATATTGCATACTATTTAATCTTTCAGTGTTGCCAATTGGTGCCACAGGTATCATTCATTCGCGGCCCTATTCTTAACCTCGGCATGGCGATATCCAAGATTTGATGGAGAAACACCTCGCTTCGAGATGCTGTCATCCACATGCGTCACCATAAGCAAGTTCCGCCTTACTTGCGTAGGATAAAACTAACGACGCCAGCGACATCAACGGCTGTTACATTTGATATTAGATTCTGTCAAAGACTTCCAATTTCAAGAACTGGAGTTCTGGGTGGTGGGGATGGCATTATATCTCATACCTCATAGGAGTATTAATAATCATATGAGATCATTCAAGTTGACGTAGTTCCTTTACATCAGCCACGAAGCTAAAGGAGTTTCGTCTCGGAACTATTGAGATAGACTTATGACTGACAGAAACAATAGGGATCCAATGAGAGCGCAAAAAGAGAAAATCGATTCTCACGGCTAATACTCATTAATAAGTATAACAAATAGTTTCATACTACGATTAGCAACGTGAACATATATAAATTACTTACTGTCTCTAGGCCAAGCGCACTCCCGGTTGTACTACATCGCCTCCATCTTCTCTATTCGTATATACGGCGGTTGGTGCAACCTCGGAACTTTGCGCTCTCTCAGATTTGCGTATTTCATTACATAAAATACGGAGTGCCCGATTTACTGGCAAAAACTGTGATTTCCGTTGGTTTCGCCCAATTCACGAATGAAGTCGTAAGACATCATAGACTTTGAATTGGTTTCCTGTTTCTACAGAATAATCCGGAAATTGGGACAGGAGAGGGGAATGAGTTTAGACGACACTATTCGATCGCGCAATACCTTTGGCGCAGTTGAAGTTTTCAACGATGTTCGACTATATCGACTATGTCGACTATCAATTTGCGCCATAGACTAAATAAGTATAATTGATATACGTTGACGTTGAAGCACGCGACAAGAGATCCTCGACCCAACGGAGCGGATCGAATACTAAGTCGATAAACGAGGGTGCCAATCATCCACCCTCAGCTCGTTACGGTTCGTTTGACCGATGTTACCCCCACAATGCGTGATGCGTGATGCGTAGTATCGTATGTGTATTTTAAGTTGATCATGCAATGAGCTGTGTGGCCTCACTTGAACCAACATGGTATTCGAGAGGGAGTGATATCACAGAAGAGTGACATATATAAGTGGTACTAAAAGTCTAGACGAAGAGTTCGGCGACACTAATAACATCAGAAATGATAGTCGTCATAGCAGATCTAAGTTGCGTGATCAAGCCCTTACCCGTTATAGATTTAGCGTATACAAGGCTCTCATGCCTACTGGAGCAATTTGATTACTGCATCCCCAAGTATCTGGGTACTTGGAGATAAATTTTATACTTTGACTAAAGAATGTTAACTCGTTCGCGGAGGATTTAATGGGCCAATGACAACCCCCACGCCAGGGTTTACCTGGGCGGTGCACTATTTTCGGGCACGCCTATTTGATGGTTCATCCAGAGTACGTAAGTAACTAATTCGTTGAATCAAAGTAACTTTAGTAAAACATATCCTAGTTTCCACGCGCAAAATGCCAGAAGAGGGAAAAAGGTATGATAATAATATCCCAATATCATAGGAAATTATTAGATAATTAAAATTGAAATATTGAAATATACATCCTATACTTTTTCTCGTAGTAGTAGGATTCTTCGAGGAATTGAACGAACAAGCATTACGTCTCACGAGGGATTGCCCTGCTCGGTCGGCCTTTTCTTGGTACCTAGAGTTTAGTTAAAGGTACCTACCTACCTGATAGGTACATCAATGGGCGTACTAAAACGTACCCGTTTGCTAGTATCTTACGTCTAGTATGGTTCAAATGGGTTATCAGGGCAATCGCGACTGCAACACAAGCAGCTGGAACTCACTTATTAAACTCGGCTTCCTCTCCTCTTCTAGAAATTCTATTTTCTTTTTTTTTTTCAGCTTGTCCAAGTCTTGTCGTTCGAAGTCCCTTATATACTTCCAACTTCTATTTCTAACTCCCCATGGTATACTACTAACAGCATAAAATCCTATTTGTTTTGTTGTCTTATGTGTGCGACCGTTGGTATCCTAGCAACTATCCATTGAAACTTAACTTGAGCTTTTGCTCAGTTCTGTTTACTTTCTCTCTTTGTCTTTTGACATTGATTGATATCCCCTCTCTTCCCCCGACGCGCGCCCTTTACCAAAATGAAGGCAGAATATTCAGACGAGCCGTCGAACTACGACATCCACGAGGCCTCCATACCTACTGGATGGTCGGCTTGGTTTGGCGGTCCCAGTGTTAAGATAGGGCCTCGAATCGCGCCTCAAATAGCGCCAATTCCCGAAGTTAGAGATTCAGACAGCGAACTCAGTAGCGATGCTATTCTTAACAAGCAGCTCGAGGAGGAAGCTGGTCATGCTATTCAATACCGAACCTGCAGTTGGCAAAAGGTGTGTCTCAACCGATAAGCAATTCTATGCGGGGAGTCAATGACCTCGTGACCTATTATCATACTGACAATTACATAGACTGCTGCATTACTATTCTCCGAATACATCTGTTTGGTAAGTAACTCAATTCTGGGGTTTCCCAGCAAATAAGCAAGTATTGGTCGAACCTCAGATTCTCATATCTAGGCTCCTCTTCCCATGCTGCGCGTTCCTTGTCAGGGGTTTGTTATCGTCCAATGATACTAACGAACTAGTAGGCCATTATGAGCTTTCCTTGGTCGTACAGTGTCCTCGGCCTTGTACCAGGGTATGCATTCTTAGCCTCTGGGCGCCTGTCTCGGTAAACCTTTATAGGTATTAACATGTGGATTAGGCTCATTCTTACCGTCGTACAAGCACTTTTAGTTCTATACACGTACGTCATTCGGAATAAAATAGCCCGTCACCATGCTAACTCTTAGGCCAGCTCTATCGTATTATGGGAATTTTGTTTACGACACCCCGAGGTTAGAGATGTATGCGATATTGGTCAAATGCTATTCTGGGGTCAAAAATGGGCTTGGTACTTTACGGCTTTTATGTTCATTTTGAACAACACCTTCATTCAGGTAAGCGAAAAACACACAATTACCATTATATCATCGAATCTAACTCATCTTTACAGGGTCTCCATATCCTGGTTGGAGCCAAGTACCTTAACACGATGGCCGGTACGGATGCTGACATCTCTTGCCAAACCATTTCCTTTGGAGCCATTGTCGCCGTAATTTGCTGGCTTTCATCGCTACCTCGTACTTTCAGCATGCTTTCGAAGCTCGGTACTGCTTCGGCGGTGTTTACGTTCATTTCCGTTATCCTGGCAACGATCTTCGCCGGAATCCAGAGCCACCCTGCGGGTTTCCTCGCTGAGCCGACTGCCGACCCTACCGTACCTTTCGGTAACCCAATTGTTACGGCGATCCCAGTCGCGGGAACTACATTTGTCAATGGCTTATCAGCATTCCTTAACATCAGGTACTAGGTTTCGTACTAATTTCTATGCTTCTTGGGGCTAACAGTTATCTAGCTATACCTTCATTGGACAGATTACTCTTCCTAGTTTCATCGCCGAAATGCGTGAACCGAAAGATTTCCCCAAGGCTCTCTGGGCATGCACTATCCTCGAGATTATCGTCTTTAGCGTTGTTGGCGCAGTCACCTACGCATTCGTTGGAAACCAGTACATGACCGCACCGGCCTTTGGATCCCTGACCCCGCTATACAAGAAGATCTCATTCTCATTCATGATCCCCACACTCATCTTCTTGGGTGTCTTGTATGCCTCCGTGTCGGCACGATTCATCTTCTTCCGAATTTTCCAGCACTCGCGCCACAAGAACGAGCACACTGTTGTTGGATGGGCCACTTGGTCTGGGATTTTACGTATGATTCCTTCATCCTATATCAACATCTTATGTGCTAACAAACCATTTAGTCATTACCTGGATTGTTGCCTTCATCATTGCAAACTCCATCCCATTCTTCAACTCTCGTAAGATTTCTAACTCATCAAACTACTAATGGTGTAACTGACAGGTTTACTAGTTCTCTCGCTCATGTCATCACTTTTCGACTCATTCTTTGGATTCATCTTCTGGGGCATTGCGTATTTCCGCATGCGAAAAGCCGACGGTGCTGTCGCCTTAGTTAAGGACCGATCGCTCCGTGGTTGGTTCGAGGGTATTTTGAACGTCATAATTATTTTGACTGGTGTTTTCTTCCTCTCAGCTGGAACCTATGTCAGTGTCCAAGGAATTTTGGATGAGTTTGCATTGGGTACGGTTGGCAGCGCATGGACGTGCGCGAGCAATGGCATTTAAAAGCATTTTCATGTATACATTTCCTTGAAGAGGAGGAGATACCCACGGATGAAAATACGGAGGTGAAGATATGTCATAGACACTGTATAGACGGAAACATGGCGGATATACACACGGTTTGCTTGATTGGAGTTTAGACTACTTTCTGCAGTAGTCGGGAAGAGGAGCAAAAGGGGTTTGAAAACAAATTCACACATCATATTACAGTATAGTAATGCAGGAGAGGAGAGGTACATTCTCTTGAATTGCCTCTCTGGAATCTAGCATGAAGATTTCAGCATCTAGTAGATGCATATATCTGGCCGAGACTACTACTCTAGCCTTCTTTTTTCTAATCCGCATTTCCAGCCTATTGGACTTACACGAATTACAACTGTCATAAACGCGCTAACATCCTTATAGGTATCCATCCTCGTCCGGCGCTATAGATTTAAGCATATTGTTGGGCTATCGGAGGAAGAATATGGTGAGTCCTTAGCTAAATTAGTTTTCTGCTTATCCCTTGTTCTTTTTTATTACCACGTAAATTATCGTATAGTTAGCGTGCGGACAGGTAGTTGCAAATAGTATATTTCCGCCATTTAATTTGCTGTCCGGTTGGAGGCCTGTATTTTAAGCGCTATTTGTTGAAACGAACTGTCTGTCCTCCGCGTCTCTCCGCGTCAAAAATAGCGTCGCCCGCTTAACTATCGTACGAAATCTCCGTACATATATGTAGCTCTAAGTTACATCTAGATTCGGTATACCATTTATGTATAATTCGTCGGATGATTCGGCTCGGTATGACGATAGGTTTATGTTGATTTGTACATGTGTATAATTCGATGTGAACTGAAGATGTACATGATTTGGTTTCTTTTGAATTATCTGCCTGAAATACACCCAAACTCTAGTAAATCAACGGAGTCCTTATACGGACAACTCAATTGAATTACTTAACACTACCTAGGTATTCATGAGTTGCCTAGATACCTAGATACTTGAAAACTCAAGCGTGGGAGCAGTTATTCTTTTCATGAGGCCACTATAGCAAGACTACCCATCCACCGTCAACTCTTCGATGATGTATGTTCTGTTATGTAAGTGGGGTCAAGCTGAGCCTCACTACCTACGAACCCCTCATCCGAGGCGAAGCATATAGACATTAATGTCAAATAGATACAGATCCCTCCTATTCCCTATTCTAGGAGACGAAGCAGAATCCCAATCATCATTGTTCCAACTCTTCAATCACATATACTCGTCCGTATACGTCGGCCAACCTTCTCCTAGACTCCAACTACTCCTGCAAGAACCCACATCAAGAGGCCTCCTTATGTTAAACACTACTAAAAAGCCTCGCCATCCTATGTCATAATGTTTCTTCGAAACTTCCAAAGCTCCCGGAACAATTGTCACCACCAAACTCTTCAAGTAACACCAACCTTCCCAAAAACGACTCGGGTTCCGGACTCAACTCCATCAAATCAAAATCAAAAGCAAATCAAGTCAAAAACTCATGGATAGTAAAGGGAATTCCACATTATAAGAACGGCGTAAAAAACGGTTTCAAAAAAGCGACGTACAAACCCATCAATATAGGGTTGTTTGCGGGGGAAAGGGTATCCATGAAGAAGTTAATCTCTTCCTTTTTTTCGTTTCTTCCCGCTGAAATAAAAAAAAGCAGGTCGGTTCATCATCAATTCCCCCCTTTCAAAAATAGAAGTCCAAAAGCCAAGAAAAACCAAGTTTTAAAAAAGAAGCATTTCCCCTCTCCCTTTTGAACGTGTGAAACCTTCGTCATCAAACTTTCTGAGACATCAATCCCGCCCATCGTCATCATCAACTAGACCCATTCGCTAATTTATATCCCATCGCTTTTGGTTTTTCTTTTCCAGACAGCCCCCGTTATTCGATGCTCTCAAAAGAGATTACTTATTCCCGTTTTTCCAATCATCGGATCAAGTGTCCCCATGTTGAGCGCTGCGTGGAATCGGGTTCGGTTGACCTATCAGCCTGATCGTCATACCCCAGCAGTTTAAGCCACTATTATGGGGCGAAGCCTCGTCCTCCTAGGTGTTCGAGGGCTTCTCACTATTTATCGTCTGAGTTGGTGCTGGATTCGGTATTGGAGCGTCGTGTGGAACGGGCGCAGACTTTGCCTCGGGTGCTGGTGCGGGAGCAGGAGCAGGAGCAGGAGCAGAGGCAAGAGCTGGAGCTGTGCTGAGGGGAGGACCATTGACTGTAGATACACCTTTCTCATCTATACTCCCCATGGTTTCGACGCTCTTCCCTGCTGGTGCAAAGGGACATTGTCCTTGATCTCTCGGTGGGGATTTCGTACGCTTAATCTCTGCGTTTTCCTTGGCTTCCCGATATTTATTCTTAATCCACCCGATGGGTCCCTTCACATCTTCCTTCTCTCTATTCGCGGCTTCGCTTTCTGCTAGTGTTGCTGCTACATCTGAAGATTCGCCGGTCCAGCTCTTCCGTGCCTTTTGCCCACTTCCAACAGAGGATGTACTTGTTTCTGCATGACTGTTGGTGCCAAGAACCTGCCCAGGTGCATTAGGATAGTCTTCTCTTCGTCGAGATATGCGCCAGCGGTGCTTTCTCTCCTTTTCGGCAGCGTCTGCGGCAGGGATAGGCGCCGTCTCTTCGGGTTGATCTACATCGGAACCCTCGTTGAATGATGAGTGTAATGATGTTGACGGCGAAGTCTTCGGCTTAAGCGTATTTTGATTCTCTGGTTCGACTTGAGTAGTACTTGCAGATGGGACCTGGGAGGCTCGAGGAGTTGGCTCTGAAGGCGTTTCCACAGAGGCGGCATTCTCCGAACCGTTAGGTTCTAAGTAGGTTGCTTTGTGTTCTGCAGGATTCGGCGCCTCAAGCACTGGGGAAACAGCCTCGGAGTGAGGAAGTGAAGCTGTAGAACTTTGTGCGCTCGGGTTAGTACTACTCGGCAATCGCTTTTTGCGTAGCTTATTAGGCTGCCGTTTTTCACCCTCGGAACCTGGCGATCGTTGGAACAGACTCGGAAGGTTTCTTTCCTTTAAAGGCGTCATAAATTCGCTGGGAGGACCTAGCAATCTCTCCTGGCTTCTACCCGCCGAAGGAGACCCCGCTGTCATTGGAGTCAGATGCTGTGATGTTGCCGGAGATTTTTCAGGCGCGATAGGTGCTTCTTCAGCTACAGTCGGAGGAGCGATCACGCCTGACCCGCCCGGTGAAGGCGAAGCCGGAGCCACAGCAACAGTTGGGGAGCTTTGTCGAGAAGGGAACCTTCCTGATGGGATATGGGGAGATTTCTTAGACGGGACCGTATTGCTTCTAGCAAGTCCACCGCTTGGCGTCAAAGCAGGACTACCGGGTGTGGACGCCCCATTGGATTGAACTGAATGCCGCGAAGACGTAGACCGATTTCTCCGAATTTTGCCATCCCTACTAACGCTCTCAGCACCAGCACTGGCATTCGAAGCGGATCTTACTATCCCGCTGTTACGGTTCGGAGTTGCGGGCGTTATGAGAGTCGGTGGCCCCTTTTCAATCTCTTGTTTGGTTTTCTCATCTGTACCTGTACCTTGCATACCGATCAAGAAGTGGTCCTGATTCTCAATCAGAAATATGATCACGCACTGGTTTAATCGGTACTCCTCTGGCGCCATGGCATGTTGGGGGTGCGAAAGCATTCCGGGTTGAAAGATAGCAGCCAAATTCTGTGCTGTCATGCGATTCTCGTCCGACTTAGCAGCAAATACTGCAAGTAGGTCTAGGATATACAGAAGCAGCTGTCGATTAAGTGGCGGTAGATTCTTGATGAGCTGCTGATATTTCTCTATAGCCTCCGCCTCATTGAAATTGTCGACAAGTTGAGTACCCTCGGTATCGCCAACGGCTTGTTTCGTGTGCCCGCGCAAAGGATCTCGGAATCGCTCGTAAAGGTCTAGCGGGACGACAGGCTCGGGTAAATCATTCAAATATCGTCGGAGTACATTAGCAGCATCGTGAACAGTGTATCCATCCCACACAAGACCTTTGCCATATCGATCAGGAGAGTCGAATTGTATCTTCAGTTCCTTGATGCGCTTTTCGGAACCGCTCAAGCGGAATATTCCCTCGACGCTGGTGGCTGTGCGATTGTCAGCACAAGAACAGATCCTCCGCGGGGTTTTATTACTGACCTTTCTCTTTCAGAAAAACACCACATTTGGCCACCACGATTGGTACGTATCCATAGATGTAGCTTTTGCCCTTCTCGTCGACGAGTGAAATAGCGACGTTTGCGTAGGTAATGCTCTGTCGTAGAGGGACTCCAAATATACCCTTAGGTTGCGTATCTGTTTCGCGGCACCTGTTAGTTGTCGCTTTTATTTCTTGGCCGTCCTCCGTATGTCTACGTTCTCCCAAATCATCGCAATAGAACGACTTGTTATTAGGCACAAAACCGGGGGCTTCAAACAAAGTATCGGGGGATCGTGGATAATTATTGTGTGATTCTCGGTGTAGACGTAGGGCGGCGAAATATTTATTACGCCAATCGCGTGGGCAGAAGGAATAGGGATGAGAGACAGATGGCTTGGAGGGAGAAGGTGGAATAGGACTTGATTGGCACGTCGATGGGCTAGATGTGGTTTCGCCCTTACCTTGGGACTCGTGATGCCTCGAACGAGTTTGGAAACTCCTCCACCATGACTTCAAATCTCGCTTGCTGGGAGGCGATGTAGGATTAGCAGCAGGAGTCAGATGCTGTTGCGGTGGACTCATTTGTTGGGTTTGTTGTGGTGGTTTCGAAGGGGTCATGGCGGACGTCATTGTGTTCTATGACGCGCGGGCGACGGTGACCGCGACCGTCAGCAGCAATAGGGCTGGGCGATGCGTTGTGAAGGTGAATGCGCGCGCGACTTTGTATAATTCTGTCGATGATGCTAAAATTTTATCGAATAACTCGACGGTAAAAACATAGGAGTTTTACAGGTTCGCTATTGTAAAGTAGGTGAAGAGGAAGTTCGAATGCGGGCTTGTTGTGTCAGTGTGTGTGGGCGTAGTGGGTAGGTTGTTGATTGACTTGTTCGGCCGCCGATAGAAGACGGCGGATGAAATAGGTAATTGTGTCGGGTCCCAGGGCCGAAATGTTTCAGGGCACATTCAACTCAACTAGGACCTAACAAATGAGTCGTCGACAATTTTCGAGCGTTGGAGAACCGGCGCGTTCACGACAGATTATTATTCTTAATGCGTCCTTATGCTTATGAGGCATCGAGTAGGTTGAAGATTTAAAAGTGAGTGTGGTGGCCTCAATATTACAATAAGGATAAGTTATTAAAAGAGGTGCTGGTTGCTTGGAAATTGAGGTAAAAGGTTAAAAGTTCAAGGTGACTAAGTGTCCCAAGTGCAAGTGCTGTGCTACTGGCTACTGCTGTTCTAAACGTGCGCAGGTGCATTCCCACCTGCTTGTTTAGCATAACTTAGGTACCTGCTTACATGCCTGTCTACCTCTACCGGGGCTCCATATCTTAGTTTGGGGGGGGGGGGGGCATTGCTTAGCTGCTTAGGTCCTTGCCGCTGCAGCTCTGTCACCCGTGGGCTGACGGTACTACTTTCCTATACTGTACAGTATGCGCAGCTGCAAGGTCGTTACTGTCTCCCCGCCCGCTAGAAGAGTATCACAACCGCTCTAGATTGACTTGACAAGGCAGTTTCGAATGTCATCACGAAGAATTTAACTTTCAACTCGTTAGACATTTAGTTTAATTTTTTAAAACAAGCAAGATATTCGCCAAGTTTTACATCTGTTTTCTTTTTAGTCCACTTCAACTTTAAGACACATTAAATACCCATTATTCGTTGATTTCGGAATGTCGCAAGAATACAGCAGATCAATGTCCTATCAAGACATACCGATTTTTATAGCAACATAAAAAAAAATATTTATAATACAGTCGATACTGCAGTATATACAGTACTAGGGTATGTAAGGTACAGATGATACCAGACCGGTTATCGCTGATTTGCTAACGGCGAAAGTTCTGCTGTTGCTTTTTCAGACTCGTCTCTTTTTACACTTGGCATGCTTATATTCGCTGTGGTGTAAACTTACAGGCCTCGTATCTGTAAACCCGCCATACAGATAGACTCTGAGACTAGAATAGCAAAGTTGAAAAAAGAAAACTCTCTAGTCATATACGAGCATCTAAGAATGCTTATCTACTGATCTACGTTGCCAATCTTAGGTACATAATGGACACATCACATATTACGAACGTTAGAAGGTCGAATTCGATGTCCCTTCCAGAGGGTGCTCTGAACTTGGAGCTGGCATAGGCCGTGTGAAAAAGACTGTGGTAAGTAAGCCTAGACCTAGAACCCTTCTAACTGGATTTCCTTCTGCAACTCCACAGCACTTACATCAAGGCCTACATACATGTACATACAAGCCTGGTCCGAATAGAAACCTGTAACAGGTGTCAAGGGGGATTCCAGGCCTACTCTATTACAACTCTACTACAAGTTCTAGACACACCGCGCGCACCACACATACATCAACGCTCGCATCTAGACTTTCTCGTATCGTGTGTCGTTCCCAACAGGGTTAACATTCTTTGTCTGAAACATGATTCAATCTACATTCGAACCTTCATTGAAGCTTCTCTACACACAATAGCCGACATGAGTAAGCATTCTTTCCCGAAAGCTATTAATAGCTCCAGACAAGCTACACAACCTACAAGAACGTTATTTAATCCGGTACCTGACTCCGGCTGGCTTACCTTACCTACATAGGTAGGTGAGTAATTAAACTCGCAGGGCTCAAGCCACACAGGGCGATATCTACAGGCTACGAGTTTAGTAGAATATCTGAGTACATTACATACACATCGGATGTATGTATGTGAGACACTTACATACATATACGTAACATACGTACATCGCTAACTTGCCCTTAACCGTTAACCGTTGCCACCTTATTTTTTTTATGCTGGGTACCTAGGTGGTTTATCATGCCGTCAGCGTCATATGCTACCATTTCCAAGTTTTGATAGGACGAAACTCAAGAAAGGTTGAAGGAGGGGGCTATTATTTTTCGCAAGGGGGGATGGTGTCTCCCAAGAAGAGGTAGAAACCGAATCCACTCTTGCCCGCCCGCTCAGCCCTCTTGCTGTTGTCAAGTTACGGATAGGGCTAGGAGAGGGGAGGCGGCGGGTCGACGGATATGCACAAATAAGTGCACATTGTCTAGGGCTTCTTCCACTCCTAAGTTCCAGAAACTATGACGTCGACCCTCCCCAGCCTCCCCAGCCCTTCCCGTGGGCTTTATTAACTAGGTACCGTGGATAAGATCGACGTCTTGTTGGTCGAATCTGACACCTGCTTAAGAAGCTCGATAATTCGTGTTGGCGTCACTGCGCAGCTTTTTCTTTTGGCAGGCTATATCCACGGACGCCTACGCCCGCACCCGCACAGACATAAGAAGCTTATTCACGATGTTCTTCACACACGGACCAAACGAGAGTAAGCTCTCAAATGTACATACATGTATGTATGGTAAGAATGCCCATTGTATACGTACCGACATATCGCGATTTTGTATTTAAAACCCCCGCCACTGATCAGCTCAAACACTTACCTCATTAGGTCTATTTACGGATCCTAAATTTAGCAAGGTTTTTATTTTCTTTCCCCTCGACCTACATCACTGTTGCTTGATACTACGGAGTAAGGTTATGTAGGCAGGCATATTATGCAAGGTCGCGCAACTTTCAAACCTTCCCCCGTCCCGTCACCATTAAGCTCGGCTAATGGGATTGCGATTTTTATTCAAGGCGCAGATCATCGTCTTTACAAAGGACTCCCATTACGTAGCCGAGCAGCATGACCAACAGGTCACAAACGACAGAAATACAACAAACTAGCCACAACAACAAAAAGTAACAAAAGGAAAAGAACGAAATGAAGGATTTTGAACTGCTGACAGATTTAGAGCTTTCCCCGCAGATCACCTCTTTAGTAGAATACGATTAGGTGAAAAGTGAGGTTATGCTTTTACGTGATGGAAACCAGCTGACGGTACCTTGTGATGTTTATGGGAACCTCCGCCTCCAAACATGATTTGCATCGCCATGGACTTACCTAAGAAAATAGCAAGATACGAAGCGATATTAAGGGGATGACTAGATATCCAGGTATAGCAGTACTCTCTTCAAGAGTAGAGGAAATAAGAAGAGATAACGTGATAAATCAATCACATCATCAAACAAATCACCAGATTTAAAACAACCAAAAAAAGTAAATCCAACACCATAATGTCGTAGTTTAAAATCACGTCTAACCCATCTAATCTCAAACAAGTATCTAGCTCTCGGAGCTAACCACAAAACGAACAATATAAAGAAGCGTCGAACTAAAGCAAGCCGCTGACCCAACTAACGACTAGCCTACCTACGCAAGCAGCTAAGCACCTCATGACGAGAGATCGATCAACGCAGTAGCTCAGGCACTAGTTTCGTCGCGGACGTCATATTTCTCGAGGCGCAATTAAAGACTCTCGTCACTCAAAGTAAGATAAGGTATCTTTCGCTTAAAAGTGCAAGATCCCTCAGCGATAACGCCTAGGTCGTATGTATGCAGAGCTTTTACCAGCCACCTTTACTTCGTGTCCAAGACTCTCTGATAACTGCGCGAATTTAAAACGCCTATGTCGAGGAGTGTAGGGCTTACTGTACCTCAGTATATGATATCTAATAGTTACGTGAAGCATCAAGTCACTGGAGGATTTACGAATATTGACGACAGAATCCTACCCAAGTACAGTTCCAGTATCTTTCAGGATTAAATTCTCAAAACCTTGATTTCGATATATGTTGTGCTCGTATTTTATATCACGCGAGACTCAAATCCAGAACAATATACGAAATCGAAACTCATGAATTCAAAGCACTTCCATAGTAACCATAGTGTAAAGAAGCCAAAGCATCGTCAATTTCCTGGCTATTCATACGGGGTTGAGAAGAAGTAAGACTACCTTATACACTGTAGTTACAAGAAAAGCCGTCGTCGTGGTTTCAGGCCCCCAGGTTCCAGGTCCGCCGGGTCCATATGCAAAAACCAGCCCCGAGAAAAACAAAAGCAAGCTCTAGCCGAAAAACAAATAGACAGCAATAAAAAACCCTGATAATAGTATCTACCCTGACACCGACCAGAATAAACAAAGCAAGCAGAGCAATATACAACTGAATCCCATTTCCCTTAAATCACGGAGAAGTACCATGTTCTTCCAAATTGGGTATTCGGTCGTTGCAGAGACAGAGACAGAGAGAGGAAAATGCCGAATATGCCCGGGGAATCCCCTATACCGCCCGTGTATAGGTTTCACAGCTAGCCAGCTGACAAAAACCATGCGCAATTCATGGTGCTGTGAATCCCCCCGCCTTTACGCCAGACACTGCAGCGAGAAGCAGTTGTTCTCTGCTGCGAACACGCCGAACATACACGAAGGACCGAAGTGACGCCCTCCCGTCATCCAAATGAGGCATACGCCGCAAGTCCCTAGATAATGTTGCTCCGTGAAAGAAAAATAGGCCGACTCGGCGGCAGAAGTAAGGAAAAAGTATTGAATGCCTATAAATATAATGAGACCGAAGTGAACTTGCCGTCCGAAACGCCAGATGATGGACCCTGCTAGGAATGATAAGGAGACCAGCCACTGCCAATTATGGCTTGGGATTAGTCTTAATGAACAAATTATAAAAGCCGCGGGGCGTAAATGTTTGTAGTGCAATTTTTTCTTTTCTTTTTTTTACGTGTCGTCATACGTCGTTAAAAATGGTGCTCGTATATGTTACGAAGCACTTATGGGAACGCTCCGCGGTGTGACATCGCCGCTGCGCTTTCGGGGTAAAGTTTGTTGAGCTTTAGAGGCATTGGCAATTATCTGTAATTTCTTTCGAAGGGCCTTAAGTCTGTTGTTGACCATTTTGATCACTAATTTGGGTTAGTCATATGTATATATGTGATACTTTAACGGGAATACGTACTACTGTGAACAGCTTGCTGATCATCAGAGTTGATATCGGAAGCACCCTCCCGAATCGCATCTTGGTCGGCCTTCGAAGATCCGGAAAGTCTGCGTTTCGCCAAGTCCTCGCCATTGTCTAGAACCGCCTCAAGCATGTGGATTGCAGTGATGTACGAAATTTCACACCCTTGCAAATCCTCATTGGCAATCTCGTTGATAGCAGCGGCTCGGCTCATCTCAAGAGCCCTCTCGTACATCAACTTTTCAGCACTGAGACCAGCTGTTAAGTAGATGCCCTCGGTACTAGAGGCGCCCGTTGGAACACTCTCCAGCTGATTGTTGGCAGGGTGGCTTGGGTGATCCTCCGGAAGCTGCTTTTGGGCCTCGATGAGCTTGAGTCGTACAATCTCAGCTTTCTCTAGAGTCTCGTTGAAACGTCTGCGGATCCATTGGACGGCAGAGTTCACCCTTGTGATTAGATTCTGGGCACTTACTGCGTCACGATTAATGACGTGTTGTGCAGAGTTAGAATCATTGCGACTTTTGCGAGTCCACCAAATATTCGCGATATCCATAGACTTCGCAAGAAGCGAGAGGGCCTTTACGTAGAGAACGAGAGCCTCCTCCGATAATGCCACAATTGCTTCTATAGTGAGACCGTCATCTTCTTCAGATCCTATCTTATCTGCAGGAACGCCGCCGAGCCCATGGTCCATTGAAGGCGCTAATGGGACAAGTTGTTTATACTTGACTTCGGCAAAGCCCCAAACAACGTCGCTTCGTGTCGCATTCTCTTCAATTAATTGAGCGACACGCTGGTCCTCATCAACTGGACCGCCCTGACGTCCGTCTGTAATGAGACCGACGGGAGCAGGCGGTGTGGGATACGTCGGGAACGCATTGTAAGGGTTAGGGGGTGACGTTCCCTTACCAAGCAGATGTGTTGGATATTTGAAGCCGAAAAACCTCAAGCTCGCATCTGAAATAGCATTGTAAATAGCGGATGTCGTAGAGCCGGGGCTACTGGATATGTTCTTATCGTATGAGCCTCGGCGATAGTGTTCCTGTCGTTGCCTACCCTGTGCGATTTGTAGCGCATTAGAGGGCTGGGCGGGAATCGCGCCCGTCGTCGACGTTGGCACGCCCTGTTGTGTCGCACGACGAATTATTTGTCCCGACCTAGGGGATGTTGCTTGGGCTTGTGCTCCTTTAGCAGCTAATTCGTCTGCAAATGCATTCACTTCCACGTGCTTCTTTTCTACTACAACGTAATCTCTCTCGAAAGCGATCTCTTGTGCTGCTCTTTCTCGTTCATCCGCTGTAGAACGTTCAGATCTCCCCTTGCCTTTTATGATTTCATCATTTGGCGGAGATTGACTGTGAGAGTATTTGTTTACCGAGGCATTTGATAGTCCGCGTCTGCGACGATCCTCAGCATATGATGGTCGAGTGGGTGCTGATGTAGAAGGTATCGCCTGCGGCCGTCGAATCCCAAGGCCTGGTGCTATGTCGTCGTCTGGAGACTGTACTGCACGTGAGTTACCCTGGGTTGAGAGGTTTTGGTTGTTGAATTCGGTCGGGGAGGATAGAGGTGACGGTTTGAGCGGTCTTTCACGAGGCGAGGGAGGACGAGCATCGTGGCGCATAGCGTCGGCTTCTGTACCGTATCGACGATGGGTCGACATACGTCGCGGACTCTCCCCAAGCTCGTTAGTCCTAGAGGCGGCACGCACGTCTGTCGATGGCTGTCTTTGTATCCTGGGTACATCATCTTCAACCAGATCAGGTATATCACCTGCGATAATATGATGGTTGAAGAAGTCCTCGAAACTCAATCTTTCAACAGGATTGCGCCTCAGAAGGGCGCGAATCAAGGACTTGAGATCCGAGCTAACTTGACATTCTCGACCAAAGCTGACCTTAGCATCAGAACTCTCAATTTTCCTCAAAAGCTCAACGTGATTACTGGCTCTGAATGGAGGCTTGCCGCATACCATCTCATATGCGACAGTCCCAACAGACCACAGATCTGCCTTGGCATCGTATCGCTCATAACGTAGGATTTCAGGCGCCATGTAGAGGGGAGATCCGCACAGCGTCTCTGCTAGAGATGTCGATGGCAATACACGAGCGAAGCCAAAATCAGCAAGCTTCAACATTGGTAGTGATTCCAACCCGACTGCCGGTATTAACGAGTCGTGACTAGCACCAAGAATCGGGCGGCTGTCTTTGTTGGTCTCTCTGTATTGAATCGACGGAAGAAGTAGGAGGTTTTGTGGCTTAATATCTCGGTGGACGAAATTGCCTGCTCGTAGGAATTGTAAGGCACTCGCAAGCTGCTTGAGGAAATGGCGGATGACGACTTCGTGGAGGCCTGCGTTGGGTATGCTTGGGTATTTTCGGGCCATATCGCAAGTGGCAGGATGTGTGATGAGCTTTTCCCTCTTCTTGATGAATAACGACAAATCTCCTAGCTCGCAGTATTCCATCATGAGGTTGATGTGGGTCTTAGATTCGATGCAGTCATGGAGGGCGACGATGTGAGGATGTCGGAGCTTCTTGAGAATCTTAATTTCGCTATAGAGGTTCTCCTTCAACTTCTTGTTTAACCGTGCGAGCTCGACGGATTTGATCGCAACCAAAGCACCGGATACCTGTATCGTTATCGTCTCCATTAGCCAGGTTGCAACCTTCGGGCATGAGTCACGATGGTGGTGATAGGTAGTGCGCTGTGCGCTGTTGCTCTAGATACAGATAACAAGAGAGCCTCAAGTTGTACTTTAGGTAGGGAGGTAGTGGGATAGATTATGATAGGATAGAATGATGCACATAGGGCTGTGGGCTGTGGAATATACGAACCTTATGCCTGCCCATATATACCTGGGCGAAGCTACCTTTGCCTATCTCGGAACCAATAACGAACTGACCAACGACATCATCGGCGGCTCTCGCACGACGAGAGGTCGAGCCCAAATGCGCTCGAGTGTCAGCCATAACTTCCTGTGTAGGTTGACTTATGACAGGAAGCCTGGTTAATGCAGCCCGTGGGCTTATAAGGGGATCGGGATGAAGTCGGTGACTCGAGTATTCGTCATGTACACATTCAGGTTGAATATGAAGGAAGGATTAGGGTGGTCCGCCGATGGGAGAGAAAGGAAAGGTGGGTTGGGTGTAGAGGTAGTGCACAAGTGCAACAGGTGTGGACGAAGAAAAATCGAGGTCGAAGTCGAGATCGAAAGGTCGAGGACGAAAAAAAAGAAAGAAACGAAACAGTTCAGTCAGACAAGTTCGCGTGTGTGTCTGTTCTGGAACCAAGGCTTAGGCAGGTTAGGGACCTGGACGTCAAAGTGGATGTAAATGATGTACTCCGTAGAGGCAGGGTATCCGATAGGTTGGTCGGCGGGATAATCGAGAGAAGCCCTGGAGAGCCCTGGAGACAGAAACCTTGAAAGGCGGGGATGTCTGTGTCACCTCGAATGACGGACACAGGGGGATTTAGGTAAGGGTAGGTAAGGTAAGCTGGCTTAGGCTGCTCAGTTAAGAGAGATGGGCCACCAGGGTATGAGACGATGGTAGATCTCGTGTTGTTTCTCTCGATGGTCGGGCGGCAGCCGGTCTCTCTCTCGTCTTTTTTTTTCCCCCGGGTTGATTGAAGGGGAAAATCGGAGACAATAGCCCAGTAAGAACGAATAGGGGAAACAAAAGGATAAGAAAGAAACAAGGCGTTATGTTCCTAGGTACAATACACGCGTATGAAACCGTAGATAGGTCAGGTAGGTCCCGTAAGGTCCTGTAGGCTGTAGCTGTAATATGTAGGTACAGGGGGGTTGCGTAAGGAGACAGTCAATGATAGCTGCGAGATCCTCGAGTGGTAGCTACCTAGAGCTGCAAGTCGACTATGCTAGCACCTCTTGAGGTATCAGTGCTAGGTAATGATGGGTATGATGGAGAAGAACAAGGTCAATGTAGCTTTCCTAGGCTACCTTAACTTGTAAGTTGATGTGGTCGACTTGAGTTGAGTTGAGTTGAGATGAGTTGGCCGATAATCAAGTGAATGACTCGGTCTGTTTTTTGCGCTATGTACTCTTCTGGGGAACTTCTTCTTTTCTTCTAACCCTATCTGCCTCCGTTTTCTCGTTTCTGTTTTCTGTTTTTTGCTGTCTGTGCTCGTCTTTTTCTCGATCCTCTATCGACAGGGGTAATGGTGGGAATGATGGTATGCAAATGGTTGTAGGTACAACGTATGGGTATTTCCGACTGACTTCAGTGATAGGCGAATTAATAAGGGGATATAACGAAGAGGATATTCCTAATAAAAAAGAAGGGTGGGTGAATAAAATTATTAAGGATGAAGAATGTAGGAGAAAGGGCGAGATGGCAAGAAGTAGAGAGGAAGAGAGACGTCAAGTCGAGTTGAGTCGAGGTGAGGCGAGACGATCAAGTTGCTCACGGGACGAAATGGCAAGGTACCATATTTAGTGTAGTCGTAGTGGTGACAATTATTATGAATGAATGTACGAAATACGGATGGGATGTATGTAAGTCGTATGTAGACTAGTCTCGCTACAGAGACTGAGCAAATGCAATGGGTGAATGAACAATGAAGATCAGTAGACAGGTACTCGTCACTCGTGACTCTTCAGCATGATAAGAATTGATAAGGCTCTCCGAATGGGACTTGCGCCTTGCACTTGCAACTTCCAATGCTGCACCTTGCGCACTGTCACTGCACCACCCAATCTAGAAGCCGATGCCGCCAATCCCGTCTCCACCTTTTATATGCCCCTGAACAAATAAGACGTCGTACAACCAATGCTAAAAACTTAGTGGATACCAAGTATTACTGCTCGTACCTGTTGGGGGAAGATTAGGACAATCAAGTGTAGCACGATCAAGCACTGTAGAGTACAGTGATACCCTAGGTACATTCACTACATAGTATTCACTGGATGTTTCCCAAGACGCTAGGCACTATGGGCGCTAGACATGGATGGGTGAGTGGATTCAGGACCTAACCCCCATTCCCCTAAGTCCACTATTGTGTGTCCTGATGCACGCTGTTCGTCCAGGTCTCCACAGCGTTGATAGGCCATTATCGTTCATTGATCGGCCCTTGGATTCAGTCATTCCTTTGATTCCTCCGAGTCCCCATCTGGTATCTGGGGAAGGCGGTCTAGCTTGGTATTGTTTGCATCCTTCTTAGGATAAAAGATGTTTCGTCAGGATAATAATAATAAAAAGGGGTGGCATTGATTGTATGGTTTAGTCAGCTCAAAGCGGTGTCGTCCCTATTATCTCTACGCCTCTTTGCTTCTTGTCAGGATGTATTCTTTGTATGCAGATCAGAGCCAAGTCGCAACCAACTATTCGCATTGCATCATTATTTCGACCGCCTATTTTTACTTTCCATTACTGTTCCGATTTCCTTGTCTGCGGTTCAATAGCATTAGAACATACTACCGACTACCGGCATAACGTTAACAATGGAATAGTATCGTACTAGGCAATTCAAACCTGCGTCAAAATCGATATCGATGAGCTTATTTTCCGTTATTCTTTGCAAATACGACTTTGCTGACTGATCGGCGGTGAGGCTCAGCCAGGAATAATGTACCCATTGACACTTATGTATGATGCTTGTCAACACAATCATGAGGTGATCGCCAATGGGAATAAGGGACATATTTTGATCCAAACTAAGAAAAGGAGAAGGGCCTTTGTATCTACGTCTGTGTCCGACTGTATTATGTGTCACTGCGTACCACTTACCACTTGCACTTACCATTCACTGCCTGTTACTACCATCGCTATTACCACTTTTTTACTATAATTGCCGGGAAGGAATACAGTACATGCGTAGGAACATTGGATAGTAGTACCTGCTGCTTACAGACTTGATCACAACGTTTTCCCAATCCGCTGGTCGCTCGTCTCTAAGGTTTGGCGCTTAAAATATGGTTGGACAAAGCAACGTTGTTGGGATAAGGGATAAGGGATAAGGGAAGGACCCTGAAAAAGGCGGCTCGTTTAATCCGCTGCGCTTTCTTTTTTTTCTCTTTTCTTCCTCCCTCTCTTATCTGACTCCCTCCGTAACCGGGACTTGGTCTATCTTTTAATTTATATGTCTAGGTACATTTCTATACTTCTTTTATTTTACCTTGGTCTATATTTCCTTATCATGTCGCGTTGTATTAAGATGTATTATTGCCTACTTGACTCTTGCCGATTCCCGATGCTGACACCGGGATGGGATGAGTTGTCTCTTGTAAGTAGATCTCCCGTCCAATTCGCTAGAGATAGCTCTAGTCTATCTATCCACTACCGAACATACATACATTTAATGTAGGTATGGATCTCGTCTATTTAGAATAAACGAGGTACTAAGTGTAAGTATCTTTTCGCTTTTATCGATTTGCTTAAAGTACACCCGACGCATACAGATAGATAGATACAAGTTTACATACACACATCAAATACACACTCATGCACACCCTGATTCAGATTTCCCCCTTCCCAGGTGAATTAATTTCTATAGCAACTCTTGAATCACCATGCATATAGAAGATCATATGGGAACTTGTTCTTTCGCTTATGTTAGTTTAGGCAGACCGAAGCTACACGTACTCGGCCATTGTGGAACTCGCCTCCCCTGGGCGGTATGCACGTCTTTTGATCCGAGGGCAAATCGGAAACCCAAATGGTGGTCTTCTAGGTTGGCTTTTCTATTGCGTCCACAGTTTGCTTGTTGGTCCGATTTATTATTTTGGAAAATGCTTACCAGGTAGGTAGGTTTTCCAAAACAGGCTTGCCCGTAAGCTCGTAAGCTGGGGTGTTTTTTTGATGCTCACATCAAGGTTCCTGTTCCTGACTTACCCGATCAAAGATAATTCACTGATTGCCGGGAGCTTACTCGGTGAAGCTCTGATCCATTACGAATCCATATAAACTAGCACATTTTCGATATCGATAAACAAGAAGAGCTGTAGTAAGTCGGTAAGTTATGTCTTTACTTACACTATTTGTAGAGACTATGCCGAGCTTTCTTGTCCTGCATTGGTATAGGACAAACCGACAAACCCACAGTGCATATGTATAGTGCATATATCATGTATATATATATGTACGTATGTACCTAAGGTAGGCTGCATCCATCTGCGACCCCCGGGGCCACATGAATTTTGTGAGACACGTTTACTGCATTGAGCTAAGGTAGTAGTACGTGGTTGAGCCGGCCAGGTAGTCAGTCTGCCTAGCCTAGGGAGGTCGGGAGGTAGTGTAGGTAGAGCTAGTTTACGATCAAGAGTCCATTGCGCCAATTACTAGCCGTGGAGAGAGAATCTCTAGGGTTACTTCGTATCAAAGCTGTCCCATTAACAGTAATTGCTATAACTACCAATGCTACCCATTACTACCAGCCAAGCCAAGCAACCGATATCCACAACCCAAGATGCGCATTGCCGCAACACATGGTCCCCGCATTTGCCAGATTGGCGGTTTAGAACCTGGGAAAGACGAAATTAACCATCTTCTAAAGCTATGGGAAGGTATTAGTGTATACATACATCCGTCCTATCCCATCCCATCACATTTCATCCCATTCCATACATAGTCTTTTGGTCATGAGAAGACCCCCTGCAGCTTTCTAGCCCTCTAGAACAGAGTCATACAGGGTCTTATGGAAGCTTTTTTTACGTAGTATTCTGGGTAGATAGAAGAATAACCAACCTTGTCGGTCAAGCATTGAATCTTATAGGTTCAGCAGGGTTGCAGGACACCACCACACCACCCTTGATTTCCGACTTGTTTACTATGTGTGTGAATGTATGTACCGCACGTACCAGGTAAAAAGTAACCTCGCACTTTCTTACCACCCTTTTTCCACTTTGTCCCATAAGTCGCAAATGCTGTGCGCCTTGCCAACAAAACGGTTCATCGAGTCCGTGGTCCCAATTCCCAATGGCCGCCCAATCCCGTTATTTTATTTGATACGAAACTAAGAAAGATTGCAGGGTGTCGATAATGGGGGTGGAGGGAGGAGGGCATGCCGCGGCGAAAGAAATCAAATCAAATCAATTAATTCTCCAGTTCGACGTGGACGTCCTCATGTTTTTTCATCGTTGGTAACTCCTGCAATGCATCACCAATGATGGACATGGCCTTTCGAAGCTGCGCTTCCGAAATGACCAATGGCGGTGCGAATCGGATGATATTCCCATGTGTCGGTTTAGCCTGATCTCCGATGTTAGCTAACTAACTGGCACAACTAGCACTGTGTTGCAGAGGACAAGGGAAATTCGGAAGTCTGTCGTCACAGTGTGTTTTTCTTACCAATAGTCCCTTTTCCTTAAGGAGAACGCATAGGTCCCACGCAGAATGGCCATTCGCCTTTGATTCGTCGATCACGACGGCATTTAGTAGTCCCTTTCCGCGGATGGTCTTGATAATTGGCGACTTAAATGCCGCCAGACCGTCGCGGAAGATGTTACCAAGTTTCTCGGCCTTCTGGGTAAGCTTCTCTTCTTCCATGAGCTCGAGAGCACGTATAGAGACTGCGCAGCCTAGTGGATTTCCGCCGTACGTCGAGCCGTGGGTCCCCGGCTCGACGACAAGCATGATATCTTTACTACTAAGGACGCAGCTGACGGGATACATGCCACCAGAGATAGCTTTTCCCAACGTAATCATGTCTGGCTTGATGCCTGCCCATTCAGAACATAGCATACGTCCTGTGCGACCAATACCCGTCTGAATCTCATCACAGATCAGAAGCACATTGTATTCCTTGCAAAGCGCATGGACCTTGACCAAGTAATCGTCATCGGGAACCACTACTCCTGCCTCTCCCTGAATGGGCTCCACTATGAATGCAGCAGTTTCCTTCCCATGAGCTTTGAACACTTCCTCCAAGTCATCTGCATTGTTGTACCGGATAGGTTTTCCGGTCGAAGGGGAAACAGCACCGATATTAGGCACGTACGGCCCGTAGTTATCTTTGGACTCTGGATCAGTGGATAGAGTCACCGCCGTCATCTGTTTACAGCATTATTAGAATGGACGATCCACCTACTTTACATACCTATATGATACGATCCATTAAAAAAAAAAAAAAAACCTACCGTGCGGCCATGGAAGTTCTCCTCGGCGCCAAAGACCAATGCCTTACCCTGAGGAACGCCCTTGACTTTATAAGCCCATTTTCTTGCAATCTTTATGGCGGTCTCCACAGCCTCGGCGCCGGTGTTCATTGGTAGAACCATGTCGTACCCAAACATTGCTTGCACCTTTTCCGCCCACTTGGGGAACACGTCATTGTGGAAAGCCCTGGAACTCAAGGTCAATCTTCCGGCCTGATCAGTGAGAGCTTTCACCAGCGCTGGATGACAATGACCCTGGTTCACGGCGCTGTATGCGGATAGGAAATCGATGTAATGCTTCCCTTCCGGGTCCCAGACGTCGACGCCCTCTGCGCGAGCGAAGACGACAGGAAGCGGGTGGTAATTGTGGGCGGCGTATTTGTTTTCGGCTTCAATTGCGCCTTGGGTGGAGGAGGAATGGTATCGGGATGACTTCGTCGAACCGTTGCCAAGGCTGGCAGTCGAAACATCGGCGTGAGGGGCCATGGTTGTGTGAGTAAGCTTGCGACGGCGGGGGAGAAGCGATAAGAAAGAAAATTGATGATGATGCGCGGAACAAGTGTTTGTTCCAAGAGGAATTGTTAGATAAGATGTTGACCTATTGCTACAATAGGGTCTGGAACCGAGGTATGAAATCTTTTCTTGTCTTGTCTTGGAAGAAAAGAAAGAAGTTTATTAAAAGAGAAAAAGACAAAACAAAAGCCTTGAAGAGCCGAAGTAGATAAGAGGAAATTCCAAGGCGGGGGCGAAATTGAAGCCGGGGAAGGAGAATTGGTACGTAATATGAAAAGCGTTGGACTGATACTGATAGACACACTAAACCCCTAAGTGCAAGTCGAAGCGGACTCATCCATTCCCGGGCATTGGCAATAATGAGATGATGACAAGATACAAGCTCGGTCGGGCCTGAAGTCAGTTCAAGTTGGTCACATGCGGTGAAGGAATTCTTGTGCGATGCCGAAGCAAAGCGCGCAACAAACAAGGACAAGGAAGATAAAAACCTCTGGATGGATTATCCCTATCTTTCTTCAACTAGTGTGTGTAGTGTGTGTATAGAGAAGAAGGATGGGGAACTAACAATGACGAAGTTATTCCTTATTCGAATAATTTGCAACCCAAGAATATGGAAATGTTGCCCAAATTATGACATCGATTGCCTACCTGACATTACTCTCACACACACCTAAGACCCAAGAACCAAAGAATGTAAAAAAAAAACAAACCCCGGATACCGCTAGTATTGATAAAATATGACACAGGCGGCTGCAGGAAGGGATGTCCGCCGAGCCCGGAGCAGTCACGGTAGCCGAATAATCTTCAATAACAGACCAATCACGGATGGTTCATATCTAGATGACCAATGGTGAAGGAGGAAGCAATTATGTTCGTGGGGGTGGTATCCGACGTTGCTAGGTAGACCCTGCGCTTGGCGGCGAACATAGAAATGAAGTCATGTGAAGTTATTCGACTACTTAGGTATTATCTTATTGAATCATTTTATTATAGAGGCAGCCTTATTTCGCAGCTGTGATCAGCTGCCTAACGATATCGGGATACCCCACATGGGTATGGTTCAACGAATTACCTAAGCTGAGTTACCTAATCATTTTAAAGAGAGTTTGTTCTTGTCTCAATTCGGATAGCTCCGAGAAATCCAAATTTGGCTGGACAAGAGTTGTTAGTTATCTCATACAACAAATTGCCAGGTAGCCTCAACTTATTTTATGTCTATTTATATTCTATACTTTTCAATTTCGCATTGAATTCTCCAATTGAGTCTTGTGAAATGGATATATAAGATATAAAACTCAAATATGGGTTCAGGGAAGAAGTCGAACTCTGGAGCGTCTAATGCGACCATCACACGAAGCTCTTCTAAAACCCATGTAGCTTCGAAAGCCGCCATTAAAGCCCAAGAGGCATTGGCCGTGATATTCGCCTTCCGCCTCATTAATGCGCTTTGCGTTCGTACATTTTTCCAACCAGACGAATATTTCCAGGCTCTCGAACCAGCATGGCGTATGGCATTTGGGGGGAACAGCGGAGCATGGCTCACCTGGGTATGTAGACTATCAGACAACTTTCCTAGCCTATACGACGTTGTTCTATTCAGACTTGGTCTGGTGACTCAGCTTTAGTTAATTTTTCAAAAAAGGAATGGGAACATCAACTCCGCTCTTCAGTTCACCCCGCTGTGTTCGCTTTTGGATACTACGTCGTCCAAAACTTCGGGGGGTCGAATATGGCTCCACAGGTCATGGCCAAATTGCTCCTTGTAGCACCTAAAGTCCTACAGACTGGATTTGCTACCTTGAGCGATTGGTATTCTTGGAGGTTAGCCGAGAAGTTGTACGGCCGAGGGAGTGCTGCTGCCTGGTCTGTTGTGAGTAACTTGACCCCTGGATAGCTGCCTGATGCACAATTACTCATACCTGCGTATAGTTGTTGACGACCTTGCTCAACCCCTGGCAATGGTATACTTCAACGAGGACATTCTCCAATTGCTTCGAGACCACGCTAACAGCTACGGCTCTCTACTATTTTCCTTGGAAGCTTCTCGGTACCGAAGATGATGGAATTGCGGAATCTCAGTATTCCACTATTCCAATTTTCGAAACTTGGAGCCAAATCAACAGGCATGTCTCAAGTCCTAGAATGCGACGTTTTTATACTAACTCGCGATGTATAGTTTCCGCTTGTCTCTGATCTTGGCTGCATTTGCAGTTCTCTTACGACCAACTAATCTTCTAATATGGTTGGCTATAGGCTCTCTTGCTTTGACAAGGCTCACCCTTGGTGGAAAGTCGCCACTTACTAGAACAAACCTCCTTATTGCGTATAGGGAGGTATTCCTATGCGGGTAGGTAAATCTTCTAGCAATTTTCTTGTGGTTTTCTGACAGTAGTCTTAGGTCACTTGTTCTAGGTCTGTCTCTGCTAGCTGACCGTCAATACTATGGAGAATGGACATTCCCTCCTCTCACGTTCCTACAATTCAACGTAGGAAAGGACCTAGCCGCCTTCTACGGCCAAAATGACTGGCACTACTATCTCTCCCAAGGCATAACCTTGTCCTGTACAACCGTAACCCCTTTCGTGCTTCAGGGCCTCTACAAGTCCTTGGATGTAGAGAGGTCAGGTTGGTCGGTTACGACCTCCAACACTTTGAAAGCATTGTCTTTCGTTGTAGCGACCACGATAGCCTCATTATCATTAGTCTCCCACAAAGAAGTCCGCTTCATCACACCCCTTATCCCAGTCTTCCACGTCCTAGCAGCTCCGTACATCACATCCTTTTTTACATCAATAGCAGACGTCACCGCTACCGTCTCAACCCCAAATCTAGGGTGGAAGCGAACACCCTTACTAGCAACGGGGCTCCTCGTAAACGCCATAATAGGTGGTTACCTCTCTTATTTCCATGCCGCGGCTCCTATCCAAGTGATGGACTTTCTACGCTCCGAATTCGAAAGAATCCACCCTAAGCACCTTAGCCTTACCAACACCATAACCGATGACCTGGACTTCGAGCAAGAACTCTTCGCACTCTTCTTAACCCCATGCCACGCCACACCCTGGCGCTCTCACCTCATATACCCCGCGCTCCGCGCACGCGCCCTAACCTGCGAACCACCCATCGACACCGAGCCACACTCGCTACGTCGCCGGGTGTACATGGACGAAACGCGACAATTCTACGTCGACAAAATCGGGTTCTTGCAAGAACTATGGCCACGCGATCGACCTGGTGAGGATATGGCGCGGTTTATCATTGGATACGAAGGTATTAATTCTACGCTACATGAATACTTTGATTGGTCGGGCCCTGGAGCTAGACATAAGATTCAATTGAAGGAGGTCTGGAGCTCGTGGAATGGATTGTTTACGGATGATGATAGGAAGGCGGGACGGTTGGTGGTTTGGGCTACGGAGTTTTATGATAAGGCGTATCCGATAGAACCGTAGATGTGAGATGTGAGCTTGTTGGAGTGTGGGGAGGTGGTGGTTTGGATGGTGGTAATGATGTACCTCATAAAAAAGTACTTAGCTGATGGTTGGAAAAAGTATTCTCATATAATAGCGGAAATGTAGAATTAATTTCTGTCTCATACTTGATCTGCTTAATTGGTGCTTACTATCGTCGAATGCTCATGCCACTTGCGGGGAAAGTAGCCAGACAACAACAATCTACTACCGAATGTAAACTTTCACACATATTCAAGGCATTGATTGAATCGTTCGTTATTTCATTAGTACCATTCGGCATGCTAACTAAATCGATTAGTTAGGGGAGGCTGTACACCCAGTTCGCTAATACTGAACTGGGCCTGCCGTAATAGATTTCTATATAGGCTTTCGTTATCAATTCTCATAACTCCATGTAGTGACTAACAGACCAGGCCGCCATCTGTAACAGAACTTATGCGAGGTACGTGTATGAGCTTCCTTCACGTTCGAGGTAATCCTTTTCGATTAACCTGACTCAATGTTAGCCCAATATTCAGTAGTGCAATTTAGATGCGGGAGGTAACTTACTTCTCGATGTTTTTCTTGATCTCGGCCGGCTCGATAGCACCTCTGCTCTTAGTCTGGTTGATGACTTCGGCGACGAGATTGGAATGCGTCATTGTCTTACGGCTCTTCATTATTCTTACGATAGCGGCCTGGCATTCGAATTGTCTGTCTTGATTAACCCGCTCGTGAGTATCCTGGTTTTCTTCCTTGGTTTCCTTAAGCTGAATTTGATTGACCTTGACGCGATATTTAGGATCCGTAAATGCCTTGTTGACGGTAAAAGTGTCGGTTGGGTTCACATCCTTCCCTTTCGGATGTTTCGTGAGGACACGAACTTTTCCGCATGCGAGAGATTGTAGAGTACGATTCAGATCCTTTCCGCTCAAACCCGTGTTCTCTGAGATGTTTTGATAAGTGAGGAACCCGTCTGGCTTACCCTCAATTTCGTTGAATAGAGTCAACACGACGGCTTGAAAAGCACTGACGAGTAACTCCTTCGACCCTTTATTGAAGCGTGCCTTAACTACACAGTGGCCAAGGGAATGTTTCCATGTAAGGCGTCTTCCAGTGTGTTTGTTGATATAGTACCCTTCGAATAGTTCGATTTGACTCGCAACATCGCTGGGGAGTGTGAGCTGTGTATCTGGATATGACGGCCATGCTGCAGCAGACAAGATGTTGACGCTGAGATCCAAGTTACTCCTTGCATGTCCATTTCCCTCGCGCCAAGCTTTGTACGAAGCCATCTCATCACGAGCGATCTGTTGATCCTTAAACATTTGCTCTAGGTTGTGAGTAAAGTTAGAACCACACTCGTTCTTCAACTTCGCCAACATGCTTCTCTCCGCATCCGCGCTGGCACTACGACCCATGAGAAGACGTCGCGCTAGGTCTTGCTTGTAAAATGCCTCAAAGACATCCTTCCCTTCTATGAAGCGGAATAACTCGAGAGCTTGGTCAAGTTGTCGATCCAACTCGGCATCCTCATCACCGGTACTTGTTTGTCCACTTTTCTCGGCATCGACACGGTCTTTGACATCGGACAGCAGCGACTTTGGCAGAGTTTTTAGACCTCCTCTGAGAAGTAAGTCGATATATCGAGCAATCATCTCGCCAACCTTGGAAGTACCCGAGTTCCATGCGATCAATATCTTCCGGTCATTGATGAAGCTTGAAAATGCTTGCCGCATGCTATACGTAAACTCGTCATCCTTTTTGAAGGCATCTCGAATCATGAGATCCAATGATCTCCTTAATTCAAGTAATCTGACCACCATCTCGTCACCCCTGGCTGTGTCTTTCACAATTGCCGAGCCCGCTTGTATGATGTATTCTTCCCACGGTAGCTTTAAGCTCTTTTGTATGCCTGATAGTCGTAAGAGGTCATACAAGGCTTTCATAGATTCCACAGCATTCTCATCTAGGAGCTTGCTGATGCTGTCACTGTCGAGTAGCTTGTCGGAATAGTTATCGATAAGTAATTGATGTGCATTTTCCATCAATTGTCTCTTAGTAGTGCTATCAAAATTATAGGCGTTGCAACGATAGTCTTCCCGCGCAAGTAACTTCTCACAACTGGAAATGTAGGACTTCAAGGAGGCGCTGCTCTGTTCCTCGGCGAATTCTATGAAGTAACTGTTAGACTCTTCTATGAATATTGGTTCGAACGATCGGGCGGCCCTTCCGTATATGCTCAGGATCTTGATCATTGAAATAGAGTCACGTAACAAAGCTGGGTCAAATCGGGGATCTCCTTTTCGATCGTAGTCCACTAGATCGCACATGCCACCGAAGGTCCTATCACCTGAGTTAGAGCTCGTAGCGAAAACCGTTCTCCTAAACAGTGACAGCGCCATATCGTTAATCTGGGCAAGTTCCTTGTTACCAAGAAGAAACGATCGGTCGAGATAACTAAACACTGAGCGAATCGTAATCTAAGATTGCACGTCAGCCTCCGAGGGTTTGCGGCAACAATATAGATATAGTTACCGACTGGGTATTCCAAATAACCCAATGTTTGTGGACACTCCTCAGCATATCAACATCCGATGGCCCAGCTTCGGCGACTATGGACTTATGAAGGTTATTCTTTAAGTAATTGTCACATCGTTCCCGCAAAATTTCATAAAGCTCCCTAGATGAGCCATGCCTGCAGAGATCCTCGACGCCACGATAAAGTCTCTCGAGAGGTTGACGGGGTTGCTTCTGCTCGAATATAGCCTGGAGGGCGTCTAGTAGTTCTTTCTTTGTGGCATCGTAATATTTCTCGAGGTCGTTGGCTCGAGAGGTAGTTCGAAGGTTCTTGATGACAAGCTTCTTTGCGCCCTTATGTGGTTGGAATGCAGTAGGGGGCCTCGTCAAGTCGACGATCTCGGGTCGTTTGCTGAAGGCTTTGCTCATTCTCGTGGTACTCTGGTCGATCAGATTATTCAACTTAGGACGTTTTTGATCGTGGCCGGATAATCGGACGTCAGATGGCTGTCGAGAATGGGCACCAGTAGCACCAGCGGGTTTACGTTTCGACGGGGCCGCAGATGAAGGGGACTGTCCGTCGAATGGCGAGCTTCCCGGCGAAGGCATGGACCCGTAAGAGGGCCTGCAACTACGTGAATAGTCACACAGGCCTGAATTGGAGGGAGGGGTGGCAGATCATCAAATCCCCAAGGATAACGTGGTAGTAGCTTGCGATCGCCGAACAAATAACGATGTCGAATGAAGGATGAGTATCCGCAATGGAAGATTAAAACAAGAGTATACTGATTGATGCTATCGTCTTATCGCAGACGGGAGCTTGCATTAATTACCTAATGGTACGTGTCGTGGTGTATGATCTCTATGAGATACTATTAATTGAGCTAAGCTTGTAAGAGTAAAAGTTGGGTGGATGGTGATGTAGAAGTGAACGCGTCGGGGTTTGGGTTGCGGGGCTTAAATCCGGTCTTGGCTCCTGCCCCACAGTGGATCTCGGTACCTCCAGCTACCTGTAGAGGGTCCTGACTTCCAAGGTTACGTAAGGTGGGTGTCCATGTCGCACCCCCAATTTTCATAACAAGTTCCTACGTACCTGCTTGTTCAGCCGCTTAAGCAGATCCCCAGTGAAGTTCTTACGGGAATAATGAGGAGGCTGAGTTGAACATTTGATTTGTATCTACGTGTAACTTCCCTTCTAAGTAGATAATTAATTTTAAAGATATTGGCCTCGTCATATTCACTTGAGTAACTTTGTTGCATTGACATGTGTTAAGCAATTCATATCTAAAGGGACGTGGCAGGTACTACGTACATACATGTATGTTAGGTAGACAGCGTAATGGATGGTTCGTAACTGCTGTTGAACGTAGGACAATACTAAGGAAGCATCTCTAACCAAACATTCCAGGGTATTACAGGCATGCACTTAAGCTTAAGTATGCTTAATTATTTTATTCAAAGAAATATATAGATAATAGAATCCGACTACGCTCTCTAAACTCATTATATAGATTAAGTGTATTTCGAGTAGGTTCTTTAGCTACATTTATAATCAATTAAATGACTGTATTTTTATCTTAGATCTGTTCTACAGAAGTTCGTAGTGGTTGGTCTTACAATGACAAAGTAATATGAAATCATTGGATAAATAAAGTGGACCACTAACGCTATGCACAAAATCTAGAATCCATTCAATGTTCCGACTTCGGGTTCTTCATGAGTTCCAAGGTTCGGATGTCGGGACCTAAAACACAACTAAAAACGGCCTGGAATAAGCTATAGCAACCCACCTTTACCAGCTTACCTGCATACCAACTTGCCGCTTGCTTACAAAACCTGGGAAGCTTTCCAAACTCCGAACGGTAATGACCGCCACTTTGCACCCTCCACTAAAATTTCCAGATCGACATCACCATCCTTCCATCCAACTCTTACTAATCGCATTTCCCCTTCTGCGTTTTCCCTACTTAGGTATCCTTTTAAACTTCCGTCAATGCTACACCTTATTGCGCAATTGGAGTTCCTTACCTTTTTTAAGCATCTACTATGATCTTTGTCATCCGAACTTCACCTTAACGCGGTCATGCGATTCAGTGACCACTCCCAGCAGGTCCTGCAATCGACCGGCTCCTTCACGGGCTACAGGCCTCTTCGCGAGCTTGGAAAGGGTTACCTTAGCGCAACAGATCATTTCAAACAACCACTATGCGGTAACGAAGAAGGATGGGGGCCTTTGAGTCCCTTCAGATATGATTTCACCCCGTGTTTTATTGACATTTGGGTCTTTGCCGTAGCTGTCTTTGGTATCGTATGTGGTGCCCTAGCGGTGTGGTATATCTTACGCAGGCAGAAGCCTGCGGAAGTTTCCAAAGATTGGCACTTCTGGACAAAACAGGTATGTTTGGACCCTTCCCTACACTACCAACACATGCATTGGCACTCGCAAAGTGTACTTGATACTAATAACTTCATGTCAGTCCCTACTCGCCGTTATCATCGCCGACACCATCGCGCAGCTCGTTATTCAGATTATCAAATACCCTGGAATATGGCATGGCGATTTTCGAGTTCTCACAACAATCCTTACCATCATCTCGCTCGGTGTTATTTTCACGATTCAATGGCTCGAACACGATCGCACGAGGAATGCTAATGGTGTTGTACTGTTCTTCTGGCTGCTTCTCTTAATCGCGTACGCCGTGAAGTTAAGGTCTTTGATCTCCCAACAAATTTATGATAAGAATCTTCCATACTTCGTGACCTATACTCTCGGGTTTGGCCTCTCTGCTATTGAATTTGCCGTCGAATGGTTATGGCCCAAGAAAACAAGCGCCTACGAAGCCTTGATCGACGAGGAAGGAGAGGAATGCCCGGTGGAATACGCGACGGTTTTCTCCCGCCTTACTTTTTCGTGGATGACCCGTATGATGAAGCATGGATACAAGCAATATCTCACCGAGGAAGATCTATGGGGTTTATCCCCTAACGACAAGACCTCTTCAACAGGACAGCGGTTTGAACGAGCGTGGGAATATCAGTTGAAACACAAGAAGCGTCCTTCGCTTTGGATAGCTTTATTCCGCGCTTATGGCACGCCTTACCTGATTGCAAGTATCTTTAAGGTCATTACCGATATGGCGGCTTTCACACAACCTCAACTTCTACGTTATCTCATAAGTTTCGTTAAATCTTATGGAGAAGGAAAGGAGCCTCAACCTCCTATTAAGGGCGCTGCTATTGCCCTAGCTATGTTCTTCGTCGCTGTTGTGCAGACGAGCACTATCGTGAGTTAAATCGTAGCACTGCTTATAAAAAAAAATGTCTTACTGACAAATTGCAGCATCAATACTTCCAGCTTGCGTTTGTCACAGGAATGCGCATTAAGTCGGGTTTGGTATCTTCCATCTATAAGAAGTCATTGAAACTTTCAAATGAAGGACGATCTACAAAAACAACAGGAGATATTGTCAATTATATGGCCGTTGATGCGCAACGTCTTCAAGATCTAACCCAATTTGCCCAACAGCTGTGGTCAGCTCCATTCCAAATTACCATTTGTATGATATCGCTATATCAACTTGTTGGATGGTCTATGCTTTCTGGTATTGGTGTTATGCTCATCATGATACCCATCAATGGCTTCATCGCAAGACTAATGAAGACCTTACAAAAGACTCAGATGAAAAACAAGGACGCAAGAAGTCGTTTGATCGCCGAGATCATCAACAACATGAAGAGCATAAAGCTCTACGCTTGGAGCACAGCTTTTATGAACAAACTCAATTATGTTAGAAATGACCTCGAGCTGAAGAACCTCCGCAAGATAGGTGCAAGTCAGGCATTTGCCAATTTCACTTGGTCTACTACTCCGTTTTTCGTCTCATGTTCAACTTTTGCCGTCTTCGTCTGGACCCACGATATTCCATTGACCACTGATATTGTTTTCCCCGCCCTTGCGCTATTCAATCTACTCACCTTCCCACTTGCCATCTTACCTATGGTCATCACATCGATCATCGAAGCTTCAGTTGCTGTCGGCCGCTTAACAGAGTATCTCACCGCCGAAGAAGTTCAGCCCGACGCAGTCATCACTAGTGTTGCTGCAGAGGAGCGGGGGGAGGATTCAGTTGTCATTCGCAATGCGACGTTCTCATGGAACCGCCACGAGTCCAAGACTGTCCTCAAAGATATTAACCTCAGTAGTCGCAAGGGTGAACTTACGTGTGTAGTTGGTAGGGTCGGAGCAGGGAAGTCATCTCTTCTACAAAGTATTCTTGGTGATCTATGGAAGATAGAAGGTGACGTTCGTGTCCGAGGCTCAACAGCATATGTCGCTCAGCAGCCATGGATTATGAACGCAACTGTGAAGGAAAACATTATCTTTGGGCATCGATACGATTCAAATTTCTATGAAAAGACTGTTAAGGCCTGCGCACTTCTTGCCGACTTCACGCAGCTACCTGATGGGGATGAAACTGTTGTCGGCGAAAGGGGTATTTCTCTGAGTGGTGGTCAGAAAGCTCGTGTCGCCTTGGCGCGTGCAGTATATGCACGAGCTGATATTTATCTTCTCGATGACTGTCTATCTGCAGTGGACTCCCACGTCGGTAGACACATTATTGAGAATGTACTCGGTCCGAAAGGTCTTCTCAATTCCAAATGTCGTATTCTAGCAACTAATGCCATCTCGGTACTTCCCGAAGCCGATTACATCTATCAACTCAAGGACGGCGAAATCGCTGAGAATGGTACCTTCCGACAGTTAGTAGCTATGAAAGGAGGTATCGCAGAACTTATTAAATCATCCGGCCAAGATTCCGGTCCAGCCTCCTTAGATGCTAGTCCCGAGGGCTCTGGAAGCGAGACATCTACCTACATTGAGACGGATAACACCCAGGACAAAGAAGAAATTGAAGAGGCCCAGGAAGGAATTGCTGAGTTAGCGCCCATTAAGACTGGGCCTTCAACAGGTTCCGCCCAAAAGCGGTCGGGAAGTATGTCGACCTTAAGACGAGCAAGTGCCGCCAGTTTCAGAGGCCCAAGAGGTAAACTTCAAGACGAGGAAGAACCGAGCGCCAAGACGAAGCAAGCCAAAGAGCATTCCGAGCAAGGGAAGGTCAAATGGGATGTATACCTCGAGTATGCTAAGACTAGCAATCTGGTGGCCGTTGCTATATATCTTCTCACTCTGGTTGCTGCCCAGACTGCACAAATTGCAGGTAGTGTCTGGCTGAAAAACTGGGCAGAAGTGAACGGGAAAGCAGCAGCCAATCCTCATGTTGGAAAGTATCTCGGCATCTATTTCGCTTTTGGCGTTGGTTCATCTGCCTTGACAGTCGTTCAAACACTTATACTCTGGATTTTCTGCTCCATCGAAGCCTCGAGGAAGTTGCACGAGAGAATGGCTACGGCAATCTTCAGGTCGCCGATGTCTTTCTTTGACACTACCCCGGCAGGAAGAATCTTGAACCGTTTCTCCAGTGACGTTTATCGACTAGATGAAGTTCTAGCTAGAACCTTCAACATGCTTTTCGTCAACTTGGCTCGCTCAGGATTCACTCTAATCGTGATCTCGGTCAGCACACCGGTTTTCATCGCATTAATCATACCGTTGAGCGCGGTATACTACTGGGTACAGCGATACTATCTCCGAACATCACGGGAACTTAAGCGATTGGATAGTATAAGCCGTAGTCCTATATATGCACACTTCCAAGAATCACTAGGCGGCATAAGCACAATCCGAGCATACAAACAACAGGAACGGTTCGAGCTTGAGAACGAATGGCGAGTCGATTCAAACTTGCGGGCTTATTTTCCATCCATCAGTGCAAACAGATGGCTAGCCATTCGATTAGAATTCCTCGGTGCCGTCATTATTCTTGCGGCTGCAGGATTTGCCGTCGTCTCCGTGACGAACCATAGTGATCTCAGTGAGGGGATGGTTGGCTTAGCCATGTCATACGCCCTACAGATCACTACGTCATTGAATTGGATCGTTCGTCAGACGGTGGAAGTAGAGACGAATATTGTCTCCGTGGAGCGAATCCTCGAGTACGCACGCCTACCGAGTGAAGCTCCTGAAATCATCCACAAACGCAGGCCGCCGATTGCTTGGCCCGCCAACGGAGCGGTCCGCTTCCATGACTACAGTACCCGCTATCGTGAAGGATTGGACCCAGTACTGAAGAATATCAATTTGGATATTAAGTCGCATGAGAAAATTGGTGTCGTAGGACGGACGGGGGCGGGCAAATCCTCTTTGACATTATCACTCTTCCGTCTGATCGAACCGATCGCTGGAAACATAAGCATCGACGATCTTAATACGTCAACCATTGGTTTATTGGATTTGCGAAGGCGTCTTGCTATCATTCCGCAAGACGCTGCTCTCTTCGAAGGTACAGTCCGGGATAATTTAGACCCAGGTCATGTTCACGATGATACAGAACTATGGAGCGTACTTGGTAAGTGTCTCACTAATCTTACCCAGCTTGATTTATGTCGCAGGTCGGAGAGGGCACATGCTATCGTGCAGCTCCGCCCAAGTCGGTTGCCTCCCACTATCTGACGTAGACTAATTTTTGTTTCCCACAGATCATGCACGATTGAAGCAGCATGTGTCAAGCATGGAAGGCGGACTAGAGGCCAAGATCAATGAAGGAGGTAAGTTGACTAATTCCGTTTTCTCTCGGCTTTCGCCATTGTTCGTCATGGTTCTTATCTTTTTTTTTTCTTCGTACCTGCGGCTACATGCGTAACGTGCGACGGTGCACATGTGCGAAGCGGGACTCGTTTTTGGCATATTGATCTTCCACCATCTGCTTGGCTTTTCGACCAATTCCTGACTAGGGTCCTGCATGATCGTTGAGTTTTTTTTCCCCTCGGAGCTCGGTGATAACTTCGTCATTTGAACACCACTTAAGCAGTGTATGTGACTTTGAAATGCCGACTAATACTTTGAATTACACAGGATCGAATTTGTCAGCAGGCCAACGACAGCTAGTCTCCCTAGCTCGTGCTATGCTTACACCATCCAATATTCTTGTGCTTGATGAGGCAACGGCGGCTGTCGATGTGGAGACAGATGCCATGCTGCAAAATACGTTACGCTCCTCGATCTTCGCGCACCGCACTATCATCACAGTGGCCCACCGTATCAACACGATCCTCGACAGTGACAGGATCGTCGTCCTTGATAAGGGTGAGGTGGCTGAATTTGATACGCCGCAAGCGCTTATTCAGAAGAAAGGAATGTTTTACAGTTTAGTCAAGCAGGCTGGGCTCGATACAGAATAGTTTGCGCCTTGGCTTGGATCGAGACCCGTTTGCAATATCCTGTTTCAGCATACATTCATACAATACCCCGGAGCACATGTTGAGTTACTAAAAAGTTTAGTCAGCCCACGTTACTTAAGTGGCTGCTGTTATACCTGTTTGGACTTGTGTATAAACCCTGTAGGAAAAAGCAATAGTACAATAAAAGCATGCATTCAAAGAGCATTTTTGATTTCATGCTGAAGCATGTGGGATGATGATGTAAATCCTACTTGGTAGTAATAATCACATACCTACTTAGGTATGTACCTAAATTGGCAGGTATTCAAGACAGTAAGTAGTACCAGATGTTTGAGCTCCATTGACAGTGAAGCTAAATGTATTGTGGATATGATGTTGCGCTGGATCGTCACTCTTACTCGCCATGCAACATCTCACGCAATACGATGCTATACGACACCCTATAGAGTGCCGTTCGCCTTACACCATTGTTATCATTCCGATACCATCGTTAATAGCAACGATCGTGGACTAGGCAGCCACAGCATGGCGGAAGGCGGTAGATAGAAATGTCTGTTTGATGCTGTGATAGGCTAAGTGATCAGCGTTTGTCCACTCCCTGTCTCCATGCCTATCTTTTCTTGCTTCTTCTTCTTCCTTCGTCCCCCCGGCTGTAACTTATTTTTTTTCTTTTGCCGTAAATTTCCGCGGCTGGCACTGTACATCCATTTTGCGCGTCATCATCCTTATCTCCCCACTGCCTTACATCGTTGTATTTTTTTGAGCGTCCCGAGGCTTGATATGGTGAAACGTGGACCTCATTAACCTTTTACAACATATATGTGTACTACCCGTAAAAGGTATAGGATAATAAGCAAGTATAACGGTTCTGGCGTTGTGTCCCCGTTGCGCAAGAGGGGGGGTAGAAGGGACAAGGGGGAAAAAACGAAGAATAAGGGGGGAGAAGAGGAAGAGGAAGAGGGGGGAAGAATTTGGGAGTGGAGACTGCCTTCAACGGCGATACATATCTTGTTCGCATCTTTTGCCTTGTGTCCCCCTGAACCGTTCGCCTTGTGTCGTGTTGAAACGTAAGGTCGAGATAGCTTCCCACTTTCGCATGCTGTCACCGTGGCACAGTCAGTGCACGCATGCATTAGTTATGCCCTAGTAGGTATTTTACAAACTGCCTAACCAAGGTAGAAATGGACCTACCTACTTACCGACCTTGGTTTTTTTGCCGGTCGTTAGGATTATTATCTTTTTATTATTACCTTTCCTGCTTAGGTACTTTACTACCTTAGCTACCTACGTAACCACGTAACCACCCCCAGGACAATTTGATAAGAGGGAACAAGGACTCGAGGATCCCCTCCCCTTATTGTGGTTTTTTATCCCTCTTAGCGACGTTACACGGCCGTGCCGTCCGCACATGGCTAACCTTATTCAGCGTGTTGCGTACAGCCGAGCAATGCGCAATTGGTAATCTGACAGATTCCCGTCGGGTCCTTCAACAAGTGACCGCCGCAATGGAGCACTCCGTTCTTGGTTCTTTGAATTGCGGGGGAGAAACGAGGTGGGGAAAATGGGCCATATTCCTACGAAAAATGGCTTTAGGATGTTAATCATTGTCTTTTATACGGAATATATGTGTATGACTTTGTTATGAGGTAATAGGCTTCGGTGGTATTATTGTATGGTCTGGGCATTTTCAAATCCGTTCGCTCTCTTGAAGTCATGAGAAGCTTTAGCGAGGGGGTTGGCTTGCTGCACTCGAACATCACATCTCAATCGAGATCCGTGATATCGCTACTGCTGATAGGTGATAGGATTAATAACCTAGGATTTCCTTCACGCGGTTATAATTGCCTTGTCCTGTTGTCTTTTTTCTCGAAGGGCCATGTCCGTTCCACGAAAGACCCCCCCTCTCTCTTCCTCCTCGGATCGACTTGCAGCAATTCGATTTGTTAATTCCGATGTACAGCTACTTAGGCAATTTTTCTTCCTCATAGGTGGGATGGAGGGAGACAATATGGCTGACTGATCCGTTGGTAGTTTACCACTTGGTAGCAACCATGTGCTCGCTTCCCAGCGTCATCTCAGACAACGGGGTCATGCAACCGCAGTCCAAAAGGGACTGGCGAGGTCTAGGCAAGTTACCTTAAGGTAGACGACAGACACGCAGCATATGCGGACGTTATGCCGTGTAACATCAAGGGTTTCCTCGAAGAAAAGATGAGGAGGAAGGAGGGGGGACATTTCTGGACGCCGCTGGACTGCAGTGCCTGGATGATTCGTCGAGAAGCCGAAGTGGAAAACGGGAAAAGTATGGAAGAAGAAATAGAAGACACCAAAGAGGGAAAAAAAGGAAAAAGAGCAACAATAATCCATGTCGAATGGGCACCTAGACGGCTCGGACTCCGGCAAGATAGATTAGGTACTAGAACATAGACATATTTTTATTATTATTATTTTGCATGTAGGCGCTGCTAGCGATTTATTAGATATTGTCAAACATAAATAGGAAATAGTACGTACGCATATGTAGCGTGGTATTATGCGGTGAGAGAATCTTCATTCATCCAATGTCGACGATAATGATATGTGCATACATTAAATGTAACGCATGCCTCATTCGAGCCAATGCCCCCCGAAGCGATGCGCCCTGAGTAGCTGAGTATGTTCTCGAAAGGAAGAAAGACCCAGCTGATCAGCGCCCTGATCCGGCTTCCAGGCTACGTTAGGTCATGTACCTACGTAAGTAGTTAAACGAGGAGAAAAAAGTACATCGGTAGGTACGTCAGTCAGGCTTAGCGCCCACGATGACTTCACGCATGTAGGAGCAGTTTTAATACAAATCTAGTGAAAGCCACTTGATCCTATACCTACATATCTATACGTACTAATACTCTTGGCTAACTAAAAATAAGCACCTGAAAACTTCGATAGTCTTATTCCGAAAACCAGGTTGCTTTTTTTCAGATATGCCGGGTGTTTGCTCGGTGCAGGCATTAATTTACCTAGGTACCATGGAATGGGCTTTAAGCCATCTAACGACGTTTTACCTATTTACGAGTTAGGGAAGACGGAACCTAACCGTGATAAGACTGGTAGCGTTATTCAAAATCTATTGTCATATTATGGTGGTAACCCCATTGAACCATTCAGGTCCGGAAACTACTTCGATCTTCTCACATACATTACCGATCTAATGCGAGAAGTCACAAGAAAACCCCTGCAGGATCTAGGCGATTCCTTGTTGGACACGTTGGGCCAAGTGCTTCCCTCCACTAGCCTCGCGAATTAGATTAAGCAGATGGTTTCCCGTATTTTTGTGGCGGTACTTAGCACGCCAACAAGAGCTGTACCCAATGGAATGGTTAGCGCCACGGCCGCTGACGCGTGCGGGCAGCTCTGAGGGAGCAAGGGAGCTTCTCCAATGTGATTAGCTGATAGCTGTGTTAGGCTCTGCCAATACTTGCATAGTCCATTCGATAGTTCCAAGTACCGGCGGTCAAGCTACTATCAATAAGTAATTAGGAAGATGACAACCCGATCTAACTAAGGAAATTTAAGGTGAGCAAAAGAAAGATCATCCTTTTACACCGAAGACCAGGCCCTGGTTGCGACGTCTGAGAACCGTAGCGACATATAACGTTGCGAGAAAAAGAATCCATGTAAACCTTAGCTAAGGAAATAGATCTCCAATGCTTTCCACATACTGAAAAAAGAATGTTTTATGTTGGTTATTGAAGCTCTATATTGCCTACAACCTCCTATCTACCGTACCTGAAAAAATTCGGACGAGAAGTAGAACGGGGAAGTAAGGTCCGGAAGGGATGCTTGTGGTTGGGATGAGATCGACCCGGCATGTCGGTAGACGGGCGGGGCTAGGGGCTCACCTGCTATTAATTGTAATCAAAGGACGCCTGGGAAGTAGATCTAGAGGGGTATACCTGGGCATTAGGGTATCCATTGGTGGTAGTACAAAAGAACATGGCCAAAGGGAGCTCTTCCTCTGCGCCTCCATGCGAGTTGTAAGGCCATTCCTCGGGAGGTGGCCAATTGGATCCAAACCATGTGTGATGTTCAGACCTGGTGTTTGAAGGAGGCTTGCGAGTAAACGAAAATGGAGAATATTGTGTGGGTTGGTTCTCAACCGCTATATATGATTATTAGAAATCGAACCCCCATACCTAGTCGTGGTGGTCGTGGGGGGTTTATGAAGTCTAAAATCTCATCGGAGCAAGCAAGATATCATCAAGATAAATGGCGTGAAAGAAGCAAAGAAGGTTACGAGGCTGAGACGGTTTCACGCAAAAGCCAGTTTTCCCACTTGTGAAATACGCCGTTAGAGGCCAGCGTATCAAAGAGAGAACGTATCACGAGTAGCGATCCGCAAAGTCGTTACGCCTTTGAGACATGGCAAGGTGCTGCTGAAATATCCCCCGGGCTCCTGGTCCCTGCTAGACAGACAGTCGGCACGTATGCCTGTATTAAGTAATTACCTAGGTAGGTACTTTGTGTAAGGCGCCCTCCCTGTCTTTAGCTAACACGGATGCCGTAGTTCATATAGACTAATGACTAAAATTTGTTGGTTTATACAGCAGTTAGATCTTACACCGGCCGAGACCCGGGTGATTCGTGCATAGAAAAGGGCAAGGGGGAGGTGCGTTCTTAGACTAGAACGTATAGTGGGTGGGCCAATGCCTTACCAAAACGTTTGTACCTAATCTCGGATGACCAATGTGAAGCGATCGGCCCGAGGTAGAAACAATGGCGGGATTGTTATACGGCGGATGAGGTAGGGGATAGCCATGTAGAAAACCTGGGTATATAAATTGCCAACGGCCTGTGTGCAAGTCACTCATGGAGGCAGGCATGTAGGTGCGTATATGTACCTGATTTCGATGTGAGATCACGTTATTAAGTAAGGTCGTAACGAAGAAAAAGGAACATGGGTATGCATAGTATGTAACTAATGTATAAAAAGCAATATGTATATTAATAATAGTAGGGTCGTACCAGAAGCAAAGCAATGTTGGTTGACAGCGGACGGTGGCGTATGTGCATGGGGGGTGCTTGACCGTTCAAATGCAAATGCCTCGTTCAGCAAGCTATTACTAGCAGGAAAAAAGATGCTGGTTTTGAAACACTGTGTTTTATCTCACCAGCGACATTTGATCGAGCGGGAGACGCACGTACTCGCATCTTCGAACTGGCACCTGATATCGCTACTCTGAACCCTCCTTGAGATGCGACGGCGCATTTAGATGTAGATATATGTATTTAATAAGTTATATACTACTCTACTGATAGGAATGTAACCTTGCCTACGTATAGCACATTAGTTACACATGAATACGTGGCGCTTGGTACGTTTTGCTAGATCTTGATAGACTTGTGACTTTCGTTCGAGGGTTGAGTAGACAAGGAGGCTCAATTGAGACGAACTTCATTAATGGGATGGATAACCTACTTCTCGGTGATCCTTTCAAGGTTCCATAGCTTCCGTAAACCGTTATCCTGTATCATATTTACATAAATGTGTACTTTTAGGTGTTCTACTTGCGTGTGTACTTAACAAATCCCCCCACTTCGGAACAGGGCAAAGAGATATCAGACCCATTTACCCGGATATAACAGTCAATAATCCGCCTACAAGTTTCGAAGAATCTACGTTAATATGTATATACCTGGTACATAATAAAGGAGATATAAACGAACCCCTGAAAAAGGAAACTAATGTTGACGAATAAGCGACATTGAACACTGCATAAATGATGCTGGGTACTTAGAAGATGATGACCAAGTTGAAGCACAGGTGTTTTCCCCCTTCTAATTACGTACTGTGTGTTAATACGAGGCTACCTTGCTATTCTTATCCTGAGATTGCAGGGCAGATTTACCCCAGAGCTGGGGTAGGTTCGAGATCACGTCTTAGCATGCCCATGCAATCCAAGCGTTGGAGCAACAACTGGGCGCTTGAAGGTTAACCGATGCCTATCGTTTGCTGATGAAGCGCGAGAGAAATGATGATTAACCAACCCGTCCCTTAGGTTGATCTACAATGGATTTTAGATCTTGGGGCCAAGACATGGGTGACACAACGTGGGGGCTAATCTACCCATGTATCTTCTAATATCTTCATCTAAATAGGATAGGGATTTCGTTTCGAGATGTTTATAATGGGAAGTTGCTAAAGAAAAGGAAAGAGAAAAGTACCGTGTTTGGTCTATACGACAGTATAACATTTAAGGGGTTTTGTTATATTGTCAAGAGTTAAGAATACAATGGCCAACTTGAATAGACATGCCACGCCAAGGGCAACACCCCATGGCATTGTCGGTTCTAGTTGCACAGTGGTAACTCTTTAAATCGTAGTCCTTTTGTAGACCCTTACATGCAATTCAATTGATCCTTTTATAAAGATGTGTCTTTTCAATAACCCCGGTTGAATTTTGAAGAAAATAAATGTCAATTGGCTAACTTGAAATGGATTGAAATGTAATGAAGTTGAGGTACTTCGAATCGTTGTACTTCATTGTACATAGTTGTATTGTGAGCTCAAATTTGTAACCGGTGTAAGTCAAGACTATACTTGCATAATTATGAACCATGATTCTGATTCGTTGCTCATAACTAGCATGGGAGTTTTATAACTTACGTTTCACTCTATACATTTTCCCCCCTCTTCCGGCTCAATAAGTGTACCTAAGTACCTAAGTAGACTTACAAGAGAACTAAGTACATAAAAAAAAGAAGAAAAAATACTCATATTTCGCATTTTTTTTTAAAATACCACAATCTTGATCAGATGCACTAGAGTTGAGATTTGGGTTTCTAGAAAATTCAGATCATCATATTTCCCCCCCTTGGATCTTTTATTTTCGGAAATGACGCGTAGAATAATAAGGCTTGCTTTGCTCGGGAGGCTCTCTCTGGCCCTAGCAGAGTGTCTCCCGCCCCCGGGCTGTTCGGGTTGCCCCACAAGACTCCACAACGCACCGCCCCGGAACCGCCCTTCCTAAGTAAGCTAGACCTTCCAAGTCTTTAATAAGTCCAATCCACATTACAGGGCGCACCTTACGCATCAATGGCCATTAGAACCCAGGGGACCACTAGAGCCCACTCTTCCCGCTAATAAGCTAAGGGCAACCATCTTTTTTCCACCTTTCCACCTTTCCACATTTCCCACCCCTTCCCCCTTGCCATATACAGGGGTCAAATATCACACACACATCATGCAGAATCACCAGACTGTGATCATTCATCCACTGTTTTTGATCTCTGTCTCTCCGCATGCCTCTTTTCTTTTCCTTTCTGGTTTCTTACATAGTGCTGCGTTCCCACTTTGGTTGTTTCCTTGCCAAGTGTGGGCATATTCCTCCTTCGTCATAGCGACAGAAGAGAGTATTCCCATTTTCAGTCTTTCTACCTTTTTACCTGTCTAACCACCGGTTAGAGTATGGAAAAACAAGTAACTAATGAGCTCATAGTTAGAAATGATTCCTTTTCGGAAAACAACTTCTTATCAATATAAGAAGATCGCGATTCAATTTATCTTCGAAGTGAAAATAGTTTTTCACTTACAGACAGAAACTAGTGTCTCTTCAAAGAAACAACTTGCGCGACGATTTAAGAAAATGACTATAACTTCTTCAAAGTCCCGATGTTCTCGGCAATCTCCTATGAATTTGACAGTGTATCCAAACTTGGACACATACGCATACGTAGGTACCTAGGGTAGGGTAGGGTCTTGGTCCGTAACCAAGTACCGAATTGTACAGACTGCACCATCTAGGCCTGTCTGTACTCAGTCTTCTCCCCCACCGTATCGGCAGAGTATTGTATTGGTTGGGAAACATAACCCATGTACAATACTGTATGGATGTACAATACATTACAAGGCCTTAATTGATGCCGCCATCCATGATCCATCCATCGACCCCGGCTTTGAACATCTTTTCGGGGCTTTGTGGATAGAAATACATAGCTTGAAGAGCTAGCTTTTCCCTTGCCCGCCTGGCTACCCCCTTGACGGCAGACCCCCCTCGTAAAAAATCCACACCGTCTGTTACTACCCAAGGTAGTCTACCAATCTGTCTACCTCGCAGCCCGCAAGCCATGCCCATCTCCCAGCTGCATATTCATACTCTTTCGTGCACCACACCGGCAAACCAACTGGTGGACGATACCTCCTCTAGTCCTTGTTCACTCATAACACCCCCCAGCTTATCATAGAACGAGGGGCAGGGAATGCTTCGCGAAGTCGCTTCGTCCAATCCTGGTCATCTATCTGTGCGGTGTTTGGTCTTTTTTATTTTTTATTTTATTCTTTTTACGTTCTAAAAGACTACTATGACTACTGCTACGTCTGCTACAACTACACACAGTATTTACTCTACATACCTTGCCGTCACAAGTAGTGTCCCTTTTTCTTTTTTTCCCCTTTCGCCGAGGTTTATTAGAGAGGGCGCACCTGGGTAGTCCAACATCAAACAAGTAAACGTGTTACCGCACTCTGTTTCTTTGCGCAGAACGCCCAGTCCATCGTTCCTCGTCGCAATCGTTTGAGCTCCGCTGCGAGTTCGTCATAGCTTTACCTCCTCTTTTCTCTCCGAGTACCACTGCCGCTTGCCGCATAAGTAGTGGGAACCACATGGTTTTACGAACACTTGAACTCCGCCGCGTCACCTATCCCTCGCATTAGATTGCCGACACTTCGTGGAGACGTTTAGCTAGTTAAACCGCCTTCACCTTCATTTGCAGCGCTCTCAATGGGCCGCTTTTGAATTGGTGGGTAAATCACCTGTCGATACGGGTTCTCTTTCACAGTGCCTAACTTTTGCGGCTCAAAGCACAACGGAGGAGCATCATATCTGGCAGCAACAGCTTTCTACTCTCAACTGACTTTACAAGCTCTCACGCGGCGACTCCCCACTGATTCTGAGACAACGACGGAAGTTAGGACGAGGTAGACCATAAAGAAGTGAAGAGGCCTCAATATTCGATGTCTTACAACTCCGTAAAGGTGAAAGAAGACATACACACTCCTTCGCGCGCATCCTCTGCCAGCAGTTGATAATCCCCGTTTGAAGTCACCACAAGCTTGCTCAGCTCATTAAACTGCATACACGCGGCTGTCCAGCTCTGACGTTACGATATTGCCTTTCTTTGTTGTTAACACGGGACCCATGCTCAGCTCGGCCTAGTTCGCCGCCGCCTACTAGCACTTTCCATCCAGGTCTTATAGCACTTATTTGATATCCCGTCCGCTCCGACCAACCCAGGCCCCCCTCCTAGGAAGCAAGCTCCCGCTGCCGTCCCTGGACAAAGAAAGAGTGTCTCGTCTGAAGGCTATCAGCCCTCGATGCGCGTTTTGCCTTTCCGTTCGCTTTCTCCACCTCGATAGGTCACTACCTGGGTACTTAACCCTATTAAACTCGTTTGAGCCTTCCAATACGAAGTACTACAATCTTATCTTGTCACAACTCCTTCCTTTTCTTAACTGCACCCTCGCACATATATTGGGCACGCGCACCACCACTCCTTACGCTGCCACAACATATACTAGTTCTGACAGAAAATAATCCTCATACTGCACTCAACCGGTGCTTTCATTCTGCATCATCGTTATCCAATACACCTCGGTCTTACCGCTTTCTTCTGTGAGACATACCCAGACACGCCATCGAAATCGGAAATCGGCGACGCTCTTGCGAAGAATCCGAGCCGAACCTAGTGACGATCAGTTGCATGTGATGAACTGAAGTCGTCAGTTGTGGAGAGCTTCTACAAGTCTGCATGTTGACTATATTGTCTGCGCAACAAAAACTGATATACAACTTAGTCCGCTTCGGACAACTCATAGCCTTTCCATCTGCTTCCTCACTCTTCAGCTATGGTGCAAGACATCAATCAGCCTCGGGATCACTTCCCACACCGATCTTCATACTGGCCCCAGGAAAGATTTCCTATGGAACCAGTCCCGGACGAGAGCCGCTTTACAGAACCACAGCCTCAAGATATACGACGGCCTCCTATGGTGAGTTAGATGTCAATTTTGACTAGGAACTATGATATTGAGTGCAGTGCAGGCAATCGACAAAGCTCTGCGCGAGTATTGTAACATCTCGGCGGAATTCTACGTGCTTATACCAGTCATCGAGGGAAAACCTCATATATTCACAGCACCGAACATACCTTCGATAAATATATCTAGATTTTTAGATGTTGAGGCCCTGAGCCGCGAGTTGCAGCGCGCACAGACAGGTAAGTTCTTAAGAGGTCAGGTAGAACTCTTCGAATACACTCAACTAAATATCACCAGCTGCCGCCCAGCCTTCACACGCAGAGGAATTTGCTGCATTCGAAGAGATGAATCGTTTGGATAACGCAAGACGATGGACACAAGACCGCCGATATGGACAGCCCATGAGCTTGACAAACTTCGAGGACGACGGTAACTATAAAGCACGCAAACGGCCAAGAGCAACTATTATGCGGCGTGAACCCGAGACTTTTGAAGATGAGCCTGCAAGCTCATCAAGCTCCTCGAAGAGGGGCATCACGATTCGTGATGAAAAGGCAGTCAGGCAATTTTACGAAGAACGTTTTAAGGGTATCCAACAAAACGCATGTAAACTAATGTCGAAGGCATGGGTCAAGGCTGTTGAGCCAAAGAAACAATCAACCCATCCATATACAGGCGCAGATGAGAAAGCTCCCGATTGGTGGCCTAAGCCTTGGGGTCCATCGAAAGAACAGAGAGTTCGACACAAGGAACCCGACCATTTATACAAGCGCGGTAAGTCGCGAGCATATAAACGTGAGACAGCAAAGATGCTAATCAGTTGTCCCAGAACGAATATATCTTCTTATTCATATTCTTCGGATGATTGTTGAACCCAATCACCTCCAGCATCCCTCGGTTCAGAAGCTCTACCTGAACGTGTCTAAACTTGAGGAGGTCACTAATGAAGCTCTATCGTCGTTTTTCACCGATAAAGACAATCCCAACAATGGGGCAAAGAAACCGTATTTGAAGGAGATTTTCAAGGTTGCTCGCTTCGAAGAACGTTACAAGGATGGCCAAATCGGTAGGCAATCTAGGGCCTTTTAATAAGTATTGAGGGTTGGGCTAATCATATCTGCAGATGGATCAACCATAGTATACGTAATGCCGAATGATCGCGTTGCCCAAGGCTATTTGTCGGATACTGAAGATGTTACTCCCGGTAGAGAGGATGGCGAACACAACCCAACCCCGACTTCTTCCAGCGCATCACCCCAAAGAACGAACTTGTCGCAACCGATCATGGGGCATAATCATAGTACAGATCAGAGTCCTACAACACAGATACCTAGCGAGGCCTTTGTTGGAGAAATGCCGGTTCGTGGGGCCCAATATGCGCAATCAGTCTTGCCGCCAGATATGACTGCGGAACGGCAGACATATGTAGATCCAGCAGCTAGTATGTCTAGTCAACCTCCTCTGCATCCTCCTCCTCCGGCGAACCTTGGCCTCCACGATATGTACACTAGCCCCCACGACGCTAGTAGAAGATCGTCCATGTTTACGACGCCATCAGACTATACAAATCCAGCAACCCCAACACTATATCAACAATGGCAGCATCCTGGCTCAACAGCGCCTAGTAACCAATCGGTCTATGCATTTCCTCAGACAAACAGCGCGCCCCAATCATTTGTTGGTCATCCGGGAGTTCAAATGCAACACAGTCAGCAGTATATGAGCGCATCATTTGATGGCTTACCAAGAACAAGTCATGATGCGCAACACAGCATACTTCGCGCCCTTCCGCAGCCCAACTACCACGGCTACATTACTCATGAGCCAGGTCCACTCACGGGACCCAAGACTGAACCTCTCCCTCGACATCCTACACAGTAGGTTTCTCGCTGGCGAACGGGGTTGCATAACCTTGTCGTCCGACTGTGCTCGCGCTGCCTTTATCTCATGAACGAACCCCACTAACGGCAAAGCCCAGTATTTAGGGCGTACCATTTTCCATGCGTTTCATAGAAATAGCCATGAAGCGCGGAAGAGCCGCTGATAAATTAGGTGTTCAATACTATATAACAACTGGGTGTTCCCAAAGTTGAATCTTAGTTGCCTGCCTCTAGTCTCGAAACCAAGTATAGAGCGACAATTTTACGATTAAGGAGAAGGTATTGCGCATTCTGTGCACTACTGTTTTTCTTCATGGGCAGTGGATTACCTAACCGTTGACGGCGAGCTATTATAACATACTTGCAGTCACTAACGACGCTGCTCACATGAGCATATAACGCGGGGGGTGGTATGTCGTCGTTTTTCAACCTTGCACGATGAGTACCTCGGCGTTGCTTGCCGGTCCTGCCTTTTCTCTTTCATTTTATCTCTATCTGAAGCGCTATCATATTATCGCGTTTGTACCGCCGAATCCCATCTACTCTACTACATCATATGATACCACGAATGGACCGAGGAGCGGGAAAATTGGGCCGGCAATAGTGAAGAAGCATTAGGGCGGCAGCCAATCAACAGGGGATATACTATTACTACACGGGTTGGGCGGTAGCTTTGTCGCTTCACAATACCACACGGGCACTGGTTGGCTACACATCTCATTGCATAGCTTGGGCGCCATTATGGCTTACGCGAATCAGGGAAGGGGGGCTTACCAGGGCGGTTCGTTTATCCTTGCACACTTTACCGGGCCTGGGTTATTTATCGCATAGCGAAAGTATACGGAGGTTGTTCTGCCCTAGCGTGAGGAAATGGGGTGGTAGCTGTCTGTTTTTGGTTATGTTTCCCCGTGTTACTACTACCTACGATTTCCCTTCCGAGCTAAGGTCATGCCGTCACGATCATTGCTTTCAAAGTATGCTTTCACGTGTTGTAGCTAACCTGAAACGAGGGGATTACGCTTCTATTTTTTGTTATCTTATTTTGCTTTCGTGTTTTATTGGCAACCCCAATTGACGAACGAGCACCGGCTTGGGGTGATTGGTGTTGAAGGGACGAGGGGCGAAAAGGGAAGGTCTCGGCTTGGTGAGCGGCACTGAAGCCGGGTTGGCTCGTTTGGTTAAATTGTTGCGTGTTTTTTGAAGGATATATGGGCTTTGGGTATAGGGATATCAGGGAGCAGGCTGGGTTATGTGGTCTACATGATGCTGAGACGTTTACACATTCCTTGCCAGGGTATAATTGACAACGAGTGAGCACTTCAAGCAAAACGCTACTACTATGCCGAAAGGTACCTAAGTACAGACTCGAAATTTGTTTGGATACTTCGCTCCTATTTTCTGGCACAGTGACGCCCTAGAGAATACCTTCGTCAAAGCGGAGAACGTGGCCATTCTAATTCGGCCATGTCATTGACAAGGGGGGTTACCCTCATGACAGTTTCTCACGATTTTTTACAGGGATACCATAGGTTGGAACAGCAGGTCATTTCTCTAATCAGCCAGGTATGCAGCTAGCAAACCCGGAAGGTATTAGTTGTTCACGGCGTAGTACGATGAGTATGGTTGGATGTCACGGAGAGCACATTTAACTCCACTTACGCTGGATATCAGTATGGAGGCGTTCGCTATGGAAGTTTGCCTATGCCGGCATGTACTTCCTCGAGTTTTGCCCACGGGTAAAAGGCCCGTCCCGCTGTTTGACTTTTCCATTCCTTCAGGAATGTACTACGTAACACTGCTACCAGATAGAGTTGTAGAAGATCTCTTATACAATATAAGCCATTCCCGGTAAATGCACACTTAAAGAGCTGGATTACGTTATGATACTGCATGTGCATATGTACGGTACAACACAACCCAAGACCGTGTCTTCAGGATCTCGAAATCTACAGATATCTGAAAAATGACATGAAGGGGAAAATAAAGGACGGCAGACCCGCTAACCCGGCAAACAACCAACCCCTCTCCCACCTTGGATCATACTAGATGATACGATTCTATTGATGGTACCAAGGAGCAAGCCCCGACCCAATCCCGAGCTGACATTCTACGTATCCACCAAACGCTAGTAAAACGTGGGCGCCAAGACTATCGCAATAAAATACAGAATAAAAGGATCCTCTTTTGGGAGAAGGTCCAAGGGTTTAGGTACGTAAAAAGACGAAATACCGAACTGCGCGTTCTGACGGATTACTTGGCCCCTCAATTAATAATTGGTACTTATAATGTGCCTGGGGTAAAATAGGTACGGAGTAGTCGTTCTTAATTCAAACAATATTCAATAACAATTCCCACGCTAATGTAAAGACGCAAGATCAAGCACTACCAACAGTAGATGACGCACTCATATGTACTATGGTATGGTATATATGTGTACCTGTTTATTACGGTACAAAGTCTACATCCCTGACATCGTGAAGAAATGTACCTATGTGCAAAAGTACATGAGTTGTAGGGGTTGGTCGGTACCAATAAGAACCTCATAGCGCCGATATTCCTACAGGTCATATATCATATGACCGGGGGTATTGGGGGTCATTGGCAAGCAAACAAACTGGTCTAGCTGCTTAAGCTAGTACATCGGAATGGGATGTCAAAGAAAAAGGAACGTTAAAAAAACAATAAGGAATAAAAAAAATATCAATGCGCGAAATCAGCCTTCACTTCCCGTCCCGTTGCCTCTTCCGCGAACCCGCACCCGACTCTAGAGGTTTTCCGCATCGGCTCCGCGCGCGATTCATCAAAAACTCAAGATGACTGGTTCGGGTAACGATTTCCCGGCTGAACTAGGCCGCTTCGACGATGACCTGCATACGGTCTGTCGGTAGTACCGGTCAGGATGGGAGGGCACAAACGAAACGTGAACGTCTACATCGACTGCGAGGAGGCTTGCGTCACCGTCCAACCAGATCCTCGGTATGCTTACACATTTCTAGGTACCTCAAGTACTTATTCACACGTCCTGCCTCCTTTTTGTTGGGAGTTGTTTGCACGCGCGAACGTCATAATTCGCGAATCGTCGGGTTTACGAGGAAATCCGCGTAAGATTTGAATACGAAAAGAGACCGAGCGAGATGCGCTCGAGATTATCGCTGACTTCTCTAGGTACATTTCGCTCTCGGGCTTTCGTCGCGCGTTCATCCTCACCCGTAAGAGTACGAAACTAACGGAAGGCCGTCGTTTGAGGCGGGCTGTTGTGAGGTGACACTGCATTTGATAGATGGATACCGGGCAATGATGGAGGGTTGTTGGTTAGCTAGTCCCAGGGACCAGGTTGTGTTACCAAGAAAGGTATTATAGAGAACATAGAAATAGTACCAGGAAGATCAATTAGGGGGGAATTTCTTGTCCTCCCTCTCTTCGCGACCAGGTCCTCCTTATCACCGGCTCTCATCGGTCCTGTTACCCAATAGGGGTTTTCTAGAACGTCCATTCTATCTGAGACGTTGGTTCAGGGACGGGAATTTTTCTTACTCGCATCATCACGACGCCCCGCGATACATGATCTGATATACATCAGACTTTTAACTGTGGTGTAAGCATGGCGGGTTCAGGCTTCGGGTGTTGCCTCGAGTAGTGTATCTCGCCATTCATGCCACCATTGCAAAGATGGCGATACTAAAGGAAACCATCGATCCTATCATATCATGATTCTGCCTTTCGCCTCTTCACCGCTTACCATCCCGATCCCGTACCTAATCTAGATCATCGATAAGTTGCAGGTGCCCGCATGAGATGGGAAAGAAAAGAGATCCCCTAGTCGTGTTCCGCCCATCCATGTTCCCGCTTTTCTTCTGTTCCTATTTGTAAGAGCACCCCCACGTCCTTCTGCAAGCACCAGAACGTCTTGGGAAAACCTAACGCTAGACTAAACCTGCACGAAACTGCACACCCCCAACAGGTCGGTAACGACCCCGGCTCTCCCTACTAAAGGACCTGCCCCAAGGGCCTCTAGTTCAGCACCATGTATAGCAACATCCACACCTAGTAACGAGTTGGGAACGCTGTGCATACGGTACTTTTAACTCAAAGCGTTGCATGCAGGTTGCATAGACCGGGGGAGAAAGGACACTAAACGTACGCGAGATACAGGTAGACCATCTCCTCGGGGACTAGGTGCAGCTGGGATGCATATAGAGTCCCTTGTCAGTCGCCGTCTATCAATGCCCACCATCTTTATCCCTGGACCTTCTAGAATACCGCGTGGTTAGACTTAAGTTCTTACTGTATGTAACTTACTTTAGGTACATACCCAATCATGCTGATATTCTCAGCTTACGATTTTCTCATTGGAACGCTATACTTAGCTGAACATAGTGAAGCACGTTTCCTGCTAACGCGCCTAGAATTAGGGGGACCCAGTTCTGGAAATTCGGAGCCGAACTTCTGTATATTTGGCAACCAAAACGTTTAACAAATTTTATAAGGTATTTTCACCTAATTTTCTTTCACTGGAAGAGCCTTGCAAAAACCTGGTTATAGATAATGACCCCAAATAGCCCTACATGAAATTCAATGCTTCGGGATCTGAATATCTTGGCAGTTACCTAAGTAATACTACAAAGGGTCTCTATTGAGATCAGGTACCTAATACGTATGCCAGACCCTGACGTTTTGTCTGAAAGGCTCCAAAGTGGAAATTGGGGATTGATGTGTTCTTCCAGCCCATAATATCCTACTAGATGGCGCCATTAGTATGGGGTCGAACTGTCCGAAACGTGGAGATCGCTCAAGAAATGCGAGTACGATGATCAGTTTGACATCTATCTCCGCGGAGGACTCATTCAGGGGCTCTGGGGCTGTAGTTCATGTGAACAATATGGCCATGTTGACAAGGCCCACATCAGCCAGCCCAATACCTCAGCCTAGGCGCCCGTAAGGCTCTCTTTGTATGGGGTTCCAATTAAGATCTAAGGTTGCATGGAGCCCTACGACAGATCTCTGCTAGATCTAGATACTTGAGGATAGGCGAAGCTGATCAATCGCCTGATGCTTGCAGACAAAAAGGCAGGTTTCAATGTACTACGTGTTATATTGCCCGATATTATATATCCAATTTTTATCTGTCACTAATATGTACCCCCCTTCAGCTCTCCAAAGGGATCAACCTGAGAAGACACCTCCTTGCCTTAGGCTGCGATGAAATTATCTGATCTGACATCTCCATATCTCGGGCCGTCATCGAAGGGTCTGGTGCCGAAGTGAACCGTGAGTACATGTCTCTGAGCAGAACTTTCATCTCCGCTAATGCGAGGCTGTCACATGCGTTAGTGGTTCCCAGATCACGCGTGGATGTTTTCTTCTCCAACTTACTGCTTCCCAATGCATCCTCTACCCCCGCTAGCGAAGGCGAAGAACAATCGTTTCCTATCTAGTTCTCCTGTCTCTTGCAGCCATCGATCAGGATCGAACGTATCAGGCTGCGGGAATACGGATTCATCAATGCGGTGAGCAGAGTATGCCTGACAGCTCACAATGGTTCCCTGAGGGACAAAGAAGCCGTCGATCGTGCGACCACCAGAGGGTACATATCGTGGAAGGGACATGGGGATAGCCGGAAAGCAACGTAACCCCTCCAATACGAGCGCATCAAGGTATGGTAGCTTATCGAATGGCGTGTTTGGGTTAGCAAGGAGTTCCTTTTGGAGTCGTCTCTGGAAATGGAATGAGCCCGGCTGCGATATCTCCCACATCAGGAAACATAGCGCGTCGCCGGTGGTGTCAATCCCAGCGACCATGTGGTCAAGACACTCAGAAGCCATGTCGATCCGGTCCATTTCATATCCCTTATCCTGGATGCGATTTATCAGTGTGAATTGGGCAGGTGCAGTCTTTGCTGTCGCTGACATGACGAAGTTATCTGCTAGGGGCGTCGATCGTGGCGTGGCAAATAGGGATATCACACCACCGACTAGCTTGTGGAGAGTTGGGCTATAATACTGAACAAGTCGGTCTGGTGCAATTAGCATCTTAATGAGTAAGGCTTTAGAGCAGAGGCTTACTTTGAAGACTATCGTCAAGGGTCACCTCCTTCATAGTCTCTTCATCTTTAGGTATTCGCAGTGAGTCTGACCCGTATGGATGGAAAAGATGATGCGTCGCGCAGTCGAATGCGTAGTCGTGTAAGCCTAACGAGGTATATTAGCTAACAAGCCTCTTTTCCAGACCCAGCCGACGTTGCCATACAGATCTAGAGATCAATTAGCGTGGTGTTCGAAGGTTCATATAGGCTTCCTCACATAAATATTGATGCTGTCACCAATAGACTTCGAGCACCTTTCTATGAACCTCCTTGATCGTTCTCTAATTCCGTTGATTGACTCAGGCTTTAGGATATTGGTGTTAGCATATCGATCAGCCAATATTCTCTTTCTCTTAGCATGCTAGACATCCATAGGTGTTAGATTTATCCAGACAACACATAAATCATAGGGAAACTTACATCTTCTTTATTGAGGGTGCTAAACATAGTCCTATATGATTTTGAATGAGCCTTTCTACTCCCTAAATATCCTACGACCTCATTTCCTTGGCAAGATACCTTACCTTCTATCTAGCATGCGAAATAAGTCATAGAACTCCGTTTTATCATAGCCACTCCCTGCAGAACCATATATCTCCTTGACACCCTCGAGGCTTGCGAAAGATACTTCATTTGGGGCTACCCGGACAACAGACCCATACCGCTGGTGAAGACGGTGGATGTATCTAGTGCGATAGGCACGGAATTCATGATACTTGAGGATCCAGGAAGTGAACAGTGATATTTTGGAACCTGGAAGAGTTCGTAAGGGAGAGGCAATAGATTTCCAAACATATGTGATGACCAATACCAGGCTTACAACGACTAGTAAGATCGGGTTTAGAAGCAGCATTTCGATCAATTTTTACGATCTTCCTTGGAATAGATCGCCGGATATATAATTGTGAAATTAGTCTAGTAGCTGTACCGAATATAGATTATGTTAATAGAAAGGGAATGATCTCTTTACTTCCTCTTCAAAAGTTGGCGATGAGAGATAATATTCCTTATCAAATCCCCAACTAATGAATTTCTACGTACTTATCGCGGAGTGGGGTGAGGGGCAATTGGTGAGGAGCGAGGTCGCAGCTGTTCGATGTCATCAAGATTAAATTTAAGCTTGATATCTAAACTTTTGATAGCCGAAACTCTCAATATAATCAAAGTTCGTTCTTTCCCTTTGTATCCGCTCCGCTTTTACCACCGCCGCTTCCGAACACCATACTAGACAGCCAAGACAATCCAGGAATCTCCGTCTTCGCCGACGGAGGGTAGGCCTTTCCGTTGACAGTAACCCGTGGCTGGCAAGTGCACCACTGCTCTTCCGGAACTCCGTTAAGTGCGGCCGGGATATGCGAACCGCAGCCTCGCCAGGACTTTCCTGCTATGATATTGTTAACATCATTTATGAGAAATTATAAAAATAATTAAGAGATATATATCGGAGGAATGCGATGCGATAAAAAAAACAAGGGAAAACTTACAGCATGTTGAACAAGTTGCACCGAAACACATCTTGAAGATTGATTGATTGATTGAGAATGAGGGGATCGTGGAGATGGGATGATTTGATTAATGTTGAACTTTGACACTCAATTCAATGAAAAGCAATCGGATTTGAAAGAAGAGAAAGAAGAATTGAAACGGAAAGAAATTGGATTGGAAACCTTACTCGCAAATTATTCAGTTTCAACTCGCCGTCTCAGCGGCATCTATTTGTGATGCTTCGGCGATGACAATTTTGAGGGAGGTCTCCGAGTTCTGTACAATCGCCGACATCTCATTCCGGGCACTAAGCGCGGCTCCAGTTCCCTTAAGCAGCAAGGGAAAAACACATTCAAGTACCATAAATGAATGATGCATCGTTTGACATATTTAATTATTAAGCTTAGCTTCTTATAAGTCGCAAAAGTAATGTCGCCGCGAAAGCATCGTAATAAATCCATGATGGATTTATCTACGCTTAAGTTGTCAACGATCCGAAGCCAGTCCTAGCACTGTGCGACTATTTGATACTCTGCAGGAACTTCACAACCGTGTCTGCAAGCCACTTTTCTGACTCCGGTTCCTCCACCCTGTGGGTTGCGCCAGGAATAACGCCTGAGAGATCACTTGCGATGCCCGGTTGACATAGTGATTTCCAATGCGTAATTAATGCTTCTTTATCGACATCAGGAGTCACGAACTCGTCATTTTCGGAATGGAGTATGAGAAGAGGTTTGTCTATCCGCTGCCAAAAAGGGCCATTTGCACTATCGGGTCGCTTAGGGTCAAAGTAGTTGTCTTCGCCACTGTTACACGAATTAGGCACATGAACGAGGAGGAATAAGCAAGCGCTAGGTCACATACTTTTCGGCCGTAAGGGAGTTCCATCGCCAGACAGACATGGGGACGTTAGAGAAGGCATCCGAAACATGTTCAGGCGGCATACGATCATGAATTTTACCAGAACGGATGAGATCCTCTGTAACCTTGAGGCTCATATTCATCCAGTCTTCGTCGCCCATCTCGTCTTCTATAGCAGCTCGGTCGCAGACTGGAGCCTGTAAGATATATCCTTCAACAGGTGCAGCGTCATGATGTTTAGGTGAGGTATATTCCATACAATCTTGAGAGCCAGTAGAATGTCCCATCAAGACTATACGTTGCTTTCCGATGCCTCGTAGATACTTGACAAACGCCGATATCTCGTCCACATCATCCTTGAGAGAAGCAAATCCGAAGCCCGAAAAGGCACTGGTCATGCGGAATTCAAAAACGGAGTAACTCAGTTCGGGCTCAGCTTCCAGGCGCTTGGCTATGGCTCGCGGATAGGGGACAGTGTGAGGACCGTCGCCAAGACCACCGATGAATACAAGGGCATTTTTTGCATCGGCCAGGCCAATTTCGTAGGCACTCGAATGCGGCACCGGGAACGGAAATGAAAGGGGATGCACTGTCACGGTGAAAGTCTCCGGCGCCATTTTACTTGCTCGACGACGGTCGATCTATTCCAGGTATTCTTGTTACCAATGCACCTTCGAGTTTGAAACCTTAAGAATTCAGATTCCAGAGCAAGTTGGCTGACGAATTGACAATTGTTAATATGGAAATCTCGGTTAGGCACGAAAGTGTTGATAAGTGAATAAATACCAGATAAATACATGACTGGATAAATGCATGGTCTTTTTTGCCCACTACTAAATTCACTAAATTCATATCCATCGAAGCCTACATCAAACACCAAACCAAACATTAAATATCTACGTCTACATATATGTACCCCTCGTCGCATTTTCTTGTAATATCCTCATCTCAAATAAGAAGGATGAATAAATCTCAATATGGCTAGCACATCTTCGGCCGCGAGGAATGATTTCTTTAAAGAGGTCGGTGCCTCATCATTGCTTGTCCGTTTGTGGGGACGGCATTGCTGATTCAAAGTAGCTCAAACCACGATGTGTGGCCATCAACAATTTGGCCGTCCGTGCTCCAGATAAGAAAGCAAGTACCAAAGAACTCATCAAAGTTGTTGAGGACCTCTCTGCCGTTTTGAGTCGGCAGATTTCCACAGACGACTCTATCCTGGATGAGAAGCTTGCCGATTATATCTTCTTTCCACTTTCCAACATCCTCCGAAATCAGCAAGAGTACCCTATCCGATTAACAGAACACACCATTCGATGTCTAAGAATCCTAATCCAAAATGGATGGAAGGCCAAAATCCCAAATGACCTCTCTCAGCAGCTTCTCATATTTCTCGCCTGCATCATTGGCGGTGTTCCGGGTCAGGAGAGGAAGGATCCTATCCCTGAGGAGACGGAACTAGAAGCACTTAAGACCTTGACATCGTTGATTAAAGCAGTTGGGTCTTCACCAGGCGGAGCGGCGGCACTAGTAGAGACGAATGCGATACCTACTTTAGGCCATACTATCACCACCGTACTGGATGCTGTTACCGATGGCAGGACACCAGATGTTCGACTCGAGGCTTTAAGGACGCTAGATGCGCTCATTATCGCTATCCGGGATCATGCCGCCTTGGCTACTTTTCTACCTGGGATAGTATCATCCCTTAGTAGCCTCCTCGCGCCACCCGCATCACTAAAGAATCAGAGGAGGGTCTTGGTGGGTGGTATTAACGCTTTGAAGGACGTGCTTACAAGGGTTCTTGGTGATATAAAAGTCATGGGAATAATAAAACGACAGACCTCAAATGATGCTGAAAAGAGTACTGAGGGCAAGGTTTTAACACCATCATGGTTGAAAGCAACTACGGCCAAGATAAAACTTGCCCTTGTAAGTGTGCTCAAATTGCGAAATGCCGATTACGATGATATCCGATCTGCTTTGGAGAGGTTGTGCGTCACTCTTCTTGATGAATGTCACCAGTCTCTTGAAGAATGCACCCCTATACTCGTCGAGACTGCCATGATTCTGGCTGATGACGAAAACGAAAAATCCATAATGGAGACAAGTTTGACAGATCTAGCCAGAATATACCCAGAACTTGAGGACACGATCAAGACTACTGTGTACAACTGGGTCACGAGTCTACCCCGCTTAGTACAGTCTAGCGACGATAGAGTCAAACAACGAGCAATCCAAAGCCTTATGAATGGTCAGTATTTTATCACAACCCTTCAGATCGACTCGTCTATTTTAGATGATTCTCTTGCGCTCTCTTTGCGGGATAGTGCTACTGCACTTGTTCTCGCATCCAAAGCCGGTAACATGTCGGAGCTTCCTTCAAACGCGATCGAGTTGAACATGGATGTAATCAAACAGGATGGATCGAGTAATTTCCCGGCCGTCCTAATCGCACAAGACACAGAACGACCCACGCGAACGGCGCTTCTTGAATTACTAGCAAAATTCGGGTCTACATCCCAACAAAGCAAGCTAGCAGACGACCTTCTCGATTATGTTAGAGAATCTACTGGGCCTAGCCAGGTTGCCTCATATTGGCTTACTTTTGAGCTGATTAAATCGAGTTTGTCGCAACCTTCAGAATTGGACGATTTCCTTGACTTAAGCTCGGCAGTGGGTGCGTCAAATGGGAGCGATGCGGTTTTCGAAGAGCTCTACTCATTCTCAGTCTCGATACTAGACTCACAGGCTGAGACGGAAGAACTTGATTGGCGATTACAAGCCATAGCTCTAGAAGTTACCACTTTCGCTGCATCGAGGACCAACGAAGCCTTCCGTCCAGAACTAATTGATGTATTATATCCCATCACAACATTTATAGGCTCTGGAATCCCCAAATTACGAGATCATGCGATCATCAGCCTCAACAGCATCGCCGTTTCGTGTGGGTACTCTAACGTCACGGATTTAATCATTGATAACGTGGACTATATGGTCAACTCAGTATCCTTGCGCTTGAACACTTTTGATATATCACCCGCATCTACTCAGGTCCTGCGAATGATGATAAAGCTAACCGGGCCAAAATTAATACCATATCTTGACGATGTAATCGCATCTATTTTCGCAGCTCTCGATAATTACCACGGGTATCCTTTATTTGTGGAAAGCCTATTTAGCGTTCTTACGGAAGTTGTACAGCAAGGGTCGCATTCAGATCACCTACTGCTAGAAGCCGTGAAATCTTCAGCAAAGGACCATAGGAAGAAATCACAATCGGAAATTACAATAGGGGAGTTATGCGACATTTTAACAGGCCTTGTGGAAAGACGAGACAGGCGACGCACTGAGGAATTGAAGGGCAAAGAGATTGAATCTCATCCGAAACGCCCGTGGAAGACCACAAAACTAGATGGAGTCGATAATGAGGCGAATGAAGAGGAAGAAGAGCCCAACACTGAAGTCGAAAAGCAACCACCGCCTAAAACACCTACCTTCAAGATCCTGGCCCGCATCACGGACTTGACACAACATTACCTAACGTCACCTGCGCCTACGTTGCGAAAATCCCTTCTAGATCTTCTCGCCACCGTCTGCCCGGCACTCTCACCCGACGAGGAGGCCTTTTTACCTCTGGTTAATTCCGTCTGGCCTGTCCTAGTCGAGAGACTCTACGACACGGAACCATTCGTCGCCATCGCAGCTTGTAAAGCCTTATCCGCGTCATGCCAGAGTGCTGGCGATTTTCTCGGCACGAGAATCAAGACAGAGTGGTGGGATAATATGGGGAAGTGGTGTCGGAAAGTAAAGGCGGACGCGACGCATTCAAGCAGTAAGAAGAAGGCTGTAACGCATAGCAGTAGCAAGTCGGATCGTGGTCTACTCATCCCAATTCGCTCTCGGGATGGTATCGAAGGAAAGGAATCCAGCAAGGCTGTCGAGACTGTTTCGAGTGCGGGGCTGGGAAGATTCACTCAGGCGGCGCAGGTATGGGAGGCTGTGCAAGGACTGGTAGTCGCGATTGTGTCTTACGTTCAAGTCGATGATGATGTATTTGATGAGATACTTGTCTTGCTAGGAGACACCTTGGCTACGAACCACGAGGCTAGGGTCGCTCTGGAGGCTATCGATCCTGACGCCGTGTGGCTCCTTCTGTATGAGAGGGGAATAATGCAGCCGACGGAGAAGCCGGTTCTGCCGGGAGTGGCGTTCGTTGACCCATGATAAGGACGAGAGATATGGTATTTCGCCACAAAAGTTTCTCACGACAAATTGAGTGTTGGTCTCTAAAATAAGGGGCATAGCCTTACCGCCGTCGTGTGACGTTATCGTAAAATTTATGTGGAATAGGGATTTTCTAGTAAGTAAACCAGATAGCGATACCACCGCGTGGTCGTGTATACTATTGTTACTAGCACAATGCTATTGTCAATATGTGCGTGTATCTATGTACACGCCACGCGCACCACTGACGTATTCGGAAGCCACATATGAAAAACCGGAGTATCATCCTAGAATTTATGTTGGTGGTAAATGTCGTAGTTGTCTCCTTTCGAATACCGTTTCAAAAACGTAGGATATCTCCCGATCTAATCCATAGGAATCGGCTTCACCGAGTCGTCGCCGCGCGTCCAGATAGCCTTGTTTTCAATGGGCAAATGGGATGCTTACTTGCCTCCCTAGAAACACCTAACTAGCCTCCGTTCGACCCGAAAAGTGCGCAATAGTATGTCCTCGTATCGTATTCGATAACAATCTACTATTGTCAAATATGCCATTGTTAACCTACGTAATCAATACTTGCCGTCCCCCGTGAGGACATAATCAAGCTTTCTAATTGACGAGCATAGCCCTGTCTAGACATATGTCTGCTTACCTCTATCCGAACTGTTGGGTCACCCCTGAGAGTTTCCATTAGGTAACACTTTGAATTCAAAAAGAGCCGCAAAGTGACATCACATGCTAAAGCTGTAGAAGTAACCATATTAACGTTAGATTGAAGCTATACCATGGCAGTAGTATCATCTTTCTAGAAACTCAGTTACAACGTCATCCCATTCGGACAAATAATAACGTGTTCGCCCCCTCCCTATGTAGCTAGGTATCCTGTATCAGTGACATGCGCAGGATATCCGATTGGTTCTCTGATATGTTGTGTAAGGCGAGCTATCACTTGTACAGGATCGGCCACATTCCCGTCACCCGAAGGGTTGAACACAGTATACAGGCACCTAATCAGGATAGCCTATTGGTGAAGCTTGAACGGCATGTTTTCGTAAGCCCATGATTATGGTAATTTCATGGCTTCGTAATTCGATAGGTGGGAAATCAAGCCATCGTAAAACTCAACTCCAGCGACCCACAGCATTCCGAGACAGAGCTTTACCAAAGAAGGTAAACTGCTATTAGAAAAGAGCTGTTGATAAGGGAATACCGGTATTTCGGGAGACCTTCCTCATTCGTTCGTCCTTATCAGTGCTAGAGGAATTCCCCGAGATCGAAGATCTCGCTAGTAATTCAAGTTGCGATGGACTTTTTGTTAGAAATGCATTAACTAATTGGACTTATCTGAAAGGTGAGCGACATAGCTTCTGAAGGCTTGTAAGAATTTACATGGGACGTTCGATCAAGAACCAACAATGTGGACGAGGTGGACCGGCTTTAGCTAGATATAGACGTCTATACGTACTCTTCCGGGGACTTCATGCAAGCTAGCCGGGGGTAAGGGAGGGAATATGTGTACTATGATTGGCTGTAGACAAGCAGAGACACGACCCCTTTCCGTCCCTTATCAGCTCGGACTCCAGAATCCAAGGCTGAATCAATGTGTACCCTTTGTTGTTTTTCTATCTAGCGAGAACTGGGAGAGTCGCGACCTTGTTTTTAAGGTGATCCCGGCAAGGCAGATCAACTACCTAGGTAGCTAAGAGACATTGTCGCCTAAGTAAATTGACGTCCACCATATACCTACCTAGGTAGGTAGCTAGCTGTCAAGAATCTCTAGGCTTAGTTACACTAAGGAAGCTTGTCGCGTGCCAGAGCTACTCTGGTTCTATGAGCTATAATATATAGATGAGTCCATCTACCTACAACGTATCCTACCCTTCATCCAGAAGCAAGGAAACCAACTTGCTACTCCAATTCGGCGTATCGGGTCAATCTCACCGTATGATATCTCAACAAGAAGGATGATCAACAGTACTAGGTTGCACAGCACAGACTGTCATGTCGTTTTGTCCCATGTTACCCAACGGGCACAATAATAAATCCAGCTAGATCTTGTCCTTCAGCACTATCCGCCCTGTCTCGTAGCAAGGGTCTAGACCTGTAGGTAGTAGATACGCCGTACGATATGTTGTAGCTTTATATACCCGGCTACTTCTTATCGTAATTAAACCCTTCGCGATCTCTTTCTTACATTTAATCTTCCGTGTTTCCCTTATTCAATCGTCTTGTAGTTACTTACCCTACTCAGCGACTGAGGAAAACCTACCCCCTACTTACCCGGCCCCATCCCGCCGTTGGGAGGAAATAATCGCAAACCGACCGACCCGCGAAGATGTCAGGCACCGCCGATAAGAACGCGAAAGATGGCCCTGCGACAAGTTCGCAGCCATACGCTGCCGAGGGGCGACCCGATGAAGAAGTCGGCATCGTCAACAAAGGAGGACGGCTTCACACGGATCTCCAGGGTCGCCATATGCAAATGATTGCAATAGGTATGAGTTTTCCTTACTGGAACACGATAAACGATTCGCGCGTTCTTGCTAACGAAAAATGCGATCGTGATAGGTGGTGCTATCGGGGCTGGTCTATTTATCGGGTCTGGGAGTGCTCTGTACTCTGGCGGACCGGCGGCATTGGTACCTATTCCTCACTTCTCTATCATATCAAATAAGTACTAACGATCCAATGTTGATAGGTCATTGGGTACATCATTGTGGGAATCATGTTGCTGTTTACAATGCAGGCCCTCGCCGAGCTAGCTGTTCTGTATCCCGTAAATGGTGCCTTCTACACATACGTCGTCCGATTCGTTGATCCGTCTTGGTACGTCTACCCATCGATTCTAGCCGAATATAGGAATTAGAAGATCTTTTACTAACAATGTATTTAGGGGATTCGCCATGGGATGGGACTACGCGATCGCATGGCTCACGGTCCTCCCTTTCGAGTTAATAGCCGCCGGTATCACGATCGAGTTTTGGCGACCCGACCTCAATGTAGCTATATGGGTTACGGTCTTCCTAATCGTCCTAATTCTGATTCAAATATTCGGTGTACGCGGTTATGGTGAAGGTACGAAAATTTCCATATCTCAACATATCCAGGCGAACTAGATTCTAATGGCACATAGTCGAGTTCGTCCTCAGTATGATTAAAATCGCGGCCTGCACCGGTTTCATTATTTTAGGCATCGTCATAAACTGTGGCGGAGTTGGCGACAGGGGCTACATTGGCGCGAAATACTGGTATGACCCCGGCGCATTCAAGAACGGATTCAATGGGTTCGCGGGAGTCTTCGTCGTTGCTGCCTTTGCCTTCGGCGGCACCGAGCTAGTCGGTCTGGCAGCGGCCGAATCAGTCAATCCACGAAAAGCGATCCCTATGGCTTCTAAACAAGTCTTCTTCCGAATCGCCTTTTTCTACATAATTAACCTATTCATTCTTGGGCTGATTCTACCAAACAACGATGAGCGCTTGAAGAATTCGTCTGGTGCTAACTCTAGCTACTCACCTTTCGTTCTTGCAATCGAGGACGCTGGTATCGCAGTCTTGCCGTCTATATTCAACGCCGTAATCACCATCTCAGTCATCAGCGTCGCGAACTCATGTACCTTCGGCTCAACCCGTACAATGCAAGCCATGGCGGAGCGAGGCATGGCACCGAAATTCCTATCCTACATCGACAAAGCCGGGCGACCGATATGGTGTGTTGTCGTTCAACTAGCATTCGGTCTCTTAGGCTACATCGGTGTCGCATCAAAAGGGCTAGACGTCTTCACATGGCTACTCTCACTCTCCGGTCTATCATATTTCTTCGTATGGGGTTCATGCTGTCTAGCACACATCCGGTTCCGACTCGCGTGGAAGGCCCAAGGGCGAAGTCTTAAGGAGATCCCGTACCGACCACCACTAGGAATCTGGGGTAGCGCTATTGGCCTGTTCCTCAACTTCGTATGTCTGATAGCGGCTTTCTACAATGCCCTCTATGTAAGTATACTCTTCTAACCCCCCCTCCCTTCAATAGTAACCTGTAGTATCCCGACTAACATGTGTAATCAAAACCTAGCCTAGCCCCGATGCTCAACCCGATCCGTCCGCATTCTTCCAACAATACCTCGCAGCGCCTATTGTCATCGTTTTATACCTATTCTGGAAAGTCTGGTCTAGAGATTGGCAACCATGGGTTAAGCTCAACGATATCGACCTAGAGGTCGGCGCTCGTATACTAGAAGTCGAGGATGAAGATGAGGAAATGGAAAAGAGAACATGGGCTAACTTGCCTTTGCGTGCCGTCAGGGCAGTAATGTAATTCCCCAATATTTTTAGTCAAAGTGTTAAAGGGGGTATTGCTTGGGGTATAATTAGCAAAAACACTTCACAATTTCAAATCAAACCAAAGTACCCAGAACCCGCTTAGAATTCAACTATATCAACCCCCTAAATAACATCAACCTCTAGAATATCGCCACGCCGTTGCGCCACCGTGACAAACGAGTGGCTATACGTAGATATGATAGGTTTTAGGTACATATATATGCGCAGGATACTATTCAACTGCCTTTGCCTTTGTCTTGTCTTGAATCCCCTTTCTTGCGAAACGCCTTTCCACGTCTACATTTGAGGTGTTTGCCAATGATGACATGATAATAATGCCCGCTCCGACACTCCCCCCGGCGATAAGTTTAGGGTTTCTACTCGACGGCGCACGTACATACATACATGAGTACACATATAGTTCTGTTTGCTTAACTTGGTTTCTCCAAATTCCTCTCCGCTGTTCCTTCTCTCTACCTCTTCCCTCCTTTACTGTCAGCCTCGGCGTCTAGATCACGCTCAACCATTTCGATAGAGCTCAGACTAGGAAATCTCTTAGCGAAACTCTGAACGTAATCCTCTTTCTCCTGGAGGCTCATGTCTATAATCGGTCTACCAGGTAAGCCTACGCCAGCTAGGTATTCTGTGGAGGTACGTCGCGCTGGTCCTGGTGTCCGCTGTGCTTGAACTGTCTTGGGCGGTGACCTCGCGCGGTTACTACCTGTCGGGAGTTTGTTCAAATGAGTTGGCTTAGGCGGGAGTGCGGGTTTGATAGGCGAATTTGGATCAGCTGGCGGACGTCCCCGAGCGGCCGCGACGGCTACGTCAATCGAACTAGCCATGGGCTTGAGTGGGGGTGGGCCGGCTCCTGGTCGCGTGCCGGTGACGTTCTTCCGAGGGACTTCAGGAAGCTGCTTTTCTGTGCGGTTTTTGGCGGCAGCCGCGTCTGCGAACTTGCCGTAGCCGGTCGCTGTGTGATGAACCTGCTGAGATGATTTTTGGGACTCATCGAGCAAATTCTGCACACGGTTCTGTATGCTTACTGCCCTCGAGACACCTCCAATGCTCTTAGGTAGTGGGCCCGGCGGGCCACCAGCTTCTCGCGCCGCCATCCGTTGCTTGTATTCAGCCGCTGCTGCCTCCACTCGTCTTTCCTCTTCGGCAAGGGCTTGCGCCTCGAGTTCTCGTCGCATTTCTGGCGTCATCTCGGGTTCCCCTAGAAGATGACCGTCATCACTGCGACCATCGGTGGCTTCCGACCCCGCAATTGGGGTCAGATCATGACGCTCCATATCCTTAAGAGGAGATGGGGTTCGCGCGCCTGGCGCCGAAGGATTGCCCTCGAACCGCTTAAAAGCATCGCCAAATCTTCCAGCCAGGATATTCTTGGTGCCTGATAACGAGGTGAGACTAGCACGCTTCGTATGTTGCTTGACACCTTTATCCTTTTTCTTCGTATCGGAATCTTCCATTGATCGAAGGAAGTCCACATTTGACTCTATTGCTGTATCATCCTGGGGCTCTAGTCTAGGAGAAGTAGTAGTTGCTAATAGGTTTGGTGAGTAGCCAGGGGAGCGGAGTGGTCTTGGGGCAGCTTCTCGTTCGCGAAGATAATCCATATCAGATTCAAGATAAGTACTAACAGGCCTAGGACGACCTCCGATGGATGTCGACTTGGCTAATGGTTCAAGTTGCTCGGCACTTGGTCGGCCACTTTCCAAAGATGGACGTGAAGAGGACGAGTGCCGGGCATGTCCTGGTGCTGGTTGGATAGAGTCCATACGAGGAGTTGGTGTAGGCCGTAATGCATAAGTTAAATCTGGTCGCTTCTGACCGGTGCCTATTGGCTCCTGCTGTCTGGGCAAACTTGACGTACGATGTTGGTCGGCTGGAGGGAATCGGTGAATTGGGGGGTAATCTCGAGGTTGCCTTTCAGCAGGAGGTGTACTCGTCATTGTCCCTGTCGAAACCATGGCTGGCCTATTGGGAGTTTCTAGTGAACTTGGTGGCGGAGGAGACGAAATAGCTTGGAGTTCAGGGTTGCTGGAGATAATTGCCGACGCACGGCTCATCTCCGAAGGTTGTTTGGGAGGTGCAGAACCAGGTTTGTTAACAGTCCCGGGCGGAGGTGACGTTTTTGTTAAGTCTGATACAGCTGCTACTGACTTCACTCGACTTAAATCTGCCGATTGCCTCTGATTTGTTGGAGTCGTCCTCACCGTAGCCTGAGGCTTAATAAAAGCTTCATCTGCCAATTGATCGGTGACGAGTTGACTAAATTGCATCTGAGGATCTGCGGGAGAAGTCGGGTTGTCAAAGTCAAATTTCGTGCCTTGGTCATGTAGTAGAGAGAATTGGTCCAATGTTGGGAACCTAGAAGATAATTCATCCTCAAAACCCGTCCCTGTTTTAGCGTCCAACGCAGCGAATGGGTCGCCGTTTGTAACTCTTGCTGGGGATGGACTTGGCTTTGGTGCTTGTTTCGGGGCAGACTGGCTCGTAGCGGGTGGCCGTCCACGTCTCATAGGCGTGATTTCGGGGAGCGCCTGAGCCTGTGGTTGCTGCGGTGGTGAATAAACAGCACCTATACCGGTAGAACCTCTACTCTCCTTGCCAGTAGCTGGCTGTTTCTCACTCCTTCTCGACTCTGAATGCGCTTGACCGGAGTAAATCTGAAGTTTGTTAGTTTTTCGTCTGTGGGTGATAGAATTGTCCATACATCATGTATAGGTACTTCGCGACCTTGCATCCGACAACTTTCTCGAAGTACTTGGTAAATATTTGGTCGAGATCGTAAGTCCTCCCGTAACATAGATGCTTTATGAACTGATTTAGCAAAAACGTCTTGGCAATGGGATGAGAGGGCGTACCAATTAGCTGTTTTAGTCTATCCGAGAAAGTAGGATAGTTAGGGAACCTGAAGCTTGCGTTTAATATAGCCAGCTGCCCTTGCTCTTCAAACGGTGTAGTATAATAGCATAGCTTGTATAGAAGCACTCCCAAAGCCCATATGTCCGACTTCTCATCTATTGGTTGTTTTCGGTATACGTCGATCATCTCCGGACTCCTATATTGTAAAGTAGTATGCCTTTGAACATCTTCATCCACCAAGCGACATTCTACGACAGTCTGAGGCGCGGCTCTCGGTGGCGCAGCTGAGCCAAAATCACAAAGCTTGAACTTCTTCCTCGAGCCGTTGACGGTAATAAGGACGTTTTCGACTTTTAAATCTCGGTGTAGTAAAGGCGGCTTAAGATAATGCATACAGGCGACGCCCTCGGCAACATCTGAAAATATGTTTAAAATCTCGGGTTCGGTCAGGCGGTGTTGTAACCGGGTATTCATGAAATCGATCAAGCCTCCTCCGTTACAATACTCCATCAGCAGGAAGACCTCGTATCCGCCGCCGTTCCGCTCGGACGCATGCGAGTCGATATATGTAACAATCGTTCGGTGCCCCTTGAGCCGTTTCATCGTCTCGACCTCTGTTCGCATCCCACGAAGAGTCTCCTTGTCCGGCACGGCGACTCTTTTCAACACCGCCTGATCAGTCCCGTCGACAGGGCGTGGCATCTTCACGAGATAGACGTGTGCAAATCCACCCTCCGATAAATATTTTTGTATTACTACCCTGTGATTTCCGACTTGTATCTTGGTACCCGGGGCGAAGGTGCCGGCAGGGGCAGAGTGTCCTTGCACGGGTATCTGACCGTGCATTTGCATTGGCGCACCATAAGCGGCCTGTTGGCCGGGACGGGGAGCGGCCATTGGCACGGTATTTCCGTACGAAGCCATACTAGCAGCTCGGAGGTAAGGTTTATCGTCGAGGAGGGAAAAGACGGCGTGGGAGTCGGTAAAGGCTGGCACGGTCGGGGGGCTCTTTATGGTTATGGCATGGGGGCAGGTATTATGCGCCTTTCAGCTATAATTGACGCATATCTAGAGGGCAAGCAAGGAGCCGAAGGTAACAGTGAATCTATTCGAGTATACGCGCTAGAAGGGCGATGTCCCTGGACTGCTGGTGTCACTACGTAGACATGTATGTGTATTGTATTGTACGGGGTGGAATTGTATGTAAGGTTGTATGTACACGACTTAAAGCGACTTAAAGGTGGTGAACTTGGACACTAAAACTGGACACTAAAGAACTTGGTAGGGGTAGTCTATAGTGGATCCCTATTCGTCCAGCTGTTTCGTAACAGCCCGTGCCACCTGTAAGCATCCCCACCAGATCCCCTATTACGCACCTACCTAAAATAAATTCCAACTCATACATTAAACACATATTACCGAATAATGAACTATCGTTCCTAAATCAAATCCCGACATTGACATATGATCTTATAGGTACAATTCTCAGTTCCCTATGTTCATCATACACGTACATTTAAAACAAAATACCCAAGAACTCCGCGTAATGCCAACGAGAATATCGTCTAATACACCTTATTACAGTGCTCATTCATAAATTATATCAATATGCCCCCCTTCTAGGATGGTATTATACATTTCTAGCTCGACCCGGAGCCGCCTTCTCCATCCCCTTTTCCTCCACTTGGGCCAGGATGTCCCCCATCCAAAAGTAATTTCGGCTTGATGTAATCCTCATCAAGTTGTCTAAATAAAGCTTGAGGGTCTTGTGAGGTAAGCAATTGCCTAATTGCTGCACGGGTAGAAATGGGTGTCGCGTCTCTGTGACCCGATGTTGGGTATGAAAATACACCCTCTTCTTCCGATGCCCCACTAGGCGTGAGAATAGGACTCGCCCTGTTTCGCGGCGATTTGCGGGCCGGAGGTGGAAGGTCCGATGTATCGATGTCACTTCCTATATCTGAGTCTGTTACGCTGCCGTTACGTCCAAGGAGATCCGTCCTTTCGACATCTTCACTGGTAGCCGCCCGAGAACCCTTACGACTCGAGCTAGTAGCACGTGACGTCGGGAAGGATGGTGAACGATGTCCGGATACATAACTTCCTCGTTCTGGCTCCGCAGGTTGCCGGAGTCTTGAAGAATCCATATTGTCGAGACGTACCGACCCATTTCTTCGTCTAGGAGTGTATCCAATTCCGGTTCCGGACCTCTTGTAATAGGAACCCCCTGGTGCGGCTTCAATGTCAAACTCATCGTCACTGTCAACCTCTTCAACAACTCCTGTTCGGATACCCAAGATCTCCAGCATTCGTGCTGTGGTGCCGCCAAAGATGATCACAGTAAGCACCACCACTACAAGCACAGTAGCTTTTAAGGCATATGAGTTTTTGCCGTTTAGTAGAGCAGCAAGTGCTACACCGACAGCTCCACGTAGACCGGCCCAGAACAGCATAGCTTGGTAGTTGTAAGGTAGTTCGTCAGCAACTTCTATACCGCGACGCCGCGCCCGATAGTGGTGGAACCAGTTGATGGCCTTGGATAGAGGGAAGACGGCTACCCATCGTGCCGCACAGACGGCGATGATGGTGACGATGATTAGAGGGGGTTGAAATTGGAGATCGTTATCAGTGAACAGGGATAAGCCCAAATAGATAAAGATGAAATTTTCCGATAGCTGTGCCAAGATCTGGAAAAAGTATTTGGTACTGAGTTGTGTTCGTCGTGACATATTGAAGTAAGCATAGTGTTTTAGAGTAATACCACAGAATAGCAAAGACACGATACCTATTACGTTTCGGTTAGTAATGTTTCATTAGAGTGAAATGAAAAGGTTAGATGCACCTGACATGTCCAGTCCTTGTGAAAAGAAGTAGCTTGAATAAGCGATCAACACAATCAAGCACGTCTCGATCTGGGGATATCTTCTGATGTATGTGAATTTCAAGGCAAGCGCAGTACCGACACCAACCAAAACACCAATAAGTAAACTGCCAAAGAAGACAGCCAAGAAAATGCCCACACCCTGAAAAAAACTAAAGACCCCATATGCTTCGGCAGTGTTGTCTTTGTACTTTCGGGCAGTCTCAAAAATGACAATGGCAATAGCATCATTTAGGATAGATTCACCGAAGATAACAGTGTATAGTTTTGGATCAACTTTGTAGGTATTAAAGATGGCCAAGATCGTGACTGGATCTGTAGCAGACAATGTTGCGCCAACGGAGATAGCATCAACAAATGTCATTTCTAGGCCTTCGAGAGGTATTCGGGTGTATAACCATAATAGTAGACCTATGACCACGGCAGACAGGAAGGTTCCGGCGAATGCGAAGGTTAGGATGGTACCGATATTTCTAAAGAAATTCGCTTGATGAAGTTCGTATCCGGAGTTCAGAATGATCGGCGGTAGTAGGAGGTTGAAGAAGATCTGGTAGTCGAAGCTGATAAGCTGTCGGATGGAGTGGCCGGTTGTCACTCTAAGAATCAATCCCACGGTCATGCCTGATACTAATGTCAGCCTCTCGTCACTAGCATGCTCTTCCTGAGATTATGCGACGAACCCGCAAAGATGGAAATTACTGTTTCGTGAACAGCTTGAACTTTCTTCTGTTGTAACATATAACTTGTGAAGAAGGCAATCACGAGTAGCATGATTGATATAAAGAGCGCTCGTGATGCGAAGATCTCCTTTTCCCCCGAGTCGGCCCCTGTTATATGCTGTCAGAATGAATCGTAAGTGAACTTGAGCCGCATAATGCGGCAGCAACATAGATCATACCATCGGGATCCGTCTCTTCATCCGCTCGCCCTATAAGATAATCATAGTTAGTAAAGAGGGAAATATGGCATGTTGCGACATAATTCGAGGTTCGGTCGACATACGAGCGAGCTCCATGGCGGAGCTGGCAATTTCTGTCAACATGGCCGCGACAGTGGATAATTAATGGCTTCAAGTCGTGGATTGACGATTCGGCGGGATGCGGGCGTGTAGCTCTAAACCGAGCACTGGGAATACGGCATTGGACGCATCGATTTGGAGGAACCGGAGAGATGGAGGTGTTTGATAGGAAACTCGAACTAGAGGTTTTGACTTGTTGCGCTTGATGGATTTGAAGAGTTAGAATTAAGAATCGACAGCTTGCAATTTACTACGACTATTCTGTTCTGGGCAGCTGATTGCGCGCGAAGATAGGTACCCACCTGCCCTAAGAAAACCCACCTAAGCAGGGGCTTAACGTCTTAATCTCCCTACAACGATAAGGCCCAACTCTAATCTCCAACGCTGAACATACCTACCTAGGTAGCTGGTAAGGCAACCACGTTCAGCACGTTCAGCTAGAACAATACATTAGCGTCACTGTAATTAAGTAACCGTCCTCAAATCAAGTAACAAAATCATACAACCACTCATAATCAATTTAGATATAAATCCAACTATTACTTATCAAATACAACTAGGTACTTGATACTTAATCCTTTAATCTTCAAATATTAATGGCAGCCTATCTTACATAATAATAGTAAAGGAAGCGTTGAATGTTAGAATCCAAACCAAGTACAGTCTAGCCTCGGCAAGTGGTACCTTCTGAAGCCCGGAGATCGGAAAGAACCCCATGGCCCTAGTCCTATTGCGTCGTAAGGTACCTGATATCATCGCGATCGAATCACAATGATTATGGTTTCCGAGTGGCTTGTTTTAGTTGTTTTAGACTTTGGTCATGCGTGACTAGGTTACTTGTCTGGTGCTCCCCCCCAATACATGTATCTCCAGTATGCACTCGGTAACATATTACTTACCACTTCGGTAATGTCCAGCTCATACAGCTCATAGCTTTTGACTACCTCCTCCTGACCAATTGCGACGCGCCACCATTCCTACCAAACCCTCAGTCTCGTGCTGCCATCTCCAGCCTAGACCGTGTGACAGCCTACTCCCTTACATCTACTGGTCTAGACGGCTAAATTCAACACACCCTGGTCTGCTGGTCCCATTCTACACAATCCATTCCTCTTGCGACATCCACATATAAAACAACCGAGTTAATAAGAATTCCTTCTGTAACTTCGGTATCCTTCGTTTACTCCGACCAACTTCCTACCACCCGCCCAAGAACATAGAAACGAGCTTCGGTAACGAAAACGATACCGCCCGATCGATGACCTCGTCATTGCCGAGCTCCTCGTCCTCGGACCACGAATCTTCGTCGAATCGACAATATGATCCGCCTCTGAAGCTAAAGAACAATCCTGACCCTGCGTGGTCAGAGAGTACCATAAGGATAAACGCTGGAGAGCCTCATGATCCAGATGGACTCAATGAGAGCTCTCCACTCCTCTCCCCCACTGGGGTTGAGCGAGATTCCATAGACGAGAACCCCGCGAAACAGGCAGAGGAAGATTATTTCCAATCGACCAAAAGCGTCTGGTATCTTTTCCTCTTGACAATCAGCCTCGGAGGATTACAAGTTGCTTGGGCAGTCGAATTATCCAATGGCACACCATATCTTCTATCCCTCGGCCTAAGCAAGTCTCTTATGGCTCTTGTATGGGTCGCTGGGCCGCTCACGGGCACTTTGGTTCAGCCGTATGTTGGTATGCTCAGTGATAACTGTAGGATATCTTGGGGCAAACGCAAGCCATTCATGCTAGGCGGCGCCGCCGCTACAGCACTGTCCTACATGTTCCTCGCGTGGATTCGAGAAATCGTGGGAGGAATACTAGGCTTATTCGGAGCTGACCCAGCTTCCCATGGTGTGAAAGTCACCATAATCGTCATTGCGGTCATTTGGATTTATGTTCTAGATGTCGCTGTCAATACAGTACAAGCTTCCATTCGAGCTTTTATCGTCGATTGCGCTCCTTCCCATCAACAAGAAGCTGCGAATTCTATGGCCAGCAGGCTTGTGGGAATCGGCAACATCATTGGATATATCGCCGGCGGTATTGACCTTCCAAGATACACCTGGTGGTTTGGGAGCAGTCAATTCAAGGATCTCTGCGCGATCGCAAGCATTTTCCTTTGCTCGACAGTAATATTGAGTACCATAATCATTCGTGAGCGAAATCCACAGCTTGATGGACGACCTGCTACCGATCGACCTGGTCTCATAACTTTCTTCGTAAAGATATTTGCATCGATAAGGAGGCTTCCACCGCAGGTTGCTAAGGTCTGCATTGTTCAATTTGCTGCATGGATCGGGTTCTTCCCCATGTTATTTTACACATCATCCTATATCGGAGAAATCTATGTCGAGCCCTTCCTAGAAGAGAATCCCCACATGACTGCAGAAGAATTAGACGACCTTTACGAGAAAGCGACTCGAGTGGGCACATTTGCTCTACTGATATTCGCCATCACAAGCCTCGCGACGAACGTACTACTCCCCTTCTTCATCGATCCAACTTACGACAATTCCGTTATCAGCAATACGGCCGGACACATTCCCGGTGCCCATCAAAACTCCGTTACTAATGGTAAGAGCATCCTAGCCCGTCTAGTTATACCTGGCTTTACCTTGCGAAGGGCATGGTTGTTGTCCGAATTCCTGTTTGCCGGTGCGATGTTCTGCACGGTTCTTGTCCGAAGCGTTGAAGCTGCCACGGCACTCATTGGCATAATTGGCATTACATGGGCTTTGGCGCTATGGGCGCCATGGGCCATTATCAGCGCAGAGATAAGTCGCCGTAATATTATGTATCAGGCTCGGAAGCAACAGATGAGGTCTCTCGTACAAGGCGACCAGTTTGACGCTGCTAACTCTTCCGATGGGGATCTTGAGCGAGACCCCAGTTCCAAAATCGATGAGGACGAACCAGATCAAGCCGGGGTGATTCTCGGCATTCATAACATGGCAATCGCTTCACCACAGTTCATCGCTACTCTCGGTTCAAGTATAATCTTCCGCATGTTCCAGAAACCAAGAGGCGTTCCCGGCGACCATAGTATCGCCATCGTCCTAGCTTGTGGAGGCTTCTTCGCACTCGTCGCTGCCTATTTCATTCACAAGATTAATGATGAGGTACCCTTACCAACAGCTGCTTTATACGCCGCAGAAGAGGGTGATCCAATCACATCTCGACCGAGTACGTCACACAGTAAGACGAGTGTCGACCAACCTCGAGCTAGCCTAGATCGAGCAACTGAAGCTAGAAATAGCAGTTTCGGTGCTGGATTGGAATATTGATAATGCTTCCGGTGGGCCACCACATCGGTCGTCGCGTGACACACATCGACAAGATTGTCTGTATTAAACATGTCCGTATCACCCAACCCATTTAGCGCCATAATATGTATACGTAAGGATATACAAGATTTAGAAGTCTGTCGTCGAGTTTTGTAATCAGTTAGCAAGTATGGGAGATCATGATGTAAATTATTTAGAGAACTGATAGCGCATGCTCATATATGAAGTTATTTACAGCATTCTAATCCTTGAGGTTATTTTTGACACACCAATCAATATCATTTCAATGTTAAGACACGTTCTGATCCGCATTGAGTGATCCCCATGGGGTATAGCAGAAAATAGGGCTCTTGGTCTGGGCCACGATTTGACAATAGGCTAAATTCCACAACAGTTAATCCCCCACGTTCAATATATAAAATGATCTCCAAGGCGAGTTGATCGGAGGCTCATTTCCGCGGTTGGCCATGCGTCGCGCTGTAGCTTTTCCTTAATTGTACCTACCACGGTCCGGTATGCCACCATTAAATTGAATCTAGCCCGTACCTGGATGATCTACTAGTGGAATATCTGGCCGGTGCAGCTTTCCCCGGCTAGAATTTCAATGATACAATGGGAAATGCAACCATATCGATCTCACGATATATATAACTCCACACGCCCTGACACCTGACTCGTTTTTTTATCATCCCAATTCACCTGGATATTACGTTAGGGCTCTACGTCACCTCGAAGTTTCGAAGATGAAGGTTACTCTCCTTTCGGCGCTGGCCACTGTCGCCCGCGCGGGCGTGATCTGGGATGGACGATTCAATGATCTGGGCACGTCGGCGGACCTTAACAAGTGGTCTTGGTCAAATCAAGTCGGGCCCTACCAGTTCGTTCACACAAACCCCAGCATACTAAGACTAAACTAAGAATTTGAAGGTACTACATCCACGGCTCTGGCTCCGTTGAGAAATACATCAACTTCTCTCCCGACTTCAAGAACCCAGCAGACACAGTGTCGAAGCAAGGAGCCAAGTTCACACTAGACAGCACGGCATTCTGGAACGGCCAGAACATGCGCCGTATCGAATTGATCCCGCAGACTAAGGCCGCGATTAACAGCGGAAAGGTGTTCTACCATTTCAGTATCTCCCGTAAGGACACCAACGCCCCGTCCAAAAACCGCGAGCACCAGATCTGCTTCTTCGAGTCCCACTTCACCGAACTGAAGTACGGTTGGATCTCTGGTGAGCAGGGTACTGAGAACCCGAACTTGCAGTTGTGAGTATATCCATAGGTCAATTCTACCAAAGGTATCAGCAGTATTAATACCACAATAGTATGGTCTCCCAGAACAGCAAGTGGAAGACGGAGTGGAAGCCCAACGTCTGGCACAACGTCGCCTTCGAGATCGACTTCGGTGCAGGTACAGTCGGTTTCTGGCATTCGGAGGGGGCAGACCCGTTAACGCAAGTCGTTGCTCCCGCTAAGACCTCGACTTCGTCTAATGGCGCTGATTGGCATTTGGGTGTTCTCGAGCTGCCGCGCTCTGGTTACTCTGACGGTACTGAGGACTTTTACTTCTCTGGCGTGTACATTGAGAGTGGACCTATTACTACTGCTATTGGTGGCCCTGGTAAGTTATTTTTTATGCACTTCTTTGGTAGCTAGTTCATGGGCTAATGGTCATTCTAGCTGCGTAATCTCAAAATCACCAGTACATATCGGAAACAAGCATTGGTATAGGCATTCATCTGAACGAACCCGGGGCGGGATTCTTGTATCTAAGTGGTTCTATTTAGCATACCTGTATATATGAACGAAATATTGAATAACTCGATCTAATTCATCATTTGATAGAGCCCAGTGTATTTAATTTCCACTGCCTGGCATCTTGTATCTAGTGTGTGAACTCATCTCTATTCTTTTCGTCTAGTAAACCCATCTAGGTATGCATCCCATCCATATTATCCAGGAGAGCAGAAAGCCAACTTAAACCTTGCCTTAGGACTCGGCATATCCCACTTTAACAAGTTCCAATAACCGTACGAACCTCCCCGGGAACCGGGCCCAGCGAAACGTCATACGAAGTGACACCAGCCCAGTAGAAGCCTTTAGAAGCAAAGATTAGCACATATTCCTCGAAGCGAGATACCCGAAAGTTCCAAGCTTTCATTTTAGGAAATTTAAAGGAAGTAAGGGAACATTCTGTGTTACATACAGTACTCGCTACCACTCTCACAGTAGCTATAATCGCATTTTCCCGTGAAACTGGCGCTTGACGCCGAGGGGGCCGGCGTCGTGATCGAAGTCTCGACTTGCCTCACGCGGAGATTAGTCTGGCTTTGGGTGCCTGTATGAGACGCTCTCGCACGCAAGTTGGTTTGGCTCTGAGTACCGGTGTGAGAAGCTCTCGCGCGGAGGTTAGTATGGCTCTGCGTGCCGGTGTAGGAGACGGCGGGTTTCCTGGCAACGAGCTCCGTTGTCGTCACCACTGCGACGATGTTGGTTGGCTGCGGGAGCGCCCATACTGAGGTGATGGCGAGGGCTAGGGTCGCCGGTAGGAGCTGTGAGACCTTCATGATAGATAGTATATGAGAAGACAGTAGATTTGTTGTTGGCTTTTTAGGGATGTATAAATTGCAGCGTTATTCGAGAGTTTGAAGAATGAATTTCGCGAAGTCCCTTAGGCTAGACTGACTCAGTGTATAGGTTTGGCTCAGAACTCTGATTCAAAGGTCCCACAGCATATAAGCCTCATTATATATTACGTCCTTCAGTCAGCTCAGCCGGCACATCGGGGTAGGATTCGTCACGAGTAGGACAGCAAGGCCTCAAACCAGCGAATCACAACCTGCTCTCGCTCACGAGTATACGTTACCATGGCATTCTCGTCATCGTATGTGCTCGGTTACGATACGCCTCTTAGTACTCCGGAGGCTTGTCTGCCTAGCATGGATAGATCCCGACTCGGCGACGTAGCGGTGGCCTTAGCACCTGTTCGACAGGCAACGTATGTCCTAGGTCATCCCCGTTGGTTACACGAGAAGGAATTCTAGGAGTCCGCTTTGTCATAATTGGATGTTTGCTTCGAGCTGAACGTTAGGGATGGATGCTAACGGCCGCCATGATGCTACAGGCACCGATTTTACAGCAACGGTCATGCAGGTCCACATCTCTCATTCGATGCGGCGCAAGATTATGTGTTAGCTTCGAATCTGACTGTATCTAGTCGAATAAGAATAGTTCTTTATCTTGACTATTGAAGTGTGCAAGATCGGCCTACGGATCCCACACTCCGTGGCAACATACGAGATGCTAGATTCAAAGAACGGCCGGATTGTGAATTCCCGAAATCCAAGGAAGAAATATTTTGAGGCGAAGAATATTAGAAGAGGAAAATGGCGCTTTTCGTGGCGTAATAGGTCGCTTAGGAGCCAATCTAGGGCTCTCGTGTTACTGGTAACTTCCACCGAAAGAGAAAATGTCAGCTCAGCCAAACCAATACAAACACCTCACGGAATCCCCCGCCAGCCACATAGATATCCCGAAAATAGGATAGATCTCATCATCTTGGCCCGCACTACGGTACCGTCGGCTTTGGCGTAAACGTATATATTTACAAAGAAAACGAACGAAAACTCAGAATTTCTAAGCCATCCCTTCGAAGGATAACTCCGTAAAAATTGAGTTGACACATTGATGTCAGCAAGTGGTTCGGCCTCGAAAATTGTCGCCTTATAAGGCCTCACATTTTTCTTATCTATTCCTATGACGACCGTGGCGTCGCTGGATTGGTGGTAGTACGAAGATCTGTCCCCTCTTCCCAGAATACTTGAACCTATTATTAAGCTATATTATCCGCCATAGAATTGCACTGTTACTTATTTTTAATTCAAATAGGTATAACCGTATTTATAATCGCTATTGCTTTACTCGTATATTCATTCCAGTTTCGTTCCCCCCTTTTTCGTATATATTCGTCATCCTATCACCAGCGTCACCAAATGACGCCTTCCATCCGATTAATAAATATTCGGAAACCTCGCATAGTCTCCTATTACCGAAGATAAAGGTCAAGGGGTGAGTGCAATATAAACCTCATCGCTTCTTAAGAGGAGGGGAAGACCTGGATGATGGTAACAGCCTCACAAGTCGGGTTGTGAGGGGGGTCCGAGACCACCCACGCGATGGACTGGTAATAATAACCCGTGAAGTACTGCCAGCAGACATACCACTGGTAGTACGCCTTTCCTTGGCCACTAGGAGCGGGGTTCGTGCCGGGAGTGAACGTCGAGTCGTCGACGTAGTTGTAGGCGAACAACTTTCCGTCGGCGTCGAAGCCGATGTTCGCATAAGGGTAGCTGAAGCCGAACATGGGTGCGGCGACGTTGCTGTTCACAGAGTACTGCAGACCCAGGATTTGATCGACCGTCGCGCTGTTGCCATCTGAGTCGGTGTATGGAAGTTTCCATATTAGTTCGCCGACCGGCGCACCGTCGACCTCAGTGAGCGTATCGTTGAAGTAGTAGATATAAGAGTGATTATCGGTGCCATCGGGAAGTCCTCCTGCGCCGTAACATACTCCTTCTATGGCAGCTCCAGCGTGGCACGATCCGGCGTAGCCTATGTTGAATGTGAGCTTACAGCAATCAGAGCAATTCCATATGAAACTAACCATCAATTGAGCTACCCTCTCCGCCAACGATGTGGAGGTAGAATGGACCAGTTTGGTTGCTGTTTTGGGCAGAAACCGCAGTGGTGGCAACGCCTAGAAGTAACGCTGAAAGTTGGAACTTCATGACGTCGTTATACTGACCAGACGTAGGAATAATTATGATTATAATTATTTATCGTGATGACTATGATTTCCTCCAATATGAAATCGAATTATACAGAGGACATTTCTCCCAATTTATATCCTAATAACTTATCTAGGACAGTTGAAGCTATGACGGTGATTATCACGAGGTGACCGAGAAGGTGGAGTAACGAGTCAAGCCGTCCGCCTCAATAACAGCGCGAGAGCTTCGACGAGATGCCGTCTCTATCCCATTGGGCACATCGTATCAGCCACTTCGTACGTGGCCATCAAAGGCACCTTGGAAAGGTAAAGCTCAAAGAGCCAGCATACCATTATTTCTCAAAGAGAATAGAAACTCATCCGGCGTTTGTTAGTTGGGCTGTCTATTCAATTGAATTAGCGCGGTATTTTTCTCGTATATGCGATGTGACATCGTAACGAACACCCCTTGTTCTACAGGCTTCAATAGTGGCTGCACTACCCATTATCGGCGGCCTATCGACCGATGGCCAATCTTGTAGGATCAACTCGAGCCCAGACAATGTTCGATTCGTGAGGTTGGCTCGAGTTAAGAGTGAATAGACTTGTGTATGCTAATTGTTTTAATCTCATCTGGGAGACTGAATACTCTCTTAATACCTATATTCCTTATTAGGATATATCAAATTACTAATCTCATGATTTATATTTCAATTCCCGACTTAGCCGCCGTCAACTCTATCACATTCGTATTAATTCAGAAAGGGTACCTAGGTAAGCACTAGAGCCCTAAACATCAGGTTATCTAACCAGACAATTACTAACAATACATTCAAGACGACATAATAACGTTATTAACAGATACTAGAGCCTCATTACTTAAATGATCTAACCGAAGAGCTAGTGACGTAGCATTACAGAATACAACCCAAGACGTCATAGTCATCTATATCGGTATAGCGAGGATCAAGATCGATCTAAGACCATAACATCGTGAACTCCGACCGGACGAGTTTCATACCCAATTCCGCTGTAGCGTCGCATCAATGGAAACAAGCTATGCATCTTCACGAATCCTTAGAAGTCAGGAACGCCAGACAACAGTCTAGTAAGTCATCAGCCTATCATGCTCAAGGGAAGGCCCCATTACTACAGCTACAATCAGCAATACGATAGATGATTTTAGGTCATCTTTGCATATTAACTGTTTCTTCCTGGTTAGCCTCATGGGCCTAATGGGGCGGTCTATCCCGCCCATCCGCGGCCCGCCTTAGTAGTTATTCGGCATCCGAGGGAAGCGAATCGTATGTAATCCATTAACCCGCTAGAAGTTAAGAGCTGCACAACATGCCGCTATCTCTATTACTCCTCAAGCCATTAGTGTCCGCCTCATGCCAGTTCCCAAGTTATCGAGCGAGGAGATTTTCACAGGAAACTCGAGGGATCAGAAGTCCGGACAATTACTCCGGCTTACTAAGACATGTCTCAGCTGCCCATACATTCTAAGCCACGATTTCTTTGGTGACAGGTTTACGTGGATTTACCTCAAGATGACGCTCATAGTCAAGACACTTTAGTAACTATCTAGGTACGAATGTTGATACAACAGGCCAGTGGCTAAAGAGCTCATAAATTTGTATATTTTACTTATTGACTGTTGGTTTCATATGACGTCCTTAACACTAATCTTTACTCATACCGCTCAGCCTCCCTCGAACTCTCCACGGCACTATCCGGGGGCTCATATCCCTCCGCGGATATGCTTCCTGGCACGCTTTCCGGGGTATAATAATCAGAACCCTTGAAATGCTCCTTCCTTGGGTTGTGCTTAATTCCCGCAACATTAGCTTCCACCGCCTCCCGACCCTCAGGCATCACATCTCGTCCGCGGTTGTACCCCACGGTCGGATCCTGGATACTCGAGCCAACTTCCCGCTGTCGCGACCCGGCGGCGTCGAACTCGTTGGTCCCGCCGAAGTCCAGCGCTTGTCGCGCGAGTTTGTCTTCGGGACCGCCGACGCCTTCGAAGTGCTCGCCACGGGTTTGTCTGGATCGTGTTAGTTATATGATATCTAATGCTTGCTGAAGGTAGATTGATAAGTTACATACCGTCCGCGAGCATCTACTTCACCACCCTCTTCAGGAGGGATTCTCTTGTTGTATCCGCGGTTGGTAGAGATATCTGTGTCGTATCGCACATCGGCGCCGGGGAACCTATTCTCTACCCGGGTATCTACGCCGGCTTCGTCATTACGGGAAGTCTTGTGTGCGCCAGTCTTGGACTCGTAAGAGTTTAGGTCTCGCTCGGCCTGGTCGGCGATGTTTCGTAGAGTTTCTGGTGAGGGTGCCATTTTGTGTGTGATCGTGATTTTGACTTTTGATGATTAGCTTGAGTTGTTTGAAGACTTTGAATTGATTCTGGATTGAGTGATCTCCTCAATTGCATGCGGTTCCTCTCCTTTATTATTCAATTCAGACACGTACCTGACGTCAATGACATCATCGGGATATCCGTGATCTTGACCACATCATGAAATCACCGACCCAATTTTTCAGGGACCTGTGTACCCGCAAAGGGTAATCAGACTGGCGGATCCTACAATTCTGAGTTCAGAGGCGACGTTATCTTCCTAAATCTCGAATCTAATAGTTCGCCTTATGGGTTGTGTGTTGCGCAAGAAGATGACACAAAGGTTGCGAGTGATATCATATCGTTCAAGTTTCGCTCCTTTTCCTCCGGCGGCTCTGCTGACAACTTTCCTAAATGGTTAAGTGAGGCGTAACGACTGGCGGTGATCATCAAACCTCCAATCGACATCTCAATATTCGATTGTTGTTATTGGCGTAATTACTTTCTAGGAGCTACTAGATAGGGGCGCTCGGGAGGAAAATCAGGGTCCTGAGGTAGATACCCGCGACCGACTAGATGTCCTAACTTCGCCACATATCCAATGCTATTAGAGATGCAGATGTACGATTACCATAGTAACTAATGTTCTATTGCCCACCAAGGTTCACTTTTTGGTATATATGCGTAGGTAGGCTTAAAGGTACTCTTTTCTAAGTTCAATCTGCTGGTATGCAACTGAATCTAAGCTGTGATGGTGCCTATGTAGGAAGCATCTATTCTTTAAAATCTACTACAGGCGTGATAACGTATCGTCTAGCCTATTACCTAATTTATGATCTATGTTTGATGCTTCTATTGGCATGCATAATGCCAACTACATGTTGACCTCGCCTTTTTAATGAATTCGTACCTATGTAGATACACCCCGACCCTTGGAAGTTAAGTCGATTATATTGGCATCGCATTGTGAACTCGGAAATTACCTACTGCTCATGATGATTTTGAATATCTGTGACAGGATCTGCTCCGATCACGTTAAATGGACGCCGACCTATTTACTAGAGTTAAGGTGACGAATTGCGAATGATCCTGAGCGATTTCATCTTCATGATGTTACCTAGGTCGGCTAACATGCGTTGGTGCTTCAGAAACAACCTCGTCTAAATTAATCGAACTCGGCATGATCAAAGACCCTACTACCCACGTCCGGGACAATGGGCCCCTGAAATGTTAGTATCAAGAATATTAATATAGATGATCTGGAGATGCCAACAAGACACCTGCGACGTGAAACCTTCTCGCTTTCCTAAAGGAGGCCTGGTAACATCGACACGCACCGCGGATATGCCAATGCGTTAAGTTGTATTTTGAATATCCCAACGGACCTACTGCTAGAAAGAGAAGACGTTGAGATAACTTTGCTGGAACCCTCTATTACTTCCCGTCTTGTCTGGAACCACGGGACCGGAAGTTACGTAGCTCGTAGTAAACGTAGCGATCAACACTGCTGGCATGGATTTATACCCGTAAACCCCAGGTCATTGTCGGCGAAAGTGGAATGAATGGTGTACATATTAATATCTTCGGCAATAACCCAATATGTACTTCCCCTCTGTTTTTTTTAACTTGTGTTGTCTCCTCAACACTCGTCGAAGGGTGTATCAATTATCGATACATTGGATGGATTGTCGAATGAACCCATGACGGCATAAAAATTCGATGCTCATGCGGAAGGTGTGCGGCCCCTATTTTCCTAGATAACAACCGGGGGCGTCAACATGATCCTATATGATTGCGTTGTGCTGCTTTTAGGTTGCCTTTTGGATGTCGCGTTCGGAGATGAAATGATAAGGCATCAATGTTAGAAGAGCATCAGGCAGCAGAAGCTACGCTACGCTTGGACGTAAAAAATTCGGTATCGGGTAAGAGATGTTGTATAGTAGACTATAATCGTCTCTCGGATAAGGGGGTCGATCTTGAAATTTCTTAAGGCACTCCCCGAAGCGGCATAGTCGAGAATCGGCTCGAAGAAGAATAGGGTGTCCTTGGATACGAGGGGCCAGTTTTCGTGCGAGGAATACAGCTTGCATTCAATTGGATACCCAGCACTTGCTGATTTCGCATGAAACTGGCCTGGGTAGCACAATACCTACGTGACAGTTCGCTTACATCAAGGGGGGTGGAAGCGACGTGACGTTTCCACCACTCCTTTGTTTTTCGTTGCAAAGGCCGATCCTACGAGTTCCTACAGCTACCAGCCCGCCAATATATGACACCAGCATAACTTATCCTCTCGATTAAATAATTGGATAGGAATATGATCCTCACAAGATGGAACCTTCGAAAACATAGCCGCTAAACATACCTGACGGCGCGGCTATAAATCAAAGCTGCCGGCACATGGACCGATGGCTACATGATCTTAGCGAAAATTGCAGGATACCACCGCATCATGCATTCGACAGATGATCTGTCAATATCATTCGCGAACAGACGAGTCCGCTGTCCCCCGCGAAGGCCTGTTAGCCCGGTAATATGCCCTCATGCAAGTACGAGTCCACTGGAGCGGAGTAGCTAGGGGTGATCGGTAATTTGCACCAGAATTACTGAAGATAGAGCCTATTGACAATTCCCGGTCTTGGGGACCGCTTGCTTGCCCGCAGTCAAGAAGATGCCGCACATGACTAGATATATCTGCCTGCCGGATGGAATGACCCGATATGGCACCGATATGAATACCTATCTCCTCCCAGGATGGCGGCATCAACCATGTAATTTCAATGCTAGAGTATAGAGTAGGTCGGCATAGGTGTGAGTTCTCACGGCTGTGAACACGGAGGGGGTGGTTGTCTTCATGGAATTTACCCGGTCTCGATGATAATATTCGAAGCCTGGTCACAGCCAATACGATTAGAGGACTTAGGATATACTTCTTGCATAGGGTACCATGGAGAGGGAAACTTCCATGCTCCATCGCACTAGAGATCTAATGGTGTCGACATAATGCAGGTGAGGTGAGGTGTGTACCGGCTTGGCTTTCGATAAGGCAGGACTCGAACCTATGTCGGTTCTTCGGTGTATTTACAAGAGTCAGGGGGGGCGAATTCTGGAGGTCCGACGGTCAGTTTAACAACTACACCGATGTTATCCAGATTTTCGCTAGATAAATTAATTCGATGGAAATGCTGCTGATTTTGTCATTTCGAGACTACTACGGAATTACGATGTTTCATACGATGACCGAGAGCTAGCTTTCAGCTATACTCGCCGACGACAGGGGACTATCTACCTACCTACCTACCTTGGTAAGAACTTAGCTAGGTAGTTTTCCGGTGTCCGGTGGAAATAATAGCGAATTTTATCGCACTGATAAATGTGCTGGCGAATGTACATATTCGATCTGCGAATACGCCTCCTTTGTTAATCTAGAAAAATAGTCGATCATCGAAAATAGCCGCTTCGTTCGAGGACCTCGGTTCAAAACATAGCTTCCCAAGCACGGTTATGTAATTCTATATCGCACGAGACGTATGGAATGCGACTTGGAGGCTGCTAAGGCAGCGGTGCCGTGGCTTGCATAGCTGCAAGTCAGGCGTGGGGATCATATCTATTCCCTGGTGATCGCGATAATAACCTAACTACTAAGCCATATGTAAGCTGGCCCCCTAAAAGCCGTATCGTACGATAGCGGCTAAGAAGTGACGAGTCACCTCGACATTGGGCTTCCCGAAGACCTCGAATTGTTCTGTGCTACACAAGGTCGAGATCAGTCGACTTGACTTCAAACGGCGGAATTCCAAACTCGATATCTTCAAGGTAACCTGATGGTAAGCGTCGGCACCATGTGTCATTTAGAAGTGGAATGATATGACTGTATTCTGCTAAGACGCCGGTCCCTTAAAACTTGCAGGAGGAGCGTGTTTCTCCATTTGCGGCAAATGAGATTCGAGGAATGAAAAAAATGTTTGAAAATTTTGGAAAAAGCTTATTGGACCCAGACTTTGACAGGACTGGAACGAACCTCAAACTGGTTGTGAGGGTAGCACTGATGGCTTCCTATTCGACGTTGCAATCCTAGAAGTGAAAGTGAAGGTTGGGGCTCGGCCTTGAAGGACCCCCTGCTTCGCTTTGGTTCGTCGAGAAGTAGCATGAAGGAATGTGCGGGGGGCACTTTGTTAATCCTAAACTCTATCGTAATTAACTTGTCAGATCTGCAACAGGGATTCAAAAGGCGTTTTAGCCGGAATTGGTTGGCTCTGTTCGCTTAATATCTCGTCCAGGTACTTGGGCATCTTGGCCCGGGGGGTTCGTTGTTGGCTCTGTGGGTCAGAGATGACAGGAGGCTAAGAAAAGCCAGCCATGAAAAAAAAAAAAAAAAAGGAAGAATTCAAATACGAACCGGGGCCAGTTACATACTTAACTAACTGCCGTTCTCACCAATGGTGTACCTGAGATGAGGTTGCTGAAAGTCGGGCTTGGCGGATACCGTCCCCTTCCCATAAACAAATCCGCAACGATAATGGTTCTGTACGTAAAGCGGAACCCTTTCATGACAGGGGTAAATCTTAGTTATCTGAATAACATAAATAGTACGCAAATAGGCAAGTGTTCCCGATGGGAATGATATCCTCGGAAAGGAAAAAAAAAAGTCATGTTTCTTCATACTTGGGGACATAAAGCAGCAAATGGCTACCTATGTACCCAAACTTTTATGCGTCGATAGAGAAGTATGGATCGGAGAGTAAGACGTCGGGTGAAGGAAACCGAAAAGAGTCAGAATATTGTGACACAAGTTGAGTAAGATTAGTATCTGCATCGGGGACCAAGAACCATGTGAATTTGGGCTCCAGGAACTTGGTTTTCTTTTTTACAATAGTGAGAACCGAAGATTCAAGTTGTTCGGGCCAGAATTTAGTATCCGTACTAGCGATTGAGCTATGTCTTAGCGGATCGAATTCGAGCTTTCTTATAAAGAGATAAACTTGTGGGCCAGAGGCCTGCGAGATGGCTTCTTATCAACTCAGTATGTTATATGTCCTATGCAAAACCTGCACAACCGCTACCGTCCGTCCCGTGTCTTGGCGGATTCGATCCAACTGCAATCGGCCGGATATGGGAGCGCGACGGCGACTTGCGTCGGAGTGTGGCTGGCTGTGCCGGATATTAGGCAGTAGGGGTCCATGTGAAGAATGAGCAGGTCCTTCGGAATGTGATGTTATCTGATAGCGAGCTTCAGGAGGGTCTCCTCATCGATCCCCACAGGTCAGCAGTTCATTATCTTCATCCAATGTCATATTCAAGATAACCTCTGCTTCGTAGACGTCGCTAAAGAGTGGGCACTGATGTTTTGTGTATGTGTGAAACGAATGAGCGTGGACATGGTGTGGACAAGCGAGAACTTTCAGGCGGTTGCTGATATTTAAGGGTCCGCGGATGTTATTGGTTCTCTATCGGCCCCGGAATAAGCCCTACATCGGCGGCTGTCCACTTTGATAAAGTCGTGGGATGCCTCGGTGTTATGTAATATAATGAATACAATGGGGATAGGGGCAGAGAGGTTAGAATATCCAGGGTAAAGCTTATGGTACATACCGAAATACATAACATGTCATTTCATACATAAGGAGGCTCTGTTGTACCCTGGCGATTACGAATGACGGTATATGGGTCAAGGCGCTGTAGAAATGTCTCGGTATAGTATTTGTCCTTGCGCACATATGTATGTGGGTAGGACATCCAGCCTTGTCAATATGTGGTAGTACATGTGTCAATAGTATGTATTACCGTAATAGATGTGTGTATGGATGAATATGAGGATGAGGATGAGTATTTCGATCTGATCTGATCCTTCATGTTGAGTCCGCTGTATTTGAATATTGTAAATAGGGTTGGTAGTGCAAATCGTGTTGGAGTGGTAAATGATTGAATTTGGCAGATGTATGTATGTACATCCTTCCTTAGGAAGGCAAGCATGGGGGAGGTATGATGTAGGTTGTAGTAGAGATGTAGCAGAGAGAATTAATTATGTTAGTGAGAACATTGAATTATTGAATGCAAGTACCATGTATATTGGCGGGACTTTCTTTTTCGACCCGGGGAAGGATTACTGGCAGACTCCACTCTAACATGCAACAACCTGGTTCGCTGCTGCTACATACATCTAGGTACATGTATACTCTCAGATGTACATGCCTGCGTACTGCACAATTATGTATTGTCCGCTAAAAAAGGTAAATACATTGGAAGCTACGTACTGCTTACCTGCGATGTCCCCTGTAATTGCACTGTCTGGGGTGCTGAAATAGACTAATAAGAGTGCAAACCCGGATTTTAAGGTAACATGGCTATCCACCGGGCTGCGTCTTTCAGCAGAAGGCCCTTTCACTCAACCACCAACCCTCCATCTCATTTTCCTTGGCGAAAGGAAGGAGAAAAAAAATAAGACACAAGAGACAAAAAAAAAAAAATCAGGGCTCATCCCACCCCTTGCCATTCTCATGGAAATGTCTCGAACAAATTCCTTCCTGTAGGAAGGCAACCAAGCCAAGCAGGTAGTCGTCATTCCACGGATGGTAATGCCAAGATCAGGCGTTTCCCCCGAACGAGCCAGCGAGACAGCGAGTCCAGTCTAGACTTACTCCAAAGCCCAGGAGGCTCGAGCAGAAAAGAAAAAAAAATCACGATGACTTACCTACTTGCGAGATAGCCGCTCTTACGATGATTCACGCTCGCCTAAGCACAGAATACATAAAATATATTAGTAGGCGAATAGCAGGGCAATTAATTCTCAATCAGCGCAGTGCACGTAGGCGAGACAGGGCGCGGTAGCTGCAGCATGCGCTCATCCGTGTGCACATACTTATACTATAGGTTAGGCAGGCAGGTTGGTAATTCCAGAATCTGGGATGGCGTTGTGTCGTGCTTACGGTGTCACAGTGCCCACGACCTTCTCCAGGCCGGTTGATTATGGTTGATTATAACACAACTCGGTTGGATCGTCTAATTCCTCGATCAGCAAGAGGACAGACGGCCCGCACGACGCTGTCCCGGTTGCCTTGTCCTGTGTGCTTAATAAACACTACCCTTTCTTACATAGTACCTACATTACTGTGGGAAGAGAGGGAAGAAGAAAAAAAAAAAAAAAAGACCATGACTCCACTAGAATGTTACAACGGTTGGTGGTGCAACCGCTGACGCCCTCTGGTTCCAAAGAGTGCCGCTCAATGGGACATCAGCAATTTTTTTTCTTCGCGAATGCAAGGTCGAGTTCCGGGCTCACAGTCGCTTCAATGGCGAATTGGCCCGAATAAAGTGCCACGGGGTACGTCCGTGTCCACACTCGTGGTTCGTGTATGTATGTATTCCCCCTGGATAAACGATTTGCTCTGCGTTCCATGAAAAAAACATCCATGTCTGTCCGTCAAAAATCCTGTCCACGGACACTGTCACAGCACCTACGAAACTATCATGAATAAAAAATACAAAAAGTGCTGTTTTATGGGAGTGGACTTGTCTCGGTCTCTAATTCAAGCCCATCGGTAACAAGGAACCAGGTACGGCGGATAGCAATCTGCAGTTTAAAAGGGTCTGACAAATTGTGCTTCGTGGCCCTCAACTACATCAATCGTAGCCACTCTGGAGTTTGGTAGCGCCGTGTAATTCAATTCCTAGGCTGGGATCCGACGCCATACGGAATTTGGCGCAATACCACTGGATAGACCCCATCAAAAACCACCGAACGAGGTGGGATGAGCATTTGCAGATGCGGAGGAGAAACTGGGCTGGCAATAATGAATAAACAAAAGCAAAATACATTCGCCGATCAATCTACCTTGCCCTGATTTATTTTTTCTTTCCTTCTCAATGCCCCCCCTCTCTCTGCTTACTTACTACCCGCCCGCCGTTTCCCCTATGGTAGAATGCCACAAGGCCATTCATGACCGGCAGATAATCTTCCTTGCTAGTTGCATTAATTCCACTGGCACTCAGTAACCTATGGTGTAACGAATGGCGGAGAAGGAGTAATCAATCTCGCGCGTGGTCCCCAGGGCTTTTCAAGGTACGGATGGTAGTACCCGGTAGTACGCATACTCTCACGAAAAAAAGCCCATTGCCAGTGGAGTAGAGACGGCACGGATATTATTCATGTTAGTGAGAAGAATGGGGGAAGAGTGTGGGAGATGCCGTGGCTGAATCGGGATTGTTTGGAGTTGGTTCGTCCCGCTTTAACCCCCCCGGAACAAGACAAGGGTTTCTTCAGAAGGGCGGGCAAGGATCAGATTGCCCCCAGTTCGCTAGATCGCAGCGCACCAAGCAATATCTGTTCCCTGTGCTCCTTGTGGGTGTGTTATGTCTCTCCCACGCCCCAGGGGCCAGGACAGCGGGCTGAGAGAGGGACCAGAGGGCCCAAATACTCGGTTTTCACGCCTCAGCCGGAACTCGCTTCCAGTTCCACTCCTGCAACTCTGCCGCTGCCAGCTTACTGTTTAGGACTAGCCTTCTGCGGCCCTTGTTCGTGTGTGCAACATCTCTGCTCTTCTCTGTCTATCTACCGTATGCCGGCCCATTCTCTCATTTATCATCTCTGAACCGGGCCCTGCTACGTACATCCCGAGATACTACAACCGTCTTGCCAACTGGCTCAGATCGGGCCTGGCCTGTTTCTTGCGTGTACCAAAGCCTTAAAGTAGAACTCACAAGAGGAGTCATCCACCCTTTACGGTCGCGATCTCTCACAATAGGGGGCCTTTCCGAAAGGCTCGTTCGTTGGCTCTAATATAGGGTCCAGCTACAGCTACAGCTTAGCGGCGGGGGACTCCTATACGAAACGGCGATCTTTTTTTTTCTTCTTCCTCCTCTCTATTCCAGCACTACACTATATCCACTGAGTGGGATAGCTCAAAGCATAGATCCTCGCTTACGTCTGTGGCCCTACAACCTGCACGTCAGATACGTCCTTCGCCTTCCATATTTGCCAGGTTACCACATCGACATCGACAATCGGATACATCACAGAGAGTCCAGAGAAGTATAATGCCATAGTTACACTGCGTCTTTAGCAAGTTTTTCCGCTGCAAGGATATTCCTGGCCCAACTATCCCAATCTCGACCTTCCAATGCGCTTGACGTCGACCACAGGCATGTAAATATCCGCTTTTTACCACAAAATCCCACAGCCTACTTTATAACTTCTAGCCTTTCCGCCGGGTGGACCCGGGGGACACTGCGTCTAGCTCTGCTGTCTTGGTTGTTACTATACATATATCGACCATTCTTGTCTTAGCCGCCCCTTGCACCGCACCGATATCATCACTCGACCTTGGGACTCGCTTCCACGGACTCGATATCATTAAAACGGTACGACTAGCTTTCAACCTACGTTCTCGCGTGGACTAGCTATTTAAAACCCCCAAAAGAAAAAAAGAAGAAGAAAGATACAAACCTATATAGGCTTGCTGCAGTCTCTTAACAGTCGACTAAATAACCCAATTTCTGTTTCATGTCGCCTGTTGCCGCCGAAAACCCATTGTACGGCGGCTTTCTGTTGTAATACCATGGTGGACACTATGGCCAGGCCACCTGAATCGTGGGGACAGGACCCTTATACTCCACGACGCGCTTCCTACTATCCTCAAGAACAACGTGGCCAAGATATACGTCTACCCTCTCTTCCTAGCCTAGTTAATGGACCACACGGAAATCAGGGAACACCAAATAGGCAGCCCCCGGTAACCTACAGGCAGAATGCGTACGAAGGTCACTACGCGACTTCCTCACCCGTGCACCAAAGCCCACCGCCACCGATGCCGGGTCCCGACTTACACACGGCAGTACCCAGCCCCTACGTAAGACGACCGGTAGAGGTAGTCAACCGTATGCGTCCCGGACATCCACCAAATGTAGGCGACCGGCCTGTGGAACTACCAGATCATATCCGATACCGCCAAATACCCAACGAGCCTAGCCCATTGCAAACTTCCAGACCACCAATACAGCCAGGACGGATGATAGAATCACCACGGCAACCACATTATGCAGAAACACACCAACACCAACACCAACCAGCTAGGCCATCTTCGGATTATTCACACCGAGAGGCCCGTGTTCAACGCTCCCCACAGACAGTAAATGCCCCTCGCCAGACATGGCCGCCGCAACAACCCGAATCTCGGGCTCCCGAGCGGATGAGGATATCGGAATTATTAAGCGACGAGCCAAAAACTGGGGAATCAGGCTCTTCTAAGGCGCCGGAACGCAGAAAGGGAGCACCTGCCGCTACTTCAGCATATAAGCTAAGGGTACGCCAGCAACCAGTCGCAGCAAGATCCTGCGGATTTGGCGAGAGGGACCGTAGAGTTATAGACCCACCACCGATTGTGCAGGTCTTCATCGAAGACCCTAAAGCTTCTCAAGAAGAAATTAGGTCACAGCTTAAGTTCCGATTCTCAGTTATGCATTGCACGATCTGGAACGAGACGGGCGATCAGGATTGTTCAGGGATGCCGGATGATTACCGCCAACAGCGGAGATTGATGGGAACGATAGTATCGTCGCCATTCGTAGGCTTTGACGAGAACAACGAAGAAGGATGTTTCTTTTGTTTTCCGGATTTATCCTGTCGAACGCCAGGCACGTTCAGATTGAGGTTCAGCTTGGTAATTCTAGACCCGAATTCCATACCCGGATCGAAGACGCCGGTATGTGCTATCGCCATGAGCGAGGCATTTACAGTCTACAACGCCAAGGACTTCCCGGGGATGCGGGCGAGCACGGCTCTAACGAAGAGGCTAAAAGAGCAAGGATGCCTCATCTCCATCAAAAAGGGGAATGAGAGAAGTCACGCACGTGACGATAGTGAAGACGATGACGACGATGAAGAAGACGGTGGTGGTGGTGGTGGTGGTAGTTCAGCAACACGACGAGTAAAGCGAACTAGAAAATCATGACGTTTTCTCACCAGACCGGACTCTACGTTAACTTATAAGAATGTTTGGACTCAGAATAGTCTATTTCATGATGGCTTCCTGCGGTTTACGGGAAAGGAATAACACTAGTACTGTAGGGGTGAAAATTGCTCCCAAAGGATCTGGACATATCGGCTTATACGGAAAAAGCACGAAAGAAGCATATACGACATGATATATAGAGATGGATAAAAGGAACAGGCATATTCACTCACTATCATGCGGGTGACTTATGATGGTGTTGGCATGGAAATAGGAACAGGAATTGGAAATGGACTCGGAATCGAATCGAGAGGTAGTCAAGGATTTTGGTTTGTTTGATCCATTTTTCTTATTCTCTTTGTATTTTGGATGGCTTGGACAAACGTCCTAGAATCACTTATGAAATACCCCCATATCTGCCTTGTGTTATTTGATTTTTGATTTTATTTTTTATTCATTATCTTTACCCATGGACGAGTACGAACATGCAAGGACTTATGACGGGATGTTGGCCGGAGTTGCAACCCATTTTTTACCTATATTACCTATTCAGCCTTGTTGATTGACTGTACTGCATAGAACGGCGATATCTTGTGTCATGATCTATTGTCTGAATCATAAGAGAACGTATTGAGAATAGACTTGCGAATTTCAGTGTGAAAAAAAAAAAAAAAAAAAAAAAAAAAAGAGGAAGCAATAGATGATCGATCGGATAAGTTGATGTTCTGTTTAGAGAAAGACCCGATAAACGATCATGACAAAAAGGGGTAGGAATAGGAGGGATTCTATTGGCTTCATTTATCCCATCTAAAAACGGAAGATAAGCAATTTATTTCGAGTAGCGTAAGCCATTGAACGGGAATCCTAACTCCGATACAGTTGTATATAACTCAATCGTGTATTTACAGACTAATTCATCGTAGACCAATTTCAATTGATTATTTATCAATTCATGTTTCAAAATTTCTAATAGAAAATAATTATAGGTATAAAAGAGGCTTATTGAAGGCATAACGTATCTGTTACCGTTCCAGCTTAGGGCTTATCTTAAGGTTCCTTAGCTCTCAACAAGCTTATAACGGAGCTCCACTACGGAGCGATTGGTACTAATAATAGGACGCTAATCCCCTTGAGGCATAACAGTCTAAGTCAGCTAGCTATAGCGAAAGAAGGGACGCCCCCAAGAAAAAAAGTCGGGCGGAAAATCCCAACGTTGAATTTTTGAGTGACTTTCCGTCCGGAGCTCTCCATTATTTTTCCAAAATCCAATCAATTCTCACCTCACCATCAAAAAGCGAACAAGAAATTGTTTGCGATAATATCCCTCCACTCACCTCCGGACTTATTCCTTCTTTATTTTCTTTATATCTTCGGTTTTGCAGGAATTTCTTCCTCTCCCCCGTCATCACAACAGTCACAATGTTCTCGCGAGCTCTGCGAGTCCCGAGAGCGGTAGCGCCTCTGGCGCGTGTCCGAGCTGCTAGACCCGTCGTTGTCGCACCCTTCCGCACGGTAACGACAAACGCTGCCTCTTCGCATGCCGATAAGAACGCCGTTCCCGATGCCGACGACAAGACCTTCCAAGTCACCCTAAGCGACGAGAGTTTCGAAACATACGAACTCGACCCGCCGCCATACACTCTCGATGTCACCAAGAAGGAGTTGAAGCAGATATACTACGATATGGTTGTTGTCCGGTAAGACTAGGAATTATTGCAATTGGTGAAGAGAGGGATATATTTACTAACGGGCTTGTTTTGCGATTTATAGACAGATGGAAATGGCTGCCGACCGATTATACAAGGAAAAGAAGATCCGGGGTTTCTGCCACTTGTCCACTGGTCAAGAAGCCGTCGCCGTCGGTATCGAACACGCATTGACCAAGGAGGATGATATCATCACTGCTTACCGATGCCACGGTTTCGCTCTAATGCGTGGAGGTACTGTGCGATCCATTATTGGTGAACTCCTAGGCCGCCGTGAAGGTATTGCTTACGGAAAGGGTGGTTCTATGCACATGTTCACCAAGGGCTTCTACGGAGGTAACGGTATTGTTGGTGCTCAGGTCCCTGTCGGTGCCGGCTTGGCTTTCGCGCACAAGTACACCGACAGCAAGAAGGCTACCGTTATCCTATACGGTGACGGTGCTAGCAACCAAGGTCAAGTTTTCGAGGCTTTCAACATGGCTAAGCTCTGGAACCTACCTGCTCTATTTGGCTGCGAGAGTATGTTCCCAAAATACACTATTTTCTCGTACACTTTGGCTAATGCGTTTATTCAGACAACAAGTATGGTATGGGTACAGCTGCTGCTCGATCTTCTGCCCTTACCGACTACTACAAGCGTGGTCAATACATCCCTGGTCTTAAGGTAAACGGAATGGACGTCCTTGCCGTTAAGGCTGCCGTCAAGTACGGAAAGGAATGGACCGTCGCTGAGAACGGACCCCTTGTCCTTGAATACGTCACTTACCGATACGGTGGTCACTCCATGTCCGACCCCGGTACCACCTACCGAACTCGTGAGGAAATCCAGCGCATGCGTTCCACCAACGATCCTATTGCCGGTCTCAAGCAGAAGATCCTCGACTGGGAAGTCTGCACCGAGGAAGAGCTCAAGTCGATCGACAAGGACGCTCGCAAGCACGTCAACGAAGAGGTCGCTGTCGCCGAGGCTATGGCCGTCCCTGAGACTACCCCCCAGATCTTGTACGAGGATATCTACGTCCGAGGAACGGAACCTCAATTCATGCGTGGCCGCACGCCGGATGAGAACTTCTACTTCAGCTCTTAATTACCTGATTTTTGATGAAGTAGAAACCTCTAATCGCAGGACGGCATAAAAATAAATGTTCTTTTTGCTTGCGAACATACCATGTAGTATTAAAATAGATGATGGGCAGGAACCGGGCCGGGTTGGAGTAATCATAAATGTTCCTCGTTATTTTCGATTCAACCAACACAGCAAACCCTCCGTCAGTGTAACTACCAACCTACATGTTCCCACCTATCCAGTATAGAATCGCCTAGCTTTGTAGCTATGGGAGAAATAGAGGAGCGATGATACCACACCCAAACAATTGCCATATATATGTCTTGATTTACGAATTTAAGAATATTTACGCAGTTAAACATCTCGTAATTTTTAGTCACCTATCGTTAGAGAGGACAAACCGTGCCTTGATATAACATTAAGATATGCTAAAAGGTTCAGCATACCAAGTTTGTAGCAATTAGATGTAAGGCTTTTAAATAATTGACCAGTATCAAATGCAATAAAGGGCCCAGTGGTGAATTTTAACGACCCTTCCCATTTTTGAATGCACTCTTTTCCTACCCCTTTCAATGATCTCTCTCCCTTATATTCCCATCTCCGCAATTCCATTTTCTCACTAAACCCTGATTCCAGACACCTCTACCGCATACTATCCCAACTCCCCAACCAGCGACAACTCTCCGCAACCCCCGCCACACTCTTAAGCGCATCCCGCACACGGCTCTCCGGATCACGATCCCTATGTCCCTCAAACTCGACAAAGAACACATATTGGAACGGCGCGATTAAACTCGGGCGACTGTTGATACTGGTCAAATTCAACCTCGCGCGACGGAAGCACTCTAGTACATCTGCTAGCGCACCAGGTGATCGATGGGGTACGGTGAAGGATGCTAGGGATTTAGTGTGGGCGTATATATCGCCATTTTCCCCGTCCCCTCCTTCTCCATTTGGTTGTTGTGGTCTTCTCGCGTTTATAACATCTTCCAAACCCTTCACCGATGAGAGAGAAGGGTTCCGCGTAAGCACGAAGAACCGCGTCGTATTGTCCGCTCTATCCTCGATATTCTTCGCGAGCACATCAAGACCCCGTCGCTTCGCAGCTTCGATACTAGAAATCGCCGCACTCTCACCCGTCTCATCCGCAGCCGCAAGTTCAGCGGCGCGGCTGGTGGAGCTTACGTCTACCGTCTCGATACCTTTGAGGTACTGGCGGAGGAACTTGGTGCACTGGCCGAAGGCTTGCGGGTGGCTGTATATGCGTTTTACATGTTTTAAATCCTGCACTTTTCCTTCCTCCTGAGATTGGGTTTGGGAGGGGGAGATATGGCCTAACAGGCAATGGTGCACATCGAGGTATATCTCAACGCATACAGATAAATTCGGATACTCGCCCGCGCGGTCGGCGAATTGGTCGAGCGTGAAGACCACGGATCCGTTGGTTGAGTTCTCGAAGGGGACTACGCCGAGGGCTGCGCGGCCGGATTGGGTTGTGTCGAAGATGTCTTTTGGGGGTGTTTAGTATGTGTCATAATTCGAGGTATTCTATAAACTGTGACTTGGGATGGCAACGAAAATCACACCAATACATGTGTCCCCGTTGTATAGAATTATGGTACAAATATGAGGAAATATAAGGAAAATAAGATACCTTTGATTGTCTCAACCGGCAGTAAGTCGAATTTGCCCTCTGAAAAGGTATTTAATGTGGCCTATATGAATAGAGGGAGCCCGTTTGTTAGTTCCTGGTTCAATATATAAAAATAGGATTATATGAAAATGAAATCCGTATGTGATATATGTGAGTCCGGACTCATGCCGTACCTGATGCGTATAAGACGAGACAGGACCTAAGAAACAAACGGTCGGCTTTCCGCTCGACTCGGCAGAGTCTTGTCCGCCATCCGATACTATTCCGAATGTACCGTTTCGTTCCATCTCAAAAAGAGGTAATAGGTATATAAAATAGAAAATTAAGTCACAATAAATGCGAGTACCACGAGTAGTTTATATGTCCGGGCACGAAGAGAAAGAACGGAGAAGAAAGAGTAATTTCGGAGGCTTAGGTAAGTCTGGGACTCTTTGTTAGGGCCCTTGCGCCGCTGCTTCACTTCTTGTGCCACAATATGTGAATATATAGGAGCATTCTAGCTTTGTATTTAGTTTAGCAAGAATAATACTAAAAAAGGGGGGAATGCGGGGTGAGAATGTGTATCGTCTCGATGTTGAATCCGCAGATTTTCGTTCCTTTTCCCAGGTGCCGATCGAGGCCGCGCTATCGGCGTTAAAGTATCGCTCCTAGCCAATGCTTATTGGCTATTAGCATTACACAAGGCGGGTCGTAGGGCGGAATATGTCAACTACATGTATTATCTCGCCTTTTTGTCATTTTGACTTCTATACTTGGCTAATCTAGTTGGTTTTGCAAATTATTGACGTTATGCTCAATTCGAGATTAGCGTTTTACTTTCGCCCACTATATGGTAGGATCTCCCTCCTTTTTTTCGGTCATGGTAACAAGTAGCGTCAAACTGTGGTAGAATCGTTTAGAGGTTATAAAGGAATGACTGATTTTCTCTAATTCACTATCTAAGGGGTCCTGTGAGGACCATAACGAGTGTAACCAGTGGTAAGCCACTGAGAAATCATTTTACGAAGGTGGTGAACCCCGAACCTGACGCAATGCTGGTGCATAGCTGGTTGGGGTAACAAGAAGCAGAATATACTAGCGTGCTAAATGGATCGAGTGCCGAGGTGAACAATTTCGGTAGACCGCACTCAATTGCTGTTCCAAAAAGGGTGAAGCCCTATGATGTAGGTACGTCTAACATTTCAGGACTTTCGGTAGACCCCCAGGTACGGCATCTGCGAGGTCTGAGTTAGTCGCTTGTAATACAGCATTACGTTAGAAACATCGGTATCATACCTCTTTTCCATACCATAAGTTAACTCAAGCCGTCATCATAGAGCGAAGCGGACTAGGTGTCGCGACCTGTCTAGCCGTATGTTCGGAGTTCGCTGGGCCAGACTTCATCAGACGCCGCTGTGCGAACGTAGCCGCCGTCGACTTTCGCGCTGGCTCGCCCGCCGACGGGGGCGCGGCCGCGGGAGGTTGCGGTAGTGGACGCTCTGATACTTTCACGACATATGTCTGCTTGGACTGGACTGCTTGAGCTTGCCCCTCGTTCTCTACGAGGGATTCCTCAAACTAAGCACGGGTAAAAGTCAGCGACGATATTGCGACATTATGGATCATGGAGGCATAATTGTGTGGGAAATTTCTTTTTCTTTTCTTAAATTCTGGCGATATGTCCGAGGGACGATGGAGTATAAGGACATGTCAGGGGTCATACCTGTCAATCGTCATAGTATTCATCGTCGTCATCCACTTCGGCTAACTGCTCGAAGTTCACCTTGTAGCGGAGGATACCGCCAACACCGCCGAATCCCTTCACGAATTGGTTACCTTCGGTTGATCTATCCGATACGAATTCCAGGTTGGTTCCAAAATCCTTGTAGTGCTCCGCGATCCACTCGAGGAACGAATCCTGCGAGACTACTTCCATCTCCTGGCCAGTTTCCCTGTCCATGAACTTAGACCGATCGCCGGTTTCCTGCTGCTTGGTAGTGTGGAGAACGATTTCTGAACCATTGCTGTCTTTTAGGACCCATCGAGTAATCTCGAGGTTCTCAAAGACAATTAGGGTCTCTACCGCACCAAGCTCAAGGGCTTTCAGGGTATCCTCAATACCATAGCACACTTTGCCGGTATCTTGGCTAATCTCCTCAAAGTACTTGCCGATGAGCTTCTTCTCCTGGATGAATTTGACATTTCCAAGGGTCTCGGAAGACAATTCGATGGCCTGGTTGAAACCGTTCTCGCCACCATACGACACGTCGACGACCTTGATAACCTTGCTTTGCAATCGGTTGTCGAACATATCAGAGGCGTTGAGATCGTTCTTGAAATCGGCGGAACCGGCAAGAATGATACCGGCAACATTCACTTTATCGTTGGTGATGAAGTTCTGAACAGCCAGTTCGGCAACCTTACGGACATAATTGTGTCGCTTCTCCTCTCGTAAACGGGCAAAACGAAGGGCAGATTGACCACCACGACCGTGCTTCTTTGGTAGATCGACGGAGAACTTGTGGATAACATCACGAGTATTTCCGCTGAGTGTACCGAAAAGAGCACCGTTACCATCCATAACAATGAAACCAAACTTCTGATCGGACTCTAGTAGCTCAGCCAAGGCTTCAGTGTGGAATTTGTTGTCACACAGATACAACGAGGTATTAATGGGTTTGAAGGGCTCAAAGTCGATGTTGACCTTTCGCTCTTTTCCTTCCGAGGTCAAGATTTCACCACAGTAGACGACGAGGCCATTGGGAGGGACTTTGTTGTAGAGCTTGAGTCGCTGCTGGGTCGAGGTAATGGCGGAAAGCACAGATTGTCGGTTGACACGCGATTTAATGTTCGAGGCCGTTCCCTAGAAGCGATTGTCAGTAAAGTCCCCTAACTTAGCAACCTAATGCGGCGGAATGGAAAGAGAAAGTCACATACGTATTCTTCAGCCAACATCTTCGCTGCGCGTGAAATCTGATCCTTAGGTGCTATTTTGAGGTTTAGTATTTTCCGATACAAATAAAAGCGGGGGAGGGGTAAAAACTACATACGAATAATTAGGGAAATCATGCTTGTGCCATTGCCACGAGCCGCCTCGAGACGTTTAATGAGCTTCTTGACTTTCCATATCTCGATCTGTGGTCGCGATACTTGTTAGACGATGTTCGTTGCGAAAAGGCCAGTTTGGGACACGAGTCTGACGTGTGCGGTGGGGTTGGTACGAAGAGGAAGAAACTAAAGGATTATGGGTTATCTATGACGACGGGCGTACTTACGTTCTTCTCAGCCTCGGTAGCCTGGGCGTCACTCATTTTGGCTTGAGGATAACGAGCGTATCCGAGATACGCTCTTTTTTAGTGTGGAGTGATGCTTGGGTCGGTAAAGATCGTATGTAGTTGAAGAGAAAGTTGGGTGAAATTTTGTGGTTGTAGGAAACAAGGAAGCGCAGGCGATGCCAGGGCGGGCCCTCGGGTTTGCAAGTTTAGGTACGTCAAAACTTTACTTCTTTAAGCGTAAGCAAAGTGCGGAAAATGAGGGTCCATCAATCCAGTCTAACCTAACAACTTAAAGCCACACAACTAATTGTGGCGGCAACTTTAAATTTTTGACCGCCTTCGGACGAAGGTGTCCCTATTAAACCATGCTGTGCTGACTCATCCATCATAGCACAGCCTGCCTTGTCGGCCCGTGACTTGGCCGCACTGACCTCTCTTTTTTTGACCGGCGAGTCGCTACCATGCTCACTCATCTTTGAAAACAACACGTCAATCACAGATTACTCGGCAGTTTCCAAGGTTGGCCATCAACGAAACCCCTCCATTACAAAACTGATGGGACACGACAAAATGCGCACATACTTGAGATTGCAGATATTGCGATGCTGAAGGAAATTAATTGTAACATTTTCCCTTTTAAATCATTATCACGATAGCCTCATGGGACAAACATTGACAAAACATTGTCACGAAATGATCGGAATACAAACCTATCAAATATCTACTTGATTGCGTTGGGTTTTGGCGCACCAAAAGTTGGCGCGTCGAAACGTGGATGTGATCGTCATGTGGGAATGAATGACGGATGCGATGGGACCTTAGCAAGACACAGTTGAGCGACCGCTCCTGGCTATCGTCCGCACCTCCACTATTGCCTCATATGGGAATCTGCATCCCTCATAATTCGTCTGTATGTCGACGAATGGCTCAGTATTCGGTACAACAATCTGAGTAACAGACATTTCGTACGGCAATTATGAAAAATCAGTATTCTGACTAGGGGCATTTTGTAACGGCTTCAACTATTTCTTCAAGCTGGCTACTATTGCTAATGAATTGATTAATGTGTTATTGGCTAACTATGCAGACGCAGAAGATGGCTTAAAAGCTGTGATTAAAGGGCTATTTACCCAGTGACGAACGATCATACGGGGTCATGAGCCGATAGCTGCAGGATCTCCCTTGTACGACTATTATGAGAAGAAGCAAGCTAACGGCACAGAAACAAAGGGTTTTCTCAACAAAATCACCATTTGCGTTTTATTGTCGTTAGACAGATGCCAAGATGGCTTTGCGAGAAAGGGTTGCGTCATGGCTTGACCGGTTGTGACCTTTTTGCTGCTAGCAAGCTGCGCGGGCAATAATTAACTCGTTAACTTGGATAGAAACCAATTTGACAGGGTTTTGGTTGCTCACGATAGCCTCAATTCCGAGATGGGCTCGGTTGGAAATTCTGCCGGGCTGCGGTGGCCGTTGCTCCAAACCGAAGTGGAGCTAAACGGCGGTATGGGCCAATTCCACCGCAATGCAACGGCAATAGACGGGGTACGCAACCACATACACCGGTATTATCAGCATAATGCAATTTAAAAGTCAAGGTAAGATGGACTCTGATAATATTCAAACCGGTTCCCCGGTCATAACGTACTGTGTGACATGGGGTTGTGTCCTGTGGTCCTCAAATCTTACGGCCTTGGGATAACTTGCATTAGGCTCGTTCTGAGTCAATTGGAGCATTCCTGTTGAGAAAGAACAGGCATGTACCCCGACCGACGAGATGGCCAACGCATTATGTGGCCATAGGTGAACAATTGTCCAGCGGGTCAACTGCGTTTTCGTGATGGTACAGCCTGAAATTTCAAACCTTGCTCACCGGCACATGGCACGGTATTGATAATGCATGGGGTTGTGGGGGAGAAAGGTACATGTCGATTATAACTGGTACAAGTTGTTAGGTTCATGAAGGATTCATGTACCGAATGGACGAAGACGGTAAAAGAAGATGAAGTTGGGCCAGTGACAAAGAGTAGGTAGGTAGGTAAGTACCTAGGGGCTTGGCCATGATGGTGTCGGCGATGGATGATGATAGCCTACGGTTATCGGCTTTGATACCTTGGGACAGTCTAGGACTTTGAGGAGGGGGCAAGCTAGAAAGGGAAGGGAGGCTCGGATTGGGACAGGTCGACCTTGGAACTTTGGTCTATACCTCCTATGTACAATACATACAATACTTCGAGGGTACCTGGATAGCTTAACAAAATGTCTAACCTATCAGATAGGGCAGGTCTTCCTTCCCCCAGTCGATTTGCGGCTCAAGCCTAATCAGGGTGGATTTTTAGCGTTTCTCCCAAATTTCTTGGACTTGACCTCAACTTTCTCAAACCTCCACACTCCACATTCACACATCCCACCCACTACTTTTTTTTTCTTTGATCCATCTACAACTACCAATCTTTAACTCGGACGACAACAGTACAACATCATGGCAGATGATGATTCGAGCGAGCTTTCGTCTATCACATCTTTATCTGACGCACCGTCGGAAGAAGATAGCGAAATCGAGATGAAGAGGGAGAAGGGCATCCTGAAATTCTTCCATAAGCTACCCACAGGATCTAAGTCCGCCGAAACTAAGAAAGAAGCATCACCTCCACCGCGAAAACGATCGCCATCACCACCCCATGAATACGTATTGGCTGATAATCCAGATGTTGCTGTACGTGATAACTTCTATTTCGCGCTGAAAAACGCGAAATGTCGCGTCGATTTCCCTCTAATTAAGGATCTTCTAGTTTATTGTAATGTTCCGCGCCCGGTTCAACGATGCCCTCCCTAAATCCCTAGCGAACTTCGGTCCCCAAGAAATCGAGCGCGATGTCACCGAACCTATTCCTGGCGAGCGCGTGGAACATTTTCTTTGTGCTGTGTTGAGCTTGTTGCTGAATCGCAAGCAGGATGTCAAGTATGACGCAATACCCAACCAACACAAATTATACAGAAAAATACTAATATGAATATTCTAATAGGCCTGGTCATTACAATCGAGCATTGGAAGATGCTATTAATTCGCACAAGAACCAGTGGGCGCGGGATTGGAACGACGAAAACCCTTTGGCTGGTGGAAAGACTTTCGCATCCATGAGCCCTACTGAAAGAGTACGTTCACCCAACAATTTTAATAACTTGTCTATTCTAGCTCCAAAAGTGGCGACTGAAGCTAATGCGATTAATTATGTAGTTAAAATTACTGCGAACACTTATTCTTTGGTCCCTATCCTCCTCCGAAGTCATCAAGACCATCATCAATAAATCCTACAAGGGCAATCGACACGAAGACGACCTGAACCAACCTCTCTCCGTACAACCATGGGGTTCCGACAGCGACAAGCGCCGATACTACCTAATCGAAGGCCTAGACGACACCCATTTCCGTGTCTATCGCGAAAGCAATCCACAAGGATTCAACAGAACATGGTGGAGCGTAGCAGGAAGCATAGACGAGCTAAAAGTTCTAGCAGAAAAACTACAATGCTCTGACGGTGGTCCGAAGGCGAAGAAGCTTGCGAATATGATGTTGGGAGCAGTTCCGCGCTTCGAAGCCACTGAGGAGAAGCGCAAGCGTCGCGAATACCGACTTATGCGCAAAGAGCAATTCAAGCGCCCAGAGCCCGGTTTCTCGATGTACGAGGGGCGCACGAGAGGAAAGCGTATGAAGTACACATATTCCGATGACGAGGACTTCCTATCTGACTCCACTCTCCGACGATCTTCGCGTAACACACGCAACCCTACACCGGCCGAACCCGCAGCTCCCGTCACCACTGCCAGTGGTCGCCAGATCAAAGCGCCCTCGCGCATGACGGTCGACGCATCCAATAACATCGTTACAACTAGTCCTACAAGCCAGGGTCATAACGAAGCCACCGAATCAAAAGAGTCGTCGGTGGGTCCCACCGGTAGACCTAGAAGATCAGCTGCCGTCCACCACGGTACGAATGGCTGGGCGCCCTCACCCAAGAAGAGCAAGGAATATAACTCAATGGATGATGAGATGGAGGATTACGATGATGACGACGGTAGTGATCCTGAACTCGGTGATGATGAGGAAGATCACGTCCCCGATGATGAAAGTGAAGATGACGATGAATTCGACGAAGACGAAGAGATGGTCGACGACGACCTAGCAGACAGAAATTCAAAGGACAGTATGATGGTCAAACTCAAGCTCCCGTCCAAAACACGGACATCCGAACCCAATGTCAATGGCTCAGCACTGAATCTGGACGAGTACCGCTATAATGGCAAAAAGGGCGGACCTAACGATCAGGCTAGCTCTAAATCGGACAATGGTGATGATAAGAAAGAGGCTACGCCCGAGGAGAAGAGCGAGGAGGTCATCTCGGTAGCGACGACAAGGAAGCGGAAGACACCCGAACCTCCGTCTACTACTGCGAAGAACGACCAACCGCAGCGACCCCCCTCAACACCCGCTTTGAACTCGCTTCAATCGACTGCTCTGGCTTTTAGGGAAAGTCCGGATAAGGTCCAGCAGGCCCTACCTAAGCATGTCGACGTTGGAGCTGGAGAGTAAACATGTTTCACATAGATGATGTCTAATTTTGGTGTTTCGAGACAGACAAGATCGACTATATTGTTTTCATAATTGCAAGAAAAAGGAAGGTAATTCCTTGCGCTAAAACTTGCGAAAAGACTATTGCATTGCGAGACGAGAGCGCGATGCATTTTTCCATTTGCACAGACGTGGAGGATCACGGCATACGGACTTGTATGTCTGTATGGCACCGGGAATAAGGGCAACGAAGGAAAAGAGAAGATTAAGAATACGGGTGAGAGATTACAGAGTGTTCTCTGCTGATAGACAGGCGTACATACACTTGTGGGCTACATGTGCTAGCTAACCGCCTAGGCACACGATGTGCCGCATCGATTTTGGACGGACATACGGACGAACAGCAAAGATTCGGTCCAGCTTCTATACATTGATGTGTATGTACTATAGTACAGATACCTAATCCTGTATGTATGGACGGTCGGTTTGTGCATCGCCCTCGTGATGAAAACGAATACCTCATAAGCAGGTAGTAATGGCAAGGTCCGACATGATAATTTGAGCATTTGTCCCTGACGATAGTCCTCTTGTGATGTGCTCGTTCATACTTTCCCATCCCCTCTTCCCGTCACCTCCTTACACGCGGATCGTAAATATCTTTCCAGCCGTGCGATAAGCGCGCCGAATCCCTCGTATCGACTAGGGGAAGGTCTCGACCGAGCTAGGGTATCAGACTTTCAACATGCTCGACGTACTTTCTTATATCATTACATTTTCTTTCCATATTTTTTTACATAATCTTGTAGAGCAAGTAAATTTATTTTCACTCACGCCCTCAATCTAGTCCTTCTTGTGGTCGTAGTAGTAGCATTCTTAGGTAAAGGCCAGTTATTAACGCCGTACCACCACCGTCGGAGTCGAGCACCGGTCGTATTTCCGCTGAGTCGCGCGTTCTTGTTCCAGTGGTGCCAGCCGCAGATCGCGAGGTTGTAGAGGACGCCTTGGGCGAAGGGCATCATCATCTGTCATTTACAACCCCCAATTAGTGTTCCGTTTGCATTAATATCGGAAAGGGAGGAAGAGGGAGAACATACCTGATCCCTAACCGTAATCCACGCAACCTTCCACCACGTATCCGCCTTCGCAATACTATGCAAATAACTCTGCTCGAACCTCAAATCCGGCATCGGCGCAAAATTGCGGGATCTAGGTCGAGGTCTCAGCACACTAATCGGGATCTCATCGTCCTCATCCTCATCCTCATCCAAATCATCCAACTCCTCATCATCTAAGTCATCATCGTCTATCTCGTCAATGGAATCGTTCCGACTACTTCGACGGCGACGAGGTCGATGTTGGCGGGGTGCATCGTGTAAACGCACGGGCTCCTTCTCTGAGATGGATGAAGATGGGTTTAGATCGTGCCGTGGGGATGGATCTCGTTGGATGTGTGCGGTTTGGATCGTTTCTGCGATCTGTGTTGGTATACTTGCTGCCATTATGATTGTTGCTGTTTATGTGCTGCCCTTCTTCCCGCAAGCTTGGCCGTAGGGCGTTGTTAGTAGAGGGATGGGATGTACGTATCGATTAGCTTCAAGTTAAAGAGTTGTAGTTTTGAAAGATGACGTTTTGTTGCAGCTGCTGGCAACTGGAAGGGTGGATAGGTACCGGCTATATGAATAAATACATATTGTACAATATATCCTAGTAAACTATATTATACGGCTAGCGAGCGTAAACTCTTTCTTTTTGAAGTCCTCATCATGGCTACAGCAAATTTAGTTCAACATTGTTCAATAATACATTCTATTCTCTAATCTACCTTATTCATTCTGCATATAGCAGCCAAGTCTATCGTACCGATGCCAAGAAACGAATGCCAACACAATCTTACACGATGTAAGAGTCTAAAGAAATACAGTACCTACTCAGCATGCCTAAAGTACCGGTTCCCCACCCAGCCAGACCCAACTTCTATCGCTCATGGGAAGAACCCCAATTGCGATGCCGTTGACGAGTTTAAATCCTCTTCCGACATCAATATACTCGGATCCTGCACCTCCAAGTTACGCTTAAAGCCATTCAGGCGCTCGAATAACCCGTCCTGGGTCATGATCATAGGACATGTCGATATGTCGGTGATTGTCTGTTCTTCCAGGTCATCTTCGTCATGGAAGCTATAAGCCGACAGAGCATCCCAGCTATTTAGCATCTCCCCCATTACGATTAGAGTAGCACCCGGGCTAAGCTCGCTGCTATTTAGCATTTGCAAATCTCGCCGGAAAAGCTGGAGGGTGTGAGTCAAACTAGTATAAGCAGCAAATGGGGCGTAGTATGGCCAGAGCCGGCCGCAAATATCCTTAAGCGCAGCTCTCAGGTCTGGATAGATCATCTTCGGCCAAGGCTCGCTGCTGTCATCATAATCGGGGACGAAGACAAATACTCTTTTATCCATGCGTTCGAATCTTTCCTGCATTTCGGTCCACGTGGTTGACTTTTGCTCGGGGAGTACTCCGTCACGCGCAAGAATTGACATCTCTAGGACAGAGTCGAGCCACTCCACAGGAATCTTAGAAGTGTCAGGTTTGGTACCCGCACAACCTTTGGTCTCACTTGAGGGACTTGAGATATCCGAGCCCTTCGGGATTCCTGGGCGGCGTTCCTGGGTAGGTCTTGATCGAATAGTCCCTTTTGATACCACTGAATCGATGCGTTTGATGCGGACCGGAAGACGCCCTACGGCTGGTGCAGGTTTTCCGGCCACTGGTTCATCGTGCTCCACAGCCACATTGTCTAGTACTTCCATTAGTATTGATAGGATCACTCATAACCCAGACAGAGTAATAGCTAAGGGAGTTTCCTTACCTTGTCTCTTTGTCTTGAATGGGCTACCAAGGCCGTCGAATATGCTCATGCTGAAAAGGGTGTTTGGCGATTGATTATCAGTCGATGCTTTGTCTTTGGTATTTGCCAGTATCTCGTCGAAATCAGGCAGCTGAGGGATGGTGTTGTGCTTAGGCAACACCTCGTATGGACCGACATACTCAGAAGGAGTTGAGTTCTTAGTAAAGTCTGGACAGTGGCGGCAACACAATGTTGCCGAACGCTGTTCTTCGCTATCGGATCGCCGCGAGCTCAAAGAATTGCGGACACCCCGGAGCGACGACGACATAGAGCCAAAGCTCTTGCGTGTCGGAGATGGGCGTTGGCTTTGAATCTCATCTTCGGCAGAGCTGTCCGAAGAAAACCGACCTCTCAAGGATGAGAATGATCTGATACTCTTCCGAAGCAACGAGGCCCGGGCTTGCACTCTGTCGTATGCAATGTCGTATTGATCAGGTTGCCATTCTGGCAAGGACTTGTTGCGATTGAAACTTCTTGCGATGCGTTGACGCAGAGAGTACTGTTTTCCACTTGACTCATTACTTAGGCTATGGTGAGCCCTAGTGGATAGGGAGTAGCTTGGATCTTCAAACGCTTCTGGCACGGTGACCTTTGAATAGGATTTGCTATGCTTGCCCCTTCTGACTCGTAGGCTGCCCATGGTGTAGAATAATGACTGGGGACTGTGAATGAAGGGCTTTGGATAGAGCTGATACTGGCGAGTAAGTGGCAATAGTAGAAGCTTGGCTTTCAAGTGCTAGACAGTGATATCTGGGGATCCAAGAATGAATGGTAAGATACTAGTCTGTGAGAAGAATGGTGTCTATAAGTAATAAATAAAAATACAAGAAGAGGGAGGTGAATGGGTTTGCCCAAGTTGGATTCACTCAGAAAGTTTGGAGGGATTAAATTATTGTATGCTCTTTCTATAAAATTGAACCTACCTTCTGGTTTATACTATTGTAATCAGAGTTCGGTAAGCCCAACCATATATAATCCATCTAGAAGGCAGGCGTCGAGGGGCCAAATATTCAAATTGTCACTGCTCGATTAAGTTAACCTTTTACCTAGTTCCTCCCGCTCGCGAGGGGTGATATCATTGCGCGCATGTGCTTGATGTACCTTGAAAGTGTGTACATCTATACTATTCATCCCTAAACAGTATTGGCATACAATATTTACATTGCAGGTACACACACGCATCGAAGGAATTCCTCGTGTCTTTGTTTATTATACAAATCCATCTATGTATAGGGGTATCCCCAACCTCATAATCCATGAACAAATAGTGGCGATCACTTCTTAATTATTTTCATTCCATATTCTCCTGTGCTTATCGCATTTCATCAAATTTCTCTTCGTAGTCTTCCTTATCTTCGCGAAATCTTTGTCGATGAATTTGTCTACTCGAATGGAGGTCGTGATCAGCCTCATCTTCTAGGCCTGTATCGGCATCTTTCTCGGGTTTGAAGCTAGGATCGATCATTTTCATTTGTTCGTAGTGTTTTGAGACAACCCTACCAAGACTGTTACGTCTCGACATGATTTGGGCTGTCGTATGTGGATCCAGCGCTCCGCGATGTAATAACCTATCGCAGGCGCTCATTAACTTTTGTACAAAGGCAATGAGATCCCGTTGCGTCTTTGACTTCGGTCCGTGGTTCTCATAGCTCCTCGCGAGGAGCATATACGGTTTCCATAGTTTATCAAGAGCCGCGTGAAGCTGCTTATCGAATGCTTCATTCGCCGACTCCCCATCGGTTTGATCCTCAATCGTTCGCTTGCTAGCATATGCTACGCGAAGATATACATTTAAAGTATTTAGGTCGGAATAATCGGGTCTGGCCATCATCATCTCCAATACATCAGTAGCATGTATAAAGGCAAATGTATTGAGATTGTCCCTCAGACAGGTCCACATAGCCGCGCGGAAGCTTTTTGCCACCTTAAACTCATTAGGCATTTCCCGTAGATAGGTAACTGCCTTGCCGCTATTCTTCCCGCGTCGGAAGGCAAGGAGTAGTCGATACCAATTCTCTGAATCAGGAACGACGTTATATGTCTCTGTGAAATAATTCCAATATCGCTCAGTTTTACTCGTTCTACGAGTCATTTCAAGGCTGGAAAGAATCATAGAGAGTGAATTGTTGCCGGGCTTCACATAGCCGGACACAGAAGCCTTGGTAACCTTGGTTTTGTGATTTTCGATCGGGGTGACCAACGTCGTATTTGCGTCAGGTTTGGCAATTCTCAGTGCCTCCTTGGATATTTTAGGGGCTACACCTTCGTTGACTGAGGTAGTTGATTCTGTGGCTGTATTAATACCGACCTGAACTGGTGTTTCCTCAGATATTTCCAAAATACCACCTTTAACTTCGTTGTGCAGACTTGTAGCTTTTTCTTCCTTGGGAAGAGCCGCAAGAGCCGCTGCTTCTTTCTCCATTTTCCATTTGTTCGCCGTCCTTCTATCCTGCGGGATCGCCATGGTTTGCTCGATTAATGTCTCTACCTCCTGAGCGTCATGGATGTCACCCATTAATAAGACCCTCCCCATTGCACAAACCAACGATTCGTCGATAACGAGAGAACCATCTTTCCATTTTGATATCACTTCTTCCCATATTGTTTTCGCTCGTGAAATCATTTGCTTCTGATCATTTTCAACTTCGGCATTGGTTCCCGCAAATTCGGCAGAGTCGCGCTGATTGACTAGATAGGTTCGTAGGGCGATGAGTATGGTTGTATACGTCTGACTATCAGGTAACCTGGTACCGTCGTTGGCAGTCTGCACGATGCCAAACAAGGCATCGATATCCACGGCTCTTGCACAGACCTGCAGCGCGGCGTTCATATGGATGGTGTTCGGTTTTAAACGGGGGTTAGCCAACATGCTGGTGTAGATTCTGACTACTTCCGACACTGCTAATTTCGGATGGGATGATCTGGCGCAGCCCCTAAATATTGTCGTGTAAGTTGCTGCGGTTGGAAATTGGGCGCGTTTCTTCATCTATGGAAATTATTAGGCCTACAAATACTATGACACAATAGGACCGACCTAAACCAACCTCATTATATAGCTTGATAGCCGCATGTATTTTATCGTGCCGTAGTTGATAATCGATTAAGTAATTCCAACTGACTGCCACCTTTGTATCTTTGCTTGCCATTCTTGTGATTGCGATAGCTTCTTCAAAATCATCTTTCTCTAGTATTTTCTTAACATGATTGGCAATATGTAGCGGATCTTTCAAGTATTGTAACTGCTTTCGGGCAGCTCGTTCTGATGGAGATAATTTTTCAGGATTCGAGGCGCCATTTTGCCTTATGCGTTTCTTCGGAGCCGTCACTGTGGTAGTGGAAGTCGCATATTGCCTCCGTTGGTGGGATTCAAACGAGGCATAGGCTGGGAGGGAATTGGCAAGGATTCGATTCGGGCGGAGAGATTGACTTATAAATGGATAACAAGCCTTCCTTATACATGCTTTGCAAGTAAGCATGATTTCCAACTGGATAAGTTCTCTAGGGGAACAATGCGAAGGAAACCCGTGCAAGAATTTTGGTATTTGTAGGGAATTTTCCTTAGAGGCAGAAGAAATTTAGTTCTGCTGTCGCATGGTTTTAGCCAATCAATTGCGATGTCATAGCTTATCGATAGGAACAGCTGCTGTGACGTCGTGCTACATACACTTATGTACTCATGTACCTACTAGCGTCGAGGGATCCAATGAAGTGATGCGGACCCCACCTATCAATTAAATCCAGCCACTTTCCTTAATGAGACTAGATAGATAGAAGATGGACAAGGATTCGCGAAAACGCGATTATTTTATAAATTGGAAAGTGGCTCGCGCGTCGCGTCCACTAAATGGGAAAATTCCCCTAAAAGTACAGCACAAGTAATTCTCAAACACCAATTGGTTCATCTCCACAACCTGTACACACACACACACGTCCACATACGTTTTCTATTCCCCCCCTCCTCCATTCTGAACCTTGAACATGACTTATTCGTCGTGATTAATCTACCTCTAATACCTCGATCCTATCCCCTTAGCAAATATGTCTAAGGCTTCTAGCAAGCGCAGCAAGTTTGCCGAGCTTGCTGCTCTGCGAGCTTCTGGTAAGAAGGCTTATGATTCTTACCAGGTAGAAGATGTACAGGACTTGTACGAGGAAGTCGACGAGAACCAATACAAGAAAATCGTTCGCGACCGACTAAACCAAGATGACTTCGTTGTTGACGACAACGGCGAGGGCTACGCCGATGATGGAAGAGAGGAATGGGACCGTGTGCATACCTACGAATCGGAGAGTGAAGATGAAGTAGTACTTGGCGGAAAACCTCGAAACAAATCAGGTATTGTCAATTCGAACCGATATTGTTTTCTTGGTGACTTATGATATACGTACTAGATAAAAAGAAGCGTGACGAGGAAAAAGCGAAGCGGGATGCGAACGACCGCGATATAAGTGAATACTTCACTAAGGGCCAAACTGCTGTTCAACAAAAGCCAAAGGTAAAATAAATATTGCCATTAGGTGTACAATTCTATCCATAGCTAATGTTAGCATAAGGTCGTGAAAACCGAAGAAGATGAGAGGTTCCTGTCGGACCTACTCGGCGAAGTCGATGCAAACATACCTGCCCCAGTATCGCGAGCTTCAAAGCGACACAGATCCCCTGAAAGGCGTCGAGCTCGTGTCCTATCGCCCATCCGAGAAACCCGTCAGCCAGCGCCCAAGAAAGCAAGACTCAGTGAGGAACGATTACCGCCGAGCCCCCGAGCGGAAGATACTGTCTTTGACGACAATGGCTTTCTTCCGGCAGCAATGGACGATGACGATGATCTCCTACCACCCGCCGCAGACGTACCCATGAGCGATTCAGTTCCAGCTCCTTCCTCTCCCACGACAACGGCCCTCGCGCGCAAGACGAAGGTAAAACCCGAGCCTGTAGAAGAGGAAGATGAAGAAATGATGGAAGTTTCTCATGCTGGTACCGTGAACGCCGCTAGCGTGAATTTGTCTGCGTCTCGTCCTATCAAAAAGCTGGTCAAGCCAGATCCGTACCCTTCTCCTGCCAGTTCATCTCCAACAAAACCCTCTGAGGAATCCGTTGATTCGTCGTCGTGGAATAATCTCACAGACAAATTAAGTATTGTTAGCTCGCCCGCTGCTGAAACCAAACCTATTGGAAAGGCCGACTACAGAGATACCATTGAAGAAGATGGAAGTCTTAATATGTTCTGGACTGATTATACCGAAGTCAATGGTACGCTTTGTTTGTTCGGAAAAGTGTTGAACAAGAAGACGGGCAACTATGTGAGTTGCTTCACCAAAGTTGACAATATTCTGAGGAAGCTGTATTTCCTACCTCACCAGTATCGCCAGAAAAATGGGGAAGATACGAGCAAAGAGATTGAAATGGGGGATGTCTACTCCGAGGTGGATGAAATCATGACCAAGATGAAAGTCGATATGCATAAGATAAAGCCTTGTACTAGGAAATATGCATTCGAGCTCCCTGGTATACCTAAAGAGGCACAATATTTGAAACTGCTATACCCTTACACGAGTGAGTACACCTTGGGTGATATGCCTGAATGGAGATATACTAACTCCAACTAGAACCACAAATCCCCTCAGAAAAGACAGGAGAGACTTTCTCACACATTTTCGGCACGAATACTGCATTGTTCGAGCAGTTTGTGCTATGGAAGAATATCATGGGCCCTTGCTGGCTTAAAATAAGAGATGCTGATTTTAGCACTCTCAAGAATGCTTCTCATGCCAAACTTGAAGTCCTTGTTAGCGATCCCGATACAATATCCTCAATGAGCGAGTCTGATAACCTGGACGCGCCTCCTCTTACCTTAATGAGTATTGCCATGCGAACCGTTTTCAACGCCAAAGATAACAAGCAAGAAATTCTTGCAATCAGCGCTCGAATCTACGAAAATATTCTACTAAGCGATACCACGCCTGCAGAAAAAATCCCTTCTAGGACGTTCACTCTGATGAGGCCGAATGGATCCGGATATCCTACCGGCTTCGAAAAGCTAGCCTTAGGAAGAAAGAAAGCACCCGTTAAGTTATGGAAACAGGAGTCGGAATTACTATCATTCTTTTTGGCGCAAATCGACCTCATAGACCCCGATGTAATCCTCGGTCATCAACTTGAGGGTGTTGACTATAGCGTCCTATTAAATCGCTTGCACGAGAAGAGAACCCCCCGATGGTCTCGACTCGGACGATTACATAGAACACAATGGCCGGCATCGATTGGGAAGACAGGTGGCAACGTATTTGCTGAACGTCAACTTATGGCTGGTCGCCTATTATGTGACCTTGCCAACGAGGCCGGAAAATCGGTTATGTACAAGTGTCAGTCCTGGAGCTTGACAGAGATGTGTAATATCTACCTTGGTGGAGACGCCATTAGACGGGATTTTGATAACGAAGCCGCTTTAAAGACTTGGGCGGCAGACAAGACTGGCCTAATGGATTACATCACCCACATGGAAGCAGACACGTATTTCATCGCGGCACTGGCTTTGAGCACTCAGATGTTACCTTTGACCAAGGTCTTAACGAACTTGGCTGGTAACTCTTGGGCTCGAACATTGACCGGTACTCGAGCTGAACGAAACGAGTACATTTTGTTACACGAGTTCTACCGAAACAAATACATATGTCCTGATAAGCAATTCTTCAAGGGACGACCAAAAGCCGAGGAAGAAAATAACGATGGAGAGGTTACCGAAACCAAAAAGAAGGACAAGTATAAGGGTGGTTTGGTTTTCGAACCCGAAAAGGGTCTATATGATAAATTCGTGCTTGTCATGGATTTCAACTCGCTTTACCCATCTATCATCCAGGAATTTAATATCTGCTTCACGACGGTAGACCGGAGCTCATTGGTAAGTGCCCGGATTTTCCAATGTTAGATTGCGTGCTAATGAACGATATAGTCCGATGACGATGATGCAGTACCAGATGTTCCTACACAACAAGATCAAGGCATACTGCCGAAACTTATTGCCACTCTTGTCAGTCGGCGGCGGCAGGTTAAGGCGCTCATGAAAGACAAAAATGCCACCCCTGAAGAGCTCGCCACATGGGACATCAAACAACTTGCTTTGAAGCTGACAGCCAATTCTATGTACGGTTGTTTGGGATACGACAAGTCCCGATTTTACGCAAGGCCTCTTGCTGTTCTGACGACCTATAAAGGTCGTGAGATTCTCAGAAGCACCAAAGAACTCGCAGAGTCGAAGTCTCTCCAGGTCATCTATGGTGATACTGATTCGGTCATGATCAATGCCAATGTGGAGTCCGTCGCCGACGCACTTAAGGTCGGTCAAGAATTCAAAAGGACCGTCAATGAGCGATATCGGCTGCTCGAGATCGATATTGACAACGTTTTCCGACGTATCTTGCTACAGGCCAAGAAGAAGTATGCTGCTATCAACCTTGTAGAGGTTCCTGGTGGCAAATTTGTCGAGAAGATGGAAGTTAAAGGTCTTGATATGAAGCGCAGAGAATACTGTGGTCTATCCAAAGAGATCTCATCTCGCATCCTCAACGAAATCCTCTCGGGCGATGAGACTGAGGTCTCTGTTCAACGCATACATGAATATTTGCGTGAGATCTCAGCCAAGATGCGGGAATATACTATCCCTGTACCTAAATACATCATCTACACACAACTTGGTAAGGCGCCGAACGAATATCCGATTGCGGATTCAATGCCACAAGTTCAAGTCGCCCTGCGAGAAATTGCTCGGGGTAAGCCTGTCCGTCGTGGAGACGTTATATCGTATGTCGTCACCGGAGACAGCAAGACAACCTCAGAGCCCGTCGCCAAGCGCTCGTACACGCCTCAAGATGTGATGAAATCCGGTTCTGAATTGAAGGTAGATGTCGAATGGTACATTGGCAAACAGATCTTCCCACCTGTGGAGCGTCTCTGCGCCAACATTACTGGAACATCTACTACCCAGCTCGCGGAACAACTCGGTCTCGATATTCGTCGTTATGCGAGCAACTCCAACTACAACCAGTCCGGATCCAACGACTTTGAAATCCACCCGCTGGAATCTCAAATTCCCGACGAAATTCGTTTCCGCGACTGCGCCCGCCTCTCGCTGCGCTGTCGCAAGTGTAAGACGTCGGCTCCTTTCGAGGGTCTTTTGTCCATGCCAGATGCCGAAAACCGCATTACGCCGCAAGGTCTCGCATGTCCATCATGCTCCGCATTGATCCCCAATTTAACCATTGTGGCGCAAGTAGAACGTGCGATCCGCACTGAGACGGCACGGTACTACGAAGGTTGGCTCGTGTGCGACGATACCTCGTGCGGGAACCGCACGCGGCAAATGTCCGTGTACGGCACACGGTGCTTAGGCCCTAAGGGCTTGGCTACGGGTTGTCTCGGTCGCATGCGTTACGAGTATGGCGAGCGTGATATGTACAATCAACTAGTTTACTTCGCATCCTTATGGGACATCGAAAAAGCACGCGCTAGAGCGAATTCAGGTGAAACCGGCCTAGGAGGTTCAGGTAACGGCGGTAGTCTGAGCGCCTCGGAAAAAGAAAGAGTTATCGCACTCGCCGAACACAACCGCAAGAGATTCGATACCGTGAAAAACGTCGTCGATAAGTACCTCGATAAGTGCGGAAGGCGGTGGGTAGCTATGGACACGTTATTCGGGAAGCTAGGGTTTGCTGCTGTTTAAGGCATCGTCGGCGTGATGTAATGTTACGGGCTTCATTGATTTGCGCGGTTTTCCTCAACCGCTATTAGTATCATCATGGCGACTGGTGTTCCGGGCTGGATAATGGGGATAGTACATAGTAAAATAGTACCTAGGTAGTTACTTGATTAGTCTACATGGACTAATTAACTAGATTATATGCGCTTGCGTTTAATGAAATCTAAATATGAATTGTTTAATAATTATCTTGTCTTTTACCAACTTTGGGAGAAAATTTTGCTGTGATTCGGACATCCGTAAGTTAGAAGGTAAAAATGACGAGCGTGGCGCTCAGTCGTAGCGTACAAAAGTCCGATATTAGCGGGGTTGTAGCACGAAGAATGGCCTGTAAAAAAAAAAAAAAAAAAAAAGGCGTCGGATGTGATAGCAGCTTTCTATGGAAATATCTAGGTACCTACATGACAGTTCAACAAGATGCTCGAAATATCAACAAATCTTTACAAATCCACTTAATTCATATCACAGTTTGCACATCACAAAAAGGCAGACGAATATGTTCAAATATCAATTTTTGCGGCCGCCACTGGCTTACTGTCTAAAGATTATGAAGGTGATGGTGGTCGATGGTGGTCGATGGTGATGATGCGATGGGGTCTCGTCCAGAGTTACAAACAAAGGTATGGGGTGAACGAAAAAAAAGATGCTTTCTCTTCCTCTCGCCTATAACCCCTGTTTGTGATGCGTGACCATTCCATCCCATCCGTTCCTTCTGCCGAAAAAAAGAATCCGTCCAAACCGACCATCCCCCCCCCGTGCCATCATCGTCCGAATCGTCGTCAGCAACTAAAGAAGGACGACTGAAAAGCCGAGCAACCTGATAACGACACCCCGCGGCCCCGAAAACACCGACCGGAGCGTTATTTTCCGCAAAAAAGAAAACACAAAAAGCACAAGCGAGGACAACCAGTGGCCAGCCGCGACCAAAATCCAGATGCAATCAAGAATACACAACCAATTCTGTTGGTTTCCACGGTCTCGTCAAATCTTCAAATGACCGCAATCCGCATTGCATGACTCAACCCCTCAAGCCGGTGACGGCCGCGCTCTCAAATTCCCCCTTCCCTCTTCCACAGCCTTGTTTATCTCGTCACCTAATTCTGCTATCCTCGGTGAGACGGTGACCAGTACCATGTGATGGCATAGCACGTATTATGGAACAGCAACCTGTTAACACCGCCTCCTATGGTTGTCTCATGCCACGCGAAGGATGGGAAAATGTAATGAAACACAATTTGAGGAAGTGAACAAAAATCTTTAGGGGAAATGTCGTCTTTATGGTGACAGGTCGTGTGAGGGTAGGTCTATTCGGTACGAGGTATCATAATAGTAAAAAAAAAGAAACCTGAAACTTTTGAGACACATTTTAAAAGCCCCCGTAAATGCAACGCAGTAGTCCTGTGTCCTAGTCTATGCACAACGATGCAGCCGCAAATGCAAGACTTTTCTATGACCATAGAAAACGGAGATTTCTTCAACTGCTCTCCTTCCCCTTTTCGGATGTAGATGTGGTATCCGGAGCAACTTTAGCTAGAGCAGGCGATGCTGCAGTAGAGGGCGGCGATGCCGGGTTCTCCGAATCCATGGTGGCGAGTAGACTGGTTCAAGTCAGTAGGCAGTCAAGAATGGATAGATCAACGTTAACTTACCCGAACGAATTAGTGCTGGTCTGCGTTTCCCTTACCGGCGGCGTTCCAGTTCTGGAGGACGCACCGGAATCCTCAGCTCCTCGGCTCAGCGAGCCACCAGGGCCTAAGCGACGGCCACTGTTACTACGAGAGTTCAACATCGACATTGGCCCCAAAGAAATGTTGGCGCTAGACGTGCGGCTAGCGCTTCCTTTCAGACGACGTAAATCATCCATGCCGACCTGGTTTTGAGCTTGCTGAGCATATCCAGAGAAATTTCTGGCATCGCCACGGCCAACTTGTGCCCGACCAGGGCCACCTCCACCACCTCGCTGGTTCGTTCGTGCAGCTTCAGCTGCCTTCTGAGCTGCTTGAGCCTCAGCCTCAGCACGAACTTCCTCAAGCGTCTTCGGTCCTTTATTGGCTTCCTTAGAGACCCAATTGGCCCTCCTCAAATCGATAATGTCCATAAGCATAAACTTAAGACGACTGGGTAGATCGGGGAGGTTAACCATGTCCTGAATCCTACCGAAGTAGGCGTTCATCATGGCACGACCCTTCTCCGCAGCATCTAGGTTAGCTCCGATAGTTCGGAGTAGCTTGGAAAGAGATTCAATCTCAGCTTCGTCGGGAATGCCAGAGTAATCAACCAATTTGCGGACACATTCGTGCATAATACGCTCTGTGAGCATACCTAGTTTGTATAGCTCGCCAATGAACTGAACCAATCCAAGACCACGACGTTTAGCAGCCGCAGCAATGTAGTACTCATCAGAAAGCATAGCAGCCTCGAGAGCCTTCTTATCTTCTCCTTCCTTTGGTTCCGGAAGTTGAATTTGCCAGCCGCGCTCGAACTCTTCTTGGCAACGGTTAAGAAGATATTTTCGGAACAACGCACCACCGCTCACAACCTGTCCATTCTTGTCCTTTATGTTCTCGTCTTTGATCTCTGGGCTCATCATTTCCAGCATCCTCTTGCAGAACTTCGCGTACATCGAGGCCCAATGCGCCTCATCAGTAGCTTTCTCAAAAGTGAGCTGGATAACTTGTCGAAGGGTCCTGCCATCACTTTCGTCCTTAGACTGCGCTGCGATCTGAAGGATTTGATCCGAAATCCTGTCAAAGTTCTCGGGTGTCATCTTGTTCAGAGCAGCCTTGACCTTACGTTGGACCATAGATGGGTCTAGTAGACCAGCTGCATTGGGTCCAGCTGCGGCTGCTGCCGGACCCTTGCCAATGCTGCTTGGCTTCCAGCCTGACGAGGAAGTATTAAGAGCCTCAATCTTCATACCTTGGGTAAGCGGCATGGTCTTAGCTGCCTGAGCCTCCACCTTGGCATTGAAAGTGTTCTGCTTGCTAGCATTACGGCGACTTCCTTGTCGTGGAGAGTGGGGCATGCTCATGTTAGAACTAGAAGGTGTGCGGGCCATCTGGCTGCCACCAGGGAACGCTCCACCGGGTCGCTGGAAGCTAGCCATGGGGTTGATGGCCGGTCGCGGCATTGATTTGTCACTGCTCATTTCAAACCGCTGCGCAGACGTAGTGCCAGGCGGTAATGTGCGGCCACCAGGAGCAGCAAAACTGCCAAAACCAGTGATACCAGGGACACCAGTTCTAGAATTCTGTCGATTAGAAAGACCGGCAGGAGTTCGAGCAGATGCAGACCTTCCACCATCACTATCCCCAATAAGAGTCTTGACTTGTTGGTGGAAATCAAGCGAAGGCTGCTCGGTGAACACCTTCTGGAACTGAAGTAAGAAAGCGGAATCGTATTTGAACGAGGTACCCTTTCTGGCAACAGCTGCGTTCAAGGCCGGGTTGGGTGACTGGATTCCAGCAGGATAAAGATCGGCCTTAATGGAGCTAGAACCAAGGAGCCTAGCTGTCTTAAGAGACTGGAGAGCAGCGCTGGGCTGGGGAGGTTCAACAGACTTGGTGTTGAGGGGTGCAAGATTAAGGGCAGCGGGCTTAGGGCCACGTCCACCCTGGGTTGGCTTCGTGCCAGCACCAACAGATGGCTTTTCGTTAAGAGAAAGGTTGGCCAATTTCGCAGTGGTTTCGGCCGTGGAAGGTGAATCCGTCTTTTCGGCCTGTTTTCCGAACGGTTGCTTGAGGAGATCCGCTACAGACGGGCCGGAACCCTCTTGGGCCCGTTTGCGCTCTTTTTCTTCTTCTAGCCGTTCCATCTCTGCCTCTTGCTCGCGTAGCTTGCGGTCGTTGTCGGCAGCGCTCTTTTTGCGTTCCTCTTCCTCGGCCTTCTGTTTAACAGCTTTCTCAGCCGCAACTTTAGCACGATGCTCCTCTTCCTCTTTCTCGCGTTTTGCCTCCGCCTCCTCCATTTCCCGAATCATTCGCTCCATTTCCTCGTCCTCGGTTTCTTCTGTAGCCTTAGGAGCCTCCTCCTTCTTGGCTGCTGCTGCCTCACGCTCGGCCTTTTCTTTCTCCTCGACTTCTTGTCGTGCCTTTGCTTCTTCAGCAGCCTTAGCCTCTTCTTGCACCTTTTGCTCCGCCTTTATGCGCTCCTCTTCGTTGGCTTTCTCGGCTGCCGTCTTGGCCGCTTCATCCTCCTTCGGTTTCTCTCCGCTAGCAGCCTGCTTCATCTTCTCCTTAAATTCGTTTCGCACTTCCTCGGCTGTCTTTGAATTGCTCACGGAATCTGCACGAGAATGCGCTGGCGTAGAAAGCTTCGGCGTCGAGGTCTTTGGTGGAGGGGTGGGAGTCGGAGCGATAGCTGGCGGTGTTTTTGACTGCTGGCTGCTCGGTGCGGGTGAAGCGGGCTGGGCCCTTACGTTGCTAAGATCCACTGTCTCTCCAGCGGCATTCTTGATAGTAATTGCCATGCTCTTCTTCGGGGGGCGGTTAAATTGGGGCGAAGCGACGACGGCGGGCTTGATTTGTGCTGGCTGGGGCTGCGGGGTGCTTTGGGCGACAACGGGCGCCTGACTTTGACCTGTGCTCGATGCGGGTCGGTGATCTGTGGATACCTGCGAAGAGTTACGAGACATTGGCTGTCCTCCCAGAGCATTGTATGGGCCTTGGTTAAAGGGCTGCTGGAAAGTAGGAACAGGAGACTGGTTTTGTCCATGCATAATCGGATAGGATGGGAATGCGGGTACATGCATGCCTGGTCGCATGTTCGGGTCATAGTGTTGGTAAAAACCCTGTGAGCTTGTTAGAAACCGATCAAAATTGCCACTCTCTGGTGACAGATCTATCCGTCTATGAGTTGGCTGAAATGAATGGACGATGGGGGATGGATGTACTAGCGGGATCACAGGAGGCTCCGTGTGCGACGTTTCCATCCTATCGAACGGAATTGAACCACGACGACGCGAGCCATCCGCGATGAATCGCTGATCAGGACGCTTACTAAAGCGTCGATTCTTCTGACTGAAGTCTTGTTGATCATTGTTGTCGAAAGAGTCTGGTCGTCGTTGTTGGTTCGAGAACTTCTCAGTCTCGCGACGATTTCCTTTTCTCTTCGGAACTTTGATATTGGTGCGTTCAGGATTAGGGGGGAAAGGGGGAAAAGGGGGTTTTACTTGTTGTACTGGATGCGGACCCATTTGCTGCATCTGCTGTATTTGCTGAGGAGGTGGGTAATAAAACTGAGGCATGCCGGCCGGAGGTACACCCGGGGCGTGAGGCATGGCAGGTGGTAGCGCAGGGCTTCGATGTTGCGGCGGCGGAGTACCGAACTGGCGTTGACGAGAATCGCCGAAAGCGGGAGGGATACCGCCTCGTCCTGAATTCTGGGGGCCTCTGCTGTAGTTATTCGGAGGATATCCCATGGGTTGATTGTACGAGTTGTTAGTAAATCCCCGGCCACGACCAGCAGACGGGTAGTTGCCTCGACCCATATGAGGCGGTCCTTGGTTGCTCATGTCGCTAACGTTAGAGCCTCTTCTCATATGAGGAGATTGTTGGGATCCTAAAGAATGTGGGTCGTGCGATACGGAAGCCGCCCGTATATGAGAACGCTAATTACCTAGGTTAGCAGCGCGACCAATATTACCTTCTATGAGACAGTGCAATTTAATATACTTACATCGCTATCACCACCAAAGCTACCAAACGTCATACCCTGTTGAGCAGTTCCCGAGGGAGGTCGACCACCGCCGGTAGCAGAAGGTTGCGGGATAGGAGATGGAGAATTCTGAGGCGATGTCACGCGAGGATTGCTATCAGGGATGGGAATCGGAGCGGATCCGGGCTGGGGCGAGCTGTGCGAGACAGCAGGCGAGTCGTAACCAAATTGGATACTGGCTTTACCCGCAATACCACCGTTAGTCGAGTAGCTGTTGGGGCCGTTCGCGCTCATAGTAACCGAGCTTTTGCGGTTGTGGTCGGCGGAACCATTAACAGTTGATGAGCCGACTACTACGGGGGCAACGTTCGGGATGGCAGGCATGATGTTCGGTCGGCCGTTCATAGGCGAGATAGAAGACGACTTAGCATGGTGCGGTGCAGAGCTTGTCGATCCAGCCGCAACAACCGGTGGGGTAGAGCTAGCAACGACCACCGGCGTCGATGACGGCTTCTTTGCTGCGCCAGCGGCAGAAGCGTACGATGTTGCCGGGGCGGCCGTAGAGTTGTTCGACGCCGGGGTTTGGTTTTGGTGCGCAGCAGGCGAAGTCATAAGTGACAATGTAGTGGAGCTGCTGGAGCTGAGAATCGAGTGCTGGTGTTTGAGTTTGTTTTCTTTTCTTCTCTGCGTTACTAATCGAATATCTTTCTTTCGCGCTTAACTGCCGAAAAGAAAGAAACGCAATCGCAAAGTAGGTAGTCGAAGTAAGTAAAGGGGTAGTCGAATATCAAATCCGAATTCAATACTGCAGGAGCAGATCAAATAATGTAGATTTTAGAAGTGAATGACGGATCTCGCTTCGACGAGATGGGATGTCGTCAATTAAATTAAGGTAGGTGAGTTGTATGTGTGTTTGGTCGTCGCCTTTTTTTTTCCGACTGACAAGAACAAAAACGCAAGCGTCGATGGAGCCTGGATTTGTTCGTGGGGAGTAACGAAAAGGCGAGGGCGAAACGGGTATCTGTCAGCGGAATGATAGAAAAGAACGTCGTCGCAAACAATCGAATTCGTAAATCCAGGTGTGGATTAGGGATGGCAGATGACAGCTGGGTGTCAAGAGAAGGAGAGAGATAGGGTTGACGATGAGGTGCGTTCCTTTATGGCACGGGCGCGCGCAGAAGGAAACTCCTATCGAAATTTTTATCTCGTCGCGGAGATGTATTAATTGAGTGGAGAGATTTGTATTCCCTGTAAAGAAATGCAGAGAATACAGAAACCGTCCTTCCTCGATGAATATTTCAAAGAGGAGAAAAATTACAACCTACCGAAGGGATTATCTTCCTAGGTTGTGGTGGTTGATCTATGATCAAAAAAAGGTGGTGCAGGAGAGAGTAAAAAAATTATGATGGGAAATTTTTTGGGAAGGGGAAAATAATGGCTTGGGTTTGCGACTGGGTCTCTCCTTCCCTTCTCACACCACTTTTGTGCACACACCACACAAAACACCCAGTTGCCCCCTCTGGGGCTGCACTAAAATACACCCTCCAGCGCTATTATCACTTACCGCGCCAACTGACGGGCGGTAGGCGGGCAACAGGCACCTGGAGATTGGCCCGGCTACACTTAACAACCACTATAAGGTCGGCCCACTTTAGAGATTTTATTTAGGTTAGGTACCTCCCAAGCCAAACTTGGACATCCATTGTACCTTGATAGGTACCCGGCTAGATTGTGTACCTATATGTGGGTTTTAATATGTACTACTACGTACGTATTCCACTGTCTCGGTACTTCATGGGTCCCCCTTTGCGGTTCCCATCGTAAAAACTTCATCAATTCTGAAGTACATATGTACATACATATCAATTAACAAAAGTCAAACAACTTTCAAAGTTCACTGCCGTAGCAGTCACACCTTTTATTTTTTATACATCCATAAAATGTAAATAAGATCCCTATTTCTTAAGGCTACCGAACCTTGAAGGCTTAATTTTGTTTATGTTTACAATTTAGATATTCTCTCCTCAACTGTCGCCTCCTAGCAATATTGGAAAATATATAAACATGTGGTCAATTTATTTTCTGTCACCAAAAGATGGTGGGTTCTTTTTGCTCGTTTTTTTTTCTGGTTTCTTGCCCTTGTCCCACCCAATCCGCGGGTCGACCCTGTTTTTAGCTACCACAGCTCCCCGCGTCCTATAAGGTATTGAAATATCACAACTAGAGACTACCGCTTGTCTCCTAAGTCCGAATAAGACTCATACTATGATCACCTGCCTACTTTAGCCTCCCAGATACAACGATTACTCGCGGCTTCTAGCTCGACATAGCCATCGAAGGCGGAAGTTGGCTGTATCCTATTGTTCTAAACAGGTGTATATCATTCCAGTAACATTATATAGAGTGCCTAGATCTACAAGATGTACCTAAGTATACAACCAAAAAAAAAAAAACCTCCGCTAAATTTTTATTCTTATAAATTCAATCCGTTTGTATTTCCTATCTCCGTCTAGCATATGGCTGGGTTACACCTTATATGTATATTACAGATGCGCTATTAATTATTCTTCTTTTTCTTTTATGGGGATAGCTGCGAGGTTCTCCTTTAAAAATCTACTTCACGATTTCCATCTCTATGACACACTTAGCTACCCAATGTTACGCTTACGCTTCGTACACCTATTCAGGAGACGGAACAATAGAATCATTCCATATACCTTGCTACATAATAAGAATCGACTTGGCCCGCGCCCGGAAGGGCAACGAGTAGCTTTTCCGTAATTGGCAACCCGGTAATAATAGCTTCGATGCCACAGCCAAGGCTTTTTTCTTCGCGTAGCATTACGAAATGATTTCCCCTATTCTTTGAGATTCATTTTTACATTTCGACTACCATCGAGGCTACTTTCGTCCTTAGGGACAACTCTTTCTTGGTAAATATTTGAAAATACCTAGCATCTAAGTGGAAATCAAAAATAATTCTATATATATACTGGCACAGGTTCTACCAAAGTTCACCTGTGTCCTGACGGGCATAGCGTTTTAATTAATAAAAAAGGCAAAATTAATAAACTATTTCTGAAATGTATATATTTCTATAGAAAAATAAGTACTGCATTAATAGGTGTTTCTTAGCGTTATATCTTATTGTATTTTTCTACCTAATTCCTTAGAAAAATACATTTATTAATTACTGGCAAAAATGCTAATTAAAGCGCTGTGCCCGTCAGGGCACAGGTGAACTTTGGTGGAACCTGTGCTAGTACGTACATAGGTTTGTAGGAGGCATTTAAAGACCCCTGTCAAGCTACATATGTACCTACGTATTCCTGGGCTAACACGCTAAATTCACATGCTATCAATACTACACGGGGGGGTGCTTGATTTAGAACAATGATGAATGGAATAATGTACCAGTCCATCGGGAACCAACGCCACCTCTTCAAGACTCGACACTCTATCGTATATTTCGTCCATTGTTTCCAAACACTGTTGTTAAACAAACAAATCTACCCTAGGGGGTGTCCGAAAATGAACTACCTAATACCATTAAAATTGCACAAATTATACAGGTATTAGCTTAAAACATACCTAGGTACATATATAGTAGCACTTTAGGTTTAGGTTAAGGGTCGGCTAGACGAGTAATTTGTAATTCGATCCCTTCAATTCATCGCAGCCAAACAAGGTTACATAGTAGAATAATAGCCCTAAAGTATATGTACCCGCTAACTCATACCCTAACACTTTTCTTCAGACGACTCCCTTCTTCTAGTCTTCGGATCATAACTTCCATGATACCTACATACATGTATTGTATCAAGAAGCGGAAGTGTACAGAATAAAATGATATTTGGAAACAAAGCTACAGTTCCATAGAGGTACTTAGTCTGAAACAAAGATCACCTATCAAAACTTTTTTATTTTTACCTTCGAAACTTTTTCTATACAACAGCACGAACTCTCATGTACATATGTACATGTGTGCAGCATGCGTTTGCGCATGGGCGAAGCCATGACATGTCAGACGCACAATTAACAGGTTTGACTCATCATGAAATCACACCCTAATGACGCAAATTCGAGGTCAACTAGAACGTTGATTCGGCTTCTTGTGGGCTCGAACAAACGAGTGGAAGACGAGCGAATAGATATGGATGTTATGCATGGAACTAAATAGACATAAAATGAACAAAAAAGAAATATGGTCCATGGTGGTAGAACGGGACCGGCCTGGCCTGACTGCCTGACTGTGGTGAGCTGTCGATCCTGCTACCACGCCCGGCTTGTGTGTAACGAACCACGGAATCCTTCTCGAATCCAACGGCCGTCGGTACCACGGAGCCGCTCGTCACCATAGGATTCCTCATGATCTATCCATTATTTAATGCAAAAGGAATTGAATGAGCGAACAGTCTAACTGGTCGGTTCATTAAATTTAGAGTGCATTATTGTTTGAAATGTAAACCAACACTTGTACAACCTATTGTTGCATCTTAAATGATATATCTAGGTGTTCATATAGCTGGATTTTTAGAATGATCGCTGAAGAAAGCTCAAGCTCAACAGTTGACGATGAGTACCTCCCTAGCCATAAGTATAAATATTGGACGCTGTAGTAGGATTGGCGGCACCAGATCCATGGCGAAGCCCCATTACAGCCCTAACGGGGCAAGTGACACAGGGCTGACTTTCTACCATCATCATTGGTACGTCAATAGAGTGGAGGTTCCTAAATTGGAACCTTTGCTTACCTTGGGGGGCCGGTAGGAAACCCGTTATGTACACAGGCCGCGAGCCGGAGGAAAGGGATAGCCTGAACATGAATGGATAAGTCATTGAGTCGCTTCGAATACACTTGCTAAATGGGATATGGATTTCATACTATAATGTCAGGAGAATAATTAATGTATTTCTTCCAGTATTGTAAACGGATGCAACTTTTGTGGACTACTCAGATACTCAGCATAAAGGTATGTCCGTTCCTTATGCTTCCTGTTGAAATTACCAATATCACTTTAATAGATATAAATCCGAGTCATTTCACGCTGAGCTTTTCCGGTAAGGCAACCTCTAAACTATGCTTCTCCAGCTTGAATCCCGTCACTAGGTACGATGTCCTCGTCGGCTTCTTCATCGCTTGCTTCAACGTACCCAACTTCGTCTTCTTCAGCAATAGGCTTAAGCGCTTGCTCGATCGGCTCGGATGTCTCCGGCAGTCCACGCTCCGCTCGCAATCGCTTGACTTTTGTATCTGTCATTTCCCAGACGAATTGACCTAGATGCTCGACACCTTCCATTATTGCCTCACCCGGCACAGCAGTCCCGTCTTCTTCCACTTGGATGCGTTCCGAAGGCCACATCTCGCCAGTTGCAAGGGTGAGCTTGTCTGGTCTTTGGAGTAGCAACTCGAAGGCTGGGCGTAATTCGTAGCACGCTTCAAAAATCTCTCTCCGACCTAAGATGTACAAGCCAAGTCGTGCACGAGAGAGTGCTACTGTCAAACGTCGAATGTCTCGTAGGTAGCCGACTCTTGATGTGCGCGTGAGCGATAGAATGATATCTGCCTGTAGTTAGACCTCAGCTATTTTAATAAAGTGAAAATGGGAGACTTACAATCGTTTTGTTCACCTTGGTACTTGTCGACAGTTGTCACCGTCTTGGGTAAACCAAATATAGCATTCTTCGCACATCGATGGGACAATACATCTTTTATGAGAGCCCGCTGACCAGCATAGGTAGCAAGAATGCTGATCTTCGACGCCGGGTATCCCAAGAGTCGCATATACTGGTAAATGGCGACGGCGTATTCAGCTTCTCCTAGATTTTGAATGAAGTGAGGCGTTGGTTCGACTTCACCGCGGCCCTTGTAGTCGGGTACATTGATGAACTGGTAGTCATACTTGAACCCGGCATTTGCAGTTTGGAATTCTTTAAGGCTTTCGACATGTGGTAAGTTCCCGAGATTGGGGTATCTCCATTGATACAGTGCAGCAATTGAAGGACGAGCGCGGCCTTGTTGGTCGAGCGTAATTACTGGTATTCCTAGACGAACAAAACGGGAGAAGAGAGATTGCTCTAGATTAGCGTAGTGCCTAAAGGCAAGACTCTGTACGACTGGAGAATTCTGGTAATGGTCACCACAGAGAACAACCCTCTGCAATGCCATCTGCCCCTTTTCGGGCTCTTGCATAGCCAAAGGAATGAAACTCTCAACCTCCGTAATCTGCGCTGCTTCTTCCATGACAACATTGTCATAGTGAAATCCAAGAGATGCAATCTCGGAACGGCGCATCGCAGCGTGTGTAGACGTCATCGCGATGATGCGGGCTTCATTGGTTAATAGGTAATTAGCCTTGTCTCGATCACGTCGTAGAATCTCAAAAGGCAGGACATCTTCTAGCTCGGAAAAGATCTTTGACACATGATGGTAGCAGCCATTGGCAATATCTAGAACAGCATTTCGGTCGCTGTCTGGAGGGAAAAGAGGTTGAGGTGCATCGGAAAAGTAGTTGTGGAATGGGAATGCCTCGATAATATCAGTTACTGAAGCGCCGTCCATTTTCGTTGCTTCCTTGAATTTAGCCCAGGCCGGTTGGATGTAAACGGAATTGAAATAGCCAGCTGTTTCAGCAGAGTTGCCGTGAGCCCCAGGAGCGTTTAAGCTGGCGGCCAAGCGGTTAACTTCCTTGAGATAACGGTCTCTGATCTCAAGGAAAGATTCCACTCGTCCGTGTTTACTGAAACTACCATCCGTGTCTAGATCCTCCTCTCCGTGGCCGAGGCGGAGAAGATGCCGTTCATCGATATCCAAAGCTATGATTTTAGCAAACAGCTGGTTTAACGCTTGGTTAGAATGCGCGATGAGAAGTGTACGCTGTTCGGGGAAGTTGTGATAGATATTGTTGATGATTTGTGTTGCAACGTCTGTCTTGCCAGTACCAGGCGGTCCGACAATAACAGTAAGTCCAGGTTGGGTGCCAGATATTATAGCATCGATTTGGGCCGGCGTGAAGCGAACCGAGTTCAGTTTTGGGACGTCGACTGGATAGGGCCCGGTGTTAGGTGGTTTATAAGTTGAGACTTTGTATGTCTCGATCTCGGCAATCAAGGCGGGTTCGGCATCTCTTCTTCGCTTTTTAGAAGGTTTGGTCTTTTTCTCCTCTGGAGGTTTATTTACTGACTCTAAAACATAAGGAGGACCAAAGCTTGCAGTCACATCATCTCCCGGCTCGATAGTTTTACCTGGTAAACTAGCAACTAGATGCTGCCAGTCCAAAAAGGTATCTCTGAAGTCGAGTTTTCCGATCCGATTCGGCAGGTGCTTATACGTAGCGCCAGCAGGGTCTCCGTAGCCTAGGAAGTTTTCGTGTAACCACGATGCTAGTGGTACTTCAGAGAGGCATAGACTCCGAATAGATTCCAACACTGGTTTGAAGTTATTCTCCCTGCCGCTTCGTCGAATAATTAAGTTGATCCGCTCATATACATCGGGCTTTCCTCTAGAAGTTCGATCCATGTCATCTTTGTAAATCTTGGGATCCAGTCGAAGTTGTATTTTCCTTGTTGGCGATCGATTATTGCCATTGAAATAAGCGGTAGGATCCCTGATAGATTTTCCCTTGTCATCCATGATTTGGGCAATCTCAGCACTGCGTACAGAGATTAACCCTAACCGTTGTGCTTCAGAAATTGGGTGGTTCCCTCCATTGGAAATAGCTTTCGACGCGGAAGCATCCACTGAAACGAGAAATACTACATCATCTGGGCGTAGCGAATCCCATTCTCTTCGGACGTGGTCAGCGAGCCGTCGCACATCGAGTGAAATTTCAGCATTAACCATAGAAGGTTTATCGTCACCGACGAGCGCTGGTACAACTTCCAGTATAGAAGGACGAGATATAGGTAGCGCCATTTTCGAAAACCCGGCAAATGTAGTCTCACCCGGGCGCTTTGATTCCGGTTGTAGCCGTCTCAAGGCATCACCGATGTCCTTTCTGATGCCATAGAAAGATTCACACCGGTAGAGAACCAGGGCCCTCCAAAGAAAGTCACCAACCGATAAGTATTGCAACTTAAGCTTTGGCAGAGCAAGTGGCCTAGACCCATCATAATTGTCCGTTCTCAATAGACCTTGATCGAAAAGGCTATCTTCGGTTGGTAAAATGCTTGTATCTCGAGCGACCTCTTGAAACGTCTTCCGTTTCTCATACGTAGACAGAAGGACTTCCATTAAGAATGACCGGCCAATAGTGACGCCGACAGATTCCGGGTATTCTACCCTGAGCTCGAGTAAAGTCGCAAGTCTCTTGACCTCCTCGTCTGTAAGAGTCTCAAGTAGATTTTCAAGCTCATTCCTCTTATCTATGGATCCGTAGTTAGATAGCGCCAATACCGTCAGTTTGTCCTTGAAATGCCGCAAGGATACTCGTTGGAGCTTTGCAAGCTCAGCGCAATGCCTATCGTATGCTTCGGTGAGGCTATATTGTGCACCCGTCTGATCATCGATTGTGAAATGCACGTAGTGGCTTAATAACAAACACTGGTCTCGAAGTAGACCGTTATCCTCGTCGTTAAACATTGGAGAAAGTCGTAAAGCAGACAATATGTGTAAATCTTGGAGCAAGGTATTGACGTATCGCCTCGTAGGGAGCTGGCTCAATAGATCGGAAATGAATTCAACGAATCGTTCGCAGTAGAGCACATGCTCGTCCTTCCTCTTGTCATCGTAAAGTAAGCGTAGAAAGTCCAAAGTCAAGGTATAAAGCCAGGCTCTCTCAAACCGTAATCGAGCTTTCATCGCATCATCTGCTGAGTCGTATCTTTTGCCCGCTGCTTTCCATGCCTTTCTAAGTTGCGGGTTTTGACCTAATTTAATCTCTCGTTTGGATTCGGTTGAGATATTGTGCCATATTCCAATAGAGACTAACGGGGCACATTCTTTTCTTACGCTCGCCCAATCGAGACTCTGGAAAGCATATATGATAAAACAGAGGAGGTGGGTACGGATTGTAAGAGATATTGTCTGGTCAAGGCTCATGGAGAGGATTCGGGTGAATAGACTGGAGAATTCGGCGGGCCGATCTTCGAAGATGCTCCATGTCTCGAGCCTTTCTCTTGCTTTGACGCCAGTGATCAATACTATTAGCAGTACGTGAAAGTTGGATGAATCTTCGGAATAGCCCGGCCAGAGGTAGCTTTCGAGGGTTTGTAGCCCTTCGAGGACGAGCAATGACTTGTAAGGGAACCCATTCTTCTCTAGCACATCCCACATGCCACGCTTTAGCACGTCATTCTTGACTTTCACTCTTGTATTCCGCTTAGTCGTTTTCAGCCAATGTTGTCTAGCAAGCTGGGCGAACTCGCTTTCGCCCTCTAGGTCGGCGATGGTCGGTCGGGGTTCGGTGTCGCGCGACTTGGACTTGGCGTCGCTTTTCAGTCTCTTCGCGGTCGGCATGGCTCGTGGATTGTCCTGGCAATTTGCCGAGGAAGTCTACGCCCAACGTATACAATTGAACGGTGAGGACATCAAGCTCTATCTCAACATCTAAGCCCCAATTACAATAAAGTATTTGCTTTTTTGCAGATATCCTCTGGGTGCTGTCGGTAAATGGGTTGTGACACGGTTGTGGCGCAAAACAAAATCCAAGTTATTCCAGCTCAGCCTTGTCGCGGATACTGCACCAGGTGGATACTAAGGTACTTAGGTACACTAGGCCATAGCTCCCCGCTAATCGATGCATAGTGACTCTAATCCCTGAACATACAGGAACAGTAACCCGATTGAGAGGGCGGTCAAACCCGGCAGAATCAAAGTAAAGTACCGAAGTTGCTATTCGTATCTCAATCGAAGCTCAACTCAGCCTTCTTCATCCGCATTCACACCTACATTCTCAACCTCATTCAAGAACTTCGTTCGCCAAACAACGTTCTTTGAACGAATATCGGTCAAGGATTTTTCCAACGATCACGACTCTCCAATATCAACATCCAATATGCTCTTGTTCCTAGTATAAGAAATCAATTCTCACGATCATCAATCCCTTCTCAACTACCCATGCTTCCTACTTGGAAGATTAAACTTGCGCGTCGAAATTCACGATCGATAAATAGCGCCCACGAAACTACTGTAAAGGAAAATCCAATATGACGTCGACAAGGGGCTTAGATCACGAAATCCCCCAAGTAGATTCCTTCGCGACGCTTTTAAAGGACGCCTTGAATCATGCGCAATCTGTGAAGCCGAGCCCGTCGATCGAGCCACCGCTCACAAAGGTCGATTTCGATAGCCTACTTGCGCGACTTCCCACCATATTCCCCTGCGCGGATCCGGACCATACCTCGGATAATGTAGCCTCCGAGAAAGCTCGCCAATACGCGGTCGTGGAAACAGCCGCGCGAAATTTGTTTGGCAGCCTAGTTGTTAGTAGCGGATCTCTTCCGCCTTTCATACTCGTTGATAACTAATAATTCTAGGCTGGAACTTCAATCGACTCTCCCGAATTCGTCCAAATCTGGAACCTCTTTGACTTCTTGTCGGTCTTGTCTGACGAGGAACAATGCGATGCTGCCCTCCTTTTTTGGCTTGTGGAAGAACTTCTCGACAGCCAAACGACCGAAGGATGTCGCAAAATATTCGATTTCTTAGAATCGCGAAGAGAACAAATCATTGCACAAAACCTGAATTCGAAGAAGTTGGTTATTCTTCGGTCATGCAATGACCTCCTTCGTCGATTGTCCCGTGCCGAGGATACGGCTTTCTGTGGTCGGGTCTTCATCTTTATGTTCCAATGTTTTCCTCTGGGAGATAGAAGCTCGGTAAACTTACGTGGAGAATACCATGTAGAGAATGTCACGACGTTTGAGGAAACCCCAGCCGAAGCGGACGATTCAGCGGATAAGATGGTAGTGGACACGGAAGCGGAACCCTCAAAGGACGGCAAAGAAGAGAATAAGTCTACAACCAAAGCCGTTTCGTTCGATGCAAAAAATAAGCCATCAGCCGAGAAACCCCTTGATACGAATGCCTTGTATCCTATCTTCTGGTCCCTCCAACATTACTTTAGTCAACCCACGGCACTCTTTGATACAATTCAATTAGCCAAGTTCAAGACTGGCTTGGAAGCAACCATGAATGCGTTTGAGACGGTTGATAAAATGCAGAGGAGCACAAAGGGTTCTGATGACAGCAAGATAACACCTCAAAAGAGAAAACACTCAGAAGGCGACGAAGACCTTCGCAGTAGCACCAACAACCCTAAGTACCTCACAAGCAGAGAGCTATTCGAATTAGAGGTACGTTACATGTCATTCCGCGGTGGTTAAATCATCAGAAACCCATCTAACTGCATTATTATAGATCGGCGATCTGTACTTCAGACGTCATATCCTCATACAGGCTTTCATCGTGCTAGATTTCCTACTATCTCTCACACCCCAGGCCCGAGCGAAGCTCGCCAACATCAAAGCTCAAAACCGGTCAGTCATCTATAGTGATCAGAAACTGGGAGATGAAGATGTGAGTTCCGACCAGACGATTAAAGCTCGATAAATTTTCTAACCGACTACATCTAGGCAAAATGGGCAAGATCTATGAAAGAAAGAATCACCACTTACATCCAAGCTGAAAATGATGGATATTTCTTCTTCCGCGTCGTTGAGAGTGTCATCTCGAGAGACAAGGGCTGGGTCCGTTGGAAAGTCGAAAGTTGCCCTCCTATCAAGCGAGATCCTGTTTCGCCTGACGATTTCAATGAAGCAAAAGCCAGTGCCAAGCGAATCGCGACCAATAAGAGATTGCGACCTATACCTATGGGTTCGCTCTCTTTGGAATTCTTGAAAGAAGAGGATAGCGAGGTAGCCATGGAGAAATTGAAAGATCCAGAAAGATGGAAACTTCCCGATCTAGGAGTCTTCAAAGAGAAGATAGCTATGGACGATCTCGACCTCGATTTCGCAAAGAATGAGAAAGAAAAGTCCGAAATACTTGAAGCTAAGGCTAGCAAGACATGGAGAGCGCTACGAATTGCTAGGAGGTCAAACCTTGCCTCGTTCGACAAGATTGATGATTGGCAGAAGGTTGATGTCATTTTCCAGGAGCCATCAAATTCAGCAGACGAAGCTGAGGGTGCGCAAGAGAACGGCCAATCCCCAGAAGATAAACGACCAATCATCATAACGGGTCCAAGCCAAGTTGGCAAATCAACATTAATCTCTACGCTTTTAGAGAAGCATCAGGATGTGTTTGGAAAAGTTATCCGACACACTACACGAAGTCCAAAGGACGGAGAAGTTGACGGGCAGGATTTTCACTTTGTGGATTCCAAGGCGTTTAATACTATTTTGGATGGGGACTACTTTATTGAATTCAGCAGCCAGGATGGATCCGATTACGGGACCAGCCGGAACGTTGCTGAGGCTCTAAAGGAATCTGGGAAGGTTCCTGTGATCCAATTAGATCGCGAGGTGAGTTTTTACAAAATTGTCCCTGATGCTAGAGAGGTACAGTTTACTAACTATTATAGGGCACGCAAATGGCCAAGGATAACGGTTACTCTGCGCGGTTTATTTTTATTTCCCCGCCCAGCATTGAGGAATTAGAAACTCGATTGAGGAAAGTGGATGGTATGACTGAAGAAGCTATACAAAATGTATTGAAAACTGCTCTGGAGGATATAGAGCACGCCAAGTCGAGTGATTTCTACGATGCTGTTATCACAAACGATGAATTGGAGGAAGCATATAAGGCTATCGAGACGTTCGTATTTGGTGCCTCGGGCAAAATGAATGGCGTCAACGGGGATACCTCTGCTACGGAAGGTGATGTAGCAATGGGAGACGCAGCGAATGTCGAGGAAGTAGAACCATAAGGCATCTACTATCCATTACAATAACTGTTGAACTGCTGAAGCAATTGCTTGGGTAGATTAATGCATTTCACGACAGCAAGACATTCGTCCACACGACTAGATTCGAGCCTGCGGTGATGACAGGTCGAACATCATTTCACATGGTTATCGTCGACCCTGGTCGTAACAATGTACTATGAATGGCAGGAAAAGGGGTGCACGTCTTTGAGCGGTTCGGGTAGGAGGTTCAATTAGTGGTCAATCAAGATACCCATGCAATACAAGATTTTTTTGACTTTCACATTCAATGCGTACGCCTAATAGGTCAAGTACCTACATAGCCGAAGGTACCTAGGTGTCTGGGTGTGTACATACATATGTATGTAGTACAAGTATAAATCAACGCCAGAGCTGATGGTTACATGCGCACCAAGCACCCGTACTTTCCGGCCCAGCTTTAAAGAGAATCAAAAAGAATTTGGTCTGCTTCTATTATTATTTAGGTGATCTTGTTATCGACCTACCCAGAAAATCCATTATCCTAATGTCCGCCGGATCTAACTTCGATATTTCCTTCTCAGTATACCCATACAAATCAGTTCGCACCAGTCTACCCTATCTACCTTATTGGATCACTTGCTTTTTTCACACACGGCGGCATTCCTTGTGAATGTACCCGGATAGGCACCTACATGGACTCCCACACCACACCTGCCACTTCTTCTGGGTACTTAGGTACTTACCTAGGTATTTAGGAGGGCGGGAAGGCGCATTTCCACCTCTGCAGCCTATCTCCGGGGCCTATTTTGGTCGGGTAAGTACTAATTCCCTCCATCAATGGTCGTTCTTGCACATCTCTATATTCTGCACCTTCTTTTCTGGGCGAGAAAGCGCACACACATAGGTACTTGCTCCCCCCGCCGTCTCTGCTTCTAAGACACATCCCCCCGAACTTGTTCTTTCCTTCTGATAAACACGCGCCGACCCAAGTTTTTGTTGCTCGTCGCCGACCATAGTACAGAATTCTGCCGTGACACGCCGCCTCTACATTGCATTATTTATTCTTCATTCTCATCTGCTGTTCACCTCAACCATCTCCCCAAACCAACATACGCCGCCCACTTCCACTTACTAGGAACCCCTTCTAGCACTCTTCTATCCAAACACACTCACCAAATACATCACATAGGTAAGCACTCTTATCTTTTCTAGTTCAATTATTTCTCTTCAGTCGTTTTTCTTACGCCGCCTTTCTTCTACCTTCCAGTCACCCTACTGTTATTCCTACTGCCTTCTTCGCCGTGCTCCCTTTTTCCTACCTAGGTAATTTTTTTCTTCTACTCTATTCTCTCCTCCCGCCATCACCTTTCTCCCTCGCCGATCTTCTTATTATTCTTGTATCATTTTCTACTGGTCTTCATAGACCAACCTACCTCTTATGCTCCCTCCCATGTAACCACACTCCTTTTCTACTTGTGATTCCACTTTATTTATTCCCGCCGTCCTCTCTTTCTGGTACTCTCTCTTTCGGCTTTCATTTCATCATTTCTCTACCCCCTTTCTTATCTTCCTATTGCTATTTTTTTCTCCTATACTCAATTCATTTCTATTATCTGCGCCACCTTTGGTTATTCCGGGGACCAAGAAAATTCTAATCAAAACAACTTAGATGGTATATATCAAATGAAGATAGTGATCGGCGGTGTTACACACGACGCCGACACTCACGCCCCAGCCCGAAGCAGACTTGGCAGAGTACGCCTCCGGTCTAGAATTACTTAAGTAAGTTGATATAGATCCATCTTCCTCAAATTTCTGGTCGCGCCGCTTCTAACAAACTGGGAATAGGGAACCAAAAGGTCGTAGAAGCAAAGAGAACTCTCGTACTAGCTACTCCCCTATAAACAACTTATCGGAAATACCAAAGCTCCCACCGTCCTAAAATCCATTTTTGTCATTAGGTATTGTGGACAGTAGGAGTAAGACCAGACAAGTAAATCATTGACTGTCGGCGACACAAAATATCGTTGATAGTTAGTAATTTCAGACCGCCGACACTCCATTCAAAATGGCCGACACACGCCAATATTCTTTCGTCAATTCTACATCATCGCGCTACAACTACGAAGACAGCAACCCGTCAAACTCTGATAAAATATTAGTTTTCCTATTGTCAATGATGAGTAAAACTCCCTACTCCTGGATGACCAATGTCTAACGGAAAATATCGAGGACTATGAGTATGTTTTTTAATTTTCTAAACTCACCTTATTCGCTGAGAGGAGCAGGTTACTAACCCGAATAAAGTCGATGGAGATGGGCGAGGTGGTCTGAATTCGAGAGGCGGTTACCTGATTGCAATATCAAGCCACTCAATTCTCACCCAAGAATGCACAGCACCTACCCAATTCTCCGCCAACAGTTGCAACTTTCGTATTTCCTCAGTCTCGATAGTGGGGATTGAATCAAACCTCGCAATGTAGCACTATCGCCGTTAATGGCATTGGGGAGCTGTCACTAGGAAAAGAGAAAGGCCGTGAATGGTATCTTTAAGGCATCTTTGAGGTTCAAGAACCACAATCAAGCCCTTATTCTTACCTCATTAGATGCATTCGCACCATTAGGGCACAGCTATGTCATATAACGACATCCCTAATTTATATGCCAGCCAGGCCAGTCCAAACCAACAGCAAGATCCCGGAAGCAACAGCCAGTTGTCCTCCGATACTACCTCTACGAGAACGTCAACACTGTGGAGGGAGCCGGCAGGTGACAACGCCACAACTATACACTGGGGACGGCGAGTTGTCCGCTCCAGGGCTGCTGGTTCTTGACGAAGACGGGGTAATGCTGCATGACTGGCGACACCCGGCGCCAGCGCCTACAATATGAAGAGATATCACAATGAGAAAGCTAAGGCGCACCCGTGCATCCCCGGCGCTTAGCCACCTGACAACCAATTCGTGGTGAAGCTGGCTAGTGATCGGGGATGCGCGGGTAGTCTGAGCTTTCTTGTTGTGGTAGACCTTCATGTTATGGGCGTTGGCGTCGGAAAGCCAGACCGATGACCGAGAAGGCCGCCAGCCAGCATATACTCCGAGCCATGTGGCTGGCGGCCGGCCTCTCCAGATACCATAATCGTTGTAGTTGATCTCGATTCTTGCATGGGCCCCGATCCGGCCATATCCTCCAAACGACAAAAGCTTGGATCCTCCAAGCGGGTTGTTCCGGACGAGCTCCTTGATGGGAAGGGGGGGAGAAGTCAAAGTACGCATTCAGACCATCCTGAGCAACGCAGATGGTCAGAAACTACGTCTTGACCTCTCCCCTCTGGCGCCCATGCGGGAATCGAGATCAACTATAACGACTACATTGTCGTTGGAACGACCCGTGGACGACCAGCAGACAGGGAGCCGGGTCGGGGCCTACACAAGGATTGAGATCAACTACAACGACTACGATCCGTTGTTGGCGGAACGAAGATTATTAGATAGGGAGATTGTCAATTTGTACGGCTGGTTGTGATGGGGAATGTGATGAGAATGTTCTATTCTGGGACCGTACTATTTTTACCAATAGGACCGTCAGGCGAGTGGATGCAATTGACCAAAGCAATGTTAATCGGAGGAATGGACAAGTACCTAGATAGTTTGGATGTTGTAATGACAGTTATATAAAATACTAATTTCATGGCAATAAACTACAAAAACTAACCGATTTTCCTTACACTTTCTTGTGAGACATGTCTGCCATGTCTAGTGATTCACTAGATTCTCACTGACATGGTAAATTATCGATCGTGAATATAAGTTTAACAAGACGATGGAAAGCATATTCTATCACACGAAGTAAACAAAACGGACGATAAAATGGTCCTTTCTTTAGTGGTTATTTTAATTACATCTATGTAATTCTGAGTTCTCAATTCTAGAGCTCATCTCAGAGAGCATTTTATGTTGTAATATACTGCCCTCTCGCACGCAATCTAAATCCTCGCGATAATAAATACCTGCGTAGCCACCAGCCTGTTCTATCTAGTGACCCAGATGTTTATGTGAAGTGATCTTAAAAAAAAAAACCAGAATACGCTTTCTAAATGCAATAGAACGCCATCGCTATGCAGCCAGTCAAACAAACAAATTAAACCCATATTCCCATCTCTATCTATCCTGTGATTTTATTCTGTTTTTAATTCCTTAGGCAAGGATTAACGAGGCGCTTAGGAAAGCGACTAGTGCCACCATGCCCACACTAACACCGTGAAGTCTGGGGGCGGCATCGGTAGTGACCGTCGCCGCTGTTATGGCGGAGGTAGATCGGCCGACGGCTGTGATACCGTTGAGGTTATCGGCTGTTTGGATTGAGGGGCCTTCGTTGAAGAAATCGACTAAAACGAAGACCGGGTTGATACCCCATTCCGAACCGCAGTTATGCGCATGTAGACCCAAATTACCGATGGTAGAAGTCGAGGGACTGTTGGTGACAGTGATGTTATCAACGTTGGGAACCATGATCGAGGCCGCGAGGAGGTTGTCTGCGAAGTGGTTCATGAGGGGTAGGAGACCGGCTTGGACAGCGGCACCGGCGGAGGCTTGGGAGGAGGGGCGGTCGAGCGTGCAGTTGAAGCCCGAGAGCGAAGTGACTTCGAAGGGGGTCTCGAAGACATGGTCGAATTCATTTAGGAGGTAGGGGTATTGCGTGTTGGCGCTGATAGAAGCGACGAAGCTCACTAGGCGGGTGTTTGCGGTGATCATCTCTTGTAGGGTTGGCCACTCGTTGCCCGACGGTACGTATCCGTATTTATCGATACCAGAACCGGCGAAGACAGTTCCGAATTGGGCCACGTCCTTGTTGTCTGAGTTAACGAGGAGGAGCGTGACGACTTCGTTCGGGTTGTCGTCCATCCATGTCTTAATAGTAGCTAACCAGTCCTGAAGCGGACCAGCATCGAGTAAACTACATGAGGTATGGCATAGTTCGATAACACCATTCTTATCGTGGACCTGAGCTTGTAATAACCGGATTCCGGCGTCTAAGGCAACTGTTGCGTTGAAAAATTGGTTACCAGCTATGGAATTACTCGTGCTCGCATCTCGGAGGAAGGATGAGTCGTGGGCACCCATATGGGTGACATTGCTGTAAGATCGGCCACATAGGTCGGGGGAGTTGTTGCAGGCTGTTGTCGAGGCTGCGGAAGAAGTGGGTGAGGCAGTCGATATCGTCGTACTAGAACTTGCTAGAGCGACTGAAGAAGCTTGTTGTGGTATAGAATGTACTGTTGCTACGAGAGCAGCAGCGGCTGTCAAGAATGTACATAATGAAGAAACCATATTGCCTATTTTATGTATTATACGTATTGTATATCTGGTCTTGGTATTGTAACAGAAACAGACAAGGGAAAAAGACAAATGAAACCCGTTCTAATAGTCTATGAGGTAGAAATATAAGAAGAAAAAAATAAGGAAACACGAAATAACAAGAAATATAAACCTACAAGGGGACGAAAGAAAGAGGAGGGCGCAGTAAGTTTTAAGTACGAATAACTTGCAATACTTTACATCTCGTTTCAAGGTTGGTCAGGGAGGCTTAAAAGCGGTTCCCAAGCAAACTGTGGCCAACCATTGAAAATAGAAAGATCTGACAACGACAACGAGAACTCACTCTATGGCCACCCACACACCCCCTAACCCCCGGCTCCTACGGGGATCTACGCGGACGGGGAGGTACGTAGATGTAGATAGGTAGATGGGCGTTAAAGTGGTCTTCGTATTTTATGTAATTTTGTGGGGGAGAACATGGTTAACTGGTTGAATTTCTTGCTTGACTTGTCCAGGTTCGTCCAGGTTGTCGGCATCCGATCGACTGCGCCTCCATGAGACGCGAGCAACTTTCGTCAGCCTCTTCCAAATTTGAAACGAACTAAGGACCCGCCCGCACCGCTTGAATTCGCTGAAGACGCGACAGATGAGCAGTTTTGCATTTAGGTCTAATCACTTATATTGTGGGCATGATCAACCAATTCCTTGTTGTTGATGAATTTAAAAGTGAGCATTGGTTGTGACGTAAGAAGACTGGCAAGACTCGATGATGATGATGATTTGGGGAAGAAAAAGCGAAAGATGGCAAAGATGGCGAGGTCGGAATTTAATTCAGCAGGTTGGCTTAGTACAAGATATGCATATAAGTGGAACCATCGTACATCTACTAGGTGCATACACCTGTTTTATTACGTTATTAAGCGCTTATCCCCTGTACTATTTTTGGTTGCCTCAATAATGCAATTCTCCCATTGGGGTAGCCTTCTAAATTTTTTAGGGACCCGACCCTCTAGGACTTACAGCGCATTTAGCGCATTCACGGCGTTTACACCTAAAGGATTCACTTGGTGCTAAGGCTGCGCAAACTGCGTAGCCTACTAACTCACGCAACATACCCCCAATAACAAAAAGATGTACAATTGTAGTTGGCTATCAGTCATTTCCAATGTTACCGGCAGCGTTTAGCAATTTACAATCCAAGCGGTTATTTTGACCTTTGATGATATGATATGTCAGTAGCTCTTTATTGTTTTGAATAAGTCTATGTGAAACCCGTGAACGAAATTGGTGCGACAGCAATATCGTGGGTACCAAGGTACACTGATTTACCGTAGATCTCCTTCAATTCCACTTCATTTATGTATCATTGCAAAAAAAAAAAAAAAAAAAAAAAATCGAACAATTTTCTGTGATTTGGGTCAACTCTTGCGAGTGATGTATATTGGCATCATCAAAACCACATTTTCCAATGTGCAGCTATGCGCCTCTACCACGCCTCATAAGCTTCGCGGTGATAGCAGATCAATTAGTTACTCAGTACTCCAGATGCATTCCAATCAAAATTTGCTCCGACTACCAAAGTAGGTGTGCAACCAGCGTACTGGCCAAGAGGCAATCACATATTTAGCAATCAACAGCAAAGATCATCACCCAAACGACTTTTATTAGACGAAGTGGACAATTTTGACTCAACCTATAGTTGGTCGCAAAGCCTCCTCCCTAAAGAATTAGGACCCAATTGGTTTCTCGAAGGGCTAAATGTATTCATATTTTCGTCGTGGTAATCACCTCCGTGCCAAGACGTAGTCAATTCTCGGCATGCTTACTCCGGATCATCCGCATAGGACTCCAGTGCCGCCTGATCTTCCATCTCCTTGAGATGTTTTTGGCCCTCCTCCGTCGTGGCATCTATTATCTGTTCTTCCAAGCTCAAGATACCAGCCTGTGTAACAGTTAGCTCACCGCAAGACCTAAGCCTCGACGTTGTGTAGGAGATCTTACATCGCCTAAAAGGCCGACTACTTCCTCCGCATCCTCCACCTTCATCTTACCCAAGACCTCGTTAACCTTATCCAAGCTCCCGGTCTCTAACGCCTTCTGGAAATCCGGGGTGAATCCTTCGAAAATGGCACGGCCTCTCTTCTCGCCTTCGTCCTCGCTATTCACGGGTGGGATCTTGATCTTGATCTCGGTACCGGGTTCGACGGCGTGCAATTGGATCTGCTCCACACCCTCGCCGGATCCACCCTCCGCCTCTCGTTGGGCGTTGATCTCCGCCGCTCGGTTCTTGATCCTGTAGTACGTATCTTGTACATCCTTGTAGAATACATCTTGCGCCTGGTGGCCCTTAGTTGTAATGCGCTTGAAGAAGAGCGCAACGCCGTCTTTGCCTAGTGCACGGCAGTACTGTAATAGCAAGGCTTGGTGCACGCATTGCCGCGCGAAGTCGTCCTTTCCGTCGAGTTGGGCATCAAACGCCATAATTAGGAGACCATCGGTTTCCTTCTCGGATAAAATGTGCGGGTGAGATCCAATAAAAGCGTGACTCTCCCGGTAGTTAGCGGCCTTGATGTTGGCGAACTTTCGGGCATCTGGCGAAGCTTCAACATCCTTGTCGTCATCATCCGCCGTCGAGGGTTGTGTCTCATCTGGCTTGCTCATTGAGAAATTAGGGTTGAGGAGTTCGACCTTAGAATCATCGGCCTTCTTCGCTCCAGAAGCCGACGGCGCAGCCTTGTTGACATGTGAACTATTGAATCCTTCGTGGATACCTTCACTCGTGATCTTGCGACCTTCCTCCCTTTCTAGCTCAGCTAGTTTCTCTACTAGTTCCTTCTGCAGGTCCTGGATCTTCTTGAAATGCACACCAATTTCTTCTACCATGGCATTATAGCGGTGTTCAGGTTTCCTTTCGTTAAGCTCCTTGTTCACTTGATCTAGTAGCGTTGCCATCATCTTGGAGTATGTGGGTGGTTGCTCAACTTGAGCATGCACGCCTTCAGGTCGAGGAGGTGGTTTGTCAGCTTCTGGACTACCAGCGGATTCCATTACAGCTTGGAAAGCAACTTCGGCCGGGTTCCGAGTTTCGGCTTCAGCAGCGTGAGCATTGAGGGCTTCGAGAAGGCTTGATATCCGATTTAATAATCCATCGTTGACTTGGCGTTCATATTTCAGGGTTTCGATTTGTAGTCTACGCTGCTGTCGTTCTGCATGAATTTGGTTCTGTTTGGCGCGGATGAAGGATCGTTTGTCGACATTGGGATGTACCTCAATGTCAGAATCGTCACTCAGCTCGAGAGCATCCTAGGAGGGGTACATGTTAGTTCTTCAGCTTCCTAGAGCTATTTCTATTGGTGATGCGATCATTACTTACCCACTTGCTATAGTCGACAGGCATTTCGACTATAATCTGTAAGTCTGCGATGTACTTGTTTAGTTTTAATTAAGATTGGGCATTGAGAAGAGAAACGGCCTAGAAATATAAAGTGTAGCTCTCTGCCTTAGCTTAGTTTTATAAGGTTGAAATGTGCCCCGCGATTTTGGAAGGGTCCTATCGTTATCGAGAATGTTCTAAGGCTCTTGCAGCCTCTATCCGACGTTGTCGCGCTTGCTTATAGAGGGGAACGTGGGACGATCTAGCAGCTAAATTGTCGCATTTGATTGGGCAAATGGAAATCTTTTCCTAAAAGGGGAAATTGAAAGGTTCGTGGAATGGCGGCCCCGTGCATAGATCTATGCGTCCTTATGTAAGCAGATGCAGCTTTCCGTCGTTGATGAAGCTTGAGCTAATTCAGTTTCATTCTTCCTTCTTTCCAACATCAATTCAACTAAAGGAAATCCCAGAGCGACGGAATAAAGTACCCAACCATTGATTTATATCTCGAACGATACTATTTTAATTGCTACGATGTTGAAAGCCCGCCAACCTAAAGCTTAGATAAAGAGGCTAGGCTCTAATAATTATGACACAATTAATCACATTTAAGGCTGCTCTACGAATCACTAGGAATTGTCTACTTTCAGAGAATTATGCGCGGTTGCATTGATACATCCGATGATCTAATACCTCTAGATGCTATTAAGATGCTTGATTAATGTATAAGTAGAGGTTTAGGTTTAACTCCCATTCAACACCTAAGCCTATGTGTCACTCTTCTTCTTATCCAGCACCCACGAAAGCGCCATGGTACATAGACTTAGAATGCCAAGGATCTAGTCGCCCGCGATGCCATCCTTTCGCGATGGGACATGAGTACAAGGAGGCGAAGTGATTCCTCTAGCCGCCCATCTCATGTACTAATCTACCAGAAACGGTCGTTTACAAACGCCTCGAGATCGAACTCGCCCTCATCCAACTCGTCGACATCCAGCGTCGAGACGAAAATACGTCCGTTTTCAATCACCTCCCCGTCGTCCGTGGTGATCTTGCATTCCGCCATCCGGTACGCGTCGGATTCGTACAAGGCGAGACGGTGAACCTGCACGCCTTTCTCGCATTTCCAGCACATACCCTTGACCACGCCGTCTTCCTTAGGGACTAGGGCTGGGTAGCAACTCCACTTCATGCCTGTGAAGTCTTAGGTTAGTATATCTTGTCCCGATAAATACACTTATAACCATTACTCGAAAATGCGCGAGTAGGGGGATAGGGGGAGTACTTACTTTTCCAACCCTTAATCGAAGCAGGCTTCAACTCCGGCTCTTCATCTAGACGACAGACACGCTTGAGGATGCTGGGAACCTGGAGCGAGCCGTAGAAGAAGAAATAGAAGGGCTCGAAGGTTACAGAGGGGTGCGTATACGCAACCTCTCTTGGGGGGTAGACCCCGGCCCAGTCCGCTAATTGGGCGAGGATATCGCCGGATGCTTCAGAGCGTAGGCCATGAATGCGAAGAATCTCGCGGTTTTTGGCATCTTTTTCTTGGGCCATGGTGGCGTCTATGTAGTTTAGTAGTTTGAAATTGATAATGAAAAATGGTTGTTTTTATTTTTATTTTCTTTTTCTTTTTCTTTTTCTTGATGACAATTATCTGCACAGCAGATGGTGTATTGGGAAGTTCTTAAAAGGTTTCTTGCTCAAGATTGAAGTTTACGATGGCTTGCCATCTTTCCGTCGTGCCTTCCCGGGAATATTTATAGTATGCGTGCTACTAATAAGGTGCAAGCTTAGGCAGGTGCTTAGCCAAGGAGAAGCTTGCTCTATGATATTCATGAAACTATGTTGTTTGTTTTTGGTGCCTGAAGTTTTAGTAGCTTTGTTCCCTAGAAGCTAGGGGGACAAGCATAAGATACTTAGGTAGCTATATATTTTTCATATAAATACGGTTCCTTAAAGACTGGGTCTTTCAGACACATGGGACATGACGTAGCGGCAAAAAGAATAAGTTTTGAAAGCTGCGATGTATAAGACATATCTAGAATCTATATCCAAGCCCCTATTCGTAGGTGTGTCTAAGCGTTTGGATTGACATTGCCACATGACTTAATGCCTACCATATATAAAGGGGCCAATTAGCAACAGTGAATAAGGGAGTGGTTATAGAACTTGCTGTATATTTCCCAGGCGTTCTATGCTAGCAATAAATGGGCTCGATATAGAGCCCCTCAGAAGTTACAGAGATGCATGTTCGCTATGAATATGTTGTATCTCTGGCTTCCACCTAGTACCCTATCTCATAGTAGGCGCATACGAGCCAAACCCAGAAAATGGAAACAAATCCACATTGTACCATCATATCCCAGTTAATAGCCCAATTCTTGGCCTGGGATCTGGTAGGCTGTTCCTCAGGTCCTTCTCCCTAAGTATGACCCGAGATCTTCTTCGGCTCGTACAGCTCCTCCAGATACTTCTCATCTTCCTCCGTCAAAGTCTTTCCCTTGATACCGAGTGCCTCATCGATACGTGCTATGCTTGAGAATCCAATGATAGGGCTAGAGACGCGCTTGTTGATCCAGGCCAAAGCTACGTGGCTCATCGGCCATCCTTTCTTCTCCGCGAGCTCCTGTACGCGCTTGATGATCGTTATGTCAGGTTCGACAGTGCCGTGGGAACCCGGGGAGCTGCTCTTCTCCAGCTTGCTACGCTCAGTCGAGCCAAACTCGGTAGGGGCGCGGGCGAGGTGTCCACGGCAGAGGGGCGCCCAGGGGACTATAACGATAACAAACGTCAGTAACTTGCCTGCTAGAATTCCAAGACAAATCCTAAGGATGATTAAATTACGTACTGAGTCCAACCCCTGTGTCACGGCAGAAACGGTTCATCTCCCTCTCTTCCTCGCGGTACAATAGGTTGTAATGATTTTGCATCGAGATAAACTTGGTCCAGCCATTCTTCTCGGCGACGAACTGCATACGTGCAAAGTTGACCGCCCACATGCTACTAGCCCCTATGTATCGGATCCTGCCACTCTGCACTAGGTCGTGGAGCGCTTTCATGGTTTCTTCAATCGGGGTTTCGGGATCGAATCGGTGGATTTGGAACACGTCAATGTAGTCTGTGTCTAGGCGCTTCAACGATGCTTCGACGGCGTTGAAGATCGCAAGGCGCGACAGGCCATAGTGGTTCACGTAGTCCTTGGAGATCTCGATGGCGTCCTTATGCAGGAAGTGGCGAACTTCAGGGGTCTCGCCGACGGCCCAGAAACACTTGGACATGATAACAACCTTCTCGCGGGGGATATTGTACGTCTTGAGAGCCTTTCCAACAATCCTCTCGCTTGCGCCTTGGGAGTAAACGTTGGCAGTGTCCCAAGTAGTTAACCCGTTATCGTAGGCATGCTTGAGCAGAGGCAGAGCCTAGATAGGAAAAGAACATGTCAGCCAAGTTTTAATACAGTTGATGTTTTATTCACCTGTTCTTCGTCAATAGCCCATGACAGTGCCTTGCTGTCACCAAAACTCATACAGCCGAATACGGGGACGGATATTTTCAAGCCGCTATTACCAAGCTTGCGGTATTCGACCTTGGTGCCCTCTACAGACGCCTTAAGGGATTCGGGGAGAGCAGGAGCAGCCATAGTGAAGGGGTTAAATATGTTATATCGATATGGGATAATTCAATGAGGGTCAGTTAAAGATGCTGCCGGTGCGCGGGATGTCGTTATTTATGTAGCATGAGGTAAATGCATGATGTAGTGGCTAATGGGGTTACAATCAATGTATGTGTAATTTATGAGTGAGTACGCTCGAGTCGCAACCATTCTGGCTGAACTCCAAATACCCCCGCAGCATTTTCAGGGCCGTAGTTTCCTAGTGTGAAGTTATCTCCATCGTTTAGCGCGGGGTTACCGCAACTAAGGTGAAGTTATCACCATCGCGACTGGCAGATCGGGTTATCACCTTGGTTTGCTTGGCTACTTCCCATGTAATGCACTACGCATCGGGAAGGGAAAGACCGAGGATCTCGCATCGACTTAGCGCCTTCTAGCACCAATTAGACCTTATCCGTGTAGACTTAATTCTTATCGATCTCTAAATCTATTGGGTATATCTTGATGGCATCATCGTCCGCATCATTCGGACCATCCGATCGGAGTACGACTAAAATATGCATAAATCTGTCTCAGAATCTTATAACTCCGAGGGACACCAACCTTCTATCCCGCATCCGCCTTACTAATCGATCGTATACACATTCAATGTTTGCTTTTTATGTTCGCTGAATAATGACAATCCAAACCTCCTCTAACCCCGGATACCTTTCTCTATTACCATACTACCAATTCACGGGTCAACAGACGTTGCGCATAGATCGACCGTATTATTCGTGTACGGGTTCTTGTATCCCTATAAATTTGGTTATCAATTGGTTCACTCCCGACTATTTAATTCGGCTAACTTACGATAGACTGGCAACATCCCGTGATGTTGTACACGAAAAGGTTGCATTCCCATATTGGATCAGTGGCCCCCATCTGATGTGCTGAGACGCCTATGTAAAGGACATTAATAATACAATCTCCGATCGAAGACCTTACTAATTCACTCACAATTTGTTCCGACTTGTCCATCAATGTTCATGCAGCACTTTGGTGTGAAGCCCCATGTTTCTCGCGTATGACAGCTGAATGTCCCGACTTGGGTGGCAGCCAATGGCGAGAGAAGCGCGACCGCTAGTAATGCTATCGAAGACTTGGAATACATCTTTGCGGATATCTCGAAGAATTAGAATTCACCTATAAGATCGACTAATTCTGAATGATAAAATCTAGCTGGAATATGATGTGACCGCCTCAGCATCTATTTGTACTACATTTGTAGGTACCCATCACTCTTCCTTCTGTTTTCATCAACATAACAAATTCAAGCGACGCCACTGCAATGGCGCTGCCTCACTTCCTGCCCCTGCTCAATTCACATACGATGAACAGCGTGATATACCTAATACGAGGTCAAAATCTGATATTGAAGCCATGATGGCTTTCTCTATCCAATCGCAACTAGAATAAAACGGCATCATGCCCCACCGCCACAAGCACTAGTAGTAAGCTACTGAGCCAACGAGAGAGGTGGTTGGATCGAGATTTGCCATGGCAGCACGGTCGCATTGAAGATCCTGCCTCCTCTAGCTTCAATATTTGTCGATCACGAAGTTATCGAGCTACGGTCTGTGGTGTTCGGGTGACGTCAACCAATGAGCTGGTTTCAATACAGTTCTATTTCAGGGTATCAGAAGGAAGACCTCACGGAAGTTAATTCATACACAATTGGGTTGTCCTATTTCTGGAGAATTATATGAGCCTCTTCAGCTAATTCAGCTAGTCCGATACCGGGAAGGAGGCATAAATCCCCTACCATGTCATGTGGCCTATGGCTTGCGAAAAATACTAGGAAAAGTCGCTGGTGATACCCATGTGTATTCATCGTATACTGACCGTAGCACGTCACGCCTACAGTTTAAGTTCTGGTACCTGAATAGATTTAACATTGCCCTAAGAATGGACCCGTGGAAAAGAAAACATTGCACACTCCTGATCCATTCCTAGACCGTGGGATCCAATACTCCTAGGAAAACTGGCCCCTCAACAGTAAATCATCATAACCAACCCAAACTTACAAAGGGTATCAAGTACTCCTGAACATACGGCGGATCCAGCCGCTAAGGAGAACCGGTATGATCACGATCCATAATCGTGCATCTTCATCTTTAGTCGACGACTGTCCCTAAAATTCACTGTCCGATAACGACGTGGCCTCCTTCTCGCCAATTGCATCACCCTCGACCAAATTGCGCCCCTCATCTCTTGCCGCTAGAGCTTGGGCGTATTTCTTGTCGGGTCTCGAACCGGCATACATGTTGGGTATCATGAGTACGGGGAAGCCGCCGGCCCTGCCGGTCACACATTGAGCCTTTAAGTGCGCGAGTTGTCTGCCCGCTATGTACCACACGAAGGACGGATATTTTCTGTAGTACATCGCGAAAAAGAACGAAGCCTTCAGAAGATGCCAATTTGAAAGTCCAACATTGACTTGATCCTCCTGCTGAAAGGATCTGATGGTCTTCGAAGAGTTAATCTTCGTTGTAGGGGATATCTTCTGCCATTCATCGTACATGTTGGTGATTTTGGCTTCCCAGTCGCCGCGGGCCTTCGGCCATTTTTGAGCAAAAGCGTCGATATCTTTCTTGAGTTCATCTAAAACTGTTTCCCAAGTCGATTTTTTTACGGCCACTTTACGTTCACTTAACGGTCTTTGAAGTTTTTCATAGTGTCGATAGAATTTTACGAGATCCTCGTCCCAATGTTCAGTATGACCAAGGGATTCATTGAATACTCGCAGCTCTTCCTCAACCGTTGGCTTTCCTACGCTGAACTTGACGTGGTCTATGATATGCGTGGGGTCCCATATTTCGCTCCAACTCTCTTTTTTATACCTCGGATCAGGTGGGTCGGTCCGTCTGAGGGTTTTGCGTAGTCGGGCCCAATCTTGGTCCGTGAAGACTATTCCTTGCTTAGCCCTGTCTACTAAGTGGCTAATGAGGGTGCTCAACAGGATTGCAGCGTTGTCTCGAACCGAATTACGTGCATAGCATAACCTTTCCTTGTAATTCGTACACATGCCAAGGAGGTTCTGCTGCATGTTAAATCTGAATGCTCTCTCGAGGAACTTCGAAGTGATATCACTTTCCCCCATAAGCTTCATAAGCTCAAGGTAGGTCGTGGTCTCTTTATTGACCACGCCCCCATCAAACAGGTTTGGGACATCGGGTACTTCTGCGTTGGAGAAGTTACCCACTATTGTAGGGTCCCAGCAGACCCATGCGATATCACCATCATAATCACCACCAGAAAGCTTGTCAGCAAGGGGCGTGTTGCCTTTGGTGGAGAAGATTATGACATCTTTCAAAAAGCCCAGTTCAGGCTTGAAAACGGCTTTGACTCTTTGTATGTCACTTGGGTAATGCGCAGGAGTCCGCGCAACAAGGACGTCCATACCATGAAGGAAGGTCTCGGAAAATTCCGACCCCTCGTCGGTAAATTTGGAAGAAAACCCAAGGTGAACTTCATCCTCTTCTAAAATACCCAGGAAGTCGACAACCATATATGCGTATGTGGAACGGCCCACTCTCACATTCAGCTTTTCCTGGAGTTCTTCACATTTTGCCTTTCGTAATTTCCAAGCCATGTCGCGTAGAAACGTCAGTTTGGTAGTTTCAAAGCCACTGACTAAGAGAAAAGACATAATGTCTTCTCGACCACTCGGGAGCCCTCCTGTAAACGGCACTTCGTTGACCTTTACATGCTCTGCCCTTCGGCTTGACGGAGCATTCTCGTGAACCCACAGCCTAGATTGGGTGGGATTTTGCATGGCTGCCTTCTGTGCATCAAGTTCTCTTTTGAGACTTTCCTTCATGAACTTTCCAATCTGGTCCTTCATCCGAGATCTATCGATAGCCCTGTCTTCAAGTATAGGGAGAAGTTGAAGATTGAGGTTCGCGGACTTGAGCTCCCAAGGCTCGTTACGCACTTCAAATGTACGATGGTCCTCTTCTACGTAGTCGCATTTCCACTTTCGTTGGGAAGGATATGTCTCTATCCAAATTTCGTCACCAGTATCACTAGTGTCCCGAATCCAGAACCCCTTTGCACTACCGAACCGGCCCTGAAAACCTGCTGGTAAGTCTTGCAGACCCATGGCATTGGTTATAGCTCGGGCAAGGCCATGTGACATGCGGGCAATACCATCATTCATGACCTGCCCAGTGGGAGAAAGGATATCTTGGGGAATATGCCGGATTTGGTCAGGTTGGACAACAGCAGTGGGATGTGTACGACTTAGACCTAGAACTATCAACAAAACATGTCTAGAAAGACAACCCGGATGCATGAGACCTACCTAACGCGATTCGAGAAAAGAGCTTCAATATCGACTGACTCTGGTTATTGGGGACTTGTAAAAGCCAATCAATGAGGCTTTCCCGCCCCATTTTGGTATGCATGTTCGCTGGTTCACCCTTGGGTGACCAGCGGTCTCCTGTTGCTAAACGGTGGAAATCATTGCCATCTTCGGCAAACAGGTACACCCGCTCTTGATGGATTGTTTTTACCTGCGGCCCCAGCGTATTCTCATTGTTGATTTTCTTGGGTAGGGAAGGCTTGATGAAGAATGGTGTCCAAACCCGACTGAGTAATACGTGGGTATCATTGACTAACCATTTCTGGATATTGTCTAAGGCAGATTCACCCAAGTTCTTCATATCTTGGGAGGCCAATGATGGTATCACAAGTTCAAGGAATCGATCAGACGCAAACCTACGACTGAGACGATGGGGGAGATCCATTTTGAGCGGGTTGAGCCTGAGAATGAACAAGGGCCCGCTCTTAGATGTGTTCACAGTGAGTGACGCACTGAGAGTAACTACTTGATCAATGGTGCCAAATTTATCGTTCAGGGCAGCCGTCCATGCATCAGGTCTGGACTTTTCCGGGAAACTCTTGCCTCGAAATACAGGTAATGCTTGAAGCCGTGTCCATAAAGCCTTTTGATCGGTGAATGATGGGTCGTACTCGAGGCGCAAGTCATCCGTCGAAACCCCACAATGTAGGGCGACTCTTAGGATTTCCCAACGAACTACAAATGGAGCGTGTTCATAGTGAGCAGGAAGGGCCGCTAGTTACAATTAATATCAGTTCCTTTTTCAGAAGGAAAGGGAAAGGGAGACGCTTACGCCAAACGTTATGAAGCCGTTCCCCAAAGCCTTGACTAGTCGTATCGATAACACGTGGTGGCATACTACCAATTTTCTCTTTTATAGGAGAAGGCACCGGAGAAATTGAAGGCGACGCTAGAGTCGGGGAAGGTATGTCATAAGAACCTCGGATCTCTTGCTCCGATGGACGACTGCATTCTGAATAGGCTGGTGGCTTCTCCTTAAGAAGCTCCCTCACGTCTTGTTGAAGATTTTCATTATTCTGTTCATGGTAGTCAAAAGAAATTTTTAAAGCCCGTTCAGTGCTTGACGATGGCGCCAATGGATCAGAGTTAGGTCCTAGTGGGTGCGATAGCTGCATGAACGGAAGCTTCAGGCTTTCCTGACTGCTCGCTGGAATAGTTGTTTGGGTTTCTGGAAATGGCTTATGATCACCACGATCAGAGAACACCCGTGAGTCAGTTGTTATTTCACTTGTATTTAGAGACTTGGTTGATTCATACTTTCGGCCGTTTCGCTGTTTATTTCGGCCTTCACTTGACGTGGACCGGCTATAAATCTGGCCTCTATCCAGGGTCGAAAGTACACTTTCTGGTCTTTCATAATCGTCCGGGTCACATTCTGTATCAATCTCAGATGGAGAACTTCTTGTCTTCTTCGAGGCCGAACTCTCCTCTGAATCATCGGAGTGTCGCTTCGAACGTCGCCTCCTCCTCGTCGGAGAAAGGGGTTCATCATACAAAGAAGAACGTGATGATATGTCTGTTGAGCTATTATCATCTATTATAGCTCTAAGGAGCTCAATCAGTTGTTGCCTCTCTGGTTCTGAGGTTGCACGGGGTAAATTTCTTGGACGAGGTGTCAGATCGATGTCGGCATTTGGTTTTCTTACCCACTTAGAGTGGATTTGCTGAGCACCTTGATCAAACAAGAATTGGATTTCTGTATGCCTTCCTCTAAAGTATTGTACCTTTAGAAGCTCGTAGTAACGTAACTCGGAATAAAAGGGCAAGGCCTTCTTCTTCTGCGGAGAAACGTTCGTCGGCGAACGTCTCAGATTGAGATTATAGGTGTTGGAAAACTCGAGAAACCATAGGTCGAATTCGTCGACGTTTAGCCGTCTCTTCGATGGCGTTACCGGTGGCTCCAGATTTGGTGCCATTGTTCAATTCGCAGCCCGAACGGCGGGTCACCTAAAGGCTAAATTCGGACGCTACCTGGTATCTAGGCCATATTAGCTTTCTGGTCCAATCAGTGCTATCATCGGCGTTGCACACCTTACTAAGGGTAGGTTTGTGTGCACAACAGCGGAGAGGGGTGACAAGGAAATACAAGGTAGCTAAGAAACCTAGTCTCATCAAATCCCGAGCCCCCACTGCGAAGGGTTTGTCTCAAGTAAAAGGAATCCCTTCTACCCCAGTTAGTGTTTAATTGGATGGTGTCAACTAACACTAGCTCAATCGCTACCCATAGCAGGTGTGGAGCAAAGCTTAGAAGAAGAGGAAGGTGAGACGTTGAGGCACCTTAATTGGTGGTAGATCGATCGAGATAGCGGGGGGGTTAGAGTTTACATACCTAGGAATGCACTATAGTTTACCGCCTAGTAACAACGACCCCGACCAGGACTATGTCTAGGAAAGCACGATGGGAGTTAAACAGGTGAAGAACGTGTTAATACCAAGTCGGGAGCACTGGAGCATTTTACATTGAAATGGGGCGCTCAACTAATCGGGTATAGCGCATCTGCTGCTTTTGCTCGGGCTCAACTCAGAAAACGGTACTCCAAAACGAACGAGTTCTACCGTTCATGAGAAAACAACAATTGGGTCGTTGTAACTATTCGAGGTGAACCCCGCGAAGGTTGATACCTAATTCGTTCAAATCTGGTTAACATGCCATTCGCGCAGGCGTCAAGATACAGTATTTCCCAATATACAATTCACGGGTACGACTCTCAGCCTGCGCTATCTATTTATCGTGGTATTTTATCAAAACCTGAGGTGGGCAAGATAGGCGTTGATGGCTTCATTTAAAATCCTTCTGCCACTCTTTTTATTTCAGATGTGCGTAACATACATATATGTATGTATGAAATTACACCTACTTTAGCGCCAGAATAAATCCGTCAAGAATTTTTAGCATACGCCCTTTCCGACATGCGAGAGTCCTACTTTGTCTGCTTCGATATGTATTTCCAATCTGGTGGCTTTCCGACCAATATCGTGCGCCACTACCATATTGAGAACAGAGCGCCAATGCTTTCCGTAGCGCTGCCATTACGCTTACCAGCAACCAATAGGACTTAGAAAATGTAGAGTTGCTCTTCTTTAGGCCCCCTGTCTAATCTGCTTGAATTGCAAGATAAAAATAAGATTTTAGTAGACAATTCGCCCGATGATGAGGCATTGACTTTTCATAAAGCTGCTGTTCGAGGTTCAACTGGCTGAGTATAAAACCCCGGGCACTAGCCAAGAATTCAGTAACGGTACAGAGACACTGTGAAGGAGGGCAAGACTGCATGCTGCATGGTATAATTTGACTGTCCTACCACGGCAAACGAGCCATGGGAGTCCTGCCGACCTGACTCGCCAGGTTTGATTGAAGAGGACTACCCGCATCGCTAGTTCTAAAGAGAGGTGCGATCCAATTGGTAGTCTCATTATTTGGCGCTGTAGATAGTCCTTTGGTGGCTGTTACGCTCGGTCCGTTGATGCAGCCACATGAGCTTCGAATCCAATATGCCCAATCGTCTCGCAGGGTAGGATTACGCTCGCTATATCGGTACGAATGGAACCCGGAGTTACCGTCTAAACTCAAGTGAGACTCTAAAGAAGGCAAGCTAGCTAGCCCTGACAACATTCTTGTGTGGTTTCTTTTGGTACAAGTCCCTAATCATATCCGATGCGTGACCATTGTGCATCCCTGTGAGTAACTATGACCTCCTTCTTCAGTCATATATATAATCCCATCGACATGTATTATGGTCTCCTTGCTGAAACGTAAAATTACTCGGAAATTGTTTTGGTGCGTGGGAAATCCAGTATATAAAAAGCAAAAATTAGGCTTAAATGTCACCGCAGGCTTAAAGCGGCGTGATTTAGGCTCACAGGCTCGCATTAGGCGCGGAATGGCCCGAGCTTGAAGAGTGGAGTATCAAATCGTGCATCTAGGAGTAGATTGCGGGGGGGGGGACCTTGAAAATTCCCCTGCCGTTTGAAGGCCGGGTATGTTTTTCCGTTGGCTGGTAAGTGATGGAGACCGGCAACAGCTGCGACGGGCTGCAATGAGTTTATGTGGGTCTCGGAAAGTTCGGAGTCTTCTTCGAAGGGAAGTGCCAAGACCCTGTCGGTTGATTTCTGACACTCGCAAACTCGCAAGCCGCAGAGAACCATTCTATCGAACTTTCTGCCCCGCTCCATCAAACAACGATCCTAAGGATCTTCGGCCTTCGGGATTCTTGTCTAAATGCTCTTTCGCCCTTTGATCACCACACGCAGCAAGCCTTGCTGATCTTGTTTAACCCATTACCTTTCAGTAATCTGACGCTAATACGCTAACATCCGGACCCCCTGATCGGCTACCAGACCCGAGCTGTAGGATTCTGCTCATCCATTGGAAGCCTTAGAAGCCTTGGCCTTTGAGGCGAGGCCGAAACTCCAAACCCACGTTGTGCACGCCGCACGCCTTACGCCTTGTCCGGCGGGGTTTGTCTCATAAGACAATTTTGACCGCCGCTCATGTCATCCGAGCAAGACATCAATCAGGTCCCTATCCAGGACCTGACCCCTGAACAAGCCAGTCATATCATCCATTCCCATCGTAAAGTGCGATATGGTACGTTCACCCAATTCATTGCGTGCACTTGTCTAAACTGTTTGCGACTTGGTTTGTCTTATTTCAAGCTAGTGGCGTACGTTGGCTTACCCGGTGGCTTTTTCTAGGTACGGCATGCTGGCCATGCAGGTGTGTGACGACTAATTATCGCGTCACTTCATATTATACCAGAATCAAGTTTAAACTAAAGATCTATTTAGGCAACGGAAGGTGAAATGCGACAATAAGCAACCATGTGAAAACTGTGTCAAGAGGGAGCATCCACAGTTGTGTTCTTATAAGCCCAATCGCTCGAGTGCCTCCAAACAGGCTTCGGTGTCTGCTGAGGGTAGCCAGGGGAAGAAAAGGCCCCATTCTCCCGATGGTAGTATCAGCAACGACCAGGGCAGTGATCATCAGCCCGAGGGGTGGTCTCAAGCAATAGGTGTGCTCTATGAAGTATCCAAGATACCCAGGTATCTAGATATGCTGACCGTCATGTATCAAAAAGACGAACCAGACGCTGGAGAAACCGTGCGTTATGTTGGACAGAACAGTATTCCCGCGCTATTACGAGATCAGCCATCCCCAATAGAGACTAAGGATGGAGTTGACATACGCCGTGATATGCGCCCGATCCTCGGGCTTGACAATTCTGCCCCCTTCCCGTTGATGTCGTCGAAACATCTCGACCGATTAACGCAAGACATCTTCTCCGAACTTCCCTCAGATCGTGAGGTGATGATGTACGTATCCAGGACGCATGACCAATTTTGTCTCTACCGTCGCTATACTAATTCATTTTGATCAGCTTATTTCGGGCTTATAAAGAAATTACACATCCATTTTGGGGATTTGTTGTTGATATTGATGACCTAGAATCTCGCATTATGATCTATCTCGAGGAGCGGGCCAAAAATGCTCGGGAAAATAGCAAATCAAACCGGCGCGTCTCTGCCTCGTGGCTAGCCATCCTCTTCTCCGTTATGGCCGTTGGTTCTCAGTATCGTGACTCGCCTTATCATATTCGGACGCGGGATGCGCAGAGATATGTTCAAATATCATTTCACTTTCTCAGGCTAGGAAATTTCTTACTACGGTATGCTAAGTGTTAACGATTTAATGGTCACTTTATATCTGACATCAACACAGGCCGAATTTAGATTCAATTCAAGCTCTCCTTTTGACAGGATTCTGTCTTTTAAATGATATGAAGGCTGAAGCATCCTGGGCTTTGATTGGTATGACTTGCCGATTAGCGCAGTCGCTTGGTCTTCACAGGGCTGTAACACAAGATGAAGCCGGCTCGACTGAGATGTCGGTGAAAACATATGTGCGCAGGAAGTTATGGTAAGAATATGCCTATTACTCCAAGCCCTAGCTGCTAATGATAACTAGGTGGACTTGCTTATGGCATGATACATTGACATCGCTGTCTTTTGATCGGTAGGTACCCTCGCTGGATACAATAGCAATGATTATCGCTCATCAATGTTTTAGTCCTAATATGACCAATATCCAATGCTGCCCGATTCCATTATCACCAAGCTCCTCTGTGGAGGGCTTTTCGTATCTGGAGGCGATGTACCATCTTTGCGAAACAATTTCGCAGAAGCTTAATCCTGACGCGTCTGACGATTATTCGTATGAAACGATCCTCGAGAATTGTCGGGCCGTCGAGTCTATTCGCGAGCGAGTTTACCCGCAATTACGCAGTAAGGAAGCCTGCAAGAGCGTAGTGGACAAGCTACAGCACTATGCTATACGTTTACATACTGCCTTCGTGGTTTCTGTATGCTGTCGACCGGCTCTTCGTCGAGATTGCGCTAGGCTAGCAGCTGCTGAAAAGAAGGCATTGGCCGATAAATGCAAAGACAACCTAACCGAGACAGTGCGGATGTTTTTGTCAATGCACCAATTGTCATTTATACCTACTCGAAGTTGGGCTTTCACCTACCACGGGCTTTCTTCTGCTGTACTCCTTGGTATATTGTGCGAGACAAAGCTAGACCCAGAGGTCCGGCAGCTTCAAGGAGATCTCATTTCAGCTCTTTCGGCTGCAGCCGCCAAGGAGCAAACAAGTCCTACTCCCGATCACATTCGTAAGATTGATAGAGATATTGAATTGTCTGGCCCCCTCTCCCGAGCATTGACCGCATTGAAGAATATATATGATTATGGATCTTTACATGGAGCATCCGGAATCAAAAGCGAGAGCGCGTCCGGTACTCGTACACCGACTGGAATTACCGTCCCCCAGACTCTTCAAAATATCAACCCCCAATTCCGCCTACAGCCGGGTTACGACAGGCATCAAGATGCTGCTCTTGCCATGGCAGAGCTTCAAAATGGAAATAACCTTCCTGATTTCACAACGTATGTCTCGACGAATCTATCAACTGCACTCTACGTACTAATAAGTGAATGCAGAACTATGCCATACCAAGCACCAATCCAGCAGGCAATAGGGATACCGGATCTAAGCCAGCTGGATCCCACAACTCTAGCTCCCATGGACCTTTACGATTCAATATTTTGGGGTGAGTTATCATACCCACGTAGAGTTCTTCAGATACTAATGAGCAGCCTTGACAGAGTCACCAGACCCATTCTACGCGGGAGCTGACATGAATTTTGACTTTCTTCCACAGGCACCTCCTGGGCAATCCCAACAACAATTCTACTTTTAGAATTATATGATGGAGCATATGTAGGGCCCCCAATCTTAACCGAACTGGCGATCTAGGCTCTATCTTAATTTTCTGCTATTATTTTCATGACAGTGATGTTGATTCTCAAACCCAAATGTCGGTTTACGAAAAGTTATTTCCCAGTTGACGAGATAACAAGGGTGTTGTATATTGGAGTTGGTCGAATGATCGTCATGATTGAGGCTTACTGGTGTCTATGAATCTCTTGTATCTATACTTTTTACCTTCGCCTTAGATATCCATTGTCGTTAGCATCAATTAATTAAAGTATATCCAACCAACAGGCATGAATTCATGGACCTCTTCCTATTTGTAGTCGTTTCATAAATCTACCTAAGTCTAGACAGTCGTATGAATTATCTAGTCTCTTCTATTCAATATAATTCGTCTAGCAAAACCTTGCATATCGCTATGCACTTCTCTTCTTCTAATCTCTGCGCCACCAACTGCAGGCTTACGGGCATTCCGTGAACCGTCTCGGGGTTATCTATTTAAACTTAGCATGCGAGCCGTTAAATAAGTGAATCGCAACTTTTAATAACTACTTACAGTCGGATCGTATGCTCTTATCCAGATCCGAGAGAGGCTTGAACATTTCGTCCCATGGGACGTCGATGGCCTTGTCGACAATGACACCGGTGGGGAAGGATATGCAGGAGTAGTCCAACACGTTGAAAACACCGGTATAACCAACTAAGACAATCGCAATTAGCCATTTAATGATATAATAGAGAAAAGGGAACGTAGAACGATAAGCTTACCATGACTAAACTTGCCGTTCTCTACGCTACTATACGGCGTCGTGGGACATAACAACGCATCGATACCCGCGGCTCGCCATCGGTCCAAGTACCGCTTCTGGTATCCTTGGCGCTCGAGATGCAACTCCCAGTATTCGAGTGCCCCGAGTTCGCGCCTGTTCTCGTACATGCTCATTTCCGGGCGCACTGGCTCTCCGGTTCGTTCTAATTCCCGCTTAATCGCCTTGGCACCGTCCGCTACGAACATCCGGCTTAATAGCTGTAGACCCTGACCTTGGTCCTCTGACGACCATTCTATTATTTCGTGTCCGGCGGCCTTTAATTGATCTACCACTCGATCAATAGCCCGCGATACCGGCGGCGTAGGTCTTGCCATGCCATCGTCCCGCATAACCCCGATCTTCAATTTTGCTGGTAGATTAACAGGGCGCCAGGGGATCGGTAGACACCTTGGGTCAACGTTCCAAGGCTCCGCATCAATTACCGTCTTGCTATAAAACTCCAAATCCTCAATCGTTTGCGTCAGCGGGCCATTGACTGATTGCACGGCCTCTTGCCCAGGCATACCCGATCGACACCTCAACGTCGGAAACCTGCCAAAGCTGGGCCGTAGGGTAAACGTCCCTGTGCAAGCGGCCGGAATACGCAATGATCCGCCGATATCCGTACCAACACCCAACGGACTGCCCTTAAACGCAAGAAGTGCAGTTTCGCCACCCGAACTACCACCGCTCGTCAATTTACGATTCAGAGGATTGACAGTGCGTCCGAAGACCCAATTAACAGTCTCCGCGATCATCATAGCCGTCGGCACATTAGTTTTAACATAAAACACAGCCCCCGCCTCACGAAGAATATCTGCAAGAACCGCATCATACGGCGCCGGATCGCCGACATGCGAAGCAAAGCCCACAGTAGCATCAAGACCCTTAAGATTGAAGTTATCCTTCAACGAAATCGGCAATCCATGCAATGGTCCCACAGGCTTGCCCGTACGCGCAAGATGTTCATCAAGCTGCTTCGCAGTAGAAAGCGCACGTTCGAAACAAGTCTCCGATAAACAATTCGTCAACTGATGCGCAGCAACAGCACGCTTACAGAAAGCACGTGTCACAGTTTCGGATCTCAACGCGCCGGAGGTGAGTTTCGAGAGAAGTTGAAGTGCGGTCTGGTTCGTGATATCGAGTTCTTCGGGCGTAAACCATCCCGATGTTTCCGGGAACCCGGTTACGTCGTCCTGGTCTGCGGGCGGTAGGAGATGGTTTGGAATACGCCATTCTTCGGGTAATGAGGCTTCGAGTTGTTGGCGCTTTTTGGCCGCTAGCTCTTCCCAGTTTCCTTTTGACATTTTTGCTGGTGTTAAAACTCCGGATGCTGTATGGGAAAGTTATGATCCTTCGGAGATTTAGATAAATACGGCGATGTCAGTGTAACGTTTAGCTCGTGGGGCTTCGGAAGGAGAGATGTTGTCACAGCTAGGCGTGGATACTAATAGACTTAATGTAGGAAACAATAATTATAATAATTCATATAAGGAAGTTATATCACAATGTCTAAAGTTATAATACAGTTATAGGATGAATAATGATGCTTTTAAAGAGATAGGGGATTGACTCCGAACCGCATCGGACTTATCCGATATCGTTGGCATCGTGAGGAGCTGCCTAGGAAGAGTGCTGTCCTGCTACGCCGCAATTCACCGGTCGTGTCACGCTAATGAAGGCCGACTTTGGGCCTTTGTTCTCCGCTTGCGAGGACGCACTTTCGGCCAGCTATCTATACGTAATGCTAATGATGATGTAAACTTGCGAATTAGTAGAATATAAAATATTGGAGGAGAGAAGCTGAACATTAATTGTTATCAGTAATATCTCGTCGGCGTAAAAAAATTGTTATCTCATCGCTGGCATTCGGAGTATCCATTTCGAAAGACGCATCTGGATGGGGCTACACAACACTTGAAAAGAATGATCACAATTACCGAGGATACGATCTGATGTTTTCCCTCCTCTTCTCCAATCTCCAAAACAATAGTTTGCTTGGTAGATTGAATTAGTTAACTGCCAAACCCCTCACGTTAAGAACCTGTATTTGTAGAAGGCCGAAGCGAAGGAAAATTACCTAGGAAGAAAGAAAGAAGGAACTAATTTTTAGGGGGCCAAGGCTCTTCCAAGGCGCTATCTCTTACGTAGTGTATTTCGACCCCGGACTCTGGATCCCCCCCTTCTACATGTACCCTTGTAGGACCCCTGAAAGGTATTTCGCCTCCCTACCACCACCACCACACGTCCACATGCCAGTTTTCCTATCCGCTCTACCAGTCCGGTCTATCTCAGCTGCTAGCTCCCAATAATAAAAGGTCATTTCCTTATCTCGAATTCCCCCGCAAATTCCGGCATCGTGGATCTCGGTCCTTGACCTGCAGATAGCTAGCCGAGCAAGGAACCTCGTCAGGCTAGGGCCAATTTTCCACAATGGGAAGAGAGGTCTGGAATCTTACCTAAGATAACTTATCATAACACCCGAACACGTTCGCTCGCCCTCCAGTTCTTTCACCTAGTACACGTAAGGTGTATATAGTATGGCGATCGCCACTAATTACTGCGACATAACCTGGAGAAAAAGTCATTACCTTGTGTGACCGCTAACCTTGTAAAATTTTCCCCATTTTGTCCTCCTCTTTTCTTTTTTTGGAGTAGAGAGCGGGAAATATCCAATAATAGAAGGAAAAAAAATGGCGACCGTAACGACGCCGCCGACCACAAGGTCAAAGCTTCGGGAATATTTTCACACCGAGTACCAACCCGGCGAACGAAAGCTGATACAGAAGATTGACTTCTTCATCTTGACCTTCTGTTGTTTAAGTTACTTCACCAACTACGTACGTCTTTCGAAATTTCCAAAAGTCCCCTTTCTCCGAAGGAAGCTCTGTCGTATTTAATACATACCTATATGGAAAATCCATATAGATAATCCATATAGATATATCGGTCGAGCATTTCTTCTCCCCCGACGTCGCACGGATTGTGACAGACTTGATCGGATTGATTGGTTAACGACGATGTGTGATTGTAGTTGGATAGATCCAATCTCAGCAATGCCTACGTCTCAGGCATGAAGGAAGATTTGGGATTCGTAGGGGACCAGCTAAACCAAATCAACACCTGCTTCACGGTTGGTTATGTGGTCGGCCAAATCCCCGCGAATCTGTCGCTACACTACTTCAAGCCACGATACTTCTTCCCCGCCTGTATGCTCGTTTGGGCCGGACTGACTAGTATGTCGCTGTCTTGATCCCCTTTTGCCACCCCCAAAACCTACCTTGGGAATTAGAAGTCCCCGATAGGGCTGATGGACTTACCTGCATCCCTTAAACCCCTTACCTAAGCGAGGAGTAACTGACTCATCCTTTCAGTGGTCACGGCCTCTGTGCACAACCCACAGAGCATAATGGCCATCCGCTTCTTCCAGGGCATAGTCGAAGCTACCACTTTCGTCGGTACACATTTCATTCTAGGCTCCTGGTATACGGAGCGCGAGTTGGGTAAGCGTTCTGGCATATTTACAGCATCGGGGTTGGCTGGGACGATGATCGGCGGGTTTATCCAAACAGGTATTCACTCAAGCTTAGACGGTAGAAATGGCCTGCGCGGTTGGCGTTGGTTGTTTATCATGGATGGTATCGTAAGTCGCAACCCTGGATTCAATAATCCTCCTATCCCGCGACAGTCACCAGCCACGTGTCTGTCATTGTGTACCCTAATATTCGGTATATCCTCCAGCGTATTATATACTGACTTGTCATATTCAGATCACGGTACCGGTCGCGCTCTACGGCCTGATCTTTTTTCCAGACACGCCCTCGACAACCAAGGCCTTCTACCTCACCGAATCCGAGAAAGCCTTGGCCGTATCCCGCGTGCCACCTGTGGAGGACCGATCGCCCGTATCGTGGACTTTCTTCAAAAAATCATTTTCCTCCTGGTTCTTTTGGGGGTTTGTGATCCTTTGGATTATTGCTGGTGAGACCGAGTCCTTTAGCTCGAATGCCTTGTTAGCATTGTATTTGAAGAGCCATCCGACAAACAAATACTCGGTCTCTCAATTAAACAACTACCCCACTGGTGTGCCGGCCGTCGGTATCGTGTCAACACTCTTCTGGGCCACGCTTACGGACTTCCTCAGTGGCAAACGGTATCTTGTCGGTTATTTTATCGGCATTACTGGTGTAGCTACTTCTGCTATGATACTCGCAGCTTCTAAGGACCCGACGAACCCCGAGTCGACCTCCGTAGTCTTTGGCGCCTATTATTGGGCAGGTGCTGTTTATGCTTGTCAGGCGACCTTCTTCGCCTGGGCTAATGATGCTCTCCGTTACGAAGAGCAAATGTTCCGAGCCATCGTACTTGCCGGTATGAATCTAGGTAGCAACGCTGTGAACGCTTGGTGGAGTATTGTCTTCTATGGCGCATCCATGGCGCCGTGGTTTTCTGTATGTCTTGACACCATTAGCAATACCCCTAACTTGTTTAGATATGATACTAATGAAGGAAATTATAGAGGGGAATGTGGGCTATGATTGCCGTGTCTATATTGTTGGCGATTTGGACCGTGGCGTTGTCATATACGACTGCCAAACACGAAAGGATGCGGAAAGCGGAGCTCGCCTTATCTTCTGGTGCCGCCGACCGCAAAAGTGTTATCGATTATGCCTAAGGCTACGGCCGGTTTAGAACATAGAAGCAATAGCTAATACCCAAGTACTTTCGGAACGAACCGACAACTATCGAAGAACTCGGTTTTCTCTCAATGATTTCCTGTCAGTCAACATGTGGTCCCCAACCCGAATATAATACCTCCCATATATCATCCAATCAATACCAACGAGGTGTACGCTTCTCGTTTCGGGGAGCATGTATGGGTGGGATGCGCATTGTGTTCGAGTATCCTAGCCGTACCCCTCGATTGGCGGTTTGCCAACCTGTACAACCAATGCCCAACATGCTATGACTGCGAAGTCGGGTTATAACATTCTAGGACGGATCGGGGAGAGGCCTGATGCGAGCCATCCATATTATGACCGGAACGGGCCTTTTAAGGCAAGAAATTAGATAGGCGTTCCTTGAACGATTAAGAGTCGTATTGCCTGGATATATCGGCGGCGATGCCGCTGCTATGTTTCGTCCCGAAGGGTTCTTGGATTGTCTACCTGAAATCTGCGTCCCTACCGTGAACTGGTCTTGTTTCTATGGTAAGATGACTATACCAGACAGAATATTCGAATTCGTTTCTGATGTATGTTTATTTATTCCTACTAGACAAGCGACTCGAACCGACCGTAGCTGACTTCCCGCCGTAAACGCGTGGAGACTGGCTGGAAATCTTGCGTTGTCGAAGCCTATCTCGTCTGCAATGACGCTGCCTACTCCGTGGCGGGTTGAGCCATTTCGTAAAATTCGTATCGCCGCCTCTGGCATAATGAAGCAATAGAGTTCGCTTGTTTTTTTCTTGTACTGTTCACCTAATATCCTACCTTGCTGTTAGGCGTGTAACCGGTTTTCGAAAATCATATGGCATTTTGGTTTGAAGGGGGAAATGTTGCTTGTGCGAGGTATCACGACCCCTTTAGGCAGGCCGAGGGGGTATCAACCACATCGCACAAGGAGTGGCCTTATCATTAATACCAACGCGTTGGTACTTCGGAAGACTCGATAAGGAGGGCGGCATAGACCTTAAGGTATGTGACATGGCAGCCATAAATAGGAAGGTGGCGGAAGAAAACAGAAGACGGATGATAGACTCGGAAAGTATCTACGCGGACCAGTTTTCTCCGAGGGCCAGCCGTCATATGTTTTTTAAAGTAGGAGGCGAACTTGTCGATCGAGGACAAAGGGAGACATCTTTGGTCATACTGACGATCTCGATCGGAGGCTCTCGTCAGACTGTGGTGGTAGGAGATCGTAGCCGGAATGGTCTGTTTTGCGTAGCTATTTCTATTTCTTCAAGTTTCTACCGATGACGGTGATAGGTCCGAGCTGGACTATCGAGGCGTCCCCTCCTCGTCCCTATCCTATTGTTCATCGTATTTCTTGTCGGCTCTGTGCATAGGCTTCGGCAGTGCTTCTATTGAAAGGGGCTGGGTATCGTTGGGCGACGCAAGGAGCTCGATTCGGTAGCTTCACGGCGCAATACAGCTACGCTAGGTTAATTTGCGACGCCAGACTTATCTCGATAGAGTGTCGCGTTCCCTCTAGCGAGTCACTGCGTCCTTTACTTTCCTAAACATATAAGCGTTACGTGCAGTAGGCCGCCCAGTGGCGTGAGACAAAGATAAAATCTAGTTACCCCAATGGTATTGAGCGACGAATCCTCTCTTTGATAAAGGCGATGGATGTAGGTATTGGTTGCATATCCCGGTACGGAGCAAGACCCGAGACGAGTCTGTCGTGTCAGGAGTCTATAGGGGAATATGAATAAGAGCGTAGCCAAGACAGGATAGGAGGGTGGTGGAAGGGTCTTGGGGGTTGTAGACAAGAATCTTACTATCCGGCAGCTTCGTCTGTTCTTGTTTTGGTTCAGGATCCCTCCCAAGGCCCCCTAGGTCTAGTGAAGAAGGACCGCGCCCGGGGGCACGTAGGCCCCCTAAGCTTATGGGACAAAAAAACTAGCCCCCCCATCCCCGTACCTAGGTAGGGAGATAGATAGGGCTCGTAGGTGCTTTCGCCATTCGGTTAATTTTTTCGTTTCTCATACCCCATACAGCAACGGTGGTAAACATAACACTGCACTATACACTGTGAAAAAATTGCATCGTATAGTATGTATCAGAATGTAGGGATGTCTGTATCTAGATTTTGGCACCCCACCACCTAAAAGTCAGTTCGAGCGCAGAGGGTATCGCCTTCTCATATAACAATAAAGTTAGGCCTATTATGTTTGCCGCAGAAAACTACATGGATCTTCCTCTTTCCCCTTGAATCTTGTACAGGTACAGGTACATAGACTCTAAACTCTATAATATGCACGAACAAAGCCAAATAAATCAGTGGCAAATAAGTGACAATTATGAACAGCCGACTTTTTTGCATTACCATGTTGCGCATGGGAGATTTTCATCTGTGATTCAAAGTTTTAGAGTGCTTTCGGGCGTCATGCGACAGGCAAATCCTCGCGACAGGGTTCGCCACCACCACTTCTATGCATTTATCCATAGAATTTGATATAATAAATAATTCGTAGTTCGTAATCACCTGTTTATAAGTATTCATCGTTAAGTCATTATTTTTTTTCCTTTTTAAGTTATCCTGGACGTCAACGATTATCCACCAAAACCAATGGCATTACGAGGACGATGACCATCTTTACTCTATTGCATACGTGCATGTTTATTAATCTTATACAAATGTAAGGTGATTATCATGGGTTACCTCGTTTACCAAGGTACTTTAATGTGTACCTCAATATCTACTTGAAGCACAAGTGCACACTTCTGATATAAAAGTCGACGTAATGCGTTAAACGAGGGAAGAAAAGGTCACTCTTCAGCCGTTGAACGTAAACGACAGGGGTACATCGAAGGCAGACCCCGGTGAGAAAATAAGGGTACCTGAGGTAAAGATACCCCACTATGGAAATGAATTTGGGTGGTCTTCTTTCGTTTCCGAGAATCTGTTTTTAGAGGAAAGCTACATGCGCATAGTATCGAGAATGTATTAAATCATGCACCTAATAGATCTAGGTTTGCGATGTATGCTGTAGGCCGGTTGTCTAAGTTTGGCTGATAGCTCAAAATGGGATGGCAGCTCCAAAAGTCCAGCATCTGATTGGTCCGGAGCGCGCTCCAGATAATTCTGATTGGATGGTTGAGTTTACATTTCTAGTGGTCCTGGCCACTGGTAGAGCCTGTGTGACCCTTGGCAGGATAGCTCCGACCAATAGAAATCTTTCTACAGTTCGACATGGGGATCCCCCCGATCTCAATTCCCTCTATGTGGGCTTGCTATGTCTCTTACACTACCCAAGTAGAATGTTAATGGTAGAAGACTTAGATGACTGGCAAACATGAAGTATCTACTGCCCGTCTCCATACCTGAGAGGTACATCTCAAGAGGGTCGTTGATAGGTACTCTTGGTACATCTCGTGCAGTCTGCCAATACTTTTTTTTTTTTTTTTTACCACCACATTCCATCATATCACCTATTATGCACAGCTTGTTACGTGGTATACCCGGACCCAAGCCTACTTCCCTATTCAAAGCCTTCCCCCCGGGGTGACTGATAGAATACTAGTACCGGTTACAAGGCTACCTACACTTGTTAAAACACTGTAGTCCATAAGTGCCTCTCTAGTTATCGATCACGCTTAATTGAGGCCGGACCACCAGCCCTCCAGGCACGAAAGGGCCTGGGAGAGATTAGATCCCCAGACTTCACGGAGTGAGCGCCGAACCATTCCACAGGTATGATTGGCTGCACTAGATGTGTCGTTTCCGATGTTGAGGGCAGCTGCCAGGACTCCTCTCTCACTCGAATACTTTTTTAACGTCACAAAGCATCCGGGCCAAAATGTCCGATTTCGACGTTAGGTAGATCATGAGGTTTGTTATGGAGTCTCTAAGTCGAGTACGACTTGTAGGAATCCAATGTCCGACAACTACAAACGCCTGCTCCCGGCGCCGATGCCCTCAGGCTCTGCCCAGGCAAACGCATCGGAATCCTCCTTCCAACCGAAGGATACCGGCCCTCCCGTTAAGAAGCGTACCGTCTCTAAGGCTGCTTGCAACAACTGCCGCCTCAAGAAGATCCGCGTAAGTAGCTCGCCGCCGCAGCCCCTCCCTGTCCTATCCTGCCCTGCCCTGCCCTGTCCTGTCCCTTCCTCCCTCCCCCGCCCCCCTCTCAGGCCTCGGTGGCCATGTTGATTTGATCGCCCCCCGAGTTGTTGACCAAGACCTACAGTGTGATGGCAAAAGACCCTCCTGCACGGCCTGCAGCAAGGCGGGTGTGGAGTGCAATTTCGTCACCGCCAGCAGCGACGAGACACCTTTCATGGCTTTGAAGCGGGAAGTCGAATCCCTTAGGAGATCAACGGAAGACATGCTGGAAATATTCGACTTGTTGGAGTCTGCTCCCGACGCGGTTTCTCTCGACATCTTAAGGCGCCTCAAGTCCAACAGGAATGCGGCCGAGGGGGCGAACGAGACTTCCGATGTATTGGCATACGTAAAGAAAAACCTCGAGGACGATCCCCTTTTACCCGTGAAGCTATCCAACCGTCAGCTAATGGCTGGCCTCATACCCGAGACGCAACAGACACCCGAATACGAACTCATGGTGCGATGCCCAACTGCGTACCCCATGCTAATCCCCGTTGAGATTGCATTTATTAATCTAGCCGACCTACTCCGACCATCTATTCTTGAACATCCGAAGATGCCTAATTTGTATGTAATCCTATACCTAAGCGTTGTGTGAATACTACATTAGGCAGACCCCAATCTTGCTATCCCCTGGCTAACAGGTACCGATAGCTTGGAACAAGGAGACACACCATCGTCCTCAAGTGTCCCCCCTGGGTCAAATGAGGGCGCGTCTAGGAGCGGGACGACACCGGTTTTCATAGACGCAAGCGAATATGGCTTGGGAAGTTTCGAACCTCTGCAGTCGACCCACACGCTCGTCGACGATCGGCTAAGAGACATAGATTTTCGGAATTGGACACAAATTCCTATCTCAAACGAGCTCGGTGCCACGCTTATCTCGCTTTACCTGGAGATCGATCATCCGTGGTGTCCTCTATTCGACGCCGATTTGTTCGTAAAGAATTGTGTGGAAGTGAATGCACATTTCTGTTCTTCTCTGCTTGTGAACTGTGTGCTGGCTTGGGCCTGTGTAAGTTACAATTCACCTAGGACGCACCTAGAGCCAACGTTTATGTCAGGATCGATCGTTGACAAGCTTTAGCAATCATATTCAAACCTAGTGCCTGAAGCGGCGACGCTCGCCGGTCCATTCGAGACGGAATCCGAGCGGTTGTGGCTAATAGACAAGTTCAACAACACACTAACCGCCGTAGCATCTTCTCAGTTATTGAACAGTACAGCATCCTCCCGAGGTCGAGACGAGTTTGCGACACAGTGTCTACATGAAGGTATTGAAATGGGAAAGCGTATGGGTCGTAAGTAAATTCCTGGCACATCCTAGAGCGTGGTGGCGACGTCACCAAGACATCCATGCAACACGATGTGCTGTGTTATGCACTGGATGAATCGAGTAATTGCTAACCCCGAGCGCCTGTAGTCTTTGGGGTGGGTTCCGAGAACTCGTCGGCCCTAGCCTGGTTGGATCATCACCAAGATTGGCTCAGAGCTGCGTGCCATACTGCGTGGGGTATATTCTCATGCGCCTGGTAAGTTGTCCCGCCGCCAAGATCTGCAGCATGTTTCCTAGTACATGGCCTGTCCATACCTCTCATCTAGTACCTACTCACGGTCATGATCGACAGTATGCGTTCCCTGCACCTTCACCGCGCAGAAATTGAGACACCGCCCCTGCTTCCCATGCCCGGAGACTACTTCGAGACCCATGGCAACCCCAATTTTGCTTATTCCCAGGGCCGAACCCTCGTGTCGACCCAAGTAGGCACGACTTTCAAGGCGGTATCCAAGCTCAATTTGATTACGCACGACATAGTCTGGACTTATTTCGGCAAAACCGATACCGTCCCCGCCGCCCGAGCAACGATTGAATTCGCGGAGCAGATATACCAAAGATTATTCGAGTGGGCAGCAGCGCTCCCTCTCGAATTAGCGCGGGGGAGACGCAATCGTCGATCCATTTTAATGATTCAGTAAGGGTCCCCCTAATTCTCAGATGGCCACCTCCAGTTCCAGCAATGGTTTCCAATCCCGACTTCTCGATTGCTGGCCTTACTACCCCACATTCATCCTAACGTGAGAGTTTTCTAGTCTTTATTACCACTGCACCGTCATGGAGCTATTTTGGCCGTTCCTACAAACGACAGCCGACAAAGTGGTAACAGTCAATCAACTCACAGCCACTACAGCTAGCGCCAAGCACATACACGAGGCATCAGTGAATCAGCTTAAGAGGCTAATTCTCATATACTGCATCAATTTTAGCGAGGCGTGCTCGTCGACACTATGGCATGTCGCAATGCTATACCTAGCCAACGCTATGCTCTGCGAAACCATGCGATCCGGAAATTTGCGAGATCCAGAGTGTTGGTTTTATTTTATGCTGTGCATGACAGGTTATCAAAATATGTGGTATGTATCGCAATATCCTTCGCCAAAGAACAAATTACGATGTCTCCTCATGGAACTTACTAATCCTGGCGCACCTGCTAACCTGTTACTAGTACGTTATATCATCTCTTTACATACACCCAAGCCTTGACGTCGCGTGCCCACCCGTTCAGAAGACTACAAATACATTGCCTAAATTAATACTTCCGGAGCTGTTTCATAAGAAATATGTTTTCTGTTCTCGGGTGGGATACTGAATACACAATAAATTTGTTTTTCTTTTTTCTCTCTTTTTCTTTTTTTTTGGTTCAAGCGGGGTACTGACTGCAGGATAGATGGCACTTTTCAGGTGGTCGAGGTAACTATGCTTGGGCTCTTGAGCATGGCACTACGAAACGGATTCTTATCAGCCCCTGAGGCCAACACCGTCCTGAACGATATGAGAAGAATAGGACAGCGATACGATGCTCAGTTCACAGTTCGAGCAACTTTTATAGTTGACCTTGAGCTGGCGATGACGAACCCGAGGGAGGCGCAGGTACAGACATTGGCAGATGCTTTTCATGAACTAGCGATCTTTCGAGAGTTTACGACTGGCGAGCTCAGGTAAGCAAGAGCTCGATAACTATGGGAAGAGCATTCAGCTAGCCCCCCCAACCCCCCAAAACCCCTCTAATATGAAGGGTTAGGAAGCGGCAAAACCGCACTCCGACCCTATCCTAAATGGCTACGGCCCCCCAAAAGCAATCCTAGCTTTAAATTAGAGGGAGACGGGTGGTCCACAGCGGCCTCCCCTACCCATAAATTCGATGAACGCCCATGCTACGTTAAAGCTACTCATGTAACTTAGATTGAATGGTGAGGTTGGTTGGTTCAGCTGACAGATCAGACCGGCGTCCTAAGACTCGCGTTTCTAGAGGCGCAAGAAGAGATAAACAAAAATTGTGATTGATTATAAGAGTAATCTGTTAGCTGGAGCTGCTGTCACTGCATAAGTATGCGAGCTTGTGCTACCCAAACAGCGGGAAAGGGATGCCACCAGGTCCGTACTCTCGAATACTCCCACATATATGCGTAAGACCCCAAAAGTGTACAGGTCTTGCGTTGCGTCGGAATGGTAACTCCAATTCTTTTATCACATTCAATTTTATCAACGGGGGTAGTTATCGTCGCATGCAATGCTAATCGAGCTAATAAGCTCTTAGCTCTACTCTTAACTACCTAGTTGCCGGCTTTGTATATTGTCCCAAATAAGGGAGGCACGGCAGCCCAAACTACTGATTACGACATATCATTTACGACGAGCATACACCCGATATTAGCGTTTGCTGGTCAATCGATACGCAACAGATCAGGAAGGCAACAGAGACACGTCGGTACGGTTATCACCTTCGCCACAGAGCTAAAGGAAAATTGAATAAAATTGAAGCAAAAGGAGGTTGGATGCGATATACGAGATGGTCAACCTCCGGAGTTGGTCTAGGAATGGGCACGATTACGAAAAGCTATAATGATTAATGACGAACTACGGGCATTGGCCCTAGAAGGTTGGGTGGGATCGCATAGAAGGACAGGGAGAAGATACCTAGGGTTACGTTATGAGGGGCTCTTTGAATCGCGGAGGACTTAAACATGCATCGAATTATCAAGGATCGGGATTTCCACGCACTATTTGGACATTGTCCGAAGTGACCCTGGATGGATTGGTATGGGGTTACTAATAGGTGGCCACGATATCATTTGCTCAGTCGTGTGGCTTCAGCTTGTATAGGATATACGTTCTACGCCCTTGCCGCATTCTGGTTCAGTTCGTCTCGGAAACAATCAAGTCAATTTGGTTCCCAGTACTACTAAGAGAAGCTTTGACGCCTATATATGACGCCTCCATTTACTTCACCAATTGAAATAGGGGAGACTATTTAAGGGTAACGGTGGCTTGTAAGATCCGGTCTATGTGCTACCACACCAATCTAGAGAGACTTCCCAGCCATTTCAGCTCATAATGACCTCCGCCGCTTATCTCAAACCTACCTAGTAATGAGTTATCATATCGGATCTAACTGGATGGCTGAATCTCGTAACAAACGTCAGGAGCCTAAGATTCGTGAGTGCGATATTTGATTGGTTAGTACCTCAGACATAGGGGTGCCCTTACAGAGCCACCTATAACTTGCAGGAGGCGGACTTTAGTGCATGACAGGTACTTAAAAGTTAAGCGCACTGAAAAGCCAGAATTTGAAAAATTATATGCTTAAGCCCATTATTCCATAGCCATCTACTACGCAATGATCGCCTGTAATTAACCAACATTGACATTCATCTATCGTCATAGGAGGAATTATATTACAACGGCTGAGCCACCCGCATCGACCTGTACAGACCGGTCAACAAAGTGCAATGTATTTTTCAAGACATGCATACTAATTGTGAATAGTGGCTTCGGCCTTTAATCAATAGAGCATATAGAGGCAGGTAATATACTTTAGTTAGGTATACGTTGCAGGTACTCCGAAATGAATATCCCTTTGTGACGTAAATAACAAGCCTCATTTTCGACCGGTGACCCCGCAGCCAACGCCACTAATGTAGACGATACGAACTCTTTTCTGTATCATTTCAAACCTATAAAAAATACAACTTACATGTAGGTACAATACACCGAAATGCACTTGTACCAGGTACCCTACATATGTAGTACATACATGTACAGGATGGTAACCAAACACCCACACTCTGGGTTGTATAAAATTGCATAAAACACCTTCAAGATGGTCTGACCCTAATAACAACGAATTTTACCGACACGAACATGCGCTATGATTTTCAGGTTTAATGTCGATATAGGAAAAAAATAAAAAAAAAAAAAAAAGCCCAGAACGTGGATAAATACTATACATAGTTAGATCAAAGACTCCTATGAATAATAATAATCAAAGCGAAATAGTAATCGATTTAAGCTCTTATCTTATCAGCCTCTTGGCCAATTACCTACAAGAATCGTCAGATAGACGTGCATGAAGAGCTTTGCTAAATCCGGGTCGAGGAGGCTAGTACCGGCATGTTGGTTCGAGCCTCTAAGAGGGGATTATCTATCTACGTGGGGCACGAATGAGAAGAGTCTATTATTCATATACTTGGAGGTAGGTACCTTGTATCGATGGGTGCGGGGATAGGCCTGTGATTATGCCTCTATACTCCTCATATTTGGGAGTAGAGGCTCGGTTTTCTTTTGGTGAGTGGTGCTTTGAAAGGTTTCAGGCTCTTTTGAGACTGGTCTCGATTATACTCGTACTACGTGAAGTCTCCCTGAATGGCAATTGTTAAGCATAAGTATAAGAGCTATATCAATTTCAAACCACCATGCCCCGAATTCCGCAATGCGCCCTCCCGCTGCCAGGACGGCTCAAGGCCCTCCCTTTACCAGTAGTCCAAATCATCGGGCTCCTGATATTTGCTAACATGATCGTATGGGCGGCAGTCGGCGTAGTATTACATTACTACCCGGCCATGATAAGCCCAGCCGTGCTATCTTATACACTCGGGCTACGGCATGCTCTGGACGCCGATCACATCAGCGCTATCGACCTAATGACGCGGCGACTCATCGCCTCCCGTCAACGGCCGGTGACCGTGGGCACGTTTTTTAGCCTAGGGCATTCTACTATCGTCATCATCACATGTATCGTAGTCGCCGCCACCAGCGGCGCTCTACGCGACCGTTTCGACAACTTTCAGTACGTGGGCGGTATAATCGGTACAAGTGTCAGCGCCGCTTTCTTGATCCTGCTGTGTCTCGGAAATAGCTGGGTCTTGTACCGACTTGTGCAGCGACTCCGAACCGTTCTTCGGGAGCCGGACCCGCACCACCCGGAGGAGGAAGGTGCAGATGAGGATCGGGACCAGGCCGCAGTGAATTTACAGTTGGAAGGTGCGGGGTTCCTCGCCAACGTCTTCCGGAAGCTGTTCCGGATTGTGGACCGTCCGTGGAAGGTACGCATGCATCATTTCTATTGTTGCTCTTACTCCTCGCCCTTACCCCTTTTCCGATAAATCGTTCATGTTTGGGGAATGAATGGGTTTTTACGACCCGAACGTTCATCGAAATCCTCCCATACGTGTAAAAGCCTACTAACACACCATGAACTACCTAGATGTATCCCCTAGGCGTCCTCTTCGGCCTAGGTTTTGACACTAGCTCCGAAATCGCAATCTTAGGCATCGCGAGCGTGCAGGGAGCACAAGGGACAAGTCTCTGGGTGATCCTCATCTTTCCGCTCCTATTTACAGGTGCGCTATCCCTACCCCTCTCTTATCCCGTTCAACAGATTAATGATTTATCATATGCTAATCCTTCTTAGCTGGCATGTGCATGCTCGACACCACTGACGGGGCACTCATGATGGCCTTATACACATCCAAAGCCTTCGCGCGGGACGCTGTCGCTATCCTGTACTATTCTATCGTACTAACCGCTATCACGGTCCTTGTCTCCGCCTTCATCGGAATTATCCAGCTCCTATCTCTAGTCCAGAATGTCGCGGAGCCTGAGGGTTCATTCTGGGATGGCCTTAGCGCTATCGGTGACCATTTTGACGTCGTCGGAGGTGCGATTTGTGGTACTTTCCTCGTTGTTGGATTGGGCTCGGTAGTTGCTTATGGGCCCTGGAGGAGGAGAGCGGAAAGGAGGAGGCGGCTTGCTGCGGCGGAGGCAGAAGCGGAGAGATTGCCGTCGGATGACGCCCAAGGCGCCTTCCATGATGTGGAGAGCTGAGAGCAGTAGGAGATAAATATTTTATCTAGCGACTCGATATACATGGCAAATTCGGCGGCAGGGCAGGGGTATTTATCGTTGGAAGGAGCACATATTATTGATACCTGTTATGTTACGCCTTTATAGGATAATTCGCGACGCGTGATTCCGGGCATTTCAGTCATACTAGTGTAATGAGAAAAATATAATTAAATGGAGAGTATATAGAGAGGCTGGGTGACAATTTCGTAACTATAACTACCCGTCTAGCCTCTCGCCGACACTCCCCTTTTCATCCGCCTTCCACCGTAGGCGTTACGACCAACCCCCAACTTGTCCGGTCCGTGAACCTCCCACCGCCAACCAAGGGCCAATTCCGTTCCATCAACATCTCTATAGGTAGATAGACGGAATTCGTTAAGTCATAAAAAAAATGCTCGCATCTCTAGGAAAATCGTAACGCAACGCGGGTGTGAGGGGGAAGAGTAATAGTGAAATCTGATTGCAGGCAAATGGTATCCCATGCCAGGAGATTTGATCCCCTGGCTAATGTTGAAAAAAGTAGACGCGATGCGACATTCCATGCGGTTCTTTAGAAATCATTCGCTTGCTATTGAGTAAAGGCATATGGGGAGATAATATTTTTAAGTCGAGGACTCCTTTTCGTTGGGTGGATCTGCCTCCTTATCGGCAGGGTACTGAGGACTGCAGTCCATTGAGTCCCCGTCACCGTCGGGAGTTGGAATGGGCGAGGAGGAGTCATCTGTCGAGTCGGAAGTATCTGATTTGGCACAGTCGTCTTTGTCGTCACACTTGTGATTGTCATCATCGGCTTCGGCCTTGTCCTCTACCTTTTCCATCTTCTTCTCCTCGACCTTTCCCTCCTTCTCTTCTATTAACTCATCTGTCTTCTCATCAGCCTTCTCCTCTGACTTTTCTTCTGTTTTCTCTTCCTCCTTCTTTTCATCTACCTTTTCTTCAGTCTCGTCGGATTCTTTCTTATCCACGGGGGTCTCTTGGTCGTCGTCTACTGTCTTCTCATCTTTCTTCTCTTCGTCTTTCACCTCTTCCATCTTCTCATCCGTCTTATCCTCGGATTCCTTCTGGTCGTCATTATCGTCGTCCGGAAGGATCTTCTGCTTATGAATGATCTCACCGTCCACGATCTCAACTTCGTCGGTTACATCCTTGTTATTCTTCTCGCGCTCGCCTCCAGCATTCATCTGAGCGTTATCGATGTCGGCAGCGCCTTTCTCGCCCATACCGTTCTCAGCCATATCGCCGCCTTCGACTACGACGCGCAAGTCCAAATCCTCATCCTTAGAATAGACGCGGAACCCGACGATACAGATAGCATTCCATGGATCCGGCATGCCTGACTCGCCATCACTCTCAACGGTATTATCGTTGGTAGTGGTGGCGGGGGGTGCTGTTGCCATCCGAGGCTTCTTAGTCATATCGTCTGACGAGTACAGCAGCTCCCAGTCTTCTACCGGACTATCGGAGGAATCGGCTTCTGAGGTGTAGTTTGGCGGGGAAGGGCTTTGCTTCTGCCTGCTTGCAGCGGCGGCGGCAGCAGCCTCAGTAACTTCTTTGTCACACGGGGTCTTCTTATTCTTCTTGGGGGATTTTTTATCTTTCTCGTCTTTCTCATCTGCGGATTCAGCAGATGAGGATGCTGAGGAATCTGATTTCATTTCCTCTGCAGCATCCACAAGAGCATCCTTTAGAGTGTCCTTCAAGGCATCCTTCACAGCTTCCTTCAGGGACTCCTCCTTCGGTGCATCTTCTTTTGGCTTGTCTTCTTTTGAAGCGTCCTTTGAAGTGTCTTCCGAGCCATCCTTAGGAGTATCCTCTGATGATTCCTTGGGTTTGTCAGCGGCCTCGGATTTAGCAGCATCATCCTTGGCTTCCTTAGCCTCCTCAGTCTGGATGCTCTTGTCTTCACCCGACGGGCGCTCATCCGTCTGGACCGCAACGTCTTTAGGCTTCTCCTCTTCTTTCTTCTTACGCTCTGCCTCCTCCTCTTCCTCTTTCTTCTTTCTCTCTGCTGCCTCAGTTTCTTCCTGTTTCTTCTTCTCGGCAGTCTCCGCTTCTTCTTGTTTCTTCTTCTCAGCGGCTTCAGCCTCTAGTTTAGCCTTAGCAGCGTCTTCCTTAGCTTTTAATTCCTCTGCTATGGCCTTTCTCTTCAGAGCATCTGCCTCCCGTCGCTTGTCGCGCTTCTCTTGATTTTTCTTCGTCTGCTTCTTCGTGATGTCACGGTTTAAGTGTCGCTTCTCCCACATCTTGCGCCTCTCCTGCATACGCGAAGTGCTTGCTTTCTTCTGGTCCGACTTCTTGCGGAGCTTAGCGACCTGTTCAAGATGTGTCACACCTTTGCTATGAGCCAGATCGTACGCGTAACCTACTTGAGCCAACTTCTCATTCTCGACACGCTTTTTGCATTCGCGCTTAACGACATCTTCGATAGAAGACATATCGGTGTCACGTTCAGCCACGACGCTGATAAAGATTGAGTAGTTGCCAGGCTCCATGCATGGGACCTCAATAGAGACCGAACGGTCCATCAGATAGTTTCCGTGAGACCTCACGATGTAGTCCTCGCTATCCGGTCGCCCTTGCTCATGTACCCGGAAGTGCATTCTAAAGCTATACTGGCCATGTAAGCCTTTATAATACCTGTCGTCAAGCTGTTGGAGAACTAGGACCAAGGGAGACTCTTTCGTTAGCTTGATGTGGAATTTCTCGTTCCACTTCGCTTTCCAAGGGACCTCTACGCCGATCCATCGCTGACAGCATCGCCAATCAGGATCTCCAAAGAGACGGGTCCTATCGAAGTGTAGGTACTTCTCCAGCATATCCTCGTAGGTAATCCAGAAGACGGAGTCGTTTCCAAATTGGTGGCCAAGCTCCTCTTTAACGTCGTTGTTCCACTCTTTAGAACCATCCGACCATGGGCCTTCCCAGATACCTTTACGTGTTTTACCCCAAGGGTTACTAGTTTTCCGTTAGTTGGCGCATTCATACGTATAACATTTTTGAAGGCCTTACCGAAGCTTCACGAGCCTCTGCCCGTTTTTCAGTGTTCTGGCATCCATTACGACATAGGCGTGACCCTCCTTAATTCCATTACGATCACCATAACCGCCGTCGAGCAGGCCAGTAGAACAGCCGAAAAGAAACTCCTTGTTCACCTTACAGATTTCTTCCTCCCAAAAGGCATCAACATCGAGAATATCAGACGCCAAAAGCTCGGTAGTAACACCACCGGAGAGATCTTCCAATCCCTCACCGATCCAACCACCCGCAAGCGAGCCGTAATCTCCGTGAGCCTTAGCGTATGCCTTCTCAATCAACGCAACCCAGGTTTCATGCTGGTCTTTGCATTGTCCGAAGAATAAAGCCTTGGATCCCGTCTGGTAGGTCTTTCGGTATACCTTCTCGGGTTCATCACGGTCGATTTGCTGTAGCATCTCGCGCTGCATACTTGGTGAATCCCAGCATGGCGAAGTAAGATACAGCTTATCATCGATGATGGAATAGATCCATTCACCGTCGCGGTAAAAGACGAAACCATAGATACCGATACCTATTATCTCATATAAGTGGAATGATGCGGGGCATAACGTACAGCCGGGAAAACTTACGAGTATCGTATTCAACGCAAATGCGCTTGATTCCATCTTCGACATTGGCAAGCGCACTCAAGCTCGCAATAAGCCAGCAGTCGCCAAGCGCTCCTTGCTTGACGTCACCAGCGCTGATGTCTTTCAAGAAGGTGGGCTTCTCGAAAATCTCGTGCACTCTCTTGACAGCTTTCGGAACCGATGTATTGGTGCTCAATCTAGAGCTTGTGAGATCGAACCTACGCGATCCTAGGTAATTGAGACAGTTCCCCTTAAGCCACTTAAGATCCCAATCCTAGTAATAGCGACAGCGGTTAGTATGGATACGTTTGCTTCCAAAAGGAATAAATGGAGGCAGGACCCACCAGATCGAAGCCCGGGTCTCTGTAGCGTGTATTCACCCGCTTGCATTCCGCGATGATCTTCTTCACTTTCCTCGAACATTCATCTCTGGCGCGTTCGTACCCCGCAGACAGGAGCTCGTTGGGGCGCTCGGGGGTACTTGGGAGAGGTACGGGGTCGAAGGGGAGAACCGCAAGGGCCTTGGTGAACTCTTTGGTAGTAAAGCGTCTCCATATCTTATTGATGCTCTGTTGCGGTGGGGGCTTGCGCTTCTTCTTTTTCTTTTGGTTTTGGGTACCGGTAGTAGTGGTATTGGTTTTACGCGGAGGCTCGTCGGATTCACTGGAGGAGCTATACCCGAATCTGGTGAGGTCTCGACGGGCCGGGGGCCGAGACATGATGATGATTGGTAGTTTCGTTTGTGCTACCAAATATAGCGATTCAACTTAGAAATACTACTTATAAACCTTCGTAAACCTCGGTCAAAGCCACAATCTGTCCTATTCGACAATTAGCTCGGCACGAAAATACAGAAAGCAGGTCTCGGATGGAAAGATTGGTTACACACAATGGCTGGGTGCGTGCTTGGAATACTTGAAATACGCCTACACACACACTATCGGAGACTTACTCTACCACAATAAAATCGAAAAAAGTCGTGCGCGGGATAGCAGAATTCAGAACGCCTAACTCCAGGTAGGTGTTCTAAGGGTAGAAGAAGAAAACAGGACGCCTTTCTAGTTTACAAACGAGGCTGGTATTACCTCGAAAGTAGTAATAGGGCGTAAGCATGAACAGGCGGAGGGCATGCAGATTTAAAGGAAGTACGCAGAACCACTCACCGACAATGAGGCAGAATGGTTACCTACATAAGAGCCTCGAAAAAGGCAAGGACCCATACGTCGGAATCGCCTATGCCTGCCTATTGACTACCACGATTGGGTGATTGCCCCCTGTACGAGATTGACAAGGCGCATCTCGCGCAATTCTCCTTAGATACGTGGGGAAAGCACCCATTCCGACGACTAGGTACTTTGCTTTAGTACACTTGTACGTGCAACAGTCGAGTTACACTGCCTATCAGATACTTCCAAGATAGGCACGCACTAGGTAGCAAACGAGAGGAAGCCTAGAGGCTGGCCGTTAGGGTTCCAATTGCAAGGCAAGGCTTGGGACTTGGACCGTGCAAAGAAGCTGAACAGGGGTTCAGATCCGGCGTGCCGATTAACGATTCACCGCACTCGCGCAAGGCGCACAGACACGGTATCTATACAATTTTAGCGGCAATAACTACTGTCCGCCTGCAGAAACGGCTGCCTCTCGTTGGGGGAATTTGGACCCTTGTTGTGGGACGACGGAGCGATCATCGGTGGGGATAAAGTGCCAACTAAAAAGTAGACAAGCAGATCCAGGATCGCCAGGGTCCCCTCAAAGGGTTTCCCCCTCCATTATCTAAAAGGGGGGTTTCGAAATATGAATTAGCAGTCCCTAGACCGCATGGCCAGCAAACTAGTTTCACCTGCTAAATCGTTAGCTAGGCTGAAGAGCTTTCTAGACCCCTAAAAAAACACAACACTGTATAATAAATACAGTATCCCAGAGAATCGGTAACACAGATCCGGTGTGGACGTGTACCTTGACGAATACAACGTACGAGGGCATGAATGCGTGATGTCGAAATAGTCCTAGTCCGCCCAGACATGCATTCGGCTCTTCCTAATAGGAATATATAGCACGGTAGAAAAGTAATAAGCGAGCGGACGACGAAAGCCTTGCTTGCTTATTATTACTCACAGGACGCCCGGGCCAATCGTTTTATGGTCTCAGTGATCGTCATTCGTCAGCAAAAGGTCGGGTGACAGCTCCTCGCATTATCTCGACATCCTGTTGCTTGCGGATGCAACAGGCAGCCTACCTCTAAGCCGCAAATTAAATCATGAAAAGACCCCAGACTTCCGCATCAGAGAATTCGTAAAGAGCATCCGATTTCTCAGCTGAAGAATGCTTACTTGTTTACCTGCCTGTCTGCTTATTCTCCCCACAATATTCGGACCATTATCATCACGGGGCTTGCAAATCAAGTAGTGGAATAACTCCCTGCCCGTACTGTAGATGACGCATCTGTATAATCGGCAGCACGAACCAATCAGTTAGGGCCATGTAAGTTGACGTCTGCACCAAAACGGGCACATGAGCGAAGAATTGGTATGGCACCACAAGTCGAGGGAGAGCATTGAGACCACTTTACTTGAGTCCACATTCGATTCGTCCTCCAACTTCAAAATCGACGTCTACGGTGCCACGGCCAAGTGCTGTAGACCCAGCACGACATCCGCGCTTCCAGTGCCACGAGTCAAGCGCCGAGCGCTAGTCCACGCAAGACCCGTGGGCCGTCCCCAGACTTAGTTGAATCTTGAACGACGGCGGGACTTCCGTCCTGTCGGGAACAAGGATACCTACATAAACCCATCAATTCTTTTAGGGGCGCCGTAACCTCCCTTTTTTTCTTTTTAGTTGTTAGTTACGATCACGACTGTGAATCCCGCGCACGAGCTGCTGTACCAGGTTACACCATGCAGCATAACTGATCAAGCAGCGAACATTGAAAAATGCAAGTGCAGCAAGGCGAGTCGCGCGTATTCATTCCCAATTGATAAGGGAGGCCGTAAAGGTAGGTAGTATTATCCTCATGTCCGATGCCTGGCTGCGACGGCTACAATATTGGGGCATGTTAGTAGATCACGACGGGTAATTGTTTGTGTTCTATCAAATAGCAACCATCTTTTGGAGTTCTGGGCCGTCTAGTGCGGATTTGTTGTAGTTTCAAAAATAGAGATTAACGGCGATCGTCCCGGGTCGGCTGCTGGCTAGAATACACCATTAGTGGTTGTGGCGTGACATTGATACCTCTTGAAGCCTATGAAGGCAAAAAAAGAAGAAAACTGAGAACTAGACGGGTCCTCAGAAGGAGATGCCGAAAGCGGCGACGCAACGCAATCTCGAGCCGAGTCAGCTTGGGTAGTAGTCTGGATTGCCGATCAGATCAGCGAATATCCACTTGGCGCAGCCAACACGGAATTAAAATCGATAAGGGGGCATGCAAAGCCAAGTAATTTCTTCTTTGTACTCCGTCTAGGTAATTTAGGTCCAACCGGACAGAGATGCCGTCTTTAAGAAATGCATAACGGCGCACAGCAAAATTAGTATAGCTGCCGCCGTGGGTCATGTCCGGACGACGGATGATCTGTCACAAGTATAGGGAGCGGACTTACACATGATAGGGTTCGTGAGACAGCTATACGTGTAGGGATCTTTCTTGATGATCTGCGAGATACAGGGACATTGACCGGTTTCGATTTTTTGCTCTTTGACTACAAAATTGCCGAACCAATTGCAAGGCTTCACATCTCCAGGATATTGGCCGGTGCATACTGCAGAAAGTATGTCTTATTCAAATTTAAGACCGCGGACATACAATCCTAATTCTTCCAATGGCGTTCATGTATTAGTAGCGCCGGAGAAACAAGTAGTAGTTTCGTTCCTACCTACCTGGGTACCCCCTATCCATTCTTTTCGGAGCCTCATGTACCCCCGCTGTCCTGTTGGTAATAATTGCATCTGCATATTTCCCCCAAGCTGTGTGTAGACGGGTCAGAATAGCATTTTCAACAATTTCCTGGAAGACAATAAAGCCGCAAATTGAGGCTGGCTGGTAGACCAATAACCTCCAGAGGATGTCAGCACACCCTCCAACGTGCTCGTGTGGTGTTCGGATATCATGGTCAATTGCAACTTATGGAGAATGCGGCGGGATAACAAAGCAAGATGGCACTGAAGAGTCCTCTGCTTTGTCAAACAAGAACCAGTTATAAGTGCAACTAAAAAATAGAGTTAGATGAATGGGACTGAGACATCATTTATCAGGTGCGTCTAATAGGTTACATAATACAACATGATACTCTTGGAAGGAGGCACCACCAAAATTCAGCAGCCGCGATATACTATTCGTTTAGCGTAATAGTAATACTCGGGAAAGTTGAAGTCAAATGTGCACCTGAGTACCTAGGTACGTTTTGAGCTTATGTACCTAGTATTGAGTTTAAATATGCGCGATATGGTTGTGGACTTACATACATAATGTAATCTATAGGGGCTCAAGGCTATAGCATCGTAAGCTCACTCCGCTATACTACGGTCTATTACCTAGAAGGTCACTTAGGGCGTTGGTTCTACATACTACCTGGGTAGTACCTACATATAGTATGTAGGTAGGTACTCAGGGGGTTGATTTAGACACCCGCAGGACTAGATGTAGGAACGTACATATGTAAGTTAGGTCCCTACCCGGTGATAGGTCTAGAGATGCATGGGCAAGCTGAGGGGGAAGACAATACCCCGTGTAGATTACCATGTAGGTAGTAGACGAATTAGTGAAACGTAAGCCTAGAGATATATATGCCCTCTACTATCATACTACATTTTGAAGGTTCCCGTGCCGTCCTCTTGCGAGGCTTCCGGAGTTTCAAATTCTAGCCATACATCCGAGACATTTATTTTTGCAGGCAAGTCGAGTCGCTAATGACACTGAATGGCCCTAGCATCACATGTCATGATATTGACAGACCCTATGCAAAGAATCCAAGCTGAGTATATATTAAAAGATGTAAAATTTTAGCAACCAAATACCATCCCTAAGAACGCCACATAGCTCGAAGCATTGCTGCAGAATCTATGGTTTTTATGTAAGTAGCATGTTAGATATCCATATGCTCGGAATACCAACCTCACGCCCTGTGAAGGACAACCTTTTCTTTACCGTCATGCAATAACATAAGTGCCCCGGCTTTTTGAATGAAGAGAAATAAATCAGTCAACTCCGCTAAGTTTTTTCCTTTTTCCTTTTCCGGTACCCAATCCTTTTTTGTTGTAGCCCAGTTACGCAAGTACCACCACTTCAGGCCACTAGTCGCCAGGAATCCCTTCTACGGGAGGCCTGAGCCAGCACGCTGTAAGAGTGGGCGATCATCAATTCGCCGTTCATCGATGCTAGCGTCGTCGTCTTCTACCACCTCATCATCGACATCTCCCGAATCATCATTGCTGTATATGAAGAATTGGACGAAGATGCCCAAATCCAACAGTAGCGTACCAAGGCTACCAGCCAACCACGAGGAGTTGACTAATATATACCTTCCATATATCCTTCCTGCTTCGCCAGCTTCACAGTGGGACTTAGCGCAATGTGGTTCATAAGCGAAGATCGAAAGGACATATGTCAGATTACCCAGGCAAGCAAACAGGAAGAAGAGGATACTGACCCCCTCCGTTGATTTGCGACGCCAATTGAGTAACAATTGTGGGAGTCGTGAGCCGAGATAAAGAATAGCGCATAGCCACCCAAATATTTGTCCCCAAAGATCAAAAGATGGAAGACCCTCGTCTGCGGGTGATTCGGGTTGGCTGTTTGAGTATTGCCTGCTAAGTATCCACCCAACAACACCGGCCACACAAACCATAACGACGGCAATCAAGTTCCATATGGTCGATTGTAGTCTCGTAGGTGGGGGTGGGGGAGTTGCCGGAGCTTCCGATACCAATGGCACAGCCGGACTTAAATGATTCCATCCACTGTCTCTTCGCTCCCTCTCATCCAAGTGGCCGTCAAGCAATCCCGTCCTCTCCGTTGGTTCGCCGACGACAGCAGCATGTGTTCGTTTTGGTTGGGCTGGTGGGAGTTCATCCTTCCATGTGAAACCCTTGTAGTAGAAGCATTGCGCGAGGAGGACGAAGTCGGCTATCGTGTAGTAGATGGCTAGGATAAGCATTGTCGGTAGGACCCCCTGAAGAACGGCGCCAAGGATATTGAAGACATCTCCGAGTAACCAGAGGATGATGAATGGAACGGACAGGCCATCGGCGGAGTTTCGTCGGAAGTTTTCTATGATTTGAGGGGAAAATACTACAACCCAAGCCGCAATTGAGATGGACCTATAGTAGACAGAGGAGTAATATCAGCGTGGGATTCGTAGAAATCAACTATGATTCTTACCCGCAGATACCTGATATTGCCTCGACATCTAGGTTTAGAGGCGCCGTGGGAGGCGCCATTCCGTCGTATAGTAAGAGTCAAGGAGGCGAATGGTAGTGTAACGAGATCGACGCTAAGGAAACTGGCAGATCGGATATCTTGTTATGATTCCATATAGACGTAGGAAATATCTTAGTAGAGTGCTGTTGTTCCTCTAGTTAAGTTGAAATAGCAATTGAAAATAGTAATATTTGATTTGAAATTAAAATATATAAACATAGTAGACCAACACAAAAAGAAAAGAGACAAAAACAAGATGTTTTGCGAGAGCAATTTTTCATGAGATGATGGGGCTGGAAGATCGCGCCAGTGCCCTCGGAACATTAAACTTTATCCACTAAACGCCCTGGATTCATCAATGCTGGTACCCCCGATGACGCTGAATGTCGCTCCACATTCATGCGTTCTGCGGGGGGAGAGAACTCTTTATAGTTTGAATACAGTGCTGAGTAGGGCTGTGGCTACACACCTAAATTTTATTTCATTCGATCCTCGTCTTGAAACATTTAGGCAGACTTGAAAATGCTTCAGATATAAATCAGCGCGTTGCTTGATACTCAACTCAACTTGGATACTGAACTTATCGTATTTCAAGGTTTGCTCGAGGATTCAGATCATTCTATATAAAACACGACCAGTTCCTGCAGGCACTTAAGGGGTAATGTACCTAAGCTAAAAAGGTAATACCTTGAGTCCGCAAACACCGTCCGTCGGCTTCGGTCATTTGGCTTCTAAAATGGCTAATCGCAGTTATGTACCTACTAACCAACTACCTAACCTAGGTAAAATGTATTGCTAATTACTCATCACCATATCGCGATCACAATGAACCCCACTAATCCAACCCAATCCACCGTCTTAGACACTGAGTCTTTTAGCATTGGTAATGTAGAAATACGTCCTAGATTAATCAGCGAATGCCTAAAGACCGATATGTAATAGCTAAGCGCCGTCGGCTTACTCGTTATTGAACTCACCGTCTCACAATCTTTACAATATTCATGGCCTAAATTAATTCCGCTGCTTCTGTGGTTACTATTTCTATAAGGTCAAGTTTCTTTATATCATCGGCTGTGTGAGCTGCAACAAGGCGGGTATTATCATGTCAAACTCGCAACCCGAAAAGAAACCCCAAGACGTAATGGGATCGGCGATTCCAGACCTCCCAGTCCTCGTTGAAGACGACTCGATGCTGTCGAGGAAATTCGGCCGCGAGGTCGCTAACTATTTCAGCGGTAGCCCGTTAAATCGGGTTTCATTCCTAAGGACGGATTATGGTTTCCTGCGCGCCGCATTCGCTCACCACGACGCTTCGTTCTTGCTACTGAACAACCTGTCCCCTCTTACTAAGGATGCGGCGAATTTGGCGTATGTCAGTAGAGATGTTGTGGTACCGCTGACAGGAGAAGAACCATTCAAAAATTCGGAAGAGGAGCAACTTAAGGATTTCAATTCGGCTATTACGCAGCCTATTGTCTTGTTCCTCGGCATTGATGAAAAGAAGACCGGGTTACAGTACCGTGATTACAACGGCAAACCATATTTCGCAGTTGATATTACTCCGAAAGGCACTATTGCGGAGAAAGCTACTAGCATCGTGGATATTGTGAAAGCGAGTGGCGTCTCATTTCTTGATGGGAGGAGGCTTATGTCTCTAAATGCCCCCGAAGGTATGCACTATTCGATTTAATTCACGGCGATATCTCAAACTTACTGGTAAAACAGCGGCGATATATGCGGAAGCTCGTGCGTTGCTAGATTGGAACAGCAGAAATCCCTTCTGTGGTGGCTGTGGTCAGCCAACTACGTCTATCAATGCCGGATGGAAACGAGTTTGTCCGCCAAGAGATTTAGCGGGTGTACCCGAGGGTGGCGAACCGAAAGAACGGGCGGACTGTCCTACACGGCACGGTATTAGCAATCTGTGCTTCCCGCGTACAGACCCGACCGTCATCATGGCGATAGTTTCAGCCGATGGCAACAAACTTCTGCTTGGTCGAAACAAGCGGTTCCCTCCTAACTGGTACAGTACGCTTGCCGGATTCCTCGAACCCGGCGAGTCTATCGAAGAAGCCGTCCGTCGTGAAACATGGGAAGAAAGTGGTGTGACGGTAGGCCGCGTCGTGATCCATAGCTCACAACCGTGGCCCTACCCTGCAAATTTGATGATCGGCGCCATAGGTCAGGCGGCTCCTGGCGGCGAGACGATACATCTTGGTCACGACGAGGAGCTCACTGATGCTAAATGGTATACGTTAGACGAAGTGACAGAGGGTATAGCGAAAGGAGTTAGTGGTCTTGGAGAACCCGCCCCGGAAGGCTATAAAGAGGGTGGTTTAAGATTGCCACCACAAACGGCCATTGCTAACCAGCTGATACAAGCTGTCCTTAAGGGTTATTTGGATGTGGTGCCGAAGATCTAAGCCTTCAGGAATGATATGTTATGATGATGAAGGTTGCATGTTGTTCACGAGCGAGGAGTCCGGTGGTTGGTGATGAAGTTTAGATCGGGGAGTGAAGATATGATATACATCGATGCATATAAAGGGGAAGAACTATGGTAAAGAGCATAGAATATTTAAACAGGCGGCTAAATTGACCAACTATAGACATCAATGAGCTTTGGCAGATCTGTAGTCTAAAATGTATAGAGCTTGAATATCAGGAAAGATGATGGCTTCCTTAGTGTACTTGATACCTGCTCCGTACCTATCTTGGAATCGTCAATCGAATGCACCGCTACTACACGTAGGTAGCAAGCGTCTCGGCTGGAACTGTGTTGTTTTCCGTCCGTAGCAAGCAAACCTCCTAGGCTTATGAAGAGCTTTTTTTCATTTTCTTGGTAGTTCTTCCGTACGTTTGTTATATGAGCGGACGGTGCTAGGCGAATGGTGGAGCCAGTGGCAGGAAAAAAATTGAGAGAAAAAAAAAAGGAAGGAGGTACGGAGGTACAGATCCAAATTACACCGTGGCACGTGCACTTTCCAGGAATGCCCCACTTCCAATGGGCCTTTAAATAAATCTCTGCGCGCTTCAGACTTTAGAACTTTTCTTCTTCTTTTCTTTCTTCATCATCAGTATGGGTTAAATCTACATCGTCAAATGTTTATTTAATTCTAAATGGAGGCTCCACTACGGTGGCTTGCTGAGGGTTATCATCACCATTCTCCATGGGTTTCCTTCCGTTCCCGGCCTCCTTTATCGACTTGAAAGCGCCCTTCCCAATCAGCCGCCGACGCCAGCTCCTCCTGGTTCGCGACTGTGGGGTGTTTCCTACATCCATATTTCGAGTTTCTCGTTTTGTAGACAGTTAGACATTTTATGCATTGTGTGTTGTAATGGGCAATTGGAGCAAAGGCAGGAGTCCTGGTCTCATTTAGAATTATCGTAAAGTGTGCGCGCGAATTGCTATAGCCACTGACGATGGCCTTCGTAATTTGAGCAATTCGTAATTGGTCGCTACTTATGTCATAGATCATGGATTTAGCCGATTCGTAACGCTTTAACTTACCTTGATGTTAATTGGTAATGCCATTTTGCGCAAATTTACGAATCACAAGCATTGAAAAAAGAAAGGAAAAATTAGACTGGGAGGTTCGGTATAATTTACTATCTGAGTGCCAATGCCATGACTAGAATCTGAATGCTAGCACTACGAGGACTACATCCTCCCATACTCCAATATTTTGTGTGGTGTCGCGTCTAGTAGAGGCGCTTAGGAGGAGACATGGTAGCCTTGATGGTTAAACTACCAACGTTCTGCCAGCCCTTCTTCAACAACGAAACAAGGTAGTTGATAGCCAACATGATGTTGCCGACGAGCTCATCCTGGGTCATGCCAACGTTTCCGACGGCAACACCCATGCAGAGAACCTTCTTCAACTGGAACTTGATCGTAGACTTGACCTCGTTGATCTTACCGGTAAGATCGTCGGAGTGCGAGACGGGGGTAGGGAATTTACCAGCTATAGTTCGATAATCAGTATGTAATTATGACATGTATCAATGGATTCGCGCTTACCCTTGGAAAGACCGGGACCCAAGAGACGAGGGATCTGCTTGATCAGAGCCTCAGAAGCGACGAAAGCATCGTACTTGCGAGCAAGCTTCTTGATGAGCTTCTTGTTCTTGTTAAGCTTCTTCAAGTCGTCGGCAGACATAGCATCAACACCGCCATGCTTGGCACGGTCAAGATCGTGCTGGTCACCCAAGATGCTGTATCACATAATTCAATTAGTCGCTGTCGTTTGCAATTGTTTATTCGGATTGGATGCCATACCAGATGCTCAGGTTGGGGCGGGGGATGGCGGGTAGCTTGATGGTACCCGAGAAACGCTTGTCACGCTGGGGGTCGTAGTTCTTGAGGCCGATCTGGAGCTCGACGGTCTCGAGGAAGTTACGCTTCTTGGTGTTGAGGGAGTAGTCGAGCAGTTCGCTGACGTTGGAACGCACTCCGGCTGTAGCGGGGTAGAAATGTCAGTATAGGTTCATCACGGGCGCTTTTATTTTAGTATGTGGTATAAAACATACCGACTGTGATTTTAGACATGATGACAGTCTTCCAATAGAGATTCTCTAATGGTGAGGATTATTGCGTTCGTGGTTAGTGAATTGGGGAAAGTGATGTCGATTGCGACTTTGGTTGATGGAGAGGAAAGATTTTAAATGATTTTGTGAATTTTGCACTACGCACTTAACTTTTGGGGGCTTTGTGGGCTGTCGACCTAAATTTTAGTGGACCACTAGCGTAATCTTAGCCACATATGTACAGTTATCGCCGAACCTTAGGATTTCTCAATACTCGGTGTGACTCAAGCAGCAGGTATTACCTGGGTATCTGTTGAAAACCTTATAAAATAAGTTCGCAATGGCCAAAATCAAAACGACGCATTGGCAGTTCTTGCCCTCAGATGAATTGAGGATACCCAATATTGTGCATAGGAAGGTACATGTACCGATTTTTCAGCCACGCGCTGCACCTGTACGCATGATTAGTGAGGTCGGAACTTCGGACTTATCACTTATCCTGCCACCTTTGGACACTTGTGAACTTCACGTATTCTTCCTTCTTTCGGTATTCCTATTCAGTAGTAATATTAAGCCACAGAACGCCAAAATAAGGAGCCATGTCATCGATTACCTACCTACATATGTAGGTACTTGACACCTACTCTCGGATCCTGCAGCCGCGAGACATCCTTTGAAAGGTCAGTCGGGGATTAGAATCCCTGTGCCTCTCTGATTCTGGCTGTCTGGATCTTGAGGGACAAAGGCGATAGCGATATGTCTAGAAGCGCATTTGGGGTTTCTCATTGCTACCTCCCATGAAACACGATGGAGCGCCAACTTCGTCAGTGGCTAGCTGCCGCGGGTTCGGTCCATTGTTGGTACAACACTCACCCGATGACGTTTCAATCTACGTTTCTCAGATAGATACCCGGCTCGGACTTGTTCTATCACATCCATTCCCCCCCATTGAGCGCACCTCCTAGATTATGGTTACCATTAGATGAGGGTTTTCAACTTGGGCGAAAAGCTATTGTGATACAACCCTCATTCCTCGAGGCTAATCCAATTGTCGGGCGAGGATTGATACAATCTACCAACCTCAACTCCTAGAATGGCGCAATTTCGCAAAAACGCCTAGCAATGCCAATGCAGTTCTATCCCTTGGACCTACATCGTTTTCGTGTCACCCAAGGCATCAACGTCTAAGGACATCTTCGCATTGGATAATAAGCCAGTAGAGACTCGGTTTTATGTACCTACCGCCAAAATCGTGAGTGCGGACTAGCTCTTATCAATCAGGAGGAAGCAGATAACGTTAACATGAAGCGTTCTGTCGCGCTTCCTCCTGCAGTGCGACCAACGATCCATCAGCAAGTTTTAGTTCGCCTTCGATAATTCTGGGGGTAGTTGAGATGGTGATTTTCAAATCCTGAATGCCTTGCGAAACGCCACTTACCTGTACTCTGCGACCGTTTAATGTAACATCACGGAACAACCCTTGATTATGTAAATCAAGGTGTGATGTGAGTATCGTAATCGGAGTTGGGGTTCTGGCTTAAGGATCGACTGCATTCCAGCTAAAGGATCTCGCTATTTCTTGCCGTATGATTTAACCTGTCATACAATCGCTTCAACACATCGAATTCCAGGTATACATACTAACCTCAACGCCGTCATATAGATACAATATCTACCTAGGTACGGAATGTGATTCCGTCCAAGCTGGGGACTATCTAAAATATCGTTGCCTTTTTGATGAGACCGGGTGCTAGATAGGCACCCCTAGGTTGACATGGATACTCCCATGCAAGCCATATGTAACTTGCAGCATCTCCGCTCATCTATATGTGAGCGAGTGATCCGCCCCCCCTTTCCCCAGATGTTACCTTTCGGTCCCCGTGTGGTGGGGGCAGGGGTTGTAGGGCTCCCAGTACAAGAAACACAGTAGCACTCATGACTGTCCCGGGCCGTTTCTAAGCAGAGGAATCTGTCTGGGCGATCCCCGATGGCCCCGAGAACTGTGCTCGAAGACCTCATACGCAAGTATGTAGTCAACCTCAAATGGACGGTCATAGCCCCATGTCTACCCTCACTGAGTTGAATCCGGTATCTTTTTCTTGAGTTTTAATGGTACACTAGACATGGTCGGAGTGTCTGTACGCTATACTGACTTCGTTATTTTGAGCGTCAAGCAGACCTTAATTTTTCACGTATTATGACATATTCTCCCTCAATCCCATAAGTAACTCCTTTTTCCCGTCGATGTTGGTCGACTCCAAGGCGATCAAAGCCCTGATCGGCTGTAAGACGCCTGGCCCCCTACTAAATGGCCGTACATCGATGCGAGGTTCTTCGATAATTAGACCCCAAGACGCCTTACGGCCTGAAAATATTCATATCGTTGAATATCAAAATGCAACTGCCTCCTCCTTCGGTTATTGCCAGCTGGCCAACGCCCAATTATGTCAACCCGGAAACGAGAGGTCATCTAGGAATGGTAGTTGGCCTCTTACTTTCTGGGCTTGTTACGATTACTCTAGCGATTCGATTATACGCTCGAAAGTGGCTAACACGAGGCTTCGCGCTCGATGATATCTTCATATTGTTGGCATATGTAGGTCTAATGATTATTCTCGCTATACCTAGATATACTTAGTGACACTCGATAGTTTCCTACCACGGCATTTACGATAATCGGCGTTGTTGCGGAAGAAAGCCTCCAGTGGAACAGACATAGTTGGGATGTTGAAAAGAGGTTCATCGTCCCAGGTTTACAACTAACGTAGGGTGTACCTACTATAATAACTGATGTATAGGCTAATGATTCTCAGTCTTGCCAACGAAATGCTATTCGACCTAGCAACAAATTTACTAAAATTATCGATACTCACACAGCTTTATCGGCTTATGGCTGCCACAAGTGCCCGGAAGATGACTATTGCTGTGCTGGTGTTGATGGCAATCATTAGTCTCGACTTTTTCGCCTTCATTATGGTCAGCATACTTCAATGCACGTACGTATATCAAAATATGAAAAATAAAAAGGAGTAATCTGACAAGCATTAAGGCCTTTATCAACATTTTGGGAGCTCTCGCCCGGGCCCCAGAATTGTATCAACCAAAACGCGCATCTGATAGCTACTAATATTATCAATACCGTCACGGACTGGGTTGTAGTGATTCTCCCAATTGGAGCCGTGCTTAATTTGAGCCTACCTACCAAGCAACTCAGTATTATCATCGTCCTCTTTGGTGTTGGTATACTTGCGAGCTCCGCGGGGATCGCAAGAACCTATTTCTCATGGATGTTGACTGTTAATTACGATAGCGCCTGGATCTATTGGTTGACGTGGTTCTGCAGTGCTATCGAGCTCAACCTTGGTATAGTAGGTGTATATATATCCATTTATCTGTCTATGGACAAATTTCCGCTAACATGGTATGAAGATATGCGCGTCAATTCCTGCCACGAAACCGTTCTTTGCTAATTACCTCCCAAATTTATTCGAAACCACAATCAGGGCACGTAGCTGGACTATAGATTGGGAAAGAAAGCCGTTGACACATTCGCAATCTTTCACGACTTTTATCGATCAGTCATCATCATCAACCTTCCTACCGCGACAGCCTACACCACTTCATACCCATCACCGAGGCAGTGATCTCAACAAACCGCTACCTCCTATTCTATACGACCAACATACCGGCCTTGAAAAGCAACCAGAACGCTACGCAGAGCCTAGATTTCACTCTAGCTTAACGGGGAGCCCCCTATGGCGGCGCGAAGGTGTGAGATTTAGTGATAACCATGGGCTTCCGGCTCAAAGTAACTTGCAGGCATTAGATCGAGCCACAATCTTGATCATGTACCGAGGGGACTCAGACCAGGGGCCTATACGGCAGTTGCCAATTCGTGCTTCGACAAATTGAGTCCAGGGGGGATACACCCAGTCGACAGGCTCGCGCCGTCATCTACGAAGCCCACCTACACTCTGCGGGATCAACGGAGTGAGGCATTTTAACAATATTGATGCATATCGTGCAGATCAACTGTATTATTCAGGAAATACTATGGCCGTAATTTTTTATTCACTCGCTTCGCGGCTTCGGACAATATTCTCATCAGGAATGACTAGATCTAATTCGGATTCGCAACAACGCGACTCAATTATTTTGTCATAGATGTACAGCTTAGATGGATAATTACTATGAAGGTACCCACTTTCGTTCACGGAGGCCTAGAGGATTTTTGGTTAACCCGGCTTATTTTATTTTTTTCCTCCTTTCTCTTTTTCTCTTCTTATTTACGGTCTCGTCTTCACCTCGGGGTTTCGGGTGGATGAAGGGGCGGAACCAGGAAAATACCGATCATTTACATCCAAGCGTACATCAGTCATTCATATTCCATACTTCGTCATTATTTTCATCTAGGCAGTTAAGGAATAGGGGTATAGATTTCTACTACAACGCGCCAAAACAGACAAGAGACGTCACATTGCAGAGAAACATTTAGGGGAATATTGAACACAAAAGAACCTTGATCGACCCCTCTACATAAGATCTACGATGTGCGACTCCAAAGACACCACAGACATCAAATAGAAGAATACCTCATGTGTGCGCCAATCAAACAAGCTATAAATAGGAATGTTCCACCGATCAGCGTAGTAATCGGGAATCGAAATGTGTGTATGGGGTTGTAGTTTAGGATTCAATGTTTGAAACAGGATCCGAACTGGTGGGGAGAGCTCCTTGATTGCCGAGCCTCCCATAACCGCATTTTCATGACAGCCAAAAAGCAATACGACTGCTTATTTGCTTTACATTTGAATACTACCTCGTGCTAGTGGCGGCGCCGACGATAGTTTGTCTTATTTCCCTATCTACAGATTAAAGTGATCTAGTCTCAAGTTCTGACCGATTGGTGCTTCTCCTCGGCGCTGGTTTCTGTGTTCACGGCCCGAGTCTCAAGATCTAAGGTTACACCAATTTGTGTGCAGATAGTCATCGTTAAGCCATCATTCGATCCAAGGCTAGCGAGGCGCCGCGATCACAGACTTCTATATTCATGCGTGACTTACTTTTTCAACATTACCTTACCGTTCGGTCCCGAAATACCGGGGCCCAAGAGAATATTGGCGTTCCTTAAACATGCTATAATCGTCAGCCGATAGTGGCTGTCGCGTTTCTCGGTTTCGGTGCCGTGGCGTCTTTGATATTGTGCAGTGGGCGTAAATATGCGATGAGTGATTTCTTAATAAGCAGATATGTTATATATGTAAGGTCCTTATCGTGTAGTGGCTTTTACTGTAACTTCTCTTAGTGCAGGTGGTTGAGAGATGGTGGTAGAATGAAACCCAGGATCATGAAGCAGCTTATTGGAATTCACAATGATGATGATCTAGAGTCCCATGAAACGTACTGTGCGATCACGTATCCGTGTTTATGTTCCCTTCCGTTTCTTCCGTCCACTAATTTCCTATCGAGCATCTCATTCTGCCACCTCTGTCCTCAGGCCGCGTTCATTTCATACGAAACTTCCGGATGCCACATTGGTTAAGATAACGACACACGATTAATACATAGACAAAATTCCAATCCAAACCAGAGTCATTTTGACTACTTAGCTACTTTATCTATCTACAAAGGAAAAAAGACGGTCAGTCAAGGCTATCGAAAATACACCAAATGTAACTTTCCATGCCGGTCCTAATATCCTAAATTATCAGAATTCTAAACAGAGCCATGCTAAGCTAGGTCCAATATTCAATAACCAGTGCAATGGCGGGTGCCATACAATCAGGCCACCTGTAACAATAAATGTCTATATCTATCTATCTTGTAATCAAGAGTCATCAACCATTGACCACCTGGGCAATGGCGTTTCGTAACATCCACCGCAGACAACTATAATAGCTGACATGCCCTCTCCTGTGGCATCTGTCTCCGTCCTCTCAGGTTAAAATATCCTGGATCAACTCTCCCCACGCCCTTGGCATGTCTTCGGTCTGTTCAGGTTTCTATCCGGAAAACTCTACAATCAATGAGACGTAGCGCCGGTACCTATATCCTTAGGTCCAATGCCGGGCTCGGCTCGGTGGTGGTTTTCCACATAATCCTCACGGAGCCTGCTGGCCAGCAAAAGCTTCCGTCGCGGTGTCCTGACCGGTGGGAGTAGAAGTAAAAAAGTACGGAGTATGCACTTGCAAATTCCTTGGCTTGCTGAATCCTCTATGAACCGCAAGTTTCACTTTCTTTCCTGTAATAAATAAAGTTAGCTATGCTTCAAAAAGGATTGTATCTTGTTAACGCACATTTTTTATTCATTTAGCGAGAGTGGTGTCCGTGCGATCGTCTGTAGGAGTCCTGGTTGCTGGAACCCTTGTTGGATTGAAGCAACTTGTTGGAAATTCTCCCCATGGCTTGCAAGTGGTCCCGAGCCTCGGTGATGTGCTGCAAGTAGTCAAAGGCACTCGGGTCGTTGTAGTCCTGTAGGTAGGTTTGCAGAGCCTTGTGGTGCTGATGCCACTCATCTACCATGGGCTGTTCAGCGGCCTTCATGGCAGCCTCTTGTGCCTGAAAATGTCTGGAGGCATGCTTGCGGCTGCTGGTGCTGTCTACAGAGTCCTTGTTCTTTCGCTTCCGGCCCTTGGCCGAATGTGCGGAAGATCCATGTCCGGACGGAGGAGATCCGCTAATTTGGTTGAGGGAGTTTCCATTGTCATTGTGGACACGTCTCATGTGGTCCTTTAAGTTCCACTGGCGTGGAAAGCCATTTCCGTGGACAGCGCGATCACATCCTTCATATGTGCAGAGGTAGGGCTTGTCGCCGTGACCATGCATAGCGTGAGCCTCCCGCTCGTGCCTAAGAAGGCAGGCGGTCGAGGAAAACCGGGCATTCTCACATGACTCAATCTTGCATCGGTAAGGTTTGAGGTGAGAATCAACAAATTTGCTATGCTCTGGTTAGATCTGTGAGTATACATGAATTGTTGAAAGACTTACTCGTAGTTGCACTTGAGCTTCTCGGGCTTGTGGTTGCAACTAGTCTGGCCCTCCCATGGACAGTGGAAAAGTCCATCGGCCTTAGGGCAGGCTGACTTGTATAGCGGGTGGTCCCGGGCAGAAGACTCACCATCACCGCTGGAGCGGCGGGAGAAAGAAGGAGGCAGGGCAAACATGTCGTCGCCTAGAGCAACTCCATTGGAATCCTCTGTGGTCATCAAGCCCATCTGGCGATCGAGGCTGATGACGTTCTCTACGTCAGAGTGTTTCCGAATATTTTAGCATTCAGTTCAACATACCTAGGCGAAGTGCCGTCCATGACTGGCGAAGAATCGTTGGTTCGCGCGGGAGACGCATCCATGGGAACAGACCAATCTTCAGGGAGACCAGGGGTAGAAATCCGAGATTCAACAGGGCTCAGTGAGCTCCAGGTAGTAGCAGCGGGCGAATTGCCCGTTAGGTTAGACTCGAAGTTCAATTGCATCTGGGTAGGGTCGATGTGCTGCTGTGTCATTCCCGGCGTGAGCACGGCGGGAGAGTATGGGAGTCCATCCGAGGACAAGCCTACGCTCATGGGCAATGTTGGGTAGAACATCTGAGAGGATACCGAATGGGCATCCGAATCCTGGAAGAGATACGCGTCCATCTGTGGATTACCTGTCATGTCAAAATTGGACATGTGCGACACGGTAGAGAGCAGCCTCGGCCGACTCTTGTGTGCGGGAGCTTTGATAGTTCTGTTCTTGTGGCTTCCGGAGGAGCCTCGCGAGCTGATCCGTCGCATGGGCTCTGCGGCGGGAGCTTGGGCTTGCCCCGTAGCAATCCACTTGTTGGTCATGTCATCCACGGCTTCATTCTGGTCCTGTCCTCTGGGAGTAATTTGGCCATATGAAAAATGGAAATCATCCTCTCCATTGAAGTTCTGTGTTCCTTCTGCTGTTGTATCCCATACTGAACTATGGAGGTCTGTATGTCCCGTCTGAGAGTAAAGAAAAGATCCGTTGGAATTGGCAAGCATGTTTCCTTGGGAATAAGAGCTGTAGTCACTGAAGTTGAGGTTAGTGTTCTGTATTCCACTAGCCGGCGGAGAAAATCACGAAGATGCGCCTGAAATCAAGTACAAATGAAATGGCTTCAGCATGGCACAACTTTGTTCCTGTTTCGCAAAATTGGTTAGTTCTGGGCACGACTTTTGACAAATGGGGGTTGGGGCCTTATGTACAAACCAAGCTGTAAGTGTCCTATATAAATTGACTATCCAAGGGAGTAGGACCAGATAGTGACGATTGAGCACACATAATCCCATAAGATTGGATGATCCGGATAGCGACGCACGGGCGCGCAATGCGAAGATAGAAAAGAAATAGCAAAAAGATACGCAAGGAAAATCCGGCGAAAGAAAAACCAGGGAATTTCAGGGTAGGATAAGCCTATCAAAGCACGAAGATTTGATATGTTAGTCGACAAAACACGCGGTCAATCAGGTATGGAGCCGATGAAGTCGGTACACATGGCATACGTACTGCTGTCGAGGACGCGGTGAGATGAGCGAACCAGGTGTTGACATAACAGTTCCATGGGGAGTTGTGACTAAGGGTACCTCAGGGTCCAGGCAAAAATGGCACGGTAACTATACTGCTCCATGGGAAAGGGTTCCAGGGAAGGGGGAAGTTCATAGGTCCTTGCTGATGTTCACAGTCGAATTGTATTTGTCGTGTATCCTGTGCGGTTGCATGAAATCAAGTCTGGCCCCTATAGGTGTAACGAGTCTAAGTGTCGTCCCACAAGACCTACTGAATATGCGAGGCAACACAGCAGAAACGAGGGAAGCACCATTTGCGGTCCGGGAGAATGACGCTGGAATCCAGAAGCGAAGCAGATGACAAGAAAATCCATGGATCCTTCGAAATGACCATCCAGGGCAAAATCCGTAGTAAAACTCGCGTATAAGAGATCAATTCACATCCGGTCCGTGCAAAAAGGCTGGCTCTCCCTAGTTTGGCACAATGTAATACGTTCATTGGTATCCTGTAGTGATTCTATCCTGGGTTGCTGTTGTCACTTATTCTGCGTGGGCGATACTCACCGTTTGTCAAAAGAGACTGATGTCTGATAATTTCTGATTGCCCTCCGCGGGCATCTGAGAGACGTGGTGTTGGTCCAACCAGTAGAAACTGATTGCTCGCTTCAAATGAACGAAGGCGAGTCCCAGAAGAATCCTGGTAATAAGTCCTTGGAAGATTATCCTGTAGTGTCCTCTCGGTCCATTTCCTTGAAGAGTCCATTTTCCTTGGTCCGGCTTTGTCCTGTCCTGTATCCTGTCCTGGGTGAAGAAAAATCCTCGAGTAAAAAAAGTTCCTGGTGGAGCACAAAGCAAAGCACTTGCGATGAAGACGAACACAATGCATACATGATTTCCGAGCAACATGATTTAGGACGCCACTAAAAGCAGACCCCTTTTTGACTCCGGCAATAAGAAAAAAGAAAACTAAGAAAAAAACAATGCAATATACCTCGCAGGAGTGTGCACATCATCCATATCTAGAGATGAGTTGAAGCCAGACATGCTGTCCTGGCGGGAAGCAACCATGGCTGTCATTGAATCCTTTGTGGGATGGTAACGAGTAGCAGGCTCTCCGGATGATCCCTTGAATTCCTGTGGCAAACACTGGGATAGGCGAAGATTCCTTGCGGAGCAGTAACAGCAGTGAGACTGGTTTCTCAACTGGACTGGACTGTGGGCTGTATGTTATACAGTCTGTAAATCTGTTGTCGACTTAGAAGGCGTTGTACAAGAAAGGCGATCCCTGGGATGATAAAACAACCGGGCAAGATCAAATACGGCCTGATGGGGTACTGATGAGAATCCTCTTGTGGGGGTTGGAAGTGTGTGTATGGGAAGATTGTCTTGGGTATAGCAACGAAAAATAAGCCGCTGGACGGTTGAGAGTGGTGATAACGGGTCTCGGTTGGGCAGAAACGGTGTGGTCTTTGGGCTGGAAAATAGGAGTGAAGAATGGATGTTGGGCAGAGAGAGGGGACCATCGGGTTTTATTGTGTGCCATAGGCAATAATAACGGACGGGGTTGGCCAGCACACACGTCGACGAAGGATGACACGATGCCAGGGTGTTGTGCTTCATCGACGCGGTTGGCTGTTATGTCCTGGCTAGGTGGGAATTGGTGCCGGGTTAGCAAGAAGCGAAAAGCAGGGAAAGGCGTAGGAAAAGTTGCAGAAAATCGCAGAAATTGGCACAAAATTGCAGGATGTGCAGGTAGTCGACGACCCCGCTCTCCAACTAGGGTCCACTGACTAACATTTTATTGGCTCGACGTGGATTCATTTCTTGGTTATTGGCTAGCTACTTCCCGGCTACTGGCCAGTTGCTGGCAAACCACCGCTGCAACCGCTCGACTAATAATTAACCCCCCCTCACCCCCCTCACCCCCCTAACCAGACTTCTGCGCGCTTTCCCCTCCCTTTCATCCCTTCCATCCTTCCTCCGTTCTGCTTCTGTATCCACTGAAAAATGTGCTGGCCCATCCCCTGCTGCACCTGCTATAGGCTCACAGGGCTCGGACCGTAATCATGTGGGGACCCTGAGAGTTGTCGACGGCCTATTGAACCTGCCTCATGCAGCGTGACGACTCTTGATGAGGGCAGGGTCGGCCGCTGTACCGGCCAACTCATCACTTCTCACAATTTTTCGCGCACTTCCACATAATCTCTCACCCCTCTCTACATCGGCCTTGTACTTTTGGCCGCATACAACATGTGCGGGAGCCGCGGGAAATCGTGCAATATTCTTCCTGTCTTTTAAACCCTCATGCCAGCCCGGCACGACCAGCACATACATGCTAGCATCCAAAGCATGCATCCATCAGCTCAGCTGGCCTTCGCTCGGAATCTTCGGCGAACATATTAGCAGCATAGCACCAAATTACCCTCTACTATAGCGGCAGACCTTGATTGTCGGTGTGATTGCCCCTTTTCGGACTAAACCCGTTGATACTGAATAGTCGGTGAGCAAGAATGAGTGTCAAGAATATGTGTGATGGGAATATCTATCGAAAAGAAAGAAAGAAAAAAATACGATTGAATACGATTAATTGCGTTTTGCCTACATTGCCTACCCACATCCACATTACGCTAAGGTACTTGGACGAAAGTACGAAATACATATCATATTCATGTCGAAGCGCCGCAATAATTGGCGCCAATTGTTGGTCTCGACTTGTCATGTGTGACGAATTTACGGCCTTCTGAGCCAATGCCTCAATAATTAATTTGCAGTCTGCTTCGCTGGTCCTACTTTAGTTTGGTTTGAGCTGACAAATGGCGCGTCTATCTCGCCCGAAGAACGAGGTGATGTTTCTTTCTACCACCTCCTTACTCACCATGTAATATGCAGGACTACTGGAATCATCGTCCTGCCTGCATTGATCATTGCTGTTGACGATGGCTTCCAGCGGCTCAGGGGAAAAGCGAAAAGGGTCCTTTGGTCGTGTAGGATCTAGTATGGAGACACATCATCTCGCCCGGCCAACTAGGTTGACTAGGCGGCTCTTTTTGCGGCCACCGCAACCGTGATGACCTCAATACTGCCTTGGTATAATTTCACCTGCGCAACGACGTCTTTAATCTACGGTTTGCGACGGGTATCAGCATGTATTCGATCGCGATCTAAGCATGGTGCTATATACAGTACTGGATTGGCATTCCAGTATATCCACATTTTGTACAAGTTACAGGTTACAAGCCAGCCGTTCAACCCCATTGCTTCCTACCAGCAATGTTCGGCATTATGATCATCGACTATCTCTGCACTGCACGATTTGGATCGCCTTCCATCGCCTTTCCAGACCGCTTCTTCCCAGACAGCCTTCAGTTCCATCTCCCCATCAAAGTCATCTTCCCAAGCGAATGACCTCAGCGTCGACTTGGCGGATTCCCAATTTCTTATCTTGAGCACTTGGCTTGCTAGGTTGATTTTATCTAAGTAGACGTCCCGAGCCACTTTCATCTGACTCCTTTCAAGCTCATCACTAGTCTTGGCAGCCATTGTGGCGCAAGCTCCGAACATGACGGACCAAAACCAGAGCGACGAGCTATATTCTCCCTTTTGCATAGGTTCTTCAGTACGACAGACATCCGCGAGCAATTGCTCAACAAACCAATTTAACATGAAGGAGTCGACCACGCCTTCACGCATTATCACGTAGATGTAAAAGTAACACGCTATAAATCCTGACCGGCTGGAATCTACTGATTTGAGAGGCGGTAGGACATTGCCGTCGCTTGTCCGAGAATGGGGCGCTGGTGCTTTTCTCCCCAGCATTTCGGAGAGTGGCTCATCCGAATCACGCCAGCTGCCTAATATGTTCAGATTATAAATTGGTCGAAGTGCAACCCGAAGCAGCGATATTATCACAGATTGATGTACGAGGTCTGTTCGACATATGTCAAGGATGTCCCAGACAGGGCGACTAGAAACGCTCTTTGCTGCCCTATGAAGGGAGCGTTAGCCTCGCTCAGACACTCTAACAGGGATGGACGCACATTAGGATCATTCGTTGAAGTAAACCAATCTTGGTGAGGCATCTATCCTCGTGTTGTAACTCTTTAATTTTCGCGAGGCCGCGTAAATGTGATGATACAGCATCGACGGACTCCAAGGCGTTCTAGCAATTGGTTGTCAGTATCCAGGGAGGCAAACAGGCAGGCGGGTGGGCCTTTCTCCTCGGGGGGAGACGTACCTCGACCAGAGCGAGGCTCGAGACGGCTGCAATTGTCCCATCATGGACGGCTGCGTCTGGATTCCTCAGCTGATCTGTGACAAATCGTATCGCTTGAAGTTTATGGTAAAGGTAAGGGACTCGAAAATGTTCAACATCGCCGGTGGACCACGCCCAGTGCAGGGCTGTCATTAGCAACGCCGCATGGAGGAATCCGGGATGCGACAAGGCCTTGTGTACGCTAAGGACATGCAAGTTAGGCTCAGGCTTCTTCGAGGATCAAGATCCGCCCCGCAACCACGATCATGATCCACTACTCACATGAATGAATTGGCATTTCTTTCGACGCGCGTTGTGTATAATACCTTAGTATTCGTGACTGTATATCGGCGACTAATTAGCATCGCCTACTGTCATCTCGCTACCCAACACGACCGGCATCACATACAAAGTTGGAATAATGATCGCGATCTGTGGGGCATGTCGTACGACGTGCCCAAGAACGGGTCCGACGGGGTAGCGTCCGTTAAGTGTAGACAAGGTTCGGTAGATTCACGAGGCTCTCTAGATCCATCTCGAGATACGGATCCGCGCCCGGGCTCGGTAGCATTGGATCCAGTATCCCCATCTGGATAGCCACATTCTCCACCATGTCGAAGACAGTATGTACTATAATATCAGTCAGCCTCACTTAGAATTCTCCCAATATGGATTCGCGACGACGAAGTCAGGCGATTAATGACGAGGCGACAGGGCGGATTCATTAAGCGAATATGAGGCAACTAGGAGTAAGGGGGCGGAAAGGAGGTGATTGCAAGCAATTTGGCTGGTATCGGGCGCCAATAACCTGTACTGTTCGCTCTGCGCGGCGTAGTTCGTATACGATACGCTTACATACCTAGGTAGGTAGTAAGGCGCAAACCCACGCCGGTCAACGGAGTCGCATTTCGGCAACTTACCAAAGTGGTTTTCTCTCGTCGCATCGGATATGCTTGGCCTTGCATGTGGAACAACCGTTTCTCGACCTGCGGTGGAACTTTCGCTGTCGTTGGCGCTGGGTAATCGGAGACGTCTCGGCCATTATCCTCACACAGTAGGGTGTTTTCATGCGGATTTTGTCTGCAATACTATATTTCATTTCAAAAAATTTAAGCCGTGTGACGAGGAAAAAGGACTATACGATTCATCAAATTGTCTCTCTAATCTTTTCATATCTCATTATATGATTCTGAAACTCGTCAGGCAGACAAATTCCATCACCCCAAGTGTAAACGAAGCCCCTGGGCTGAGAATCGGTGATTCCATTAAACCATTCTTGATTTTGAATCCTACCCTTCCGTAGCATTGTATTCCAGAAGGACCCACTCCCATCGTCTGTCGTCGACTAAAATGAGCCGACTCGACCAGGGTCAAAAGGAGCTTGGCACAAATCGAGGCTTCATTGGGGCTAGCATCTCTAGATCCCGTTGGTGGGTTCTCAGCCCAGATCCTTACACTGATCAAACAGCGTATGATTGTATGAGAAGAATCAGCTTACAGGTTACATAACTACAAGGTATAATTGCAAAACTCGGCATGACTACATGCATGGCTGAGAGTAGGTAATTCAAAGCATACACCAATTTCTCGTGAATTCAATCTCTCCGTAACTACAATATCGATGTTGACAAATCCAAAATTCATCTCACGACGAATCTGCCTCTATTTATTAATAGAAACTTTAGATCGCAGGGCTAAAGATATCTTGACTCGGGCCCGTGGGGAAGATGCAGCAGGCAGCCGTTTTTCCAGAATACAGAACCAGAATAAGTCCTAAACATCTCAATTTGGTAATTGATATTAGGTTGACTTTCCTGAATGAGGTTAATCTTATACGCCGTTGCCGTTTTGATAGTCGTTTTGTGTGACTCTAAAGATACAATAAGTGCCGGGAGATTTACGGCGTGAAAGTATTTTAAGGCGACATCTACTCTTCAATTTATTCTTTCGTGCGTACCCTATTCCTTTCCCATCCTAGCGATTACACGCCTTGGTGCAACGTCTATTCAACTGGAGGAGCTGGGGATTTTGAATTTCTACCATTATCAGAACACTTCAAGTAAACCCAAGAATAGATCACACCATTTACTCCAGAATTTGCCGCCCAATAAATCAAACTGCGGGTTACGGCCGATAGCATCCTACAGGCTGTCTCAGAACCTTCTATTATTATGATTATGGGTGCTGACAAGGGCACCACCAGGGGTATTTACCAGGGCTTGATTTATGGTCATCACAAAACACTCAGACCACCTTTCGGCCGAAAATAATATCACCCAATCCATGACTTTGGAAGCCTCAATATGTTATTCGTCCCAGCTGAAATAATTCCACGTGCGAACAGGCATTTCCTCTGGGAAAATGCCGGGCCAAACATTTCACCTACTTTCTGCTCGTCATCATTGCGTGCTCACGCCCCTTTTCTTTTAACATCGACCAATGCTACTACATTTCCACCTATAATTTAGAAAAGTAAACCACACCTTACTAACAAGCCAGTAAAAACTTGATTTTACTAGACGATTTCTAAGTCGGTTTGGAATAGCATGACATAAGAAAAAGAATGTGAGGAGAGTTGATATATGGCCCATGCATATAATAGGGGGCTGGTGTCCTTTTTAGATGAGACTACCCTCCACAGGAAAAAGCAAAGAGAAAAGACGGGTTTAACCATTCTTGATAGGCGGCACCTATCGCCCTCTCAATGAGTAACTACGTAAGTAGTTCTTCTATGTTTCTAGTAGAGTTGGTGCAGCCCTGACTTCTTGTGTGGACATGGAGGATTTCATTGGCACCAGCATAATAAGCATGCTCATCACACCTTGCAATCCCACACTCCCCGACTTTCCATTCTGTGGGTGGTATCCACGAGGGATCTGGATAATTAACAGCGTACCATATCACCATGTTCATATGTTCATGGGGGGCATATGTATCGTTGACCCGCCGATGGACACTTTCCTACCACCCCATACTCAGGCACGGGTTTCTACCGATATGGCATAAGATGAAGCTCACGTGTAGACAGAAGTATTGGCTCTGGAAATATCACATTACCTATGTATGTGGGAGTTGTGGTCAGCTTTGACCCCCTCCACAAGTCGTTTCCATGTTTTTCCACACTGATGACGGTGACATTGCAGAAAGGAGGAATGTAAGTCACAATATTGGAAATAATAGTAGTAATGATGTTGTGCGGAGAAGGTCGGCCTAAGAAGGTATACTGAGCGCCGTTAGTAGTGTCGGCAACTAGCGGCGGTAGCGGTTTCGGTAGCTCTTTACAACTGATCATATACCTAACCCCCTTCTAACTTAGCGGCCTCTAGTGTCCTGTCCTGACAAACTCAATGCCCAGGGAGAAGGTAGGTACCGTTTCCAGGTAGGTAGCACCTACAACGGCTTTCAAGGGCATAGCGGCATAGCAGTGGCCAAAGCGTCGGGAATCTATACCTAGCCTAAATCTCTTTTTTTTCTTCATCTCTACTTTTTTAACCTTGAATTCAAGATTAATTAATCCCGTCACATTTCAACAACAAACTTACACAAATCTGGGGGGATCGATCGTAGGATCTAACATTCGCTCCACTAAGGCACGATCAGAAGGACGCCTAATAATACAATGATGGCATCCAAGCGTGGAATCCGAATACGTGGTGAATGAATAGTCGAATACTAACCATGAGCTCGTTCTCGCACATGTCAAAACACAAAACAACTTACCTGTTGACAACGGGCTTGCTTTTTCCGCCTGGTGCTATTTTTTCCCCATTTCCCTTTCGCGCTCCGGTCCTCTCCCATCTCCTCAGCGAACTATAGTACGCGTACCTAGGTAATGGCCCTTCACATTGGTTAAGAAATACTCCGGGCAGCAACAGAGCTGCACCATAGGTTGGGCTTTTGCCCTCGTGCGACGCTTTCCTGCCCAATCTAGTCAGATAGTCCTCCTTGGAGAGTCACCGCTATTCGTCCACCAGGACGTCCCCTGTAATAAGTCAGACTATTACCCCTTCAGAAGCTGCAATCTTTGGGCAACAAGACGACAAGCACCGAACAAAAGCCCTCCTAGTTCCCTCAGCTGCCCAATGGTGCCCTACCGTGATTGGGCTGCAATAACCAATCACCGCCCTCCTTTTATCCCGCTGCTCGATCGGACAGCCTGCTCTGTATTATTATCATGGTCTATCATGGTCTATCTTGGGTTCGGAGAGGGCAATTCCCATCTAACGCCTGCATTATAGGCAGGGTGTTCCTGGACATCTGTGGTAACTCTTTTTGAACTGCCATCTGGCTTACACTTCTATCAAACTACTTTTTTGTTGGCCGATCTTGACTCGTTTGAGTTTGGCGACTCATCCAGCCCCGTCTCGAACCGGTCGTAGACGCCCGAGACGGCACCTGTGCCCCCATCCCTAAACTGGATTCGCAACAACGCCTGCTGTTCGCCTTGGACTTGGGACTACGTTACAGCCCCAGAGTTTGAGTTAGAGCTGGGGCCGACTCCCCCTGATATTGGATATTGGTTTTCTAGGAAGTGCCTTGCTCGGCGCGCGGCTCCATCCCAAAACCTCGTTGCTGGCACCTCCTCGGTGGCAAATTTCCGACTCAGATTATCATACCATAAAGTGTGCCCTTCTCGGCCCTTAGAAAGCTTACACGGAGAACTCATTCCAGGGCTTGTCTTCCTTTGGTAAAAGGTGAAAGAAAGATATCCCACATTTGCCCTGCTTGCCTGAAAGGTTTCATCTATTCTGGAGCATGCGATCTTCCTATCGCATCCGGGTATATGTTGTCCCCCGAGGTTGCTACCGAATCCGTCGAGCTACTTGACTGCCAGTTTCTTTTCCCGGTCAGCAGCAGCGCAACCACTATTCACCGCTCCAAAACCGAGCCAGTCCATTCTGCAGAGGACATCGACCGTGGATCCTTAGGACCCAGACTTAGAATCCGTGTTAAACAGGGTAACTCAGGGGCCCTATCTCCGGGATAGCCAGGTGTATCTTCCTCCGGGGAATTTTACTTCTACGGGGACTAGTGCAGTTTCTATTTCATCTCATACCCTTCTCTCCGTCCCACCGGCCGTTTCTTCTCCCATCTCCCCAGAGAGAACTGTAAGGATATGGCCCAGCAAGAAATAGCATACAGAACTTCTGTCATGTCGAACGGACCTTGGAACTCCTCGCGCAGGTGCGGATCATTGAATCTAGTTTTGTCGGTCTGTTTTTGTTGCGGTCGAGCTGACTTCCCTCAAGCGTCATGTATAGTAACAGTTCGTATCCAGTTAGCACGCGTGAGAATGGATACTCGAGCTCAAGGTAAGAACAAATGAGAAAAAATCCCCCCTCGTTTGTAAAACCACAGGAATTTTAACACTGCCTTTCGAAGCGTGATATACTCGTCCGGGTCCGGTTCAGCGTACAGTTCATCCGCCAGTACGTCGTTAGTGGGGACCAGTGGTCCAGTCGGCCGGCATCAATCCACGTACCCTTCATCGCCGGTATACATCTCGAGATCGCAATCTGGGCCGTATGGAACTGCTTCCGGGGCAGCGTATGGCTCGTACAATAGCACGGGTTCGCAAGGTTGGGATGCACCAGGCAGATACTCCCCAACGGACTCAGTTGATGACATTATTACGCCTCCCAGTCTGTCAGATTATGGTATGGACAACAATAGCGGAGGCCCCGCGCCGACGGGAAAGTCAAAGAATGGTAGCAAGGGTCGTCCTCAGAGGCGACCTTCGAACCGGGATGAATTCGATGGACCACATCAGTTTCTAGCGAGACCTCCTCCAGACTATGTGGCGATGCAGGAGAGGGAGTTGCCACATCTCCCAACCAATCTTTTGGTGCAAGAGCAGGATAGTGTCCTGACTCAAGTCAACGATCGACTCTCGCAGTGCGCGTTCGACTTTGTTGCAAAATACCAATTTCCGATTCCTCTGACCCAGGATATGAGACCAGTTGAGAGACCCCAAGATAGAGAATGGACCGAATGGGTTTACTTACTAAAGCGTCTTGCGACGAAGAGGAGAATACCCGCCCGGGTACTTTATAACGGACAAATCAAGCAATTTGTAACCATTTTGGAGAATTCTTTGGAGATGCGACATGCTGCCAAGCATCAGTCGCGCCCGTTGAAGGATGACCGTAACATACTTCAATTGATCAGTGCCGGTATCCAGGTTGCGAAAATCCTCAAGGACGCAGCCGCAATGGACTACCTGGACAGACTATACGTTTCGACCGAACAACAGATCCAGGAACGAAGTGCCGCAGCGTCGGCACGGTTCCGCTGACTGGAAAAAAATAAAACGCCATTGGAACACAGCCGATGGTAACAACGTTTTTCTTCTCGGGGCTTTTCAGCGAACGAGATTCAGCCCCCAGGGGCAGCGGGGGAGCATTCTGGCTCGCCCCCAAATAATATATATGTTAACCAAAGATACATACATATGTATGTACGAAACCGCGTATATGTGGGATGGAAACGAGTCACGATTTCCCTTTTTTTCTCGTCGTGTTCGACAGCATGGAACGGGTGGAGGCAGTGTTCGTGTTTCGAGGCGTGATACGGTAAATGTTCTTTTGGTTCTGATCTGGGGCGGGCAAATTCGATTTCACGAGGGCGGGATAGATTTGTCTCATTTTCGAGCGAGCAGCGAACGGATAGGCAGACAAATGAGACGGGCAAAGCAAGCAAAGAAGGGTGTGGTTGATGTATTGTTACTTTTTCATTATTCTAACGCGACCAGGGCAGATGGATTTCCTGGATTTTCTATCAAACGATCTACCAAATTTTCCCATGTACCCGGGTGGTGGTTTTGGGCGGCCAAATCAGAAAATTGCCTTAGTTGGGATTGGACACATAGTCAATGTTGGGCATGAAGCATGAGAAACTTGGGTTGAAGAGGTCGCGCATCTTCTGCGTCAGCTCCCGCCCAACTATTCTTATGTGCGTGAGTACAACACCACCATAATACAATTTGGGCGCAAACCCCCGCAGTTTATTGCCAGCCGTCCGCAGCCTCTTTCTCTCTCTTTTTCTTTTCTCCGCACGGGATCGAGTATTCAAGGCTACTGACATCAATGGCGGTGATGTCCAATCTCATAGCCCAAGATTCGGCAGGCTTTATGAACGGGAGTTCCCGCACCCCTTGAGCGACGAGATCGGGAAAACATATTGGGGGGCAAGGCTTTCTGGTCCCTTTTTTATCTAGATAAATCTCAAGGGAATCCCACCTACATCTTGTTCCACCCCCATTATCCTACCTTCGTCCTTTTTTCACAGCTGGTGTTGCACATATGTATGTATGTAAAGTAAGTGGATTTACTCCCTTTACCGTGGCGTTCACGCTATTGGTTGGGATCTACATAGCCGTAGGATCGATACCGAAAACCAAAATGGGTATAGTGCGTTATATTCATGTTACAGCCCTGTTGCTGTCGGTCATCCAATCGAGTCTAGTTTTCGGTGGCGGAGCTGTCTCTTTGGGGCACCTTTAAACAACTCAGGACCCATTCAGCTCGTCCCGGCCGCTTCTGACGTCCCTGATAATGGAATTCTGGGGTGTCTCCTTCGGCTAATCCGTCACCGAGCCTCTTCGTTTAGGAAACTTAGAACACAACAATTCAATACCATCCCCAAGAAGTGTACCGGCGATTCCCACCCCTTTATGCTTCTTCGCATCTCGAACCCGTTGTTTGCTCGGTTAGCAATTATTTAGTAGTACAAACCCCACGGCAAACAAAAAAAATTTCAGCATTATCGTGGACTCCGAAACCCCCATCCGAAGGTACGGTCGCTCAAGTAGGAGTTAGATTTTCAGGTCGCTTCTCATAAATAGCTGGGTAAACGAAAATCCCGTGCCTTTCTTCGACGTGTTTCTACCGCAGCGACGCAATCGCCATCATGGCTTCCGTCGCATCGGCCTCTCCATCATCCAGTTTTCATCACGTAGAATCTGGCGATGACTCGGACTCGTGGCAGTATGTAGAGTCCAACCCGGCCTCCGTTGGTTTCATGCCTAGCCCGGCCAGCTCCAGTATGAATAGCTGGGGGATAGTCGGTTATCCTAACCAGGTCCAAACCTCTCCTGTTGCTATGTCTCCTTTGCAGTTGGACCACGATCAGGCTCGTACATCAGCGCCTCCTACTTCGTACCCGGACCACGGAACTGAAGCTTCCATGATGGCTTCCGCGGGTGTCGATAGCCAATTGATGCCATCCTTTGATGACCAACAGTACATGGCTGGACAGGAGTTACTATTCAACGAACCACTTACTGGTGAGTTGCACCATGAGAACTCCACGTCTCTCATGATTGAATTGAATTATAGATGATTTTAATATGAATTGCTATAGATATGGATATGACACAATATTATTCTACATTCCAGGGCAACATGCCCGATATACCGGGATTGGGTGGGTTCGAGATAGCACCCCAACCCGTCGACCTTGGCATCCCGCAACAGTTCCGAAACGATAGCGATGTCCCGCCATGGGCGCCGATGAACTTGAAGAATGAAGACTTCTCTCCCGTCGTCGCGGACGAAGCCAATAGCTTTGCATCGCAGTCCCCACAGCGATCTCCGTCGCATAGCTCTCTCCACTCGAGCCCTAGATCCCCTTACGTCAAGTCGGAACCCAGCAAGAATGCTAGTCCCATACGTAAGGTTAGGAGTGGTGGCTATAAGGTTGAGAAGAAGAAGTCGGAGTCGTCAAGCAAGTTCGTTATTATGACCCCGAATTTGATTAACCAGCAGTCGGGAAAACCAAACCCATTCGAATGTTTCGAGGCTATGCGAACTACCCAGAGGGGACGCAAAGGACCGTTGGCGCATGATACCAAGGAGAGCGCTCTACAGGTCAGAAGATTAGGTGCATGCTTCTGCTGCCACAGGTATATACTTTCCCTTCCCCTATTCCTTACTAATAGATAAGTGGCTAACCCTTTTCACCTATAGCCGTAAGGTCAAGTGCGACAAAGAGCGACCATGCAAGAACTGTAAGAAGCTCACGGCGCAAGTCCCCCAAATCATGTGCTGGCAGTTCGGAGACTTCCTTCCGGTACTATTCCCCGACTTCATCCGGGGTCACTTTAAGAAGGACCAGATCGCAAGCTTCATCAGCGAGCATGTGGAGACATTCCGGCCCAACAACGGGGCTGAGCTCGCATGCTCCGTTGAACTCTTCTCCGGCGCTCGCTTCGGCTCGACCCTAACCCTGCCCGCTAGTTTCTTCACTCCTAGGTCGCCTGAGATCCTTCAACATTGGCACATGAACATGGGTAACAACCAGATGGACCTTCAGTCCAGGGGTGCAGTGCCTATCGGCATCGACCCAGATAACGCTACCCAGAGAGAGGAGCTTAAGAAGAGGGCCCGCGAGTACATCCAGAACCTCACGTCGGAGCCTATGTATGCCGAGCAAGTCACCGACGCTATTCGCACGACCCAGCTGCCGCGAAAAGTCTTGACTATCGTTCAGCGCTATGCGCAGCGCTCCGAGGTAAGAAGCCCCATCCATTTGCCTATGTACTTGAGCTAACTAATATCAATCCAGTCCTCACAATCATCCATGGTCAAGCGCGCACTATCCATCTACGTAAACCACTACGTCCTAACCCGCCAACTCTGCCTAACCAACGCCACAATCCTCAACCTACGCGACACCAACCTAGTCCCCCAAAACAACCCCTGGGTAACCACACGCGTGCTAAACCGACAAGTGAAAGCCGTCCTCGACGAAATGCTCCTCCGCGAAATGCAACTCCTCTTCGACGGCTTCTCCAAATCCCTCAAACCCAAGCTCCGCCGGGAATGGGCGCCCTGCCTCGCCGCCTTTCTAGTTCTCTGCTTATTCATGGAGACTGTGGAAACAGCCGCAGACACGTTCGTAATCTCGCAGAACGAGATTTCGATTCGCAATCGCTCGAAGCCGGAGTATAGACGGGACTTTGCGCTTGCGCTGTGCCGCGATATTGATAATATGCCGTTTAAACAGTTTGCGTACCAGTTCCACCAGATCTACCAGACGCATACGCGGGATACCGGCGCGAAGGCGTTTAACCCCCTCGCGGATGGGAATTTGGCGCAGATGGCGGAGCTGGATGACCCGGCTGCGGAGATGGTGGCTGAGTTGAAGGAGTTGTTGCAGGGTGATAGCTGTAAGTCCCTTTGTCCCTTATTTGCACTTCACATTTCCTTTTTTAGTCAGTACACGAAGCTAATATGATTTGATATGCAGGGCATGAACTAGACTTCCTCGTCGCAGACCCCATTCTACCTAACCAGGAGGGTCACCCATTCCCCCGCGACGTGTCGCTGAACTACACAGGCCGCCTCGTAGCGAGGTTCCTGCTATCCTTTACGGATGAGAGGTATCTATTTGACGGGCAATACTAAGCCCATTTCTTACCAATTTATTTTCTATTTACTCATTTGAGTAATTATCTATATGTATATATATAGACCACTTCAGACTTGTATATATGATACGAATCAGGGTCGGGAAACGGTGGCAGCGGCAGCGGACTATGAAATATGTATTTTAATACCCTGGGTTGATGAGGCTATGTAACGGAAATGATATAGACAGATATATGAACAATTATTACGGTCTGTTATGAAATCATTACGATCCTACTTGATTGAGCATGTTGTGAAAATGTAGTTGATACTATACAGCGTCGAGTGCCTGAACGAGAGCGCTGTAAATGGCGTTTATGGCGTGTCAGTTTAGTGAACTTGTCAGCTTCAATTAGAGGGTACACTACCTGAACCAGCTGAGACACCACGCGGGTTGGCGACGACCAAAGCCCAGGCATAGGCCCTGTAGTTGCGTTCCCCAGCGTGTAATCCTTCAGTGGATTGTTGAGTACAGAGTCGGTCTAACCGTAGATTCGGCATCCCCCACTGTTGCAATCATTCCTTGCCCACTCTTATAGCGGACTACCATTCCTTCGGCCAGATGCTAGCTAGTTCCCAAGGCCACAGATATTGACGTTTAGAGAGCTACCTAGGTACGTAGGACTTGATAGTTCTAAAGGTCGACCGAAACACGTGTAAATGAGCATCCAATTGCAAGGCATACAAGTCCGGCAAATTCGCCCAAATATGCCTATTTGCCCACCGAGTAGACAGCCCATCCATTAGAGCTATTGGCACCTCGGTGGAAAAACTTGGCTACAATAAACTACAGCGGGCAATTGCACGTGGAATGGGATAGCCAATTAGATATCCAAAAATATCAACGTCACAATCGTCTACCTACCTCTTAGGCATTCAACTTACCTCCTACTTACGTAATTGAGATGCTGCGACGTGACGCGATGCGATGCGGGGAGACCGGTCCGCGTAAATGTTGAAGAGGAATCCGTATCGGGGTAATAGCTAGTATATAGGCTACGAAATCCATCGTTCATCAGAAGTGGAAGGAGACTAGAACGATGAGCCCATCCGGCACTTGAGCGGCGCGTAGCTACGAGAGTAAGTAAGGCTTGCTAGGATTTAGATCTTGAAGATCGGCCAGTTGCTCGGGGTGTAAGCTCAGCCTCAAGATCGGCAATACCGCCGAAGCTGACGCCATGATGAAGAGTGAGAACCCAAATCCTCTCTGTACGACTTTTGTGTAGCTCTAGGTAGGCTGGGCGATATTGTAAATGCATATGTCGTACCAGTAGCTATGATGAAAAGGCCGATTGACGTTACCTTCTAAGTAATTAGTCCACCAAGTTATAGCACGTTGTTAAATCGATAGGAGACGAAGAGATTACCTAGTTGAAGGGAATACAGCATACAAATACGGGAGGGTGACGCCGATGTTCATGCGATTCCCAACAAGGAAGGCGGGCTGTCTCAGGCCCCTGAAAGAAACCCCTGCAGAGGTCAGCATTAACCCCCAGCTCGCTGTCGCTCATCTACCCCAATTACGTTGACCTCAACCAGGTCATGGAGCATAGAGAAGCCGGGCGTAGCATCATGGACGGGAGATTAGCTTGAAGAAGTGTATATCTATATAAAGGAGATGGAAGACCCTTTTGATGTTGTGCTTAGTAGATTGGGTCAGTCCACAAGCATAGCGGCCATCTCGACTCTTGACCTAGGTTGAAAAAGTTACCTATCTTCAAGATGTCTGTCCGAAAGAGTCTCGCCGCCACAGGAATGGCCTTATTGTTGGCCACTTCCACTCCGGTTGTGAATGGTAGCCCTATCGCGCATCTTCTCAAGCTTTTCACTCGGGACCCACCAACGGCATTACCTGAGAAAGCCACTGCCAATGATAAGAAGTGAGCTCTGAGTCTGATTTCCATACAAAATAATGTGTAGAGACTAATCAGTAATAGGTGGCAACCGGCGATGGACTTCGACACCGATGGGTGCTACAACACGCCGGCTATCGGCGCGGACGGCACCATAAACCCAGGCCTTGACCATGAGAACACTGGTCTTGCCGAGGACTGCCACGACCTCTCAGATCTCCAGAATAACAACGTATACTCGCGCGCGCGGTGTAATAACGGGTGGTGCGCGTACCTATACGACTACTACTTTGAGAAGGATGTTGCGATTCCCAACATCCCTCTGGACCCAGGCCACCGCAACGATTGGGAACATATCGTTGTGTTCGTACAAAATGATGAGGCTAAGGTTGTTGCTGCGTCGCAACATGGCGGGTACGAAGTTAAGAATGCTAGCGATGTCCGGTGGGACGGCACACACCCTAAGATGGTCTACAACAAGGACGGTCTTGGTACACATGATTTCCGGTTTGCGAATGCGGATGACGATAACATCGAGAACGATACTGGAGCGTGGTTCTATGGCGCGTTGATCTCTTACAATGGCTTCCCGAGCACTGACCTCCGAGATAAACTTGTCGCGTATGACTTCGGCAGCGCCAGTATTGCTTTCAAGGACGCAAGTTTCCAAGGCAATTTAGATAAGGCTCGTAGTGACTTAGTATCAGGTTTCGATACTGGCGTCGATGACGGGTCACCTGGAACCCCATGAGCAGGCGGCGGTATCAAGATGAGGTCATGAATAAATGTGTATATAATCAATATTAAGCATATAAATCAACTGTACTCAAAACTATTGGAATAGATGTAATGGTGTATGTCCTCATTAGTCCTGCTACCGCACTCAACTCTACGGCAGCAGGGTGGATTGGACTGGCTGTCTAGGCCTTTGGTTCTTTCTCCCACATCGAACGATAATAAAGAAGTTGACACTCCTGCGCATTGAAGAGTCGCGAGAGGTAGGCAATTTGTGGGTTGCAGCAAAAATGAGCTGCGTCTCGAATATTGTCGAGATTGAGAAGGTCGGGACACTTGTCTACCCTCTATAGAAATGAAGAAAAGAAAAAAAGATATAGATATCATCGAGCAAACAGCTACTTGATGCTTATTCTTACGAGAATCCGTAGTCAGAATAATTGGTATAACATGTCTTGCTTAGGCGTATTGTCCGGTTTCATGTCGAAACTGGTTGTTGAAGAGTTTAAAAAATTAGAAGATTTCCCACAGCGAAAATAATTTTAATGGCTGGAAGCGGGACGGACCCATACCTCTCTAGTCACATGACTTAGGAACAAATCCTTTTTGTATGAGCGTCAAATTCTCACTCTTTCAGATTCTTTTCTCTTTTTCTTAATTACACTTTTAAAACATCGCACGATTAATCAACCGATTTTCAATTCGCCCACTTACTATCGGTCATATTTGCGTGCTAGAGCGATTCGTGATTGTTGCCAATCTCTCTTTTTTTCCGTGGTGCTTATCCTTCGATGTATCACATTTTGGCGGCACACGTATATACGTTCATCTTTGTTCCTGAATCTTAGTCCTGTCAAACGTATTCTGGGTTACGTCACTGATAATAGATGTTGAACTAACTCAATGGATGCTTGCGTTGGCATGTTTCATTGAAGACACTAAACCCCTAGTCATCAGGGTAGCACTTTGAGTCGGCAACTGAGTCTTGATCATCGATTATCGTAGTTTGTAAATGATAGCGAAGGCCGGTAGCTTACTTGCTAAAGCCGATAGTATCGAAGCTTCTACTGAGAATATGAACGTGTACCCTAGATGCGTCTTAGTTCCCACTACCTACCTAGGTATAGGTGTCTGTAGCCACCCGTAGACCGGGTTAGGTCTCTATCTTGTAAGGGCCAGAAGGCCACTATTGCTTGGTGGTAAATTTTATACCGGGCTTAATTTCCAGCCCCATTTTACCCCGTCCCGTCTTCGCAGCATTGCGAATTATCGCGTGCCCACCAGAGTCAATGCCCATTTCACCTCTGATACACCTACAACCACAAATAAGGACATAATGGGTATCATTAGGACGGCATTATTGACGGGTGTCTATGGAGTGACCGGAGGTGTAGCCAGCGTAGGTGCTGGAATGGCTTATCTAGCTGCGACGACCACCCTCGTCGACCTCACTAAGAGCGATTCCATGTTCCATTCGAAGACATACGCCAAGTATAATCCGAAGGACAACCCAGCGCATCAGGATGTTGTTTTCAAGCGCATACCTCTAAGCAAACTCCGGCCCGGGCTACGCAACGATGAGAAAGCCCTCACCCTCGAATTCTGCCGTGGCGTGTGGAGTCGTTGGGGTATGTCGACTCTTGTTACACACGCCTTACAGTGGTAAACTGACAAATACAGGATTCTGGCCGCAGAGTAAGTACCATGAGCGGTACGATAAACCACCCGGATCGGAGAATTATCTGTGGCACACCTCAGACTTAGCTCTCGCCAAGTACGAAACAGGTTTGAAATTCTCAAATCACTTCGAGGTGGTCAACAACGAAGGCAACGAAATTATTGTCCGTTGTGGTGGATCGCCAATGGAATCCGGATTAAGGAATTCGGACGGTCTAGTTGTCATCAGCGCAAAGATCGACCAGCAGGCCCAACAAGCTGAGCTCATCCTCAAGTCTGCCTTATATAACAGCGCTGGGTCTTTCGCTGAGGGACAAGGCCACCCTGTTCCGCCTAAGATCGTGTTCGCGCATCGATGGTACGTTCGTATGTTGGTGCAGAGTGCTGTTAAAAACATTAAGGCATAATGCGCTTGGACGTGGCTGGTTTGAAGTTAGACAGTACGGGGTTTCTTTGTAGATATCAGGATGGATAGAAATATTCGATTTATACCCTATTTTATGCTCGTCCTTCGTTTGACTTGAGCGATTTGGATATAATGGTGGAATGAATTGGTCAAGCAATACACTACATTGATTCTAGAGTAAAATTCTTACGAAGCCATTCATCATCATAATTTTGTCCCAATTGCTATACTGTCATTATGATTTATAATGTCAGTATATCAATCACTAATCCAAGCATTTAATTCTTCCATACTATTACTATTTCATGATATGCTTCTCACTGCCTCACATCCGTTGCTAGATTGTGTAACCGTACTCTATGATCTTAATCCCTCATCGCAGTTATTACCTATAGCGCATTTTATCTTTCATATAGACATATTCTAAGTAATAACTTTTAGCTTCAATAATAAAATCGCCAATCACTAGTAAGAATACAGGAAACAGAACAAAAACCCCGGGCCACGGCACCTTCTAAAAGAGGAAATGATCACACCAATGGACCCTAGTGGGTCGTGAGAGGTTTTAGTTAGCTGGTTAACACCCCCAAAGCACCAAAGCACCTTCTCTCAGTAAATAGCGTCGCATTGTATTCCCCGCATCTTCTTTTTTTTTTACTACGACTAGCAGGCCTAGTAGTACATAACTAATACATATATTCCATTGGGTAGGCACGAAGCCGACCTTCCCTTACCTGGGCTCTTGTTTTCGAGTGTTTACCCAAGCTAAGCTCCGCCGGCTACCTTCCTCCTTCTGTCCACCCCTTTGACACGCGAGTCGCGATTCTACCTTTCCTCTAAAACACCGCATCGCGACAAAGCGAAACGAAAATAACCATCATAAACACCGACACGACTTCGAAAAACAACCGCCAAAATGGTAACAACACGCTCCGCCAGCAAAGCCGCCAGCTCCCCACCCCCGTCCACCAAATCCCCCTCCATCCGCCCATGGACACACACACCCTCACACCTAACACTCCTCTGGTTCGCCATCTCCCTGCCCCTAGTAATCTGGGACTCAGGCTACGTCCTCCTGCGCCCTCTAACCATGGAAGGCGGTTCCCTCCACTGGCCATTATACGTGCCCTACAAACTCTACGGTGAAGTCGACCACGTATACGGATGGAAAGCGTTCCGCGCAAAAAGCGGTTTCACATCCGCCCAGGGACTGTTGAATGTAGTGGAGACGGGCATGTATTTCGTGTATCTGTATGTATACTTTACGGCGGGGAAGAGGCAGAGCGGTGTTTCGACGAAGACGCTTTCCGGGCGCTCGGCGGCTGTTGCGTTGCTTTTTGCGTTTAGTGCTGCGGTTATGACGTTGAGTAAGACGGTGCTTTATTGTGAGTATACTTCATGGTGGTTTATATGGGAAAGGGGAGAGATGCTAATAAGGGTTGTGTGAATAGGGCTTCAGGAGTATTACTCTGGTTTCGACAACATCGGCCATAACAAATTCGGAGACCTCGTTCTTTTGTGGATTATTCCCAAGTACGTTACTTATCCGTCCACGAATAAACTGTAGAGAAGGCTAATCGTGAAACAGCGGCTTATGGATCGTATTTCCCACGTACATGGTCTATGTCATGGGAAGCGAGATCATAGAAGGATTGGCGACGGCGTCGACTGGTGCGGCGATCAAGTCCGAATAAACGAATAATCAATTGACGATGTGGGTTCAGCGAGAGAGGAAGCCACTGTAAAATGTCTACATCGGAGCGAGGGCGTAAAGCGGACATGACGGCAATGACGAGACATGATTCTTCGCAGTAATATCATACGAAGTATTTAACTGTAAATCACGAAGTTGAATATAATATGTCAATTCATAATTCTAAGCCACATAGTTAGACATTGACGTCAGCATCCTCTAGACAGTGACGTACGAAGCCTCTAAACACCATCCAATACAATCACCTACTCTCAAAGGTCCGAACGCCTGACCCCTAATTCTAGTGGGTATCATCCATCACAAAAGAAACTTTGCGGACCAGTCCAGCATATCCCTCCTAACCGTGCATAGCCAAACTGGACCTAACCTTCCTCACTCCATGTGCTTGGGTCGGCATTTGTACTTCCGTACTAAACTCCGTCAGCCCACCTAGATCATTATACTGCTCCCACTCTGGTTGTACATCATTTGCTGGGCTCCAACTTGAAGCTTTAACTTCCATAACGGCCTTCACGTATTCCCACGCGGTGGGCGCTTTCGGCATCGGCATTTCGATCTGCGGTGCCGCGCTATGTACCTTCCGGATATGTAAAGGCCAGGGCTCGGTGAAGAAACGGCGACGGTTTCGCGGATTGCTCCCGCCGTCGACGCTACGGGATCGCCGCCGAATTAATCCGCATGATACGGCTTCTTCTCGCAGAAGCTTCCGGTGAGTACCAGTGGATGCTGATCCGGTACGATACCGAGCTGGTGCTGTTTTGTGTTGATTATTAGGTAGACATGCAGCAGTCTCAGTCGGGCTCTCGCAAACGGATGTATCTGTTGTCTTCGTAGCACTCTCCTCATCTTCGTCTCCATCCTCTTGGTCAGACCTCCTTAGATCAGAATTACTAGAGTAGCGAGAAGGCGACGCGGATATCGTGCCTTCTTCTGCGATTATCGAGGCGCGTATACCTGGTGGCCTGATGTCTTCGAACTCAGTGTTAATGTTGTTTATGCCGTTCCCATAGCCCCGGACAACAATTTCATGGTACTGCCCCTGGTTATGATGGACTGATTGTACCGTCTTGTCCGGTTGCGGTTTTGTAAGTCTGGTCGCCGATGGACGTCGGGTCGTCAAACTTCGGGACAGGCTCCGAGTCAGGCTTCCCTTCCAGCTTGCAGCTCTACGCAGTCGCGAACTCCCTCCATCTTTCACTTCATTACTATTGTCGTCGCGATGTGTGATAGCGAAGTAATCTATATCCGGTTTGATCTCGAAGCTGTGTTGATGAGATGGAGACGATGCTCTCGTCGAGTCTTGTCTCATTGCTGATGTAGAAACGCTCCTGATAATGTGATCCGTCTGCCTTCGAACAAGACTATGTACAGGCCGCTCTTCATCCCACGGAGGCAGATCAGCAGTGGAGATGCAGAGGTGATAAGGAGCACCGTCAGCATCATCAACTTCAGGTGGAACTTCTGTAGCTTGTCGGAGCGCCTGGTAGGTTACGTATATCAAAATCCAGCGTACCTTCCTACCGTCTATAGGGCCCAGATTTTCTAACTTGTCTGCCTTGGTGGGCAAGTAGGCTAAGTCTTGTTCGAATCCACGGTATACCCTCACTAATCCATTCTTCATGAGGTCAACCCTTGGGTTCGTAGCACTTAACATCGCCGCATTCATCATTTCGCGCCGCTTTCTATCCGATTTTATTTGCTTCCCCAACCAAGCAAGTTTGGTATTGCTCTCTTGGAATACCTTTGGGAGCAGCGGGAGTGGATGGAACAGGGGTTTGAACTCATGTTTCGCATCGAACGATTGAATACACTGCAACGTACAAATCCCTCCTTGCGCCAAGAAAGGGCTGTTCTGGGTAGTGTCGAATGTCTCGTCAACTAGATAATGGAAGAGGGCTTCGAAATCAGCTCTCATCGTCCTGAAAATGTCCACCTCGAATATAGTCGCTCGAGAATCAGTTGACGGAGGCGGGTAAGAGCCAAATTTTGCTGTGTAAAAATCGACAAGCAGGTTTCGGAATCGTTCGAGATGTGCTCGAGCACCGGCGTATAATCCAAAGTTGGCTTCCGACAACTCACAACGTAGAAAATTCTCTACCATGGTGGCGCTCTGTCCCAGTCTAAGATTCAACTCAACTCGAGCACATCGAATGAGTTTCCGGCTCGCAGGAGACACAAGCTGCTCACGTTAGAATACTCTTAATTGAGGCGATAGAGCGTGTACACAAACCTGATATTCAGGGGCAATGAGCAATTGATCGCTCATACCACAACAATGTGCAAAGGCGTTAATATAGAGATCTTTTAGTTGGAAAACCTCCGCAAGGCGTAGGATGGCTATGGCGTGAGTTGGATTGTTCTTAAAGTTAAGATAGCCCTCTTCGTCCAGATAACTCGTCAAGTCCTGAACATTGTCTACGTCTGCCGTGCGAAATTCATACATGCTATGCACGAGACCAATGAGAGCGGTCCCTAAATTCTCTCCGACCATAGACCTTCGAAACACATAAGCAATGAAATTTCGGGTTGCTAAATGGTATTTATACGATTGTTGTTTGTCTGATCGAGAAGGTGCTGGGATGAAGAGCTCGATACGGCTACGTCTTGCCGGATCACTGTTGTCGTGCCGGACATGGCCTGTTGGTGTTCTGATATTTCGACCCATGAACCTATCAATGAAGGGATAACAGTTCCCCTCCAGAAGACCAGAAAAGGGGACTTTGAAAGCAGGCCCTCTGCGGCTCTGTCCCTGGCCGTAGAGATGGATGTAGCAATTTCCATCGCGATACCATAATTCAGGGTCCTATGCTAGACCCGTAAGCATCCAGCAAGGCCAGGGCCGTGGGAATGTATGTAACGTACCCTCTTTAAGTTATCCCAAACATTACTTGACATCGAGGCACCATCGTATCTAACGACACTAGATCTACGAGATGGACGCATCTCTACAGATTTATCAGACTTTTTCGTCTTCCAGCCTCGCGAACGATTCGAAACACCGTTGTAAAGGGACAGTTCCCGTGTGAAGGGTCTGTTGTCCATATGGTGTATGGAACGGTCGAGGGTGGGACGAGGACAAGTGCTTGCGTCGGCCATTGTGTAAGGCTCGCGCCTGTCTTTGGAAATCGGCCCCCAAAGCTCAGACTCATTAACTAATAGAGTCGAAATTCCCGACACCCAAAAGTTTACTTCAAACTCTTAGATTCTCAGGACCTATCACACAGATCGGATTGTGAAGTGCCGCTTCTTTCGTTAGGTCATAGCTGTGACATTAATTGTTTGAAATGGACCGAGCACTGCAAGACGTGTGCGTCTGAAGACGCATGCGTCGAACGGTTCGAATTCCATAAAGTTAATAAGGCCAGAGGGCAGCCCTTGGGCATACATCTACATCCTCCACGTAAGCTCAAGCATCTCGACTCCCTATCCTTATGTATACCAAGGTAATTTATTTGCCTCGGGGACCTAAAACATCTGCAGGTTGTACTAGTGCGAACCGTGATGTTGAGCGGAACCCGCTATCACCATGCTAACCGCAGTCTATTGACGATCCGTCATACGCCACTATCTGTACCGGAATGCCGGGTACTGCATTCCTAAATAGTCGAGTACTGGTAGTTAGTAGATTGCTGTGAAACGAATGTCCTTGCGACATCATCTCTTTGTGATGCGCCTGTAAACTTGTCATACCCAGAGAAATATATTTAGGAGATCAGCAGCCGAGCGAGCCTGTAGATTATGTTATGAAGCGAGAGTTGACCGTCTGGAAGACCAAAATGCTGTATGCATTTCTCGGCGCCCAATATCCTCGATCGATTTCTATAACCTTATCTGTTAGAGTAATTGATCAAAGGAAGACGAAGATGAATCATGAGATGTAACTTTAATTGTTGTATTTCGCTTGGGGTTTTCTCTATATGTCAATGAATTAGAATAGCTTATGCTCTAGTTTTGAGGGTACTAGATTGAGCCTTTGCTTTTATGTGTGCTGCAGAATCAAGTTGAGTTGACTTTGATCGTTAGCTAGCTCAGCGCCATCTACACAGGCGCTACAGTCGATTTGTGTACGATTTGTACTCTCGAATTATTTAAATCGTAGGCCTTCGATGGCAATTTGACGCTGTTGACGATTAATAGTATTCTAGAACACCACGTAAGTAGCATGATCTTCCAACAAGTCGTAAACTATGGAATCGTTCCAACTCGGGGAAGTGTCCGTTGAATGCTAGATAGAGCGGATATCAGCCCTGTATGGACCTAACTCTTGACTCACCTAGCCAGCTAATCCGGCTCAACTTCTTTTAGCTGCTAAAAAAAACTAGATGGTAGAAGCCTCGGGATGGGCTTTGTCATACTAGAACGCTAGCAAAGTGCTAGATAAAAGACGTTCCTGAATGTGGTCTTCACTTGAATCTAGTCAGGCACCATAGTGAAATCGCCAAGGAACTTCTAGAAAGTCTAGAATTTGCTCAAAATGAACTCTACCAATTCATCTTGTGCCTGAGAGAATAATAGAAGAGATGAGCCGAGTCAATCGCTGAGGTTTCGCATTCGCACTCAAACAAGATGCCGAATTCGAATAATTATGTAGTTGTACAAGAGTTCATTTTATGGCGGCTGACTGATGGAAGAGAGATGGTGAAATGATCACTTATCGATAGAGCCCCACCAACAGAGTAGCTGATATAATCATATAGCTTTGTTAATTGCACATCATTATACACAGAAAACGGAGAAGCTCGTCAATTAAGCTCCGAGCTACTGAAAGTTCCAACGCCTTTGTAAACGCGCTGCCACGTCAAGCAGCCAGCAAATTCTGTTTCATTCTGTCTAACAACTTTGAGTTCGTTTATAATCGCCTCAGTTTTGGTCAGATCGCCAGATTCCTGTTGACAATTACTTTACGTACGGCTGAAATATGCCGCCCCGAGAGGTCTAAATGGCATCGTTCGCTCCTTATACATATATCCAATGTCCATGTTACGATTCGACAAACCGCAGCCGTCCGGTTGACGATGCGCCCTCTCCTACCTCCCAAGAAATACCAGACGATGATGATAACCAGACATTCGACCCTCGCGCGCCTCGCTCGAATTATAGCTTGTACCCACTAGATTATCTGCTGTATTGCGATGTGTGTTCCCAGATTCGCTGCCCTCGCTGTGTCGCAGAGGAAATTGCTACTATTTATTGCCCGAACTGTCTTTTTGAAGTGGGAAGTAGTAGTCTTAAGACAGAAGGCAATAGGTATGTGCTGGACCTTTTTAGGTTCGGACTATTAAATTGTTGACGTGGTTTATAGATGTACACGTAGTTGTTTCCAGTGTCCAATATGTATAGGACCGCTCGCCGTACAATCCCTCGAATCGGCGCCCGAACCCTCGCTCTTGAGCGCCGAGAGCGCAGCCACACCAACTCCCTCGGGACCCTGGATACTAGCCTGTTCCTACTGCAACTGGAATTCATCTGAGATCGGCGTCAAGTTCGACAAACCGCAAGGCATCTTTTCGCAACTCGCGAAACTTCGTCATGGCGAGGATCACTCTAGACATGCCGTAACAAGCGGGGATGATGTCTCTTCTAAAAAGAGCGACGCGCCCGACACGACCAAAGCTCGGTTTGCGGCTTTAAAGAACTTCTACAATGCTCAAAACAACAACCTGAATTCGACAGGCGGGGTGGGTGGTCTAACCGGTATGGGAGACTACGGTTTTAACTCGCCAGGAGCACTCTCGCGCATTATGAACCTGTATTCCGGGAACAACATTGGCGGGGGGCTTAAACAAAAGGCTAAGGCGAGCATGATGCGAGAGGCCGAGACCGCAAATGAGGGTTTCCGGCTCAGTGATCTAGACGAGAGCGTCGCAATGTCAAAATTGCGACGCGACGGGTGGGACGGTACGGTAACCAGCGACCAGGTGAAATCGCAAGTCGAAGAAGGCGCGCGATTCGCCGACGAGCTTTGGCCGATCCCATATCTACTCCGTACAAAGCGGTCGAAGCGATGTCCCGTATGTCGACACATTATCAGCAAGCCCGAGTCCAAGGTTAGCAATACACGGTGGCGCATTCGGCTCGTGGCCAACAATTATATCCCCTCTATCTCCATCAAATCGCTCCACAACCCCTTCTCCGCTTCTGTCAGCGCACCACCAGTTGCCACAGCTTTGAACAATGGGGGGTTCCTAAAGCCATTTCAACCTACACAGTTTCTGCTTACTTTTAAGAACCCGATTTTCGACGAGGTCAAAGTCACGCTTGCGACACCGGCTACTACGCCCGGCCGTTTTGCGTCTAAGGTCACGGTATTGTGTCCGCAATTCCACATCGATGCTAATACTGATACCGACATGTACCTCGACGACGTGCTAAAAGATGGTGAAAAAGATAGTCGTCGGGGACGAAGAGGCGACGAAGGTACAACGCACCAAGCAGAGGCGGGTAAAATATGGGAGCGGGGACGGAACTGGGTCACTATTGTGGTAGAAGTTATCCCCGCATCACTCCGCATAGAAGAGCCACCCGCACTGCTCAGAAAAGAGGGAGACCCGGACCCAGACCTAAGCCCATTGAAGGAGGACGAAGATGTGTTGGAGATACCCATGTTTGTACGATTGGAATGGGAGGGAGACGTGTCACAGGATCAGGTAGGCAGTAACACGGCCGGCAAGGAAAAGGACGCGAGGGAGAAGAAAGAATTGGCGTACTGGTGCGCCATTGGCGTTGGTCGGATCAGTCAGGAATAGACTAATAAACATCTACGATACCCCCACGTACACGAACAAATCTGACTTGATCTAAGTGAATTCACGAAAGAGTAAAGCGGTTCATTAATTTGTTTGTGATTTGCCTTCATAAAAACCAGCTTGTCAATTTGAGTACAAGCTATCTAGACGCCGTGCCAGTAATGTTTTTTTGGCTCACCAGATTTGCCATGCTGTCATTACCGAATGAAAGACGAATCAGATGCCAAACTTCCCCCTAACCAGACCGGACCAGCCCAGATGATGATATCAACCCTGCTTAAAACTCAGCAGCGCCGGACTGAGGGAACTCGAAGGTGACGGTTCGGCCCGTCAGACGGCGGTAGACCTCAGAGTAGGTGTCTAAACGGTAGTCAACACCACCACGCTCCTTCTCGTCAAGAATGACCTTGAGGAGCTTGCTGTTGTCCTCCTTGGTTCGTAGACGCTTGCCGACGATCTCGACGGGGTAGACTAGATCGCTTAGGATAGCATCGTGGACAGCGGTCAGAGTTCGCGAACGGGGTCGCTTCTGCTTAAGGGTGTTGCGAGAGCGGGCAGATCGCTTGGGTCGCGGGAGGATACGGCGCGAGGCGAGGATCAGGACGTGGCGGTCAGAGAATTTCTTCTCAAGCTCACGGGTGAGTCTATAATTCCATTAGAAGCTGCAACTTAGTATTTAATTGAGTGGGATCTATTATAACTTACCGCTGTTGGACTCGGTGGAAGCCCTGTAGGGAAGGGACGGGGACAAAGATGACAATAGCCTTCTTGCCGTGGCCAACTTCGATCTAATTAAGACCCAAAAGTCAGCAGGCGAGCTCCAGGACACATCAAAATAAGTATTGTGTTCCTTGGACCGCTTCCCGTCCTATTCCATTGATATTGATATTGCTAAATATATTCCTATGCTCTTCATATCGAACTCGTAACAGTTGCGACAACCGTAGACAAGTCGTTTGTAGCAAAGAATTGCACGATCGAATCGAGGAATAGGGGTTTATTTGAAGCGATCCCAGGTGTCGGAAAGGAATTTATTCATTGGTTTCTCACCTCTCGGGCAGAGACGAACTGCAGGGGTCGGAGGGCAGCCTTGAGGTCGGCGGTGTTCGTCTCGAGGTCGTAAAGAGCACCAGCAATGCTGGTCTCGAGCTCCGACGGGTTCTGGCGCGACGGGCTGTTAGGCGCGATCTTGTTGAGAGAGGCACTCATGATTGCGGCTTTTGTTGTTTCTCAAATGGAATAATGTCGCAAAGGAGTGTGGGATTGGGCGGGTTGGTGGTTAGGAATTGAAGTCGCGAGGTGTTGAAAGTTGTGGCTCGTGCTGGTCAAGAAATTTCACAAAATTGTTTCGGAGTGGGAATTGCCAAAATTCAATTTGGCAAGGGTTTGTGCGCTATTGTGCACGGTCCACCAAGGGCTTTGGGAAGCGACCTCTAGATTTTCTCAAAACAGAGATCCACTGTGGATTTACTTCGGTCCCGAGATGATTATGTAATTCCATCTAGATGTAACCTTAGTGGAACTTAAAATTGTGAAGGGATCATGTGACCTTCCTATCATGACTTGCACAAGTGCTCGGCCCCTCAGCTTACAGCTTAAGGCTTACCTGCAATGTAATTATCATGAACACAACTTCATTCCACCTCTCTAACTTACAACCAACAGTGTAACAATAGTGGTCGTTCTCGATCCCGCCTCAGTCCTATACTATTAACTTGTGTCATTTTTTTGCTATAGGCACTTGACTCTTTGTCTCTAATTCTAAGACAACCCATCCATAATGTTCAGTCTAGTCAAGCCATGACAAATCTTCAAAGTGCTGATCTCCATTTGCAACATTCTATTTTATGAAAAAATCACTTTCTAAGCTGCTCTCTATTTTAAAGACTACTATCCTATAATCGTCTTAGCTGCGTCTGGTGAAAAAAGATTGCATGCTATACTACTCCATGGGTTCTTCGACGGGGAGCCAATTGCGACATCAATCTTACTGCACATCTATACCAGGTAGTAAGTCAGCCCAGTGGAGTCCTGAGCCTCAATTATAATACTAGAGCCTCAGCTGGTATTATAGTTCGTAACTCTTCCGCCGAAATATTTGGTTTCCCTACGGATCGCGGTAGATTATGGGGACTGGCTAAGGCTTACAGGATCTTTATATTATCCTCATCCTCATTTATTTGTCCGGACCGAGATATCACAGCAATCGGTAAGGGAAACACGATTCGTATTCAATAGGACGGAGCTGTCATCGGGTTGAGCAGACGGACCCAGCCTGCTGGGGATCTCCGCCAACAATGATACCGTCCAATGTGCAATTATACTGCGCCTCCACCTAGGCTGACCTGCAGCCAATGAGACGCGACTGATTTTCCTAATTTAGTGCATCAACACTTGGTTTAACGATGCCAACCAACCCAAAGAAGCCAACGTTTTGCTTCTTCTAATCGAACACACTGCCACGGCAGCCGTGGATACTATCATGCATTATCGGCCCCCGTATCTTTAGCTTGAATATATGCATTTTTGCTGATCGTTGGACGTTTGTGGCTTATTATGGACGCTTGTGTTCCATCCTCCCATCAGGGCTCTACCCAGCACCAGGTTTGCGTATCCCTTGGCAGAAGGGGGGAGACAAGGAAACAAGCAAACTCATAAGATGTTGGTTGCTGCCGTAACAATCCCAGGGGATTGGTCTCGTCCTTAGTTCTGTCCATTGCTTTTCAACTTTTCTTTCTTTAGTGGCCAACCTTTTGGTCTATAATTCTTAATTCTCCATCTACCTAATAACTCATTCCCCCAAATGTCGACAACTCGCGCCGACCTCGGGCTCTCCTGCCCGGCCAAGGGTAAATTCTACGTATGCGACTCTGCAAAGATCCGTTTTATCGGATGCTGCACTATCGACCCGTGTGCGGATGGTAGCGGGAATTGCCCTTCGGCCAATCTAGCATCGGCAAGCTTTTCATCAGATCATTACGACAGTATACCAGCACAAAATTGCGCCCCGCCTAGAAATGTCACCAGGTGGTTTACTTGCAAGAGTTCACAACCCTTCTTGGGATGCTGCGGTGATGATCCATGCGCGAATAGCGGATGCCCAGCAGGACAACTTCTTCCAGCAACTTTGAGCGACGACCCTACCAATGCCCAAGTCTTTCTAACTACGACATCGTCTTCTCCCAGTCCAAGTTCGACACCTTCAGGTTCTTCTGGTTATAGTCTTCCATTAGGCGCGATTCTTGGTATCGCTCTCGGAGGCGCCGCGCTTGTTGCAATTATCCTCGCTATCGTCGCGTACAGATGTGGTTGGCTAGCAAGGCGCAAGAGACATGAGAAGGCCGCTGAAGGAACGCCCAGTCACTATAGCGGAGCAGGACGTGAGTTTATCCCATCGCAAAAATTGTTCCTCTACATAAAACTAACATTGAAACAGCATACTCCCCCGGCGCATCTCCTTGGCACGAAGGAAGTCAGTCTGGCGGACATAGTCCCCGGTTCCCATCTCCTGGCATCGCACCTTATTCCCCTTCGCAACATCACTATCACCCTACGTCACAGTCACCGCCACCATCCGATTCCTGGCACGGAGATAGCAGACATGTATCCCAGATGTCCGAACTAGGTGGTGGATGGAATCCAGCGTCCGGCGACCGGAAACAAGCCCATTACGCGCCGTTATTATCACCACCAGCTATGGAACTAGAAGGTCGCGACACGGAGCGTCGCATAGTAGCCGAACTTCCCGCGGGAGCAGAATCGAACCACCGGTGATAATGAATTTCTTACGCGAGCATAGGGTTAGAGTCGGAATCGTGCTTCTAGGTACCTGTCATGCATACTGCCGGAGTTAGGGGATAGGGATTGTATCTATAGGTTACCAAAAAATTCGTGTATATTTAACAATACCCCCGTATAGGGGCGGAAACACCCACGTGTAAAAGCCTCATATGACAATAAGATTATTTGCTTGGCAATGGCAATATAAGATATCACATGGATTCGGTGAATTCTACAGGCTCGGGATAATATCTTCAGCGACATGAATACGCCGTTCAAGACTCCGCCCCCGAAGGATCCATGGAACTCTAGCTGAGCCGCATGGCCCGCTAGTCTGGTGCGTGATACTGCGGTCAAAAGCGGTCCTACCGAAATAATACTATTCTCTTAATTTTCATTCTTTAACCATATGATCTGTTGGTAAGATAATTCGAAACTGCATTTCGTTCCACGCGTCCTGAGAACCAATTGTGTCCAATAATTATCCCCATCCTATTTTAATTCATAAATAAACGAGCATGGCCAATTTAATTCGTATATCTCACCTTACTAAATACCAAGTCGCGAAATTACTTCTCGTCTAGCTGTGATGTTAGTCCTAAACTCCAGAATACAAGCGCCGCTCGGGCTTATCAACCAGCCAACTCATCCCATGATCGATCGAAAAATACCGCTACCTATTTTCAAGACACGCAATGTCGCCAATGCAGAAGAAATCCGATCCGGTTTAGTAGATGGCATTTCGTATCGCTATCAGCACGGTTACACCCCGTCAACCGGCGTAGGAGAATACAATCCCCGATGGTTAAGACATACATATCCAAAAACAAGCTTTGACTACGGTCGTGGCGCCGCCACTTATGTGGATTTGAAAAGAGCTGAAGACGGATCCCTCCTCCGGGGCAACTTAAGACAAGTTTGTGTTACAAACGTCCCGTATGGAACTAGTCGGATGATATCTATGCTCCTCCGAGCTAGGCGACGCCACGGAGCCAGCAATGAGAATTCTCAAATCCTAATGCTGGTGTCGATAGTAGGAAGCATGGTTACTTTTTAGCTGAATGCACCTGATGTTCGTATTCCGCGGCGGATCAAATCGTAGATACGTGACGAGTTCTATACTACTAGCTCCCGCGAGGCGCAATAGGTGAGGGGTCTGGGTAGGTTGGGCCACGGTAAGGGCCGTAGATCGGGTTTCCATCCGGGTTGTGGGGAAATTGGTAGATATTGACTACCCGTATGCACCTAGGCACGACGTTAGCTACATGTAGCGATAGACAACAAGGTAGATTAAGGGTGATGGAATGGTGATGATACTAAATCTAATTGAAGAGTGTTTGTAGCAATTGTGGGACTAATTGGAGAAATCAAATATATAGGAAGGTCCAGATGTCCTAAGACTGCTGCATATGCTGCTCTGTTGGGTGTATTGTGCCTTCCCGTACATATAGGGTCACACCAAACTATAACTCACCTTACCAACTACCAGGACACACCTCTCAAATTCCCCTCCTTTCTAAACCTTCATTCTTAAATCATTTTCTTGGTCAGGTTCTGCCTCAGGTATTTCACGAACGAACCCCGTATGTAGCATGATGTTTTATTACAATGAATTCACCTTCTATTATGGGATCCCCCGAGACTCCGGAATAGTTACAGAGGGTTACTGACTAATTGTACCAGGAAAAGCCCAATTCTATCTATCCAAGCTAATTTCCCTTTTTATTCGCCGAATTCCTTGTCGTACTCGGTCATGGTGAATCGATATCGGACGTCGCTCTTTCGAAGCTTTTGCACCGTCTTGCCTAGATTCTCTGCACTGATGGGGACCTCCTCAACCCACGACTTAATGCCCTTGTCCGCAGCCAATTGTAACATCTCCAACATCTCACGTCGACTTCCTAGATGCGAGGCACCAATCAAGCAACCGTTGTCAATGAGGTCTTGAGGCTTGATCTTCAACGTCGAGTCTTCTGGTAGACCAACAGATACCCATCTACCATGGACATCGAGAAGGGCAAGGTAACCACTTAAGTCGAACCCTTCGCCGAAGTTGTTGGCTGTGCTAATTATTAGGTCGAATGTCATGATGTGATCCTTGTTCCAGTCTTTGTCTTGTGTGGCTAGGAACCCGTCGGCACCCATTGCCAAAGCGTCGGCCTCCTTGCTGTGAGATCGCGAGATAACCCACGTCTCGGCGCCCAAGGCTTTGGAGAAGAGAACTGCAAAGTGTCCCAAACCTCCTAGACCGACGACGGCAACCTTCTTGCCAGGGCCAGCACCATTTCGTACTAACGGACTATAACTAGTAATACCCGCACATAACATCGGCGCTGCAAGGGCGCTTGGTATCGCATCTGGAATGGGAAATACCCTATGAAGCGAGAAAGATTAGGGGTATTCATCAAGATATACACTAAGCAGTCCTCATACGTACCAATGTTCGTGCGTCCTCACGTGGGACGAAAAGCCACCTTGGCTCACTAAGCCTGTGTCTGGCCAGACAGCACCGTATGTGTCGAACTGTTGAGCACAGTATGTCTCGTTATCGTTTTTGCACTGGCGGCATTCTAAGCACGACCCCGACTGGGCACCGACACCGACTCGCTGTCCCGCTTTGATGAGAGTAACCTTGGGGCCTACCCTCAATGCCTTGCCAACGATTTCGTGACCGACTGCGAGAGGGAAGTGCTGAGAACCCCAACCACCGGTAATGGTATGGATGTCGCTAGCGCATACACCACAGCACTCGATCTTGATCTCTACGTCATGGTCGCCGAACGGCTTTGTGTCGAACTTGTTCTTGTGGAACTCAGTCCAGGTCGCAGCCGATTCGACCTGGAAGCCTTCGTATTGGTCGTATTTAGACATACTTGCGATATTTTCCGGGGGTTAGAAGCTGTTGCGATACAAAACCTACGAATTCTAATGACGAGGGGTTATGGAGGGGCGGGAGGCATAGGTATTTGAAGCCACGAAACTCCCCACATTATACCCCCTCCTCCCTGGAGCTCCTCCTAAGCTAAGAGTATACTCCCCAAAGACAAATCACCCTTTTATCCGCAATAGGCAAGCCAGCCGCACTTGAGGCACCTGCGTCCTGCGCAGGACAGGCTCCAACTTCGGAGCATTGTAGCGAGCTGTATGTTTAATTCGCGAAAGAGGGGCCGACACTAGGAGGTTAGTCCAAGAACTTCGCATTGTTCACCAGCTTAGATGATTAATCCGATGGCCCATGCCGAATGTCCCACCACTCGGGTGTTGAGGATAAGAAATCGATATCGCGAGGACGGGATTTCATCCCCCCGAAAAGAAAACTAGTAGTGGGTTTCAATTGCTTTAATAGGAGGTCTGTCTCAAAAAATATGGCGCGAATGTGGGGTACCGCTATATCATTAACCACAAGATTTCTTAGACTGATTGCGCCGTGGCAGCCCCGGAATTCCCATTGTCACGATAATAAAGATGTAATTTAAGGCCCAACAGTTGGCTTGACCTAAAGTCGATGCGATCGAGCGCGTATCCGCAGTAGTACCCCTATTTCTTGCTCTTGGATTGCGGTCCCAACCCAACTCCAGCGAGAAAAGCAATTCTCATCGTCGCACCCAGGTACACGAATGGCACGTTCCCCCAATCGATGGCATTCCACTGCGACACATCCCCATAGACCCACAACCCAAGACTGGATACCGAATATAGGTGTCCAAAGTCGGCGATTAGTAGTACGAACAGCACTGTATTCCAGACCCGGAGATCGCCCGTGGACCGCAACACTAAGGCTTCGTTGAGCGCGAATAACAGGTATAGGTTGGCGAGTTGTGACATGACAATTGATGTTCCAAGCGGGACCCGTACGAATGAGGAATGTGCTGTCATGGCGAGGTACTCATTTTGCCGAAAATGTGCGTAAAACGCGCCGACAAGCGCGGATATCGGTTCGATGATGAGAAAGAAGGTTCGGTAAGCGAGTGGGAGAACGGTTTGGCGAGGCGCCATGTCTCTTTGATTGGGTTTGTCCTCTTTGCTTTTGGTTTATTTTTTCTCGCTTGTTTAGAATGATGCGATATAAAAGTTTATATCATTATTTTGGTTACAATTTTCAAAATTAAGGGAGGAACTTTTTAATCAACTAAAATTGGAAATTTCAGACCGCTTGAGATTCAAAACATTCGGTTTGGAACAACCTTAATCCCTTGAATATTTTCATGGAAACTTTCTATCTATCACAACACTTGACGAAATTAATGTCAATTCGCACGAGTAACATTCCAGAGCCAGCCCACTTACGGGCTACAGGAAAACGACACATTTCACCCCTCTATCCTATGAGAATGGCTTGCGGAGTAGATACTGAGTGAATGCACCCTACCCTCCTATCGGACAATTTCCATCCAGGGGTTCTGTTTTCTATTTCATAACAGTGATGAAAATCATTGGTACATTGCTAGATGAAGATCTTCATAGTGAAGAAATTGAAGGTGTGATGCGCTACGAGCTAATGACACCGTCTAGGTATGAGCGATCTTATCAACACTCAATCGATGCGGTGGGATACCTACTTTCACGTTACACGAAATTGTACCCGACAGCAAGTTCTGGAGCTCGTCAGAATTTCAAATAGGGGCAGCACACCGGTTTTTCGGGGGTGGGTCGTATCACCTCGTGGGGGTCATCAAGTTTTGATATACACACCATCGATGACGATAGTGGCGTTCTCATACAGAAACATTGCCAGCCACGGGGGTTCATGTCGACGGCCACGGAAGACTGCATACATCAAGTACTTACTTATATGTACATGCCCCTCCACGGCAGCTCGTGCTCAAGTTTGTGGAACTGAGCGGATTTAACATGCCGACCCGTGTCCGATATTACATGCATGATATAAAAGATATCTCTGGCGCTTCCGGGCCTTATGTCCGGACGCCACTACATGGCCAAGAGTATGCGGCCTAACTCATGCATGAAGCTCAATCTGGAATTCCTGGCTTGGTGTTACCACTTACCCGGTTAGAGGGAATGAAAGTTGAAGAAGTAACTACGGTACAGTGTGTATTAGGTTGGCGAGAGTAGCGTCCATACTCAATGTGACAAGGCGTTTTACACAACCTGAGGATATGCATGGCCGACCATCTTAGGGACTTTGTCCGCATACAGAACCAGGCGCTACCCGGGTGCTGGAAGCGTTTTTGCGATTGAAAGATGTGATAGACGCCCATAACTATACTTAGGTATTAGCCCCTTGCGTTGCTAATGTAGCGAGGCTCTAAGGGAATGATGGTGAGGTTTGTCCGACGTGATATATCTTCCGTGTATGGCATTCCGGACAGATACCTAGGTACAACACGAACAACATATGTTGGCCTGTTGTACTATAGTGGTTGCAGCTAGGATTCTAGGTAAGTCTCACTGTTCGACAATAAACGGGCTGACCGATTTGCATCTGCGATCCAGCTTCAGTAAATGCTGGACGGCCAAGACTGAAATATCAAGCTTCAGCCCTACCTTTTCCTAGAGTAGATCTTAAATGGCCCAAGAATCATATAAATCCATAACGATCGCGACGAATCAGATAAAATTCGCGGGGTGAAGTACCACCGGGCTTATTTTCCTTAGGGAGACGTCTTGCAGTAGATAGCGCCCAATTTAAATGTCATGAGTCAAATTGTACACTGAATACAACCTAACTCTAGGCAACCTCAGCTGCCAAGGTGACAGTCGTCCAATGCGCAACACAAATAAGATCCGGGGTAAAACGGCCCCCAAGCAGCTTTAGATATATAATAAACGTTGTAGGTTCGGTCAGTTTTCCGTTGGCACTTGCTCAAGTAATCTTTATTGTTTGTATCATCGATTGGCGTTGAACTTTATCGTCGGTAAACGTCCACACCCAGTTCATCATGGCAACTCCAGTTGAAATTAACCAAGATGTGTACTCGGAGGGTACATTATCTCATAAATCAAGTCGTTCATCATTCAGCGAACATGGTGATGTGAGGGGACCAATGCGCGATATTAATGATGACGCCTTATCCATGGTCTCCTATCCAGATCTCGCTGGACGCAAAGGATTGTAAGTTTGAGAGATGTCTGCACCGCTAGGACAGCGGATTTGACTTTTAGTAGTACCAGCCCTGACCACGAGGCTTCAAAGTCCGTGTATGAAGCCTGGGAGGTTCTTCTTAAGGATGATACAGTCTACTTGGCTAGCTGGAAGCTCTTTTGCGGTATCAAATACGGGTGTAGATGGTCGGTCTATGACGACGGGTTTCTGGACCTCAGGCCCCTGACCAGCTATGGCCAGGGAGAACTCGCTGATTTGCACGAGAGTGCAGTTCAAGAATACGAGGCAAAACACTCCAAGAAGGGAACATCGTACGCGCAAGACCTGGCCAATCGAGTTTCTGACCTGGAAGATGAGGTATACACCAAGGTCCAGCACCTCATCGAAAGTAAAATGGCGACAACCAACAGGACACCATTCCGCCGACGGGAATGGCGCGTTGTGGTGCTGGAGGAAAGTGAATACCTCATGACAGAGCTACCCCCACAGCGTAAGAAGAATCTCTTTTGGCGCTGTCGACAGGAACCGTCAGCACGGAAGGTTTTCCTTATCATTCATGGCGAGGAAGTCAAGGCGACTAAGGAGGAGGGAGGCTGGCGGCTGTTCAACCGCCATTCTAACCCTTGGTGGAGAATCGACGCACGGGAGACTCAGGAAGCGCGTAAGGAGCACCAACAACACTTTGACAAGGTCGACCAACGCCTTGCTATGAGACGACGTCCTATCGTTCACGATAGACCGAGCGTGAAATACTCTTAACTTAGTGTTTGTTCGGAGATTGACTCAATAACTGACTTTTTTTCCCTTTGTGTTTCCCAATGATGCGACGATAAACAAGAATGACGCTAGCGAAGGAAATGGATTATCTGCCTATTTTAGTCTGTGTCAGTATAACGAGAATACCTGTTTGTGTGGTCACTCATTGTCAGCTAGCTAGCCTAGGCTAATCGGGGATTTCATGTTTGGGTAGAATTTTTCCTATTGTACGAAACTAGTTCGTCTTCAAAGTGAGGCTGAGATTGGCGATACAATTCAGAATCCTTCACTCGCAGCTAAGTACTTAGTGTGTGTATGAATGGAACGTCGCGTGACTTGTTATAGGTTTATGGTATGGTTCAAGGGAAGCGGCTGTTGCTAATTTCGAACCAACGATCAGATTTCATAGAATCCGTTGACCGCTCAGCTGGTATAACACTAGTAGGAACTGGGGATGCGACATGAATCCTAACGCGGGGCTTAGCTGGGGAAGACCACTTATATTCACTCTAGCCTCATTGACGAGAGCGAAAGATAATTTTTTCTTTCTTTTCTTTGAATGTCGGTGATCCGGTGTGGCTGCTTATGGGGTAAGATATATGTATATGCCATTGAAATGATTCGCGATTGGTGAAGTTGGAGTTCGTCCCATTAAGTTTGTTGAGTCTAAGTTTGGTATCGTCGTAAGGGAGAATGGTCCATCCAGTAGAATTTGACACCGAAACAAAGGTTACGGCGGCAGAAGCTTAAAAATAGGGTCCTTTGACGTGCAGCAGAAACTCGGTGACACGGTTTGGACCTGAAACGATACATGATCTAAATAGGCATGCACGTATAAAAAGAATGTACCTGAACAGTATCTCACTACATTTCAACTGTACCTAGGTACCTATATCTGCCTTTGTATCAGGATACGTATTTGATCCTCAAAGGCCAGACATGCAGACTTGGTGGCTCAGGAACCCATCAAATCCCTTTGTTGAATCTGAGAGATCTCATAAGGTGAAATGCATTGTTCTGTTGTCTTCGAAGTATTGAAAAAGACTTCGTCATAAGTGGTTCTCATGGAGCCAGTGAAAATGAAGCTAAGGACGGAATAAAACAAGACGTGGTTGGTCGTATATACATGGACGGGGATCCCCGAAATTCAACTTGAGCTTGTAGCTGCATCAACCCGTCTTTTGGTAACTTTTTTTTTTCTTCCTTCATCCCATTAAAGGAGAAAAAAAAAGATTCTATCCGGCGCCATCAATAACTACACCGCCTATATATTTTTCTTCTAGACAAACGTATACGAGTCGATCTCAGTTTAAAATAGGAAAACGGAACTTATGAAGGGGTATGTGAAAAAAGAAGAAAAAAGTGGAAAATTTCCAAGGCACTGTACCTAGTCAGGTACAGCGCTGGTAAATCTTGTCAAACTTCTCTCTTTTCCTCCGAAACGGACCAATGCGATTTCTTTAACAGCGCAGACCGGCGGACTTGGGACATACGCTAGAAACGTCGTGCACCTTATACGGACTTGCCTAGACTCAGGTCAATCTTTCCCTTTGCGTCAGAAGGTACTTATACAGTCAAGCCTGACTCAGGAGAGGCGAATAAAGGAGGAAGGAGCAAGGAGAAAAAAAAAAGGTTGTATTGTCCAGAATACTGGGTAGGTACGTTCCCCCTTGACGTACAGGGCACTTAAAACATCACACCAATAAAGAGCGGGTGCCGGCATTTGGACTTGGTAGTTTGGAGGTACATAATTATGCTGACCCAGCCACAAAAAAAAAAAGATTACTTGCAAACTTAATTAACGGTCAACCATTAACGGTTTTACAATCGCTATTACCACCACCTACCTGTACCTAAGGTATTACGGCTTACATTCTTTCGCCTTGCCGGCGCATTGTTTACTTCACCAACTATCCGTTCTTTCTAATCTCTCTGGCACTTCGTCTCTCTCTTATTTTTTTTTCCTTGCTACTACTCTATACGCCAGAGTTAACTTCATTTTCTTTAATTTGTTTTTATTTTCTAGTTTTATAAAAAATTGCGGCCGTTTTACTGCAGCTTGCGCACTCCTATCATTCGCTCCCAACGTGGTTGACACCGAAATTTATTAATATCGAAATTTTTGTCGATCGACACAACTAGACGTATTACCGACATCTAGTTTAGAAAATTCACCGACCAAAATCATGGTCGCGTCTACCGCACAAGGCCCCCTTTCGAATGGGCCTATACCCGCCATACTCCATGCCAACTCGGCTTCGTCAAGCGCAAGTTCGTACTCCCACGATACCGGCTTAGAATTCGGCGACCAGCAAGATTCCACAAGACCGACAACCGCGAACCCCTTTAAGCGAAATCGCAATGGAAGCACCTCAGGCGAATCACTCAAGGGCAGGATTAGACGTGCTTCGATGTCCCTAAAGGGAATTGTTCTCCGTGAGCGTCGCGGTTCCGAATCAGCTGCTGACCACGAATTACGACCGGGAACCTCGCACTCGCCCTGGCACAAATTGCGACAAGCGGCCAGCTTCAGACACTCGAGGACATCTTACGGTGGTCACGGTAACCTAGAAACGATCTATTCACCTCTCCAGGCCGAATTTCCGACTCTCCCCGTTCCGGGCAATGGCCTTGCGCCCCCGATTATTCCCTGGCACACCGGTGGTGCTGCTAAAGCTGCTGCTGCTTTGCAGAACCAGTCTATGCAGTACCACGAACTTATGTCTCTTGCCGAGTCTCAGAACGACCGTGAAAGTGGCATTGGAATTCCTTTCACAGCTGCCGTCTCCCAAGTCGATATCCCCTTACTTCCAAGCACACCAATAATTAGGAAAGATTTCATTGCCCAGTTGCCTGCAGAGCTTGCTATCCAGATCTTGTCGCATTTGGATGCTGCCCAGTTGGCCATCGCAAGCAGGGTATCGCAATTTTGGCATGGTATTGTTTATGACCAGCAAATTTGGCGCGAGTCTTTCCTAAGGGAAAAGACGAACACCTACGCCACTAGTCTTCCCATCCAGCCAGGAACCGGTCGCGGCGTGCCCTCGGTATCTCCCAAGAACGACTGGCAAATGATATATAAAGCCCGAGAGGATCTAGATAAGCGATGGAAAATCGGGAAGCAAGCACGCGCCGTATTCTTGCATGGGCATATGGACAGTGTTTATTGCCAACAATTTGATGAGTATGATTTCTCTTGACTCCCTTTCCCCCTTCCTTTGCCTTGACCTATTCGCTAATGTATGAGTAGGAACAAAATCATCACTGGTTCTCGAGACAAGACTATCCGAATCTGGGATATGCACACTCTCCAATGCCGTTTGGTCATTGGACCGCCGGATGTTGTGAACGACACCAATATCCTATTCGACCCGACGGGACATCCCACCCACTACGCCCTATATCCCGATAACGAGCGCATTAACCCATCGGTACCCGTTACAGTCTCGTTCCCTACCCACCACAGCGCCTCTATCCTCTGCCTCCAGTACGACGACGATATTCTGGTGACCGGTTCTTCGGACTCTAGCTGTATCGTTTACAGTGTTCGCTCCGGATACAGACCTGTTCGACGCCTTCAATTCCATACCGCCGCCGTCCTCGATCTAGCATTCGACGACAAGCATATCGTCACATGTTCTAAGGATTGTAGTATCTGCGTGTGGGATCGAGCTACAGGTGCCCTTATCAAGCAGTTGAATGGCCATACCGGTCCCGTGAATGCGGTACAACTGCGCGGGAACACATTGGTGTCTTGTTCTGGAGACTTCACTGTCAAGCTCTGGAATCTTGACAGCGGCAAGGTGATCCGCGAGCTCACAGGGCATACTAAAGGTCTTGCTTGCAGTCAATTCTCCGAAGACGGCCGCTATGTAGCTTCCGCAGGCAGTGATAAGATCATTCGCATTTGGGACGCCAATACTGGCGAATGCCTTCGAGAGATCAAGGCCCACGAGAGTCTCGTGCGTTGTCTACACATTGACAGCGTGAGCGGACGTCTCATTAGCGGCAGCTATGACACAGACATCAAAGTCTTTGATATGGAAACTGGAATGCAGAAGTTGGACTTCCCCGGTTGGCACGCTAGTTGGGTGCTAAGCGCGAAGTGCGATTATCGCCGCATTGTCAGTACCGGTCAAGATGCTAAGATTCTCCTTATGGACTTTGGTGCCGACGTGTCGAATATCAAAATGCTTGAGACCACTCGCAAGCACGAAGTTGCATGCGATGGTCGCAATGCAGGTTTTATCTGAAGGAATGCGCACATAGGTGAGCCTCTATATTTGGGCTGGTATGGAGAGCGCATATCATGGCCGTAGGCGTCTGTTAAGATCATTCATGCGCGAATTGCGCCCCGCAATTCCAGCATCGACTAGGCATTCGAAGGTACTCGAGTTATAGGCGAGCTCGTCCTCACGAATTTTCCTTATCACGATTCTTCGCCACCAAGGGAGTTTACGCAGGTTCTGATTTTAAGGCATGGCATATGGACGAGGGGAAGCGAGGCGTTTTATCTTTCATTCACACTGGACTAGAACTCTAGATTCGGGTTACAGAAAAATTAAGAGAAAAGGCGAATTTAGATCAGGTTTTTCGGACTAGCCACCCGTCATCTTTTTTTCTGCATCAGAGCATCATATTTCGTTTTCTCTATATCCGTGTTTTATTTGTTAGGCAGTCCTGTTTCCTGCGCCTTTCACACACTTAGTGTGGTTGCATATAGATTTGCATCACCCGTTTGCTTAGGTACATAATGAAGAATCAAAAAAATTCATGAAGTGTCTATGAGCTGTCCATATTGTTGGGTCGACAAGAGGTCCTCAATAGCAGAGGACGAGCTCGACGTTTCGCAGGAAGATGTTCCCACGACAATCCTATCAATCTGGATCGCCTCTTTCCTGTCAAGAACCACGAGTCTCGCGACCGTGATGCCTTTTCCAATGAAAGACTCTTGCTTCTCTGTGATCGACTTGTCCCTTCGGGTTTATATCAAGCTTGGTATCTCCTTGCTCAACGAATCTACCATTCGGTATATCCATTATAATAGCGCTTCGAGGACAGGGTCTATTGTCCGCATACATAGAAGTAATATGCTGGTTTTGGTATGCACCAAGGTAAAGAATACTACCGTCTAAACCGTATTCGCCTGCTCCCATATCGAGGAGGCTTTCTCGTAGGTGGTGGTGCTTTGCTGTTGCACTCAGCAGAGGATCTTCCCGGACCAATCCTCCAATGGATTGTTGGTGTTTGGTCTAGACATGTGGGGGAAACTCAAGGATGGCTTTCTGGATTTCGTGATGTTTATATATGTTTTGTGATATATATTGTCGTTTAATTTCTATATCTTCTTGGCCCGTTCTGCCGCAGTTGCGATTCTATCTAAGCACAAGAGCAATGTTTCACGTTTCTCCGAAGCCCGGGCGTACAGTGCCGGTTGGAAATACCAAGCGATTCTCAGATATCCTCGCATGTTGGTCTATTGGCGATGATTTGATTGGGCGATCGTGAGGATCAGGTAAATCGGACGGGAGTGGGAAAGCTTCAGCAATGTATCTCTCGTTTCTCTATGTTCAGTGCATTCATCGACCCGATTGAGTATTGCGTCTAGGCGACGGAACAATGTCTTCGTCGTGTATCCTAGTAGCTTCACATGCAGTGTTTTAACGTTTCTTTCGTTATATTCTCCGTAGGGGCAGGTGGAAGGGAGTACCGCATAGGTCGACATATACTACTAGTTGTGAAAGGACGATGGTATTATGCTTGTTGCTAGAGACTCCCCGACTCTGAGAATTCAATCACGTAGGCTTTGAGATAATAAGAAATACATCATGATTATTTTGTTAAAAGTTGATGGGGGTGGTCTCCTAGTGACTAAGGATACCTTCGAGTACATCTGTGGTACATGAGACGTTTCCTAAAGAACTCCACAGATACATAAGTAGGTATTTTTATATAAACAGGATAAAAGTATTTGTTCTTATAAAATAACAATAGATGATATTACTCCTAGGAGTACCGAGCTTAGATATTGAGTTAGATTGACGTGAAAGAATGCCAGTTCGGTCTCGGGGTCTACACATCTATATGCCCTTCGGCTGTAAACCCCCCACGCGACCCCGAGCTAGTTGGTATAGATAAGTAGCACCTAGTTAGCCATTTTTTCAAGCAAGTTTGTCTCCAAAAAGGAAATACCTCATTGCTAGGTATAGTCAATATACATGTTTTCTGCTTGTCTCAATACCACAGGCATCTAACGTGCGTGATTTAGACACAAGCATTATAGTACAATAAAAAATAAAGCTTTCACTCCAGGCTTGTTAAAGCAAATCCGCTAGCAAACTCCTTAATGCAACAGGATAGGCAAAATTCACGTTACATTTTGCTGAGTTTGTTCCCAAATCCAGTTCCCAGCACCGGCGGTTCCCAAACCCAGTCCAAAATGCGCCTCCAGACAGCAGGGCCGTCGTGTTCCATATCCATTAACTCCTGTAACTTGGCCCAGGCCTTCTCATCTAGCGCTTCATCGAACCCGAACCATCTTAATGAATCGTGGATCCGTAGTCGGGCTGTCTTGGAGTCCTTTTCCGGATGTCCCTGAAATGTTAAGATGGTGTTGCTCTCGCTTAGTAAACACTGGTTTCCCTGTGCTAACTGCGTGAAAGTTGTAGGTGCTTCAGCGACTTCGCGCCTGTGGTGCTGTTGCAGCCTAAAGGAGCCTAAAGTGGCTGCTTCAGGGAAGAACTCTCTTCCAGCCGCTGTCAAGTTCACAGTAGCTACGCCCATCTAAGAAATTGATAAGTTATTGTGTATATTGTATAAATTTATGATGGATTTATGTGGATAAGCAGATAGATAGGGGCTTAGACTACAACTTACTTCTGGGCAGGCAGCATCGACGACCGTACCGCCGAAAACCCGGGTGATGGTTTGGTGACCCCAGCAGATTCCCAGGACTTTCTTCCCGGGGTACTGGGTCACTAAGCGTCGGAGAAAGTCATGCACATCCAAGATCCATCCATGCGACTTACGCGGATCGACGTTGGACCCGCCAAAGACGATCAAGTCAAAGCATTCCGGGTCGGGAAATTCGCCGCTCTTGTTGGCGGGTTCGTAGAACGCTAGCCTGGCATCCGGAGCAACGGCGCCGATCGTACGCTCATAAGAGGCTCTGATAGCAGGGAGTAGACGAGATCGATACGAATTTAGTAAAATAGCGATGCGAATCGGTTGCTGCTGTGGTTGGGGTTCGGCACCAGATGTCACGGAGTACATGGCGCTTTGCTACTAACTGTTTACGGGTAATGAGAGACGTTTGTGTAAGTGAAATGAAGCGGTCGTACAAATACAAGTACTCGATTCGGGCATGTCTGTTGAAGACGGTAATGCCTGTACGAGTAAGCTTGTTGGTCGTTGAAGACAGCCAAAATACTACACTATGGTACAAAAAGAACAAGAAGAAAATTGGTATTTTATTTTTTTACGATGTATCTGGGAAGAAATGATGGAATGTAGCGGGACAGACACGGGTAATGACATGAGCTGGCATGAGCTGAGGTTAAACTGGGTTGTCTGTGCCTTGCCCGATTGGGAATGTTGTGGATCCTGGATGGAAGCCGATTGGCCAGAAATGGTCATGAAGCTCAAGCTCGGAGCGCCATGTGCACCTTCCGTAGCGCCTTGAATTCCGGGGCAAGCCAAGCTAAGAAACAGGCTACTTCCTAGCTGCCGACTGCCGTTTGAAAGTTAAGCCTAAAAAATAAGGGGTTTATGACGCCACATACGGGACTTATTGCCCAGGTACAGTACATAGATACCAAATACACTTTCCGAAAGAGGTAATATCTAAACAGAGGCTGATCGGAGGTATTTCCGTTCTACTTTGATATAAGCCTTTGAGATTCCTGATGGAATAAAAAGGTCTTCCCTTCGTTGCTATGCTGCTCCGAAATGTGTTATTCATAAGAAACATAAGTTATATGAGTAAGAGGAGAGGACGGAGTTATGATTCTAGTCACTCAGGTACGTATGTCAGATTACAAACGCCTCATTTACTTACTCATGGTCTTTCTACCAGCTTGTGTTCCCTTCCCATCCACCTCTTAATTTACCAACCACCTCAATTCATCCAAACTTTCCAGCCATCCACCTTCCTGGGTCAGGTCATTGCGAACATCAAAATATCGATATCTCACGCAGCACATAGATCCTGCGGTTGCGGTGGTATATGCGCTCGAAAATGTTGTGCACCTACATACAGGTACCTACTAGTCAAGCACGTAATACATTAGGCCTAAGCTGAAAGAGGCGATAAATATTTGGATAGTTTTCGATCGCCGTACGTACGACCATTTAAATCCCGCCGGTCGAGCTGTCGGAATGATAACTGTGTATTTAGTACCCTAAAAGATCAACTTGGGTGCGCCAGCCCCATCATGAAGCAGCCCAGCACGGCAACTAATTCCTCGGCATGTTATCATCAAACAGATAGATCTCATCTAGGCCAGGGTCCCTACCAATGAGATAACCGGGTTTACGGCACCACGGCACGATAACGACCCCCTTATTGATATTACATCTGACCAGCCCAAAGACTGCGAGGTTACCTAAGTAATATGTACCTCACTCGATAAACAGAGGATGCCTAGTGCTTAGAGGGAGGAAAGGGTGGTTGCACAGAGCCACAATTCGTCGTTGTCTGTCAACGTTGGCTGACATGTCTCAAACAGAAGAAAGTAGTTGACTCGTTCGCAGGGAACGTACCTGACTGACTGAAGTGTGAAATAAGTATATGATTATGGCTATAAGTGGGTACAACATTGAAATCAAGTTTAACACTTTCTAATGCAATATTTTCAAGTGCAATATTTTCAAGTGCAACACTTTCTAGTGTAACAACCCAAGTGCTTTAGAACATGCTGAACTCACTGATTAGCAGGGAGCTCTTAGGCTGCATTGCATGGATTTCTGCATGTAAACGTGCGGCGAACGGTATGCTGAAGAACCAGATCCTATTTTCTGGGGTAAAGAAGGTAAATCGACTTCTTATTAATTGTAGACAAGCAAAACGAAGGAGAACGGTTAGGTACTAACAGACCAAGTGCATTGCTAACCTCACCTCTCCTTCTCAGAGTCCGTAAACTACCTACCTAGGTAGGTACCCTGTTCAAGCGCCCAGGACAGTACGTAATGTTTGTAGTACAGGGGCTCTGCTGGTAATCTACCCTACGTAAATGATAGGCCCTCCTTGAGTGAAGCTGCAACAGCTCCGCAGCCCCCACTCTCCGAGCGTCAATATCAACATTTGATGGCTGAAGACGATGTAGGTTTTATCCTTTTGGTACTGGTCTGTATGCGAGAGCATCTCTTTCAGGAGCGACCTACCAGGTTCTCGGGGGCAGAAATATCCAATCCTAGTGATAGATCAGATTCGTTTATGACAAATTCGAGATAGATCGAGAGGAATCGAAATTCATCGGAGCAGTTCGTAACATTTCAGCGTTATAGTGGTTATTGTCGTCGAGTAACGAAGAGTACAGACCGTGAATACCACTGTGCAAATGCCTAGATAGCCATAACTCTCCCCCAGACAGACTCCACACATGGTGTCTCAGTTACGAGTAAAGAGGTCGCCACTGTAGATGATTTCCCAAAACCCCTACGTAGATCCAATGTCTGGATTATTGAAGATCTTATCAGCCCGAAGTGGATCGAAAAAAATAATAATGATTAGAACCAACAGTTGGCAAGGGTTGTGTTCGAACTTGGGCTCGATGGATAAGACGAGATACACTTGGTCGGTAGAAGCAGGGTCCGACACTCCTGCTCGCAGGCATCAAGGCCTAATAGACGTTAGGTACCAGGGGTGGGAAGTTGAGTGAAGCTGTGAGTACGGTCGTCGGGGTCAGGGTACTTCCAGTTGACCGAGATAGCATCTTATATGCAGCCAGGACGATTTGTCATTGTCATACTAGGTATTGATGTATGTTAAATCTAGATATCTGTACTTTCAAGTACCTTAGGAAGATATCGGAATTCCTAATGTTTCGAAGGTTTTAAAGTAGCTCATATTGGCTCTGATAACGCCCGTGTGTATGTTATCACTTGATTTCCCATTGATATTCTTGTACGCAAAGCCTCAGCAAGACATACAGCACAGGGGTAACCCCTTGCACATCATTCACAATTTCTTATCATCGCCTTCTACATATCGTGGCTGTTAGTTCGTGGTAGGAGGACCATGTTACTGCTGACGAAAAGACGGCATCAAGTGTCCATTCTGCTCCCGCTCCTCCACATTACCACCCCTTGTTCTCCACTGATCGGAAATGCCCCAGGATATCCTCGGGTCCGTCGTAGACTGTACTTAGACTGTACTTAGAATGCACTGAGGGAGCTTTTGTAAAATGGACGCTTCATAAAAATGTTGCAAGTCCCGCCGTGTCCTTCCCGGGTGGTTCTAGGTTGGTTTCATCGATTCTTCTCTTCTGCAATATTTTTGTGGCATATAACTCTGGATTGAATGTATTGGCATGTCTTAATTCTTTAGCAGATGGTGAGCTAAAGGAACACCGCCGTATAGGTACTCTCCTTCGAATCTCAATACCTTCGCTCGCTTCCCTTACTCCTATTCCAACATTGCTGGAGTATTCGTGGGGTCCGCGGAAATCCTTACACATTCCAATCTGCATCTAATCACAGCGTCTGTCACTTATCCTTCACCCATATAATCCTCTTTCATTTACCTCCTTGTGTTCTTGCTAAGAGTTTATCCGCGGGAACGGTTCTTGACTCATCTTCGGGAGGCTGCACAAGACCTGCATCGCTACCAAGAACACTGGTTCCAGACCGCCAGGCTGTACTGCAAACATACCCAACATTGCTCGACTAACAGAGTTGTCAAGCGGGGTATTGAAGCCGTTCCCCGACCTAAGAACTCTCACGGAGGACCGACAGAAGCGGCGGTGAAAATCGGGGGAAGGAGGGGTGTACGGACGAGGCAAGAAAAAGGAGACAAGACAGACACTCAACTTCAGCATCAGGCAAATATCGAAGATGCTTATCAACCCAATGGGGCCCCAGGATGTCTGGGATGGTCTTCCAACGAGTGGCGACGTCTTTGCGTCTCAGTCTCACTTTAGCAGCAATAGCGAGTGGAAGATCCTGCAAGAGCTCGTTCTTCGACAGCTGAAGGATAGTCCCATTCTCCTCGACAGATTCTTAAAAGACTTGGGAACGTTTTTGTCTCAGTCAGTACCGCAAAGCACAATGGACGACCAGCAATGGCTCCAACAGATAGCTGGGGATAGCGGAGACGAGCCTTACTTGGTATGAGAATCACCGCTTGACTCCATCCTATGTGACATCGAAAGCAAATACTTACGTTCGCTTGTATTCGCAGGCCGAGTCCTTTTATAATAGTTATTTCCCAGCCCCTGACGCAAGCACTTCGTACGCTAGAGCTCAAACGAGTGCCGCTGGTGTCTCAGCTGTAAATGTCCGAAGAGACTATGACCCGAGTCACATCCAACAATATAAACAAGAGCCGCCGGCAACAGGAGACGAACAAATGTTTTTACCAAACACCCCCACCGCAAACGCTTATTCTCGAGGGTATGGACCCGGTTACGATACTCGACAACCACCCTGGCAGGCATACAACACCGGAGGTATCCCTGGAGGTATCTCAGGAGGAGTCGGTTTTATCGATTTCCATCCTGATGGCTTGCCTAGTAGTAGTAGCGCCTGGCCTCAACCCGGTCAAGCCGTCTTTGGAGAACCTCTGGACAATACCCAGGTGAGTCCTAGCAGCTTCTCATCGACCCACTCCTCGACTACATCGGACGCCATGGCCGCGATGAGCCTCGACACCATGACAGTACATGGTGACACAACCGGGAACCCGCAAGCCAGTGGCGCTGTTCCCGGGCCGGATAACTCCGCAAACACCTGGACGCCGAGCTACCCCACCACCATCGCTCCAAAGATGCTGCAGATCCACCCATCTCCGACCCCAAACTCTTCGTCAGAGTCCATTCCTACCACCATGATCGCCAATGGTGGTGATGCGGATCTTGGTTCCTCCGCGTACGACAACACCAACAACCAATCTCGCACCACCCAATCACCGAGGCCGGCTCCCAAACTGCGGAAGGAATTGCCAGATAGGCCAGCGAGATTGCGGAACTCAGGTAGCGCGTCCTCATCTTCCAAGCCGTCGTCGTCTTCGAAAGGCAAGGAAAACGCGGCGGCCAGTCAGTCGCGCACGAGCCACACTCACCGCCACCGGCATCACCAGCAACCACAAGCACCGCAGAAGACTAGAGTTGAGCAGCTAAAGCGAGAGAAACAGGACGACGCGCCTCGTAGGGTACCGGTACCAGACGCGCCTACCCCCGCCTCAACAGCTCGTAACGCGCACAGTTCTGGTAGTGCCAGTGCCAATACCAACGCCAATGCGACCGCGAGCCCCGCCACAAGCCCACCCAACAAGGATGGACGGGCAGCTAAGGATGACTTCCTTGTCAGGTCACGGATGGCAGGCGTGACGTACCGCGAAATCCGGCGCAAGGGTAACTTTTCAGAAGCCGAATCGACGCTGCGCGGACGGTTCCGGACTCTGACTAAAGACAAAGAGGCGCGTGTGAGGAAGCCGGAGTGGCAAGAGAACGACGTGAGTACCTCTTACCATACCCTTGCAACATTTGAGAGGGTTTGAGGAAAGGTCACGGTTTCTGATGGATTGCAGATTCGCCTACTCAAAAAAGCCGTCCGCCAGCTACACAAGGGAGGAGACGACCTCGCGGTCGCAAAGGCGCCTTGGGGACAGGTCGCTGATTACATCGTGACTAATGGTGGCTCGTACCAGTTCGGCGGCGCGACTTGTCACAGGAAGTGGAAGGAGTTGGTAGAAGAAGGCGAGGTAGGACGAAAATGAATCAAGACAGGGCGAATACAACATTCGCTTCGCTTAGCTAATACGAAACAAAGAAATAGACGGATAAACAGGTTAAATGACTGAGGGTATCAGTGAGTATTCGGTTTCGAGGATTTGTGTATGAATAAGGAAACCTTTAAACTCTTGTGTATTAGACGGTGTAATGTATCCGCGGTAGAACCAAGGAAAGGAAATAGTATGTATGTACTTACAATCAAAATACGACCTCAAGAAAGGTCCTAGAGATACTCATTCGAGGAAATAAAAGACAGTCATTTATTTTCATATTAATTCTAGTTCATTCAATGGGGTTTCTCTTCATGGAGGCACACCAATTGCCTTGAGAACATCAAGCAGCATATCGGGATTTTCTCTCAACGCATCCCACTCAGCTTGGTTTTTGACAAGCGCCGTACCAGCCAACACTGTTCCATTAAGCGACACTTCACCAACATCCTCACCCGATTTATTCTTGATCGCCGCGCCCTCTGCCATTCTAGGGCATATAACCAAAGAATTGCTCGTCATCGCGACGTTATAGCTAATTTGGGCCTCACCTTCGTCCCGCACTTTCGCATCCGGAAGCACAGCTCTCACAGCGTCTCTATACAACTCCAAGTACGCACGATGCCGTTCTTCAGCGCTCATATCGGGGTGCATGCGCGCAGTAAAAACCCTGAAGGGTAGTTCCTCATCGGACTCGGTCAGATTGTCCGCTAGTACGCGCCAATCGCTACCCCCAGCAACGCCACTTAAGCCGTCTTTCATGCGCGAGACCGGTAAGAGCTGCAGGTGGCGATGTGGCTGGCTGGCGCCTGAGTGCGGTCCCGAGTTGAAGAAAGCAAAGAGGTCTTGTCCCTGTTCCTGCCCCCCCTCCTCTTCCTCGCGGTACGCTTGGATACAAGCGTACGTCGCTGCCAAGTCGTCCCGTTCCAAGACGTGTGTCTGTGGCTTGAAATTCCTGGTCACTAGGATGAAGTGTTCCGGCACCACAGCGAATTTGTTCAGTACTAGCCTATGGGAGGGTGCCACTTCTCCGATAAGCATATCCGGCGAGGGGTTTTCGAATGGATTGAAGGGCTTCCCGCCTGGTTGCCTGGGCTTTGGCGCTTTGGGCTTTTGTGCTAATGCCGGTGAGAAGCGTAATTGAAACTGGAGGGAATGAGTGGTGAGTAAGACACTGGTATTTGCTTTTCGGTTTATATGATAGCGCTCACAGCTATGCGACCAGGTGTCAGGACGGCCACCTGAGTCGGGTAGTACGTAACGTCGCCATTGATTTGCGCTTTACTAAACGCCGTCTTGACGACATTTGGGAGATTCGGGGGCACAGTTGGACGTGCCATTTCCGACATTGTAGCGGCTAAGATAACGTGGATTGGTGGAGTTATAAGATTGAAATCAAAGACATTACATCGTCATACCGTCATATGCAAATTAAATAGTCAACCCGATTTCGTGACAGCTGCTTGCCAGCTGTTCTAAGAGAATGTTTATATGCCTCCCTTGACAGAGTTATAACTTGTGTACGCGCAAAATTCCAACCGTCTTAGCAATCGTATATGATCAATCGTCTTACATGCGTAACTACCTAGGGATATCAGCCAGTCGGGACAAGAGGGTCTGTGAAATAACGATGGGGTTTTCTGATGATACCTACCTAGGTAGGTAGGGGGAATGTGCGATTTTATATACTTTATATGAGTAGCTGAAGGGCTACATGGCTCGATATCTTGCGAATCACGAGCGTATTGTTTGAACATAGCTGGCTATAGGGCTTCTTACGAGATGGCATCTACAGACATCGGCATCTTCCTTCCTACAATCAATGGCTGGATTGTATCGACAGCAGTACCGCAGCAGCTTTCTACGTATGAGTTGAACAAGCAGGTCGTTCAGACGGCCGAAGCTTACGGAATTGATTTTGTGTTGACTCCTGTCAAGTTGCGTGGTCTCGGCGGCAAGTCTGGAATCTGGGACGATGGGCTGGAGGCTTTTACGGCCATATCCGCTCTAGCTGCCATCACGTCTAGAATCAAACTCTTCGCTTCTTCCGCTATCCTCGCCCTACCTCCGGCTGTAGCCGCTCGTATGGCTGCCACGATCGATTCTATTGCACCGGGCCGCTTTGGAATCAATATCGTCACTGGCTGGCTCCCGACCGAATATGCACAGATGGGCCTTTGGCCGGGCGACGAATATTTCGGCTATAGGTACGACTACGCCACTGAGTACGTGCAGGTCATGAAGGAGCTATGGAAGGATGGCGTGTCGAATTTCAAGGGGAAATACTTCGAGATGGATGACTGCAAATTGTCTCCCCGACCGAAAGATGACGTGAAGATTGTCGCAGCTGGCCAGGTAAGCACATAGATGCGAATAGTATGTTTTCTCTTTATTAACCCACAATGCTAGTCCGGCAGAGGTATCGAGTTTGCCTCCCAAAATGCCGAATATAACTTTATATTCGGCCTTGGGGTCAACACCCCGACGGCGCACGGTGAAGTGGCATCTCGCCTTGTGGAGGCCGCTGCCAAAGCGGGTCGTGATGTTGGTTTGTACGTTCTGTTTTTGATAATTGCCGACGAAACAGACGAGGCAGCCCAGGAAAAGTGGAAGTTGTATAATGAAGGTGTGGATACGGAGGCACTCGGGTTTGTGAAGTCACAAACCTCGAAGGACAGCAACAATGCCGACCCTAAATCCACGTCTGCGACATTATCGCTTCCGGAAGGCGCTATTACTGTGAATTTGGGGACCTTAATCGGTTCGTACGAGAAGATAGCCGGCATGCTTGATGAGGCCGCAGAAGTCCCGGGGACAAAGGGGATCATGTTTGTATTTGTTGAGTGGCCGAATGATGTAGAGGTCTTCGGTCAGAAGATTCAGCCACTGATGGAGAGTCGCCGAGGTAGGATCCATGTTGAAGTCTGATGAACGTGGATATGATGTACGAGTGCCTAGCTGGCATTGTTCTAGCCACGGCAGTTTGGTAATTTGATGGGCATATGATATCTTTGGATCAAAAGGAAACGAGCTAGGACGCACATGTCAGGTAGGTAAGCAAATATATGATCATGAGCAAACTCTGATGAATCCCGCATCCTGGGTCTTACATATTGGAGAATTGGTCATATCAATGGGATTAGCGCGTTATGCTTCATGGGATTTATCGTGTCCGTAAATGAAAAACCAGTGATATTCATGAAGATATATTTGTAGAGCGCTTGGCTATCGAGTAGGTACTCAGGTACTTGATGAGAGGATTGGTACATTTTTCGAATAGTGTTAAAGGCCTCAGTATTCTGACATGTTTGCTCTAGAAAAGCAAGTATTGTCTTCACCCAATAACCCGAAACACACTTATCGTGAGGGAGTTGTACAAATCACAAATTAAAAAAAGTCCGAGCCGCCCCACGGACAAGAGCCGATCTGTGTAGCCGCCTCGGCAGACCTAGCGTGGCCTGAAATAGTAGGTGGACCCTGTACTTAGCATGGGTACCCCCGCGGTTTGAAACTCAATCCCCCTACTCTGTAAGTACCTTTGGATGTCCATCATGACTTGATTCTTTAGTTAAGTAAATTCCAGGGGCTGACAAAGAAAAGTTGGAAAATAATAAAATGTTTCGAAACGCAGGCAGACCGACAGACCAGCCAACCGGATGGTCGTACGATATGGCTCGGATCATACAATGTACAGCTGATACATCATTCTTTTGTTTTTCACTCGCATATTGTCAACTCCGAATAAATACCCGTAATTTTGATTGTGCAATGGTGTTGTTTCATGCGCCGTTATTTCGTTGAGGTTTGGTTGGTTAGGGGGTTTAGTCCTGCCGTCGGCACATAAATACTAATTAGGAATTTTGTGATCCCATCAAGAGGGGGTATCTTGCGCACTTTAAACCTGAATACATAGATACGGATGTAATTAATTATCTAAACATTTAATCGACGGGTTTGGATATGACAGGCTATTACGATGCTGGGAGCTGAGAGTTGTTGAGGCTATCACCAAAGATAGGTTAACTGGTAGGTTGCAATAGGACTTAATAATTCGCATGCGCCTAATTGCTCCTCCTCAGAAACGTGCCTAAGTATAGATACATCTATTAATCCTGAGTGCAATATGCGGGGTGGTTAGAGATGAGAATTACCTAAGACTGAATCCGAGATGATCCAATAATTCCTTCGCAGGACTGATGTTGAACGGTTTGTGGCAGCACTCTGTGTCAAGCAGATACCCCAAGCAGATATCGTGTATGCAGTGTATGTAAATTCCTAGCACTACAGGATGCAAATGGCTTACTCAATACCAAGACGTTGTACCTATTCATCTGTAGAATAACTGACCAGTCAAATTGAATAAATATGAACTAGCTATAAACGTGATACAGAAGAAAGCAATGTGCCGCCAGCATCAAGTTTTGTCTAAACTCAAGAATCGATCCTGTTCAGAGACTAGGTACGATTTCGTAGATCATTATTACGCTTTATTGTAGGTAGATGGGATGGGGAGTTAGGCCAAAGAATGGAAGGCTATGATTGGTCAAAAGTATAGACGCTCCAGGTTACCTAGGTATCGGTAGAGGTTTACAACCTATCGATAACAGTAGCCGCTTCGATCTAAGGACATTTGAAACTCCAAGAACTCCGATGTTGACATCATTTATCACAACTCCTAACAAATCATTTGTATGCTTTTACCGTAGTACCTATTCTGTTATTCGCCAAATATAATCCAATGAAAATAAGTGGTTGGACATCTTTATCTCCTAGAAAATAGCCTACATTAAAGAACTTGAAATCAAAATACAAATACAAAGTAAGTCAAGTCGTATCTAGACGATATATACATAGGTACCCCGGATATGTTCCTGCGCCACATTATGATAGGCTACGAAGAAATGTAGATCGCTAAGGATCGCATACATCCCTGCATTTTCTGCAGGAACAGACAGCAGATGACGAAATTTAGGTGATGCAACCACCAAAGAATTATATGTATATGGATTTGAATGTTGCGCTCCATGCCCTCGGGTTGACAACTTATGCCCAATACATTTCTTTGTTTCGCTTTGATCAGATCTCCACAGCTCCAGTCTAATCACCTAACGACTTGGAATCTTAGTCCGTTTATATGGCGTTTCTGTAGCTAAGTAACCAAAATAAGCAGTAATAATTTTCCTTTTCAGACTATATTCTTGCTAGATCTCACAATATCCTATCATAGAGATGAGCTGAAAGGAATCACGAGCACAGGGGGCTATCATAGGGCTAGAGGTGGACATGCTTAGGTTGCAGTCGAATCGCTCAATGGAATAGAAAGCTTGGAAATATTTAGAAACGTCGTGCATAAAGTAAGACAGCTGCTAGCTATTGATTGCTACTTTTGGGAAGGTCCATACCTTTCATTGGATCACAGGACATCACGCTGTATCAAGACCATGTGGCAATCAGATCTTTAGTAGAGATGAAAGCGCGACCTGGGGGGAAGAACCATGCACTTAGAAAAAGCGGTAGACTTACTCACTTTAGTGATGTACTTTTGAGAAGGTACGCCCTCATCTCGCAACATTTAAACCTTGTAAGATATGCAAGTATATATACTTGTTTGTTCTTTCCTTTAATCCCCCGACTCACTGCTCATGTACAATCGTCGTCTACTGAGCAGGTGGGTAGGTACTCCCTGCTTCGCCGTTTATCCTAAAGTGGGTTGTATTGTGTTGCTTAGGACTGTGCCTCGTTGCCGCTGACAATCCACCTCCATCCGTCTGAACCTCCAGCTAAATAATCTCCACACCCCTCAACGCCGAATCTCCTATATCTTTTCACATCCTCGACACTCAATTCGAGTTTCCCATTCTTAGTCCTTCTTTTCTTTGCCATTCCTTTTTTCTCCTCACCTACAGTCCTTACACCATTAAGGTAGTCACTCATTCAATCATTCGTTCATTTACGTCCCGGGGACTTTTCCCCAAAGATTGCGCTATCCCGACCTGCACTGCGTCAGGCCATTGACTTCGTTGACTTGGCACAAGGGATCTATTTACAAACGCCTGCAACAATCGTCGTGACCGTAAGTCTCTAATTTGAGCCCATTTCTTTTGTGCTGGTTTGTTTGATGCACAAAAACACACCGTCCAATTCGCCCATCGAGTCACGATTGGATAAAGCCCACCCTACCACGTCTTTATTATTGATTCCTTACTACCGACTCATTCACGAACAATCGCTATTGTTCGACAACTATCCATTCACATAAAACACCCCAGCCATAGTATTTCGTGACGCCCCCCAGTCCAGAATCCCAATTATTGTAAATCCAAATCCAGCTCCTTATTATCCATTTATACGTCCTAATCCTTACCTATTTCCACCTTTCCATCCTTACCACCGTCAAGTACATACGTATTTTTAACCAACATTATTATTACCCTGTCCATATTTATCAAACCATATTTTCATTACCCTCCTTTACGATCAATCTCCCCGGAGGAGTAGCGACTGATTTTTCATAGTACCGGTCATATCAACTTTCCTTTTTAGTGCACGAGCCCTAAATTCCATCTAGGCATAGCTGGTACCACCCTTCAAGATGGGACTCTCGAAGTTCCTTACGGCTTCTATCTTGGCACTCCGCCTTTTCTCCGGTCTCGCGGAGGCTGCCCAATCTCCAGGTGTACAACTCGATGTGCACCTCGACGCCCAGCAAGATGCGGGCTCTAACTATTGGGTCTCCAACATAAAGCGCCAGGGAGTCGCGGCATTTGGTGATTCTAACCTCAAGATCTTCCGTAACGTCAAGGATTATGGCGCCAAGGGAGACGGCACGACGGATGACACCGATGCAATCAACAAGGCTGTCCAAGATGGCCCTGGCCGATGTATCGAGCACTGTGATTCCCGAACTACTGCACCCGCTCTCGTATATTTCCCTCCCGGTGTCTACATGGTGAGCAAGCCGATCATCCAGACATACTATACCCAGTTTGTTGGTGACGCAAACGACATTCCTACTCTGAAGGCGATGGCGAGCTTTGATGGCATGGCCGTTATCGATGCGAACCCCTACAATTATTCTACCGGTATCGTTCCGCCTCCCGACCCACCCCCGAACTGGTACGTCAACCAGAACAATTTCTTCCGCCAGGTTCGCAACTTCATTATCGATGTCTCCGAAGCGGCACCCGACAAAGGTACTGGTATTCACTGGCAAGTCGCCCAAGCCACTAGCCTGCAGAACATTGTCTTCGAGATGAGCCGCGACACCAGTAGCAAGAACCAGCACAAGGGGTTGTACATTGAGAACGGATCCGGTGGATTTATGGCTGACCTTACGTTTAACGGTGGTGGTATCGGCGCCGACTTCGGTAGCCAGCAATATACTACCCGTAACCTGACGTTCAACAACTGCAACACAGCTATCCATCTGAACTGGAACTGGGTCTGGTTGATGCACGGTGTTACTATCAACGGTGGAAAAGTCGGTATTGATATGACGGGCAGCGATATGACCAACATCCAAGTTGGCTCATTGCTACTTATCGATAGCAAGATCTCAAACGTTGAAGTTGGTATTAGCACTCTGTACAACACTGAACTTTTGGTTACCAACAACACTCTGGTTCTGGATAACGTGGACATGACCGAAGCTGTTCCCGTCGCCATCAAGTATGCGAAGGATAATAGCACTATACTTGAGGGAAACCAGAAGATTGTTGGTTTCGCACAGGGTCGTCAATACACAGGGACCAGCGGCAAGGCGGTTCAGACGGCTAAAGAAAGCATTCACAAGCCTGATGTCCTTCTTGACGGCGCGGGCAAGATCTATACGCGTGTGAAGCCTCAGTACGAGACCATTTCGTCTACTAAATTCGTTAGCGTAAAGACGGCCGGCGCCAAAGGCGATGGCAAAACCGATGACACTGAAGCGATCCAGAAAGTCCTTGACAACGCCAAAGAGGGGGACATTGTCTACTTCGACCACGGTGCATACATAATCTCCGACACCGTTAAGATCCCTAAGAACATCAAGATCACTGGAGAGATGTGGCCGCTTCTCATGGCAACAGGCAAAAAGTTTACCGACGCAAGCAAGCCTGTACCTGTCCTTCAGGTCGGTGAAGCTGGCGATGTTGGTAGCGTTGAGATGTCTGATCTCGTCATTGAGACCAAGGGTTCTCTACCTGGTGCTATCCTCATGCAGTGGAACTTGGCTGGATCTGAAAACGGTGCAGCAGGCATGTGGGATGTACACTTCCGTATTGGTGGATCCGCTGGTACCGAGCTACAGTCTGACAAGTGTAGCAAGAATGAGAACGTCACGACCACTGCCAACCCTGAGTGCATGGGCGCGTTCATGATGCTTCATCTCACAACGACAGCCTCGGCATACATCGAGAACTGTTGGTTCTGGGTTGCTGACCACGAGCTTGATCTGGAGGATCACAACCAGATTAACATTTTCAATGGTCGTGGTGTCCTTGTCGAGTCGCAGAAGCCCGTCTGGTTGTGGGGCACTGCTTCCGAGCACAGCATCTTATACAACTACCAATTTTCTAACGCGCAGAATGTCTTCATTGGGGTGGCTCAATCTGAGACAGCCTACTTCCAGGGAAACCCTCCTGCTCCTGACGGCGCTATGGTCCTTGATGGTTTTTACGATCCTGACTTCTCTCAGTCTTGTGACGGCTCTTCGAACACCTGTGCTCGTACTTGGGGTCTCCGTATCACAAACTCGTCGGACATCTATGTTTACGGTACTGGCCTTTACAGCTTCTTCGACAACTATGGCCAGAAGTGTGTGAACGAAAACAACTGCCAAGACAATATGATCAGCATCGAGGAGTCTGACCAAGTTCACCTATTCGGTATTAGCACCAAGGCCTCGGTAAACATGATCACTGTTGATGGTCGATCTGTCGCTCTTGATAAGGACAACCGAAACAGTTTCTGTGCCGCTATCGCTAAATTCGAAGTTGACGTCGGATCAGGATCCCAGCCGGGATCAAACAGCACTGGACCAGGCTCATATACTACTTCGGCGACAGGCTCGGCATCGGCTTCGGCTTCGGAGACGGGATCATCTGGTACAGTTATAACCTATCCGACCTCTAGTGTAGGATCGGGCTCAGATTCGGGTTCAGGTTCAGCCTCAGCCTCAGCATCGGGTTCGGGTTCGGGCTCTGGCCCATCAAGCAGCGGTTCGTATGGCGTTACCGAAACTCAGGCCACGCCTACCCAAACCCCCACACCAACAGGTAGTTACGTCCAACTTGGTGGAGGCTCGAGTACCGAGACCCAGCCTGCGGCACCTGAGACAACATTGCCCATCCCTTCCGAAACGCCTGGTGGTGAAGAGGATGCCGTCACTGTGACAATTACCGCGACGGTTACAGCGGCGGGAGCTTGCTCTCAGACGCCGTGAGGTGCGGTTACTGAGACACATTCCCTTCCCCGTACGCAATCAACGAGCACCACCACCGAAACGGCAACCATCACTCCTGGCGACTGTGCGTCCAAGATAGCACCAATGACATTTGTCAAGAACCCATGAATGAGTACAATAACTACCCGCGGACGAATTTCCTTTCCACTTCACTTCTTGTACGGCCATTGCGGCATTTACATAGTATTTTATTTTTTCCTCACTACATGCGGGATGAGAAGGCATCGATGTTCATAGCTATACGCCAGGGAGGATAGGAGTTCGATAAGAGAACAGGATTGCATTTTCGAGATACCACTTGGGTGCCGATGAACATCGCTAGGATCTCAGGGAGGGAAAGTGACGGTCGGACGAGGCCATAAAATAGTTTTGCTGCTTATAAATAAAAATGTATTTATTACACTTGGATCTTCTACTGTGATTTGTGCTATAGGTTCGAGTAGATTCTAATGATATGTGTTGGAAAAAGGGCGAGATTTACAAGTGTACTTTTCTGCTATAGAGGGCTGCCTATCGTGACGCTAGTACGAATCCGGCAAGTCCCGATGTGGAGGCCTGCGCTCAAGCAAACGTCATCGGTGGCTTTACCCTCCGTCAAGGAAATCTAGAAATTACTCGGTCTACCTAAACATTCGCAACATTTGAACAACGAGCTTGCCGATTCATTGCCTTTCACTTTAATTCAATAATAGAAGCTATATCCACGTTAGAAGACCAATACATTATACTTTTTCTTCTTTTATAACATAAAATCTAACTTGCCGCAGAAACCAACGGGTACAAATACTCCACGAAGTCGCATGCTGCTCTCCTATGTATCATGACCGACGCCAACGATACCACGAACACATCGTACTCTCTAAAAGCGCGACAAAAAGCGAAAATGGCCGGCGGAAGTGAAGCTAACGGGCCTAATTTCTCTCCGTCCTCGTCGATCCCCACGAAACGTAATCCACCGTACTTACCAACACCCCTCGAGACTCTTGTCCTGGCGGCGTACCCGGCGCTCCTCGCTTTCGGAACCGTGTTCTCGATTATTAGTCCACAGGCGCTGCGCGCCGACGACGATAGTTACGCGTATTCGGCGGAACATCCTGCGCCTAGTTACTTCGCGAGGAAGGATAATGTGTTTAATACGTTCTTTGTGAAGAGAGGGTGGGGATGGATTACGGTTGCGTTTGCGCTGTTCGTTGGTACGCATGCTACGTTTTCTTCTACCGCGTTTCCGCAGAGTGGTGCGGTGAAGAGGGTTAAGGCGGGAGTGAGATGGGTTGCGGTTACGGCATGGTGGATTGTGGTTACGCAGTGGTGTTTTGGTCCGCCGCTTATTGATAGGGGGTTTCGGTTTACCGGGGGGAAGTGTGAGGTTGCGACAAAGGTTGTGGTTAAGGAGGGTGTGCATGCGGATGCGGGGGATGTGTTTACGGCGGCTGCTTGTAGGGCTGTCGGGGGACGGTGGAGTGGCGGGCATGATATTAGCGGGCATGTGTTCTTGCTGGTGCTTGGGAGCTTCTTTTTGATACAAGAGGTTGGGTGGGTGGTTTACCGCGCTGGGAGAGCGGGTGGAAGGGATGAGAGATGTGTCGTTATGCCTGATGGCGCGGTGAAGGGAGCCGGCGTCGAGGCGGAAAGGACTGGGAGTACACCGGAAGAGAAAGAATTCGGACTGGGAGGGAAGTTTGCGGCGGTGGTTGTCGGGCTGTGTCTTTGGATGCTGCTTATGACGGCTATTTACTTTCATACGTGGTTCGAGAAGGTTAGTTGGCTTCATCTATCCCCATTTTCTTCGTCTAGTTCCTACCACCTATGAGTTGTAGTTGCTAACTTACTATAGTTGACTGGGCTATTAGTAGCTGCTATGGGCATTTACCCCGTCTATATCCTCCCACGATGGGTACCAGCATTAAGAGCTATTGTTGGTCTCCCTGGCATATAAATACGGCAAACGAGAAAGACAGAAATCATTGTTAATAGAAACATACATCAGAGTTGCATAGCGTGTGACGATTATTGAGTTGAAGAGCTGGGCCGTTGCAAATGATTTATCGCGACTCAATATATACACCTATAGATATCCCCTTCGCGTGGAATGGGAAACTAATATAATGTTTCTACAATATGTTTATATCTAGAGAAAACGAGCGAAGTTATACTACTGAAGGCCTCCCTGGCTCAAAATCGTGTAGTTCGAAGCCGGTTTCTTACCGGGTATGGGGTATAAGTATCTATCTCAATCCTCATATGCATCAATTCTAATAGTATATCAAAGTACGTACCTAGGTACCTGATGTACAAAGATGAACAGATTTAAGTTGCCCCCAAATATTCGCACGGTCACTCGCGTCGGGCCGACGCTGTACCACCGGACCGGAGTATCTAATTCAAGAAGTGGCGTTTTTTAAAGAGGCAGGGACGGGCAGAGGGGCTATGCTAGAAATTTCCAGGTACTATTTCCGCGTCCTCCCGTTCCGTTTGAACCCTAAATCCTTCATTTCAACACCGTCTCACATTGCAACGCGATCAATGTGATATTGATGTTTCACTGCCTGAGAAGCGAGATAATAATCAAGACCGGCTCTACAATTTCAAAATTGCTGTTTATAATATAATATATAACAGATCACCAAGCAATAACGCCGAGTCCTTCATCCAAACAACCAACCCGCCAGCCCGCATACTATTTATAATTATATGAATATCCTCCGCAAAAAGATCCAGTTATAACAACCCAGGTCCTGTCGCGAATTGTCGATGGGTCTGCCTAATGTGGTATGGTATCACCAGGTACGGATGTAACCCTACCGGGTAATGTCCCTTTCTATTATGCGTCAAGCTTTTCACGTAGCATTCAGTCTATATTCTCTATCACCCAACCACGCGAATAGGACTTTACTGCCCTTGCTCCAAGTCTGAGCCCTAGCAGTCTATGTAAGCACTAGTGACATCACTGAACATGTCCCGAATCCTTCAGCGCGCGTCGTTGGTGATGCTTTGGCTGCTGGGACATGAAGAGGTTGCATTCATAAGTGGCGGACCCCAGTCACAGCCCAGGGCGTCGTGGTGAATAAGCGGAATGTTGTTTCCGATCGCTGGCTTTCTGGCCACCCGCCAGTAAGAACTTTACTGAAATTCTTTGGATCTGCTATTCTCGTCTACTCCTTCATGGTTTCCTTCGATGTGAATGGTCTTGGCGTCCCTTAAACGTAGAGGGGATAGAGCTGGTTTCTATATACAAGTCGTCGCGATATGCTTCAACTTCCGCCATTGATTGAGCGCTCTTCACCTTCAGGAACTTTTAACGGAACGCCACCGGATAAGTTACCAGCCGAAAATGGAGTACACGTTTGGCGCGCCGCGGTTACCACGCCGTTCTTTACTTTTATTTTTGTCGCATTGAGGTTTTATACGCGGACGTATCTACTGAGGGCGAAGAAGTATACTATCGATGATTGTGCGTTATCAGCCCACGGCAACGGAATCCAAATACTGATATGCGACAGATATTGTGGCCTTGACTATGCTCGTGTGTATCGCCCACGCGGTACTCATAGCTATAGCGACGTATAACGGTATGGGTCTACATATATGGCAGTACGACTCGGAACTCAACTCACGTTACTATCTCTGGGTCGGGATTTCGTCCGAATTCTACGTGCTTGGTTTACTCGGCTTCAAGAGCGCACTTATCCTCATGTACCTCCAACTCTTCGGCGTCTACGCTCGCTTCAGATGGGCATGCTACGGAACCCTATTCTTTTGCTTTGGCTACCTATTTTGTAATATGATGACGGAGTTCTTCGGGTGCCATCCGATCAGGAAGAAATGGGAACCAAGCATGCCCGGAACGTGTATCAACAGCTCAGCGACGAACACTTTCTACGGAGCTTGCAATATGGCCAGCGATTTGGTCATCGCTATCCTACCTCTTACGATGATATGGAAATTACAAGTGGCGACTGGTCGGCAGAAAGTCGGACTGAGTCTTGTTCTGAGCTGCGGCTTCGTGTACGTGCGTCGTCCTCTGTTTACTAGAAGAAGGTACTGACGTGTGTTCTATGTATAGCGCTTGGGCAGTGGCTGTCACTCGCTGGGGCATTGCGACATATGACTGTACGTATATATGCCTTGCATCACTTCCTATTCTACTCCCTTCCAATAGCAGACGGCCCAAAGAAGGCCCGTGTCAAAATGAGTCAGATTCGATGACTCAAATTAGCGATATGGAGCGTCATGTATAGATTAAGTTGGCTGACTTAAGATTTTTATAGTGGTTGGGACCGAAGACAGACCGTGGTGGGCTGGCGTAGGCTTCACCTTGTCGATTCTCGAGATCAATACTGGCCTCATCTGCGCTTGCGCGGCGACTCTCGGACCTCTTTGGAAACTAGCATTCGCGCAAGTCAAAGATATTGTGGGTTGGACGAATGATAGCACCAAGGCTTCCACGTGGCCTTCATTCGTACACAAACCTGCTACTCGATATTCCGGCGAGACGAGGCGACCGAGTAATCCGAGCGAATATTGGGCAAATGGGGTTCTCGATGGTCACCGAGTCCCGGCTGGCCGGGCGAAGCGTCTATCGAGTACTTTTAATACGACATTGACTACGAATCATGAAGACGAGTTTACTCTGTTAGATTTGTCGACTACCCATAGCCATACCATAAGGGAGGATACACCTCGGAGGAGCATGGAGGATGTATAAAATCAATGTACATTATGGGGTGGCCTATTGTTTTCTTTATTATTGTTACTGCTAACGCACATATACCCCGATAGCGAATGAATTCATTATTTCCGATTTCTAGTCTTGCCGTTATAGTTGCTCGAGTCACGATATGCTACCTATGCGATTTCAACCGTCCATCGATATTCGGTCGACGTATTAGCGTATATGATGATTATTGCCATCGGACCAAAGATTACAATAGTGAATATCGTGAAAATTGCTAAATCATAATTTGGATCTCGGATTACTCTACCCCTGGATAATACCATCGGGTTCATTCCGACAAATCGCACTTTTATCTAGGGTTGAAGGATCGCTCGATCCTCTTCCCCAGCCCTGTCCAAATTGAAGTCTCGGCATCTTGCTTTGCGATCGCCGAACTGAAATCCTTTTTCGACTCAGGCTAAAAACCTGGTTACGACTGGGGGAATCGCCTCTAGACTCGATTAGGTGGTTGGGGTGCATTATGCCATGCAACATTCATCTCCACGTTCCTCGTACAGCCTAGACCATAGCATTTTTGGCCTATACTAGAGGATATATGCATCTCGCAATGTGCTGTGGTTACATGAAGCCAAGGAGATGGGACGAGATGGCCCGAATTCCAGTGGGCGTTGGTCGTGATGTTTATCCTTACACGGTCCAAATATGACTAACTACAAATCTTTCCTTTAGGTGGTCAGCTATTGTCGTCGCCCTGCTGTGGTATCGTATCAATCTCAATTGCATCCACAATGCTGCTCCAATTGGCACTGGCGGCATTCGTCGTCGGAGCCAAAGCGGTCCCTTCCCCGCAGACATTGGATTCTAGCCTCACTTTATTGATCGACAACGATCTACAAGGTTCGTTATGCTCTGTAAATTGGATTTATAGTGTCTTTATCTAACAAAATTCTAGGTGTTGATGGATCTGCGTCCAAGTCCGGGGTCTTACTGCTCGAAGCGCGCTCACTGGATGCCGCCTGCAAGGCGTGTAAAGCCGTAGGCGAAGATCTCTGGTCGCCGGAGTCGGGGATAGAGAATATCAAGAAGAATTTGGATTATCTCAAATACGTGGACTCAGGCTCGGACGATTCGCGATTTTGGATAGCATCAAACAATGGGTCTGCTCAGGCTATAGACTTAGATGGAAATACATCGCGAGCCAGGCCCGACGTAGAACTACCGGTTCTCTGCACACAATCAGCGCCGTTTTCTAATGAGACATCTCAAGATGCTAGTGAGAAGTGGCAGGTCACAGTTAAGTCTAACAATGAGGTACTCACGGGGTAATTATAACCCACCGTCAACTACTTGGATCACTTTAAATTAATTCTTTTTAGATACCGGGACCATCTGAGCTTCCGCTTCCTAGGGATTCGGTATGCTCCTCAGCCCAAGCGATTTACGTACTCGGAGCCATACGTTGGTAATGGTGGCAATGTTTCTGCATTGAAATACAATTCTGAATGTGTACAAGCTGGAAATGTTGGAGCTGAAGATTGTCTATTCTTGAACGTTTGGACTACCTACATCCCGGGTCCTGAGTCGGCTGCGAATAAACTGAAGCCAGTTATGGTAAGCCAAAAACAAACCTAGAGGGATACTAGAATGTTTGACTCATTGCTCAATAGTTCTGGATACATGGAGGTGCCTTCATAAACGGATCACCAAACGATCCCACATTCGACGGGGGCAATCTAGCCACAAGAGGGGACGTTATCGTAGTCACCGTCACCTACCGACTAAGCACTCTCGGATTCTTAGCACTGGACGATGGCGTTACCAACGGCAATTATGGAATTGCCGACCAAATCAACGCTCTCGATTGGGTGCGAAAGAACATCAAAGATTTCGGAGGTGACCCAGATAGAATCACCATATTTGGGCAGTCCGCCGGAGCTGGTAGCGTGCGGGCTCTCCTAGCATCCCCCAAGGCAGCCGGGAAATTCGCGGGAGCGATACAGATGAGCAATGTTGGAGGTACGAAATACGATATGACATACTCGAAGTACTACACCATTGCCGAGGAAATGGAGGTTGCTGGAAATGCTATTTTGAAAGATGCAGGTTGCGCAAATGCGACGTCGAAACTAGATTGCTTACAAGATGTATCGCCACAGACACTCGTGGGCTTGAGTGATACTGCGAGGTGGCCGGTCGTTGACGGGACTTATTTGATATCTGACGCGCTTCAACTCGATGGGCCTACGCTACCTGTTCGCATTATGATGGGTATCACGCGTAATGACGGCGGGCCGTTTATCAGTTTCCCAACCACTACAAACGAGACCGAATACCTCATATCCCAGGGCTTTGACGTACCGCCTGCCGACCTTTTCCCAGTTGCAGACATCGAGAATAAGACTCTAGCATTATTTGAGATGGGCACCCGCCTCGTAACGGACGGCGTCTTCCGCTGCGACGCCCACGCCACTGCCTACGCCGGTCTCCAGAATGGTCGATTCAATCCGGTGTACCTATACGAATTCAATAGAACATACCAGCTCTCAGCATGGCCCGGAATCGACCTCTGCCAGCCGCCAAAATCTGCCGGCCACCCGGACGGCGATCCAAACGCCGAGTACCTCAAATGCCACTCGGGAGAGCTGTACTACGTATTTGGCAATTTAGCACGGCAGAATCTTCCTCTGCGGGATGAATTCGACTTGCCATTCGAGCGGTTGATCGTTGATTCCTTTAGTTCGTTTGCGAGGTCTTTCAACCCCAACCCTGATCCAGAGTTTCTGGAAGCTAGGGGCTACACGAGTACATTGGAAGAGATTGAAAGCAGTGGAGAATGGTTGCCTTCAACTGTCGAGGGTGATATGACTATGCGAACACTGCAATGGCCTAGCATCCAAGGACCGTTCACAGAGACGGAGCAGTGTGAAGGCTTAGGGTTAGGGTTGGGTTATTACTTATCCTAGGTAACTTTAGAGCAATAGAAGTAGTCAAATTCGCAAGTTCGATTTCTTGTACCATTATAAAAATCATACACTTAAAGCGGAGGGTGTTTCTAAAATTCACCCCTATTTACCAAGCCCGGCCATGACACGTTAGAACCTCGCACCCCTCTATTTTAAGCTTCAAAAGAGACCTAAAGAGGCAATATAAAGAACTCTATTGAAAACAATCTGGGAATTATCCGAAGTTTTATTTAGACGTTCTAGAGCATCGATGTAGGAGTTAGCCAGGAGCGAGGGAGGGTATGATAATAGAACAAAGAGGAACGCTGCTTGGAAGAAAACACTACATCATATGCTCAATACCCAGTATTCGTATTTGGGCACCAGACTTATGATTAAGTTGGGCTAATGTAATGGTTAATAGTATTGATTTCGTCGTATTGTCCTTGCTAATATCACTAACATCGCCAACTAGACCCCATATCCCGAGTCGCAAGCATTACTTTAATTCCTCATCGTACAATATGGCACTTTACTCGTTACAATACATAACCCCCCAGGGACCAGACGCCGCTTTTGAGATATCACTGCCACCACCATCCCATGAAACCAATGCCACGCCCAGAGCCTTCCCCCTTTTATACAATACTATGTAGTAACATATGAACAGTAGTGTCGAATAGTAATGGCCATAGCCTAATAAATCATTTAAAACCCAGACCTAGCACCCTTCCAAGTAGGAGGCGGCATGCTCTCGAAATAACCATATTGATCCGCATCAAAGGGCCGCTTCGTAGTAAACCCAGCCTCGAATGGCTTGTACATAGGCGGGAGCAGTTTGGGGTGTGAGCTATACGGAACTAATTTCTTCGTTCTAGGCTTTCTTATCATCGACCCATTTTCGAAGGACGCCTTCCTTTGGTCCTTGAGGATTTCGCGAAGTTCTACGTCGTCGTTTGTGATCTGAGCCCTTAAGAAGCTAAGATCCGTCGGATCGAGGGAGGCATTCAGTGCCTCCATGACAGGTATCCTAGGCGTATACGGAATACCCTCTAATCGTGGGGCGTGCTCAGCCGGAACTATTTCTGGATTAAGATATGCTTTATCGCCTTTTTCGAGAAGTTGCATAATATCGAGGCTTTCTCCGGGCGAAATCGGCGTTGAGTGGCTTGGTGTAACACAGTCCATATCCACTTCTTTGCGCAAAACGTGATCGATGTCAATTGCGGAGAAATAGGCGCATGCTTGGGGAAGGTCATTGATACCGACCTGTTGGGCAAACATGGCTCGAGTCCATAGGTTAGCAACCTGGAGAGCCATAGCCGCTCGATATTTGTCTTCGTCTTTGACGAGGTAACGAATTTCATCGTGTACACTGATAGCCAGCCGAGCAGCGATATTGAAACGTCGGGTTAGGTAATCCATAGAAACAACCAAAAGATGAAGATAATCTACACCCGACGATTGAATAGCCCAATTGATGCGAGAGGTTAGGTAAGCACCTTTGCTAATGAACCTAACCATCAGGGCCTCGGTAATGCCGGCGCCAAGAACAGGAGTTCGTGGGCGTTCCTGTTCAGCAAATTCCTCAAGTTTGTTGAAGACAAATGACTCGGTCCCACCTCTCCAAAAAGGTCGCTTATGGAGCGCCTTCTTGTTTGTTTTTGTGCCCTTAGTTGTCGCATATAATTTCCCAGCGACATCTAATGTCTCTTGTTCGGAGAGACTTGGATTGAATTGTCTGAGTAAAGTAGCAGCAAATTTGAGTCCCGCACCGTAAATGCGACCGTAGTTGAAAACCTTGGCATCGTTACGCGTTATGCCTAGGATAGAAGCTGTGCGAGAGTGAAGATCGGTTCCTGCGGCTTTGGTGCCTTCGAGAGTCATAAAACCAATTGCATTACCACCATGAAGTTTAAAGGTGGCATCTCCCACAACACTAGCGATCCAGAGTTCTTCGGAGTCGACATCAGCACCGACGAAGCAATATCCTGGAGGTGCTTTGACCATTGCTTTTAACTCAGAACCAACCCTATTCTTTTTCGCGTTGCTGGCAGTCAACCAAGTATTTTCAACTGCTCTTCGTGTAATAGTACCCATAGGAATAACTTGAGGTAAAATGTAACCTTGGTCATTCCCTTGCTTCTCATTTTCTTGCTTTCTTGGTCTCCCTCGTTTTCGTTTGGGGGGACTTGGAACCTTTTCATTTTCATATACAACCATTTGCGACATGATCCTATCCCGTGCACTGATCCAATAGGAGCACGACGCGTTCATCTCGAGCGCTTCCTTGGCCAATGGATACTCAGACGATAGAGTTCCCTTGTCGAAATAAGCAAGGTACGCCTTCGCCAACGGATTGGCACACCTCGCCGTCGGACCATCTTTGTGTGGTAACTTGAAATATAATCCATTATAATCGTTTTGAAGGGCCTCAATAGGTTCATCCGAGAAATCGCATCGAACAAGCTGGGTTGAGCTATACTTCGCCATATCTGAAGCCGGCACCCTAAAAGTCCAACCATATTTATCAGACCAGGCCAGAGGATAACCGTCCCAAGTAAGCCGCAGTAGAAGTGGCGCAATTCGAGTTCTGACCGTGAGATTAATGGGCGCATCGTTCTTTGGGAATAGATCTTTATACCACTTTGGCATCCCCGGCTTCTTCTGGCGAGCAGCTGGCCTAGGCGGGTCATTCTTCTTCTTTCCCTTGACCATTTTAATCTCTTGGCCAGACCAATCCAATTGCTTAAGCCAGGGATCGTTACTCCATTTGTCGGAGTCACCTTTAATTTCCAACGCCTTTTCGGCAAGAGAAGCTAGGCGCGCCTGGACATCGTCTGATAATTTGTGGTATGTTGCTTCTGCATTGGCGACGTATGCATCCCAAGACTTATTGACGGGTAGGATGACGGAAGAAAGATGTCGCAATGCGGCAAAGCTGACAGGATGAGGGCAGACTTCAAGAAAATTGGGAAATATGACTTTGTAGACTTTGTGGGTAATAGCCACATCTGCTGCGCAGTAGTCCAAAAGCTCGTCCAATTTATCGACGACGCCTTGTCTATCCAGCTCGCCAAATTGGTCCCGGGCTGCTTTATCGATAGTAACATTCAGATGGAACTTGGCGACATCTCGAAGGGAATTAACAGAGCTGCGCTCAACCCATAGCTCCTCTTCTTCCTCGCGATTACTCGCCAATAGATTCGCCAACTCGGCATTGTCCGTCTCCTCAGCAATTCTTTCTCGAAGTTCCCTGGTCTTCTTGTGTTTCATCCACGTCGGCCTCTGTTGTGAGCACATGCCGTTAACCGCGACATGTAACGACATAGTGTCGAGAAAGGAATTCCTTGATTGTTTTAAATCATATTCTTCGAGGACTCTCGCTCGATCGTATCCAATATTATGGCCGACGATAACGCGATCCTTAGTAGGATCGCCTAGTGGAATGAGATGTTTGTCCGACTCGGATTCACCCAACAGCCATGGCGACAACCACGCATACCAAGCTGTTGAGCTCATGGCGCATGCCATGACAGCAAATGAGCTCTCTTTCCATAGGACCTCGACATCGAAACATAGCATCTCGGCGTCAGGTGCATCGATTCGCTCTATTTTTCCGTTGGGATGGTCTTCGTCGGGAGGAGTGTATTTTGTCCAGCCACTTTGTTTCACCCATTTTTTCGGCCGTTGAGGCGCGTTCTGTTTTGCGAATTCTTTCGCGTTCGTGAGGAACGGTTCGGCGCAATCAACTCCAAGCTTATGGAAGTGTTCGTCTAGAGTTTTACCGTAGAGTTGGGGTAGGTCAAAAGCAATCGGCGCATTATTGTCGGTATTCTTCCCTAAAAGATCGTGACGGCGCAAGTGGTCTTTCGAGAGTTCTACGAGTTCTTTCGGTGGTGGTTTGCCGCCTTTCTGGAAAACCTGATTGAATATACGAGCACTGACTTGTTGCACGCCTATTTCGTTGAACCGAGCATCGGATGGAACTATAATGGTTTCTTAGAAGCTATTTATATAAGATTAAATGACCTTTTACTAACTGGCAAGGCTATTTGTGTGACTTTGTAAAGTCTCATTGGAAGATTGAGGGGCTGTCGTGGCAGTGGTCTGCCATCTCGAATGCGACAGCCATGATTGAGCAGATCGCTGGGTGTGCGCCCGGTGCTTGGCAAGGCGCACGAAGCTCGCTATCGGCGCGCTTCTAATGCGACCCTTTGCAGGATGAAGCATTACTGTCGTCTTTTGAAGATCATTTCGATTCGGCAAGTACCCGTTTTAGTTGTCGGATTGAGGAATTCATGACGAGGATAATTTTGATAAAGCTTTTGACATTTTGATAACGGGGGGTTTATCTAAGTGGGTGGTGTGGGGCCAGTGACGACTGTACCAATTGCGGTAAAGTTGCATATGCTGTGCTTTGGGACTATACCTTTCTAGGTCAAGTGCATCTAAGTACAAAAGAGTACCTAGGTACTTATACAGTTATACATCACGATACAACAAACGATACTGATACAAATAATATACTCGCATTGCTTATCACTTGGTATAGCTCAAAAGTATCAGGTACTATGACCAATTGATTCGGATTATATGATGTACTGATCACATAGTTGAGTGCTTGACTTCAGGTTAATTTTCAGTGCTGAGATTACCTTCGTGGGTTCGATAAGTTAACAATGCAGTTCGGCATAGAAACTCCTTACACACTCCTAGGGAAATATCTCGCTATCCGATAATATAGAGGGTCAATCTCAATATCTGCCATGTCTATGAGAAGAGTATAGAGAAACGTTCCATTTATTCGAGTTAGCCACGTAGTATAGGAGTTATACCACTAGAGTTAAAATTAGGCCATATTGGCCACCGAGAGAATCCTCAGACGATGTTTGCCGTTCTAGCGGTAATTGGTGCACACGAGGTTACTTATACCACAAGGTTATCGTCAGAATGAGGCCAACTAAAGTCAGGTCCGACGAGACTAGAGAATTAGAAGCCTGTTGTGTTAGGAGAGGTCAAAATATGGATTCATGACAGTGGACAAAAGGCCATATCTTAAGGGCTCAAATAGGGAAACCCGAGCAAAAAGACTAGCTTAGCGCAATAGTATCGGTATTCTCATGATCATTTAGCAAACATATGCTGAATTTCGTTAAGACTCACTGTTACTGGTTTCGCGTAGCGACTATGAAGCTTATTGAGACAACAATTCGAACGTATTCGCAGTTTGCCTAGTTCAAAAACAGCCATGTGGTCTGATGAATCAATTGGGGAGGGGAGAACTTGCGAAGGTAAGGGTCATTCCATTATTGCTGTTTTATAGGGCATATCCTTCTCAGTCAATAGGTATTAACAATCGGAGCTTTGATCGCGGATATCGCGATAGATTATCGATATCCCGCATCAAGACGCCCGGCTAGGCATGTATAGCAACAGCTTAGCCCGGTTGTAGAAGTACAGGCTAACAGGAGTTTTAAAGGTTTCGGCCTGTAGTAGATGACGAATCCGGTCTCGCATGACGAAGGTCGCGACAGTGTTAGACATACTCCAAGGCCCCAGTCATCACTGTCTTCTGAGGCACAGCCAGATGGTCGCTGGTAACATGTAGTTCCAGGGCCAGCCAGTATACAGCGTATACCGTTGGGTGCATCATAATAAGACAAATGCCACGAGCTCGCGTACTCGGTGCATGTGGCTACACCCTGGGTTGGGTAGTGTGCCTACAACCGGTTTGCCGAAAAGTCTCGGACCAATTTGGTGGATGGCCGAAGGGTGCCCGTGCTGCTCGGGTCTTGACTCAAGACATCTCTGATTACTTGTCTTCCGCTTCCGAAACTTTATCTTCTAGAGAGGGGCCAAAATGTAAATATGATAGCAAACATTGTCCATCTAGAGCTTCATGCTGAGTCACTCCTCTTCCTCTCATCTCCGCTGTTTCCCTGGATTTCATTCTCGCAGGAGCGAAAATGTGCGTACGAGCAATGAAGGCATGCGGGAATTGGATCTTCCGCTACATCCCCCCATCATCGAAAGAAGAATGGATAGAGAAAAATGTATATGAAGTCCTCCAGGCACATCGTCGCGAGCTAAGGATTTGGTGCTCCAAGACCAGAAGAAACCCGGAAAGCCGGATAAGGTAGCTCCAGCGTAGCAGACCCTTACACACCAGGTACTCACTCAGCTCGTCATACCAATATTGGAGGGTTGCACAAAGTGGTGGAGCAGACTGGAGGGAGAGAGAGGGAAAGAGAAGGCAAAGAGTACATCATTCCCGTCGTATGGCCTAGTACAGAGAGGGCGAGAGGCAAAAAAGGAAGACTGTGTAGTGTCGGCAGTTGAGAGAACAAGATAGTCGCGTGCTACAGAGATCCCTCTACCATGCTTCCACATAAGTCTCAGCCCTTTCCGAAACCGTTTTGTCGAGATTTTAATGGGCGAAGGGTCACGACAAGGCCCTACTCTATGAACCGACCGTTAGCCCCCCGCGGATGTCCTACCACATCAATGCTTATTTAGAGCCAGGAGTTGGTAAGTCTTTCATGGATTGTTGTGTGGGTATAAATATGAATCTTTTGGACTCGGTATTGGGGTTAGCCTAATATATGGCAATTAAACGAGAAGACCTAGTGCCGCAACCATTACGATCCTGTGAGAAAGTATACCTCATGGATTCGGGTCCCTCAGAAAAAGAGCCTTGCCATGAGGCCGATAAGCAGGCATCGCTGCAGTGTCATCAGAGGGGGAGCTTCGACGTCACAGCTTGGAGCCATGATGCATTAACACCACCCAACCACGACCTAGATGGCAAGACTTTATCGCTTAGTATAAGAAAAGACGACTGTCAACATCAATCGAGTCTTAGCAGTGACTTAGAGAAGAGGGGAAGCGGAGAGGATCCAAGGGCACACATTTTCCTCGGAAAGCCTATGTCGGTAATCCGCGAGATAGCGTTCTTCACCGTCGTGGCAACAGCTAACTTCACTCCACGTATGTCAATTCCACGTATAGCCCTTGTCCTATAATTCGGCTAATTGAAAATAAACAGATTCTGGTTTTCACCAAGCACTCTGTATCCTTCATATCATAGGGTCCGACCTTGGTGTTACTCATTCGGGTCAGCTCGTTTGGCTCATCGCAGGTTATGGCTTAACTGGGACGTTCATTTTGCTGGCAGGTCGTCTTGGAGACGTATACGGACACAAGCTCATATTCCTCGTCGGCAATGTCTGGTTCGCGCTATTCTCGCTCGCTGCTGGGTTAGCCGTCTATACGCCTCGACCCTATGCCGTCTTTCTGTTCGCACGCATCATGCAGGGGGTCGGACCAGCGTTGCTAGTACCGAGCGCCGTAGCGCTACTAGGAATCACCTACGTACCAGGGCAACGAAAAGCTATGCTATTTGCCATGTTCGGGGCCATGGCACCAGCTTCCGCTATTATCTCGCCGGCATTTACAGGCTTGTTGGCGTTAGCGCGATGGCAATACGCCTTTTTCGCCTTGTCTCTCCTATTGATCTTCACTACGATTGCCGGTGTGTTTGTTATCCCCGGTGGTTTGTCTCCCGAGAAAGGTCGAATGCCCCATGGGGGTTTGGGGGCGATATGTGCTGAGCTGGATGTTCTCGGTGCTTTGACCGGTGTGAGCGGCCTTGTCCTCATTAGCGTGTCTTGGAACCAAGCTTCTATTCACAGCTGGCAGGATCCCTATGTGCCTGTCCTCCTGATGACTGGGATCTTGCTATGCGTAGTATTTGTTTTTGTTGAGAAGCATGCTAGGAAGCCTCTAATACCAATGGAGGCTATCAATTCAGGAGTAGCTTTCATTCTTGCAGCTGTGTTCTGCGGTTGGGGCTGCTTTGGTATCTATATCTATTACATCTGGGAATTTTATGAAATGCTACGAGGCGCATCGCCTCTATTAGCAACGGCCATGCATAGCCCGATATTTGTTAGTGGGATTGCGGCGGCCATCACGACAGGAATGATCATTCACCGCGTCGGACCTGCGGTCGTAATGGCTCTCGCGTTGTTGGCCTTTACTGTCGGTACCACTCTGATTGCGACAGCGCCAATCGAACAGTCATATTGGTCACAAACCTTCCTTTGCAACTTGATTGTCACTTGGGGGATGGACTTGAGCTTTCCAGCGGCGACACTCATGCTTTCGGATCTGGTTTCTAGCGAGCACCAAGGCATCGCAGCTAGCTTGGTTACTACCGTGGTGAATTACAGTGGCGCGCTGGCGCTAGGAGTCGCCGGAACCGTCGAGCTTCATGTGAATAAAGGAGGGAAAACGTCCCAGGATATCCTAAAGGGTTATAGGGGGGCTTGGTAGTAAGTAACTTCAACCGCTTCTTCTTTATTATCTTCCTTTTCATATCATAAACTATTATTTCTTGATGAAATTGTTTTAAGCTTGTCATTTTTCTCCGGAGTCATTCGACCCATTCCTTTGGTAGTACTGACTAATTGTTATCGCTGTAGTGTGGCGATTGGGTTAGGCGTAGTCGGCTTAATGCTGTGTTCGATCTTCACTTGGAAATTCTCGAAACGTCAACGAGGGTTGCCTAGAGGATGATTAAGAGGATCGTACTCTGATATTTGGTTGGCGACACTGAGTCTACATTTATCGGGATCAAGTCCGCAGGTATTGAATCGATATGCGGTTTCTTTACTTGAAAATGGTTGATGAATCAATAAGCGAGGACCATCACTTCAACCACTTAAATCGGGATTTACGGGTATGGTGACGAATGTCTCAGATTACGAAGCTTGTGGCTTTCATATCCGATTGCTCGTAGGGTCCTTGTTTCTGTACAGTTCAGATTACATAAAAAATAATTGACTGTAAGGTTGGGTGCTTTTCCTTACCTACCCATCCTATCTTCCTATCTCCAATTCTGCTCGAGTCCCTCCCTAGTGTAGTAGAAGCCGGAGGACCCACAGTCTCGGGAAAGTCTGCTATTTGCTATAGTCTCACGTAGTATGGATGGCGGAGAGAACGGGAACAAATGTGATTAGTATGCGGGTGGGTCATCACATACTCGCAGACAGTAGCTCAACAAGTTCAAATAGGTACTGTTCTTGTCCGGGAACATACCTAAACATACCAAGCTTACTGGACCGGTTATAATGCCTGGGTCTCTGCGAGCCGTATAACATATTTGTCTCTTTGAAGAAATCGAATTGTACTTGCAAGCAACGAAGTTTGGCTGACCCCTGAACTTTTATCGAAGGGAAATAGACTAAAAAGTTCTTTTTCTTGGTGGATCGAACACCTTTGCAAATTCGATATTGCTGTTTGGATTCATTCAACAAGGATCTAGGAACGTGGCGCTTAACAATCATATAGTGCCGTAAAAAGTGACTTGGGACATAAAGGCCTAGCGGCCTAGGACTAATGGTTTTTTCTTTCTTTCTCTTTGTGTTCGTAATTGATACAGTATGAGGTGGCATTTTAACGTCCTGTGTCTGTCAAGAATCAATCCGATGTCTGATGTAAGTGGAGGCTAGAAATGAAATATGGCGGGGGGCCCATACGACATTGTACTTGGATAGGTACGTACCTTAACAATTGAGCTTAAGCTTGCCCATGTCTGAGGCGTATCATGAGACGGAGATAGGTAATAAGATAATGTGCTGTACAGTACAGGCCAAAAACAAGGATGCGTCTAGACGGCATATACCCCCGTATACGTAGCTAAAGCTATACGTTTTTAGGTACTGTACCTGAGTCGTACCTACTCAAACTCTCACAAACTTATAATTACATATACAAACATAAAATATAGAAGTCAAAGAAAGAGCTATATTGGTGCATTCGCAAATACCAGGCAGTGCCGGGTAGCCTGATCATGCCTGATATCCTATTTCGTAGCTTAGCATGTACAGTAGTTACAGTACATATAGTTAGCCACCTGGATGGATCATGAGAAGGATCGAGGGGTGGATGGACTGTTCCCAGTCTGTCCCTTCCAAGCAGCCAAGGTGGTCCCAGTTGATGGTCCAACTTTGCTACTACCACACGAATATGTATTTGGGTGTTATTACGCCCGTTTATTCCTACTCAGCAAAGAATCAAATAAAAAACTCCATCCCACCAACCTCCAACTACCTTACTTACCTACACACACATACACATACCTAACACATACATCGTCCAGCTTGCTTTGCTTTGCCTTGCCTTACTTTGCTTTGCTTCCCTCCGTGCAGCTAGCCTGCCTATCGTATGTGGTCACGCAGCCCACTCGTACAAGACCTCACCTCATCTTCAATCAAGATTTCTTACGAGGGCATATTACGTATGCAAGACGCATCTTTCGCTGTCCCTTAAGGCTAGATGAGAAATAGCAGATAACTCCTCGGTTTTTTTTCTCCTTACTTCCTTTCCTTTCCTTTCCTTTCCTTTCCTTTTACCCCTTTTCTCTTCTTTTCTTTGCTGCCGACAACGGTTTCGCATCAGTCGGCGACGAGCATATCAAAGCTCCGGGATGTGCAAATACGTTTTTTAACCGACATTGATTGTCCTTCTGATACAATCGATTGCGCACCACAAGAAAAAAGGGGCCAGCAACATTTCCCTTGTGAATAGGTACAAGCAAATGCCCTAAAAAGGAACGTTCGGTCCTAGCTGGAACTCTATTACCGATATTGACGAGAAGTTGCCACTACTATTCAATCGTGCACGGAAACTACTTCCAAGTCGATTGCTCGAGCAACTCAAACTCAAACTCCGGCGGGCGGATCAACCGTTTAACCTAATCATTTTCCTCACCCTGGTGAAATAACAGAAAAGGAAACAATGGCTTACAGAGGTAAAAATTCCACTCTTATTTTGTTTTTTTCTAGGCAGTTACTCGCAATACTTCACCTTTCATTTATGAACTCTATTTACATTTAACATTTGCACTTGCATTTCTTTTGTTAATGCTGACATTCCTCCATTTTTAAACAATCTTCACACAAATACATACAGTCAGACCCGCCGTCTTCAGGAACTGTCCCACTAAATTTAGACCGTGTACAACCTTGTAGTTCCTTTCTCAGCGGACCTCGATCGCACTCAGAATCTATTCGATTTCGATTTCGCCGCTCCAGACACCGGCAACCAATTTTTTCAGAACACTTTGGGACCTCCATTGTTAGGAGCTTCTTCCAACTCGAACGCGTTCCCTTTGAATACGGATCCATTCAATAACGTTCCCAACTTCAACCAACAATTTCAAACCCCCCAGCTCCCCCCGCTACCCGCCGTATTTCCTGAGCGTCACTTTGCCGACACCTTTGGTTCACAACAAACCAACCCTTCATTTCCCAACTATCAATACCACCATCAATCGCCACCCGCCACTACTTACAACCGTGGTCGAGAAGGACCTAGCTGGTTACCAGATCCTACATATGCCGGGTTAGACCCGAATCCGCGCCGACCGACACCTACATACGTGGAACATCGCACCGGCGTTGCCCCGCTAAACGCGCAACAACCAAGGTTGCCGTCATCTACAACTTACAATTCTCGTACTCACAACCGTCAGTCATTTAGATCCGGCCCTGAGCCGAACAGCGACGATTATCTATCCGCCTTGGTTGACGGTAATTTTTCCTCGCCTTCGCTGCCTCCCATCGCCAGCAGTCCTCTACAAAATACTCGACTACAATCCGCGAACCTCCCAAAGCCTTTAGAAATCGGTGAGGCGATGCCATCTGAACCCCATAGCCGAAGAGCGAGCAGAGGAAATCCGGTCGATTTGACAAAGGAGGAGCCTAATTTCGATTCTACTTCCGGCATTGACCCTAATACACCCAGCATGCCGCCTACCACTAGAAAGCGAGGAGCTACCGCCGTTAACGGCGAAACGCAGATAACTCCTTCCAAGCGACGACGAGCTTCTCGATCTTCTCCATCAACCGCCGGCCGAGCAAATAAGGCGAAACCGAAACAAAGTGCCGCAAACCCGTTTTCTGACGAAGAGATTCCCGAATGTGAAGCTTTGGGCCCCGATACCCAGGAGACCATCGACTTATCTAACGCCACTGAAGACGTTCCCCAGGAACTTTTAGCCCCGAAAGTCGACTCTCGTATTAAGCTAGGCCAGTTCCAGTGTGTTATCTGCATGGACGATACGGCCTGCTTGACCGTTACGCATTGTGGTATGTCCTTTTCCTTTGGCGCTAATACCAGTTTATATGCTAAGTTACTAACTGTCGCTATCCCTAGGTCATCTCTTCTGTTCCGCATGCCTTCACTCAGCACTACATATAGACAACATGAAGAAGACCTGTCCCGTTTGCCGAACCAAAGTCGATACGAAGGAGAAGAAGGGGAGAGGACAACAGAAGTCATACTACCACCTCGAATTGAAGATCCTGACTGCCAACAAGAAAGGGAAACGACCCGCTGAAGCTTGAGCTAGCAAATCGCTAGCTTACAACCAATATGGTGGACGTGGTGTCGGTGGGACATGGTGCGATATTTTCGACAGACTAGAGTCATAGAACGAAGACATGCCGCAAGGCCCTAGCTCCCTATGTGGTTGCAACAGGGGCAATCTAATAACGCGCTGACCTTCTCCCGAGAGGAGTTTACGGCCAACCTAAAAGGGGAATAGGTATTGGTCATCATGAACAGGCATTGCAGCATACGAATAGGGGTTAGGTTTGATGCGAGGTTTTGCATGGAAACAGGAGTTCGTTCATACCCACGGCTAGATACCCCATTTTTTTCGTCACGGTCCGGTTTAGGAGACTTTGCTGGGTTTGGAGCATTTTGCCTATCCATTCTACGGAAACAGGCACGGCAGCATCATGGGGGATAGGAAAGGAAAAAATTAGGACATAATAAGAGAGCACATTTGAACCCTTAACCTGTGTGATTTGAATACTTAAGCTCATATGTGAAGGCGAGAGTTTTCGTTTACCTGCAGAAGTAACCCATTTCCGGTAGACCGCAAGGGTGAAATTACCAACGCCAATTATTCCCTATATACCCGATGTGAATAAACAACTCTAGGTTATGTTGACTAACGCAAACCCTCAAAACATACACGTGTACACCCGCATACGCAGGTAGATGGGTAGATGCCTATCTATCTTAACGTGGTGATCGGCTATGTATCACGGATACAAGAGTATCTTGCATATCAAACTCGCACGGTAGAGCACACAAGATGGTTTGGTTACACTTCTGGGAAGTTGTGTATCTAGGTAAGTAACCTACCATACCTTACACCACGTATAGATGCAGATAGTAGGTACATGAGGTCTTGGTATTAGGTACGTGAGATGTACCTGCACATATAATAGGATCACCGAGGGTAATAGGTATCTGGAATTGTCTAAATCTTTCGTATTAATAGGGAATCTCAAGACGCCTATACCACGCGCCATGCTACACGTACATCCATATCTAAATATCTAAAATTCCACACCAGGCTCCAAAAAAAAATTACAATATCCCACTTCTCCGGTCGTCAGCCGGGGATTCCGCTAGGACACCCTCATCACCAGAGCTGAGTAAACCGCCACGCTCGTCAGTAACACCGGTTTCCTGGCCATCGTCCGCATCATCTTCATCCCCGCGGAACCCTTGTCCAGCCATACCGACAACAGGTCGCCCTCCGCCCCCACGCGCCTCTTCTGCGCCATTAAGGACATACCAACAATCTTTCTTGGTTAGAAGACCTTGTAAAGCGCCGCGCTCGCAGAACATGACGTAGCGCACGCCAAGTTTCTGGAAGTATGCGACAGCAAGGTGGAGGCCAGCACGGGCGGGTAATGTTAAGGGAGTGCGGTCCATCCAAGGGCGCAAGTCGAGAGTAGCGCGCGGATCGGCGAGGGGTTGGTGAGAGAAAAAGGCTTCGGCCTCGGGAGGTAAGCCGCTAACTTCCAAGTTATACGCTAATTCAGCCCGACTTATATATCCCAAAAGAATAGCATCGCGAGGATCGCTAACAACAGGAAAACCACGATAATTACAGGAGTTGAGAACACTACGCAGACTAGCGACAGTGTGACCAGTAGCGGTGAGAACAACAAGGTCCTCAACGCGTGTCATAACTTGTGCAGCAGGAACATCGGGCACATGCTGAGCGCCACCGCCCTCATCACCAGAATCCAGGAATGGGTACTCGTTGAAGTGGATCCAAGATTCGTAGATACCGCGACGGGAGAAGGCGTCACCAACCCACTTGGAAAGCATGACAGCGACCATAATAGGGAGGACGTATGTTAAAGCGCCTGTCAGTTCGAACATAATAACAACGATGGAGACGGTCATGCGCGTGACGCCGGCAAGGGTAGCCGCTGCACCAATCATAGCGTATACACCAGGCGTCACGCACGGCCGACCTGGGTCGCAGGTACTAAAGGCGAAGAAATCAGGATGATTGTGTTGCCAGATCTCCATGACAATGCCGACTGCGCGACCAGTAAGAGCGCCGATAGCCATAGACGGTAGAATGATACCTGCTGGGATCTGCAGGCCGAAGGTAATGGATGCGAGAAAGAAGCCAAGGACGGAAGCGAATAACAGTAAGACGATAGTACCAGCTGTCGCAACCCCCTTTTTGCAGAGGCCAAATTGGTCGTCGAGCACCAAGGCGCAGTCGGAGAAAAGCGAGGACACGAGTTCGGAAGACTGCGCTCGCATATAGAAATTGGGATAGTTAATAAGGGCCGTGAGGAGAGCCACGATGATAACTTGGGTCAAGGGACCTGGAAGCCAGGAAGCTGACTTCTTCCATTGCGCTACGCGCATATTAGCTTTGATAAAGAGTCCACCGTAAATACCACCTAGAATGCCAAGTAAGGCAAAGGGTATTACTTCAAAGCCATGCCAGCCCGTACTAAACTTGACTTGGTACAGTACAAGCTTACCGGACCTGAAAGGGTCGAAAGCTTGCAACACGACGGCGGCTGTCATGGCGCATACGAAGCTTTGCCACATGGTTTTGTCAGGGAAATAGTAGGATAATTGCTCAAGACTGAACAGCACACCTCCAATAGGAGATCCGAATGCGACGGAAATACCCGATGCTGCAGCTGCAGAGAGAACCTCTCGTTTTCGTGCTATTTTTGCGTTAATGTCTATAAAATAACTACTATTATAAAACATACCTTCATTGGCGTTGATATTTGGAAATAATTTGATGAATAAATTCGCGCAACAACAAGCAACGTGGACTAAGGGGCCTTCTTTTCCTAACCACATACCGGATGCGACAGCAAGGCACTGTTCATAATTAGTCAAGACTCGATTTGAGAAAAGGGGTGTATTCAATAATACCAATCCTAATGACTTCGTAGCCAACGTCCAAGAGCCTAAGAAACGCCGAATGACGAACCCGCCCAATACCGTCTTGATTTCGGGTATACCACTATGCTTTGCATAGATTGCGTACTCCTTCACGAGGAATCCCGCGCAGAGCGCAAATGTCACCTACAATAGGTTAGGGACTCATACACAGGTTGAGTACAAAAGGAACTCACGGAAAATAACAAGAAAAAGAAGTACTCTATAAACCACTTCCCGCCAGCAGACCCTATTCCTAGAGCTGCAGCCCATGGTTTCCATCCTAAGCATTTATCGCCTTGGTCGTAACCCCAACAGCAGAACTGCTTATTTAGATAGAACGCGCCACCCTCAGGCCCTGAAGCGCAATAACCTGTCTTGATGTCTCCTAGCCAGTCCGATGCAACATCTATGCCTGCTGCCAGCGCACCAACAGCAATGCCCGACAATACAAGGACGACCCATATCTGACTAGAATCAAGCAGTTGTTGTATATATCCGACTATTCCCGTCGCACTCGAATATAGGACTCGTAACCGTTGTCGCTCTTTCGTGTACTCGAAGATCCAATCAATAGCCGTCAGATCCTCGTATCCTACTCTTCGCCCCGGACCCTCGACGTACCAATCCATCGGCGTCCCTTCTTTCGGAGCGCTCGGCGCGTGTGGAGAAGAAGTACCCTCGAACCGTCCCGTATCTAGACCTTGTAGCCTCGTCGGTGTCGCGGTTCCAGAAAGCGGCGATCGCGGCGAGACGGATCCGAGGCGGTTACCCGTCAATGTGGAAAGTAATCGACCAGGTTGCGAGAAAACCGATTGTTTTTGCTTTCTTTTAAAACTCATCGGCTCCGCCAATTCATCGGTAAGCGGGTCATCATCAGCCAGCACCCCCCCATCATCGTCGTCATCGAACAAATTATCGAGCTCGTCTCTCTCGTCATCGTCGGTAGCGTTCGGTGTCAGCTGGGGCTGGCCGTTGGGGGATCGCGAGGAAGAAGACGAGGCTTCTTCCTCGTGGACGTTTATGAAATTCCTGCTGCTGCTTGCCATCTTGAAGGCCCTAATATGCGATCTGCCATATCGCAAAGTGACCTTATTTACTGAAGTTATTTTATAATTTATTATGGTTTCGAGATTTAATTATGTAGATTAAACACATTGCGTTGCGGCCTTTGCGATCGGCGAGGTTGGTAGGGGTCCTTAATTGATCGCTGCTACCTATCTCGGAGTACAGTACACGTCCGATAACGATAAGAACGCGGCCGTTACCTGCTTTGTCACTAAGTACATGAGCATGTTACGAGACTTTACAATTGTGACTTAGTAAGTTTATTGGTGTCGTCATGGTACATGATTGGCTGCTTTTGTGCTACATACATATAGAATTAGATGGAACTCTCCATTTTATGCCTAGATAAAAACATCAGACGAAATAAAACAATCGACACCATGAGTAGTTTCATACCTTAATTACCTAAATATAAGAAATCCTTAGTATAATGAAGTGGGGCTATTACCAATAACCCGTGCTTAAATTTAGTATCTTCAACATCAAGTACCAAGCAGATACGGCGACAAACGAAAAGATGCTAGTAACATAAGGCTCGGGCTTCGCGTACATATGAGGAAATATGGACACACCGGATGTCTCAAAACTACGGGTACAGGATGACGATGGAGTCGGATCAGAAGCTACTACAGCTCCGTCTGTAGAGAAGATACAACAACTTCTCAAAACCAAGGACGATACTTCCAGATTTGTTGGCTTAGCCCTTCTAAAATCCGTCTTGGACAATTCCCCGGAACTACAGAAAGAAAAGGGCGTCATTGTTTCATTATGGAATTCCATATCGCCCAAATTCTTGGACCGATTGTTACGGACTGGCTCTCAGTCTGGTTCGGATCAGAAGAACTCTAGGGATATGCTAGACTTAGCTGTCGCCGTTGTTCATACGTTTGCTGTTTTGTTACCCGACGACGCGAAGCAAGATACCAAACTTTTAGGTCGAATACCTAGATTAGCCAAGGCAGTCCTCCATAGGTGAGTAATAGCCATAATCATTGATTGAAGAGATATATGCATTAACTTATTATCAGCTCCAAAGAGACCACAGGGGTCATAATAGAAACATTACTCACTCTTGTCTCTATCCCCGATGGTGCCAAGAGTTTCGCCAATCTCGATGCCGAAGATTGGACATCATCAATAGAAATTGCTCCAGAGCACCCACATGTACTCACGATATTTATCTGGGCCTGGGAAAGAGGGACTGCTGGTCTTGAGGATGAACGGTCAAGGGAAGCAATGAGAACCAAGATTGATAGTGGTATTCAGTCTTTCGTCTCTTCCTTCATCGGTACCGACGCAACAAGTCTCCTAGAATTCATATCCCATATCCTACGAAATCTGAATGAGAGCGTAAGTCCCCTACGCTATCAACGACAGTACTCAATCTCTTCTAACCACCTATTAGTTAATACCTCAAAGTCCTAAGTGGCTTGGTTCGGTCGCTAAGCTTGTACGGAACTTATCCACTAATAGGCCTACCGCGGCCAGTCGCTCCGCGTATACAAATTGCGCAGCTGCTCTACTAGTCACATATCCACAATCAACACCACAAGTACTATTCCTCGATAAGAAGGACGCACCAAAACCATTCTCATACCTTTTTATCAACCTTATCCTGATAGAGCTACGCGCAACCTTGCCCTCTCTCTTGGAGAAACTTAACGATCTAGACTATCCACGGACCTCACAACGTCTCGCCTCCGCTCTAGAAATTCTGACCGCTTTTATCGGCCAGCTCATTGTCTGGACAGAAGAGCTAGACAACCCCAAACCAGGCACAGACCCGACGAATCTTTGGCTGAAAATACCTCCCGAGCTTGTCCTAAAACTTAGCAGGTCGATCGTCGAGACCCTATCCGTGGTAATGGAATACCTCCGGGACCGCTGGGACGCCTCGGTAGCCGGAGCTCAGGGGCTACATCCGGAAGCACGTACCAGTAATGCGCATACCGACTTTGGCTCCCGTAAGACACTTGCCTGGGACTCGAAAGACGAGAGCGCTGCCACGGATGCTTTCATATTATCTGCTATCCGCGCGATCGCGATCTGGCTTCGAGATGACGACGGCGACGTGCTGAGGAAAGAAGGCGCGGGGTTGATGGACATGTTCATGGAACTATACCAGAGTAGTTCAACTTCGTCTCAACTTAACGGGCTTGATTACAGACTCCCTATTCTCGCAGCGGTCGAGGGCGTGCTCCAGACGTCGAAGGGTATTGAAGCATTTAACTCACACAATGGTTGGAGGATTCTAGCCGATGATATGCTTAGGATTTTGAATGAGAGCGCGACGCCTAATGCATTACTGCGAGAAACAGATCTTACTCGCCGTACCTGGATTACTCCTGTACTGCAGATAGTAGCCGAGAGCGAAACTAGCACACCTGAGGACTGGATGAGTGTCGTGACGGCCGTCGCGGCTTATGATGTACCCGTCATCCAAGGCCAACAGCGCCTTCTTGACTTCCTTACGGATGTCTTACAACTTGCCGCAACGTTAATAGCGAATGCGGGTCCGGGGATGAAACAGAGATATGTGCATTCGATAAGTGCTATACGAGGAATCGCGGAACAAATAAAGAGTCTGGTAAAAGAAAGGAACGGCACGGCGGTTGAATTGGACGATATCATATCGACTTTGGATAGCTAGCCAGCCAGTTTGCGTAAACTGCAATAAAAAATCGATTGGCTATCAAAACCCGTTTCACCATTGTTGACTTAGAAGTACCCGATTCTCATCTACTTGCCGTATCAATCCTGTTGGCCTAGAACTACGCAGGTATCGTACTTTTGCAGTTATGGGCCTTCATTGGATCGAAGTCCAGACCCTTACTAACACGACAATCGTAAATCACCCCACGCAACGCCAACGATATCCTGCACGTACTTCTTGATACTGCCAAGGGATAATGAGGGCTAATTTGTTCATTAGTTTTCAGCTCTTATCTACATGCCTCATTCTGCTGACGTGTGATGGGGGCGCCTTCACATGCTGGCTGCCCTACGGATACGGGACTTAACACGGGGAAATTCCGCGTCTCACCTTCTACCTACCTAGGTGATTAATCTATTACATATTACGTTGGTCTTTCCGTACCAATATTTTTTCCCAAACGTACATCTCCGATGGCCGCCCCTTTATATGTAGTTCGCCATATTCCCCTCCTGGATGCTCGGTTCGGTCGTAGGCGGGTATACGATCTATTAGAAGATGATAGATATCCCTCGAAGCAATAACGCAATATAATATACGACAACATCCAAACTTGCCACTTGACGATATTAAATGGTGATTCATAATTCATATTTTATATCCCCTTAACTGGTAGGTAGTTGTTCTCACGCCCCGACCCCCTGTAATTTGGTCCATACGGGTACGCTAGGGGTAATTCGTCGTCCATTAGGGACTATTCCGGTAAGAGGGCCTGTAAATCAGAACGAACTTAATGCTATGATAAAACGGTACTATTGGCTACCTTAAACCCATTCAAGGTCGTTCAATGCTAATGCGAACACCGCAATAAAATGCAGGGGACACAGCTGCCGCTTAGGGAGTTATATCGCTACCTACGCTACGTTAGGCGTTGACGATCCCCCAAAATACTAATTAACGAATGAATGCATGAACGCGGAGGGAGCGAGTGGGATTCGATAAAACTTGCTGCAGAGGGAATTTCTGCGTGATGTAGGATCAAGGCGTCGCCGCCGCTGAACTTCGAGTTCACCATCACCATAAACAGTTGAGCGAGCAAGTGAAGAAGTCCTACGTATCTCGGGTTTTGGCCACAAATACGATCATTTCGTCCTACCTTTTCGGGAACATGGCGCCATCTCGATTGCTTTATATACACTAATGAGAACCGAAAAAAAAGGAGATATTCATCTCTGATCGACATTAACCACCCCACGGACTAACCATCACGCAATTCAGTAGAAAAAAAAAACCCACTGCGCCCAAAAAATACCACACGTGCCCAGTTACCAGATACAGAATTGTGGGTTCCCAACAGGAGGCAGCTCGGCGCTGAAAATCAATTAGACTTCTTACCACAAAGCGAGTCAAGGCATGCTAGACGAAATCCTTCCAGGCCGACTGGGGTGGGGGCAGCAAGCGTCGCAGCTGTACGTACCCTGCCTTACCGTTACCGTAAGGGCTGGTACCCGTCCGTACCTAGGTATGTAGGGGGTGTGTTAGGTAGTATGTAGGCTAGGTGTATATTTACCATATGTAAGTGAGATTAAGCAGGGGGTCTCTAAAAATAAAGGAAACCGACAGACTGAAAACTGATTGATTGATTGACTGATTTGATCTGATCAAGCAAGTCGCCGAAATACGAACCATGTGTAAAAGAATATCATGAAATCTCGCATTCCATTCCTCTCCCTGTAACACCAAATATCCCAAGAAGCCTACCTACACCAACAGCATAGAAAAACATACATATACATACAATTTATACATAGATCGGTAGCCAATGGTTACCAAATAAAGCCAAACTAGATGCTGCCCACCTATCTAAGTAAGGGGTTAGTCGATCTAAGACAATATGTAGGTACCTACACATACGTTATTCTCAGTTTGTCCATAGCCAGTACTACGCTACGACGCTGTATACCGAAGATACGTTACCGCTGTTTTCCCAACCTCCCACCCCTTAACCCTAAGGGCCCGGCACTTACCCGCATTACCTAGGTATGTACTGTAGCTATCCTCCCCCAGCGCACCGGGGAATCTGACCAGTCATGTAACCCCTACCACACCTCCCGGGGAGAGAGACGCTGAATGCGGTATAAGTTTGCTCCTGATCCGTAATAGCACCGACGTGCTTCGCCAACTCGAGTTCATGTCGTCCAACAACGGAAAGGGAACATGTGAAATTAGGCGATACCGTTGTATAGAATAGGAGCATTGCTGCGGAGATGTAAGGTAAAGGATACGTCTAGCGTAGCAGAGAATATACAAAAATAATAATGTTAATAATTTTATAGAATTTTTCCTTCATTAGACCCGTAGCGCGTATGCGCATTGCCAAATCAACGCTTTACCTTCCAGGATTATGTACAAACAAAAAAGTATAGGTATCTTTATGAGTGTGGTATGCGTGCATGTAGACTATGTGCGCATGTGTAGCAAACCAATATACATTTCGTTCCTCCTCGTCTTCACGTCCCACATAACCAAACATCGTAGCACCGTAACCACGAGTCTAGAACAACCACGATACGAATCTTCTGTAGAACGCGGCACCCCTCTTCTCGGGCTCAGCTTCGCGCTTGGCGGCCTGAGCTGCGAGGAATTCCTCTTCTTCACGGTCGATGATGTCCTTGCCCGTGTAGAAGTCGCACTCGTGCGGGCGTACGCCTTTGCTCTTGGTCCAGATCTTGTGGCCGAAGATAAGAATAAGGTAGATGGGAATACCTAGGTAACCTGTAATGAAGGTAGGGTACTTCTTGCTCCAGTCGCCCACGAATACGTCGTAGTTCTTGGTCAATGCAATAAGGCAGCACATGAATAGCGCGCCGTAAGATCCCCAAATACCTAGCGGTGCAACGTACGGCATAGCGTGGTCTTCAAGGTTCTGTGCGCGTCTCGCACGGACAAACCAGATGTGCGTAACCAAGATAGAGATCCATGTCATAAGACCGAAGATGGTAGTAAGGTTGACGAAGTATGTAAACACCTGCTTCGAGTCATCCTTGACGTTGAGAAAGGCAAGGAGCGCGAAAGCCGCTGAGGTTCCGAGAGAGTACAGGGGAACACCGTTGCCGTTAGTCTTACGGAAGATAGACGGGGCAGCGCCATCCGAGGATAGACCGTAGAGTGTTCGGCTGGCAATGTATAGATCGGAGTTCGCGGCCGAAAATACGAATAGCAGGATGCAGGCGTTTAGAATGTGGTCGAGCGCGGGGATGTGGGCGAGACGGATTGCGACGACGAAGGGGGAGGCATTGGCGTTGCCGGACGAGTCGTTGGCGAAAGCAAGGAGGTCCGAGTCATATGGCACACACATGCCGATTAGGAGGATGCTAATGCAGTAAAAGAGAACGATACGGTAAAAGGTAAGTCTGATAGCAATGGGGATGGTCTTGCGCGGGTTCTGGGCTTCTCCCACCGTCACACCGACCAATTCCGTACCCAAGTAAGCGAATGTAGCGGTGACCATAGTCGACCAAAATCCGAGAAATTGGCCCCAAGATTCAGTAGCGATATAGGGGCGGAAAGCACTAATTCCCAATTAGTATTATAAAAGAAGTGATGGGAAAAAAGGAACATACCCAGGAGAATCCCAGTATCGGAAGCCCTTCGGGTCACCATCAGCACCGCCGCACGCGATGATGAGAGCTAGGAGGATGACGCCGACGATGACGACGACCTTGAAACTGGACAGCCAAAACTCGAATTCACCAAAGAACTGAATACCGAAATAGTTGATGCAAAGAATGAGAACGAGGAATATGGCGATCCATACTCCTGGATTCACTTTGTCTCGGGGCAGCCAAAACTGGATGACCAGTGCGGCAGCCGTAAGCTGATTTGGCGTGACGATAATGTATTTGATCCAATAACTATATGTTAAAAGCGTTAAATGTTAGCTTCGTCCGGTCACTGGCTAAGTTATATATAGCGAGCGAATTGTGGATCAAATAAGGTAAGGGACGTGCGACTTACGTCCAACCAAGCGCGAAACCAAGCGAAGGGTCGCAGAACCGAGAAGCGTAACCAGTGAAACCAGCAGACATGGGGAGCCAAGCAGCCATCTCGCCAAGAGCAGCCATGACGAGAAAAACGACGAAACCGACAAGTGAGTACGAGATGAAGATAGAACCGGGTCCAGCTTGCGCGAGCGCTTTACCAGTACCGATGATGAGACCTGTTCCGATAGCACCACCGATGGCGATCATAGTAATGTGGCGAGCCTTCAAACCACGGCGCAGCGACGTCTCGGCGGAAGTTTCGATACCGCGGACGTGCGAATGGCCTAGGTCCAAGTCGCTGAACGCTATCGTGTCCTTGTCCCCGGCCGGCGACGATGCCGCCGACCTGTGGACCAAGCCTTTCTCCATGGCGGTGGTTGGTTCTATTTTTTCCTCTCTTCTTTTTTTGTTCCTTCTCGATCGACGTTATTCCCGACGGTGATGAAGCTTACGAAATAAGTGAACAAAAAAAGGATTGAACAGACACGACACAAAAGGATTGACGACGACTAATTAAGTCTGCGTGTGTGTGTGTTTTGTTGAACACCAAAACGTAAGATCAATCGAAAGGTGTTGGGAAGGGTGGCACGGGTGATCCTAAGGTAATATATATAGGAATATAAAATATAGATCAATCGTAGATTGGCGTTAGAACATGAGCAAGATGGGCTAGTTGCTAACGAGACTTCTCGCAGTCACCTATCAAACCAACCCTACCTCACTTGACCAATCCCAGTCCGTTTTCCGTTGGTGGGCGGAATAACTACTACGTAGCAGTAACCTACCTAAGCTCTCTCATTGCTTCTATCTTTTCCAGTGATAATGAGAGTGTGTGTGAGTGAGAGGTACGGGCCAATACCGCAGAGCAGCGGGGCTTTGCTTATCTCTCCAACACTTGTCCGTCCGGGCGCATATCATTGACCGAATAATAGTCCGTGGAGTAAGTAGTATTACCCTAGAGGCTCTTGGCCTGCCCCGGTCTTGCTTCCTCTTTTTCGAATCCTGGTCGCTTGTTATCCTTGGTAGCTTGGCTCTCTGCTTACCTACTATTGTGGTAGCGTCCTTGAGGTAAGCAGGGTCCCTCGGCAGGCAGGCTGGTTACAGGTGGTTGCAAGGTCGCGTGCTCACTGGCTTTTCCTCGGTGCCTTCAATTATGAGCTCCTAACCAATGCGTGAGCTTGCCGTGAGATGGACTCAGGAGAAGGTCGTATGTGGTATGCCAGTTTCTCCGAATACCACGGCAGGGAGGCAGGTGGATCACATGTGATGTTTCATTGTTAAAGCGATGGTAATAACTGTAATAACTGCATCTTGGGTCAATTGTCCAATGTCGAAGCAGGCGTCCCTGATTCCCCAGACGTGATGGCCATCGTCATTTTGCTAGTGCCGGGTCTGTCAACCAACCAACTAGCTTGGCCGGTGAAATGGACGAGATGGCGTTAGTGCATCGTAGTTTTGGTACTACCTATGATAATACATGGTAGTCCCTGGATACCGAATACCCACAGTGGATTAGCTTGACAAGTTTTGACATGGTTGAAGATAAAAAGTGACACGGACGGGGAGAAGGAGAAGAAGATCATGGTCAAGGGTTGTTATGGCGTAGAATGCGTAGAGAGAGAAGAGTGGAGAGGGAAGAGAGGAAGAGAAAAAAGACCGGGGGGTTGCGAACTTCTAGATCGGGATGGTCTGGGGCAGATACTTAGCAGATACTAGGCCAGATTCTTAAATTGGGCAAATTTGATAGGCTATGTTTCTCATTATCTATGCCAAGGATGCCCTAAAAACGCCACCAACCCGGACCAAGCAGACCAAGCCGCATCGGCCGACACCAAAACCATAGCACCCACCCGCACCCACTAACAAATCTCATTGGAGCAGAGCTCCTTAGCAGATCACATCCTTTTTAAGCCAATCAGAATAGGCCTAGATAACGTTGCTCTGTGGCAAGCCTGGCAAGCACACTAATATGCAAGCGAACTCCATCAGGAGACTTCTAGACGTATTCCAGCCCACACATCTCTGCACTTTCAAACTCAACCAAACTTAAGTTAACTAGGTCTATCCTAGAATCTATCCTAGAATCTCCATCACATACCAACCCAGTCACATGACTAATAAAGCAGATCTCTGATTTTGTGATTTGAGGTAATTTGCATTGCAAAGAAGCTTTGCTTGTTATGTTAGGTAGCTTCATCAACGGCGCCACACTAAAAACTAGGTAACGCCCGTTTTCTCAGTGCGCCTTGTCAACCTCACACAGACACGCCCGGTATTATTTTAACTTACCTACCTAGGTACCTAGGTACACACACTAGCTAGCTCCCATGTACTAGTGTCCTTTCTAGCCCGCCATCAAGGGAAATTAAGGCTTAAATACATCATCTGAATCTCTAGGTGTCGCGTGACCATTTTTGAAGTTTATTTATTTATCTTCCTTATCTTTAATGGAATAGTAATGGTGCAGATCGTTTATCCTCGGTCACGTTTCCGCCCTCGAACTGTGGATGACGAATTTGTTTAGCCATCACTCTCAATATGAAACAAGAAAGGATCATTGTGGCTTGCTTACCTCTAGGAATCCTGTTGCGGTGATGACGACCATAAACGCCTCCGCCAACTCACTAATGCGTTCCGAAAGCAATGCACTCGTCTTCCCGCCTCCGGCTCCAATTCCGGCTGAGCGTTTCAAGACATGCATCACTAGCATTCGATGCTCGGTCAAGAAGCGTCTTCCTTGGAGTATATTATGCGACCCTCGACTGACTATCGCGGCACCGATGATGCGAGCCACCTTGACTAGAAGGGTGTAGTGTCTCTCCAAAGCATTGGCGTCCGAAGAATCAACTTGTAATTCGGGGTCTACTGAGAACAGCCCCGACAACTCGATGGTGCGGAATAGATTCGCATGCAGAACATTTTTAGCGCCCTCGCGCGTTTGGCAAAGCTGCAGTAACAGGGCGAGCTTGGCATTTAGGCAGTTCTGCTGCTCTGAATCACCTAGAAATACGCCTTGTCAGATCGCCTACCCTAGCTAGTGCGAGTGGCTTGTACGACTCACCTGTCTGATTAATCGCTTCCCACTCCGCGAGTACGCCTCGTAAAGAATCGACGAGTATGCCAATGAAATTTAGCCTATTGAGTGTCTCTACTATAAAGTTATCATTCTCTTGTTTTCCAAGTTGGACTAAAGTTGCCAAGAGGATCAAAGCAGCCGATTGACAAGCTGCATCTCCGCCGAATGCATCATCGCAGACGACATTTAGGAGCTTTTCACCGAATGCTTGTATTGTCTTAGCTGTCTTTCGAAGGCCGAAGGAACCGCCCTGGCCATGGTCCACAAGACCTGTCAAGTGACGATAGCAGATACTGTAATAGACAGCCCGCAGCTCTTGATCACCGGTCCATTTTGCGACCGCGCTTAAGCAGATTTGAAGAAGCTGGAAAAGTTTGTCGCTGATCAGGTTTTCCACCACTCGACTCTGCTTGTCAGTTGAAGTCATGGTCTGGAAATCTAGTTCGAATAGTAACACCTTGGCTAGTCTTGCTAACTCCAATGCAGCAGGGGGGTTTTCCGAGCCATACAATTCGAGATTCGGGAGCGTTGCCTGAAGTGTTTGTAATATGAATGAGACCTTGTTTGTGCCTTTGAGGTCATTGCAGTCGGTCATCACCATCAAAAGTCTCGTCCAGGCTGTCAAAACTTTCAGGCTATAATTCTTGACTTGTTCAAATCTGTTTAGATAGTTTACGTATAGTAAAATGCTTTCTTGTTCTGCCTCTGCCGCTGCTACATCTTGCTGTGAGACGAGAAGACCAGAATGTCGAGCTTCATTTTGTTTTAGAAGCAGGATCTCTTGGACTTTACTTAAACTGAATATTGGCTTTGAGTCGTCATCAAATTCTCGGCATGGATTCAGGCCGAGATTTTGAACGGTTTCGATGAACTCGGGCACAGGCGCGATGAAAAGACTCTCTTGAGGTAGCGAATCATGGAATTCGAATACTGAGGGTACTGGTATAGCCTCCATACCTTCAACTTTGATTTGGCCGCCGAGAGCATCAAAAATTTGTCGCTTGAGTCCGGGCCTGTGGCCGTGGGAGACATTACAGAGCTCCCGGGTGATATACTCCAGTGCCATAGCTCTCATCGAGAGATAATTGACATAGCCTTCAGCAGCAGGTTGAGTAAGGAAATCCGGGCCGATAGCTTCGAGCCCATCCCACATGACACTTTGTTGAGTTACAAGGCCTTGCATTAGAATATGAAATAGGAAATCATTTTCTCGGAGTTCATTGAGAACGATAGCAGTTGATAGAGGTGAACTCCAGAGTATTCTGAGAACCCGCATGACCTTGTACTTTATGTTGATGAGCCATCTAAGCATCGATCCCTCCTCGTTCTTTAATGGAACTTCTAGGATCACTGGTAACAACGCATGGAATAGAGATGATCGTTGATCAAATAGGCTACCTGGCTCTATCCCAAGAGCGTTGGCCCCACAACGGAACCCGAGAAGCAGGTGGGCTATCGTAGGTTGATCCGGATTGGCTTGCATGCAAGAGTAAAGGAAGTCTAGGATGTAGAGTTTGATTTGGTACTCATTCGAACCGCCTTCCTTATGAAAGTCTAAGGGACTCCTGAACTCGGAAATCAAAGATCCAGCTATAGAAGTCGCGTCATTTCGCTCCTCTAAAGCCATGATGGCCTTATTACGATGGGATTGCCATGTTGGTCCAGTCTGCCAAGCGGAGACTACCCTAGGCGACGCAGATATCTTCTCCAGAAGCTTCAGACTGGCTAAGGTCAATGCTGCATGTCCTATGCCGCAGTAGCTACCGAGGTCGGATATCAACGCCATGTTGGTCATAAGACCGTCTTCTATTGAAGCAAACGCTCCATTTGATGTTGGTATATATGGCGATCGACTTTGTGTTCGGGTCTGCGGTTTCAAAATTGGCCGAATAACATTAAGGTAAGTGGCCTGGAAGTCTAGGGTTTTTGATATGAGCTCGATTGCACGTATGGCGCTAAGAATGAGGGGCGAAGTCGGCGCTGCTTTTCCGATATCTGGTTGGCTTTGGTGTATTGTGTCGAGGAGAGCTTTAATGAATTTGCTGTCATACATCCACTCCATAACTCGAGCGAATGGGTGAAGAGTGACATAGGCTTCGAGGCTCTTACTCTCAATGGCAGTATCTACGTTGATATTGCATTCGTTGCTGAAGACAATTAAGTCTTCGTTAAAACTCGCGATACAAGTGAAGGCAAAATCTAAGCAGCGTAATCGCAACATTCTCTGGTGCATTAATTCTGGAACATCCTGAGCACGCACGGAGAATATATGCCCCAGACTAAAGTCAACGTACGGCTCGATCCCAGGACGCACCCTTGCCGCTGCTCCAATATCATCAGGATAGGGCAAAGCATCATTCAAGGGGCTATATCCGTCTGGAAGAGATATCAAATCCGTTAGTAATTGGATGAAGGCACTGGCATCGTCGACGTGCGGGCTAATTTCCTGAAAAAGACCTTCCATATAGAAGGACGGAGGCTGAGGGGTCGACGAAGATGCTGGTACCCTATTCGGCGTAGCCGAGAAGAAATGTCCAGTGAGGCATGATTCCAAATACCTCCATATAGATAGGTTTTGGTGGAGGGATTTTCGGGTAAGGAGAGAGCTCAATGCTCTGAATGTGCATGCTCTAATCCGAGGAGCAACCAAGCTGCTGATTATTTGAAAGAGCACCTCGACTAACTTGTTTTTTGGTTGATCGAGTAGATAAATGCGTGCGGCTTCGCTCTGGGCAGCAAGCTTAGCCATCAATCTTAGATAGGATTCTAGCATTGCTGCAAATTCAGGCTCCGTCTCAGCTTGTTCAGCATTTACCTTTCCAGTTCTGTGCATGCCGACTTGGGCTGGAACGGGCTTCTCCCTAATCTTGTTGGCAAAGTATTCTATTTCATTCATAATATGAGTCCAGGTGAGGGACAGTGGCTTTCGGACCTGATGCCCTTCATCAAGGAGAAATTCATGAGCAGATGTCGCCGATTCGGAATCTTCGGATAATGATTGAAGCATCTCACAGAATGCGGCCTGGACTGGCGTTGTTGCTCTTCGGGATGCCCACTGTAGAAAACCTGCCAAATTATTTTCGGGGTCAGCCCAGAAGCCATCCGCGGCTTCTGGTCGATCTTCAAAGGAGTATGCAATTATGAGAAGGAATCTTTCCAGATCATAGTCTTGCTCCTGAGCTTGACTAGCTTGCCGTTGCTCATCTTCTTCAATCTTTAGTCGGCGTAACACATCAGGCATATTAGAGATAAAAGCATCCACGAATGTTTCAAGTTTTGCCGCCAAGCGGTTTTGTAAAGCGGTAGAAAATGTGACGGTATCCACGGGTAGTGTAGGGGTCCTTTTTCGGAGCCATTGTCGCAATGACCTTCGAGCAGAATCTTCCCACTCGGTTGCCCTTACGTCAGCAACAACCGCCAATATGAAGTCGAAAGCACCGTCTTTCAACGCTTCGGTAAACTGTTTTGACCTTTGTTTATCCTCTTATAGTCTGTTAGTTGGTTCCGAAATATTGCATGCTTGAATTTCTTACCTTCGTCAATATCGATCCCAGGAAGACCTGAGCCGGCGGCATCGTCCATGTACCAACCACTATACTCGGCTATCCACCAAGCTCTGACTGCTGCGCTGATGAAAGGCAAGTATCGATTTTCATCCTGCTGCTGGCAGACAATAGTATTTAACTTTCTCGCTTGTTCTACGCTTCCGCTGCCTTCCGTCGAGCCGAAAAAGGTGATATAAGTGCCCAGAACAGGTACGAGATGGACTAATAAAATCAGCTACGGCACGTATGGCTACCGACAATTTCTAAGGAAACAACTCACCGGTACAGGAGTCATATTTTGTGGCCTGCTTCACCAAGCGGATGAATTCGATAAAGTCACTCTCAACTGCCACATGCTTCTCAATTGCATAACACAGCATGACAGCAAGGCGTTCGTGCTGCTGGGTTAAGGTGACGTAGGTAAACTCCATGATCTCCTGAAATTGGGCTTCGGTCGCGCGACCCAGTACTGCAGCACTTGCAGCCTGCTCAGAAAGTCTTTGGAGCCATGTTCTGATATCATGCATCGTGGTCATACACGTAGGGATGAATCTCGGTTTGGACGAAGTGTTCGTAACACCAGGAATGTTCATATGAAGTATATTCGCGCCGACGTATTGGCTGAGCATCCCTAAATCGTCCCCCACATCTTCGGCGAGGAGTTCATCTTCTTCCTTAGAGAGCTCCAAGAGCAACACCATGCAATCGAGTAAGAAATTTCTCTCCCTATGAAATCGAAGTATAGCGCATTCCTGTCTCGAGCGTGCGAAGGCGGTTTCGTCCTCTTCAGCAAGGAGTGTAAGTTTGGCGGCTTCGATCTCGTCTAGGTCTAGGCTATCGGCGACTTGCAAGACGAGTTCTTGGAAGTCCTTGTTGAAAGTATACTCTTCGTCGAAGATTTTACATTTGCCTACCGTAGATGTTAGCACCATATGTAGCCTATAATTGGTGGAATGTGAAGTAAATTACGAACCTAAAAGCACCGCATCTCGACTTTCTTTCTTCCTGCTAGGCTTTGCTAACAAGCCCTTGAATTTACCACCCAGCTCCTCTAGAATAGGATTTTGCGCAAGTTGTGATAATAAAAGAGGACCTTGGGCTTCGCGATCTTCCTTTAGTGCCTCAGATATGGTGACTAAATCTCTATGCAAAGCCAGGAGAGCTTCGAAACTGCCTTCGTCCGCCATTGTTGGTGGTTTCGATTCCTATCGCATCGTCGCGCGGCGGTTTGGAAGAAAGGTAGATTCGCAGTGCAACGGGTATACACCGCTAATTGCTGCGTAAGAATTGTTATTCGTTGCACATACGTTGGTAGGAGTAAGAGGTTGCTTCTTTTACAAGGTGGAGGGGCGCGCAAAGGCAGGCAGGCACTTTGGGAAATTCCATAAGAAAATGATGCTTTGGGGACGTGTCGAGCTAAGGCAAGGTACATGTAGTAGGTGCCCACTTTTTTGCATTCAATGTTCACCGTTACAACATCCAAAGCAGTTACCACGCTAAAAATTGATTGGCATGGAAGGTCCGAAGAATAGAGCGGTGAGTTTCTGCCGGCAGAATAATAATCGGTCTAGGACTTTTCGTTACCCAAAGTGCCCAGGTAACAATTGACCCACCAATAAACAACAGTGACATCCATGGAGCTCAGCTCAGCTGTTCCTCCCGCAGCCTGCCTACAGGAATCAACCCAACAATAAAAAAAAAAAAAAACCAAGGCAGGCAGAACTGTCAAACTAATTGTCTCTATTCAATGTATTAAATATATTCTGCCTAGGCAGTTAGCATAAAGCGGCTCCCTTTTTCGCATTTCCTAGGTTTCTGATAGCGATAGCACGAATTTTTGAAGTCGACTCACTTTTGGTGCTTTCTTGTCAAGCTCACTACAGAACTTCAGTTTCATAATCAGTTAAACCCACTCAACCCAGACGTCCTTCACTGATGAATTGAGATGGGAACGGGGATTAAACGACGGATTCAGATCGTATGGGACCTCATTCGTCATCTTAAACTTGAGTCTGGTTTGTACCCGCTGTCCCAGAAGCAAAATATACTACTTTTCCGCATATCTTAACTAATTACGTCGGGTTGCTGTAGACTAGGAGGTAACTCAAGCGGCAAGATGGCGCCACGACTTAGAACTCGACAAATCACCATGGATGGTGCGAGAAGTAAGTCGCATTGCCATGAAAGGATTTACTGCGAACAATGCTAAGAGTGAACAGTCGCCATCGAAAGCAGTAACAGTACGACTCGGTCCTCTGGTTTGGATGGTGAGATACTCATTGATTCCACAATAAGATAGTAGTAAAACGTATTAACTTGCCTAGATTTAATTCACATATTCAAGGAACAAACGAAAGCTTCAAATTTGTGAGTGAGTATTAATAAAAGTTCCTGCGTTTCGGGGTTGACCAATTTCCAGTGCGGCCCTTGATGATAAGAGCTACCACATAACTTTTGAGGCGCTCTTTCGCTGTGCCTTAGCCGAAAAAAAGGCCTATTACAGCCGTAAGAGCACTGCTGCCAGTAGGCTTACCAAGTGCGCTGAAGCACTACGCCTCGGTATTGAACTAGGCGCAGGCAAGCTAAAGCGGAAAACTGTCCTCTCTGTGATAGATCATATCACCCAAACTTTACAACATCCCGAAGATGACTTAGTACCGCCACTTGTTCAAGACTATATCAAAGCACTAGCTGCCCTCCTAAGCCATGCCGCTAACGTCGAGCTTCTTGCTACGGGGGAAAGCAAAGGTTGGAAGTCATGCGCTGACTTCGCTGTTAATGTCTTGACTTTATACTTAGCAGCTTCGGAAAGAGATGCAGACTTTTCACGAGCTTCGCCCGCGCCTGGCACCGGACAAGGGGCATCGTTGGCGCTCTCAACACCGCGGTCTGCATCCGCATCACAACGGGCCACCCTAGTTTCTCGCAGTCAACTGCCAGATCTTTTACAAATCCTTCTGCACCTTGCATCCGCTCCGAATGCACCTCTTTTAAAATTCGCAAGAGAGATAGCGTCAGTGGTCATTCAAGTCCTCCAACTTCGTTCTTTCGGCATAAATCAGTTGCATCAGTTAGCATTTGCCTTGATCAACAAGATTTTCGTGACATCGCAATCGGATGATTTAGATCATGCAAGCTCCTTAGTTATGGACTGCCTGCCGTTAGTGAGTCAATGGTGGCAAACGAAGGCGGCGTCTGCACACGATGCGCTTTTAAATGGAGTTCGTGTCGAGATGCTGAAGCTTCTGTTCAATTTCCATCTCCAACTTGAATTTCTGATCAAGCAAGGCAAAAAACCCTCGCTCCTTGGTGATATCGAAAATCTTGCGGAACTACTATGGAGTGAATATTCTAAGCGAGAAGAACGCGCTCAACTTCAACAGGACGATTTGTCGTATTCTTCTACACCTCACATTAGCGCAAATTTCCAAGTCGAATCTTTTTCATTGCGGCCTTTCAATGTTGACGGAGAGAAACATTGGGCGGTAGTACACATCATAGCTCTTCTCGAATGCCTTATGTGGAAGGGCTCTCAGCAGTCTCAGGTAGCTCCAGCTGAAGATGAACAACCACGCAAAAAGCAACGGACAGCTGTCGGCTTTAGTCGGCTGCGCCAGAAACTCCGCTCAATCGATCATTCCATACAGTTTACCACTCTGCAAATTATACCATTTTTCGTCTCGGGCCTCAAAGTTGACGTCGATGAAATCTCCGATTTGCTCTCTTTCTTGACAGGCCAAATCACTAGCAAAAATAGCAAAGTGGCTACATGGGCCATGATCGCTTGCGCAAGGTCGGATCTTTATATATCACTTCAATCTCATACGCTAACATTCATCTAGTCTAACATACCAAGCCAGCGCTACTAATGACACCCTATCCACGTTTTGGAAGCCAATATGGCAGATTGCGGTGCGATCCATCAGCATGGCTTCAAACTGCCGAGCCTCGAGCATGCTTCTTCACTCCATCGTAGCCCATGAGCTTGTACCATATCGCGACATTGCCGATGATATTAACAGTATGATAATGACCGCCGACGTGAATGGACCAGCTCTTGTAATGGATTCTTCCCTCACCTTAATGTCAACCCTTCTTCACCTCCGGAACTTCCATCTTCCGAGCGCGAGCTATGCGACATGTAATCATGTAGTCCGCTGGATGTTTTTCAGATGGGACCCCGGTGAGTAAAGTTACGTGGCTGAACTATAGGATTTCCATGCTGACTACTATGTAGCTGACCCGGCTTTTATATCATCATATTCTACTTACGTCTTGCCCTTAGATATTGTCAACCTCATAAGGGCGACTTATGGTAGTCAAAAATTAATGTTGTCCCAACCATCGCAGATAATTTCGGGGCATATTGGGGAAACTCTACTCATGCTCCAAGAACGCAATAGCTTAATCAAATACCTACTTCTGTTCGATGCGGATGCTGTTGACTCTTCGGGTTTTAATCGTCAGCCATTCGTAGATCCTACCATACAAGTTGGCGACTCTTCGAATGTTCACGGCACAAAAAAGCTCATAACGGAGCTTTTCTATCCGAAACTCGAGGAAATAAGATCATTATGTGAATCTTGGGACAAGCATAAAGACAAGACAGCGCAAATTACCCCAGAAAAGCTGCAGAGTGTCATCTCATTTTTAATCATCGGTACTCTTGTCCTTCCTGAAATGATGGAGATAAATTCAAGGCAGTCCCAGGAGATGGAGCATGTTCTATTTTCGACACTCCAAACCGCTCTGACAGGAATTTCCAAATTTACCGAGAGCCAAGACCTTTACAGCTGCCTTTTAAGATCAATTCGATCCTATATACCGGCAATTTCAAGTCATGAATTGGGCAAGTTAGGAGTAGAATGGAAATATCTTCACCAATTACTCTGCGAGATATCCGGCGCTTTCCGCAAGAGAGACAGGAAACGATTATCTAAAGACGATGACTACATGGACCTTGACGACGAGTTCGAATCCAAAGAAAGTCGGTCTGCTACGTCATCTAAGTCGCTTGAAGTATCTCGACAAGACGCGTCTATCGTTTTACAGGCATCAACTTTTTACGCAGATACAATTCAAAGATTGCGCCTCCTTGATGTACTGCGTGAAGATAATGGCCAGATTGGACTTGTACCTGCGCCATTTCTGGATGAGTTTTTGGAATTGTCCGACGAAGAAATTCTCTCTTGTCGTTGCTTAATCCAGGAACTGTTCGACTCCGATCTCATAATCAATCCCGACGACGCCAATCGAGTAATTGGTAGAATAGGCGAGCTAATAGGAAGCGCAGCATTTTCAACTTGTGAAGTCGCCCTGGACGTTTGCCTAGACGTAATGGAAGGACTCATGCCAATATGGTCCGATAGCAACGGCGAAATATCGTCCCGTGTGGGCGATTTGTACTACTATTTTCTCAATGCTGCACTGGACAACGGGATCCTATCGTCGTGCACCCAAATGTCACTAGCCCGATTGCTTCTCCGTTTGATTCAAATCAATGAGAAGTACCCCGAAATGATCGATATGAACCCTCCAAGCGCATCATTATTCGATATACTAGAGAGCGCAGCGATACCAGTCAAGTACTATATCGGAGTTCGCTTACCAGCTTTGTTCAGCCGATACGTCCTGAAATCTCACGACGAGGTCCTTGTCGACGTCCTGAACTTCCTCCCGAGTAAGAGTGATTTCTTCGAGGGCATAGCCTTACGACTGTTTATACTTGCCGAATTGGCAAGGGCATGGCCTACTCTACTTCGACGCGGCATCTACCACATATTTGAGATTCCCGGAGAAATCCCCAATTCGACAGACCATGCCGCACTCTGCCTCGAGAAAATATCAACGTCTTTAAAACTTGAAAGTACGCAGCGGCTGTTCGATCTATTCGCGCCTCAGTTATTGTACACCTGGCTTGAAATCAAGAGTATTGACGACATTCCATTTACGATATTCGGTTTCACAACCCTCAGGGAATTACTACAACATGCACAATCTGAAGTAGTAGCCCTAATGGTGATGCGGGGACAGGATGAGGCAGCCACAGAATTGGCAACCACCCTTGGCGATAGTTTTGCACAGCTCATCAAGCGAAATTTCTCAAAAATTATTGCGTACAGCATGGCTCATGATATCAGCATGCCTAAATCAGAACAACAGCGAAGTGGAGAAAGCCGACTGCGAAAAATTATTGGTCGGGAAGCATTCGTTGATAGTATATATATCAACTTCGCCGACATTATTGGATTGTTTTTCAGTCTCATCGACCAAGAAAATCCAGTCGAGGATGCGTGGGCTAAAGACCAAAAATTTAAATATGCCGCCGAGGCAATGAGAGAGATCAAGAAATGCGGCCACTCCGAAATTGGATTATCACCAAATCAGCAACCAATGTTCCGTGCCAAATATCTCACCCGAGAGATAGAATTATTATGCACTCGGACAGAGTGGGAGATGTCGGGGTTGTGGACACCTGCACTCGTGGTCAGTATTGCTAGAAAATTACTCAACGGCGTTCACACGGCACTAGGACCCTTGCATACATGCGCAGTCCTTCGAAAGATCAGAGTCCTTGTCTGCCTAGCGGGCCGGCACGCCTGGGAATCATATCCTTTAGAAATGCTTCTGCAATCTATACGTCCCCTTATTGTCGATACGGAATGTGCAGATGATGCGCTCGGATTGAGTCAATATCTCATAGAGAAAGGTTCAGAGTCTTTATCACAGTCCCCTTCATTTGTTGCTGGCTATGCCCTATCTGCCCTTGCCTCTCTCCGTGTATTCCTCGAAACCAGCCAATCCAGTACAACTCAAGAGAGCCAATTCAAAGCGACTATGAATAAAGCCCAAAAATTCCATTCGTGGTTCACAAGATATCTAGAGAATTACGAGTCTCCATCTTTTCGAGACCCGCAGCAACGCAATGCGTTTGAAGCAATTACGAGCTCCGCAGCTCATGTTAGGTCTTCTGGAAACGCAGAGCGAGGTACTTACGAAAGTAGATTGCTACTTGAAATCCTTCAAGACGGTGTGCATGGGTCTCAATTGCTGAACGAGCCTTCACGCAAACTAGCGCTAGAAATGCTTTGTAGTCACTTTACGATCCCGAGTTCCTACAGCGTTGACGTAGTTTCTTCTGACGAAGAAGCGAGAGATTTGGTTACGGTTGTTTGGAAAAGTTGCCAGGCCCAAGGTCTTAGTAACGAATACCTTGCATGGGCGGGCCGAGTTGTTGGGAGGAGTTTCGCTGCGTCCGGCCACGTCGGTCAGGGTCTGTTGCAGGAATCTGAGTTGTCGCGATATTATAACACGTCAATGGAGGCTTCCGGATCTGAATACGGCCTACTCAGTCTTCTACAGTCTTTGACATCCGACAGTGATTGTTATAAGGCGGGGCTTGCAGAATCAGCATTGAGAAACATCGTCACGGATGCTGCGGCCAAGGGCGACACCGACTTGCTTACGGCTTGTGAAAAAATCTTATCCGATCAGCTCCTTGTGACATCAGCCTGGGCACCGTATCGGACTCCTCCTTCTGATAAACCACCTATCAGCCCTATCTACAAAGGCCACACCAATGCACTCTCTAATGAAGCGTTTGAGGATCCGAAATGGCCCCAAGGTATCACCGTGTACCTAGCACAATCATGCCCTGAAAGCATTGTCCTTAATGCCTTGCCTTCGATACTCGCAAATGTCAAGGGATTCTCCCAGCAGGCTTTTCCATACATTATTCATTTGGTGCTTCTCTTCGAAAGGGAAAAGCAGCAATCTGCTAGACGTAGCTTATCGAGCGCGCTGAAGAATTGGCTCAAGCTGGATTCGGCGATAGCGAAGGAAAACATGAGCCTTATTATAAATGCCATCCTATATCTAAGAACACAACAACTGCCGAAAGAGAGCTCCATAGCTGATCGGGCTCAATGGCTCGACCTTGATGTTGTTGCAGTTGCTGCAGCTGCTACAAAATGTGGTATGTTCAAAACAGCATTATTGCTTGTTGAAATGGTATCTACCGAAGGGTCCCGAACATCGCGTCGTTCTTCTACAGTTCGGGCCCAAGAATCCACGGATGTTTTGATGGATATCTTTGAAAATATTGATGATCCAGATGCATATTATGGCCTTGACCAGACCTCAACTTTGAGCAACGTCCTCGCACGGCTTGAATACGAAAAGAATGGTAGTATGAGTCTGGCATTTCGCGGCGCGCAATACGATAGTCACATCCGGAGAAGAGATCCAGCCGCCAATATTGATAATCAGTCATTAGTAGGTGCACTTGGAAATCTTGGCCTGTCGGGCTTATCGCATTCTCTCCTTCAAACCCAACAAGACCTAGATGGTTCGCCTACTGCTGTGGAGAGTACTTTCAGTACAGCTAGGCGACTGGAGATCTGGAACCTACCGGCCCCAACGTCTACTGAGAACCCTTCCGTTACTCTATATAAAGCGTTCCAGACCTGGCATCAGGCGACCGAGCTGAGCTTTGCAAGGAAGGCTACCCATGTTGGCTTTAGCGAAACTATGCGGAGCGTGGTTAGGAAAGATCTCAGTCCAGTGCATCTCCGTCGTTACCTGGGTACGCTAGCTGTCTTAACGGAACTCAATGATGTTGTGGAAATGACCGACTCGACCGAACTCGACAAGATCTTAACGACATTCACTAATCGCTCTGGGTGGATGAAGAGTGGACGGTACGTAATATATATATTTTCAGTTGTCTTTCTTTTTCTTCTTCTTCGCTCTGTACAGCTATTAATTACGGTATTTAGGTATGAGGATGTCGGCCAAATGCTCTCTTGCAGAGAAACAACGCTAAGCGTGCTGACTCAAACTTCTGAACGCCGCGGTATGACAAAAATAAACCCGCCGGAAGCAACCTTGGCGCAGGTCAAATCAATGATACTATCGTCCGGCGTTTATAGACATCATCGAGCTACCCAGGAGTGTCTGAATATTGCAACGTCGCTCAAAGATTTGGTTCAGCCAAGCGAAGAGCTCGGGTTACACCTTGATTCCATCGCGAAATTCGAAGCCGCAAATTCCTTGTGGGACCATGGCGAGATGACATATTCAATTCATATGTTGCAAGATATCAACGAAGACCCAAACCTTAAGAAGCAGACTATTCCCATTAGTCGCCCAGATCTGCTAGCGAAAACGGGATATCAGATATCAGTGGCGAAGCTAGAAAAACCAGAAACGATCCAGAAAGATTACCTACAACCTGCATTAAAGGAACTCAGAGGCAAAACCGATGGTCAAGAAGCTAGTAAAGTCTACCATCAGTTCGCCATGTTCTGTGACGAACAGCTACAAAATCCAGATGGGCTCGAGGACTTGGCTCGTCTTCAGCACTTGAAGAAAGGAAAAAACGACGAAGTCCTGCAACTCAAGGGACTCATATCCAACACACGAGACTCTCAAGCTAAGTCTCGGTTCCAGGGGCATCTTTCAAAAGCGAAGCAGTGGCTCGAGTTAGACGAACAAGAACTACGTCGTGTCGAACAAAGCCGAACCGAGTTCGTTCGGCTATGTCTAGAGAATTACCTTCTCTCACTAATATCCTCTGATGAACACAACAACGATGCCTTGAGATTTACTGCTCTGTGGTTAGAGCGATCAGGAGAAGATTTTGCCAATGAAGCCGTCCGGAAATACATCGACAAGGTCCCGACCCGAAAATTCGCCACACTCATGAATCAACTGACTTCACGTCTACTCGATCAAAGCAACCTTTTTCAAAAGCTCCTTATCGATCTCGTGTATCGCATTTGTGTTGACCACCCTTATCATGGAATGTATCAGATATGGTCGGGAACGAGGGCACGCAAAAATGACAAGGACGATGTGGCCATACTTCGACAAAAAGCTACTGCAGAGGTCAGCAAACGGCTTAGTAAGACGGAAGCTGTATCGTCTATATGGTACGCTATCGATAATACAAGTAAAGCCTACCATACATTGGCTCTAGAACGAGATCCTCAGCGCTATAAGGCAGGGCAGAAGGTCCCCGTTAAGGAGTCCAATGCTGGTGCCAATCTTGCAGGCGCCCTAGCAAAGTGGCGCATTCCGCCGCCTACAATAGAGATAGAGCTGTCACCAAATCGGGACTACAGCCAAATCCCATTCATAGCCAAGGTTGAGCCGAGCATGTCTATTGCATCCGGTGTCAGCGCGCCGAAGATTATCACGGTAGTTGGTACTAACGGAGCACGATTTAAGCAGCTTGTCAAAGGTGGAAACGACGATCTGCGCCAGGACGCCATTATGGAACAGGTCTTTGCTGCTGTCTCTTCCGTGCTGAAACATCATCGATCTACCCAGCAACGCAATTTGGGAATCAGAACATACAAGGTGTTGCCCTTAACTGCTGCTTCCGGTCTCATCGAATTCGTCTCGAATACCATACCACTCCATGAGTATCTCATGCCAGCTCACGAACAATACCACCCAAAGGATCTCAGAGGGTCTCAATGTCGAAAAGAGATTTCTCAGGTGCAAAGCAAATCTGCCGAAGTACGCGTGACCACTTACAAGAGGGTGACAGACCGGTTCCAACCCGTAATGCGCTATTTCTTCATGGAACATTTCGTTGATCCAGACGAATGGTTTGCTAAGCGAACAGCATACACCCGAACCACGGCGGCCATTTCTATTTTGGGTCACATTCTCGGCCTCGGAGATCGCCACGGCCACAATATCCTCCTCGACTCAAAATCCGGCGAGGTGGTCCACATTGATCTTGGTGTAGCTTTCGAAATGGGTCGCATATTACCTGTTCCCGAACTGGTGCCGTTTAGGCTTACCCGCGATATTGTAGACGGCATGGGCATCACCAAGACAGAAGGTGTTTTCCGAAGGTGCTGCGAATTCACGCTAGACGCGTTGCGCGAAGAGACATACTCAATTATGACAATCCTCGATGTGTTGCGTTATGATCCTTTATACTCGTGGTCTATGAGCCCCGTACGCATGGCTAAGCTGCAAGACACGCGACGCGATGGGGAGGACGGTGGTGATGCGGATATCGATGCCAAGAAAAGGAAGTCCGCCATTAACGAGCCTAGTGAGGCTGACCGCGCGCTTGAAGTTGTGCGCAAGAAGCTTAGCAAGACGTTGAGCGTAACCGCTACGGTCAACGATCTTATCAACCAGGCGACGGATGAGAGGAATTTGGCATTTTTGTATTCTGGTGAGTGATTAATATCCGTACACGAAATTAGTACCGAGATACATGTGCTAACGAGGCTTCGCTTAGGTTGGGCTGCTTATGCTTGAGTATATTATTGCTACGAGATGATACCCATGTAGATATTCTCATTCTGTTAGCTTTGTTCGAGCATGTACTTGCGCTTACTATTGTATTGATACCAAATGTCGCTATTTCTTTGTCGAAGGCATGTATTCCCGAGCTCGGAAGGCGGAGAAGAAAGTATGAGACCCGGATTATATGTGGAAATTAGATTATATAGCCATGTCTCAGCCTGTCATCATCGATGTATACATTTTGTTGGGCCAGACACGATGAGTAAGCCGACCCAGAAATTGTGTATAGAAAGGATAGTATAGCGTTATTACGCGCTATACACAAGTAAATATTATATTATCCTACTAATCATGCCGTGATCTCCGTACTAATTCCGACATCGTGCTCCTTTTTCGCGGCGGCTGCTTCTAGCTTGGCACGCTTCTTGCGGGCTCTGCGGACTTCTATTTCGACCTGGGCCATCTGGGCATTTACCGAGACTAGTTTAGGTATGATCCCCTCGACGGCCTTGATACTTTGTGCTTGGGCCTGTCGTAGGGACATAGGAGTGAGCAATCCGAACCATCTTAGTGGATCCTTTGATTTCGTTTTTTGAGATGCAATTGCCTCGTCCTTCTTTTCCTCTTCGCCCTCCTTCACGTTAGGAGCATCGGAGTCGGTGGTAGAGGCCTCTTTCTCCGGGTCCTGTGTCACCGTGGATACTTTGAGCTCCAAATCTCCGATGCTCACTGTGAAAATAGGTACGCTTTCTTGACTGTCGCCTATGGTATTTATAGTCAACCTCCTAGAGGCTTGCATGCGCTCATCATAGTGGTCCTGGTTATATCGCATACCACGCTCAGCAGCGAAGTTGGCGCGTGCGATGTTTTGGTATATGCCCGTCTGTAGGCTGTTGAGCTGGTCTCTTAGGGTTGTGTATTCGTGTAAGAGATTTAGATATTGCTCTAGGAGCTTATCGATGTGGTCGACTTCCATTGTGAATTGATGGCTAGCTGTTTTCAAATGCTTGCCGTAAAAAGAAAAAAAAGTAGTGTTTGGGCTGATTTGAGTTCGACCAGTCTATGAATAAATCTACGGTGAGTTGAGAGATCTCGGAGTTAAATTATACACCAACTCCGTAAGTGGCTTAGCTGAATCAATGGAATTCCCCGAATAAGGTTAGGCTGCCCCGGATTACCTAATCCATCTCCCACCTATTAAAACCCCGACCTCTCGGAACTCCTCCTGTATTGAAACGCTGCAGAGACATCGCCAATAGGAAATCATCCCAATCCGTTCCAATGACATCCTACAACTTGACATGTGCAAACTACTACATATGTGCTGCCTAGATCACATTACATTTACTCTGCAAAACACACCGTTCTTTGTGAGCCCTACTAGAGGATCTGAGTGGCTCCAGGACCCTCTTCGTTAGGAATCAAATAGCACTGCCCAATTTCTGCCATAAGGAGCGGGATTTGCACCAAATTTTTCATATGCCTGGAAAGTTTGACCTCCAATACGGACGCAGGGATACTAGGATTTTCATCAATATGCTGTTTGCCTTTGTCTTCCCTCCACCCGACTCAAATTTGTCATGTGGCGGTCTCAAGGGATGAAGAGGGGACAACTATATGGTGACTAAGCGGCGTGTACTCTGAGGAGTTGAGATCGTCGCGGTCAAAAAGAGCAGGCTACAGCCAGCAGGTTCCTCAAGGCTATCGATAGGGCGTCACAAAGAGACCTGTTAGAACGCCCTCTCACCACGAAGGTTGCACCCATCTTGTTGTATCACTTACTATACATGCGATAGGATTCATGGACTTTTTATACGACACCAAAATCGCCTGACCGTTGCCTCGCATGACTGCCACGTAGTACTAGTGTCCTTGTTCGAGGCGCGTACAGAAAAGAAAGGCTTCGTATGATCTGGACGATAAGATGCCAATTGGAGCTGCAGATACCCTTCTTTAACCCTTTTGATCGACAGCTCCGCCACGACCGCGATCTTCAACCGCAGCGATTACACCGGATACGTATGGATCTGTAACTACCCTTTCCCTCTTTCCCCTCCCGCCTTACTTATAGAGCATATGCGCGCTTAGCCTGGATACCGAGTGGCTTAGACATAACGGCGTAGAGGAATTTACGACGAGTCGCGGTTACATAAATATAATGTGTCGTGTCGGAGCTATGACTTTCACTCCGAATATAGATTACAAACATGAACGCTTCGACAAATGATTCTGATTTTGTGTTTGGTGTATGCGACACTTTTCTGGTTGGCCCGCCGGGTTTCACTGCATGTTTAATACAGATAGGATAGCACTGATCGTATGTAGTATGTCCACTATGTATGTAGCTAGAATAGGGATCGAATCTACACACGGCACATACCGTATCTATCTTACCCTCAGCTGTCAAAGTAAGGCTGCCGAGGCCCTACACAGACAGGGCGATGGTACTAAGTTTGCCCTTTTCATTCTACGCGCATAGGCTTATTGCGTAGATTTGTTCTAGAAAAAAGGGGGATGAAAGGGTTTTCGCCTTATCCGAGACATTACAGTTAGTTGGAAGTACCTATCCATTATCCATTCCGTCCTCTCTTCGTCATGAAGGACCCTGATGACGCATGAATAAAAACGACATGGGGGGAAATATGCATACCTAGGTAATACACATATCTAGAGATCCATAAGCAGTCTGTACATAGTTATTGTGCATAATAAATCAAGACTAAACCGAAAGAGTACGACATTATCATGCTGACTTCGAAGCTAAAACAACGTAACAGATCAAACAGAATGGTAAAGGATTTCGCCAATGACATGATAGTCAAGAATCAGCGAAATTATCCATTGGCCCCCCCTTGCTCCTTGTTGATTTCCTGGATCTCCTAGGGGATATAGAAAGCTTTGAAGCATGGCGCATAATCTGGTCATGGCTTCGCATCGACCGCTACGGGGAATCAATTTTTATTTGTTAGTGAATCGTAGTCCTCGATGGTGAGACAGGGGGATCTATAACAATGTCGTCAGCTTTTTTTTTTTTTTCTTCCTGTCTCCTGTTGCTTTCTTTATAACTAGGTATTTTCCTCCCTTTTTTCATCTCTTTGTTAATTGTTAGTTTTAGATGGGATTGGATTGGACGCTACTATATGTCTAGTGATGCATAATGTAAATGGCACATCTGATCAAGTCAATTCGCCTTAATGTGGTGTGATAGGGAAGTGATAAAGTACATTTCATCCCTCTTAATCTGATGTGACGTGTAGTATGAAATACGTAGAAGACTGCTCTAACCGTACATGCATTATGTTTCTCTTTTTTAATTGAATAGGACTGAAAAAAAGACTAAGAAAAAAAAGAACCAGGGCGTTAATTGAAGGGACATGGGATTAATAAATTAGAAGTCGCTAGGCAAGTACATTAATGAAGTTTAGTTACCCAAGGTACCTATGTAGGTACTTACTATACTTCCGTATTCAGCATCCAATATGGTGCGCGTCAAGGGTGTTTAGGTTGTACCTAAGTACACGCCTGGGCATGTAAGTTCCCCCCCAAAATCCCCCCAAAAATCCGCCTGTGATTTCACCTGCAATTCCCACGCCGCTTCAACACACACGCCCCAGGAAAGAAAGCCTCAGGGAATAGGAAAATTCATAGCACCAGGAGCACCCAACCTACCTAGGTACTTAACCTTGCATAGGTAGTTGCACCTACCGCCGAAGCAGCACCCAGCACCTACCTTCTATACATACATCCATCGCAATCCACCTACCTGCCGACCAACCCCTAGTCAGTTGCTTCCTTTCCGCGGGTCTGCCTACCAATCCACCAATCTACCAATCTTGTGCCAATCTTATTGAGAAGCTCTCTTACCTCTTACTTCTTCTTCTCTTTTTAGTCCCCCCTGCCAGCTCCAGTCCCGCCCCGTCTTCCTCGACTCCTTCTCTTATCCGCTGATACTTTTTTTTTTCCTCGATTCCTTATTACAATTCAATTCTTTGTGATATTGCATTTTTCTATTCGTTATCGAGTATTCTCCAGTCTCTCTTCGGTCTTCTTCTCACCGCCGTCGCCTATCGAGGTTCAGACTTAAGACATCGGGTTTCCCTCTAAGCCTCATAGCCCCTCTAACCTCGCTTTTATTTTCTTTTTTTTCTTCCACGCCCTTTTTTTACTGCGAGTCGAAACGGCCGATAGCCGCCGACCTTCTCCAAGATTACTCGCGATAAGACAGCTGCTGAATCAGGGACATCAACATATCGTTCCTGCTCCTGCACAGGAGCTTAGCAAGTGAAAATGGTGGTTGCAACAATCAAGTAAGTCGCCCTCAACTGCCTTTTCTTTCCTTGTCCAATTACTTCCTATTTTACACTACGTTCATTCATACTATGATTAAAAATGCGCGGCTGCATGATAGACAGACATTGTCTTCAGAACCATGCGAACCCATCCCCATGTTTCATGTACCTAGTTTCCAAGCCACGCCGCTACCAGATACAAATCACGCGTCATTCACCTTCCTGTTGAATGTATTATCATGTAATATTTCTATTAAAAAGACTAATTGCTAACATCTTTCTTCCCTTCGCAGGTGCGTGGTTGTCGGCGACGGTGCTGTTGGCAAGACTTGCTTGCTCATTAGCTACACGACCAACAAGTTCCCCTCTGAATACGTCCCGACGGTCTTCGATAATTATGCCGTCACGGTTATGTGAGTCCCGAGATACAATTTCGATATATATCCAAGTTCAGACCGCTTCGATCATCGGTGCGCTCAATGCATACCAGCGCCATGGCCAATTGCAATTATATTTGGATTTCGGGTCGATGTAGAGCAAGGCTAACCCGTCCTTCTCTTACAGGATAGGAGATGAGCCCTATACACTGGGATTATTTGATACCGCTGGTCAGGAAGATTATGATCGTCTACGCCCTCTATCATACCCGCAAACCGACGTCTTTTTAGTGTGTTTCAGCGTCACATCGCCCGCCTCCTTCGAAAACGTTCGAGAAAAATGGTTCCCTGAAGTCCACCACCACTGTCCTGGTGTACCCTGCTTAATCGTCGGCACTCAAACAGATTTAAGAGACGACCCTAGCGTTCGGGAGAAGCTTGCTAAGCAAAAGATGCAGCCAGTGCGCAAAGAGGACGGAGAACGAATGGCGAAAGAGTTAGGAGCAGTTAAATATGTGGAATGCAGTGCTTTGACGCAATACAAGCTGAAGGACGTTTTCGATGAGGTAAGCGGTTATTGTTTCGTATGAGATGAGCAAATACTGATTGTTTTTTAGGCGATCGTTGCAGCACTGGAACCTCCTGCGCCGAAGAAAAAGCCGCATAAGTGTTTAATTCTTTAATGCCGTTCCTCCTGGACGGTTGGCATACCCATTACCTTCATTCTTTGCACATTATTGTCACCATTCTGGCCCTCTCCCCCCGGCCAAATATTGGAAGGTACAAGGACATGTCATTGGGCATCTTTCCACAACATCTGCTTTTTCCGTAAGGGGGCGATCTTTTAGACATGTGCGCTTGTAATACGACCACAAGCGGATAGGATTCAGAATGAATCAATTGCGCGGTATAGCATACCGCAAGAGTGAGGTACCATTGGAACAGCTGGAAGCAGAGATTCTCGACCGGAGCTTCAGATCTAGGTTGATCGAAAGGAGGGGAAGGCCCGTAACAGCCCAGCACTTCTCGAGGTCCGGATATAGGAACAGAGGCATACCACCAATGCGGACAGAGGGGTTCAGCTTGCGATATGAGAAGCAATACTTCCCACTACGACTTTTACTTTCCCTCCGGACAAGAACTTTGAGAGTCACACTCACCCTGATTCTGTTTTCTCTTTTTCTTACTACTTTCTAAGCAGCCAGGGTTTGGAGGGGAAATTCATGAACGCAGGCAGGACTTTGATAGGATTGTGTTTGGCGATCGGAGTGCATCTGAATTGATTTGATCGTCTTCCTCGATCTCGGTGCCTCGTAATGTGACCTTGAGAAGATTGCGAGCCCGTATTAGGTACATAATTCAGATTTGAGTAACTCACCCCCCTGAAGTCTTTCTACGCTGCATCTTGTTTCAATTGCTCCTGAGCTGCCACGTGCCATACTCCCGATATATTCCCTTCTCAGCATTACATCAGGAGGGAGATAATGACAACGCAGACAATAATGTTCCCGAGTTCCGCCGACCGCGTACATTTCCGGGTTCTACTTGGTTTCGTAAGGTAGCAATTGTATGCGTTTTTCCAATCCTACAGTCAACAACATCGAATCTAGAAGTTATTGGCGGTTTCAGTGGTTCTAATAAGGTTAAGCTGCATCGTATTGCAGCTATCTGCCCAGTACAGTACATATGTAGCTCTAGACCCGCATACCGTTTGCATAAGTAGCGAGCTTTGCTAATGGATCAAGTGAGATCATTAAGGCACTTCAGCTCTATACAGCAGGTATATCAAGTCTATATTGGGTTAAAAACTTACCCACTAGAAAGTGATAAACTCACAGATTCCACTCAAGCTAACAAGTTCTTAAGGAGGGGTGGGTTATGGTAAATCGTATGTATGCGGATTCTTGTTGTGTCACCAACATTCAAAGAAAAAAACCGGTAACTAATTTCGGGTTCGGTTTTCTCATCTCACGCATCACGCAAGGCAGAAGCAGGACACTAGGAAATATTTTTATTACTAAATTTGTCCCGAGACAATCGGAATGATGACATGGTTACGGAGGATACGGGAACGGCAAGGCAGAATGTGCGAAATGTGCGATTCATTACTACTTTGGCTTGTATCGCTATAGGCCGATAAGAAAAGAGAGAAAACGCCATCTCCGTAAGCCTGCATATTTGATATTTGACTAAGTGTCTTTTTCTATCGAGGGATGGAACGTGGGGTCTTTTTTTTTGTTTTCTTCGTCTTTCCGTATATGTATAAGGTCAGTTACCCGCTGCAAGGAGACATACGTAAGTACCTATTTATGTATGCTATGATGAGGTTATGTAGGATGAAGGAATACACATGTATCTGTATGCATTCCAGGCTTTGTATCGATTCGATATAAATACACTAGAAAGCCACCCTCGCAAGAAAATACTACCGGAAAAGGAAAACTCACGGCCGAGTCGGAATGCCTGCATCTGCATTATACTTAAAACATGGTGACCAATAGGATGTGTCGATTTTTGCCTACCATTCTTTTATCTTTCGGCTCGCTACGGACCTTCGCCGAAAGAACTTCCTTATCTATTTACTCCGCTCCGGGCGTGAATGAGCCGATGTACTGTAGTTGATCAAGAGAGTGTTACATAATAGCTTCCAACTTACCATATCTACATGTCTATCTATATCCAATTTGTATATCAAGGTAAACCTCTACAGTTTGGTATAGAATGGTAGACTAAATGTCTACCCAGAGTTGCCCAATTATTTAATTACAGTGGGACTTTTAATATCGAACACACGTTTATTAATGACACCTGGATGAAGACCTCGTATAGGCAGTTTGTAAGCAATGAGGTTAAGATCACTTCTATGCCTTGCCTTGAGCTACGGCTCGGCACTCATACAGGCCTGTGGAAGCCACGGCCAATTTAGGAAATGGACTCAAGAAGAACTCGACGAATTAGAACGGAAATGGGGACAAGAGGTAAGCCGAAATCAATATATCTCCCTGATACATCGTTCCGAATGTGATACCCGTCGGATGAGGATATGCGTGACATTTCGAGTCGGTGAGGAAAGAGGTTGGTTACGCCAGATGAAGATTGGGCTACCTATATGATTATCACGAGACGGAAGAAAAGGGGCCTTTTCTTTTTTGATTCTATACGAACATGGCAAGATCTTTCAAAATGAGTGATATGTATTGTTGACCGTGCGTATACAGTGGGGATTCTCGGGCATTTCTGCTTTCGCTCACCTTGAGTATCACAAATGCCTAACGACTCCGAATGAGTTATACGATATCGCTATTATTGGAGCCCCCTTTGATACGGCTGTGAGCTACAGGCCCGGTAAGTTTGCCTATCATATCTGATATGCTATCATTCCTCACCTCATAATACATATCTACGATTATACTTGCATGGCTTACACTGCTATTAGGCGCACGCTTCGGCCCCCGCGCAATCCGCGCAGCCTCAGCGAGACAGACCTCATTCCGGGGCTTCAACGCGCGCGCCGGAATAAATCCCTACGCAAGCTGGGCGCGAATCCTAGACTGCGGGGACATCCCCGTAGTCCCCGTCGACAACGCCATCGCATTAAAGCAAATGACAGCCGCATTCACCGAACTCGGCCAACGCCCTCCATCCTCCACACTGCAAAAACCGCGGTTAGTTACGCTAGGCGGAGATCACAGTCTGTCACTCCCGGCTTTGCGGGCTATCCACGAGATCTACGGCCCGGTGAGAGTGCTGCATTTCGATGCGCATTTGGATACTTGGCACCCCGCGAAGTACCCCAGTTATTGGGCATCGGAGCAGGCACGGTTTACGCATGGTTCTATGTTTTGGATGGCGGGTGAGGAGGGGTTACTTGCGAATGGATCTTTGGGGGCGCCGAGTGTGCATGCTGGACTACGAACGAGGCTTTCCGGACTTGAGGATTATGAAGATGATGATGAGCAGGGGTGGGTTCGGATTAGTGCGGATGAGATTGATGATTTGGGCACCGGGGGAGTGGTTAAGAGTATTATGGATACGTTGGGAACGCAGGATCCGGTGTATCTTTCGGTGGATATAGACGTTCTGGATCCGGCGTTTGCGCCTGGGACGGGAACGCCGGAGCCCGGTGGGTGGACTACGAGAGAGTTGATTAGGATATTGAGGGGTCTTGAGGGATTGAATCTTGTGGGTGCGGATGTGGTTGAGGTGGCGCCGGCGTATCAGGGTGCTGGTGAGGAGACGGCGCTGGCGGCTGCGCAGGTTGTGTTTGAGATTTTGAGTAGTATGGTTAAGAGGGGGTTGGATGAGATGGGGAAGGTTGTGGATGATGTGAAGGACGAGCTGTAGGTGAGGGTACTTATGGATGTGATAGGCCTATGGGATGTCTCACGAAGTGCTTTTATGTGGCTGGCTGAGAGACGGGTTACGGAGTTTGGTGTGCGTGGTGAGATATGAGATATGAGACTCGATGACTATATCATGAATCTTGACTAAAAGTGCAAAAGCGATATATTTGAAATGGCACCATTGCCACCATATATATCCGATTTATATCAATTCTTGCTATATAGAGAAAAGTGTGTATCTTAAGAGTTGTTAGGCTATGGGTTGTAGCTTAGAGGTTGCTGTTGAGGTCATATTGCTTTTTTGGTAAGGCCGATGTCGCAGGTAATCTGTGTCACATCAAAGTACTTAAGGACAGAAGTACCTACAACCGCTGGAATTTAGTACTCCAACTGATAACAATTGCAAGCGGCAGCGTCGCAAACCCTTGAAACTGTAGCTTATCTAACACGGAGAGTACCTGAAACTGATACCGATACAAACCCAATTGGTCGGAACAACAATGTGACTCAAGTCTAAGGTATATATATCATATGAATTACTGAGAGGACAAATAAAAGATCGGATAAATAGTTAAAGTAATATTTGAATGAGTCAATTGAATCTTAACGTTATCAAGCAATTAAATACCATTAGGCAGGTACCTATCAAAACTGAGGAGTGAGGAAAGAACACCCCGCCATCGAAAAACTACTGGAATTTTGACAACCCCACCAAACCACTAACCCACTAGAACCCTCAGCCAATTCAGTCCAACTTTCACATACATCCCACCTTCAGCCTTCAGTGAAGTTGATAACCGACCTGTGTCGCATTTATATACAACAGCCGCATTGCATCTAGAAAATATTGGGGAAGATTTAATACCGCTCTCGACAAATCCCGATTAAACACGCGCAACTATGGCTGCCGTGGAAGAACTAGCCCAACGGCTTAAGAACGACGAAAAGACCTTCATCGATTCTGACGCCGGTCACGACGACGAGACTGCTGACGGTTCGGAATTTAAACCCTATAAATCGCTTGCCTACGCCTACATCCAGAACTTTGGAAAGCCTACTCCTCAGTACCAGACCCGAGCTTCTGTTACTGGCCCTGTCGGTCCTGACGAAGACCCCTCCGTGCGACTATTATGGAAAGAACCTGCCAAGAGCGCCGTGAAGAAAGCCCAAGGTGCTCTGGATGCACACAAGAAAAAGGTCCAAAAACAACAGCAGGCTGCCGCTGCTGAGGAACAACTCAAGAAGCAAAGACAGCAGACACTCGAGGCTGCTAAGAAGATAGTGCTCAAGCAAGATGAGTCACTACCGAAACCAGTCAAAATCAAGATCAACCGCAAGGATATTGAGCTTGGGGATGGTGATAAGAAGGGTACACGAGTCAAGGTCTTCGGAAGAATCCATCGTCTAAGAGAGCAGAAACAAGCTACTTTCATCACTTTGGTTGACGGATACGGACAATTACAATGCATTTTGGCTGCTGGTGACCTGACCAAGACCTACGATGCTCTAACTTTCGCTCAAGGAACATCTCTTGCCCTGTACGGTGAAATGCGCAAGGTACCTGCTGGACAGACTGCCCCTGATGGCCGAGAGTTGCACGTCGACTACTACGAGGTTCTAGGCCCATCGCCAAGTGACGAGGAAACCATCACCAACAAGGTTTCTGCTCAGCAGAACCAGTGGGACGCCCAGATGCTTGACAACCGACATTTGGTCCTGCGGGGCGAGAACGCCTCTGCGCTCATGAAGATCCGCGCTGCTGTAGAGGGAGCATTCCAGAAGGTCTATGAGGAGCTGCAGATCACGAAGGTATCCCCGCCTGCTCTAGTGCAGACTCAAGTCGAGGGCGGTGCTACTCTCTTCAGTGCGCCTTACTACGACGAGACGGCCTATCTTACACAGTCTTCTCAATTATATCTCGAGACCGTTATTCCTAGCTTAGGAGACGTCTACTGCATCGAGAAGTCATTCCGTGCCGAGAAGAGTTTAACGCGTCGTCACCTTTCGGAGTACACACATATCGAGGCTGAGTTGGATTATATCGAGTTTAGTGAACTGTTGGACCATCTCGAAGAGGTCATCTGCCGGGTCATTGATATCGTCTTGGCCAACCCGACCATTGCTGCTCATCTGAAGGAGCTCAACCCCACTTTCCAGAAGCCTTCTCGTCCTTTCTTGCGCATGAAGTACACTGATGCCATTGACTGGCTCAACGCGCAAGATCCTCCTATCCCGAACGAAGAGGGCAACCCTCACGTGTTCGGAGATGACATCGCTGAAGCTGCCGAGCGGAGGATGACCGATATCATCAACCGACCCATTTTCTTGACGCACTTCCCTGTCGAGATCAAGGCTTTCTACATGAAGAAGGATCCCTCGGACCTCCGTGTGACTGAGAGCGTGGATTGCTTGATGCCGGGTGTCGGTGAGATTGTCGGTGGCAGTATGAGAATGGAGAACTACGAAGAGCTTCTCGAGGCATATAAGAAGCAGGGTATCGACTCCAAGGATTACTACTGGTACACCGATCAGCGAAAGTGAGTTAATTGTTTTTTTCTCTTTTGCCTCATGGATGTGCCGTCTCAGCCGGATACTGATTCTTAAATATAGGTACGGCACTTCTCCCCACGGTGGATATGGTCTTGGCCTTGAGCGATTCCTTGCTTGGATTGCTAACCAGCACACCGTCCGCACGACTTGTTTGTACCCCCGCTTTATGGGCCGATGCAAGCCTTGAGCGGTGATGGTATGCGCCTCCTTCTTAGGTATCCGGTTCTCCGCGAAACTTACCGCTGAGACCTAGGAATAACATGCGAAGATGGATACGGTGGATCCGGAGCAGGACGTGATTGGAGTTGGAGGAAAGCGGTCAAGCTTATGAGTATCTAAGACGTTGCTTTACGACACTAGGTTGTTAGAGATTCTAAAATGGACCACCAAAAGACACGTCAATAAAAAAATGTTGCTGGTTGTAATTGTAAAATTTTCGTGGTATTTTTGCTTTGTGAATGCGATAGTTATTGTGACTGACTATTTGCAGCGAATCATATGTGATCAATTGCTGTCTCTCGCCCTGGAGCGGCTGTTTTATGCAAGGACTTGCTGTTGGATCTGATTCCTGAAATAGGGAGGACCTTGGCATAATCATTTTGATGCTGCCCAATGACTTACACTCTTTGGGTCACACCTATTTTTGCAAAGTCATACCAAGCCTCCACGATGACAAGTCATAAATGTTGAATTATCGACCCTGGGTGGATACATATGTGGTATTCGGGACACGATAGAATAATGTTCCCAACCCGCTGGGAGAAATTGTAATTCGACGAAAATGTTAGTCGGCGTCTATGATTCTTTATATGGAACCGTTCTCGTGGGTTGTGCATATTAATTGTATTGACAAGTGATTGGCGGTATGTATATATGTCAAATTCGATTTCATATGCGCGTGTAGATCATGGCGCCATTCATTCCAATATGATTGACGCATTGCCGCCACTTATTGGGGATACAGCTTTTTCAGCGGGAATTTGTACGAGGTCAGTCAATCATCCACGTAATGTAGGACTGTTGTTCCTTATATAAGAGTACGTATTATATGTGTGTAAGATAAAATTGGAAATATGATCGAATAGGCTGGCTGATTGGTACTTCACCTGAGTTTATGTACGCGTATAAAAAGAAGTGTACTGTATGATGTAGGTAGGTACATGTATGTATCTTTGGCGTGGGTAGTACCGCATTTCACGCTAATATTGCGCACGTCGGGTACCTTGCCGTAGCGCCGCCAGGGGGTGGGAACCATCTATTCGGGTGGGGCACAAGTGAGAGTTTGGACCTATTTTTTTTTTTTTTTTCAATCGGGATTTTTTTTTCTCTTAGGGGTAGCTGGACAAGCTGGGAAATAGGGGGTTTTCTTGGCTGCATTTCATATTGATAGAGCAAGCGACAACACACACAATTGATTGATTGAAAGCAATCAACTATTTTTTCTGACTCCTTTGAAAGAAGGGATGATGAATTTTTTTGGAGGGTTGAATTTGGGGAAGGACAGAGTTGAATAACGTACGTAGGTAAGGCGTATATATCCATCCAATTGGTAGAATTAAACAATACGAAGTTGATTTCCCACCCTCTTGGGTTCAGGGGGTTTACATATATGTATGTGTGTGTATGGATGTACCTACATACGTTTCCACATATGTAAGTTACTGTGCTATGTTCTGTATTATACATCCAATGTACATATAAAAACCCCCCATTGAGACATGAAAAGTGATGGTAATGCAATGCAAGGCACAACAACGTCTTTGCCGTTTAAAAGCCTAACATTACGAATATTACAGGAGGTTATGCGGGGAGGTTAGACGATGATACAACCGGATTGCAAAAAAGTTTCATATCGCATGGGCGCACAGGTAAAGCTGCTGGAGCTAGTTACCGCATTCTAAACGCGGAGAATATCGTTTCGAAGCATTTAGTGTTAAACAACTAACTGACAACTTGCGATGTCAACGAAGCAATCCAAAAAGGGGTTTGTAAGGCTAGGCCATGTCCGTCCCAAGTCCCAAGACTGAGGAATCCGGAATCGAGATGGCCACTCGTGGTCCGACCCCACGAGACCCGACGATCAATATGGGCTTACAGCACCTAGGCCGCTATGTAGGTACATCATGTACATAGTAAGCGTTGTCTTTGGTACGTACCTCTATGTCTTATTAGGAGAATAAAAATATTACAATGCAACTGGTTTAGGAAGCATTGTTTCTATCCCAATTCCAATTCCAAGGGACTAGTGTATGGGGGTAATAATAAATTGGTTAGTTCCGAGTTGGTAAGTTCGTACGCATTGCTGGCGCAGGGCTTGTTTCCCCTGATCTCTATTCTGCATAGCGTTTTTCCAGCGATGATCTGTAACTCGTGTCTAGACCCTGTAGGACCCCTGTTTTCAGGTATTAGCACGAGTCTCACTCAACCTTGTACATCTACGATGAGACTTTAGTTAGTCTTCATTGATGACAATAAGGATACTCACTAAGTCCGATGAACATTTAGACGATCAATTATGGGCATAATGAGTGAGAAATTGTGATGTTAGGAAGATGTCAATGTTGATGTTCGCGGCTGTTAGTCTTAGGTACTTACCTGGGTAGGTACTTTAGTAGGGGAAAAAGACCTATGGGATAGTTAGATGGGCCCTCCGTTCACACCGGTCCGATCTAACACTTAGGTATTTCAACAAATCTTGTAAGTCGTCCAATTGAGAAATGAGGCTGAAGATTGATATTTCCTTGATGGTATTAGAAATATATAATTAGAATCCTTCGCTGTTAACGAGATCGAACTTCCTGCTCATGGGATCAATGCCGCCGTTATATCGTACCAGTCAATTTGATTGGTTCCTTATTACATTTACAATTTACGCGGACACTGACAAAACAACAACAACGATATTTAGGTAAGACGTGGGTAAGAATTAGCAATGTCCCTGACCTGAAACTATGGACAAAGTCGCGTGAGGGATTGAATTTAGGAGATATTAGCAATAGTGACATATAAGTACCCTTGCATAGTGATGTATATGAAGATATACTTTTCATCTTAAAGCTGTCGTAATATTCCACGTTCTACGCACCCCTGTCCTGAAGCAAGAATCACCTAAGGGGAATTTCGCTAGGGTATAGCACTATGTGTAGGTACCTAGATACTTGAAATGGTACGCCGAATTTACTTAGACTCTTTACCGCATTTTATGTACCTCCCCTAACCTTGAACAACCATGGGATGGGTAAGCTGCTAAGGAGAAAGAGCTACAAGGACACTACAAGGAGGCTACAAGGGGCTACTAGGGCCACTACCTAGGTATAGGAAAGATGTGGGCGGTAGGTGGGAAGGAAATGGTTCGAAATAGGCTTAGCATCTGCAGGCAGTTCATTAAAAGTAGCGCCCCCCCGATTTTGGCCATTCTGGCAATCTGCACCAACCTGGCTCGTCCAATTACTTTCCTCCATTTTTTCTGCTCGTCTCCTTCTTTCACTTCTTCCCTCCAGTCCTCCAGTCTTCCTCCAGTCTCCTCCTCTTCGTTACGGAGTAGTTCAGTCTCTCTTTTTTCTCTCTCTTCCCCTAACCTCACCTTTTACCCTTTTACTCCTCTTCCCTCCTTATTCTCAACCTCCTCTTGTATCTTACCTTAGGTATCCAATCCTTCTTTGCCAATCTCGTTTCTGAAGCTTACCCTAGCAAGCCGTCTTTGGATCTTTCCCCCCCGGCTTTTTTAACCTACTTTGATTATCGACACTCATTCAAGACTATACCTTTCTTAATATACCTATTACTTTATAAAATCTTCCTGCGCCAAGATTCTCTCCCTTCTTTCGCTTAGGAGACAGCTAATCGCTATTTCAATTTGATCCCGAAACTGTCTGCCTCTGCCTGCGCCAGCATACCGTAGCGAAATCCATTACCAGCTCCGCCTGCTTTGCTCAAGAATTTCAGGACAAAGGCCTTGTCGTCTCGCTGTAGCTTCTCGACCCTCGTTTTCTAGCGGTGAATCGTTCGCTCGCTTTGGAGGATAATATTCATCTTGTCTTTGTTCGACGTAGCCGGATCGACCACTCAGAGTATCTACAAAGGAACAGTTATCAATCAGACAACAGACACTAATTCACCGAGGCAGCTCTTCTCATCTCGCCTTTCCATCCTGGCCAGCTCTAGGTAATATCATACATACTATCTTCGGATCGCTACACTCTCTTCGACATCTTTTCAGCCTACGGCCGATTCGATTATTGCGCATAATCTTTGGCGAGAGACCACCGAACTTGTTGCATATAGGTCTATATCACATCTTTCTCGGTGGTACCTCTTTATTCAACTAGAGATACCCAATTATATTTCCCACTGAACTATTGTTTGGACAAACTCGAAGCTGTTGCGTTTTCATTTTTACCCCACAGCTGTTGTAATATCCGAAATTGATTGTTAACTTCAGGATCCTGTCTATTCTGGATCCTATTTCTGCCTTCGTGCCTATTTCGGGGCACGTTTAATCTTTCAAAACGGCGGTTTTATCGCACAACTCTAGGGACAGCCTTGTCCCTCCTCATCTTCTCGGGATGCAGGACCTCTCAGCATCTGGTGGTATCCCTACTGGTCCTGCTGCCAACTCGGCTGGTCGATTCGGTCATGTCTCGAAGCCTTCGAACAGCGACACGGGTTTCTCTCACGGTGCTTTCACATCGAACGTCTCTGGTTTCGCCGACAGACACCCTCGCCGTGGTAACATTCCTTCGATTAACACCCAGCAGCAGCTGAACCCGCCCGCTCCCAACAACGGCCATGACATGACTACGCCTGGTACTGGTTTCGATATGCAGTTCACTCCTCTTTTGCCTTCGCAGTTGCTTCTTGGTAGCCCCTTTCAGCCTGGAACCCCGGCTGCTTTCGCTAGTCCTCAGTTCCAGAACATGTCTGCTTTCCAGCACGGTCAGCAGCAAACGGGCCAACAACAGAACGGCGTATCGAGCCCCATCCAGCAAAATCTGTCTCCCCAGGCCTACCAGTCGATTGTGTCTCCGTCTACCTACGGTGCTCCCCAGTTTTTCCAGCCGCAATCTCCTAACGGAACCTTCAACAACATGAATGGTCAGATGCAACCTCAGTCGCCGACTTTGAGCCCTGGCATGGTTACGGGAACCAGCAGGACGGTGTATCTTGGAAACATTCCTCCTGACACTTCTGCTGAGGAGATTCTTGGTCACGTTCGAAGTGGACAAATCGAGTCCGTTCGCCTACTTCCCGATAAGAACTGTGCTTTCATTTCTTTCCTTGACGCCAACGCCGCCACTCACTTCCACTCAGACGCTATCTTAAAGAAGCTTTGTATTAAGGGACAGGATATCAAGATCGGCTGGGGTAAGCCGTCTCAGGTGCCTACTTCAGTCGCTTTGGCGGTTCAGCAGTCCGGAGCGTCCCGAAACGTTTATCTAGGAAATCTGCCGGAAGATATTCCCGAAGTGGAATTGCGCGAGGATCTTGGAAAGTTTGGCGCTATCGACACAATTAAGATTGTGCGGGAAAAGAACATTGCCTTTATTCACTTTTTGTCTATCGCCAATGCCATGAAGGCAGTTCAACAATTGCCTCAGGAGCCGAAGTGGCAATCGCCTCGCCGCGTGTACTACGGTAAGGACCGTTGCGCATACGTCTCGAAGACGCAGCAGCAGAATGCGGCCCAATACCTCGGTATTGCTCCCACGCATGCTCACATGCTGACCGGCCAGGATCGTGAATTCATTTCTAGTGCGCTTGCCCAGCAATCCGTGGCGGCAGCCGCAGTCGCGACTACCGCTGGTGGTATTAACAACCTTGGTAATCGAACCATTTACCTGGGTAACATTCACCCGGAAACCACGATTGAAGAGATTTGTAATGTTGTACGAGGTGGCTTGCTCCACCACATTCGATACATTCCTGATAAGCATATTTGCTTCGTTACCTTCATCGATCCGACCGCAGCGGCTTCTTTCTACGCCTTGAGCAATCTCCAAGGCTTGATGATTCACAACCGTCGCTTGAAGATTGGCTGGGGTAAACACTCTGGCGCTCTCCCGCCAGCTATCGCTTTGGCCGTTAGTGGTGGTGCTTCGCGAAACGTCTACATCGGTAACCTTGACGAAACTTGGACAGAGGAGAGACTGAGACAGGATTTCTCTGAATATGGTGAGATTGAGTTGGTCAACACCCTTCGTGAGAAGAGCTGTGCATTTGTCAACTTCACCAACATCGCCAATGCTATCAAGGCTATTGAGGCAGTCCGAAGCAAGGATGATTACAAAAAGTTTAAGGTGAACTTCGGCAAGGACCGTTGCGGAAACCAGCCACGTCAGCTTCAGCAGCAAGCACAGTCCCCTCGCACGGACGGTGTAGCTTCACCTCCACCGGTCGGTAGTGGAAGTAACAATTCCCCTACCAACCCTACCTCTCCTCAGTCCGCTAGCAGCGCTACCATGTTTAGCAATGGCAACAACCCGCTCACGATGTATTTGAACCAAGTGTCTCAGCAAGCACAGCAACATCAGCACCAACAACAACAGATTCTCGCTTCTCAGCAAGCAGCCTTGTTCGGCACTGCGGCATCTTCGCCTAATGAACTTTCGCTTGATGTTCCCCAACCGGGCTCCGGCTCCGCTCATGGACAGTCGGCAAGCATTTCGAACGGATACGCCAATGGTTCCGCCTTAGGTGCGACGACTATTGGTGGTCTGCTAGCACCCGGCAACCCGCGAGGCCAACACAATCGTGCCGTGAGCCTTCCAGTTTTCGCCCCCGGTTTTGAGAACGGAGGCACCAGCCCCGTTAGTGCCATTGGTGGCCCTACCGAAGGTGAGCGCCGAGGACACCAGTACCAGGCTAGCTTCGGTGGCATGGGCTCTGGTCTTGGCCTAGCAATCCAGGGTGGATTGAACGGTTGGGTCGAAGAGGAGGTCGCCAACTGATTTTAACCCGGGCGCTCTAGAGGTGACTACCAGGGAAAGATATATGTTGTAATCGCTGTTGTGCTTTTCTTCGGCGTTCTTTATTCGGCTTTGGCTGTGCTTACCGTTTCCTGTATGATCTTGTAAATCCCGTTGAACAATTTCCCCGGTCATTCGACCCGCCGAGAGAAGAAGGGGCATTAGTTGCCATTAATTATCGACTCGCCATCGAACGGATGTGGCAATATTCGCTGCCTGGTCTGAGGTAGTTGAACATGTGCTAGAAGGAGTGGCTTCATCTCTGAAAATGAGATTTGAAGCAGGAATTAAAAAGGGGGCTTTCCATCGTATGTGAGGTTAGGAGGATAGATGGATTGAAGTAGAAGTGATTTGACAGCAACATGGGTCGTTTTTAGGAGTTATTGGTATTTAGTATCTTTAGCTCTTACTGTCAGTATCACATCATCGCTATCATAAAAGGGTTAGGAGGGTATAATACAACAATGAAAAAAGCGCTCTCCAGGCTTCGATGGATTTCATGTATTTCATGTGCATGTTAATATCTAGCATTTTTAAGTGCCTGGTGCATAAATGTGTGTTGCCTATAGATTGTGGGGAAGTGAATCAGAAATTTCTCGATATAAATCTTCATAATCTCTGTAGGCATTTATGTCTGCGAATATTATGTACTCTTGAACATAACAATGAATCTAATGCTAGACCATAACGCCTTCTAGGTATATGCCAATATTCTGAGATGCCCCTAATCATGCAATATGATGCGTGTTCTAAGCGGATTCTTCAAATCGTCTTCATAAAAAAACACCGCGACGGTCGAGTTGGCTCCAAATCCACTCATGCTCAATCGCTCGTAACTCAAATATCTCGGCTTGCTTATACGTATTAAATCTCACTCATATGCCTGGCCGTAGATACTACTTTATCTTCGTTTATCTATTTCGAAGATTTCATATTCTGATTAGTAGCCGGCCGGCTCGGGCTTGGACGGAAACGCGGGACCCTTGATGTTACCTCTGCATTCCTGCTTCCAATTCTGCGGCACGAATTTGTCGACGATAGCTTTGAAGGCATCCTGTGAGGGTGAATAATACATCGTCATTAGCCCAGCGCATTATATCGTTTTCTTATGCTGCGTGGGGTAGACTGGGACAATCGGAACGACTCGCTTGAACGAAGGACATATTACCGCAATTTAATGATGTGGGAGAACTTACCAGTGTGCAGAAACTTTCATCCCCCTCAAGGTGCTTACCCGGAGCCTTGCAGCCCGGTACCGTAACGACCTCATCGTTATATCTTAGTCGCACATAGTAGCCATCTAGCGTCGCTTTCTCCCGGGCCGACAACTCTTCGGTACGTTTGCGACCTATCGTACCTGGAGGCGGCTTGCCAGGTTTCGCGCGAGAAGTCCATGCTAACCAGTTGTACAACCCACTAGATGCGGTGCTAGGATTACTAGAAATATTCCGGGGTTCAGAGTCGTCAGAGTTATTCCCAGCTTTTCGGAATAGCTCGATGGCGATGTGACTCGTGTAGGGCGGCCACTTGCCAGTTTCATATGCGCCTAAGCTAGCTAGCACACCGGCGAGAGTCGTATCGTGACATCCGCTGAGCCCAAATCGAATTGGTGTTGCGCCCCTGCCATCTTTTATTGCGCCGCTTTTTAGTTTCCTCGCGACTTCGTACTCGCCGTCGGCTGTCGAACGCTCGGCACTACCTACCATTCGCCCCACGATATCGCCCAGTAATCCACCGATTCCGAGCGCTCTGTACTCTCGACTTTCTTTGTATCCCGAAAACCACTCCTCAACGCCGATCTTCTCTATAATCTCACGTCCCTTCGGATCGTAGAATTCGGGTGGAAGTCTCGTCTCCGGACCGTGCGCTAGTGTAGAATTGATAGTATCCATAATACCACTTAATCGTGGACGAGAATCCACTGCGACCCGTGGTGAATCTTCCGGCATCCACTTGCCGTATAGTTTTGTCAAGTAAGCCATCTCTTCAGTATTGTTCCATCGTTCAGCGGTTCGTCTTGCGAATGCTCGTGATAAGGCTGCAAATCGTCGACAATTGCTGTCATTAGGGAATAGGGTCTCGTCGCCGGGAGCGCGCGTTAGGATCGCTGGAGCGGGGAATGCAGGGGCGCGGGTATGTGCTGGGTACAGGCCAGTGAAGGTCTCCTGGACCGAGTCTAGGGCTCGAGGGATGGGCGTAGCACGTAGGTACAAGGCGTCGGCATTGAGGAGAACTGGGGGTAAGAAACGTAGACGGTCGACGTAAAGGCCGCGGAGGCGTGTACCGAGGTCGAATGTGGTCTCTCGACCGCGGTCGGTCAACACTTCATCGGGGAGTTTGGTTAGCAATTGCTATTCATGAGAACCAATGGGTATTTAGTAGCTTTAAGTTATATGGCTTAAATATGGTAACTTTTGACAGGCATCAACTCCAGCGAAGGATTATCAATGGGAGTGGATAATCACACCGGACACTACTCACTGCCCATATCACAAACGGCGTCAATCTCGCCGGCGGGACCAGCGGCTAGCACCGGTTCATCGTTGGGACCAAACGCTTCGAGACGGCGTTTCCATTCAAAAGTCGAGAACTGTTCTGTGTGACGGTCGAGCACGGCGGACTTCAATTGCCGTACGGCCTTGCAATAGGGCCAGAAAGCAGGCAGACCGGCGTTCTGGAAACGAGCTGAGACGGGGGAGCGCTCGCCATGCCGCAACAGAATTTGTACAAGTTGTAGCTCGAGGTTAGGAGGGTATAGCGCCTTGAGTTCATCGTCCGTGTAGGGAGGACGAGGGGTAAGGGACGTCATTGTAAACGGATAGCTCGTATATTTTGTGGTGTAAGTAGATTAGATCGAACTAGATACTTGAAGAGCTACCTAATAACAATAGACTGGCTGTGGATGCTTCGCGCCCAAGGTGGAATTATGTATTGGATGTACTATTACCTACCTACTAGGTATGTAAAGAGGGAATGAAAATAAGAAACGATCGGAAGTTAGAAGACTTTCAATTCTTTGTCTCCTTTGTTACTTCCAAGTTAACTTCCAAGGTTAACCCCTGCCTTCCTATTGATTGTGACATTGAGCTGGTAAGTCGTAGCTGCCAAGCAGTCGACTCCGTAGCGCTTGATCAAGTGGGGGATGAAGCCTGTATATATGTACCTATTGTAGGTAGAAAGTACTGTATACTGGCCCAAGCTCTCATGTACCTAAGTATATATCGGCGCCAACTTGCCGTTAACCTCCGATATAAAGGGAACGCCTATCAGAATTCGTAATCGATAAGACTTTCATCAATTTTCGACAATTTTCAACCATCTTACCGTCGACACCTCGAACAATCCTTTCGGAATTCACCAGTTCACGACGCCTCATGTGTTATGAGGGGGACGAAATCCGTTTGCCTGCTATGTCGCCACATAGCACGCAATCCCCAACGGCAAGGTCAGATAACGAGGTTTTCGACCGCGACCTCCACGAGATACGATGACCCAACTACCACGCCCACCCCTCGATCCTCGGACGATTCTCTTCCCACGGGGGCAGTTGCGGGTGAGCCGAGTCGGAATAAAGTACGAAGAATAGTACACGAATCAAATAGGCGGAGGGGATCCTCCAATTTCCGATGGTCTCAGAATAGGCCAGCAAAAGCATCAACCAAGGATTCCGCCCGGGTTGACGCTTTATTCCAGCAGATTGTTAATGAACAAACCGCGAGGAAAGATGCGCCCGTTATTTCCCCACCAGAGAATTCTAAAAACAACTTGGCCCTCGTTAACGCCATTGGGAATTTAGAGCGCATGTTCAAAGATGATGGTTCTGAGGTAAAGGCATATAACTATCTCATGAATGAGATTTACCCTATAATTCAGGACCCAGATGTCATCGTACCCAAGGTTTTCTATAGGGTGGTTCCTATCTTAATGGAGAAAATAATTGCTGCTAAAAGGAAGGCTATACGTTCCCCTGAACTACCTTCGGTCCCTGATATCTTTCGGGTCTACACGGATATTAACGACATGAATCCCCAACGTTGGGCCGTGCTTGTAGGGGAGTTGATCCAAAGCATCGTTCAAATCAAACCCGAGGTGGAAAAGCAAGGACTTGCCCTAGCGCAAGGGGGGCTCGTCCGTCATGATGCCATGCTCGCGGATTTGGTCGAATCCTGGAAGATTCTGTCCCTACCAAAGGTGGTACCCCCCCAAAGTGACGATGTGTTGTCCGACGGTTTCTGGTTCCCAATGCTCGATAAATTCTCATTAAAGAAGTATTCTGACATGGGGAACTTCACTGCTGCTCTAAGCAGTATCTTTCCACACCATAGCCGGGACGAGCTAGGTGCTCCTGTGGCTGTTCTGGCCATTGTTACATATGCTTTGTTGCTTGAGCCTCAACGAAGCAATGCGGATGCTCGGCGGAGTGCTACACGTTTTATTAACATGCTATCCTACCTCATAGCGCATGTAAATTTTCGAGATGCGTCTCTCCAAAGGCTGACTTCAACTCACTTCCCAGGCCTAGAAAGCTACATTATGGCTCGGTGGCCCAGGCTTAAGGAAGAGCTCAAAGAGAGGGTAGAGTCGATAACGACGTTATCGACCACCCAGGTCAATACTATTGAATCGCCTTCGACTAGTGGAAGGAAATTCAATGCGGCATCCTTGGGGGGGCATCTTGCGCGGGCTGTAACTTCTAGTAGAAATAACGAAGTAGATAGGCTCTGGGAGAAATTTGTAGGGTCAGAAAAGGATATTCCCTCCGACAGAGCAGAGGAGCTCCGAAAGCATCCAGAACTTTTCGATTCTTTCGTCGGTGCTCGGATGTCTTTAAATCGACCCGACCAAGCGATAGCCGCACTAAACACTTTGCGCCAAGTCGGGCTCAAGCCGACAGTAAAGACATGGACCCTCATGCTTGACGGCTGCAAAAATTCCCATAACCTCAACGCTCTTAAGAAAGTGTGGACGAGAATTGCAGACTCGGGGATGAGGCTGGACGTGCAGATATGGACCGCTCGCGTGTCTGGGTTGATCGAATGCCGCGATTTTCGAGGTGGTCTTGAAGCTTTGGAAGAGATGAACACACTATGGAAACAGAGCTCCCGAGACGAAAACTCGACGGCGGTCAAACCAACAATTGAACCTGTAAATGCCGCTCTTGTAGGCCTTCTTCGCGAAAACCGCGTTTCCGAGGCTGAAAATCTAGTGGTTTGGGCTGGTAAACAGGGCATTGAACCAGATATCTTCACGTACAATACTCTGCTACGTCGTTTCGTTCGCGACAGACGAACTAACGATGTACGGGCGATCTTCGACCTTATGCGAGATACCGGCGTAAATGCGGACGAAGCGACATTTACCATCGTAATCGACGCCGCATTCCAAGGAATAGATCCCGATGACACAGAAGAGCAACTCAAAACAGTAGCGGGCGTGCTCGACGATATGCACGCGGCCGGGCTTGAGGCAAACATAATAACGTATGGCAAGATGATCAACTCCCTATTGCGGTTGGGCGACCGCTCTCATATTGCCATCAAGGCTGTACTTGCGCGCCTCTGGGACCAGGGTTACGAGCTGTCGACACATATCTACACCATGCTCATCGATCACTATTTCGCACGCAATCCACCCGACCTCAATGCCGTCGAGTCGTTGCTGCGGCGTCGTCGCTTGCTCGACTATGACGACATGGACCCCACGTTCTACAACAGTGTCATTAAAGGGTTTACACGTGTAGGCCGACTGAACAAGGCGCTCGAATTTTATCACCGTGTTGCTAAGGCTGGTAACACCATTTTTCTGAACACTCAATTGTCGCTGTTAAATGCCTTGTTGGAACAGGAGCGTGTAGATGAGGCGAATGACGTGGTGGCTACAGCGAAGAAAATGTTCGAGGAGCCCAAGAATGAGGCCGGGAAGGTTAGGTTTCCGGACCATTCATTCTGGAGCTCAGCTCGGCGATATGGGCTTCTCAAGGAATAAAGCACTGCTGCTCCTCTCTCGTGGGCATATTTTGTACATATTTGTGTATAAATTTATCAGGTATATATCCAAAACGTCAGTATAGACTCCGTTATAAACCATGTAGAGTAGATCAAGTCCCAATCTAATCAATTTTCAATCAGACTGTATAATCCGACGATCGTCCATGAGAACTCCATACTCCTTACCTTATCAGCAATCGGACCTAATGTGTACCTACACATAACAGACATTGCTATCATGACTCGTCCATTCGATCATCATCTCTCGCCGCCCTAGCCTTTCCCGCTCTTTTTTTAGCTGTACCGGGAGTCGCGGCAGTACTTGTACTACCCTGCGAATCCCCTCCTCCACTAGGCGCTCCCCCGAGTACCGTGACAACCACATTCTCCAACCCACCAACTTCATCCCGCCCCAAGTTCCGCCCTTCGCCTTGCCACTCACCATCGCGCACCTCGCCATCCCGTCCCAACTCCAGTCCCTCGACTGTCTCAAGGTAGCGCCGTGTAGCGCCTTCAACATATTCTAATCGTTCCCGTCTCCAACTCTTCCTATTCTTCTCAGCACTCTCACTATCAATCTCCATAGCAGAATCATCCACCTGCGGCGGGGGCACAAGATCCGGCGTGAGATTCCTAAGGGAAGTCGAAAGTGCGCGTAGGGCTTGGAGTTGGGATAAAGTGAACGCGGTTGTGGTGCTGAGAGGTGCTTCGGAACCGCCTTCTGTAAGTGTACCCTTGTCGTGGAGAAATGCGAAGGGACTTTTGGTATTTTGGTTTTGGGCGGGGTTGGGGGATGAGGAAGAGTTGGTGGTGCTGGTTTTTTCGGTCTTGATTTGAGGGTCGCTGCCTCCGATTAGTGAGCGCAGCTCTGCGAGCGCTTTTTCGTTGCGGGCGCGCTCGGCGGCGAGGAGGGCGTTGAGACGCATGCTTTCGCGGAGTTTGCGGCGGAGGTGGTTTATGCCGTCGAGGCTGGGGGCGTCTATATTTCTCTCCTCATTAGCACTCTATATCTTCCTACACTACTCTATTCTTTATCTATTGTCTTAGGGCTATACATACTCGGCGAGTCAATCGACGAAAAATCCAAGCCGTCGTAATGCGAGAGGCGCATCCAATCGCGCACGTCGGGCGGTCTCACACATAGTATATTTCGCAGGACGTAGATCTCGAATTTGTCAAAATTGCGGTCGATGCTGGCGCACAGCAGCGTCTCCAGCTGGTGTGTTCCATTTTCGATCTCAGCTTTAGCTGCTTCGGCTGGATCTAATTGTGGCTGTTGTTCTGTGTTCCCTCGAGAGGGTTTAGGTGGTTTAAAGCCGATGCTCGCGGGAGGTGCGTTGAGAAGCCCTTGCTCGACACTATTGAGGGCGCGTTCGGCGAGGATGTTTATACTATTTATAATGTCGTCGATAAGACTCTATGAAGGTATGCGCATTAGTATAAATAGGCACAATATTTTCTTTTACTTCTTATTCGTAGATGCGCGATGGGAAGTCACTAACAACAGGGGGATATCCGAAGTGCTCTGTCAGAAGCTCGGTATCTGAATTGGTGGATGTCATGATGGCGCATCGTCAGTCACATTGTCCTAGTCTCGTCTTCGTCCTTGCCGCCGTCGTTGAAATCGCGTATAATATCGGTTCACTGATGTAATGGTAAACTACGCGACGCGACTAAGATTTAGAGAGATTTAGATATCGATAAAAATGTCAATATTTGGTTTGCTGGTGGGGTTGCTTCCACCTCATTAATTGAATTTGCACCGTTAAATCGCCAATTGACATATTTATGACCTTAAATAATCCACATATCATAAAGCAATATTATCACTATATGGAGATCGTGCTTTCAGGGGTAATATATAATATCGACTCGATGGAAGACAAAATAAGAATATTCACCAAAATAAACAATATTACCAAATTCATAGCAAGGGACGTAACGTAGCAATGGCAACGGGAATTGCTTATTAAGTATGTTGTGGAATACGACGTGTGATGTTCCGTGTCGGACCCGAATTTCGATCAAAGTCGGCGCGGCTGGCATACCTACGTAACTTCTACCAAGCGTACGGAACCGCATGCAATTTGAAACGATCTCTAGTGTTGTTTGATCAATGTGACGAACTGCAAGGCGGCTAGTGCAACTGTATCAGCCCAGACTAGACACATTACCGGAACTGGAAATTGTGATTTGGGTGAGGCTGGAATTGCGCGGTGCAATTTGGTCCGAAAGCTGCTATTAGCCTGACCTGCCTAAGCCAACATTTACGGAAGCGGTGAGAATTGTGGCATAAATCGCTAGAGAAATCCGGAATTCGTTCGTACTAGGAATCGTTAATAGACCTAATAATGTAGTAATCAACGTCTAAGCGACACCCGAAAGAAGGAACTGGATCGCGATACTTTGCGCTCCGAGACATAGCCGGAGGGAGAAAATGATACCTTCGGAAATAGAAGCGGAACGGCGAGGAGCCTCCTCGAAATCAGAAGGCGAAAGGATCGGTGTAGAAATGTGCATGAACGGCCCTAATAATTACCTCAAAAAGAAGCTAATGGATTACTTGCTTTTTTCCCCAGCATTGTACGGTGATCCAACAATACCAATTCCGGATCAAGGGTTTCGGAAGTCCAGAACCTGTAGATCCTCACTTCTCACATGCGATTCGGATTCGAATCCCTACCCCTTGATCCAGCACCGTATCTGAGAAAACGATGGAACCTGCGTATTAGAGTTCATTTCCCCGAACCTTTGCTGCATACGACATCAAAAGCGCATGTAGGTAGGGAGGTATATATAGCACAACAGTTAAGTACCTACCTAGTAGGTAAGTAGCTAGGTCAGGTAGCATAGAAAAGGAAGACAACATAATAGGAGGCGACGGGACGACGAAAGCGACGGGCCGGCACTTGGCCGCTTACCCTGGGTTCTAGCAAGGGATAAGAAAGAAAAAAAAAAAATAAGCTCTCGAGATGTATGATTTTCAAGGATAAAATGACGTCCACCCATGGTGCTGGTGCTTGGCGATTGCTTCAAACGTATTCAATCGGCATAGTCCCTTGAACTCCATAAGTCGAGACCCATGAGATTGAGGCGTCTTACATGCTATGGGCTGAATGATGTAGTTGAGCCGCTCCCGTGTCCGGTTCATACGCTTATACGACATTGATTTTTCGAGTCGTTGACATTTTGACACTTGACATAACCATGCCATGATCATGGTCCTTATCAGTGCTAACGGACTGAATCCCCATGGTGGAGTTACCTCAATGGCGAAATCGGGGATAGCGGATAGCCCAAAGGGAATAACCCCCATTATTTTCGCCGGGAATAAGAGCATTGCGTGCTCGAGGGTCGTATCCGTCGTAACCTTATCAAAATATTATTTTGGTTAGGGTTTGGAATGTCAAAATCTAGTTCTCTAGAATTTATGATCTGAAGATAGTGATCATCATTCAAGTTAGGAACTAGATAGTATTTCGCCAAGAGCATCGGCTATGGTGCTTGCGTAAGAACAAACTTGGAGGCGACAATGGATGTGTCTCCTGTAGTACGTGAGGACGCCGAAACTAAGAAACGTCCGACAACGCTCCGGATAGCCAACCGAGTCCTGGGTTTCATTGGGAATAATTGGCTAGTATTGGGATTTGGTCTGGCTTGTGTTCTAGGATACTTCTTTCCTCGTAGGTCGACGGAGACAGCATTTTTCGAGTATTGCATCTAATTGCTGATTTATCTCTAAGATGTTGCGGCTCGCGGTGGTATCATCCGATCAGAATATTCGATTCTATATGGAGGCATTGGCTTGATATTCTTCATCAATGGGATGCAACTAAGTCCGGAGAAGCTCAAAGAACATGTAAAAAATTGGCGCCTACACATTGTCGTACAGGGAATAAGCCTTGTTCTCATACCCGTTATTCAACTTGGTACGTCATTTTAACTATGCCTTTATGTTGTATTGTCTTGCTGATCTACCCCTAGTCATAATTCGAATAGTAATCGCTGCTGGCGGAGTGAGCTCAGGAACAATTGACGCCAGTATCCTCGTAGGAATGGTCGTGGTTAGTTGCATCCCGACCACAATTGCTTCTAATGTGGTAATGACGAGGAATGCGGGCGGTGATGAAGCCGCTGCTATTATCGAAGTAGTGATTGGCAATGTGGTCGGGTCTTTTCTCTCCCCATGGTTAATATACGGATTTTTGCCTAACGATGAAGAATTCGACTCGCTTAGACCGGCGAAGGCAAATACCCTTGGGCCAATGTATGCAAATGTAATGCAGCAGCTGGGCCTCAGCGTTCTACTTCCGCTGGTAGTCGGCCAGGTCCTGCGATGGACGTACCCGAAACAAGTTTCCTGGACATTGAAAACGTTTTATCTAGCACAGTTTTGCTCCGTATTGCTGATGCTGGTGGCTTGGTAAGTACCTGGAACAACCGGGAGAGACTACTTAGGTACCTGAAGCTGACTTGTGACTTAAGGTCGACTTTCTCGGGGGCGTTCCAAACGGGTGCGCTCACTGCTCTACCTAAATCATCCGTGATCTTCAATGTGCTTTTGAACGTAGCAGAGTACATATTGTTTACTGCAATTTGTTATTGGATAGCATCGCCACCGGGCGTTCTGATTAGGCCAATCAATGGCTACGTTGCTGATTCGTGGCTTGGTCTACATGTGCCCGGAGTTATAAGAAGAGCCGTGACATTGAAAAAGATGCCTAAGGAACTCGTCGTTGCTGTCTGTTTCTGCGGGGCTGCGAAGACCACAAGCGTGGGAATCCCATTAGTTGCCGCGATGTGGGCTCAACTCGACAATTTCACTATATCATCCATCCAAGTTCCGGTGTTGCTATACACAGTGGAACAAGTATTTGTAGCACAGTTCTTCACCATATTCTTTAGGTGGTGGCTACACCGAACCGAAAAAGGAATGCTGGATGCTGAGTCCACCACGACTAGGGAGCAAGAAGACGCCTCACATGAGCAGGGGGTTAACACTGAGCTGGATGGCGGCGGAGAGCGGGAGGTTCAAGCCGAGTTATCCAATGCGGGCGTGTTGCGTGAGAAGAAACATGTATCATGATATGACAATCTGTTCTTTTAAGCGTTAACCGAAAGAGTAAGATTAGTCGCTAATTTGTCTTGCAGACACGAAATAGATAATATGGTTGATACTGATCATGTCCATTGTAATTACACTGTTGTCTAGGCTGTTTATGAAAGTAGCTTAAATATATGATTTAATGACGGTAATAATAATAATGGTCGCTCGGAAGTTTCCAGGTGACAAAGCATAGTAACTTAAATAATGTAATCATGCGGAGGTACCCAGGTACGTACCGAACTAATAGACTTCAATGTTTAAAGTATCGGACCAGTTTAGCGGTTATCAGCCCACATAATGACGCGCTTTCAATCAGCAACCTGCTGAAGCATAGCATCTCGATAGCTGCTACCTATTTTGTAGTGATCGTCACCAATTCACGAATCAATTTTTGATAGTACCTTCTCGAACTGTAATTAAGCTTCTAGTGCAAGAACCTTCAACTTTTACCCTAGTCCGTAAAGAATAAGATTTACGAACATCTCTAATTATTACATCCATTTAGCGACGTCTGTAATTACATAGGTTTCTTTTAATTGATGTTACTGGTCTTCGTTCCTCACAGGTTTCAGTGTCTCAAATCAAATCACGATGAGCTCCGGTAGAGCCCTGCGAGGGAGCTGCCACTGCGGCAGAAATCAGTACATAGTCCAGATTCCTAACGGAGCATTCGGAGATGCTCAAATACTCTTCGATTCAACCGTTGGCCACAGTAAGTTGAATTGCAGTAATTACTATTGTTCTTTCGCCAAGATTCACGAGGCTCGCCTTGGAAACCGGCAGGGGCAGGGAACTAACTTCTACATCTACGTAGGAATCTCCTCCGCAACACCCCTTTCCGCATTCTTAAGAATTCCGCTCCTTTGGTACCATAGCCAAGTATTTCCATTCTTTCCCGACGAATCCCGTACTACTATTCGGCGTACCTATTCCCATCCCGCCGAACGAAACACCATTCGACACTTCTGCGGATTCTGTGGTACACCCTTATCGTATTGGTCCGAAGAACCTAAGAGCGAGGCCGAATTCATTCAATTAACACTTGGTAGCCTCTTAACCGAGGACCTTAACGATCTAGAAGAGCTGGGTCTGATTCCGGACGAATCGGAACAGGATCCCATGGACATTGTCCCCGTTCAAGCATCCAGCCGAGAGTCACGACTGATCGGACGAGATACAACCTGCATCCCATGGTTCGAGAACATGATCCTAGGTAGTCGCTTAGGCAATATACATACTACAAAAGCTGTCGGTGAGAGCCGCGACGGTAGAGTTCGAGTCGAGTACGAAATCACCGAATGGGCAGAAGATGACGCGGCAGGGGATGAAGAGGCAAAGGTATCAGAACCGACCGCGACGGGCAAGAGAAAACGCGGAGAGGCTGATGAGGGAGACGGTAACAACACTGCCCATGGTACCACCTAAAAGACTTAAACAATTTTCGGTCACCGTTCATGCGGCCGATCGATTCCTCGCTTCTTGATGATGCGACTGTAAGGAGTTAGCGAGAGTCAAGAAATTGGCTAGGAAAAGGATAAGTCTTGCATACATCGGGAACATACTCACTTCTTCCAGCGCGCCTCTTATTGACACCAGTCCATTGCTTTTATTCATGCAAAACAGCGGCTAGATTCATGAATTCTGCACCGGAACATTCGTATTTGCAAGGATACAAAACAAACACATAATGATCTGTGAATGGAATCCGAGCTTCCGTCCTAGAGAATAACCTGCATCAAATAGGAAATTGATTAGGTTAGGAAAATCGGGTAGGCTTAAGACGAGTGGTTCTCAAAAAATATCGAGTAATTATCGCCGAGATGATTTTTTTTTCCTGCATCGACTAAGTTGGCAATCGGTGAGTGGACATGGAAATCATATTCCGCAAAAAAACGACATATAAAACAAGTCGTTATTGTATGTGCAGCGACGTTGGCTTTCGGGAACCGGCATACCACAACCGATCTTCAAGCCAAATCGACAGATGTTGTAGCTTTCCCGGGATCTAATCCTTAGACGTTATTGACGGCGTTATTATTACTATTATAATAATCCTCGCAAGTCGGAATAGTCGCCGGATGGTGTGTGGAAGTACTTCCCTCCGCGGCCGAAGCGAAAGGTGGATGATTGCGCCGCATTCCCACAAAGCGCAGGTGGCCAAGATCGATCTTTTGAATCCTTAGCGCCGCGACTCATCAATTCGTGACCATCCCGAATCCAGGGAACAACGCTGTTCAAAAAAGGCGACTATCGTGTCTATCCACTCGGCTTATCGCCGAGGTTTTGACGAGTCCCCTGCTGCATAAAGGGTCAAGACTTGAGACCCGGTCAGGACAAGCTGATGTGCTGCCCTCTGTGGTGGCCGGAGACACGGGCCGTCGCTGGGATCTAATATGATTCCGGCACATGACGAGCTCGTTTGTGGGGGGTCATCCCAAATCAAAAACTGGACCCTTGTTCTCTCTGTCTCTCTCGTTTCTATCTAGGCCGCACCACACAGGCGCGCACACACCACGCACATGCGCTACAAGTACAAGCTCCAATTACCCCGCGGCGGAGATGGTTGCTATGGGCTATGTGGGTATGAATGGTTTGGAGATACAGCCATGATTGTATAGGCCTGTTGTTCTCGGTCGTCACGGTCCGACACGGGAGAAAGGGGAAATACCGCCTCTACACTATACCTACACTATATGTCCAAGATGCAGACGCCGAGACTAAGTAAAGCTTCGCAAGGGTATAAGAAGATGCTAGCCTCCATTTCAACGTCGAGCAGTCTTTCTGCTCGGCCTGACTTGACTCGCGCATATCTTTCTCATCGTCTCCTGCTGTCTCGCTGCTTTTTACGAGATCGTCTGCAGTCTTGGCTGTGTCCAGAACAAGAATATCCGTTTTCCCGGTTGAGATCGAAACGCTAGTGGGCAGCTTCGAATAGCCTAGATATTTCCTTATCGCCCGCCCTTTGCGCACTCGGACAACCTCTTCAACATGTCCTTACCCTCAGATTTCCTGTGGGGTTTCGCTACAGCCGCGTGAGTACCGCCAGGCGCACTTCTTTGCACAGATATTGCAGCCGTACCTTCACCCTTGGGACATGAGCTTTGCCGCTAACCTCAGCCTTTCTCCCAATGTAGCTACCAGGTAGAGGGCGCTACCCAACAAGATGGCCGCGGCCCAACCATCTGGGATACCTTCTGTGCCATTCCGGGCAAGATTGCGGATGGAACCGACGGCTCAGTTGCTTGCGATTCATATAACAGAACCGCAGAAGACATTGCTCTTCTGAAGAGGCTGGGCTCTACCTGCTATCGTTTCTCTTTGTCGTGGGCGAGAATCATCCCCCTCGGTGGCCGAAATGACCCCATCAACCAAGCTGGTATCGACCACTATGTTAAGTTCGTTGATGACTTACTTGAGGCTGGCATCGTACCTTTCATCACACTTCTACATTGGGATGTCCCAGATGAGCTCGACAAGCGATATGGTGGCCTCCTAAACAGGCAGGAGTTCCCTCTCGACTTTGAGCACTATGCTCGTGTCGTCTTCAAGTCAATCCCCAAGTGTAAAAACTGGATCACATTCAACGAGCCCTGGTGCAGTTCAATCCTTGGATACAGTACCGGGTTCTTCGCCCCCGGTCACACTTCCAACCGAGCCAAGTCTGCTATTGGTGACTCTAGCCGAGAGCCTTGGATTGTTGGTCACAACCTTCTCCTCGCCCATGGCAGAGCTGTGAAGGTATATCGAGAGGAGTTCAAGCCCACTGATAAGGGCCAGATTGGTATTACCCTGAATGGAGATTACACATACCCATGGGACCCTGAGGACCCAAGAGACGTCGAGGCTGCCAATCGAAAGATTGAATTCGCCATCTCATGGTTCGCGGACCCTATTTACTTTGGCAAATACCCTGACTCGATGCGAAAGCAACTTGGCGACCGATTGCCAGAGTTTACACCCGAAGAGCTAACACTAGTGCACGGTTCTAACGACTTTTACGGCATGAACCACTACACAGCCGACTACGTTAAGCACGGCGACGGCAACCCAGCTCCAGAGGATTTCCTCGGCGACTTATCGACGCACCCTTACAGCAAGAACGGCGACTGCATAGGACCTGAGACCCAATCCTTCTGGCTGCGACCAAACCCTGAGGGTTTCCGTGGCCTGATCAACTGGCTCAGCAAGCGCTACAACTACCCCCCTATCTACGTGACTGAGAATGGTACCAGTATCAAGGGCGAGAACGACCTGAAGGAACCAGAGATCTTAGAAGACGTGTTCCGATATGAATACTTCCGTGACTACGTCAACGCTATGGCTAAAGCTGTAAGTGAAGACGGTTGCAACGTTAAGGGCTACATGGCTTGGTCGCTCATGGATAACTTCGAATGGGCCGAAGGTTATGAGACCCGATTTGGTGTTACCTACGTGAACTATGCGGACGGACAGCAACGGAAAGAGAAGTACAGCGCCAAGAAGATGAAGGAGGTCTTCGACGCGGTTATCGAGAAGAAGTAGATAGACTACCAGGCAGGCGCGGAACCGGGCGGTCCGGGATATTCTCTTATGTGGTCGTCTCTTGTGTATGTGTGTTATGAGTCCTCGATACCTCAGGTAATATGGAGTATAATCAGGGTTATTACGGTCATTTAGGGAATGATAATTCTCGTTCAGATATCATACTACGTTGTTGAGGTGATTCTAAAGTAACCCAATTTAAGCGCTGGTCGCCTACGTGAATGTTAAGTTTTCGTGTCGAAGATATATCGGATGGTAAAAAATGATACTACCGCCGTTAGCCGATGCGTATACATTTATGCCGGTGATTTTTACCAAAAAACATATTTTGGGCCTATTTTGAAGCAATGAAACGATGATATATCGCTTCGACTTTTGATGCTACAGTTCGTTAGGAATCTTCTTCGCATGATACAATTCGAATCCTTCGGAAAGCTAGCTATCCAGAAAGATGTAACTTGCCGGGGCTCGGAAAGGAGCCGTAGAACTTTTGTAGCTTTTCGTGGGATTGAGTCTTGGCTTAATGCTTAGAATAGATTATAAGACCATCGTGGAGCGTGTTAACATCGTCTAATGATTGCAAATTGATTACTCTCCCACGACTAGTCTTCCTTTGGACAATAACAAATGTCGATCAAATTTACTAGATAGATTAGAACCAGATTTTGAGTACAGCTTTGTTGTTCTTGTTTTACCATATGTGTAGAATTAGGAAGATATTTCCAAGATTTTGACACATGGCGAAAGCGCATTGATACTACCCTTTTACCTTTAACTGCTGTGACTCGGCGAAAAAGCCATATTATGGCGGCTATTTTGTACTTAATTTTTATGGTTTGTCGTTTTACTAAGTCCTATTTTAATCTCCCTTCTCTTTTCCAGATGGCTACTATGACTTGTTCATCTGGAGCTATTACCATAAGGGGATGCCCGCTCGAACCAGATAAGTCCACCCGGCCGAGGATGGTCGTAATATGGCAATATTTCGATTCGGGATTCAATGCTTAGATGTGCTTAGTGTAAACGAAAGAAGCCAGTTTTAGGTTCTTACCAAGATCCTTCCCTTGCGGCTCCTTGAAGGGATCCTACGGCATATCCTTTACCGAAATCCTGAGCGTGGCACTCCGAGTTTAATATCACATCATGATAGCTCCTCTTTGTTCGATTGTTACTTGCAGCAGGATTCCATACATGTCGGTGAGCTTAGCAAGTATTCAGAGAGGAAGTGAGTCACATGGGCCTATTCTAGATTACTAGTCCCATGAAAAGGCGTATGATTATGCATGAGATTCTCATTCAGTTATGACCCCTATTTTCCCTGTCCAATTGGCCACCTAAATTACACATAACGCCCTGTTGTCCTAATAGTAACCTCGAACCTCAGCCAAAACCATTTATGATATCTTATTTCTTCAAACCCCTTAGTTGTTCACCCCCTTTTTTTAAGGCTGTCTCTTCGCAGCAAGATCGTGTAGATCGCCTGTCTCGCCGACTTGTACTCTGCCGCCCGAATTCTCGTCGGCCTTCTTCGGTCCGCTTCTCACCGCGCCGTCGACTTTGTCTTTTAGTGCTTCGTCGTGGACTTCCATGTTGGCGTCGAGGTCCGATTGGGTGGTGTTGCCGAAGGTCGAAGATGTCTCGTCAATGATGTTCCTATGCGCAGAGATTAGTACGAATTTACTCGTCGAAGTTGGACTACGGAGGTATGGTAATTCGTTTTTATGAGGGAAGAGAGACTTACTGAGCCTGGCCGTTCTGGTGCGAGTCTAGTGGTGTCTGCTCGAGCTCAGACGAGTGACCTCCTCGTGAATCAGTCATCTTGATAGCGTCTCGTGGTCTGAAGTTTTTGCAAATTTGTAGAATTTAAAAAAAGACTTTGGCATATAGTTTTTGACATATGAAAGAGCTAGGTATATGTATATGTATAAGAGGCTTCAGTTGGTATCACCGAAATATGTGGGGAGGATCGGGTGCGATGACGTATGTTGAGGTCATACCTATCTGTCTACTAGGAAGTATGTAAGGACCAGTTATGGACCTGCCTTAGGCTTAGGATTTTCCACACAAGGGATATGTGAAACTTAATAATATTAGATGAGTTGCATAAGATCGAAGCCGGTCATGAGCAAGGGAACTAATTGATCTACCCGCGTACCTACGTCAACCCCGAACTTGACAGGTAAATTGGGTGTCTCCGGTCTACTAAGGCATGACGACTATGTTCCAACTAACAAAGAGAATTTAAAGTCCACTCCCCTTTATTTGTGATGACTAGGCCGATATTTTTATCATTAAAGGGAGCTAATGTACTTACCTAGGTGGGTAGAGTTGGTTTGACTTCGGAGAATCAGTAAAATTATACTAGGTGCTCATTCTCACATGAAAAGCAACTCAAGCCAGCCACTTCTGATTTCTCAGGTCTGGCGACATATCGCCACATACTCACCTCCGCGAGCCCCGAAGATCCGAACGCCAAAAAGTTGTGTATTGTTACACACGGCGGGCCACACCCCAATACGAGTAACATTATAACTCCGAGGAAAGTGGTGTCATGATTTTTTGAAATACTATGGCTGTTTAGTTACCGTTTTTCTTCATTGGACTTGGTTGAGTCGTTGTTTGATGCTCGAAGTGAGGCAATGCTGTCATCTATGAGAGAAATCTCAGCGTCGATCCTGAGGATTTTCTCTTCGAGCTTTTCTTCATAATCCCTGTCGGAAAGCCGTTGCAGAGGACTGTATTTCGAATCAAGCCAACCTGACTTAGGCTTGGATTCGTTAGCTCTGAAGGTGGTTTTATAGACCTGAGTTATGTATGTGCTGGTAGTTCCGAGAGTGCCAAAGACTAGGATCCCGGGTATGATGTTTCTAGGTCCTCCTACACGCTGGTTAGTTGCAGTTCGGAGTATATTTGTCGGCATGACTCACGAAACATTCCCCCAACCATGCCAGACACGCCACCAGCTATTCCGCTGGCCGCCACTAGGCCTGACCGGGATAGATTTTCTTCACCACCCCAAGCATGCCAAAGAAGACTCCTCGAAGCTAAAATATCGTCAGTTCCCCGATAAAAAGGATCGGAGGAAAACATATCTCACCCATATAACTAGATCCAAGAGCAAACCACTGGAGACCGGCAAACAAGGCAAATAACGCCGGTGGCGCCGATCGTACAATGCCGGAACCGGCTCCTACTACCAAACCAATTCCGCCTAGATCATATTAGCAATGATGATAAACAATATTTTAGTTAAGGGGTGAATTTACCTGTCAAGGCCCCTGTTTGTAATGATTTTTTCCCTATTTCCATAAGCTCGTTTGCCGAAGGCATTTCGTTTTCAGCATGCCTCGGAATAGGGGTTGGCCGCTGAGGCGTTGGCTGCTCGGATGGGGGAGCCATGCTTGCGGGTAACTCGGCAGAAATTAGGAAGGCCAATGCCGTAGCTAATGTCTATCTGACAATGGAATTTCCAAAAAAATATGCTGTCAGTAAATCAGGCACCGACAGCTCTGAAAAAATTATATTAAAATTTCTGCAAAGGTCTCAGAAAGGGAACAGAAAGGTCAAAGAAGAAAGAAGTATTCTTCAAGGTTCACATGCATTAGTGGATTAATGTGGCATCAATCACCTAGAGATGCAGTTGATGCAGTTGATGCAGTTGATGCGAGATGATTGGGAAAACCGTTTGAAGTACAAACGAGCTCTATTTGATTGGAGGCGGTTCCTGAGCTGAAGAGTTCCAAGGTTAACGGATTAAGATGGACGTAGTACTTTAGGTAGCTCTCTCTTTTTTTCTCTTCTCCAGTTCGCTCCATCGGCTGTAATTGAACCCTGTGCCCCTCCTTTAGTTCCCTCGTTCCCTCTGCTAAAAAAAAAAAAGGTACTTTCTGTATAAGTACCTTGCTAGCGGGACCCAGTGAAAATTGCCCGTCCAATAAATACATGTGGTGTGAAAAGGTCAGTTGTGTGGGTTTGTGCGGTATGCTCGCAAGCGCATCCAGTCTACACCTTCGTGTTGGTCATTATGTATTGTAAAAGTACCTACCCACCTACCTAGGTATACGATGGCAGGTATCTGTAATATTATTTCGGAAAGAATGTTAACTTTTTAACAACTATAATTATCTAAGACTTAGATATTTCATTATTTCAATAATAATAATAATACTTGTATAATTAATTATGTATAGATCATAAAATGAGTAGGCTGAATTATTATGTTAGTGTTCGATCGGCGCTTAAGCTAACCGCCCTACTTCAAATATTAGAAAGAACGTGTGCGTATGGGTAGATACCTAGGTACCTAAGATCTACTAAAAATTCCTATCGATTACACATAGCAGGTGCGAGTTTGGTTTAGAATGCTGAACCCCGCCATCAAATATTAAGTGCGGTACTTAAGAAATTTGTACTTGCTAGACTGAATTGTTTCCCCCCAAGCGTTCCTCATACGTTGCGAAAAAATTAAGCTAGCCCTCCCGGCCTTTTTTTCACAGCATTTCATATTTTTTTTTTTTCTTCGTCGACGAAACTTTTCGGTTTCTTCGCCAATCCCGCAAACTTTTCGGCATTCAACCGTATCATACCAATCGACTTGTCGGATTGGCATCAGTGAAATTTCGCTGCTGCCATACCGTCTCTACCCAATTTATCTGATCGCTCACCGAAGAACTAGCATTAGTTTCTTCGGCGATTCATCTGCTGCCTGCGCGCGACGGCTTTGAAGAGCGTTGCGCGAGGCTAAAACACCGCAATCATGGGTATGTGCCCCCGGTTACATGGCCCAATACTGCCCTCCGAGACTTGATACTGACAATTGACGTATTACAGCGCCCAAGAAGAAGGAGCAGAAGATGTCCCTCGGGGCTTTTCTGCAGGAAGAGAGTCAGTCCCGCCCTCCCCTTTATCCCTTTCTCGCCTTCTCGCCTTCTCGTATCCTCCTCCACATCGCTGTCGTTCCGCCATCGGACGAGACATCCTTCCACATCAATTCGAGCGGCCAAACCATTTTTGCGACTTTACTAACATATACTAGAGTACGGTGGATCATGGGCTGATGAAGTTGAGGACTCTTTTGGTAGGTCATATCTCCCATCCCTAGGACATATTTAATTCCGCGCCTTGACTTAACCCAGCTAACCTAATATAACATATAGGCTCTCAGCCTTTGCCCACCACGTCTAGTGAGCGACGAACTGGCGGTTTCTCCAGCTATGGAGCCGGCGGCAACAACGACCGTGGTATGCGAAGATATTATTCTGTTATTACCGATCAGCTACTAATTCATATTTTACAAAGGCTACTACACTCGCGATTCCTATGCTACCCAGGCTCCTGCTCAACTCCCAACTAAACCCCCCTACACCGCTCATCTTGGAAATCTATCCTACGATGCTACAACCGAATCCGTCACCGACTTCTTTCAGGACTGCGAGCTTTCCAGTGTCCGAATTATCGAGGACAAGATCGAGCAGCGACCCAAAGGATTTGCCTACGCTGAATTTGCAAACGTAGAAGGTCTGAAGAAGGCTTTGACCCTGGATGGAACTAGCTTCCAAGGCCGTACCATTAGAATCAAGATCGCGGATCCTCGTAAGTCAACTTGAAAATAAATATTTAGTGAGTGCTTGTACTGACAGGTCTCTAGCCAAGGAACGCCAGGACCGTGGCGAATCGGCCCGTGATCTCAGCAGCTGGGAACGAAAAGGCCCTCTGGCCGACCTTCCGTCTCGTGGTGGTGGCGGCGGCGGTGATAGACGCCCCTCGGAGTTTAGTGAGCGTCGTGGACCTGGCCCGCGGGATGCACCATCTGATGATGGCAAGGTACGCGACTTCGGCAACTGGGAGCGCAAGGGCCCATTATCTCCTCTTCCCGCTGCCGAACGACCTGCAGGTTCGCGGGATAGCAGCCGTCCCCGAACTAACGACGCCAACCGTGGCGAATCCTTCCGAAAAGATCGTAGGACTTCTCCGGCCACTTGGGGTGAAGGTCGTCAAGAAGGTTCCCGACCCCCTAGAGAGTTTAAAGAGCGAGCGGAGCGTCCTGAGCGTCCCGAGCGCCCTGAGCGCGCTCCGACTGCAGCGGATCTTGACAACCAGTGGCGTAGCAATATGAGGCCTGATCGCACTGTCAAGTCCCCCGAGCAATCCCGTGACGGTAGTGAGGCACCGCCATCCCCTGCTACTAGCTCGGCTGCTGCCCCCGCTCCCGCTGGTCGTCCCCGACTAAACCTCAAGAAGCGAACTGTGTCTGATTCGCCAGACGTGGCGTCTCCCGGACTTCCCCCATCCGCAGATGGCGATAATAAAGCGAGCCCCTTCGGTGCTGCTCGTCCTATTGATACGGCTGCAAAAGAGCGGGAGATCGCCGAGAAGAAGGAGCAACAGCTCAAGGAAAAACGGGAGGCGGACGAGAAGGCGAAGGAGGAACGTCGAATCGCAAAAGAGGCTGCGGCAAAGGAAGCCGCTGAGAAGGCCGCCGCTGAAGCAGAAAAGGCGAAGGCTGAGCCAGTCGAGGAGAAGCCGGAGGTCGCAACTGAGTCGAAGGAGGAACCAAAGGCTGAGGGCGCCCAGAACGGCGGTGCCGCGGAGCAGAAGTTGCCGATTCGACCCAAGGAGAATGTTCAGAACCCCAAGTCCAGAGCAACTGAGAGCGGCAACTGGCGAACATCATCGGGAGAGCAGCGTCCGGCTCGCGGTGGGTATGTTAACGCCCAACGAGGCCGTGGCGAAGCTCGAGGACGCGGTGGTGCGCCACGAGGACCGCGTGGAAATTATGAGGGAAGACCTGCTCGAGCTAATGGAAACTCGCCCGCTTCCCCGCAACAGCCCGCTCAACCCTCATCTCCTGCCCCGACAACTGAATCAGCCCCGGCGCAGGAAGCCGATGGTTGGACTACTGTCCCGGCAAAAGGTGGCCGCCGCAACCAAGGCGCGCGTGCTTAAACGAGGGATCGGCCATGTATAAAAATCAGAATTTCCAATGCTCAGGCTTGTGGGGGGTGGGAGTTCATTGGCACCATAATACCTTATGGACATGAAATGCGAAAACATTGATCTTTTTTTTCCCTATTCCTAATTACCCTTTTGACATTGTGACGGCTGCCTTACTATCACGGTCATGAGATTGAACACTGTTTTTACGCCCCCCATTCTAAGTACCGTATATACCCACATCATACATCAACCCACGCCTACTCGGGAAAGCTGTCGGTAGCACTGTACGACAGAAATTTGAGGGCGCCTCCATAACGTATTTGGCTTTGCTTTATACTAAACCACGCGGTTTGAGTTGATACTATCACCTCGCACCAGTCAGGCTATTTACACTCGTCGTTCTACACTAATAGGTATTTCAAAATTTGATTTGCCGAAATGGTCTTTCGCAACTATTCCCCGGAATGAAGAGCACGAATAAGGGATGATAATTGGTTGTTTCCATCGAATCTAACGTCCACATTACGAATTTGTCAACCGAGGGATTCGATATAGGAAGCCATTGGACGGGGCAGGGCGAAGGGGGGTGGTAGGTCTGTTCATCGAGCAGAATGGCGGGCGGGCGTGCATGTGAAAGGGGAAGAGGAACGGATGAATGGGTGGCCGGACATCACGAAGAGAAATGGATCTGTTTTTTTTTTTTTTCACATGCGTTTCCGTAAAAAAAGTTCGTTGTTAGGAGTTTGCGGACGGGGTCAGGAACATTCTGCCTTGTTTTTTTTTTAAATTACTATTTTTCTCCTTTTTGGTTTCCTCGTATTTGTGTTTTCACCCTGTTTTAGTCAGTCTGCTTGATGAGTTATGATGGAAGGGGACGGGATAGTTTGCAACTCAGGTACTCATGTTCATGTGTGTTGGAGGGGGATGATCTTGATGATTCATGATCTAGCTGGCTTTTGTCGTCCCACGCAACTCGAGTGGCTAGTCGAGTGGAGGCAAGCAGACCAGACAGACGGGCAGATACTTGTTCATATAGACATCGGCATAAGAAATGCGAAAACGTTTTGCCAAGTAAATATGTTTCTCGTATGAAAATTGTGCTTGTTGTAAAAGTTTAGTCTCCGTTCTTAATGGTATCTTCTGCATAATTACATCCTGACTGATCGCCTCTGCCACTTCTACGAGTGGCCTTCCAAGTTGATTATCAATTTACTTCTTAAACACCTGTGCTCCTAAGCGCTCAATATCTCTCCCCTCAGGAGTATTTTTGCCAGCGGCCTCGAATAGACGAGCCCATGCCTCGGCATCTCGGGCTTTGACGGCTTCTTCCGCGGCCTTAACGCGCATACCGCACTTCTCGTACATGGTGATTGAGGCGCCGGGCTCTAGGTTCGTACACTTGGGGATAAATGTAGCTGCCAGGCGGGCGTTGCCCGCTTGCAGGATTTGGTTGTAAAAGGGCTAGATGAGAATGGGCGATTAGCATGAGGATAGTTGAAACGAGAAAGTATGGAACCTTGATTTACTTCCCAGCCGATCGGGCTCTTTCTGCTCTTAGCAATGTCCTCGATCTCGTTCCAGTCCCGTTTTGCGACGAGTGCCCGTAGTCTATAGTGAAAGTATTGTTAGCCAGGCATCATTTAAGAGTATAAAAGCGTGGAGCCGTTGACTCACCGAATCCACCAAGCTACCTTCTCGGGAACCTTGAACTCGCTCTGGATTTTCTTGGCTTTGTTATGATATCCCAGTCGAATTAGCTTAAATAATGTTTCGTTGACACTTAGACCGGTAAAGGTATCTGTCAAGTCGCGATCCAGTGCCTCTTGCATACGTAGAAGCGTTGCTGCCTCCTTCAAGGCGGTTAGTTCGAAATGGTTCTCTCTTGAATCGGAGAGCAGTTTTGCAGCGAGTGTTAATTTGTCGCCTGATGTACGCGCATCGGGCTGGTTTAATGCTTCGCGAATAAACACACCGGCGCCATCTACCCGACGGTCGTCTTGATAATATAGGTCCTTGAGAAGAGCATTATCACCTTCTAGCGCAGCTGAAGCCTCAACAAGTGCTGTAGCTGTCGGTCGTGCGTTGATCACGCGGAAGAAGGATGCTAACGGGAGTTTCTTCTTCAACTCAAGGAGCACGAAAATGATTAAATCAGAATCACCGCTCTCAATTGCTTTGTCAAGTGCAATTTCATCCTCTTCCATGCTCAGGAGGAGTGGTACTTGTCGTCCGGCACGAGGCTCATGGTTGAGGAGTTCTGTAGCCAATCGGCCACGGCCCTCGTCATAGGCGGCGCGGGCAATGGCTTCGAAGGAGATACCTGGCTTACCCGAGAGCTTCTCCACAACTAATCGGCAGATCGAGTCGTCATCTTCTGTTCCAATTCGGACCTTGGCGGATGCCCAATGGACATAAATTCGATCCGTAGGAAGACGTAAGTACCCGGCTATACGAATCGCAAGTAAATATTCATGACGGTTGATGAGTCTTTGGATTAACCCCTCGGGGGTAAGCCGTTGGTATTGTTCGTATGACAAGGGCAAGCCGATTTCGTAATACCGTACAGCATTAATTACTCGCAGGGTCTCGCACATGTCAACGAAGTCGTCGCTATTGTATATATCTAGAACTGATTTGCCAAAGGAAGCAGCCTTGAGTAATTGCTTCTGCCAATGGGCATTGAATTCATGCCCAGCAGCAGCAACACACGTGTCGACTGCTTCGACAAGATTGGGTCTTATCAGTTGTATGTTATCATCTGCTTTAGGAGATTGATTTTCAAGCTGTTCTACGGCGTCTAGTAGAACGGATGCCGGGGACTCGCTTCCAAAGCGGAAAACTTCCTCCGTGACATCTGGTACTTTTTGGATAAAATCGCAAACATCATTGGTAATTAGTCGTACACCATCGTGATCTCGAGACAAATTAGTATGTTTCTAAGCAAGGAAGCATTTATTACCCACCTGCGATTACGTGGATGCGGCCTTCGTAGACGTAGGGTGCCACAGCATTATTGGGCCCCACAACATTCACCTCATCTTCCCACGCAATGACAACCGCATCATTACCACACCATTCTAGGTATTTAGGGATGAGCTGAGATCGGGAATCGTATTCACTTAGTCGGCTCTGGAAATCGGCAGTAATGACGTGGGCCTTCCCATCTGCAGCATAGAGGGCTGCGAATTTCCCATTTGGGGATACGCTGATGTGTGAGAATGGACCAATGTCAAGGAATCGATCTTCACATTCAGTCTTATCCACAACGTAGACCGTCTTTCCAATACTTAAGAGCACTTCAACAGATCTCGATAGAGTGAAACTTGGCGAGATGATGGTCCAGGCGTGGACTTCTCCTTCCGGGGGCATCGTAAGCGCTTTCGGTCGCGGCTCATCGTACGAGGACACAGCAATAAGTGCATTATTAGTGAGCAAGGCTACCATGCCATGATCGTAGAATCGACATGAGTGGACGCCGAAATCTTCAGCTTCGCGACCGAGGGAGAACTGTGTAAAGTCCCCTTGAAGGTTGTAATAACATCTTACGGTACCGTCATAGCTCACTACTAGAAGCTTCTCATCTTCGGACCAGCCGAGGCCTTTGATGGATCCCTTATCCCATCCAATGCTCTTCAGCAGCTTACCAGCGCAACTATATATGTCGATGCTGGGTTTTGATGATTTAGAAGGCTGATAAGATATGATCTTGGTGTCATCTCGACATATGGCTACGCGGAATTAGTGAGGTTCCACGGAGGTATGGGGTCGCGAAGAAGTGAGAGGTACTATGAGTTGTACCTCAAACTCCAAAAGAACAGTACATTTAACGGAGTAATAATTATTAAATAAAAGCAAGAAGATGAATTTTCAAAAATTCCGAATGTGGCTTACCTATGGCGCCACCATATGGAGCACCAGCAACGATATAATTGTCCAAGTCAAGATCCTGGTCGAATACCGCGGTATACAGCTGCGTCTTGCGGTAAAACCGATCTCCCACCCTCTCCCATCCCACAGTCGGATGTGTCGCTTCCATATTCGCCCTACTTCATCATCATTATATCGGGATCATAGTCGAAGGATCGATTACCGTTCTTCAGGGTTTAGATAATACGGTATGATTATTAAAGATGAGGAGCTATTCTTAGAGAGTTAGAGTTAGAAGATTGAATGAATGAAGCTTGGGAAACTCCGTCGGGTAAATTTCGGGTCAAATAATACCTGGTAACTTGTGAAGTTAGGCCCCTACGTAATTGTACCTGACATTCAACTCTATACCCACACGGACCCTTAGTTTAAGCTTCACTCCCCTGTTTTTGATTCGGCTTGCTATAAATACGATAGCAAATGAGATGATAGGATATTGATTAAATTAATATACTTGGGCTGTCTTGCTAGAGGGGATCATACTACCATGCCATTGGAAGTGGTTTTCATGAAAATATGGCACTATTGACTTACATCGTAATGGGTTCATAATCTTTTAGGATTCGAAGATGTCTCAGAAACTAGTCACTAATACCCTACATGATAACGATCGAGGAAAACAATGGCACACGTTTTACTGATTTATTAATAGATGGTATACCTATCTAGCATCAAGGTGTTCTATGTGGCGCCAAATCATCTCAGGTCAATTTCACTTAAAACCTGGGCTTTGGTGTTACCACCCACCATATCGGAATTCCGAGCCTAAGTACAGACAATTCGACCCTACTCCTCGGGTTGGGACATGCGCTATGCATTAGCATGCGAATCATGATTCCCGATTCCCTTAGTAGTCGCTATGTTGTATTAGTACGGTATGCAATTCTAACATCCTGATAGAATCACTTACTCGTATGACTCCTTGGATAAGCATTGGCTACCAGGCGACTACTTGGTTCCTTAGTAGTAGGTACCTAGGTATACTAGTATACCCATACTAGATAGAGATAAGTCTCTAAGCTGTACGTGCTCCAGACTCGTGCGCATTATGCCATGCGCAAATGATGATGATCTACACTCTTTCTTCAAGGTGGAGCTCAACCTTTGCGACCATATCGTTTTTCCATCATCTTCTTGTAATGACCTTTCTTGCCGCTTGTCTTGACGTCTTGAATCTGACCATACTTGCTCTTGAATTTACGAGTAATGTCTTCACTTTCCAGAACCTCTTCAAGAAGAGTACGTTTCCTCTCCTTCTTAGTCAGTCTTGCGGTATAGAAGTCGGTCGGGCCCTCAATTATAGTCCCAACCGATGAGAATTGGGGCACAAGAGCTCTCGAACTGTCCTTGCGGTAAAATCGCTTCGAGTCCAATACATCGCGCATGCGTAATAATTGCAAGTCTTTCTTGAGTTCAGGGGTAAGATCGGTTCGGGGAAGGTTGAACCAAGACGGTCCAGCATCTGCCTTGACAGCCTAGGAAATAGTCAGCGAACAGCATGTACATAGACTGAAGCATATAAATAGAATACGAGGCGAAGAGTCAGAGTAACTATGATATAAATCTATCATTATGGCGTAGCGATGTTACCCATAACGGGAACAGTTACTACTTCAATTAAATTGGGATATTATTTTCATCATTAAAGGGTGATGCCGAGGGCAACATGTGTATGCAATAGGATATTAATCGATCACGTACCATTTCTTTTTTGGGCCGTCGAACCTCGGGTACTCTCACTGACAACTCTCCAGATGTGTTGGCATTGCCCTTTGAGGTAGTTGAGTTAGCTAGCTTTAGCTTCGGGGCCTCTGATTCGGGGACCTTTGCGACATCCGACTTGGAGGGAACTGTAACGGCTTTGCCATCCTGGTCTTGATGTTTCGCTTGCAATCTTAATTCAGCTTCCTTGAGGAGTTGTTCGATTTGGTCGTCCGACAAATCATTCGTTGTCGTCGTGTCTGCCATGGTAGGCGACTGGCTGAAAGAATTGTCAATGAAGTAGAAAGCTTGGGGGGAATAGAAAAAAATAAAAATTTAAAGCTACGAAAATTCTGTCTTGGTCAAACTGTGGCTGTGCTTTCTTAGGTGCATGTGGCTTATGTACATTGTTGGCACGTGTGGCTTCGGCGAATCAGCTGGATACGTTCATGTATCTAGGTACTTCCTCGAAAACCTGCGGGGTTGGTTGGCTTGAGGCCAAAACGGCTACTGCACCCGACATATCGATAATGACGGACTTGCCTGTCGAGGCTTCCCGAGCATCAAGAAAAGTATGTACACCACATACAACATACACCACCCTTGCGATTACTTGTAACCACCCCCCGTACCTGCTGTGTACGCAGCCTTTTCTATCACCAGTGTGATGAGAATAGAGCCTGCCTACGAAGAAAGAAGGCGGTGGTCGCTGATGCCCAACCATATTGCCAGCGCATTGATTTCCCGTCGAGACTGCCCAGTTTTTTTTCGCGGCCAGCCCTACATGTAAAACGCATCGAAGATCTAAGCAATTCTAGAAAATCCATTCACGTCATTGCCCAATCCCGACCAACGCATACATAGAGCTAATTAATACCTAGCTTAGCTTTGAGTTGGTTTAATCAGATCATTCGAAGACATACATAGCGTATACCCGTACATAAACATAACGGTTCATAAGTTAGAGGAGCATAAGCATTTCGTCCAAGTTCATTCAACATTTACCTCTTTCTTCTTCGAACAAGCCTTTTTTTTTTTTTTTTTTTTTTTTTTCATAACCCCTCTTCTTTATTCGAAACTGGTACTTGAGGGATAATTATAAGACATTAATAAGGCATGAGGAGGAACATTGAAGAAAAGAGAGACCTTAAATTTTAAGGTTCAAGTTACGAGATCGAGTGACAAGTTTAAAAGAAAAAAAGGTACATCTGGGAGTGGAGATCTCGGAGCGAGCCGCAAGAGGTGAGCAAACAAACTTTCAAACTAAAAAAGTGAAAAACGAGTACCCGGGAACGAATAATAATTCTCTAACTAACAAAGGGGCAAAAAATCGCCGCGTGTGATAAGGAAAGATCAATCAAATCAATCAATCTCCTCGACCATAATCGTACAAGCAAACCTTGGAACCCCATACAAAAAAGTTACAAAAGTTACAAGTACAAGATTACAAGCGCCATTACAACCTGATCCATTGACTTTTTTTCTCCTCAAAATCTTACGCACGGTCCAACCAACCCACTTCTTCTTCCCCCCTCCTTCCTTCCTACTACCTTATACTTTCCCACTACGCCGATTTAAGCTGGGTTTGTAAAAACACTGGTACAACGTTTTTCACCCCCAGCCTCCCTACCCTGGCCAATCAATCTCACCAATCCAAGGTCGACTTGAATATCTACTGGACCAAAAAGCTCAATTTGTTACATCACCACGCGCACCAAAATCCATTCGACCTTTGCGCCTGTGTAAACAATACATCCCAAGGTCCCTTATTTTTTTGTTTCCTTTTTTATTCTCCGCCGTCGGGAAGCCTGTCGAAGCACCGTGATACTCGACGAGGGAGCAATCCTCGGCAAACGAAAAAAGAGCCAAAAAAAGAAAGCCCACCGCTCGAACTGCTGCATTCGCTGCATTTGCTACCTAGCAACGTTAGGTAGCTAGTCTTTTGTGCGCGTGCAATACCTAGTACCGACCATCGCGCAAAGCATTTCGTTTGCTCCGTCAGCCCCGGTCAAGCTTGTGCGTTCGTTTTCGCGCAACTTTTGAAATAGTCGGCGATCCTCTTTGAATTTGCGCAATTAAGGTTGTAAAAACGGTGCGCATCATCAATTCTTTTTCCAACAAATCAAATTTGTTCCAATTCGATCCAGTCATAATGGACCAATCTTCGTCGAGTCACCCCCAGTCATCGCGAGGAGGAGCTGGGGCGACCGGTGTGTATGATATAGCACACGGAGGTCATTATGGTAAGTACTTCCTTGATTGTATTCTCGCCTTGTCGCGAGTTGCCTTCTCTCGTGCGACGTCGCTAATCATCTCTCCTTCTAGGTGCCAGTGCAGCTGTGAGTCCCACCAACTTTCACTCTCCGCCCTCTCCCCTCTTCGTCAACCCGTCCAATTCCTCTCCTTTTTCTTCTTTCCCGCAATCGAATCTCCTCCTTTGTCGCCATTTGATGCATCAACTAACCTTTCTAGCTTGCGAATTCCGGATTCGCACCCGCAGAGCTCTACACCGGCCCTTGGGCGAATGTCCACCAAGGTCTTCATGGCCAATACAAGGACATTCTTACTACATACTGGCAGAACACAATCAACCATCTCGAGTCCGATCAACATGATTACAAACTACACCAGCTCCCTCTGGCTAGAATCAAGAAAGTCATGAAGGCCGACCCCGAAGTTAAGATGATCTCCGCCGAGGCGCCCATTCTATTTGCGAAGGGATGCGATATATTCATCACCGAGCTTACCATGCGCGCCTGGATCCACGCTGAAGAGAATAAGCGCCGTACACTTCAGCGCTCCGATATTGCGTCTGCACTCGCGAAAAGCGATATGTTTGACTTCCTTATCGACATCGTCCCTCGCGAAGAGGCCAGCCACGCCAAGCGTACGAACCCCGCCCAGACACAATCATCACAAGGCGGTGTACCACCCGCCACACCCGGCAATCAGATCCCTGGCTCACACGGCTTACCTGGTGCCACGAATCACATGGGCGCCCCCGGCGACTACGGCATGGGTGGCCATGCTATGGCGTCGGACCAAGAGTATCGTGGCCCGCCTATGTACAACCAGGTTCAGGCAGGCCCCGGCGGTCCTTACAGCCAGCAACCTACACAAGCCATGTACGGTGACATGGAGGGTATGTACGGTTATCCAGGCATGCCTCAACAGCAGTAGGACAGCCGTGGGGCCTACTTGGGTGCCGCACCTCCTTTGGGATGTGGAACTACATCCGATACCGCCGCTTACCAGTCCGGAAGCAACTCCTACAACCCTGGCTCCAACTCTGAAGAATCTAGAATAAGCTCCACGGGATTGGAAGCTGGTCCTGCAGAGCCTGGATCCCTCTCCAAGTACGATCACGAAAGTCCCAAGGAAGCTATTCGTTACGAGAACTGAGAAGATAGTAGTGAGTTCAAGGCAAATTAATTCCGTCCGAAGTAGAAGAGGTTGCGCCTCGAACAGAATAGGTTTTTGATAAAAGGGTCCATTTGGAGGATATGATAGGACAAGTACATTCCAGATATGAACTCTGTGAATAGACATTTCACGCATTAGGTTACGCATGAGGTTTTCACTTTTAACTAGTTCGGCGCAGGGGTTATAGGTCAAGGGGCTGCTGTCGCTGAGTGCGGATGGCAGTGCAATGAATGCCTTCAATTTTTTTTAATTTGATTACGTACATACACATGGGATTTGGCTGTTTATGACGTGGATGTGACATGTTTGATTTATCTGTACCTATGTGCTTTATTTGGTTCCAAAACGCGACGATAAGTTTGAGGAGAAATTGGCGAATCGTTGCGCAGTTTGACCTGGGCTCGCTATTTGTTGGGTGAGCCTAATTAATATATGTTAGTTTTATTCTGATTGGTCTCCGCATATTCGGTATTTCGGTATTCGAGAGAGTAACTCACTTTTCTAATAGGAGAGGGCCATTCATAGCGTCCACTCGGCCATATTTCTTGTTCCTTGTCGAAATATCGAAAAACTCGTCTGTGTTATCCGACTGCAGAAGCTGGATTGTTTGCTCTAATTCATCTAGATTGGATCGAAGCATAAATCCGTTCTCGAGGCCATCGACGAAAGTGGTTAGATGTTCGACATCCAATGAGAGCGCCGCGACGCCATTCGGGTTGATCTTTTTTACGTCCGGCGATAGGGGGAGAGCCTACGTTGTATTTTGTTAGTATAGTCACCATAATTGAATTGAATTTAATGAGAAGCAGCCACCAACCAGAACTTTGTTTGCCGCATGACTGAGGGCATCAAAGTAAATAAGTTCCTTGATCTCCCGCGGCAAACCCAATAGTGTCGAATTCATGATATTGGAAAGGTAGCGGGTCAGGGTTTGCATGTAATTGCTCGGCTCCGTAGGACGGTTATATGCTGTCCAATCATACTCCGCAGTTTCTACTAGGTCGTCAATCTTCGAGTTGACTAATTCGAAGATACGCTTCTCGGCAGTCTTCTTGTTTTCCCTAAATTGTTCAGTAGCTGCCAAGGTCAAAGGACCACCTGCGGATGCAGAAGATCGCGCCCTGATTAAGAGTTGCTCTAGTTCTTGACAGGCGATTTCGAAATGCTCTAGGTTGATGAGGATTTGTACGATTTGACCTAGATATTGCGAGCTTAACCTTTCTACCAAGGACTGGCACACCTTCTCAGTAAGGAGTTCGTCGAGTGACTGGTAATGTTAGTATGGCAATCAAATTGAAAATTGGTATAAATGAGATTTACCTTGCGTAGGGTATCGTCGATTTTATTGGGATGTTGGAAATGATCGTCTGAGACATCAGAGAAGAAATAAAACTGGTTGAGGAAATTCCTAATGTCGATACAACACAGCGGGTACATTTGAGAGAAGGGCAAAACACATGGAAATCTGCGACGGTTAGATCAGTATCGCCAAAATCTGATGCCAAGTACTCACGTAAGCTCCTCAATGGGTTTCTCTGGGGTAAACCAGCTAACATTAGCCACTTTCTCATATTCTTCTCTACTATTAATTGCCATCGGCATGTAATCATCGGTCGAGACGATCTTTTGAAGCAATTAGTCAAGTCGCACTTATTGAAAATCGATGATTCCACGTACCTCTTGGAAGTCCTCGCTAAATCTCCTCTTCAACAATTCAGCATACCTATCGAAGAGGTCGACTAGGAATTCGTCAAGTCTGGAGACGGAGTATCCCCATCCCTACCAAACACATTAGTAAATTCAATATTTCAAGGAAGAACAAAAATGGATTTATTTACCTCCATCGTTAGTATGAAAAGATCAATTCGCCCTTTAATATTGAGAAGAATTTGTGCATCGCCGACATCGTTCAACGCCTTTGACGTCAATGATATCGCAGCAGAACACATCGAATCCCATAATTCCTCAACCTGTAATTATCAGTATTATCACTTGAAAAGAAGGATTAGGGTCGTCTTACATCAATAGCAGTGCGTAGCTGCGGAGCCTGGCGCATTGTGGCCTTCTCAATTATAGCAAATCCAGCAATGCCTTCTAGTAAACTACTCAAGGAGGAATCGTCATCGGTCGCAAGGGTTACAGAACTTGGAATAAGTAATTCTTTTTGCCGCCTTCTGGTGGCAGCATATTCGGAGCGAAACTTATCACTCTGTCCCAACGCCTCATGGATATGTAAGGCCTCAAAAAGAGGTGTAAAGTCAACCTAACGACTCGATTTAGCATATATACGGAATATTCGCTATAATTATTGGTGCAAGCAAAAATTACCTTTAATTCTTCGTTATCAAGCACATCAAATTCTTCACTCTCATCAAAGACCAGCTCAATTGCAGAGTTCAGTTTGAAACGGTTCAAGTATTCATCTTTTTCCGCCCTATCCCGTTGCCGTGTGCGTCGCATTTCGGTATGATAGAAGGCCACCTCTCCAAGGAACTGTGAGGTCTCCCTAATACGAAATAACCAAGTATTAAGATCTGTCATGACTGCCTCGGATATGGTTTTCTGGGACGCGGGAATGGATTTTTGTATTAGATTGGCGAGTTGGTGTTGGGTGGCATAATTATTCTGTATTATCGGGATGAGGAATTCGTTCTGGAGGTCGTCGAGGGACTTGAGCGCAGCGTAGTACTTCTTTTTTCGGATTAAGTCGTGGGCATTATTCACAGCATGAAGGATCTTCAGAGATTCCTTCATGGCATCGGATACATCTGATATATTCTCTCGTATCGCTCGCGTATTTACCAGTGCCTGCTTCTGTTCCGCCAATTTCTCCGTACTTGCTTGAATGGATTGGTTCAATTCGAGGATATCGACGGTCAAGGCAACGGTTCGCTCGCGAACATTTTGGAGGTGGTTGACGGAAGCTAGAAATTCTTCGTGCTTCGTCAACCCTATTCTTTCAATCTCTGCTTCCCTATCTTCGGCATATTGTGCTAGATTCTGCGTGAGAGCAGTTGCTCGATTGGTCACGGTCGCATCTTTTAGGACGGGGATTAATTGATCGAGAAATTCGCCATCGGAGGTAGAAAGTAGGATCTGGTGAACAGCAGATCCATAATCATCGTAGTTTTGCGCTCTTCGCGGCATGGTGGTGGTAGACGGTAGCCTAATGGCATCGCAATGCGACCGTAGGCGTTGTATGTGTTCAAGTGCGATTCAAAGAGAGAAGGGCGGTCGGATATGGCCAATCCACAGTAGGGCAATCTCTCATCGTCAATTTTTTACGTACAGAATAATCAGACTTTTTGCTTAAATTCAATCAGGTTCTGTAGTTCCAATAAAGTTACCTAGGCATATTGAATAAGATAATCGTACTGTCTCGCATTGCCTACAATTACGTATACAGGTGTAGGAAGGAAGATGGGGAGCTGTCTGCAGCTGTAATTCTTAGCCGTCCAGCTGCATCTCAATTGTAATGAGCCTCACGCTAATCGCCCCATCTACCCCACAGCCCCAGGAACTAAGCCTTAGAGATCTCTTACAGTGTTACGTGTGGCGCTAATGTGGCGCATAACCTCATATTGTTATAGTGTCTTTAAAGACTTTTTGAAGATAGCAGCGAGATTCACCGAACAAGTCGCTCTCTACAATTGATGCATCCAAAGAATTCTTAACTTCGCTTTTAGGGGAAGTCTAGGCGACCATTCTGTCGACGCAATATTTTCGTTTTCGTTTTCGCAACGCTTATCGAAATGTGTTAACACATGCATACCTACCTAGGTAGGTAGTCTTACTACCAAATCAATCAAGATATTAGGTAGGCCTACTACGACATTGTCGTATATTCACACTCGCAATTACAAGTTAGTTCCCATATAGTGCGAGATAATTAGCTATATCACCCACCACTTTCTTCTTTTCGCCGCACTCAACTTACTAGACGCTAGTGAAATTTGCGCCATCTGCCGCCTTTTAAAGTCTTAAGGATATCATTTCGTGTCCTAGTGTCACTCGACTATAAAAGTACAAAATCTAGATTTTTTGCCTAAATAAAATACCTCTTTCATGGCATCGAGAGACGCAGAAACACATAAAAGTTAAGGGATGTGATTTTTGGGGCATAATGAGCCATTAAGGTAGAGTCATGCCTAAGCCCTGGTCCCAGAACCTTCATACAATAACGGGGTTGAAATCAGACAACTTGTTAAGCAATACTAATCTACTAGTAACGCATAACATTTTTCATCCTTTATTATCATTCTAGCTTATTATTTCATAGTGCCGCATGTCTTCAGCTAGGCTCGTTTGGGAAGAGAAGTTGGTACTGTGGTTTCCCTCCCTTGGCTCTCACCCCTTATCTTACATGCGTTCTTCATTGGGAGTTGCTGCTAAACAGGAAGCACGCGTAGAGGACTTAGGAAGTTACCAAGGTGTCCACGTAGGTCAAAAAGGGATGCGGTCCATGCCGAAGACCGGGGCGTACAGCGGCTCCTTCCATCAGTGGTCCCCCGAAAAGTCCTCCCGCCCTCCGAAAATTCCGGGCCGGGGGCCGGAAGGGGTAAGGACAAATGCCGAAACCGGGCTAGCCAAGCCATAAAGGCAACAGCATGGAGCAGAGCGGTCCAAGCCCGGTCGAGAAAACACTCCATACCTAGGTAGGTAAGTACCAAGGCAACTTGCTAGGAGTAGTCGCCAGGTATAGGGAGATATTTGCTCAAAGTGCGCGCCCAAGTTGGTAGGCAAGCAAGGCGATTGCAAGCTTGACCGGTCCGGAACACCTGAAGCATTGATAGATATCCACTCCACTGATAGCTACCTTTAGGGTCACCAACCATCGGATGACCATTACAATCACCCATGACTTGGGAACATGGTTAGTGCTTGATGATTCGTCTGATCTATGCCAACCACCTCTAATCATCTTCAGTTGAGCCTTGACCATTCCCGGGTTCCTACGCTGAGAGGTTTAAGTACAAACAAATCTAAATTGATTTAGTACCTGCAGGTATGTAGCGACTACCCTAATCATGATATACGATAGTGCGACTCTTCAGAGAATAGCGAGTGCAAGTACCTATACCTTACCTGTACCTTTAAAGTCAACTATACCCGTTCTGAAACAAGCTCCTTCCGTATAACCATCGGACGTTCTTCCCTCTCTCCTCTCCATATTAAATCACGGTACAATCGGCCAAGGGTTCTCTGAGGGCAGAGTTACTTTTTAAGCGCACATAAATCTGATCTTCCTCCCCGATCCTTCACCATCTTTCTTACAACCATCCCCAACCTCAACTCAACTTACCCACCTCTTACACACACACACCATCCTTCAACCTCAATCTACCCTTCCACCTTGGACCATTGCAGTGTCTTGGGTTCAACAGGAATTTTCATTGATACCCAGGTATTCAATTCACCTAACTTCTTGTCCTTCGGGAAGACTATTGCGTCAACCCTTGGGAGAAAATTGAATCCACCTTCTTCAAGTTTCTTCTTGACACCCAGTTTACTCATACCCCAAGAACAACCCATCTATCAATCCCCTTGGTCTTGGCACAGGAAAGAATCTTAGGAATCTTGCAGATTCTAATCAAGTTTGCCAGTAAGTATTTCTATTTCCCGATTTCGGCCCTAAAGCTTCGACTAAACCTCTTCGCCCAATGCAGCCTTTTTGCACCCGGTTGGCAAGTTCGTGGACGGTTCAGTTTTCTATCGGTCGGCGACCTCTCTGTCATACTGCGACAGCAACTTCCCACTTCACTTGACCTATACTCATATAATCTAGAGTCTAGGAACTAAATTGATCCTTCTGCCCAAGGCCACTTCGGGATCTCATAAGGATCATCTAATCCCAAGAGCCGTACAGTATCGATCAACACTCCCACTTTTGTCACCGCACATAGGCAGCTCTACATTCCATTGACAAGTAAGTCCCGCCGTTTTCACTTAGTCATAACTCTTTCCTACTGCTCGATAAGGCATCCGTTTTCATTCCGAATATACCCTCGCCCTATTGCGTTACACAGGAACCGCGACGAAAACCATCCCACGCCGACATTACCGTATCCCCATTTTTTCACGGCACTATATACATTAAATACCCCAATCGCGTCCTTCCCTATACCATTTTAGAGGCCCTTCACATATACTTTTCATATCCAACTTTGCTATATCCGAGTCTTACCCCAGTGGCTTGCCTTCGCGGTCTGGGCTACACCGGTGGTGGACCCCGGTAGCTCGACCCATCCTACTGTCCTTATACCTCAAGACTAGCCTTAGCATTTTCTAATCAATTATATAGCAGGGATACCCAGATTAAGTGAAGAAGAGTTAATTGCATCGTCTTCTTCATTTATCTCTCAAGTTACGCCCTCGACGTTGGTGAACTTGGAGAGAAATACAGACTTAGGAAGTCAATCACATTGGTTGTGATAATTGCTCGGTAAGTTTCTCTTCGCATTTCCGCCCCTGCACCGAGGGAAGTTGAGCTTCTGTCTCCTTGATCGGAATATCCACCCTAAACGACCTCTCCAAGAATCGGTTATCCCCCTATACCTCCTTACATTACACCTCATTAAATCCTACAAGATTCACATTAGTCTCCCTTGGTTGTAACCCCTTTTCATTGCTTATATTCGTCGCACCTCAAATTTATGCCATCCAGTATGAACAAGCAACGCCGGCCTCCTAAAATCCCTAGTCGGCTGTTTGGTCCGAGGCCCACAGTCCGATAAAGGGTATTAGATCCTTTTGAGAACCACCAACCCAGCTCTTCACTACTATATCTCATTTAACTAACAAACATAGCAAGATTTTACAACTAGTTGCAGTTGTGCAAACCATAGGTCTAGCACTCGGTTGTTCTACCTAAACATACTTCTCAGTATCGGCATTTGACGCCGCAACACACCGCGACCCAGTCGACGAATCGGGTTCAATAATTAGTCCTCGCCATTACTAGTCCTAGCCGAACTCTTGATAGTTTATTCTTGTCGAGGTATAACTTACCTCCATTATCATTGGTTGTCTTCATAGACTTCCTTGATCGCCAACAATAGCATCGCCTCTAGGTGAGTGGTCAACCCCTTTCCTCTCATGATAGTGAGACTCGAATCTTGACGAGAATTAAGGAACTTACTGACTTCGTTTTATATAAGATCCTTGTAGTTGGTGTTTTTTACATTTACTGATGTCAACTTCAGGAACCAACCGAGGTTTCAATACCGGATTTAGTTTCTCAGTACTGCCACAGATGCAGTACAACTCGTCGGATAAGATGAGTAACATGCAGCAGGCCCGCGAAGGCCATTTCAACCCGGTATCTCCTCATTCTTCCAGTGGAGCCGCCGATTCTTTCAAGGGTACTCCTGATACTCGACTAACCACCTTCTCACCCGAGGATGGATCCGCCCGATCTACAAAGACACTCGCATCTCTCAATGCCAGTGCACGCGACGTTGGACCTATCAAGTACGACATGGCCTCGACGAAGTCTCTCGAGCGACCGGGTGTCTTTTACCGTAGCAACCTTCAGCTAGAAAAGGACCCTTTCGTCACCTCTGCTGGCCCAAGCTACAGCGGAAGACAGAAGTTATCCCCTACCGCTACCGTCTTTAGTCCTCTCCCCCCGGCGATGGTTGCTCGCGGTGCAGCATCTGAGCCTAAGAGAGCAGATGCGATGTCAGAGCGTCTTAGCCAGGGCGGCGGCCACGCTTCTAGACGTTCTTCGCCGCCGGCTAGCTCGATCAATGCTCACTTCATCCGCAACCAGCTGAGCACGGATATGGGAATTTCGAGATGCTTGATTCTCTCATCTCCAATTGGTAGCAATGTTACTGCGGATGAGTTTGAGATTCACTTAACTGTAAGACCTCACTAATATACCATCGTATGTTCCACGGGCTGACCATTATAAGGAACTTCTTCCGGCTGGTACCGCCATCAAAGGCAGTAGACAGGTGTATGAATTCGCCGACCAGGTATTCGTCCGTTTCACTGACATCCGTGACGCCTGTGCCGTCTTCTCAAATATCTCTTTGGGTGGCCGCAATTGGTCCGTCCGTGCAGTGAGCCCTCGGGAGTTTACATCTGTGATTGATCCCAATGCATGCCTCGTCACTGCCCATGAAGGCCAACTTTACTTGAGCGTGTTTTCTCACTCGGCGAACTCTATGACGACCACACAGCTCGAGACTTTCTTGAAGGATCTTTTGCAGTCTGAGGGAGACTTATTTGCCTTCAAGGTCCACGAAGGCGCACCCGGAGCCCTGATCAGTGCTGTAATTGAATACTGTGACAATGGCATGGCTATTCAAGCCCTCTCGAAGTTCAACGGCACCATCATTAATGTAAGTATTGCATTCAAAGATCTAAAGGGTTCACTAGCTAATATTGTTCTGAAAGGGCCTTCAAATCTGCATGATTGTACACCGACCTGATTTGATGACCATTCCAACTGGGAATGAAGGCGGAGCCGTCGACCCGATCCGAACTATGTCCACCGCGCCGGCGGACTTGGCCACCAGCCTCCGACAATTGTCTCTTGGGAGACAACAACCAGCTGTCCAATCGGCAAGTTCTCTACTATCCACGCCTGCTCGTCCGCATGTACCCTCAAGCAACTTCCCGTTGTCGTCACCGTTTGGGATGATGCCTCTAGTCTACCCCGGATTACCTATTAACACTCCATACATGATCGACCAAGCGCCGTCTAGAACTCCTAGTATGTTGTCGTCGAGCAACTACTCTCTCGCAAGTCCCTCGATGTTGCAACCAAACTCGTTCATGTCTACAGACCTCGTCACTCCACGACAATTCCAATCTCTTGGCCGTCCAGATGGTCGCCGTCAGAACGCGATGCGAGTTAGTCGATCCCCTTACTATAATGTTGCTAATCATCACAACCATGTCGATATTGGCCGCATTAGAGACGGTATCGATGTGCGCACGACTGTAAGTAATATAATGATAAATCTGGTTTGGATGGGATCTAACCTTAATAGATCATGTTGCGCAACATCCCCAACAAGGTTGACCAAGCTCTACTGAAGAGAATCGTCGATGAGTCTAGCTGGGGAAAATACGACTTCATGTACCTCCGCATCGACTTTGCCAACGATTGCAAGTACGTATTTCTTTTGGAAGCATAGAGGGGTCAATTACTGATTGCATCATTGCAGCGTCGGTTACGCGTTCATCAATTTCGTTGATGTAAGTCTCACTTTCTGCGTGCGGATATTCATTTTGACACTGCTAACTAATTTTCTAGCCGCTGGACATTATTGATGTAAGGACTTTCGTTTTTAGGACCGTGATAGGACCACACTGACATTCTCCCAGTTTGTGCGTGCCAGAGGCAACCAACGCTGGAACTGCTTTAAGAGCGACAAAGTTGCCGAGATCTCTTATGCGAGTAAGTTGGCCTCACACTCCTATTAATTATGTCGAAATACTGAACTTTGGCCTAGCGATTCAAGGCAAAGACTGCCTCGTCCAGAAGTTTCGCAACAGTTCGGTGATGCTTGAGGCCCCTCACTATCGACCCAAGGTAAGTGAAGCCTAAAGGAACAAATTTAGGATGTACATAACTCACTCTCGTTCTTGTAGCTTTTCTTCACCCTAAACGGGCCCCACCCGGGAATGGCAGGTAATGAAGAACCGTTCCCCGAGCCTGACAACCAATCGAAGATGAAGAGAAGCTGCGAAAACGCCGAGCATGTTGGTAAGTCAAACCTACCTAGGTAATTAATGGTTTGGGAGGTGAATAATTCTGACTATTTGGATAGGCCTTTTCACTCCTAATGCAGGCCAGCACTTCCGTGACGAACAACGACGCCGTCGTTCTCAGTTTGACCGTGGAAACCCGAGATTGGACCAGGGCGAGTACGACGATCATCTTCTTCCAATCGCCTATTATCCCCAGCAGTAAGCTCCTACGAGCTGCTGCAATTATAATCTCATGGGCTTTTGTCGGGTCACTTTGGTGACCTGTCCCAGAAGTAATTACCTCATATCATAATGCGTTTTTCTCATGATGATTTCTCACGGATAATGGAGATTTTGACTTTTCAGTCAATTTGCAACATTTGCTTGCCAGTGAGTGCGAGATTCAAATTTGGAGAACGGAGTAGCCTTTACTAACTGGAGTGTAGGTTTTACGGCGCCTTTTTTCCTTGTTTCCTAATGATCTATGGAGGAGCCTGCCAATACTGCCCTGAGTAAGGGGCGAACGCGCAGAATTCTCGACTTTTTATTGCCACAAAAAATTCAACAAAGTTATTATAAAAAAAAAAAGCCAACCAAAATCACTCGGAGTCAAAACTAGGAAAACATTTAGTTTCTTTTTACGGTCGATTTCCGAGTAACCAATTCCGACATACCACGCTGGAAGGAATTTACAGACTCACACTAACATGCACCTTTTCGTCAGGCCATGTCTGCGATGGTTTTGCCTACTCGTATCACAGCATCCGTCGCCTCAGATACTCAACTAGGACATTTCACCAACAGAGCAGATAACCAGCCATCCTGTTGACTGGTCGGCAGTCATACATCTTCCCACTCACCAATACCTTTTTGGTAGACACTAGATTGCACAATATGTTGCTTTCAAGCTTTAGCATTCGGGAGAAAATATTGCTGGAGAACATCGGCTAGGCGTCGTTTGTGCCTTAATGATTTTGGACTTCGCCATGCAACGACCCATTCTCTTATGGATGCGTTTCATTTTTCCTTTTTCTCGGCCTTGAAAATACTCATCGATCACGACTATTTGGCCACAGCCAACCTCCGACTAACGAGGACTTAATTCATGAATTCGGCGAAACTCGGGTTTTAGGTTCGATTGGTTGTGAAAAGATAGGAGGCGTATGCGTACCGTCGCCTGGACATCGGCAAGGGGTAGAGGATGGATGGTTCTGGGTGGACTAAGCCCTACTAAAAGTGTTTGCGTAGCTTTAGACTTACTAGCAATTTACGTTGATTTCCTAACTTGTGCCCAATCTTCTAAGTGCGTGATATGCCACTTTTTCACTTATAAAAGCGTTCTCGGTGCGCATTTACAAACTTCATTCTAATTGTGATGTCATTAATTCATGTGTAGTCATTAACCGAGCTAGCCTCTATAAGAAACGTACATGAATGTATACTAATCAGGATCCTCCGGTAAAGCAGGAAGGGGCTTTCGCGCTGACGTAGAGTGAGTCAAAGGTGGTCTGCTCGATAGAGGAGCGTATTCTACACTGTCGGCCCCTAAAGACGGCGTCAACTGCCTCTCTGACTTTCTAGCTAGTATCTCTGAATAACTCGACGACTCCCCGCCTGTAGCGTAGTATTCCCTATCCTCATCGCCGTCTCCATCTAATTCTTCTACTCCGTCCCCACCTCCTCTACTCCTGACGGGCGTTAGAGCGGGTTCTGAATCGTATCCTATCTCGACGCTTGACGGCGTAGCGGGGGCTCGATAGTAATTGCTCGTGGATGCGGGTTCGGTCGAGGCTCTATTAGGCGACGGACGCCGGCGACCACTACCTGTTTCGGATTCGGGGGTTTCTGCGCCGGCTCTGGAGCCTCGTCTTGGTCGATGGCGGAGGGAGGTCGAGGATGCGGAGTCGGGGGTTCGGCTTGGGCTACGGCGTAAATGCGTTGGTGGTGTAGCGTCGGTGACGGAGAGGAGGCTGGTATTGGGACTATGGTCGCGGGGACCGGTTTTCATGCTATGTTGTTGCTGCGGCGGACCCCTTGGTGTGGTTGGGGAGAATAGAGGGGAGGCGGCGAATCGCGAGGATGGGGAAGTGCCGGATAGGAATTGTGTTGGGTAATACGCGTACGCGGAATCTACGGCGGCGGAGGCGATTCCGCCGCGGGAGAATATTACTAGCACGAGACAGCCTAGGAGTAATAAACTTTGCACTATGGCCATGCGTTTTTGGAAAACGACTTCGTCGGCTAGAACGCCGAGGCGTTCGGATAATGCGACGATTTCGCGCTCGGATTGCTCGCGTTGCGATTCGAGTGCGATTACGGTTGATTGCCAGATTTGGTCGTACCGCGCGCGGGCTTCGCGGAGTTCGCCGAGGACGGTGTTGTTGAGTGTGTCGAGGAAGAGGTCTACTTTGGCGACCTGTCGGCGTTCTAGTCGGGCTAGTGCTTCTTGGAGGAAGCGGGATTGCGATTCGATGTATTGGAGGGATAAAGTTGTGTTGGACTCGAGTGCTTGAATGCGTTTATTAAGCGCCTTGAAGAATGAGTCCTGGACTGTGGGGGAGGGGGCGGCGGAGGATGTCGTGGTTGTGGTTTTGTTGCGCGGTACGGAGGGGGAACCCGATGGTTGGTTTTTGGAGACAGCGGTTCGTGAGGATGGTGGTTTTATGGATGTGGGTGCGGCTGTCTTACCCCTCGAGGGAGGCGAGTGTGTCTTTACGGGACTCGAGGATGAGGCTGTGGTGGAGGGTATTGTGGAGGTTTCGGTGACCGAGCGTGGATCCGGGGACGGTGTAGAGGTTGGTATAGATTCAGTTGAGTTTGCGGCATCTGTGCTTACTGACGCTTCGTTGGAAACGCTAGACGATGAAGACCCTTTTGATTCGACGGCTTTGGACGTCGAAGCTCCCGACGAGGCCGTATTTGGATTGACTGAAATTGTCTGTTCGGCTGCCGCTGCGGATTGGGTTTGATCCGCGGTTGTGCTTTCATGGTTTTCATTCTTAGCAAGCTCTCCCGCTTCGCTAAGCGCACAAGTCGAGTTGGAAGGGAAATAATAATAGAAATATGATTCGTCCCAGTAGGGTATCAAATCACTCTGCTCTAGATTTATCGATTCAACCTTAGACTCAAGAACCTCGGCCACTTCAACCTCAGGTTGGGGTTCAGCTACCTCGACGGTTTCCTCGGAGCCTTCATGGATCGTCTTAGTAGCATCATCTTCAGCATCAAGGTCGGCGGGGTCAGCCTCTTTCCATGAATCGAGCATACGTGTGCCATGGACTCGTAGCAATGACATGGGGCAATAGTACTCATTACCATAATGGCTTAGGATCTCGATGCGCACGTATTTGGCCCAGATCTGGGGGTTCTCAACTAAGAAAGGTTGGATATCTCTGGAATTACGGGCTTCGAATGTGCCCAACACTTTCCATTTTTCTAACTTGACGGGATAGCGGTCGCTTACACTAACTCGAAAATGGCGTATCATACTCGAGAAGAACTCGAAATTGGCCAACACGATAGTATCGACTAGAATATCGTCGCTCAACTCGACAATGACGAACTTGTGCTTCATGGAACATTCCAAGAGCATGTATGAATCCTTATTCTCAACAAGAATAGCCTTAGGATTCTTAGCCCCTGGACTTGCCTTCTTGACGGTAGCGCCAGCGTCGAACGAGGCGTACGAGAATCTCTCCTTGCTTGTTTTCCCAGCATCTTTACTCCGATATCCCTGGGTCAACCCCTCGTCATAGGTCACCTTCTCGACCTGCCTCTCCTTCTCTTTGTCCTTCTGCGACGGTTTTGTGGACGATGTGATCTCGGAGATCTTATCCGAATATGCGTCGAAATCGAGCGACACCTCGCCTTCATCGCCGAGGCTATCGAAGTCTTCCCCGGGGTAGGCCTCGCCATGTGTTTCTTTGCTCTTGCGATGTCTTGGTTCTAGTGCCTCTTGTCCGGACTTCTCAAGCATCATGGCCTTCCATTCTTCGAATGACATGAAGGCACCTGTGCTGAGATCGTTCCCGTCTTCGTCGAGCTCTTCATGATCGACGGTACTACCATTCTCGCCAGGGCCAGGCGTCGGGTCGGCAGCAGAAGCGACGGTAGCGCTAGAGGGCTCGGAGGCGGAAGAATACGGCGAGGGAGATGTGGTGAGACATAGTTGTGGTAGGGTATGGGTGATGTAATTCACCGTCCTCGATTCGCATGTCGGCTCAGCAGTCGCAGCGCCCGAGGCTGCAGGTTTCGCAACATCATGGGTAGTCGAGGTAATGGAATCGGACTGGGCTATCGCATGGTTCGCTACTAGTAGGAGTAGACTCGAGAAGTCTAGAATTATACGTCGCCTTTTGGGTGCGAGCCACATTGCAAATGTGGTTCGGACTCGCGTCGAATGGAAAGATGGTCCATAGGCATAGGAGATTATGGTGTTATTGTTATGGTGACGGAGTTGAAGTGGTGACACAGCATAGAATTAAGTTGAGAGATACCTTGAACGTGCCTGCCCAAGTACCTATATACGTAATGTACTTTTCTACAGTGTGTATCGCCTACCCAAACGTAGAAATTACAGGTGGCAGCACGATGCTATCTCGTTAATTAATTGCCCAAAGTAGTTTAGCCTACATTTTTTACACTACAAGTTGCACGGATAGTAAATGCAAGCGAAGGTTTTATACTCTTCTGTTAAGGAGAGAAATGTATTTAACAATGTACATTATATGGTAAAATATTTAGATTCAATGCTTTTCATTACATTTCTTTATTTTAGGTAGGTAGTTCGGTACATCTCGATTATTTAGACTTTTGCTTTTTCCAGATCGTATGTATGGATGTATATGAGGTGGCCCGTGATCAGTACCTAGGTAACTCCGGACTACCTAGGTATGTATGATATGGTGTGGGGACACAAAAGTGCGAAGATTCATTTTTTAAACTTCATGGCGACATGTATCGCGAGATGGGATGAATTAGGACGGTGTAGATAAGGTAGGCATGATGGGATGGATCTGGGCAAACGTGACTTCTATGTTTGTTGTAAATCGCGATAAGATTTACTTTATGTAAGTTTTCTAGGTACTTAAATGTACTTAGGAAGCTTAAGCTCGATCTGAATTCTACTTTTCTACCACTTTCATCTATTCACATACAACTCATACACGTCCATCAATCCCTCGATTGACAAAAGACTTAATCTTCTCCGATCCGAACCTAACAAAAGATTACCCTGGTAATAGGGTTCGCCTGTCAAACCCCGCTGAGAAACGATGCAGGGCCCTAGCAAGATCACGGCTCAGAAAGGGTACCAGGGGAAAGCTGCTACGTCCCCGATTCTCGACCTCCCAGTAGAGCTACTCTTCCGGGTGCTTTCTTTCCTTGATCCCGCACCTATCTTGCTGTTCTCTCTCACTTGCAAAGGAACATTGCATTTCGTCCAAGCATCTGACCTGTGGGAACCTTGTTTCTCTACTCTTCATAGAGTCTTACAAACAAGGGAAGAGCACGTCTCTCTTCAAAGATACGAATTTTTACAGCTATTGGCAGATGACCACCCACATTCGTTCGTTTGCCGGCGCTGCATGAAGCTACATCGGAATATTGTTGAGGGAGGTCGATATGCCCAGCTAGGCTCCATTCCTATCTCAGGACGTCGCCGTGGGGCAAGCTCTCAGGGGCTAATGACTTTCGGTCACCTGTGGCCGCAATATGCTTTCAGCATCGAAGAGGCTCTTAAGGTAGTAATTCCTAGAGAAGACCCACGTCCTATTCAACTTCCTGAATTTTCGATATCCACCGATTGGAAACTGGCTAGGCTAGGGACATCCTGCAACAACCCGGACTTCATCCATGGCTACGTTAAGCTAGATAATGAGGGAATCGCTGTAGGTGGACACCTGCATCTTCACAGAGTACAGCGGGTTTTACTTCTCGCCGAAAAGGTCGTCCCCTTCTTCGAGGCCAATACTCCTTCATCTAGTACGTAACATTACTTCTCCTTTTATTTTTTTTTTATCAGGGTATATTTAAGGTATACTGTTTATGCTGGGCTATTGTCGAACACCTCCGAACTACTCGCCTAACGAATAAGTTACTAACTCACGATTATAGTGGAGCAAGTCTTCCGGTTCTGCCGTCATCATACAGATATCATGTCGTCTTTCGGCGACCCTCTACCTCCGTATTTCTTCGAAGGCCTAAACAAAGCCGGCGTCTACAACGCAATAACCACGCTCGCCTTAATAGCGCCGAAGAAAGCATTACTCGAGGAGCCAACGGGAACCCACGGTTTGATTATAGACAAGTCGAAGCTATTCGAGGGTATTATGCCTGGTTGTTCGCAGTGTTCAACAGACCATGTCATGACGATACACAACCACGGCCGAGCTGGTGTCGAAATTGTCGTCGACGTCTACCAAGATCTGGGCTTCCTCTCTTCAACTCATCGCGGTTGGGATTATTGTTGGACTGGAAACATAGAGCACAAATATCGTGGTGTTATTAGTCGACGCCGTGACTTCCCTGCTATCTCTTTTGATTTATTTCCTACGGCGCTTGGTCGGAGTGCCAGGGCACACCCCTCCGCGCCGAGCATTCAGGACGTATGGGAATTACATGAACACGAGCGAAGCGCTAGGTTGGGGTCTGCGGTAAATCAACTACACATTAACAATGAGTGACCGGAGCTTCGGCTAGGGGATGACAATACTTAGGCGCGCAAACTTGCTATCGTAGTGTTGCGGCTTGGATGAGAACCGTAGCGTTCCTGGGGTAAGGGATGAGGGGAAACCGCCGTTGGAGAAAATACTCCGACATTTGCGATGAGTTTAGTTTTACGGGTATCTACGATGGCCTTGCATACTATGCTGCGTCATTGCTACTTGAGAATAGAAGGGGAAATAGCATCAGAAATCGCCAACGCTAAAATCCGTAGCTTAGAGAAGTATTCGTATGGATTTACACACAAATAAACACGCGTTGCCTAATATTATCACTATGTATCGATCTACTTGTGGCATTATTATGATACCGAAAAATCAAATCACATACAATCAACATTCACGGCAGCAATCCCGAATATGTATTAACGAATTTATTCTTGCCTATGTATCAGAAACCAGTGACAGCAGATGCCCATTAGCAGCGGTGGCTCGTGTGGGGGCGTACAAATAAAGTTACTTAAACAATATGTGTGTGGTTTGACTGATGATTTGGGGAAAAGTAAAGAAAGGCAAAGAAGAGAGATAGCCCCAGGGTATTGCTTTGGTGGTACACGTGCCATTCGTTTCCTCTTTGCCCGTCTCCTTTAGTAAGTTACCGCCTGTACGCCTCGAAAAAAAAAAGAAGCCTCAGCCAAACAGCAAAAAATAAAAAGCGTGCGAAACGTTGGGATGTCGACGAGGCTCATCGGGAGAGAATTAGAAATGAAAGAAAACGATGGCCGTAAAAAAGCTCGACTATGGATCGTCGGATCGACCAAATTTTAAAGCAAGCATCCTCCGTGAAGCTGAATAGCTTTATACAGACGCACTTATTACTCGCCGTCACTCAGGCTACCTGGGGCCACACTTCCTTGGCCGACACCATTAGTTACTATCTTTATCCTCGTCGTATTCGCCGAGGACTGTGGTGTACCAGCGCTGGTAGTAGGCGCAGCCGAGCTATCCTTCGTTGACGGGTCCTCGAGCTCGGCAAGCTCTGGATGCCCGTTGATCTCTTCTTGGGCTCGGTCGTTAAAGAATTTCTAGATACGTTAATACATTGAGGTGATACAAAGCAGGTTCGTTTTAGGCTTACCTCCATTACAATTGCATCTGAGTAAAGAAGACTCCCATCTTCATTGTAGGTTCTGCAATTGTTGCACATCAAGACAATGTCACTTCTCATGTCGTTGATGCTATTATACTCCTCTTTCTTGATCTTGGCCTGTATTTGGTTCATACAGATCGGATTGTGGATGAGAACGTAGTAATCGCCGTAATCTCGTTTAGACGGCAACTTGATGAAGGGCCCGATAATTAATCGCTTGGTAGGCTCATCATCTTCGTCATCGTCAACTTGATCTTCGGGTGCAATATCGGCTTCAAGACTCATTAGTCCGTCATACAGGTTACGTAGACTCCTCTGGAGAACTTGTCGAAGTTCTGGGCTAAGGCGTGAATCGTTTCCGTTACCGATTGCCGCGCGAGGGCGCCCTTGAGGCCCACGTCGCTTTTTAGCAGGCGGCTCGCCGTCATCATCCTCAGCTTTGCGCTTCTCATTCTTGCTTCCAGGTTTGCGACCACGCTTCTTAGGTGGCGTCTCAATCTCTTCGGTGCTTGCACGGCTTGCGCTCGGTGAGTTTGCGCTTGACGCATTGAGTACCGCTATTCTCTTCAGTTTATTCGTCTCTCGCTTGTCCTTGCGAGCCTGTTTGCGCGCCGCTGCAGCCTCAGGCGAATCCTCGTCATTATCCACGGCCATGAGCCATTGCTCTTCTGTAAGGCCATCGTCGTATTTAACTCGAGTCCGCTCACGAGCACCACGGCCCAAGACCTCTTCTTGCTCTTCGCCAACGGGATTGCCCTCAGTCATATAGATATCTGGAAGTTCGTTTTCGGCCATGAGTCGTGGAATGCGTTTAGAGCCCGGGCCGGTGCCATATAATGGGTCTCTTGCACGCTCTTCGTCAATTTTTTGGAAGACACCGATTTCGTCTTCACTTCGTGCAAGGATCATGTTCAATTCCTCGTCATCCATCTCATCCTGTTCACCGGATTCAGCCATGTCCGCCGTCTCTAGCAGCGTCCGAAGCATTGCATCACGATCCGTCTCCGAGGATTTGTTGTCGAATCGACCGGCTTGGATAACTTTCCCGTCCATATCAAGCTTGTACCTGGCTCGTTCTAAAATCTTCTCTTCGACGGAGTTAGAACTGATGAGTCGCAAAATTCGCACTTCGTTCTTTTGACCGATACGATGGGCACGATCCTGGGCTTGAAGATCCTGGTGAGGATTCCAGTCTGAATCGTAAATGATGACAGTGTCAGCGGTCTGCAAGTTTAGACCTAAACCACCAGCACGAGTGGAGAGCAAAAACATGAAGTACGGCGAATCTGGAGCATTGAATGTTTTCAAAAGGTCAGACCGGTCTTCGGACTTCGTAGTACCATCCAATCGAAGATACTGAAGTCCACGGAACCGAAGGAAATCCTCCATGATATCCATAATAGCAGTCATCTGGAAAAACATCAGAACTCGATGTCCGGTTGCCTTGTATTTTGGTAAAATTCGATCTAGTAGCTCGAACTTTCCCGCTGTTCGCCATAAGAGATCATTGCTAGTGTTTGTTGGGTTCATCTGGTTTTCCACCTCGTCAAACACGAAGGGATGGTTACAGAGCTTTCGGAGTTGCATAATCATATTGCTGAGACCACGAGCTCCTGTCTTACCACCCTTGCCATCACTAACAGTGATCTTTTGGTAGGATACCATCTGTTTGTACAGACGGTGTTGGAGAGCAGAGAACTTGCACTTGATAACTTTCTCAGTCTTGTCTGGCAAGTCTTTCTCGACATCCTTCTTCAGACGGCGGAGTAGGAATGGTCGCAGCACCTTGTGGAGACGGCGAATGACAAGAATTTGCTCTTCTTCGTTCAACTCCATCTTGTCTTGTCCACCTGTATTTGCGAAGGGAGTGTTGAACCATTCGTCAAAAGTCTTAACTGACTTGAAAATGTTCGGAAGAACGAAGTTGAGCATTGCCCACAGTTCACCTAGGTTGTTTTGGAGGGGAGTACCGGTAAGAATGAGACGGAATCTAGTGCTGTAGTAGGTAGAGATAGTAGCGCTAAGCTTTGATTGGGTATTCTTCATGCGGTGTCCTTCGTCGATAATCATGTGAAACCACTTGATTTTGCTTAGGATGGGACGGTCCTTAATGATATATTCGTAGGTGGTTAGGAGGACCTGGAACTTTCCTTGGCGGATTTTCTCCTGTTGTTGCTTTCGCGCATTCGGAGGACCCTTATACACGATACGGCTGACGGACGGAGCCCATTTCTCAAACTCCAGATTCCAGTTGGTTAAAGTACTCAAAGGCACAATTACAAGGTATGGGCCTTGTTGGAGTTTGCGCTCAATGAGGTAGGTGATCAGACTGATGGTCTGAATCGTCTTACCGAGACCCATTTCGTCGGCGAGGATACCGTTGAGATTGTTGTTGTAAAGAGACAACATCCATTGCAGACCCCTAAGTTGGTACTCTTTTAATGTACCACCAACAAGAATGTTGGCTTGCTCTGTGACGTCCTCCTTGATTCGGTGGGCTACGGCATAGTAATCGATCTTGCGGTTCGCCTCCTCGTCTTCCTCTTCAATCTCGCTTTCTTCCTCCTGTGGAAGATCTACACCCTCATCGCCGTAACGTTCCGCAGCTTGACGCTGTTGCCGTTTGACTGAAGACGCGAGCTGGTGCAAAAAGCCATCAGTTTGCTTAAGTAGATGTGTAATACGGGTATCCTTAGCTTGATCAAGCAACTTAAGGTAGGCCTCTTCATCGTCGGCTTTAAGGGCCTGAAGACGCTGCTTGGCAGTACGCTCGATGCGCTTCTGCTCTTCCTTCTCGATGTTGAAATGGTGCATATGCATTGCACGTCCAATTCTCGAGAATTTGGTCTTTGCGGACTGTGCTGAACCACTAATCTCAGACTTGTGATGTTGAACGGATTGAAGGAAGTCAAGATGCTTCTTCTTCTCGCGGCTTTCGCGGGCGTCACGCTGCTGCTTCTCGAGCTTCTCTGTGATACGAGCCTCACGCACGCTCTGTTTCTTCGTTCGTCGGTACTGGCTACGGTTTGTGGTCATTGCGAGATTGTCATAATGCATCATTTGTCGGCCAATTTTCTCACGTAGGGCACGCTGTTTGGCGTATAGCCCGAGTGACTTAAGCTCTATTATGGCTTTCCTCTTCAACGCATCGTCAGCATCGAGGGTATCCTTAGTGGTATCCCAGTGTGCTACGTTGCCGGGAAGAGACTTTAGTTCAGCGTATCTGGCCTTCATACGGTTGAAAATGATAATTTCCCGCTCGTGTCTCAATTGTTCGAAATCGACACCAGTGGGAAAGATGCTGGGAATGATGAGCCGTTGTTTTCGTAACGTATGGTCGCGATAGCTGATGCCTTTGCGGACGAGTTCACCCTCGTACGGAGACTTAATTGTCTTGAAGGTTCGCCCTTTTGGCGCCGAAGCTTCAGGCTCGGCATCTCCTTCAGGTGCAACAGAGTCGGCTTTCGCTGTCTCTGATGCTGGTGTTCCGGCAGTTATAGTAGAAGTAGGTGGTTGTGTTGATTGCTCAACAATAGCTTGTCTTCGTTGACGCTGCGCATTCAGCGCTTGCTGCATTTGATACGGCACCCCAGCATTCTTACTAAGTAGCTTGAAGGCTTGAATCTGCTGCCTAAGAAGACCTAGTTGTTGTTGAGAGAAATGTGCCATTGGAGAGGCAGTTGAGGGTGAAGATGTAGTGGGCTGAGCAGCTGGACCAGAACTAGAAGGTAGCGCAGAGGCGCTCAAAGGTGTCGAGGAGGGTGGCTGCGTGGTGTGTGGTGTGGGCTGCTGAGGCCGTGGGCCTGGCTGATTTCCGTTGACATTGCCATTAGGAGCATTGTGCAACATCTGAGGAGCTTGCATTTGCATAAAATTCTGCTGCTGCTTGCGCATTTGTTGAAACTTCATCAAGAACTGGCTGGTTTTAAGGAATTCGGGGTCGTTTGCTGGGACGCCTTGATCTTTCAATTGCTGGTATTTCTATAATGAGGTCAGTACGTGTAAGGTAGGAACAATCTTGATATGCCATTGCTATAGGATACACCAGGGAAAGTACGAACCTTATACATTTCTTGCACTTGCGCATGGTTCACCTGCGCCGACATACCCGACGAGCCGGGATGGTGAACGGCTGGGGGGGCTTGAACAGAAGTCATCCTGACGAAGTCTAGAATAACTCTATGCAAGTCCGTACAAGCTTTGTTATGATCTCCGAGCCACGTTACGAGATGTTCATATCTGAAGCACGGTATTAACGACGGTGAGGTAGTACGTAGAGCCTCAACTAATAATTGAAATAAACCGTGGCGAAAGAGCGACTAGGTGAGAATGGCCCGGTTCGGGATTAATTCGTCGTGGTGCAAAGCGGAAGGACGTGTTGGATGGATGGATGTGTCGCGAACCGCAATGCTGGAGATAAAAATGCGGTAGTATTGCGCCGAGCAGAATTGCCCGGAGGCGGAAAGGGGAAAATGGGTTGGGAAAAAAAGAACGGGTGTCGTTGGAATTCGCGAAGGTTACCGGGCGCGGTGCGCGGTATCGAGGACCGGATTATCAAAAAGTAATCGCGGTGGGGATCAGCAGTATAAAGTAGGGGGGAGGAATATTCTGCCCTTTTTTTTCGACTTGGCCTTCGCGGTCGCGGGGGAACGTGAGTCGTCAAAAGGCCAACAGGGTGGGAAAAAAAGACAGAATGGTTGGTCGAGAGCGCGTAAAAAGTCGGCAGGGAGGGGCGGTTTCCGCTAGAAAATCGCGTAAAATAAAAGTTGGAGGTGACTCCGGATAGAAGTCGATGAATTTAGACGGGGATGGGTGATGCGGCTCGCTTTTTTTGATGCGCGATTGATGGCGTGGAAAGAGATGGTTTGATGTGAAAGGCGCACAACCGCACAACAAGACCATCTCCGTTTTGCCTGTCACCTGAGAAAGGAAAAAATGCGCTAACGACCCCAGTCAACAATCTGACCAATCGGTATAAAGATTTCCCGTCTTTAAACCCTGCACTGTCTGACTAATCGTATCGCTAACCCACTAATTTCGTTTTCTTTTTACCAGTGATGTACCTAAGTACCCGCTATACAGCACGTTGATTAAAAGCAATTGGCATTGATCCATTCAAGGCAAACACCTATTTCACAATGTCAGGTACCTGTACTTATTAAATCAATTTCAGATGAATGACAGTATTTAGTGGATTAATTCACTTCAAAATATTTACGTTCATTAAAAATTTTTTTAAAAAAAAAAAAAAAAGAACGATTGTTTTACGTTCAAGTATAGACCACATAAAGTGTCCGTCCATAATAATATGCGTTCTTATCCATGACGATGCAAATTCCTTCCAAGCGCCTTTTGCTAGTTGATCTAATCCCTATGTACCTTAAGAGGTAGCTGGAGGTAACTAGGTAGTTTAGTACGTCGATCTATGGGCCTACCTTTTTCATAGGGATCCATCCGTACAGAACGCTAGGATCCTACATACTCATATAGTACCTAGGCAGTGCTACAGGATAAGCTTTATAGAACCCACGGATATTCATACGAAGAAGGTCTTACGTGATTTCCGGACAAATAGCTTCAAAGGGTAGACTATCCTTAGGGAGTACCCCAACTTTTGAGGGGTTCTGGTTTATCCATTTCCTCGATAATACCCGTATCATCTCTTGACTTTCTTCTTTTCTGGACCATCCTCCTCTTCGTCGCTCACATCGGCATACTGTGTCACTGGCTGTGTATCCTTCCAAGCTTTCGTAAATACGGGGTCCTTCTTTGCCAAGTCAGCATACTTGAGCAACGCTTCTCTAGGATCCTCGTGTAACATCCGACTTAATGGGATATTTTGACTGATATGCTTTTCGTCAGGTTGGCTCCGCAAAAAGGGTGTTTGTTGAGGAACATGTGGTCTCCTAGGATCTTTTGATCTTCCAGATGCTGTGACACCCGTTTTCTTCGTACCCGCTAGAGCTCCTGGAGTAATAATCGACTCTCCAGAAAGACCCATAGATTGGTCGGTAGTAAACTCTGGGTTGTCATCGATGTGTCGTCTCTTCGGCGCGCGCGACATGACATCCACCGCACCTCTCGTCGACATCGTAGGGTTGTATAGAATGTGCGTCTCCGCATTCGCAGAGCCGGTTATGATTTGATTAATCTTTGGGTGCCAATCCACTGTGATTACCGGCGATCCGGGTGTTACCGGTGTAACATACTCGGGGCGCAAGTTTCCTGGGTTTAGTATATGAAGATGCCCCGTCGCCGATCCAGTAATAATACTTGTGGAATTCGGCGCGTATTTAATATTAGTCGATGAGTAGTGGTCCGACGTCGAGGGGTGCTCGACCGAGACGAGAGGCTCTTTGAATTTCCGCGTATCCCATAATTTGATTAGATTGTCGCCTCCTCTGGTTACGACCATTCGTCCGTCTGAGCTAATGTCTACCCCTCCGGTCCATGTATTTGGTTTATGGGCTTCCTTTATTTCTCCTGACGGTCGCGTGAAAGGGCCGTTTCCACCCCACATCACCAAACTACCATCCAGAGCGGCAGAAATAAGGACGTTGTTACCTCCCTGGGTCGGTGCGTCCCAGGCAACAGCGGTCATCCGTGTCCTGCCCGCTGCGCCAGCAGCTTTTGACTTAAATACTATGACGTCCTTTTGACTGCGCTTGTTGTTGATATCCCATATGCGCAACGTGCTGTCTGTTCCGGCGGTGACACAAAGATTCTTGTCTGTGGGATGCCACGTACCGGTTGTAACCTCAGAGACGTGACCCTTCGTATTATGCATATCTCGCAGGTACATGTCACCTTTAACGAACTCGGTTATGATATCGCCATCTCGAGATAATATCTTAGCTTGAGGATGTGCTGATATACAGAGGAAGATGCCGCCGGCGAGGGGATTAAATTCGACATGATGAACAGGATGCGATTCTGAACCCGCCGCTGACGCTTTTGTTTCGTAGGGGTCGACACTCTTAAAAGCGCGAATAGTTGTCGGTGTCAAGGAGGAAAAGTCGTGTAATTTGACAGTACCGTCAATAGAGCCTGATATTAACCGGCCGCCTGCGGGATCTAGCGAAATTGAAGTGACAGCACGGTCGTGGGTTTTAATGACCATCTCGTGGGAAGTCGGGTACTCGTCATCGTCGTTATCGTCGTCCGAGTCATCTTCGCTTTCATTCGAGTCATTCGAGTCGTCCGAGTCGGAATCTCGAGATTTGGGGTTGGTCGCTATCGGCTCATTGACTGTTCTCTTGCTTCGGTCGATTTGCGCAGCTATATCAGCCTCTTTAGATTTTTTACCAAATGAGGTAGGCAAGAAGGCGCGCATAGGGTCATCCTCCTCTAGAATTGGTCCTTCGACCTGGATATCCTCGTCGTCACTCATCGTTAGGGATTAGTAAGTCGAGAGGGGTGGAATTGAGGGATGTAGAAGTGAAAAATGAGCTATAGAAACAGAAGGCTGATAGGTACAGTACCTAGGCTGCTAGAATATGACCTGTTTAATGCGACTGCGCAACCTAAACTGTACTATGTATGTGCTGAGGTGGAGCTATTGGAGACGTTAATAGCTGCATGATGACGGAAAGTCTTGAGCTTGTATTTTACCATATAAATTTAGGTAGTTAAGTACGTGGATACCTACGCAAGGTTCGTCGGAGGTTACGTCTAAATTAATTGACTTCTCAGGCCCTGGGCTTAGCTTGTCTACCTAATCTTAGGTAATATCATTATTCAAATCTCGTCGTTTTCCAGTTTTCCATGCTAATTTCTGTTAAGCCAATCCTAATAAAAATTGATAGTCGTTAGTCACATTTTCGTTTTCTTTGCTTAGAAAATCCCAACCGATATTCTATATTCGAAACTGCCTAGGCTTTCGCCGTACATACGCGACGAATAACGCCTTGCTAACAGTGTTGGAACTACTCCGTGTCTCTACTACGCTGCGCTGCTGGCTGCCGGGGTTCCTACGACTCCACCCCAAGTTTCTGTCGATCAATGAACAGCTCCTCATGACTTGTCTATCTACCTAATTGAATTACTCGCTTTTATCGTGAGGTGCTCCTCATGTACTTGCTTCGAAAGGTATCCGATGAATCCATTCGCGACCAGCGCTCACGGACGAACTAGCCCTAATTGGCGCGACCCAATAACTAGCCGACCGAGAATAACACTTCCGAACCTACTATAAAACTTATACCGATATTGTTGCCGTGAATTTCGACCGCCGCCGCCTGGCAAGGCGCGAATATCGATCTCCCCGATCGGAAGAACCGAAGTCAATATGAGTTTGGCCATGGACGACGCGACAGATGACCACAAGGGCGGGTCGAATCTGGGCAACTGGAGCTCACTCATTGGTATCATAACGGCGATATCAGGCAACGTCCTAATTGCCCTAGCGCTCAATGTTCAGAGGTACTCGCATATCCAGCTCCATCGGCGACGGAGAGAAGCGCGGGATCGGGCAAGGGAAGCACTAAAAAGAGCCCGAAATGCCCCTCGTAATGGGTATGGGTCGCTTGATGCGCCTAGTCGCGATGGACAACACGACGATGACGATGAGGTCGATGCGACCGAGACGCACCCACTCGCGCATTCAATACAATCGGTAGACTCGAACGTCACAGATGGATCGTGTGGAGATACCAAAGTTGCCTCGACATATTTGAAGTCACCTTCTTGGTGGTTAGGTCAAGTCTTGATGACCATTGGAGAGATGGGCAACTTTTTAGCCTATGGTTTCGCGCCAGCTTCAATCGTGTCGCCTCTAGGAGTTGTGGCTCTTATCTCGAATTGTATCATTGCGCCGATGTTTTTTGGTGAAGAATTCCGGAAACGTGACTTTTGGGGTGTTGTGATCGCTGTTGCTGGTGCTGTTACGGTCGTATTAAGTGCGAAGCAAGAAGAGACTAAGTTGGATCCTCATGATGTTTGGGATGCCATCACCACGTTGGAATTTGAAGTGTATATGGGAATCTCTATTTTTCTCATCATCCTTTTGATGTGGGCGAGTCCTAGATATGGCAACAGGACGATTTTGATTGATCTCGGTCTTGTTGGCCTATTCGGTAAGTTTCGAGTACTCCTGGAATTAACGTAATATTATACTAACAAATTGTTAGGTGGTTATACCGCTCTGACAACCAAAGGTGTCTCTTCTATGCTTTCTTCGACGCTTTTCAAGGCATTTACTACACCAGTAACCTATGGTTTAATCATTGTCTTACTTGTGACCGCTGTTATGCAAGTTCGATACGTAAATAAAGCGCTACAACGGTTCGATTCGACCCAAGTTATACCCATTCAGTTTGTCCTATTCACTTTATCCGTAATTATCGGAAGTGCCATTTTGTACCGGGATTTTGAACGCACAACCGGACAGCAGGCTGCTAAATTCGTTGGCGGCTGCCTCCTCACCTTTTTCGGCGTATTCCTCATCACTAGTGGACGTACGCGGCGGGACGATGAAGACGAGTTCCTGGATGGTGATAACGAGGAGACTATTGGCCTCCGAGACCAAGATACATCCGGCCCATACAATAATCGGGGCGAACAACCTAGATCAGATCAACAACCTCTACAGCCAACGTCGGCTCGGTCATCGAGACGTTCATCGCGTGCTTCCCGGATTGGCTTGATAGATACGAGTATTAAGCCTATAAGGGGCAGTCGAGCTCCTTCGACCCGCAGGCCTGACCCGTCGGCTTCAAGAACATCTCTTCAAACACCAACTGGAACTTCACCACTCCTCGATAATCCATGGAGAAATTCCTTAGACGATGACCCCCATCCAGGACTACCGTTAAGATCGTCAGCGGATAGTGTCCCTACGATATACTCGGTAGCTTCTGTTGCCATATCAGAGCCCCTTCAATCAAATGCAAGCCTCCCACAAACAGTTGTTCCACCACCCTCCCCAGACCGACCCACGACCCCACGCGCTTCTCAAGGTTCTAGGCCACACAGCCACCACTTTTCCAACGCCTTCATCTCGCCATCGCCGTTGTCGTCCACTGTCAGCGCAGTAGTAGCAGACGCTCTCCTACGTGGCGAGGAAAGCCCAAGCGGCCGAAGAAGGTCCTTAAGGCGAGCGACAAGACCTAGTATTAGATCGAGCCTATTCGTTTCGCAGAGCGAGGATGATATCCCGACTGTTGAACCACTTATCCGCGAGGACGAAGACGACGAGGAAATTCCCTATCGGGATGAACCCTCGCCAATCGATTATAAAACAGCTCGGGGACGAGCGCGCAGCTTGAGCAGCGCATTAGGAGATTTCTTCAAACGGAAAAAGCGGAGAAGGGGATCAGATCCGGAACCAGGCATAGTTCGCGACAGTCAAGGTGACGAGAATTCGCAGCCTGACCGGTCCGCCGACCAATAATTGAACCTCTGTAATTGGATTTGTTTGCGACATTATGTTTGATAATGGCGTTTTATAAACGTGTCGAAGAGGGATCCTCCTCTTCCGGGCGAAGTGTGGAGTAGCATTGCATTGGATAGGAGTTCCGGGGTGTTTTTCTATGTCTTGGTGATGCTGCGAAAAGCGTGGCTCTGTTCATCATACCCAGCTCGTATAGGACTGATTACTGTTTCTATAACTCATATAGATCTTTTATTAAATGTTAATTGGAAATATTTCTTCTGTTCAACTTGAGACTTGGTGATGTCTAAGATTATTTGCATATTTAATTGATTTTTATATCGACGTGAACATCTTGTGTAGCCGACGCTGTGCGTTAGACCCTCTCGGTGAAAATTATCTAGTAATACGTCTACTAAAGGGCGCACGAATAGACAGGAAATGCAGTTTTGGATTTCAAATCTGGGTTTTCATTTGATCTGAGACCAATAGGTAAAGTAGTTTTACCTCATCTTGTCTCCTCTCTTCACCAACCTCCTCAAATACACGAGGCCTTTCTAACATACATAGCCTCCCCACAATACTACTTCAAATACTCGGTATAAACACCAAAGTAGAAGGTCAAGTGACACAAGCGGCTTCAGACCGCTGCTAAATAGATACAACAATATCGGCCGTATGTTTTAGCCGTCATCCCCTTCAGAACGGTGCATTTTTGTACAGCATATACAACATGCGCACACAGGAATCCCCTTCAATCTTGGGTTCCTCTCCTCCCCACGCGCAGATATATACTTCCTTCGTAATCCCCATCGTCGAAGGTATATATATATAGTAAAAAAGGAAAAAGGCCCCACGGCCATGATGTTGTTGTAATGCGTCAAACAAGTTCCAAGTTCCCGAGAACCACGTTTCAAAAATACTCCGCGCACCGAACTTTTTCGACCGTTCAACCCTGATTTTTCTCTATAATAATAGCAAGGCGGGGAAAAAGTTGCGACAAAAAAAAAAAAAAATCAAGGAAAATTTGCGGTTGAAAGCATAGCGAAAGATTCGGTGATGGGATGCGCATGGATGTATGTATGCATCAGGTGTTCCCGTCGCCGGTTCTATAGTAGTAACAGATAAATGGTGAAATAATGGGTTTCGCGGAAACGACAGTTTTGAAAAAAATACCCCCCCAGTCCGTAAAATCCGATCCGTGGAAGCCAAGCCGATGATGATGTCTATACCAAACACAAAGACGCGAATTGATGAAAAGCACAAGTGATGGGTGTGCCCTTAACGCCACGGCTCATAGGCCGTTGTATGTCTATATCCGAAGCCGAGAAACTTTTTGTTCGAGAACATAGTAGATGATTTGTAGATAGGGAAGATAATTGGAGGCTATTGTAGTGAGTGTAGGTAGGCAGATAAATGCGGGTTTAAGTACAGTGAGTAGTATATAATAACAAGGGGTAGTATAGATGTTGATGGTTATTTAAAAGCGACCACCAGGAGTAGGAGTGACAGTTGGGAAGAGGGCAAATTGAGGAGAAGCGTGGCTTCGGCTAGTTGTTCTAGCCCGTCGTCGAGTCCTAACTGTCTGGCTTGTCGGTTTAGGCTCAGCAGGAGGGGCGCCTCCGAAGTTGGACCTCATTAAGAGATCAGCGTGCGATTGCGTTCGCGAATGCTTCTCACGGTTGAGGTCTTGTTTTAAGACCATAGGTTCATTGAAGTTGGGAGGCGTGATCACCTTGCCAGAAGGCTGAACAATGGCGGAAGGCACAGTGTCAACAGCAGGCTTCTGCGGGACAGGGTGCGAGTCGCGAGCTGTCCAGCTAGAGGTGCTGCTGCCAGTCCAGCGTGTGTATGCTGTAGAAGTTGATGTAGTGGACTTATGACGACTGGAAGTCATGGACTGTTCCGACAGCGCGGAATCAGTAGTCGAGGCACTTGAGCGCGCATTCGACGGCTTGATGGTTTTGCCAAACTTCATAATAGGTTCATCATTGAGCGTGTTTCCTTGAATGAGGAAATCCTCGTCGTCGCTGTCTTGCATGTCGTCCCTCTCGTATTGAAGCATTTGCTGGTGGTAATCATTCGGTATTAAGAGAGATGGCGACAAGCTGAAACCTTGAGCTTCCTTGAACTTGCTCTCGGGGGACTGGTTCCGGGGGTGCGACCCATCCCGTCGTGGGAGAGAAAAGTTGGATGTTGCAGTGACGGGCAAGTTTGTAGGAGTTATAGCTTCGTGTTGTGTGGAAGTAGATAGCTGGCTCGCTGGGCTTAGTACGGGCATATCCGAGCTACCAGGGGATAGTAGGCCGGGTGAAAGACCGCCAAAAGTTAGAATGGTCTCGGTCTGGTCGCCCATGGCTTGGCTCCCCTTAGGCTCCATTGGCCGCACAATATCAACTGACGGTCGTTCCCAGGCAAAGTCGCAATCAGCTTCGGCTTCATGCTCATAGCAGTAGTCAATATCATCCTCCCAACTCAATGGGTCGGCGTCATCAGCAAATTGGTCATCGTGAGCGCCCGCGCGGATTGCGCGCTGGGCACTGATTAAGTCAAATTTGCCCAAAGTCTCCGAGGCATTGCTAGGCGGTCTTTGATGCGATTGGGACATGGAAAACTGCCGAAGCAATGGGACCGATATACTACCTCTTAGAGAAGAGTGGTTGCTGGCAACGCTCATGCGATGCGGGCGAGTTAATGCGTGGTGTTCTTCCTCCTCCGGAACATCAGGCAAGGGGGTTACATTGTTAGACAGGGGCCACGCGGCATCGTCTGGTGTAGTGATAGCATGAGCAATCGATTGCGTTGCCGCGGCTTCTTCTTGCTCTGATTCTACTACAGGTGAAACCGGCGCAGGTGGCTGTCTCTGTGGTGAAGTGGGTGCGAACGGCAATGGCTTTCGGAAGCCAGTAACTGTTGCAGGTCGTTCTACAGCCAGGCCAGACAAAGAGCCAAACCTATCGTGTCGCACCGAGACACGACTAGATGTCCTTGGCGGTATATGTGCCATGCCACTATTGTCAACAGGGGACCTGGGAGGACGCGGGGGTGCGAAGCGGATTTTGTCTTGTGATTGACTTCGCTTCGCTGACCGCACTGGGGGTGATGGAGGCGGCGGCGGTGGTGGTAATGCTTTATCCCGCGATTGCGCCCCCAATCCCGCCGATGGGTCTTCCTGGTGGTAAAAACTCTCGGAAGATAAATTTGAGAATTGTGATTCGTCGGGTTGGAAACGGTTTAACGACGCGTCGGTGGGTCTTCGTGGTCGCATGCTGGAGAACTCAGACACAAGATCCATGCGATTTCTCCGGTCTAAGTCAGGTACGCTATCCTTGTGTGTATGTGTAACGTGTTGGAAGTTGTAAGGTCCCGAAATTTGCAACTTCTTCTGTGTGGTCGGTACAGCTTCTCCTCTCAATGCCCTCCTTCGCGCGAATACGGATTGTATGAAGGGTTGCTCTTTGAGCGTACCCGACGCGACGTCAACCGGCATGTCGACCGCGTCCAGTGAACTATTCGAGCTATTATGATCGCTACCTTCCCTGCGCAATTTACCCTTGCTACGGTTAAAAATTGCCTTGCCGAAGAATTGTACGCTGTCAGGTCGTTCACGCGACGGGACGCCGCTTGATGTGGACCTTTGAGATGGGTTTCTCGATAAACCAAGGCTTTCTACGCTCTGATTCCAAGACGGTCTATCTGAATTGGCCGAAAGTCGTGAGGAGGAACCTGATGATGTCGTCAATTCGCTTCGGTGCTTGTCAGCGTTCGAGTTGCGCTTCATCTGATTGCTGAACGCTCGGATGCGTTCCGGCGACGGGGGGCCATCAATCGCTGGCTCGAAGAAATCGGTAATGCCGTGGTGAATATGAGGAACCGACGCGTTGGGAGGGGATGCTATCGATGGGTGCCCAAACTCAGGGGTCGAAGATATATCATCTTTAGGCGCTCGCGGCCGCGACTCCCTATTATATGCGTAAACCGGCATTGGTGAATACATGATGTATAATTGGAGCGTTAGAAACGCATCAATTTATTCCCGTGGTCCAGTTAGTCGAATTCTCAACCCGGGACCGTATTTCCCGGGTCGTTGGTAATTCGAAATAATTCGACTATCGTGACGACGCTTCACGAGAGCGTATATACCTAAGGTAGGTAACCACGGGAGGAAGGGGAGGAAGAAAAAAAAACTGTGGGGGCGGGTGTGGCAGGCAGGCCAATTCTGTTCCGTTAGGGAGATAGACAGTGGATATAATAAAAAATCCCAGCGTGTTGACACTGACACAATGGGGTGCAGTGGAGAGGCCCGCCAATATGTATTTCGAAATATCATGCAAGCCTGGTCTAGGAGGGTAGGATTGGATGTAACAGGGTATATAGACAGGGGCAAGGGGTCGTTGGTCGGGAAAAGTGAGAGAGTCCAGTTACGGTTTCGTTGGAACCCCCTCGCTGTGCCTCAGTGGAATTTCCCAAGGTGAACAGCAGCAGGTTACTATCTTGTACCGGCTTAATGGGTGAATGAAAAGATAGGCGCAAATCGTCAATAGCCAGTTGCAGGGCTACGAAATGAATATTCCCGGTTCTCAGGTATTCATAACTTCTTTCACAACTTTTATAAGTCCTTCGTATTTGAATAGGACTCTAAGCTGAGATTGCGTGATGCTTTATGACCGACCGTACCTGTGTATGTAGGTAACTGGCAGTAATAGTGGATAGTAGGGGAATAGTCAGCACAAAAATGTAATATGAGAGTGCTTCATGTCCTGCTGAATTCGGCGAGGGATCACTAATACGGGAGGGTATACGCTCCTCGGGGACCGTCCAATATCGAGAAGGCGAAGCCAAGCTTAAGAGGTAATACCGTGTACTAAATCCTACCGGCAATTGGCCCTAAAAGGTTGTTCGAAGCCGATTAATTAGTTGTCGAATATGCAGGTACAGTTGGGGGGCGTCCAGTTAGGCTAGGAGCCATTCGTATACCGGTGGTGGAATGGAGATTTAGCGACGAATCGCGGGCATGTAACCGGAAAATCAGAAAACCGTCTTCTCTATTTCCTCCGGGAACTTTTTATTATCAACCAATATCCGTCAGTTGTAATACTCGATAGTCGCAATTTTCGGCGATGAGGCGTGTTGTATTGTCTTCTCGTGCCGGTCTTGGCTTTTTTTTTTCTTACGCAGGCAGACAGACAGGAATTGTTCCTATGAACAGCAGGTCGTATATCAGAAGGATTCGCCTTCTAGAAGTCGATCTCGTCAGCACTATGGAATATCTTTAATCTAGGTTAGTGAGATTCGGATCAGCATCCAGAGACTAAACCTATATGGCGAAACCTAAGTAAAGAAAGAAAACGGCAAGATGGATCTATAAAATACATCTGACAATGTGGAGAGGTTCCTTGCGCGCAACATCGTGACGGGTACGGCAACGCCATTGGATTAGCTTGACTTCAAGTAGGATGCAGTGCTTGTTCAACACACTCCCGAATGATCAACATCTCATACTTCCTAGCTAGCTCAGGGTCCGCCAAAACTGACCAGCATTTTCGGGGGGGCGTCGATATCCCCTGTAGTTTTGAACTCCCCACTGAGGATTCATCCTAGTTACACTGCAGACTGGACTACAGCCACATGTTATCCACGGTAACTGTCCTACAGACGGTACGGAGCTGGCTGGAGAACCCACTTGAGTACTCATTCGACGGATAAAAGAACGGTACCTTAGGTAGTTATAAGAGGCAGTTTTATATACCAGGGGCTGTTAGGTAATATAGTAAGGTATATACAGAGTCTCAAATGTTTTGCTATAAAAACGTACCTGTGCTTTTTGGTCGTGATGATCTTGCGATGCTATGTGCGTATGCGTATGATATGTATATGGTTGAATAGGTATATAGGGGTGTATTCGTATTCTTTCCCGTTGTTAGATACACTGTCCCGGGGATCGTAGGCTCACAGCCCTGTTGAATAAATTGAACGCGCGTTCGTATAAGTCGGTATGAGGAAAAAAAGAATGCTCGAATCGACGCAGTTTATGCATTCGGATTTACTCAGTACATAGTAATCCCTACATGTACGTAGTTGATTGCACAGGCCAGCCCGCTCAGTACTTTTTCTCTCCCTCTTTTCTTTTCTCGACCCTCCTCTTCCGGAAACTGCCCCTAGCGGTATTTTAGAAAACCGTCGGTTTGCATCCGCTACCTGTGCCGTAGTCTCGGTGTTAATCCTATAGATGTGCGGTCCAATGGGTGTAGTTTGGAAGGTGAAGGGGGTTTTGGGGTCGTGCAGGTGTATGCACAGCAGCCTATTCGAAAACAGCAACGTTGCAAACACGTGCTGCCGGCACAACTCTCGGAAACGCGAGGTTCTTAAGTTGTCGTCGTCGTACCCTCGACGTAATCAAAAACGAATCCGACAATCCAGTTGGCGCAGAAACAATAAAGAAACGACTCTTCAACCGCCAAAAGACTTAAGTTGGAATTCAGAACGAATGAAACATCAAAAGAAACAACGAGTAGAAGCAGGGACGGGGTCTCGACTAGTATCTGTGAAACAACAATCTTGGAAGCTGGTTTCTTCTTCAAAATGTCTTGCGCGGCCCAATTGCCGTGGGCCGTGGGTCTTAATTAGGGGGTAGTCTACATACTAGTCACGATAGCTACATGTCAAAGCTAGCTTGATACTATAACGTCCGTACTTAGGACGCACCATGTAGGCCCTAAAGTTCTCTCCGATGACCCTAGATTAATTCTACTCATGACCTATCTATCCTAAGAATAGCTTTCGTCGTGACATACCGTCTGATGAAACAGCTGATGAGTGCTCAGGCTTGAGCTGTTCTATTCCATTTTCTCTCGGTTTACCTCCTGAGGTAAGACTCAATCTGGAGTTCTGGCAATTTGATAGAACGACCCGACCACAGGGATATGCGCTCTCCAAGGTATCACGACCCTCTTTCATGTACTATGTAAGGTACCAGATATTGTACATGGTGATGTATCTCTTTAGCTCCCTTTTTTTCTTCATCACCATGCATGTATTTACTTTTTAGTAATGTGAGCTATCCAGGCGGTATCCAGTCAAAGACTTCGGTAGCCATAGAATTCTTCAACTTTCCATTCAGAGCAAACTTGCTTCTTTTAGGGTGACGCACAACAATTCCTTCCAAGGCAACGGAGTCCCGAGGGGTTGGTAATTGTTATTAATTGTCTCTACCTAGGTATTTATTAGCAAAAATGAGCCAACCACTATGTGAAATAGATGCATATGTCCAATTAGAAATTCTCAACTCAGATATAATGAGAACGATAAATGAGGCTCACATCAAAACATCAATGCCTAAGGTAAAGCAACATAACATTGGAATTGTGTAGATATTAGGTACCTACAGGTAGGGATGCTTCTTGATTGACCAATAAAAATTCGATTTATGGTAGAATTGTGGACGAACTACAGGCCACCCAAGACCCAGACTGGCTTCAAGCTTGGCTGAGCGATGAAACAGATTGGTGAAGAACCCCCTATCGACTGAAAACGGGGCAACATCGTCCAGGATATGCCCTGTATCATCATGCGCAGGCACAGATACAATTGCTCTGGAATTTGACGAGCTGATGGTGAATGACGATAGCAAATGACCCAAGAGCTTGGGACAATTTTTGACAAATTGTCTCGATGCGGAACACGCCCTGCTGTGCTCAGTTACTCAACCGCATTACAGTACGTAATCTCGGTAGTCGACACGATTTCTTCTAGCTTGCTTCCTAACATATCGAAATGCTTTGGGTATCCCTACCAGAAGAACGACACTAACATGCTCCGGTCCCGTGGATTACACATAGTGTCGTACGAACCACACTCGCTACCCACTACCTACGCTACCCAACATCTAGCCCCGACCTAGAAGTTGGCCGCTTGACATGTCAATAGCGTACTACGTAGTAGTCGTAGTAGTAGTGCGTGCTCACTCCGACTGTCGAAGGGGTTCGCTATTTTACCTTGGAAAAAAGGAACTTCTGACATCACTGCTTGGGTCTTAGATAATAATTCATAATTCATACGTTGATCTCTAAGCTACCGTTCAGAGTAATAGCATGGAAAAGGCTGGAAATAGGGCCTATTATTGGGTCGCGGAAACCAATTGCAACAAGCCGCCCAAGGAGTCGGTCCAACGAGTCTGGGCAGCCCCTAGGAAAATTGCGCTGGGTCTAATCTGAGCACCCCTACCTCGCCCCGAATATTCTCCAGACGATCAAGGTACATACTATGGTACGTCTCCTTATTTTCATTACGGTAACGATCCACGCTTCACTCCGCCCCTGTGAGTTCTGATCCCGCAGAGTCGTACCGATTAACTAGCACGCCAGACCAGAGCTCGCGCAATTATACCGGAAGTCCATAACCATTTCTTGGCCGTACCGAGGGCCCAGCGGGCTCGACTCTCTCTACCCACAAATTGACAGCCCACCGGGGCCAAAGCACCGGCCGTTTAGACTCATTAGCGCTCGCTTTTAATGACAGGGAAGATGATGACTTGCACAGGAGATTCGGAATCGGCCGCCGTACGCCGCTTGAGGAAAAGAATTTACACAACAAATCGGCGAGACGGCTCGCAAAAAGGCATCAGACTTGGCGGACTACATCACACTACTGTATTGACTTACATACATATATGCCCATACATCATCCACTGTCTAACCTAGCGAGGAGTTACATCGCAGCAAACGTACATACGAGCAGGTATTTAGTAAACCAATTAGCAAATTGTTTCGTAGAATTGGCGCAGATTTTCACTGCAGGCACATCGTCAGTCTAACCCCTTACTGCGCACATACGTATTATTCCAGATGGCATCGTAGATCACTTTGGAAGCGAGCGCTCTAGGACCCCAAAAGGTCAACTCGCTTAGGAGAATTGTTCCAACCCATCGGGATCTGAGCAGATCAACGTCGCAATGTCATCTTTTTTTTTTTGCCCCTCCTCGGACGCAAACAAAAGAACTATGAACGAACCAGTTTTCATCACAACGTAAGGTATAGGAATGTTTGCTCAGTTACAGTCATAGCGGTCTATTCCCATGACTAACAAGTCAAGGTAGGCATATATTATACCGACATTACTTGTGTAGTAGTTAAAAAAAGAAG